TTTCCTTCCTCTCTCTCTCTCTCTCTCTCTCTCTCTCTTGGACAGTAATAATCGCAGAATGACCGCGGAATGGAAAAACCCAAGGGAAAAAAAATTATTACAACAAGATGGGTAAAAGAACTCAAATATGCTAACTAAACCTGCTTTATAGAGACCCCCCCACTTCATGTTCTGCTGGACCTGTTGGTGACGACTTGTACCACTGGCAGGCGTCCATCATGGGACCACCAGACTCTCCTTATGCCGGTGGTGTCTTTTTCCTGTCGATACACTTCCCAACAGACTACCCATTCAAACCACCCAAGATCTCGTTCACAACCAAGATATACCACCCTAACATCAACGCCAATGGTAACATCTGTTTGGACATCCTGAAGGACCAGTGGTCGCCTGCTTTGACCATTTCCAAGGTTCTGCTTTCGATCTGCTCACTGCTCACAGACGCAAACCCTGACGATCCTTTGGTGCCTGAAATCGCCCACATCTACAAGACCGATAGATCGAAGTACGAGGCCACTGCCAAGGAGTGGACCAAGAAATACGCGGTTTGAACACCGCCACGTCTCGGTCGGGAACAGCAGGTGATGACCAAACTCGACTTCAGGAACTTACGGGCTGCGACGGCCTTTCGGGCTAGGATAAAACCATACTTGAACGACGCCGTTTGCACGACCTCCTACCGCAGTCCGGTGGACACCGTCAACAACGTCGGGTTTATTCTTGCTCATTAGGATACCAACAGCATTTCACAAAGCAGTCAAAAGGGTAAAAACCTACTTCTGTAGGCTCGAGCACACTACCTTTTTTTCAAAACAGTGGGTAAAAAGTATATACACATGTATGTAATGTGCATTAATATGTGTACGTCTAAATTGTGTATCTATACTTTCCCAGCTCAGACTGCACCTTGCAACAACGTAAAACTCCGACTTGTGTCTAGCTGAACATCGCGTCCTTCCTTGCCACGACGACATTGATGAAAAAAAAGATATTTGATCTGGGTGTTAGCCAACAAAAAATAAAATGCACTCACGGTGGGGGTCGAACCCACAATCTTCTGATTAGAAGTCAGACGCGTTGCCATTACGCCACGCAAGCTTTTTTTGATTTTGGAAATCTCTATGATCTATATATGCTTGTGGAAAGTCAGATGCCTCACCAGTGTCAGTTCTTAACGGACCAAATTCACCCTGGGGTTCAAAAAGTGTTGTAGAACGTCACTTTAAGCTCTGTTTTCAATGCTAGAAACACACACATATGCTCATAGATATTTTTTGACGAGATGTGCATTTATTGTTTTTTACCATTCTCGCTGCTTTCCATTGAGATTCTTATAATGTCATGAATTCACATCAAAAAGCGTCAGGTACCCGGCTTCTGCAAAACATTTAAACCAAAGCGCTCACAATGTGATGCATTTTAAACAGAAAGACCTGCCTCTTTGGCTACTGATATGGAATCTCTACCGGCTTCTCGCAGAACATTGACTTAAAATTGTCATTTCATTTCGAAGTCGCTCTTTCACCATCAAAACACAATCAGAACCCTAAAACTTCAAAAAGGAGACTGCTGTATCTTTCATGTGCTGAACCAGAGCATCCGCGGTCCATGGGAACTACAAAACACAGCGACAAGATATTTGAATATTTTACTGACGTCAGTCACGCGACCGCTCAGCTCAATTATCACGAAAATTGGATATAATAAGTGATTCTAGCACAGCACAGAGCATCGACAGGCCAAGACAGGGACCAAGAAAGTGCCAATGGTCTCTAGGACACCCTTCGTTCACTATCAAAAAACCGACCCCGGTGTGCTGCTAAGATATGCGGAAAACCTCTATGAAAGTGGCACATTTCACCAGTTTTTGACACCGCAGCAGCTTATAGTGCTCGATAGAGTGCTGAGAATACAGGACCCTTCTTATAAAAGCGATGTGTGGCTAGAGCTCATCAACAGTAATATTGCGCTAGAAGTGGTCAAAAAACTGGAACAAAAGATGAATGATCGCCCGTCTGGTGAAAATCCTGTTGCCGAAAATATCGAACAGGACAGTGGAAATGCATCTGGCATCGCAACACCATTTGCAAAAACGCCCCATGTTATCACAACCTCGAGCTCTGTGCAGAAAGCTGAAGAAGAAGCAGAGACTCCGAAAAAGGAATCTGAACTATCTTTGGAAGCTGACTTTTCTGAAGTAGACTTGGAAAACTTACAGCAACAGATGAGCGGAGTGGAGTTCATAGGTAATCTCGCCTTGAAAATCAGATACGTTTTGTGGCAAAGTGCCATAGATCCACTGTACCAGCCTTCCTCTGAAGAATTGCATCAAGCTTTGCCATTAGAGACAATAACGCCTGAAAACACGAAATCACCAGAACCGGTGATAGGCCAAAATCGAGCGATAGACTCACGAAAAGAGGAACAGGAAGACACGGATTATGATGATGACGAAGAAGACGACAAAAATTCTGGAGACAATCAGCAATCCCATATTGAAGACTCACAGGATAGCTCAAAGCCCGATGAAATTCGGGCATCTTACGATGACAATGGACGCTTAATATTCGTGCTTGAAATATCAAGAGACACATTGTTGGATCTGGGTGTCACAAATACACAAGCCGTCATCGAAAGCTTCAATAAAATCTATCACAGTTTTGAAAACGATCGCGAGACTCTATTAAAGCGGCTAAAGCTGGAGGAGAGCGACAAGCTGCTTGAACCGACCAAAAAGAGATCGAGGAGTGAAACGGGCGATTTAAGTAACGAAGATATGAAGGCCCCGACGTCTTCAGAATCAGACTTTAAGAAGTCCAAAATGCAAAGTTCGGACGCTCCTGCGTTGTCTGTGAATCTCGGATCCGCGAACCTTTCTCTCAAACATCTTTTGGCCTCCATCCAGGACAACAAATCGAAACTCAATATAACCGACTATGAACTGAGGCATTTGGTCATGGACGTCAAGAAGAACCGATCGAAGTGGGCTTCCGACGATAAAATAGGTCAAGAAGAATTATACGATGCATGCGAAAAGGTCGTGTTGGAGCTCCGCAATTTCACGGAACACTCTACAGCGTTTCTCAACAAAGTCAGTAAGAGGGAGGCCCCCAATTATTATCAGATTATCAAAAGACCAATGGACCTGAACACAGTTTTGAAAAAGCTCAAAACGTATCAGTACAATTCTAAACAAGAATTTGTGGATGATGTGATGCTCATTTGGAAAAACTGTCTTACGTACAATTCGGACCCTAAGCATTTTCTGCGAACACACGCAATAGCCATGCAGAAGAAGTCGCTGACACTCATTCCGCTGATACCAGATATTACAATCAGAGACCGATCCGAGGTGGAGAAAGAATTAGAGGACATAGACAAGGATAATGATAAAGAAGAAGAAGCTGAGGAAGAAGCTTCTGGAACGGGAAGAAAGGGGGGAAATGTCCGTGGGATAAAGCAGGATGGCGAAGAGAAGGAATCTCATGCATCTACAGAGCATACTGGTACGAAGAAGGCTATAGATGGGCATTCGAACTCAGAAAATACTTCAAATACCGATCGAAGTGAGGATGCCAATGCTTTCTCTCAGGACGCCAGCGTGAATATCTCTAACACAAAGGAATCCCAGGAAGATCATGAAGAGTTGAAGGATCAAATCCAGACTGGTAAGCATGTAAGGAATGAAGTTTCGGAGCAGGCTGCTGAAGCGAATAATTCAAGTGCTCCGAATATTTTGTCCGAATCACAGAAAGCGATTCAGGGAGTGAAAGAGTCTTCTGAGGTAGAAGAAGAAGAAGAAGAAGAAGAAGAAGAGGATGAAGAAGACGAAGAAGGTGACATGGAAACCAATATGTATTTGGTGGAAAAGGATGATGACAGAGACGACTTAGAGCTCTCTACTTGGAAAAATGCCACTGCGAGTGTTCGAGCGGAGTTGTGTATCAAAAGAGCTGGTTTATTCACTGATAACACCATGAATCCGAAAGCGCCGGCCATACTCAGGAATCCTGGGAAAATGAAAGATTTTGACCAGCTGGTCAAGGAATACAAAGATCAGCAGGACGCTGAGATGCAAAGGCGCAAGCTGGAACAGGAGTCGATAATGAAAAATGGCTTTGGCACAGTCGTAAAGCAGGAAGAGGAAGAAACTGCATCATTGCAGGCACAGCAGCCTTCGGGTATGAGCAACGATAATGAGGTCGAGAAAGCGTCTACCGAGATTGAACTCGATGATGTAAATGTTTTGAGCGAGTATAATGTTGCCAATGCGGTTCCCAAGATTGGATACACTGGGCTGGACGATAAAGCCATTGATGATGAGGAAAGCAAACTTGTTGAATCGATACTCTCTCAGGGCAATCTACCGGAGACTTCATATCTGGCAAACAAAAATAAAGGATTGAATCCGAAGATAAATGCCAATATCCGGTTGATTCAAGAAGTAAGGCACATTTGCCACAAGATTGCTTTGATAAGAATGTTGCAAAATCCTCAGACCTCCTCTCAAGTGAGGAATAACTCTACAAATCCTAACGGCCAGATATGGGACACTCACAAGTACAAGTTCACCTCAATCGATGATGACTTAGATTTGGATCCCGTTTCTAGGCTGCCGACACGAAACAACAAACAAGACAAACATCTGATTTGCCGCTTGATGCATAAGAATGTATCAAAAATCGCAATGTCAAATGGATTTGAAAGCTCTCAGCCGGTAGCGATATCAATGCTCACCGAAATTGCCGGAGAATACCTTTCCAATTTGGTGAAGACTGTAAAAATCCACCATGAAAGTAATTCGCTAAATCCCAAAAAGCCGTACGAGATCTTACAAATGTCTTTGTTGGAGAATGGCATAAAGAAACCGGATGACCTGTATTCATACATGGAGGCCGAGTTTGTGAAGAAGAATAACAAATTGAAGGACATAAAGCTGAAGCTCAATAATTTTCTCAAAGAGCTTTTGCGCCCGACGCTACAAGACCTTTCTGAAAAGAACTTCGAAGATGAAAGTCAAAGTTTTATGACTGGCGATTTCTCGAGTGAAATTACCGGAGAGGACTTCTTTGGTTTCAGAGATTTGGGTCTGGATCGTGAATTTGGGGTTTTGAGTAATTCGGTACCTATGCAACTCTTGACTTTTCAATTTCAAGGCAAGGGTTCTGAGGACAAAGTGCAGGACAAGAAGATTCAGCCTGAAGAATTTAATGATGTCACCTACGCCGAAATCCCAACCATTGATGTGGAGGATGGTAAATTCTGGCCCACGTTGCAGCCTCTTTTGGAAAAGGCTCTTGTCCGCTTCAAAGCATACAATGCCAAGGTTGGAAAATCAAAAGCCAGCGACGGGAGTCCGAAGGAGGAAAGTGTTGACGTGGCAACACAGATTTTAACCGAAGACGATGAAAGGCCATCTAAATCGAAGTCGTCTGGAAAACCAAGATTACCACCTACCGGGAAAATCAGCACCAACTACAGGAAAAAACCCATATCCGACGCATTCTACGCTCCTGACATTCCCCGGGACCCGGTCGTCCCCAAATTAGAAGACGGAAATGAAGATGGTGACTTAAAGATTCCGAAGGTGAACAGTGTACAATCCAACGGCTCAACCGATGACCATGAATCTTTTATGCTGAGTTTACCCAAAGTTTCCGAATGAAAATAATATGTACGTTTCATACAAATGTTTATTGGACTGGATTCTGACTCAATGCTTTTGATGTACCTCATAACAAGGAAGCATTAAAGTTCGTCATGCTCAATGACGTCGTCTTTTTGATCTGCTTGAACCTGGTCCACAGGCTGAAGCTGTTTCTGATCTGGTTCATTACGATTGTCGTTATCTTTCCCCACCTTCACAGGATGTTTGCTTTTCGGCTTATCATCTTCTGGTTCGATTGCATACAGGAACTTAAACTCTAAACCTGACGAGTCGCCAATAACATTAAGTTCCCTCTCAAGATCTTCTATGGCTTTCCTTTCCAGTTTCTTCATTTTCGGAGTAACTTTCTGGCCCGCTTTGCTGTTTTCTCTGAAATCAAATGACATCGCTCTATCTGGTTTCTGGACTTCCTCTTTACCAGAAAGATCTTCGAGAGACGCGGGATCTTCATGTATGACTTTAGAGTAGTGTACAATGTTTTCGGTGATTGGAACACTGAGAGAATCTGGCCTGTAGAAGGACACGTTGGCCCTGGATGCTGCATCGACATCAACCTCTAGTACACATAGCGTGTGCCCCTTCTTGTCGATAACCTCGCTTTGCCACCTCAACTCGTAATCACCGGCTGTAAAGCGAGAGCCGTCTGGCGTTTGGAGAAGGTCTTTGTAATTAATACTTTGGAATGCCTTGATCGCTTTCTCTAGGAAAACGGTTTCTGTCGGATGTAGTTCTGAATTTTCATCCGACAACACCAATTCCCCGGTGTAAAGTAGTTTGGATGATGTTTTAATGGGTTCATACGGGGCAGAAATTGATGTGCGATCTTTCAAGTGATAGAAACTATGGCCCAGGAAGTGGGACTCGAAGGTCTTCGACAATGAGCGGCCAATTCGAGCTGTCGTTTTGTCCAGATCAGCTTCCGAGTACAAAATGGATTTCAGCTGTTGGCGGTCAGTACCATGTAAGAATAGAGGAAGCTTGCAAAGTCCTGGTACCGCTACGACCAATTCATATCGACACAATTGATATTCAAAGGCTTCAAGCAGCCGCGGTTCGCCAACATTGGGATCGCACAAGTATCTTACCTCGCTGGTGCGGAGCACATTTGTACCCGCGCACAGTTCGCCATCTTCATATATCTGTTTAACATAGTAACCTGCTGTGTTTTGATATAGTTTGAAGCTGTCGTTAAGAAGTGGGTCTGTTGTGGCCAAACCAGCAATATACGATATTTCTGATGAAAGAGATTGACTCACATTTTGATTGTGGTAGAAGCGGTATAGGAAAAGGCTTACTCGACGTTCCAAGTACCGCCCTGATAATTCTTCATTTATGATTACCACACTTTTCTCAAATTCGTCTTTAGCTTGGGAATTTAGCTCCAACGCTTCTTTTGCGACCTCCCAATGCTTCAAATCTGGTACAAAACAGGTCGTATTTTCGCCAATGGTAACAATCGAGCCCTCTTTGAGCGCAAGGTCGTCCTTCAATAACGTGTTGTCGAACTCTGATTGATCGATGTAATTCAACGAATATTTGGGATAAAGATACGATTGCAAAGCCCATTCATGGCAAACCGTTATTCGAAACACCAGAAAGGAAATCGATATGACTAGGCCAAGCATTTGCCTCAACTCTAGCGTCTCTTGGCCGACAATGTTGTGATATTCATCAAGTTGATCTCATCTAATGGGTTCTTGAATTGTCAATTTTAATGTCAAATTAAGGCTAGAAACAGATGTTCAAATAGTGAAACTTGAGGGAAACTAACGATTAAAAGCTCAACTTGAGGTCGAATTCGAGAATCCATAGCTGAAGAACAGTTTTGCACGGTTTGTGCACTTTTTTGAGAGACTTTCAGAGACCGAAATGAGAACTTTTTGGGCTTTTTTGATGCTTTCGGGAGCGGTTTGGGGAGCCGAGATGAGAATCCCACTGTTTGTGCAAAAACCCGGGCGTGAACCGCGTTTGCCGCTAGCCACGGTGGTTTACGATAGCGAAACGAGTTTGTTGGATGTTACAGATGTCAGCGACTCGATTCCGGAAGATGCATATTGCGTGGGAGCACAAATGGCGGAAAACTATTATTCGTGTTTTTCTTATGTGAAGGTATGTTCTGGACGTGTGAGGGCCAGATGGAGTATGGCAATTCAGACACCGTCCTCTCTCATGTTACTTCTTCAACTATTCTTTTACTAACTTGCGCACTTCTTGCTTAAAGCTGAAATATCCACTGCATTACGATCTCTATCTCGATACAAAGAGCGATTCCCATCTGCTTTACAAGCTGTCTTTGAAGCCCAACCCACACGTATCTGGGATTGCGGGGACCATAAGAAGCGTCCAGGACGGACCGGAAGCTTCCCCAGCGAAACTACGCAGGATCACTAAGACTTACGAAGACAAGAAAAAGAGCGCTCAAATGGGAGCCTCCAGTGCCGCTTTCCAGGAAGACGTTGAAATCGATGACCGCACATTTTTGCAAAAGAATTGGAAATATCTGCTTATTGGCCTAGTACTGTACGCCGTTTCTACAGCCGGTAGTGGTCAGCAATGAGCCAGTGAGCGAGTGAGTGAGTGACTGAATAATTGAATGTCTGTCTTTTTCGAACGAAAACATGAAATTTACAGACAAAATCACAGGCTCTTTTCGACTGTGGTAATGATTATAAAAAGAGGAATTGCTAGGAATTGAACCAGCCACTATTAACGTCCGGTTTCTTGGATTACAACGGGCTAGATACGTTTTCAAAAGCCGTGTCCAGGCTTAACTCGATCGACGTCGTCCTGAACGAAACAGTGTCTAAATCATATATACATATACACATCCATATATATATATATATATATAACATAATAAAGGTATCAAACTGCCAGTTTGAACATCATCTTCAACAACAACTTGGTCAAAACGTTGTGGTAGATAACTGTCCATCTCTGATAGTAGCTAGCCGCTGAACTGTTTTCAATAGGATTTGAAAAAAAGACATGGAAAAGCTCGGGTTGTCCGGAAAACTGCCCTCTTTTGGACGGGCTACTCACAATGCAGCCCCAAATATGAGTGGTGTTGATATGACACCACGTCAATTGGCCGTAGCCAACTGTCCAAATAACGCATACGCTCTGGTAAATGTTGCAGCCGTCTCGGCCTCTGACTTCCCGGAAAACATTTACGTTTCGGTGAATAACTTGTTCATATTCACCACGAAGCACTCAAATGACATAGCACCAGGCGTTATTGGACTCAACGGTAACCAGAGAACATGGGGTGGGTGGTCACTAAACCAATCGGTTCAGGTGAAGCCCTTCGACCTCTTCAAGTACAGCGGAAAGCAACCGTATCTAGGAACTCTTGACGTGGAAATCAATTTCAGATCTAGAGGCAAAGCTGTGGATACGCAATTTGATCAAGACGATCTTGCCAAGCAGTTTTTGAAAAACTTCGAATCTCAGATCCTGTCCCCCACCCAATGTCTGATTTTCGAGTTCAAGGGCCATATTTTTGATCTCAAGGTCAAGGGAATTCAGACCATCGATTTGGGCGACGTAGAGATGGTGACGCCTGTCTCCACCAATATCCAGGCCAAAGGCATACTGATCAAACAAACGCAGATCAATTTTTACAAGGGAAGAGACGGCTTGGTGAATCTAAAGTCTAGCAACTCACTAAGACCAAGATCCGACGCGGTCATAAGACCTGACTTCAAATTCGAGGATTTGGGAGTCGGTGGTCTTGACAAAGAGTTTACAAAGATTTTCAGACGTGCGTTTGCCAGTAGAATTTTCCCACCCTCTGTTATAGAGAAGCTTGGTATATCGCATGTTAAGGGGCTTTTGCTCCACGGACCTCCAGGAACAGGTAAAACTTTGATTGCAAGAAAAATTGGGACGATGTTGAATGCAAGAGAACCAAAAATTGTCAATGGGCCTGAAATCTTGAGCAAATACGTGGGGTCTTCGGAAGAGAATATTCGTAACTTGTTCAAGGATGCAGAAGTGGAATACAAAGCCAAAGGTGAGGAGTCATCGCTACATATCATTATTTTCGATGAACTGGACTCCGTATTCAAGCAAAGAGGGTCTCGCGGTGATGGAACCGGAGTCGGTGACAATGTTGTCAACCAGCTCCTGGCTAAAATGGATGGTGTTGACCAACTTAACAACATTCTCGTTATCGGTATGACCAATCGTCGCGATCTAATCGACTCGGCATTGCTGCGTCCCGGGCGTTTTGAAGTGCAGGTCGAGATTCAATTGCCAGACGAGCAGGGAAGGCTGCAGATTTTGGAAATTCAGACCAAAAAAATGCGGGAAAACAATATGATGGCCCCGGATGTAGACCTGAAGGAGCTTGCAGCACTCACCAAAAACTTTTCTGGTGCCGAAATCGAAGGTTTGGTCAAGAGTGCAAGTTCATTTGCCATCAACAAGACGGTAAACATTGGTAAGGGCAGCACGAAGCTCAATCCCAAAGATATTGCAGCAATGAAGGTTACGATGCAGGAATTTCTGAGTGCATTGGAAGATGTGACTCCTGCATTTGGGATAAACGAGGAGGACTTGAAGACGTGCGTCGAAGGTGGCATTATTCGGTATTCGCCTCGGGTTGACGAGATTTTAAAAAATGGTGCTAGATATGTTCGTCAAGTTCGGGAAAGTGACAAATCCAGATTGGTATCCCTTTTGGTGCACGGCCCGGCCGGTTCCGGTAAGACTGCGCTTTCTGCAGCCATAGCCCTCAGGTCCGAATTCCCCTTCATCCGCTTGATCTCTGCAGATGAGATGGCCGGTATGTCTGAAAGTGCGAAGATATCCTACATTGACAATACATTTAGAGACGCCTATAAGTCTCCTTTGAATATTCTTGTTGTTGACTCACTCGAGACGCTTGTGGACTGGGTGCCAATTGGGCCCCGTTTTTCAAACAACATTTTGCAAACTTTGAAAGTGTATCTGAAGCGTAAGCCGCCTAGTGACCGCAGACTGCTAATCATATCTACCACGTCTGCCTATTCCGTTTTGCAGCAGATGGACGTGCTAAGCTGTTTCGACAATGAGATTGCTGTTCCTAACATCACCAACCTGGACGAGTTCAACAACGTCATGATAGAGTCAGAATTTTTGGATGATGCTGGAAGGGTTAAAGTCATCAACGAGTTCGCAAGGCTCAACATACAATTCAACGTGGGTATAAAGAAGGCTTTAACAAATATAGAGACCGCACGTTTCGACGACGACCCCGAAAGCGAGATTGTCGAGTTGATGGCACAGTCCGTTTGAAACATATTGCATCTTTAATCATACGGAGTCCTTCAATACATATCTTCCATTACCTCCATAAGAAAATACACACCCCTCCGGTTTCGAACACCTGAATGATATTTTTTGATTTCGATGTTCGTTGGTAGCTATAGTGAAAAATAATGCCTTCAAGAAAGATTGAAAATTTTAACTGAATGCCAACTCGATGAACTACTTCCTGTTAGGTCTAAAGTACTAGTCAAGACACTTTATCGAGCCAATCAACACTACCATGGCTCCTCCAGTGTTGCGTCCAGAGAATGCTCTGAAAAGAGCCGAAGAGTTGATCTCCGTGGGCGAACCACTCGCTGCTTTGCAATCGCTCTATTCGTATTTGTCGATGAGAAGGATTCGGTTTGCAGAGCCTCAGTCGTTAGAGCCCATTGTGTTCAAGTTCTTGGAACTTGGTGTGAACTTGAAGAGAGGCAAAATCATCAAGGATGGGTTGCATCAATACAAGAAGAATATGCAAGTGACACCCGAGGGTTTGAGCTCAGTGGGTGTTGTGTCACGTAAGTTTATCGACCTGATTGAAGCCAAGATGGCTGAAGAACAGACCAAGGCAGAAGAACTGGAGCAGAACGAGGCAGACGAGGATTTGGAAGGTGGTGTTACACCAGAAAACCTACTCATTTCTGCAGCTGAAGAAGAACAATCCGTTGCTGGTTTCAATGACGAAGCCATCACCTCGTGGTTGAGATTCACCTGGGAATCGTACCGTGCCGTTTTGGATCTGGTAAGAAACAACTCCCAATTGGAACTCACGTATTCCGGTGTCGTTAACAGAACCATGAACTTCTGCTTGAAGTACAACCGTAAGAACGAGTTCAAGAGATTGGCCGAAATGTTGCGTCAACATTTGGACTCTGCCAACTACCAACACAAACCTGCTGGAGGTCAACAGAGATATAACAACAGCAACAACTACACTGTGGATTTATCTGATGCCAGTACCCTGCAGAGATACTTGGAGCAGCGTTTTCAACAAGTCAACGTCTCCGTCAAGCTGGAATTGTGGCATGAGGCCTTCAGATCGATCGAGGATGTCCACCATTTGATGGCCATCTCCAAACGTGCTCCCAAGCCCCCAGTGCTTGCCAACTACTACGAGAACTTGGCCAAGATCTTTTTCGTGTCAGGAAACTATCTGCTTCACGCTGCTGCGTGGGAAAAATTCTACAAGCTGTATTTGAGCAACCCCAAGGCTACCAAGGCGGACTTCCAGTATTACTCCTCCACTTTCATGTTGGCCAGTTTGGCAATTCCAGCCGATGACCTCCCAGTGGTTGGATACGATCCATTGATTCGTTTGTGCAATTTATTGAGTTTGGAATCCAAGCCTACTAGACAACAGTTGATACTTGCTGCTACTGAGGAGTCGATCTTCTCTGAGGTTGAGGACGAAGTCAAGCAGCTTTACAACATTTTGGGCGACAAGTTTGACATCAACACTGTCAAAGACGAATTGACCAGATTGTTGCCATTGTTGGAAAAGAAGTCTTATTTCCCATCTTATGTTACGCCATTGAGGGATGTTATCATGAAAAAACTGTTCATTGGCATTTCTGAAGCTTACGAAACTATTCAATTCGATGAACTGATCTCGTTGACTACATTGCCCGGATTGTTCGGACTATCCAAGCTTGAAATCGAAAAGCTTTTGATGCAGGCTGCTATGGAAGACTATGTAACTTTCACCATCGATCACGAAACTGGCACTGTCACTTTCACTAAAGACCCATTTGAGGCTTTGACTGCAGTTCCTAGCACTGGAGCCACCCCCGCTGCTGAAGAGGAGGACCAAGAAGATATCGAGGAAACTGGTAACACCCAGGAGAGCGAAGAAACTGAGGCCGACAATGAAGCCGAAAATGAGCGCGAACCCGTGGTTACTCGTAACGCTGCTATTAGGGCTCATTTGAGTGACCTTGCAAAACTTCTAAAGGACGTTGAAGGTTTTGCCAATGGTTCTTATATGTACAAAGTCAAGGTTGCTCGTGAGAACTTGATCCAACAATCCAACGACACTATTGGTCGTGAACGTAAAGCTGCAGAGGAAAGGGCTAAACAGGTTGAAGAAAGAAAGAAGGCCGAATCTGGTAGACATCTAACAGCTGCGCAGGCTGCTGAAGAACGTATGAGACGTATGGCGGAAGAAAAGGCCGCTGCTGACATCAGAATGGAAAGCGAAATGAAGCGCCGTGCTGAAGAAAAGTTGGAGCGTGAAAAGGCTTTGGTAAGAGAAGCTGAGATGATCAAGATGATCGAAGAGGTCAACGCCAAGGGAATCATTCACATTGATCCAAAGGAAGCCAAGACTTTGACTGCCGAAGACGTGAGAAGAATGACGATCGAGCAATTGTCCAAGGACAAGAAGGACTTGGAAGAGCGCATGAAATACGCTTTCAAGAGGATCGACCACACCGAAAGAGCTTTGAGAAAGGTGGAACTACCAGCTTTGGAGAAAGATGCCGAAAACCAAGAGTCCAGAGATTTGGAGAACTATGAAAAGACGAGGGCCAAGCTCACAGACGCCGCCAAGAAGGAGCACGCAGAGAACGTCAAGCTACATGAACGTCTATTGAAGATTAATGCGGACTACCAAAAGTTCAAGTCTGACCTCGTGTCAACGAGAGGTGAAGAACTAGCGAAGGCGCGTGCCGAGAAAGCTGCCAAATTCGAAGCTGCCAAGAAGGCCCGTATTGAACAAGTTCGCAAGCAGCGTTACGACGAGTTGGTTGCAGAGAGAGAAGCGGAACTCAAGGCCAAGCAAGAATCGGAGCGTGCAGAGAAGGAGCGCGAAGAACGGATCAGAATCAACAAGGAGAAGGAGGACATGTACGCGAAGCAAAGAGAAAGAGAAGAGGCCATTGAAAAGCAGCTTCAAGCCAAAAACGCTAACGGTGGAGCACAAGCCCCTGCTGCCGTGTCTACTGCATCTCTATCTTATGCTGAGAGAATGAAATTGAAAAGACAAGGTGTGCCCGTACCTGAGGACGCACCAGCTGCCAGAACCCCAGCACCAGCTGCTGCTAGAGCCCCAGCCCCAGTTGCTGCCAGAACTCCAGCACCAGCACCAGCACCAGCACCAGCGCCTGCATCTCCCCAACCTCCTGCCGAGGGCAAGGAATTGTCTTTTGCCGAGAAGATGAAACTCAAAAGAGCCCAGAGGTAAGAACTGTTTGCGGAGAGTAGACTTAACTTAGTAGATGTAAAATATAAAGACTACAGCACAGTTATCTAACAAGAACAAGTGGAGAATCGGCATTGACCGGGGGACGCCTCATCATATTTAATGGTGAAGCACGAGCTCTGTAGATCTTTCAAGCTGAAGTTTATGAAATAGACGAAAAAGGCTTATTTTACTTTGAACCCCAGAAGGCATTACGTTAAGGTGTCAACTCTAGCGCTTAATGCTGAATTACATGCTGGTTTAAGCATCATGGTCAGAACACAGGCTTAACAGATATGAAGTATGATAGTGCACATGTCGAGCCCAAGACGTGCGAGACTTGCCCTGTGGTCGGTCCAGCAGAATTCGGGTACTTTTCAGGTTGCCGATCTTTTCCAAAACGGGTTTCAAAGCGTGTTTTAATCTATGCGAAACAGATCCCATATGGATTCTTTATCTTTGCCTCAAGATAACTATAGACGGTTATATCACGTGCTAGTTTCTTTTTTATCTTTGTTTAAGATCATGCATTTTTACGTATTAGATGATACCTAGCTGAACATCACGTCAAACGTACCCGTCCCGTGACATTTATTTTTTTATCTTACTTTTTCGTTTTATCCTTCTGTACGACATCCATGCATGTGACAAGCATGCGCCTCCGTCCCCAGACGAAAACATCACCAAATTTCACACAGTATGTTATGGTAAAGATCGTCAATTTATAGAAATCTGTATAAGTGGGTAAGACTTTGACAGATTTAAGCCAAACTTAGCCAAGTTGACCACACTTGATACTGATTTTTCTTGAAATTGGAACCAGCAGCAATACCAGACACAATGAGCACTTTTTTTGACGAAATGAAGGCTTCTTTTGAAGACGTCCCTGTGGACGCTTCCAACAAGATTGACACGACGAGTTTCTTGGAAGCTTCTGAATCACTAGTGAAATTGTTCGATCTGTTGGGAAATTCAGCTTTCACAGTGGTGCAGAAGGACTTGACGGGCAATATCACCAAGATTCGCAAGAGATACACGGCTGCTACAGCAGAATCGACTACTTTACAGGACCTAGTTGTAAACGAGCGTGGATCGGGCCATAAAAGTGCGTCTGAAGGTTTGTTATGGCTTAACAGAGGTTTGCAATTTACGGCCCAGGCCCTACGCGAGACCATGGACAACCCTGAATTGGAATTGACCAAGACTTTCACCGACGCTTACAACAAGACTTTGACCAAATACCACGGTATGCTGATAAGACCGGTTTTCAAGCTTGCCATGAAAGCGTGTCCTTACAGAAAAGACTTTTTTGCAAAGTTGGGAGCAGACCAAGAGAAGGTCAATACACAACTGTTGGCTTGGCTGGCAGCCTTGGAGAAGATCGTGGCTATCTTGCTCGACTTCTTGAATACCACTTGCAAAGATTTATAGATTAGCGCCGCCGCGTGATATCATCGATTGAGCTTTATCAGAGGATATATATATTTTTCGTGGACGCATACTTCCTAAGAAGTTCTAGCCAGCAAAGGCAGCCGTTTTAAAAAAGACGTCAGTTTTTAAAGAACAAACAAACAAATACCACCATCCCGCCAACCTAGCAACCAGAACTAGAACGAAAACTTGTAGAGCACTTTTCACTATTTTATCACAAAAACGGGTTGGAAAGTTTATTAACTAAAAATTTATTAAAAAATGGAAATCCTAGCAGGACAGGTTCGACACTCCAGGCCTTCATTGTCTAAAAAGCTCCAGGCTGCAAATGAAGATGTGAATCTGTGACTGTAAGGTGATGAGTGCAGGAAGCACAATTCGAGCTCCATAATGTCATGAGAAACTGAAAGAATATACCGTTCATGTTTATAACGGTTGGAACAATAACGTTGGAAATGGATCGAGAGAAAGAAAGGAAAAAAAAAGGAAATTAAGTACAGTTCAAAACCAGCGCTGGAAGTTCACTGCGTATTTCAAAACTGAAGCGATGATGAGATCAAGCCTTGGGAACAATTCATCATGGAATAGTGGGAAGAAACGGTAAAGTCTTCGGTAATATTTTATAGTAACTTTTTTATTTTCTTCTTGATTGTTGTTTGAGTCATGAAGATTGTTGCTCTTCATCGGCTACACTTTGTTGTAACATTCTCTTTATGTTTACAATAGGGCAACGGCAACAGCAGCAACGGCACCCATGAAAGAGGAGGCAGGAACAACTTGACCAGCAGCAGCACCCTTGGATTTGGAAGAGCTGGAAGATTTGGTGGCAGTGGCAGAAGCGCTACCGGAAGAACCGGAAGAGCTTGAGTCGTCGCTGTCAGAGGCGGTGGAAGAACCGGAAGTAGAAGACAACTTGATAGAAGTAGAAGTAGCACCGTTCTTGCAAACGAAAGCGTCACCTTGGATACCACCGTTCTTTTGCAACTTCTTCAAAGCGTCACAGGTGTAGTTGGAAGACTTGGTCTCGACATCACTACCACCCTTAACGGACTTCAAAGAGCTCAAGTCCAAGTCGGAAAAGTTACCGATAACGTTCAAAGCGGAACCAACGGTCTTCAAATTGCTGAAACCGTCGATTTGGACCAATTTGGTGTTGTTGGCAATGAGCAAAGCACCACCAATTTGGGTCAAGTTGCTGAAGTTGGCTTCGGTCAACTCTTCGTTACCGATAATACTCAAGGCACCACCGACGGAGCCCAAAGTTGATAGGTTCAAGCCCTCGATAGAGTTCTCGATGAATCCCAAAGAAGCGTTGACGGATTGCAACTTTCCTAGAGAGATGGAGCTGACGTTGCTCACGGTGATGTTGTTGGCCCACAACAAGCTGTCGAACTTGACATTGGCATCTTGACCGTTGTAGCTGACTTGCAAAGCGTCGGAAACCGATTGCAATTGAGAGTTGATTTTTGACAAACCTCTGTTGTTGTTAACGTTGAAAACGCTCACTTTTTCAAGGTTGTTGAAACCGTCGATCGACTCTAGGTTGGTGTCTGAGACGAGCAACTGGTCGACGGTCTTCAAGTTGGTAGCGACGGAGCTGATGGCTGGCAAAGTGACAAACTCGATGGAGTTAACTTCTTGCAACGCACCGAACGAAGCAGACTCAAGCAAAGTCAAGTACTTCATCTCTAGAGAGCCGGAGATCTTGCTGAGCTTGTCGGCGGAGAAGGATTGCAATTTGGTTGCGTTGAACACGGAGAGCGACCCGTCGATCTCCTGCACGTTGGCGAGCGCAGCGGAACCGGTTAGCGATTGTCCGCTGATGGTTAGGTCACCGACCAAAGTTTGGCATCCGGCGTACTTGTCCAAGTCGGCTTGGGCGGTGACGGAGGCACCGCTCTTGATGGAACAAGACGATGGGACGTTGGAAGTGGAGTCTTAGAATGAAGTTGAAAGTTAGTATTTTAGGTTCTTTATCGAGAAAAGAAGATGAGGCAGTAACCAACCACCCAGACACCGCACCAAAATGACGGGTGTCTGGGTGTGCGCGTTGGTGTGTCTTCTTCACCGCGTCGTCACGTGACATACTGGCTGCCAAGGCAGTAGCACTAAGTAGTGCTCCAGAGGCAAGAGCTGAACTGAGTTGCATAGCGAGTGAATGTGTAACAAAGGAAGTTTGCTGAGGCGAGAGCTAGTGTGAAATAAAGAAAACTTGGATGCTGGTCTGGGAAAATATGAGATAACCTCCAAATTTATACGCTTCGCTAGCCACTGTGGGGGTGTTTGTTTTGTGGATCGAGAAATCAGATTATTTCGCATCTTTAAATACTCGTTCGGCTCGGAGCGAAAAAAAATTTTCTGCCGTGGCTTGCGACCTGTGTTTACAGTTGAATCGAAACAAGACGATTTTGGCAGTTTCCGGATTAGGAAATGGCGAGTACTGAGAAGGCAAAAGCGAAAGCGGAAGCGAGTACATGGATGTCACGTGACCATATGGGAAATCTAATCAGAATCGATAGAGTTTGGTTGTAGAGGCTTAGGGTAGACGGTAGTATTGGTTGATTGAGAGAGAGAGGGGGATTTTGTGGGCTTAGATGATAAGACAATACACTGGAATGAGATCGATTACAGAAAGAACTGAGTTTAGAACCCGAAGGGCATGGGTCACGTGAGCACGTGGTAAAATGATTACTCCAAACCCACTCACAAGGAATAAGGTACAAGCGCGGGTTTACCCATGGAAAGGTGGTTACAGCTCTAGTGCAAGCTTTAAAAGCTGGATAATTCTCACTTTCACCTACTCAGCGCGTCCTGACGCGCCGTTTTGTCACACCACATTATTTTCCAAACTCATGCTGTACTATTAAACGGTAAATAGACTACAACAGCACCGTTCCGAGTACTGAAGTACTCATGAAGGGCAGCGTGAGACTTTGGGTCTCGAGCCATCATGTAAACAAAACAGCGAAAACACCGAGAGAAAATGGCGTTCGATGGAACGTTTTTTACAAGCATCAGACTCCGAGGATAAAGTTTTATTCTTTCACTACTTCAAGGGTAAAGTTAAGGTTTTTTGAAGCTCGAAAAACACACACACACATCACAAGAAACTCGTGTATTCGTCAAGCGAAACCCTCAATAATGTCGACCGTTCCCGTCCCTGGTCCGTTTGATAATCTCGTAGCCACCGTCATCACACTTTCGCGTGTAAAAGAGTGAAACCGAAACCACTTGAAGGTGTCACACTAGACGAGGAGAACGACACGATATGAAAAGGTGACAAACTTCAAAGAGAGCCAACCAGCCACAAGCATCTTTTGAGAGTTTGCTTAAAATCGCAGACAATTTCTCAAACAATGCGTTTCATTAACAGATGCCGAACAAGCGTCCAAGGAGGCTGTGTTTGTTGTTGTTGTTGTTGTTGTTGTTTACATCGACGAAACCTCTTGTGCCTCTGAAATTAGTCTTTTCTTGGTAAAAAACGGTTGTTCGCGAGTACGCGCAGATATCCGGCTATCACGCTTTTGGCTGGACTTGTTACGACCCTGTTTCGAAGAAAAACAACGCAACGCAACGCAACGCAACGCAGATCAACACACATTACGGAAACACCGGATTCTTTTTTCACGTTCTTTGGCGAATGAGGTTGCCAGTGCACGAGCACGTGACCGTTCTTTATTTTATGGCATTTTGTTATATGGAAGACTATTTCGAATGTTAAGGTCGAGAAGGTTTGCCAAGTTTGACCGTGAATGGCAGGCAGGCCTTGGTACGCGAAGTTTTACGTCGAACTTCTATCATTCCAGCAACCAAAACTCCGCTAAAGATGAGTGAGTGGAATTACCTTAGGAATTAGCACTGCCGCTCCCGACTTCGCTCCCCTCTTTTTCATATTACATCGTATTACTGTTGTCATACACAAAATACATGCGCTAGCGCTTTTTTTCCTAATTATTATTAGTTCACGTAATCGGTACAAAAAGAACATCCGTGGGCTTTAGTGAAAAAAAAGCATTGTGTGGTTTTCACCACGCAACCTTTTTAGGCCCCTTGCAAATGCCTTGCGAGTTTACATCAACAAGGCAATGGCACCGGCAACAGCGGCACCGGCAGCGGTGTAACCAACAGCGTTGGAACCGGCAGCTGGGGCAGCGTTAGAGGAAGAACCGTTGGACGAGTTGGCGGCGTTGACAGCGACGAAAGCAGAGGCAGCAGCGATAACAGTAGAGAACTTCATTTCTGATAGATTGTATGTGTAGTTTTTGGGTTTTGGTCGATACTTTTTCTTCGATATCCTAGAAAGTAATATCTAACACAAATGTAGCACATACTCATGTCTGTAACTGTCAAGACCTCGCCCCTTTTATACTCGAAAAATTTAAATCCCCTATGGGGTTCTCTCTGTCTTGTCATAATCTGCGCCTCTTCTTCTGTGTTGCCCCCTTATTGCTATAAAAAGGAGCCACATGCTCACACGGACCCGCACACCACCACTTGAAAGATGGGTTTGGGCTATTATTATTACTACCGTAAGCGACAGTTCAAGAGCCTAGCCCCGAAATGGGTTATCGGCCCGCAAATTACGAACACAAAAGTCGCCAAGGCTCAGAAACGGCCGCACAAACTGGACGCCAAAATAGTCCTTTCTAGAGGTCCTTCTAAATAAACTCAATTCGAACCAGCCCAGCCCAGCCCAGCTGAGTAGCCCAGCTTACTTAGTTGACCTTTACAGAGTCACAAACCCCGTGGGTAGAAAGAAACGCAAGTCTCTAGCAAAGCGATAAGGGCGAGATGCCGCTATATGGCTTAGAATAGCCGAGAGACCAACAAGGGCAATAAACAGACTACCGTAAAGGGAAGGGCAATTATAGCGTTAATGGTAGTGTTAGTGGTGATAGAGGTGGTTTACATAGTGTAAAGAACGGTTTACGGGTTGAGCAATGCTGGTTTTTAGTGTGCTAAAGCAATGAAGACGTGGTTTTTTTTTTCACGCGTGAGGAAATAAACGCGTCAAGCAGACGTGTGAAGCAGAGATGTGAAGTTCGATGCGTTTTAGAAAGATCCGGAGGGAGGGAGGGTTTTTGGAATAGTTGGGTTTGCTGTTGTAGAGTGGTTTGTTTGCTGTAGATGGCTATTATTATTATTATTATGCTGCTAGGCGGTAGATGAGTGAGTAACTGCGCAGAGGGGCTGGGGGGCTTTGCCCTAATGCGGTATAGATGACGTAATGGGGTTTTTTAAAGAGAGACTGAGGTCACGTGGCTTGCGTACGTAAGCTAAAGAAGGAGAGGGGAGGGGAAGAAGTTTTTTATTTCTTTTTTTCTGGAGGAGCGGGCCAATCCAAAAAAGAAAACCTGTTGCTTACGTAATGTAAAGAGTAAGGGGTTTGCTGGATGTGTGGGTGTACCGAATGTGTGGGTGCTCGATGGTCATTGTAGACGAGTCACAGTACCTACAGGGAGAATCCCCCCCCTGCAGAGCTCGTATTCAAAACCCTTTTCTTCACTAATCTCAGATCAGTATCTGTACTCGTCCACTCCACGGGATTGCTTTGTGGGCATATCTAAGCATTTCATTCGGATTCCAGCCACCCAGTCACCCAGCACTTCACTCGGATTCGTGCCCAATTTTTTGAACGTCTTATCATCTTGTACTAAATAATTCCGATCATTAAGCATTTTAAACGAATGTACTCTCACACACTTTCGTGATTCGTCCCCAGTCCTGTTCCTACGTTTTGTAATACATCATTGCACACGCCCCCCCCCCAAGTAAAAGTTTTGTCAAATATTCAGACAATCAAGAGCGGCTCCTGGTGCATTTCCCATATGTATCACTACATACGAAAAATATGGTTCCCTCGCTATCCACGGACGTCTATATTTACCACTAGTTTTGTATACGCTACCATGTTTGCCACTTCTTGTGAAACTCTGAGGGGTCATAATACGAAACGCGTTGCATTTTTATGAACTTGAAAATCACAGTTGGCGTCTCTTGCCCCACCCCCCTCGTAAGAAAACCACTTCTCTTGTGACTCTTGAAGTTGAAGTTTTATCAGTCGCTGACGCTGACACCAATCACGTGATCCCAGAAAAAAATCATTCGATTGGGATTCTGACGCTAGATCTGACACGATTATTGTATCTTTTCTAAACTCTATGTATGCAAGTTTAAGAGATCTTCAAACACCCCTACGCTCAGAGCCAAATATGCAAATCGCGTGGATTTTTCTTAATAATTACACTGCACGCAATCGAACCTTACTCGCACAGCGTCCCTCTGTACGACAAGCGTTCATGCCCGAGTTCTAAAACTTGACTATTTAATTTCCATATCAATGACTTTGATATCCAATATCTTGTCACCTTGTTCACAAATTTCCGAGACCTCTTTTGCGGGACATGAGCATAGATGCTGCTGGTACTGTGACGCTGTCGTCAGTGCACGTGATTTGCGGTGTTTCTCCAACATAATAGCTTTAAAATGGCAAGGTAGTAGGCTCTCCCCACCAACAATCCGACTTTCCTACTCTGCAGCAACATCTTTCTTATCTTTCCATCATTCAAGACATCTTATAAGCTAAACACTAAAATCATAGACAAGCATTCCTAATCATTAAGTATAGCTCATGCTAATGTTCATCATGTCACAGACCCTAACTAACAGGTACCCCTGTAGTTCTTCTTTTTCCTCTTGTCATGCTGTACTTGCTCCTCTTCCGAGCTTTCTGGAGCAGCCAGGGTCAACAACATCTTGTAAATCGCATCTTTCTTCTCGTCCGTGGATTGGAACTCAGGTATACTCTCGTAACAAGTAATGAGCTTTTCCATTGCCAAATAAATGTGATGAATGAACAGCTGAATCAAGTCAAGACTCATTTCTGACCTAAAAACCACTCTTAAAACCTCCCATTTGTCACTACCGTCCGTTGACGCGGGCAAAGGATAATTCGGCACTATCCAGCCTTTGCCCCTCAACAAAGACGACAGCATGGCCTGTGGAATTTCCGGATATTTCTCGTGGAATTGCTTGGACAACTTGAAAGCGACCAGAGGAACACCAGGTTTGTAAAGCTCCGGATTTTTCAAGCAGTCACCCAAGGTGGCTTTGCTACCGTCGAGCCTCTCATGTACATTACTGATAACTTCGAAGTTGCCCTTAAGCTCGTCACTTTCCAAAAGTGCCAAACTGAATAGTCTTGCGGAGAAAAGCGACGTTTCAAACAATTTTTTGTAGCCTTTCATACCGAGATTCAAGAAATTGTAATACTGGTGTATAACCTGGAATCCCGGTCTTGAAAAGTTGAGATTGAAGGTTTCTTCAACGCCTCCCAAATATGAAAGTTTGAACCTCAGCTCCGGTAGCAGGTACTCATTTTCTTTCCACAAGATCCAGCCAAGACCTGCAGTGGTTAAACCGAACTTGTGACCCGAGGTATTGATACTCACCACACGAGGGTGGTTGAACCCCCACCTGCCCAAGTTATAACTGTTCATTTGCTCCTGGGTGAAAGCAAATGGGACCACAAACCCACCAGAGGCACCATCAACGTGAATGGGAATGCTGATGTTACTCCAGCCGGGGTTCTGCTTCTCAATCTGCGTCAGAGAGTCTGCAACTTCTTCAACGTTTTCTAAATGGCCCGTGAAAGTTGTGCCCAGAATGACAAACACACCAATGGTGTTTTCGTCTACGTAATCCCACAGTTTTTTGGGGTCCAAATGATGGCCCGATTCGTGAGAAACGGGGACCAAACGGCATTCCACGTCAAAGTAGCGTGCAAACTTCTCTAAAGCCACCTGGGCGGCGGTCGACATGATGATATTGGGCTTGTCGGTTGGTTTGCCCGCCGATTTCATGCGTTTTTCCCATTGTCTTTTCATGGCCAGTCCGCCCAGCATGATGGCTTCACTGGACCCGGTCGTGGCGCAACCTAGCGGTTCTTTGGCCGGGTCTGCCTTCCACAGCTGCGACAACATCGAAATGCACCGCTGTGTAATTTCAATCAGCTGTGGATACTCATCGTTGTCAGCCAAGTTTTTGGCCACATTTTCCTGAATCAATCTGCGCGCTACGTCGCTTGCAGAAGTGTTGACGAAACTGGCGAGATTCAAGTGTGGGTTTCCATCCAGCGTCAGTTCATTGTGCACCAGTTGATAAGCCGTATCCGATGGCACGCCCGATTGTGGGATTGTATAATGATTGTGTAGAATGCTGTGGCTGTTGGGGTCCTTAAAGTCGCCGTCAAGTGCCACTTTCTGCAGATCTTCTGGCAATAGCTTGTAGCTGTTTGAGACTGCATGTTTGCCGCTGCCGTCACGGCTCTGGTGGTTTCCACCCGTGGTCTGCAAAGTGTGTTTATGTAGCATCTTGACCGTTTATAGAAAAATGCCAAGACTTTTGATACCTAACTAAATATATATTAGATGATTGTCTGAGTGACTGCTATGAGATCAGCAAAGTAAGCAAAGACGATCTAACTTCTGGGCTTTTCCGGCCCCTTTTTATACTCAAAACTCCGGGTTTGCATTCTTACAAAATTGCCGTGGAAGAGTCGCGTCGTCTGATTGGGCTTCCGTTGTACTCGCGTAGTAGCAATACTTCAATTTTTTGACTAAAAGGTTCATTCAGCTCATTATTTGTTTAAATAAGGTAATTTTGTTGATGACGATATGAATACAGAGAGATAACAGAATACGAGAAAATCAAATTGTTAAAAAAACACAGCACGTGACATACGTACATAGCGAGTATTACGTAATGATACGAATTAATTAGGGGAGACAGAAGGATTAAAAAAACCACACCCAAACACCACACTGGAAAAATAGGCACAATCTCTCGAGGTGGTGAGTAACGTATTCGAATTGGTCTTTTTTTTTCTTTCCGAGTGTAGATACACAATTTTTCAATTGATGCGCTCAAATCTCAGATACAAAAGGTGATAATCATCCAAGTCGTAAACAATCTTGTCCTGGCAAACATAATTGGCAAGCATCCCGGTAAGTTTGCTGAGCTTGACAAAGTTGTCGTTTTGTACGTGGCGCGAAAAGAAGGTCAAACAAAAATCGGAAGGTTGGAATATGGCCAATACCCGCTGCATAACGGTGACATTGTCCTGTGTTTCTTGCGAAATCTCACGAACCGGAACGTTGCTCTCAAAAGATGCATACGACCAGCCATCCTCCGGGGTCACGTGCAACGTATAGTAGTATTCGTGGTCCAACGTGATGTTAGCAGAGTATCCACATGGAGTGAATGCAAATGCATCCTGTTGGAAATCGGCCTGTTGAACGTTATCATAGACCCGGTCTAGCCCCGTGGCTCGTGTCACTTCCGCGCCCAAAACATGGCCTTCGTCCTCCCCGTCGCCTTCCACGAAATGGCCGGGTTCTCGAGACGTCACAAATTGGGAAGCCTTTCCTGGACGTAGCCCTGTCATGAGCATTTCCAAAGTTTCATCGTCATCATTGGCTTCTGGTCCTCCCTTTACACGCGCTTTTTCCAGCCCACGGTTGGTTTCCGTCACATACAAATTCCAGTGGCTTGCCTGGCCCAAACGACCAACCAGATAGCTCTTCCCATTGGCGAAAAACTTGTCCAAGTACTGCGTTTCGTCATCCCAATTGCGGTGAATGCCCTGCTGCCTCTTTGGGAACATGAAGCAGCGTCTCGAGTAAAACACTTTGTAAGGGTTCAATTTGTCCTCCAACGAGAAGTTCCAGCCAATACAGTCCCTCACTGTACGGAAGAGCTCCTCCAAACACGAAAGCGTGGTCGTGGTACCACACGTCTTGAGCGTGAGCTTGTGATCAAAGACAAATAGCGACGATTCGCTTAGCAAAAACGCATTCATTTTGTCGGTCTGTTTGATAGACAAGACTTGGCATTTCACCAATTTCAACAGGTTCACCCAAGTGCTGAAATCAATGGACCGCAGAGTTTTGTTTTCGTCGGGCACGGAACTTGCATTTCCGTAGAACCAAATCTCCAAAAGCTTTTCAGGACCCTCGAACGCGTCAGTGGAGTCCAGATTGGCGGAAAGTTCGCGATCAACATACGAATGGTGGTCGACTTCGTTGAAAAAAACTGTCATGGGCGAAAAGAGTCCAAGTAGGGTGGGATGGGATGGTTCTTATTTTTATTTTTTTTTAGGTTTCTGCGGTTTTTGGATCAATCAGTTCTTTTCCAAAAAAAATTGGGTACAAGTTAGTTTTTACCGCTGAAAGATGTTATCGTGGTTTAGCTGGTCTGTTGTAGAGGAATGATACGTCCTCTCCTGGCATAAAGTGGATGCTTTTAAAATAAAAGTTGTTTAACTGCGACAAAAGTGCTGGGAGTATATTTGAAAAGAGTTGTGGTTATACAGCTGACGGTGAAAATTAGCTGATTAGAAGCTAAAGTCTTTTCTTAACAGTTGGGAAACTGTTCAAACTGCCTGTTTTATGCTCAATGGCTTTTTTCTTTGGTTCTTTCCTGAGATGAGATGAGATGAGATGAGATGAGATGAGATGAGATTTGCATTTACTCAAGTTTTTTTTCTTTCACATATCGAAATTATTATACAAAGGAGTGGAACTTGATCAAATATCGACGACACGAAATTTGCATGTGCAAGCAAAGCGGAAATCAAGCAATCGATAGAACCCCAGCAAAATAAAAAAGATCAGCTAGGCTGGTGTTTATTTTCGATTTGGGTCAGATCGCTATTTCTATGATTTTTCAGTAGATTTTGAATATAAATTTTTAAAATTCAGCAATTGAGTGGTAGCTAATAAATAAGCTTCGCTCTTAGAAAGAACAATTCGTTTGCAAGATGAAAATGATGGTGTGTTTTACATTACAATTCAAGCCTTTTAAGTAAGATGTCCCCCGAGTATGAAACTGCAAGCTATCACGGTAATTTTCAATAGATGAGCGATTAGACGGGGAATTCAATATATGATTCGATCGGTGAAAACGGAATAAACTAGCAAAGAGAACGCACAAAGCCCGAGTGAGCGATTCTAAGTATCAGGAGTCAAAACAGAACATGTGGCTTTATTTGGTGCAGACAGATCAACATGGTCCACAGCATTAGCCCACTAGGGAAACCAGTGATAATCAAAGAAGGAAACACGAGATATGTTCAAAAGAAGCGCAGGGTCGATCAGTGAGTATCTAGCAAAACCCTATCATGCTCTCTCGTTGCTCAAGAAGCACAAGTAAGAAGCTGATCATTGACGAACGGGAAACACGGCAAAGTTTGACAGAAAAAGAGGCGCGTCGCAAACGTTGCGCAGATAAAGCTCTCGACTCAAAACGACAAAAACCACTTACACGTACGATCCAAACAACGCTGCCGTCATACTATATGGAAGTGAAACGTATGAAAACGGCTGCGAAGCTCGAACCACCCGGCGACGAAATACTCGTCAGTTGGGCATGCACGGCTCACGATTCTCGCATATTTTGATAAAAGAAACAACACCCATGCTTGTTTGCCAAACACCCAATCTCTTTTCACCGAATTGATATTCGCACAACATCGATCGCGCAACACTCAAACTTCTTGCACACAGGGCCACATAAAAACCACACATAAAACCGACCCACTTCGCACGCAACTTCAAACCTAATGAATCCCACAGTTGACCCCCATTTCCCAGTGTTAAATAGCTAAATTTGTGAGACGCAATTGAGAGAGTTCACATTGAAAAAAGTCTCCATCATAAAACAACATTTAACGCTCTGCTGAGAGACCAAAAACATCAACAAACCGTCCACATTGGACTTTTGAGTAATCGTCACTCCTACTAGCCCGTCAAACCAACCAGCGATCAATGGTTTTATTTTAAAATCAACAAAAGTGTATGAGATGAAGTAACTTTTGATAAATTTGTTCAACTTTATATACAATTTTTCAAATATGCACATGATGGGTCAATATTTTCAATCAGCCGTCAAAGTATATAAACTAGGGCTTTCTGATCTCAGTACTCCAAGTTATAGCGGGATTCAATGGCTAGCTCTGCTGCAATACAGGAACACACGGCGTATGTTGGCAACATCTCACCCGAGGTGCCCAAAGAGCTGATTTATGAGCTTTTCCTACAAGTTTGTCCCGTTAAAAGCATTCGATATCCTAGGGACAGAGTCTTGGACACTTACCAGGGATTTGCATTTGTAGAATTTTATGGTGTAGAAGACGTTGAATATGCGTGTAAATGCCTGAACAATGGGGTGAAGTTGTTTGGACGGACTCTGAAAGTTCGGAAAGCCAATGGAGCGTCCAGTGCTTCTGGCGCAGCGGACAGTGCAAACCAACTGGACGCCAAATGCGGAGGAGCCAAGCTGTTTGTGAAAAATCTTGATGAACTTGTGGATGCACAGACCTTAGGAAAGATATTCGGCAAGTTTGGGCCTCTTGCTAGCCCGCCAGAGATCTTTAGTCTGAAGCAGAATCAGCTGCGATGCGCCTACATATATTTCTCCACTTTTGAGCATTCGGATAAGGCGCTTGCCAAGCTCAACAATCAGATGGTCATGAATAAAGTTATCAATGTGGATTATGCCTTGAAAGAAGGCAGCAGAAATGAGAAGCATGGCGACGAAATTGAAAGACTGCTCGATGCAGAAGCAGCCAAAAACAGAACGACGACCCTGCCAGCCTGAAAGTTCGAATACCGAATTTCCCCAAGGAAAACCTGAGAGGTGCAAGACAGTGACTTGTCTCCACGCTGTGTTCTCCACGCTATGGTTCGCACACTTTTTTGGAATCCCAAAAGTCCTTATAAATGGAATTCCAAATTTTGCACATTTCTGCTTCATCAGCATCGTCTCCATCAGAATGGCACTGCAGTTGATCAAAACTATTATAGTACCACGGCTTGCTTATTACTGACTCAGAATAATGGATGTATTTTGACTTGCCTATCAGAAATTGCAATGACTGTTGCTCAGGAGTGCGTGAGTTCTCATACCCTAGAATTTCGTGATCCAAGAGTTCGCGATGAAAACTGTTACGGATTGAGCTAGTGAGGAGACCGTATTCGCCGAATGGCAGTGCCATTACCTCGGGGACAAACGCGGCCTTCAACTTCCGAAATAGCATGAACTGAGAGTGGACAATCTGCTTCAAATTGTATAATTCTGCATTAATCAGTTCCGTATCATACCGCCCCTTCTCATTCAATATTTTGGGAAGGAGGTAATCAACAATGTATTCGAATCGCTTAGCGCTTGGTTTTATGACCATCAAATTGGGATTAAATCCTATCTTGGACGTTTCCTCTCGAAGTCCAAAATTGAATATAGGTGACGCAGACGACCTTGTGTCCAGAATTTCCTTGGCAATGTTGGCAGTGTGAAAGCAAAGTGAATTGGGAACACTTGGAAGATGGTTATAGATTGGCTGCTGCTTTTTCACTCTGGAGTTGAGAACGCTGATTACGTTTTCAAGCTTGGCGTTCTTTTTCTCATTTGCTCGTATCTCTTCGCTTGCCGCTTGATAATCATCTCTCGACAAAGACCAGTACGTGAGCGGCGCGGCAAATTGCACATATGGTGGAAGGAAAAACAATTCATCCATGCTGTTTGATACCTGTGCGTCACTATCCAAGTATACAACGCGCTCATATTCGGTCTGGTTGAAGACAAGCATCTTTGTCAAGCTTTTGCTCCACGGTGTTAGATCAGTAGGTTTCACAATACTGTCTACAACTTTAACCACAACCTGCTGTGGGGATACTTGGACTATCTTGTCGAGAAGTAGTTTCGAACTTTGCTGTTTTTCACTATTTTCCGACTCTAACATGTCCCTTGATACCAACGCCACCAGTTTGGCTCTTGTATTCAGATTTTTAAGTTTTCTGAACAGCACCAACGTGTTACACAAGTATTCTGGATCTGTAGCGTAGTTCACGTATGCATAGCTATCCCACTTCACTGCTTTCTGTGGGTCACCAGCTTCTTCCGCTAACCGAGCTTCTTGCAATGCGCTGAGAGTTTCATACGGGATTTGCTTAATACTCAACGGATCATAAACGCCGTTGAGAGTATCTTTGTGATTCTTAAAGAACGTTTTGTAGTGGTCAATCTCTTTCCCCAGCTGGAATTGAACTATTACACGCGCTGTAATCGATGAGAGTAATATTATTCCGACCACTAATACCACTATCCTCAGTCTTCTCTTGGAGACAAAGGGCATCTTTGATTAGCTAGAGAGCAGCAAAGTTAGTATAATTGTATCTTTGAACCTATCCAACCTAGCCTCAGTTCAGCTTCGTCGTTTTAACCTTTCAACTTGTTTAAACCTTGAGAAATAACGAATTCGCAGATCAATATAACTAAATCAAGATCAGAAGTAACAAAACTAAACATTTGGCAATATTTCACCTTGATGAAACTTTGACTGTGTGCGCGATACACATTTGCATGTAGAGTCGATTGAGCCTTTGGTTAGGGCTTTCAGAGCGATGAACGATGATTGAAGGCTAACTTTATATATAATCTATATTCTTACAATCCAGCCGCCTGTATATTACACTTTATTCGCATTGCAAGTCCTTTGATGGAAATCGGTTACCTCCTGAATGGTATTTCACTCCGACACAAGGGACATGTGTTGTTACCAGAAGAACGGAACCATTTATATAGACACGCGCCGTGGAACCGGTTTTTACAAGTGGGACATACTTTGGTGGGTAACTTGCGGTCCACAGCATGCAAAATAGAGTAGCAGATAGCACACTCTTCGAAACCGGCAAAATGCAAGTTCACGTTTTTGGTGAATAGCTCGAGTGAATCCATGACAGAACCATTCATGCCAACCATGACTCGCTGCGCGGACAAAATCCAAGATTTCCATTTTTGTTCACTGATACCTACTCTTGAGACTCCATGGACTTCAATGTTGTTGAGCGGATAGTTTGCAGGTAATTTTAGAGCAATTTCAAGCTTTTGTTCATCAACTAGGTATTCAGCCTTGATCTCATTAGTGACGTTGTTGACCTTGACAGTTAAGCTTTCGTCTTGATCTGTAAGCCTTTTCGCCTTCTTGTTCACATCATCTAGTTCTTGCTTCACTAATATTGGGGAAATGTGGGCCGTGGTAAACCTGTCAATCTTCGTTTGCAGGGCTCTATCTTTGAGATTCAACCACCAAGAGCTGCTGATGGCGCCCATGTCCTTGAAAAGCACGTACAAGAGGTGCAATAGAAGGTGCTTACACTCTTGAAGTACGGTTTCACGCGACGAGGAAGAACCCAACCCTCCAATATGGTACGTTAGCACCGAAAATTCTTCAGATGGTATCCACGACTTGTCATCAAGATCTAGTTGATCAGCAATGAAATCAAATAGCTTAAAAATAAGATCGCGCTCTCTCAGTTGAGCAACATAAAACTGTCTCAAATTGTATGAAATGTCGGTGAAATAGGTCAGCACCAAATAACAATCCCATAGATATTTCAAAAAGTGATACTCGTTCTCGTTTTCCAAGTATTCAAGCGGTGCGTCCTGCTCCAACTTATCAAGAAGCCCCGGTGGCAATTGGTACTTTTGATCTGTTTCATTACCGTCGCTCTTAGTATTGCCATCAAGCTCAAAATCGACCAAAAGCGTTTGCTGCTCCGCGAGAATTGAATCCCTGGCAATTTTAACCACCAGTCTTGTTTGATCAATGTTTAGGTCCGACGAGTGCATGATACTTTCCATGAGACCTTCCAAATATGGCGAGAAGCTCAAATTGGTCGAACTTTGCAAAACCTGTGCTAGGGACTTGTACAAGACATATGAGTAATGACTAGGCTTCGTGTAATCACCTTGTAAAAGAAAAGCGTCGATTAGAACATCGAAGAGTTCCAATCTATCCTCTGTTCTTTCAATGGTCACTCCGAGAGTCGAAGCTGTTTTTTCGCTCGTCAATCGGCCAAAGAGGCTGACCGCAGAGATTTTGAACTCCGAAACATATGAAACGTCGCCAGCACTCACCAAATCAATACAGTCTCTCACAATTCGATGAGAATGATCACTTATGGAGTGGGCAAGAGATGAGGAGGATGGTATAGACAGCAGCAGTCTGAAAAACTCACAGAGTGCGAGCCTTAATACTGAGAATACATCGTCATACCACATATCGCAGTCGAACCACCTACCTATTTCGATCAAGATCATCTTGAGACGTTGGGGTGCAATAGGCTGGTAATTTGGGGCAAGATCAGAATAGTTTTCAACCTTGAGCAGGTTATTGAGGAGAATTAGCAGAGTGGTTGTTTTTTCTGTATTGTCGGGAAGCTTTGCTCCGATGATTTCGGAAGCAAGATACGTTCTCGTTCTCGTTAATGCGTCGGATGCACTAAATTTGGTAATGGAAGAAAGGATTGTCGCTGCTTGAAGGACTCTACTGCTAGGAGCTGTCTTATCTCTCACTGTACTCACGATAAAAGACTCTATGCACTTATCGTCAAAAATCGATGACGATGCAAAATCCATAGCGTTTGTTAAGAGTTTCCTTAAAATGCGACAATTGAATAGAGAGCCTGATGGTGTCATTCCGTCAGTTTTCGAAAGCATGTTAAGAATCCTGGAATCCGACTTGCCTGGCGAAACGATGGCCTCAATAATTTGTTTCGCATCAAATTGATACCGGCGCTCTGTGAACAATGAGCACTTGAAGTTTTGATATTCATCCGACGGTGTCGAGCTGAAAAAATTGTAGTCAGCTGCGAGCTCACTCATGATCGCCAAATATAACATCACCTCATCGTTCAAATGTGCAGGGATTTGCGCTAAAATATTATCCAGAAATTGAGCGACCTTGATAGCAGGTCCGGCGAGAAGCAAGTCTAGATTTTCGTCGCTAGCTGGTATCACAAAAACATTCAATCCCAAAGAGCTACTGGTCGCGATCTGGTGACTCACAAAGGGCACAGCATCATCAAGCGCTTCATATATGTTGTCAGGCAGCAAGGTGCTCAAAACTTTATCGTTTGCAGCAATGAGGCTGACCACATAGTCCTGCATGTTGAGAATTGGATTGGTGGATGAACCATTCAAACATGCGATGGTTCCTAATGCTGCTTTTTCGGCCAAATCATCGTGAGACTCAACGAGCCGCAGGACTGTTTCCCTCAGATCTGAACTGGTAGACCCGAACTCTTCAAATAAAATGTCAACTATGATGTTGGTGGTGAGTAGAAGGTGTTCGTACAGGTCCGGTCTATAAGTCTTACAGTTGGAGCAAAGAGAAATCAGCTGTGAGTGACTCGAAGCTTTTTTGTATAGTTCGCATATCGTGTTCTCGTTAACAACCTGACTTTGGTAAAGCTGAACGTCTGACAAGCTGAAACTTTCCAATGTGGTATTTTGAAACTCATGGAATCGATGTGAATCTTTTGCAATCCGCTGAAGATAACTCGCGTTCAGGCTGTTGGTGGTTTCAAGTTTTTTCGCCGCAGAAATGTCTAGGTCTAGCAATGAGTCTAAAAACTTAATGAATGCCTCTGCAGTACGGTGATCTTTCAAATAATCGACTGTAACCTTATGAGAAAAAGCTGTGAAGCTCTTTGAAGCCGCTGCGTAATTTGCTGTATCTAAATTTTCTGAAAGTAACTTCAGCAGATCAACAACTTTATCTAGCAAAGCAGGGTCACTCGATTCCATCAGCTTCGTGATAAAAGTGTAGCAATAATGTGTATTTTCAAAATTATGAGCTCGCAAAGAATCAATGATAAGAGTTGAAATTTTGTTAAGAAAGGAGTCTGGTCCTTTTTTAGTAAGTGCAATGACAATAAGATTGTTCATGTAGCGCCTGTCCTCATGTTTACGACTCACCCCAGAAGGCAGGAGATGCGATATTTCTGTCTCCAAAGAGTCAAAAGAAAGTTCCTCAGCAAATAAATTGATCGTAATGCCGTGGGTTGGTAGGGGCTTTTCGCTGACGGTTGCTAGGATTTCTGATTTGGAGGCTGCTCTGGCATCTTCCCGAAGAGATTCCGGCGCAAAAGATATGAAGGTGAGATAATTCTCCCAGAGCTTGTCTGACATGGCCTGACATTTCATTGGTAGACCTCGCCTTTGACTCTCGTATAAGAGATCTCTATGCCATATCTCCAACCACTCCGGGCTGTAATCAAATTCTAATTGAGAATTGTTCTTTTCGAATAGTGTTAATAAAGCAGTGTAATAACTGGGGTCTGCGTTTCCTGGTCCCAATAGCAGAAACTTTTTAATCTTTTCTTGAGACGCTTTGTCCCACGAGAGCATCTTGCCATTCTTGTAGTCGAGCAACTTTGACAAAACATTCAAGATGTTGGAGAATAAGGTGGAAACACTGATTAGGTTTTTAGTCGATAAATGACCCAAACATTTGAAAAGCCGCTTGGAAATGAGTTTGAGGATTGGTTTACAAGAGGCTAGAAAACCACATTCCCACATCGTGTTAAATAGATTCATTAGGGCCTCACTTGACTTTAGGCAATGGATGTCTTTAAAAGATAATAAATGCCACAGGTTCTCGCTTGACAAAACGTTGTAATACTCCTTATTTTCGGGGCAAAAATCATCCGGATTTTGTGTCGCCAAGCGATTTAGCATGTAAATTGCGGTCGTGGCAATCCTTATGTATTTCAATTGGGAGTCCTGTTTCGAAATGTATCGCTCGTCGCTCAACGAAGTTGCGGTTTCCACGAGCAGCACTTCCTTAACGAGACGTAAAGTCTGCGATTGGAATAGCTTCCACAAGGCAGTTACTTTGTTTGCATCGCCCCCGAAGCATTTCAAAAGGTCTTTGGAACACGACTTAGATACAAAAGAATCACAGTCGTATGTGCCGGAAAGCAAGAAGGGCACGAAATCTGGCAAAAATTTTCCGCTTTTCTTTCCCAGCAGTCTGATAAAGTCCGTTGTAATGGTGTGCGCTGATATACGAACATTTCGGGACTCGTTTGTTATCAGTTTTGCATAGATTTGAGACCAGCAAAGTGCAAAACATTCGTCTTCAAAAAGATGTCTATTATGCTCCAGATCGCCCAGCAAGTTCAGTAGATCACCGAGAGCCTTTTCTTTAGTCGTCTCATCACGCTTGAGTAGCGATTTGAAGATAAGTTGTAATTCTGAGGATCCCAGAGCTCCCGAGAGACTTTGCTCTACGATTCCATCGAAGTAGTTAATGGAGATTCTCACTCCATTATTCCCAAGGCCCCAGTCCGAGACAGGTCCAAAAGACATTGCTCAATTTTCCAAGACGACCGAATTGATGACGTTATAGAGACCAAAAGACCGAGAATGACCAGGGAGAGATGTGGTTCGATGTTACAACGGCTTTCGAACGTTATAGTTTAAATATGTCAAATATGGACTACACATTTATAGAAATTGATTTTTCAGTGTTGAAGTCACATATAACGATAGAGACCTTAGTGCGATTACAGAAAAAGAGAGAGCGATACAAAACATGATCCTTACATGTATGGCATCAGCTGTCATAAACTTTCCGGACTCTTTGACACAATTTGAACTGTTTGACACAGCTCTCCTGAATTTGATATTAATTTCCTGATTTTCTAGATTCTAGTGTTTTTAATTTCTCAATTTTTAGCTTCTTGTTCAAGTTTGGATTTTCTTCATAACAGATTCCTTTTAGCGATTTCGATCCGAAAGAAGGGTTCTTGTTGCCCGTCAACCTGATCAGTGATCTCGAATCCAGATTTTTCTGAGTGATCCGGAGAATTATCTTCCAAATCCTCTATAAGAGCCAAACTTTTAGTCAAAAACTCTTCGGTGCAGGAACCGAAAACAGAATGGAGACCCTGAATCAGATCGTAAACTTGAGTATAACTTTCAAATATTCCAAATTTTTTGAGTGGACGCATTGCCAAATTCATTACTTTTGAAGGTGCCTTGTCATATTTGGTTTCAAGCATCTTGGATATGGCCACTTCAGAAGCACATATGGTTGAACGGTATGGTGCGAGAGGATGTGATGGAGCAGCGCTCGCGTCTACCATAAAGGAGAAACAGTAGTTTACAAGTTGCTCTCCTAAAGTATTCGTGACATTTTCCGGCCTGAACTCAATAGAGGTACCGATATCGCGAAATTCAGCAGCTGTGGTGGAATTGGCCCAATTAGACCACTCCAGCGTGCTGACCGCTCCCATAGTTGTGACCAAATTTTCTTGCCCTACCACGCGTAGACCAGTGTTTTGTAGAAACATCATTACCTGGGGAAGCAACTGATCGTCCTTGGCAATCAAACCGTCGAATATTTTCAAGATCAAACCCACCATCGTAGAAAAGGCAGCCAAAGTTGTTAGTGCACACATGGGTATTCCGACGCCTGCTAGACCTGATAAAGGGAAACATGCTGCAATTATACCACCTATTTGTAGTAAAAGCTGAAATGCGTTCCACTTCAAGTCCTGGGTGTTGCCTTGAATTTCCACAGGTATAGCATTTGCTGCTCCAGCAGTTAAAGCTGCCAATATTCCAAATGTCAGATAATGTTTCGATCTCATAATAGATAGCCAGCACAGAGTAAGATTTTACTAGTTTTGACTGCAAGCTCAAACGCAAATAAGTTTCAACAGAGAAAACGAGAGTGAACAAAGACATTGGATTGTTATTCCCACTTCAGCTAGAGAGCTTTTATACTTTTCTGGAGACCAGGTTTTCGTTTCGCCTAGAAGGCGAAACTATGTCATTCTGATGACAGCGACAAGTAGGTTTAAAGTGATCCTTCAAGAGTTTCAATTAAACGCAGCGGAAAGGCTAAAGATAGACTCTGAAGAGTTTGCGTGGATCAACACAAATACCTCCAACTAGTTCAGCTCAAAGGATTCAGTAGCTTCGACAGGTACTCTTAAGTTTTTAACTGTTTCAAAATTCACAAATCATGAGTGTCAACTCGCTCAAAGTTCCGGTAAACTTAAAAATTGGATTAAGAAGTGCGAAATGAGCATACACTAATTGATTTAATCTAATGATGGATATGACACACATTATATAAAACAGCTTGTCAAGTTTGAATTTCATCCGGTATTAGTAACAAGCATCCGTAGCCTTTGTGTCGGCAATCCTAGTTCTCAGATTCGCTGGGCGCATTATTGGCTAGAGTAGATCTCGTCGACTTGGTCCTTAACTGCCTCCAAAATTTTCTTTCTTTGCAGTTTCTGAGCGGACGTGACAAACCCGTTCTGAGGAGTCCACTCCTCGTTAAACAAGGCAACACCAAGTAAGAATTCAATACCAGAGAGACCTTGCGATTTACCGGTCTTCAGAAGCTCGTCCAAAACGGCCTTCCTCAACTTTTTGTCGTGCAAGACTTCTTCGACATCACCAGCATCCTTCACAATTCCTTTCTCAACCGCCAATTTACCAAGAGGAGCTTCGTTGGGTACAACAATTGCCACTGGCTTGACTTTAGTCTGGTCGGCATAGACACAAATGTTTTGAACTAGAGGGTTGGATCTGTAAACACTTTCCAATTTCTCCAGCGCAATGTATTCACCGTTCAACGTTTTGACTAAATTCTTTTTACGATCAATGATTCTCAATTGACCCTTTGGAGTCCATTCAGCGATGTCACCGGTCTTAAACCAACCGTCCTCAAAAGCACCTTTAGTTTCCTCGTCATTCTTGTAGTACTCGGGCAAAACACTGGCACCTTGGATCCAGACTTCACCTTGGTTATTCTTGGCCAAGTAACCTAGTTCTTCGACGTCAACAAGCTTGACTGTTACGGCACCGGTCAGTTCACCTTGAACTTGGTACTCAAAATGATCAGGGTTGACAATACAGGTGTTGGCCATTGTCTCTGTTAAGCCATAGCCAATCAACATAGGACATATCAAGGTAGTGATGAACTCCTGCGTGTCCCTGCTAATTGGACCACCGCCATTCAACACAATCTTCAAGCAACCACCGGTAGCTTGACGAATTTTTTTAAAAATTACGTTACCCAAAGTATCTCCGCCAGGAATGTGGAACCTTTTCATCTTGAGCTTCATATAATAGGCACCCCAAAAGATTTTTTGGGTCATTGAAGGCAGGTGATCAACCTGGCCCATAATACCTTTACGAATGGATTCCCAAACGGCAGCAACACCAACCATGACAGTAGGCTTGAACTCTTTGATATCACCCTGACACTTACGAACTGATGTATCAGATAAAGTCTTGACAGTTGCGTATCCGAGTGTTGCTCCCCAATAAAAGGTCATGAGCTCGAACGCCAACTCGAAGATGTGAGCAAGCGGCAAAAAGGCAATGACACGGTCATTTTCGTTGATGTAGCCTCTATCAACGATCACAGAAACACCACCGAGACCGGCAACAATATTGGAGTGCTTGAGAACAACACCCTTAGGATCACCTGTAGATCCAGAAGTGTACATTATACAGGACAAGTCATCGGGCTTTGGTGCGTGAGCCTCAATGGTGGATTCGGCTTTTTGACCTTTTTCCACAATTTCATCCATTGAGTAAATCTTCAGATCTGGGCGCAACTCGCGTATTTTTTCCAAAGCTGTGTGTGCCTCCTGGTAAAACTTTCCATTGTTACGTTTGTCTGAGGAATCCAAAACGTCGCCGTGAATAATGTATTTCAATTCCTTGGCCTCTTTAACAGGGTTGATCAAGCGATGCAACAGCGCATTGTCAGTGAAAACAGCCTTAGTACCGGTTTGCACCATGGAGTGAATCAGACCCTTTTCGCCCAGCGTGTCGTAAGCGGTCACCACAGGAATCGCCTGTGACTGTGCGCCTAAGAAAGCTTTCATCCATTTGTGAGAGGTAGCAGCAAAGATGTGCAGCCTGTCAGTGTTGCCAGGTTGCAAACCAATATCGACCAAACCACGGCCAAAATCGTGCATGATCTGGCCCAATTCCTTATACGAGTTGAACTTGTAAGAGCCCAGCTCGAAGTACATCCAGGTCTTATCAATTTTCTGTTCTTTGCCGTCAACTTTTTTTGTGATCTGCTTTGTTTCTTCATGCACTTCGACAATTTCACGCCATCCCATTGCGTTGCGGTTCCCACCACGCTGGACACACTCTTGGAAAAAGTCGTATACAGTGGTGGCCTTGGATTGCGTGGGACGAGTTACCGCAGCGTTTTTGGTTTTAGCATTTCTTCTTGGAGCTGTTTCGTGCGCGTTGGCAGGCTTGCCAACTTCAACGGTGTATGCCATTGGAACTTGATTTGAGTAGATTTCAGTGCAAATGTGTAAGTGTGAAAAAAATCGAATTTGCAACTACTGTGTTTCTATCAGCTTGATGCAAATTGTGAGGTTTGGATTCTTACGACAAGTAAAACGATGGACGTGGGGGCCAAGAGAAGGGCAGGCAGGCACGTTCTATCAAAACAAAAACTTGAGGTTTTGATTGTAAAAGGAATACAATCTTCTTCGAAATGGAAAAATCACTGGTGATGTAGTGAATTTATACCTCTTCAACCCAAAAAGCGAAACTTAGAGTAGGTGAGGTTCCAAATAAAACCGAGCTTTGGTTCGTGACGATTGGCTTCTTCAAAGAGACAAGTTTCCCCTGCTGTCCTTGCAGTTATTAATATAAGGTGTTTTTTTTCCCTAACGCACACATCGTACGGGCAGCTAAAGGATCAGTTCGCAACATATACGTCTGTTGGGCGATTGCAAAATGTGATGTTGGAACTGGGCATGAGCCATGGGGCACGTGATTGGAGTGCGTCTGGCTTTTTGCACGTGACGCGGTAAGATATTCGGTCTTAGCACCCGGAACATTTGGCTGTTTGATGTTGGTGATGGTGGTTGTAATGGGTCTGGAAGAGACGGGCTTGCGTGAGGATTGGTTCATGAGAGTATTTTGAAAGCGTAATGTGTTTTTAGATGTTCTGCTGGGGCTGGTTTTTTTGGGTGCATCACTCCATCCGGGTTATAACGGAGGAAGGTGTGTTTGTGCTTTTTGACAGAGGACTGGAATGTGATTTACGTGGTGGCTGGGTTCCAATCGCACGCATGTTGCGTATAGGGGACTTTTTTGATGAATTTTGAGCAACATTGTGGGAATCATAGATGCTCCAACACAGGGTGCGATCGGTGTGTAATCTTGCGTTTATTCGTTTAGCACGGTTTCTGCCGGAAGCACCCAGAGGGAAGCTTTTTTGTGAGTATCAGTGGCCATAAGGTGAGCTGCATAGGTGTTTTCGACTGGGAAACGTTGCATTCGTGATGCTGGCAAACACTGAAAGATCGCAAACATGAATGCAAATGAGCACCAGCGGGTCCATTGACGGGTTGCTAGGCTCTTTGCTGCACGAACGTTGTCGTTGTGAGGTTTTTAGAGCTGCTATGTGCAAAGCATCCTTGATAAAATAAGTTGCCGCGCTTTCAGAAAGTGTCGGCGGCTAAACCCGGGTCAAAGTTGATAACACCATGGACAACCGGTAAAGTTGGGGAGGGCGAAGAAGCGTGGTGTGTCCTGTGTTTTGAGTCACCACTTCTTCCGTTTCTGCTAGTCCACGTACATGCCCAGCGTCGAAGTTGTGGTGGTTTTGTGAGTGGTTTGAGATAAAACTAAGAAGGTTTGTAACATGTAAAGATATTGGCGCTAACTCGGGTTGCAGGTCACGGGACTCGTGAATAGTGATCTTTGATATAGAATTTCGAAAAAAACAAACAGATTCTTCGTACAGAGCGATCAAATCCGGTCATTATGAGCTCAAATGGCCGTCTATCTCACATCATATTCGTTCGTGTAAGCAATTTTGGTGGATCTTCGAGATATCAGAAAATGGAAAAAACAAAAAAAGAATACTGAACGTTCGGATCCCGTGACGTTGTAAAATCGTGAACAATGCTACATCGTACCAACGTGAATATCACTATCAACGGAAAAAGTTCAATTTAAATTCGACACCTGAAGTCTTCAAGAGAACAACAACAACAACAACAACAACAACAACAACATCTGATCAAAGAGATGAGGTTTTAGGTTTCTTACCAGCATGTGAGTTTTTTGTTGAACTGTAACCGACTTTCCATGACAAACACCATAATGTCGCTAAACTTAAACATCAAAACCCCATATTGAAAACCCTACTAGTTCTCCAAAGCGTTAGACTTTTGAATTTTAGTATCCCTCTTTCCAAGACTCTCGAGTACGTACTCAACCCTAAGGGATACTGCGTGTGCAAGTGCGCGAACCTCATTCTCAATTCTTCCAGCGTTAAGTAACACCGCACCGATATATTGTCTCATTAATCGTAGATTCATCAATGGGTTAACCTGATATCGGGCAAATGCTCCCCCCTTCTCACACATAACATGTAAATTTTGGACTCATTGTTCTTCCAACCCCTAGGTTTGTACTCAACTACGTAACCACTTTGACCTTTTAGCCCTTTCTCTCCGAAGCTCAGCGTATAAGGCCTGTATTATCATCAATTCTGTGAAGATAGGACAAATGGGTTGGAAAAAGAAGTGACGAAAACCACTTTTGTACACTTCCAATGGAGTAAAGCAGCGATTGCACGGACCTGCTGGAAAATTCGTGTATAAAAGGCGCCGGTCTTCTAAGCTTGAGAACTTTAATCATCTTGCAAAATCAGGTTTTCATTACCACTCAATCAACTACTAACGACATCGTTTTAACTGCGTTAGTAAATACAGTGAAGAAAATCCAAGATTTTGAAACTCAGAGTTATTCATTCATACACACATTCCGCAGCAAGTGGTCTGCGAACATCGGTGTCGATAATTGTCGATAATTGTCATAAAGGTTAGATTCCAGTCTGTCCTTTAGTTCAGATTTTATAGTTTTTCGTTTTTTTTTGGGTTTCTGTAGTGGCTGCTGAACCGCTGTCGAGTGTATTCTAGCCATGAGCCACTCCATCATCGTGTCAAACGTACCTGAAGATGTTAGCGACGGCTCAGTGATCCGTTACATCAGAGAAATGACCGGCGATGCCGACGTGGTGCACATGCAGCCTTTCCCGGACCAGTACCACTACGTCAACGACAACCACGGCACCAAAACCATGCAGGTTTTTTTCGCCACAGAAACGGAAGCCCAGTCGGCCAACACGCTATTCCAAGGTCTCAACGTGGAGCAGGACTTGGAACGCGCCCAACAGTCTTTCCACGGGGCATCCGATCCCAGCAAACAGGTTCCTAGATCCGTTGCAGAAGTCGATTCGTGGGTCGAAAGTGCTCCCAACGCAGGTTCGCGCGCAACTGGACGCCGTATCAGCGTGACAATGATTTGATGACTTCAGGTTTCAGCGTTTGAACAAACGAGACAAACCTTTTTTGCATTTGGATCCAAAAACAATGTGGATTCTATCTTATGTATGCTATGCACTCAATCCAATGCTTTTTGCCAATCTATTCTTCGAGAGACAACGCTGCTGGTTTGGTGAGTCCACGACGTACCGCTAACACGCTATCGACAATGACGGCATCGACTCCAGCGTCCATTTCAATTTGAGCCACATCCGGATTATTGTTGTCAACACCGTAGGTTACGCACACCAACCCATTGGATTTGATTACCTGAGCGAGACGAGGCGCTTTGATGATAGGTTTGGCTGCAGAGACAATGCCCAGCAAATCCCAAGTTTTAGCAAATCTAATAGCGTTTTGAAGCGACGCAGCACGAGCATCAACTGTTTTCTTGGTACCACCTTCTGTCAAAAACAAGATTGGGAACGAAGGCTGCTTCAAAGATAACATAATGCAAACGTCAGGGTGGAACGACGAAAATATAATGTCACGTCCATTGACATTGTCATAGACGGTGTTCAGCACGGTGTCACACCAATGGTTAAGCTCCACGGAAATGTGGCCAATGTCATCTTCAATGGCTTCATCCAACATCGGATACTTACACTCGACGTTGAAGCCCACATTAGAGGGAATTTTCTTGAATAGCTCCTTCAGTGTGACAAAAGAACCTGCGATGGAATGACCACGCGCATTTCCCTTGTAGCTGTTTTTTTTGTAGGTTTTGGTGAGACGCATACGGTCCTCAAAAATCTTGGCCAAAGGTAACTGGTCGACCAGAGTGGTCTCTCCTCTAACACTAGAGGCTCTCTGCACCAGTGCTGCGTCTGTATCATCCATAGACCTGCCGTTCAAGCTAGCGTCTAGGTTTTTGCGGTGTCTGTCCGCGTTGTTGAGGTCCAAAAACTGTTCGAGTGTAAGTTCATGCATTGGAATATCGACCCCAGATTCCGCCACTATGAAATCGTGGTAAATCACTGGAACGTCGTCCTTCGTCAACTGAACGTCAAACTCAATATAAGATGCCCCCAACGAAGCAGCTGCAATGAAGGACTCAACGGTGTTTTCGCCCAGCTGCAAAGAACGATTGGTATTCATGTTCTTACCGAGGCCACGGTGCCCAATCACTCTTGTAGAAACCAGTGACTTCCAGAAAGTCTCGCCCCTGCGCAGTGCCACATTAGGATGAATAAAGGGCTTCACAATCATAAACTCATACTTGATGAAGCCCAGAACTTCTAGCGTCTCACTTTCGATGATTGGCGCTGTTCTTGTGTCAGACAAGGAAGCCCGATTTGGACCAACAGACATAACACCTTTATCGAGCAATGCAACCGCCCGTCCCAAAACTTTCGTATGCTGACTTTCGACTTTTTTGATAACACCATTAGAGTATGATCTCTGGCCCGCGCTTTCATCCGATAAGTTCGACACCGCGTCAGGCTGTGAGTGATTGGTTTTAGCATCGGAAGATGCATTTTTAGACCTTGCGTGGTAACCATAAGTAGGTACAATGTCAAAAAACAAAGTATGGGAAGAATCTTCTTTGTACGGAATGGTAAAATGAACAGGATCTAGTGTGTCGTCCAGGGGCAGATCCAGCACGACGGGGGCGGCACTCAAATCCTCAAGACAAGTTATGACCAGAGAAAGTGCTGTGTCGAGCTCTGTCGACGACACCTTTGAGAGTGGTACTTTGTTGAATGAAACTGCAACAGCGTTGCTCTTAGAACCTAGTGATACCAGCAAAATTGACTGATCTTCTTGCAAGTGAGTTTCTCCTAGAGGTTTGACATTAACTGAAGTTTGTGGAGCACTTTTAGTCCCCGGTGGCTTTGGTGTTCCGTTCAAAGAGTGTTTCAAAAGGTTATGTCTGCTCGAATTTTTCAAATTCACGTCCGAACCGCCTGCTATGAAACTCTCAGAGCCAGAGGAATGCTTATAGAAGCTTTTGCGTAAATGCTCCAAAGAAGGTCTTTTTAAAGCTGATGTTGTCTGAGCGGTGGCTATTTCAGACGTATCTTCATCACTTTCGCTGAATTCAGGTGACAATTTGGGTTTAGTGACAATCGGATCATCGATAGTCAGGATACTGGCTACATCGAGGTGACCTCTGAGTACAGCGTGCTCCATAGGCGTCCACCCACTTTCGTCAAACTTCGAATAGTCGGCGCCATGATCTGCTAACATCTTAGCCATATCGTAGAAGCCTTCAGTGGCTGCCACAAAAATTGGCGTCCAACCAAAGTTTCGTTCGCCAATCTCAGTGTTAGCACCAGCTTTCAAAAGAAACTCCATTGACCTGCTCAAGTTCAGCTTTGCTGCTATGTGAAGCGCCGTTTCGTGGGTCTCAGGGTCTGCATAGTCCACAGAGAAACCGGCAACAGATAGCAGCGCCTCCATCAGTTCGGGCGCATTTAACTTCGTCGCTAGGTGAAGCAACCTTTGAGACTCGACTTTAGTCGACGAGTTTCCATAGCTCGTAAGCGATTTCACTGTGCGCGGATGCAAACCGATAACAGCCAAATGAAGGGGAGTGAAACCCTCACTGTCACCCCACACTTCTTTATTATCGATTGACACTGCCGGGTCCCATGCTCCCCACTCTCTTAAACTTTCAATGATGAGCTTGGAAACTTCGAATAAGCCATATTGCGCGGAGTAGTGCAACGGAGTTCTTTTGTAAGTATCCTTCTGTAAAAGACTGGATCTCAAATGTGGTGGCAAACGTTTCAAAATATGAGACAAAGAAACAGGAGAGTCGTTAGAGTTCAAGCCATCAGGCCCACAAGCAGAAACAAGCCTGGAGGTTTTCTCTGGCAAAATTGTTATGTTCACATTAGAGGCACTATGGTTCGCAGAATTCAAGTTGGAAGAACCATCGTTTATCAAGTTCCTAGCTTTCTGATTTTTGAAACCTTTTCCGAGTGCGATAATGTGGTGATGGAAAAAGTTGCGACCGCTGACATCGGAATGATCACCTAACGTTGGGATGATATTTAAAATCTCGTCAATACAATTGAAGGACTGTGACAGGGCGGCTTTGTTCAGGAGGACTATCAAAGTTCTCTTGGGAGTGAGGACAGCTGATCTGTACATCGAGGCCAACTCATTAAGAAGACTTTTTCCGTCATCTTTCGCGATCAATTGGGCGACTACGTTTACCGGAGAAGAGTTGTCTTGTGAGGTGAGCTGCGTATCGTCATCACTATCAGAATCCTGGCGCCCCAGCATAGAGGGAGAGATAGAATCCAAAGTTTCATTTATAAGAGCCAGCTCTTTTGCTATTTCTGCATCATTTGAGATTCCGAGCGGAAGAACACGATTGTGTAAATAGTTTTCTTGATGGTTTGTCCCTACTTTTTTGTCCAGTTTTTTAAGAATCTTGGTCAAAGCACGCTTGTTGAGTTCGGCATACCATTTCAAGTTGCGAAGGTCCGAACGTAGTTCCACCAAAATGCCTAAAATTTCTGCGTAATCGTCGGTGATATCCGATGAAATGTTCAATCCAGTTTTTTCAGAAGAATCCAGAACACTTTTCTCGGGATTGGAAATGGCAGTAAGGTTTGTAAGTTGCGCAGACGACAGAATTCGTCTTAGTCTGCGGTCGTACTCCAAGAACTGCTTGTTGTAAAACTCGTTAACTTTCTCGATATCCTTATCCAGAGCGAAAAAAAAGGTGGCAAGACGCTTTTTCACCTCCGGCTCTTCCAAAAGCTCTTCTGCTGCATTTTCATTTGCCTTCTTGATCCAGTCATCGTTACTTGAAGGCTGTTTACGCCATTCTTCTTGGGCGACTGTAATTTCCTTGATGTGTTTCTTTAGGCTCTTGTAGTTGACATATTGATGTGACCATTCAGGTATCTGATGGTTAGGAAATGTCTTGCCAAATTTCATTTTAAGGTCTATGCTGTTAGCGATAAACACCGCGCACTGTTGAATCCACGATGAATGCCACGAACTGAGTTGTAGCAGACATATTTCACCTTTAAAGGACCTTTTTATATAAGTGAAGTTAAACATTAGCGGATCATAATGATTTTATTACACACGTGTAAATTGGGAAACCGTGCTCCATCAATAGTTTGGACATAACTGGTCCGTCTTCACTAGGTCGTGCATCTGAACGATTACATTGTTAGTATCTGTGTGAAAGGGTTTGTGTAGAAAGTCTTTGAATCTGAACATACTTGTTTTACCGATAAATTCATGAATTGACGGACTTCAAGTCCGAGCCATATCTTCCACATCGACAAAGTATCCACGTCCTGTAGAATACTGCGGCCCTCACGTTTCATTCCAAATTCTCGCAAGATAGGGAGCGAGCTGTAGTGGTAATCAGAGTTAGTAAATGATGTTAGTCTTGTCAAAACCATTGATCATGGTGTAGAATACGAACCTTGCGAACAAATCCAAGTCTGGATCGAGTTGTCTCCCAATTCCTTCTAGAAGCAAAATAGCCACCACCACGGACACGAAGTCACCTTCCATCCGAACGTGGTGGCCCCGCACCATACTGAGCATTTGGTCCAGTAGGTCACCGATGGAAACAGTGCCTAGCGTGAATGTGCGTTTTTTGACCTTTTTGACAAGCCGTTCGACTTTGAAAGCGAAAAGGTCTTTGTCGACCGCGGTTTCGGGGGTTCTGGATCGTTCGATCATCAACTCACCGGCACGGTATCCATCGAATCTTGCCAAAGCGTCAAAAAGAGAGATAAAATTGGCCCTGTTGCGTTTGTTGAGCTCCGTAACAAGCCCGACGTCAATAAAACATATCTGTGGAGTATACTGACCAACTATGTTACTCAGTTCCTCGTTGAAAGTATCGTCCTTGTTTTTGAGCTTTGTCTTCAATCGGTGCACAAGCTCGTAGCAGTCTTCTTCCGTCGACAAAGATTTGCTATCATATCTATCCGTCTTGATGAAACGGACCATGACATTTCCAGGATGCAGATCCGCGTGGATGAAATCGTCCAGAATCAGCATTTGAAGAAAAGCGTCGATGAAAGGGTCGCTGACCTTCTTACTCAGCGCCGGATCCTTCAGGTCGTCCTTGGCCCGCAAGAAGTCCTCCATCGGAAAGCCATACAAGTATTCTTCGAACAAAACCTGGCGTGTGGTTAGCTCTTGGAATCCAGTAGGAAATTTCACCTGCAGTGAATCTTTAAAATTGTCATTAAATTTGCGCAAGTTCAAGCACTCTATTCGAAGGTCCAATTGTAGCCGCATCAAAATCGAAAATTGCTCTACTTCATTGGGAAGCGATAACCACTCCATAGTGGGTACCATGTCAATGGCTTCTGCGAAAAATCTCATTATTTTCAAATCTCGACTGATTTTGCGCGCCGCATGAGGATGAATGACTTTAATGGCACACCATCTATTTTCTTCCGGATTAAGCTGTAGCTGACGTTTCTCCACAAATTCCTTGGACAGTTTACCGACGTACACCTGGGCTATGGCACCCACCCCCAATGGCCTTTCTTGAAATTCTTCAAACACGTCGTCTAGACTCTGCACACCGAGCGCTTCGCGTAGCGAGTGGGTTGTGTATTTTAGAGAATGTTTTTTCGCATTGCTGTGAAGTTTCGAGAGCTCTACACACAGCCCGTGAGAGAAAATGTCGGTTCTGGACCCTGCCCATTGTCCCAACTTAATGAAACTAGGACCTGCGATTTCCAAAACGTGCCTGAGAAGCCTGTACCACAACAACGCACCATACGAGGTTTTAGCACTTTTTGTCGAGTCTGTTACTTCCACCATGTGGCCGAAATATGTGATTGGATATGCCAGCAGCACAGGTACAAACAGGAAAGAAAGCTCCACGAAGCGCCATGTTGTCAGTACCGGCTCCAGAACTGTGTCTTTGAAGCGAAACCAAGCTCGAGTCAACCATCGGGTTAATTTTGAACGGCATCGAGACAATGTCCGTTTTCTCTTTAGTCTAATGTGACTGGCGATTTCCTTTTGCGATGACATGTAGAGACCCATTTCAAAGGTATCTCCTTCAGGGTCAGGCTGTAAAGTCTCATTTTGAAGCTGTAGGCTATTGTGCGGTACCATAGCCGCACCAAGAGTGAGAATAGATATGCCTACCAGCGAACGCTTCGTAAGAAGGCCGACTCTTGGACGAAAGGTCGTGTTAGAGTGCATCCAGCGAGCATTGCGAAATCCTGATCGGAGGGTCGCAGTTGCAGGAGCCACATTGAAACGTAGAAACCATCTCATCTGAAGCTGTCGCTGCTGAAAAAACGCGGTGAACTAATCGGGCCTTGAGTTTGGATAGATACTGTCAAAAGGATCGATGTCCTGGATTTCCGTTAATGCCTATAATATTGCAATTAGAGGGACGGTCTCGGCGAGTCGCTTTGCACGAGGAGAAGGGCGGATAGATATCTAGCAAGCAAACTCGTCGCGACGCCCTCATTTTATATGCTGGGTTTACTACAATTGTTCCTCGCGGACGACGTCTATGAGCCAGTCGAGTCCCTCAGAAATTCCCTCGCCCTTAATGGCACTGGAAGCGACAATACTCCAACTACGATCCTTAAGCTCCACCAGACTGAGCTGTTTGGACACTTCGGAGGCGCTGAGCGCGCCGGGCTGGTCCTGTTTGTTGGCAAATACTAGTAACGCGGCATCTTGCAGCTCTTCTTCCTGCAGCATCATGTGAAGTTCTTTCGAAGCGGTAGCCATACGATCTTTATCGGTAGAATCGACCACGAAGATCACTGCAGCCGTATTCGAGTAGTAGCATCGCCAGTAGGGCCGGATACTGGTCTGTCCTCCTAAGTCCCAAACGTTGAGCTTGAGATTTTTGTACACGAGAGTTTCCACGTTGAATCCAATCGTGGGCTTTGTCGTAACCACCTCACCAATCTGCAACCTATACAGAATGGTAGTTTTGCCCGCACCGTCGAGCCCCAGGATCAGAATTCGCATCTCCTTGTTGACGCCCCACAGACGGTCAAACATCGAGCTGAAGAAGTTTCCCATTTAGCTGTGTGTGATGAACGGACTTTTCTTGATTTTTTTTCCCTCTTTAAAGCAGACTAGCAGCAGAACCCACCAACTGATGTGTAACGGTTCGGGAGAAATTGGTATGTATGGAAGGCTGAGACACCTGATAGTTCAAGTCCAGCGTTCAAAGGTCCGATCGAGATTTGTGCTCAATGTGGATTGTGAGCCGGAACAGTTTGATCAATAGTTGATCTGGCTCTTATACTTGGTGTTAATAATGAATGTGGGTTTGGATTATTGAATTGCAAGTAATAATACCGGGATTTCTGAAAATATGCAATGGGTCACATGATCGAGAAATACCCAAAATATTGAAGAAAACCCCAGGTAGTGTCACATGATAGTCACATGTTTTCTTTCATGTGACTATCATGTGATATGGTCATCCTATATTCACGTGTTTGGTGATCCTTCTATAACTTTCTACGAAATACATAAAAATTGTCTGTTATGTTAGTATATGGAAACTGCAGATAATCTGGAATTCAATCTTCCCGAATTACCACTGGTCAAGAATCCTTTGAAAGAGGAATCGAACAGGACCATTTTCTCGCTCAACTGCTGGCTAGTTGACAAGATTATAGTCTCAAAACTAGTGTATTCTTTCATCCCGGTTTCCCCGTGAATTTTGCATGATTTCCCCCATTACCAGACGCTTATTGCGCGATTGGAAACGTCTATGGCATCAGGGAAGCGATCGGTTCCATGTGAGACCCCAGGACTCAAACCTGCGTCTGTGGAACTTTGTGCTTGATTGCGATACAGCAGAAGTCTATGGGGTGTTGTTCTGTGGCGGATCAGATACCGAGCCCGTCATGGTGATGAGATGCTTTACGCCCAATGCATGTTTCCCAGCAAACCAAAACGTAAGTTTGACACATTTTGTACCCCTACTGCTGACACAGGGCCTTGTGGGGTTTATGGAGCAACTCTGTCGCATGGTGGATCACACACCAGGCGCAACAGACGTTCGTTTCACGCGGACTTGGAATAGAACAATGATCAAGGACTTCAAAGCACATTTCCCTCAGCTCTATTCTCAATTTCAACCTGAGTCCCAGGATCTAAATGCGGTGCAGATGTGGGCAGATTCAAGAGCCAAGCGGGCTGAGTCTCATACGCAAACGTTTGGACCCCGCCAGGACTACTTGTCACCCCTCAGCAACACTATCGCTTGCGACAACAGCAGCATTCAGGTCAAAGACACCAAGAGGCGAAGAACAGGTCTTGCGGGCACCACGATAGCTACACACTCTGAATCCGAAAGCGAAAGCGATTCAGATTTGCATAGAAAAAGGAAAGCAACCAATTAGACACTTTTCTCTCACGAACCTTAAGATTTCATTTTTGCATTACATTACATACCTAGCGTATCATATTTTCTATAGGTTGAACAGATGATGCTTTGGCACAAAACACATAGTTTCGTTTTATTTACGTTTTACACTGAACTGAACTGATATGCTCATTTGCTAGTGCTAGTTTCGTCGGAATGCCGCAAAATGGTCTTTATCATTTCATTCCCGATTGCGTTAGCCTCGGAAAGCATAGGTTTGAAGAAGTTCTGTACTTCTTTGAACTGACGTTCATACAGATCATAACTCTCAAACGACACAATCGAGCTCCATGAGCGAGCGGCAATCACAAATTCCAAATCGTCAGCGCGGAAAGCTGTCTCGTTTACTGCTGCGTCGATAGTTCTTTCCAGCAATTCCGGTGTCATGAAAAGGTACTCCGTCACGCCCAGGAAGATTCGGAACAGTGGTGTAGAGCAGATGATGTGGTCGTAGGGGTTAATTTGCAGCTGATGCCAACTGTCTACGATCGCCAACAGTGACAGATGTGAGTTCGGAAGCGTTTCCTCGCCTTCTTGTGGAACATGTTTGCTTAGCGAGTAGCCCTCCAAGATGGAGTCGTCCAGAAGCAGTCGACCCGATTGTTTGCCAAACACAAAGTTCTTGGCCGCATAGAGTCTTTCCTTCAACTCGTGCTTTTTGTCTTGTAGAAATAGCGCATACAACTCAGTAGCGCTTTTTGCATATTGCATTATCTGCTCGTGTGCCGCTGGATTGGTGATTGCTAGTCCAGCATAGACATGCCATTTATTTGAAAAGATTCGCAGCGAGATGTTCACTTTGATATCTTCAAATCCACCATACCATCTGTTAACGCCGATTGTCCACGGGTAGAGCTGTTTTTTGTACCATGCGACACCCATGCTCAAAAACGCTGCGTGTGTCACGGCCTGAGTATCTGCTGTAATTCTATCATGTTCCTCGTATGTCAGATAAACGTGCTTGCTCTTGAGAGATGACATCACTGCTTCCACAAAGGGGAATGACTGTTCATCGTGGCATCTATGTTTGATCAGAACAAGCGGCTGACCTTCTGGGTTCACTCGTGGTCCGTGGAGCGAGTGTACAGAAACAATATCCACATCGGGAGGCAGATGCTTTTCGAGAGCTCTTATTTCCGGGCTTTTGCAGCTGGTTTGGCCCCCCACAATGCTTCCCACTTTTGTGGACGGACTGTACTCTTTTACAATCTTGTCAATGATTTCAGCTTCGACGCTGTAAATAATGTAATCACTGACTCTCGAAACCAGATGCCCATTTTTAAGAACAGTGAATCTTTGACCTTTACAACTATCTGTCAGCTCTTCAAACCTCTCTTCTCGATCGCAGCATACTACCTTCCAACCATGTTGTGTGAACTTTTCAGCATACAATTGGCCCATATCGCCCATTCCTATGATACCTATTGTCTTGGTTTGTTTCCATTCTTCAACCAAGGCAGGATCTGTCATTCTGGGATGAATTGAAGTGTATTCTTGGTGGTACCGAAGCACTTTAGGTTGTTGAGATGACTACTAGGTTGGCGATGAGTTACGCATTTTATATATATTAATGTGAATTATTCTAGAACGACAGTCAAGGAAAGTATGATCAAGAAAACATCTTTGACATAGGTCGTCAAGAGAAGAAGGACGGTTACACTTGAAGATAAGACTGATAACCGTTTGAATCGCAGTTCTTTCGGCGAAAAAGTAGAATAACGAATTATGACAGATTTGTTTATTTCATGTTGACGACAATTCTTCTTGCAATTTGACATATTTCATGAAATTAAGCTGTAAATGGTGAGGAAACATGAGAAGATCGCTGAGACTTGGAGCCTTTTGTTTGTAAGAAGCAATGCTATTCTGAAAGTTAAATAGTTGTATCAGTCAAGTCTGATTGACAGGTTTATTTTCGAGACCAGAGGTCCAACGGGAAAGCTCATCTTAATTTCGATTATCTTATCAAATTACCTCTGAGCTCATAGCTGGGGAACAGTTCTTCACGCCGCAAAGCTTCCAAGGTTCACAATTCATTTATAAGATGCTACTCGTAGCAGCTTACCTATCCGAGACCTAGTAGTGCGAACTTCTGTCTCCCGTGAATCTTGGGCTTTTCGTGGTTCATCAGATTGGAAAACTTCGGTCAGATCCGAACCCAATTCTTGTAAAGCGCATATACCGCTAAAATAACATACCGAGTACGAAAAGGGCTTTCCCTTGATCTTTAATAGTCAGTTCCCGATTGTTGACCGAGGAAATGGTGGGTATTCCAGCAGAATTGCTGTCGATCGGCGGATTTGAGAAATATGGCTCTATCGTATCTCCAGATGAGGAGATTCAAAAGCTCGGCTCAAAAAGCTCCAAAGATGCCAACCAGGGCACTGCAATCAAGGTTCTAAAGGTGAGCCAAAACCAAAATTTTTTCCCAATAGAATGCGGTGTCAAGGCCTCACATTGGAACCTTTTCCGCTGTTTCCCACGCTCTCATCTTCAAAGAAGGTTTTCCGAGTTCCCGGCCAACAATCTGGTCGAGCACAGCATAAAAGTACTGGAAAAACACCCTAATAGCTCGCAAACATTTGTGCCCATGGGTCGCGTTGCTGACTCCGTAGCGTATTTGGTGGTGGTGGCCTTGTCAAATCAAGAAAACGAACCAGACTTGTCAACTTTGCGAGCTTTCACTTGCAAGGGAACCCAGGCTGTGACATATGGTGCAGGCGTTTGGCACGCACCAATGATAGTTCTTGGCATTGAAGACTACCTCGATTTTTCGGTGGCCATCTATGAACTAGGTGATGATTCCAAACCCGCAATGGACCTGGTCGAGAGATTCTATCAGGACGGCGAAATTCTTGTTTCTTTGAACGCAGTATAGGAGTACTACAAACCGTGATACCTGTGCCTCGTTTGTGCCACTGGTCCATGCATATAACTAGGGTGTGCGGGCTATCATCCACGAGATGCAATGCAAGTTTAGGTTCGTGGCAGAATAAATCGACCGCGCGACAAAATCAAATTACTTAATGGCTACATAGCGCTTAATAGTTTTCGATCAAAAAGCTGAGGATCAGTATCCTGCTGCTCTAGCACACTCTTCCTGAACACTGCCTATTCCTACTGTTACTGGTATAGACTGTTTTCTTTTATTATGTTGAAAAACTGCAGCTACTCATGATAGCTCATCGCGGGCCAACATGTTAGCCAAAAGGTCGATATTTCCCAAGATGGTGTCCGAAGGGCTTCAAAATTTACACATCTCGGTTCCCACAGCAGTAGATGATATACAAGCGCGTTCAAACTCATCAGGAAGACCGAACCAGGCTGTCACAAAGCCCATATCGTTAGACGCAGAAACAGGAGAGGTCCTGGTAAGGAAATCCACTGGTAAGACGAAAATCCGCAAGGGTCAAAGCTCTGAAGAGTACGAAAACGAGAAAAGTCATTTTTTTGACGTAGAAAAGGGACCTGTATGGACTCCCGTAGGTTGGATGACCAAAGAAGTTCCTCTGCCAAAGAAAAACTCAGAGTCCGTGCCTGATCTTACGTTGAAACAAGCCAGGCAAAAGCTTATGGGATATTGTCATATATTATACTATCGGAAGCGGTATCATGAATGTGCTCAGGCTTGCGAAAGCTTGATCACACAGTTTGAGAACCTCGAAAGTAGGAAAAGGGTTCAAAAGGAAATCGACGAGCTGAAGGGAATGCTAGAGCAGTCGAGGACAAAGCATGTATAATAAGGGACAACAAGCGCTGATTGAAAAAATCGATACTTGTATTTCATTTTTTTGTAACATTCACTTCTTATATCGCATCTATAAAGTTAAGGCAAGACCTTCAAAAGGCACTCTAGTAATATATTCGCAGCTCTACACCACTCACGGTTCTTTTTCGTAGTACTGTTTCTTTGTCGTCGTCTTCCATATCTTCGGCACTTTCGCCTGGGTCTTGCTCAGTCAAAATATCGTCAAGCAACGCAACGGTCTGAGTTAACACTACTACTCTTTTACCCTTTTCCTCCTGGAAATGACAGCCCACCGAAAGAGTCTTCTCCACAGCTTTTCCCATACCCATAATTGTCACATACTCTGCTCCGTGTCTCGGTAACTGGCTCAAAAACTTGGACACTCTCTTGAGTGCTGAGATGTATGGCGTCTTGGATTTGATGTAGATTGTGGTCTTGATCTGTTTGTGAGACAAAACCTTCAGCGAGGGATGTTTAGCGATGATTCTGCCGTTGTTGGTTTCCGACATCGGTCTAGAATCAGAGTCTTGAAGCCGTTGTTTCCGAGCCTCTGGGTCTAGCGCGATGATCATCTCTTATTATACAGATTTCGGTTATTTAAATTACTTTGAACCCTAGTCAAACAGAGATTCAACTATAACAGATCAAATCACAAGGTTTGGTGTGTTTTTAAAGACCGTACTTACATGCTAGACTCTTCTCACCTCAATGACAGAAAACAGGACAGTTTTCCGGGCAAATTTGGTTCAGAAACAAGGTCAGAAAGCTGGTTTGACATATTCAACTGCACCACAGGTGTCATGGGCCCTGAATCGATTGTACCCGTTTTTGATCATATTCGATGGTCTACTGAGTAACTTGATGTGGTGTTGCGATGACATTTGTCTTCCCTTTATCTACCTGGTGCTTTTGATCTTGGTGGTAAATTTGGGAGGAGATTTCGAAATGTACTCCAATGTCATAAATGCTTTGGCCGTTTCTTGGCTGGGCCTTATGAGTCTGGTTTTCATGGTTTTATCGTGCTTATACTACATATCCAGTGTGGTTCGCGAATTGAAGCAAGAAGAGCCTCCTACGCTGGACGACATTGTGGTGATTATGGAAAACGTACATTACAAGCTAGAAAGGATGCGTGAAGATGTGGCTCGAATTTCTAAACTCCGGAGACGCGATCTGGCTTCTTTTTTCGTGATACTTGTGCCCTTCAACTGGCTAATATCCACTTACATGGTTTCCGCTCGAAGCTACGTCAGGTTTCTCGTGGTTGGGGGGCTCATCTTTCATTCGAGCTGGTGCCAATGTACACTACGTTTGATTTGGCGTAGCTTGCTTGTCCGGCAGCTTTCATTCTTTTTGGTTAAGCGGCAACGTCGATCTTTACCCAAAGACTCAACTTCAACTCATTACGCAATTCTCGAAGATGCGTTGGAAGTTGCAGTGCCAAAAGAGCTGGCTCTTTTGAGCGATTTCAAACATGCAATGAAATTCAAACAATGCGTCTGTGATGCTATTTCCAATGGATGTGAACACTTAAGAGGGGACCCGAATTATGAGTGGGTAAAAGTCCTCGTTGTCGAGTATCGAATTAGCGAAAACCAGCGCAAATGGCCGCTGGACGGCTGGACTCATAACACCCTGGTTTACGAAAGAACAAAATTCAGTACCGAACGGGACGGCGATTGGTTTAAAAGCCTTTCGCCGTGGGAATTTCAAGAATCATTAGGTCCAGACTGGGTCTGGATCGACGATGGCTGGAGACCACATGGCTGGAATTATTGCGATACGGAATGGAATCCCAAGGGTTCCACAGATTCGCTTGATTGCTACACCCGTACCAGAATATGGGTTCGTGGCGCTTTCCGAACACTTTCTGAGTTGTAGTGTCAGTTGCTCAAAGGAAATTTCGAAAAATCCAAGAAACATGAGAAACAGATGAATTTTGATCGGGTATAAAAAAACAAGAAAACCTTCTCCTCTGTCTCAGTAGGAAGTTTAACCTGCTATTCCAACTCTTAAACCTGGGCCTGTCAAGTCGTCTACTCGTGTCCCCCATTTACTGTCGTTGTCTCAGACTTCAAATATTAGAACAAATGAAGACAGAAACCTTGACCAAAAGCTGAATAAAAGCTGCAAGAAGTCTAATCCCATTAGCACAACACTAAGTGAGCTCCAAAACCTCGCAACTTCAGTGAACATCTCAAGTACTTATCGTCACCATTTCATCTCGTGACTCGCCGAGTGGTTTACTATCACTATACCTTCCGGATGAGATGATATTTATGCGATAACTCTACTCTGGTCAAAAGAACAACAACACCAGCGACTGCTAGTGAGTATCTCGAGTGCGAACGATACCCTGGGATCCAATGTTTCCGAAGGCGGTTTCAAGAAATGTGTTTCCACGGTACTTACACAGCTGTCGCAAGCTTGCGATGACTTTTGAAGGTAATATTCGTCAAAACCTAGGATCTGAAGAAGATAGGATGAAAAATGTGTTTGGAGGCAGAATCAAAGGGGATCCACCCAGATCTTCCAGTCGTATTGTCAGAGGCCAAACTCGAAAAATTGCAGGCATTTTGGTACCGCAAAAGCCTCCAGAACCCGATAATTGCTGCATGTCAGGCTGCGTTAACTGTGTATGGGAAATGTACAATGAAGATCTGCGAGAATGGAAAGATAAACGTAAGGAGGCTTCTCAGAGGCTTAAGGGAACAGATGCTACATGGCCTGCCGACTTCGAGCCTCCATTAAGTTTTCTGGATCTACAAAACGTACCTACCAAATTCAAGAGTGCTAAAATTCAAATGGACAAACAGAGGAAAAGAGGCACTGCGTCTTTATTCCCACCAAGAGAAGGCAGTCTACCGCAAAGTGTTATAAATGCCCGACAAAGACATTTAAGGGAAAGACAGAAGGCTGCTGCCAGCGAAAAAAGTCAACCGGAAACAGACGAGGGATGGGACGACGTTCCAGTGTACATTCGTGTTTTTGCTGAATTTGAGGGCAAACGAAAGGAAGCTCGACTGCATCGAGAGCATGATATTTAAACCAAGAGCAACCTCGGAGGTGGAACAGCAAGATAAATAATACGAACATCAAATCTCAACATACGGTATCACAACTCAATAACATGCTAGCTATTCTTGATGAAAAAAGACAAAATGTCACAAGCTAGAGCTTCAAAAAGTTATAATATTTATCATTATTTACCATCGTACATGCAGGGAAGATATTCCCAATTCCACTTAGGCTTAATCCAAATCGATGTCGCCTTCGGCATCAGGCTTTGGGGTTTCTTCTTGTTTTTCAGATTCCGCCTTTCTTTGAGCTGCCAATTTCTCAGCTAGCTCGGCCATTCTTTCCGATTCTTGCTTAGATCTGAGAGCTTGCTTCTTCTCTTCCTCCTTTGCTAGGTATCTGCCTCTGATCATGTTACCCAAAGAGGCCAATTCCTCATACTTGGCAATGTATCTAGCCTTGGTAGAGTCGTAACCGTCTTCGTACAACCAGTCTTCAGCCTTGGCCAACATGTCTTTTAGCTTGGTCTTCTCGTCGTCAGATGCGAAGCTGGCATAGTCTTCGTCAAGCTTACCACGCAAAGTGTAGATGTATTCTTCCAAGGCGTTCTTGCGGTCTTCAGTCTCGGCAACAAGTTTGTCTTGAGAAAATAGTTCGTTTTCTTTTTCAATTAGTTCGTTCAACTTGTCTTCTGGTAGTGCGAAGGTGTGCGCAACAATTGCTAGATCGTCCTTCTTGACAGTCTTGGTGACCTTCTTGTACTCAGGCTCAGCATCCTCTGGGGCATCTGCGGCACGAGGAACCTCCTCTTCGACTTCGATGTCTTCCACAGAGTAAGCGCTCTCAATGATGTGCAAGCCAGATGGGTCGCATCTTAGCTTTAGCTTGACAGGAACAGATGATTGTCCACTTGGGACCTTCACGCCCGTGATGTTCCACTTGGCGATGTGTGTTGGAATACCGGCGGGTAGCTTTTCTGGGTTGGTGTACTTAGCTTCCATGGAGAAGTCACCAGTACGGTGCAGAGTGATCAACTTGGTGGAAGGGAATTGAGAACCGGCGGTGAAAACCTCTAGGTGGTCCTCGTCCTCTTCCTGCTTGTCCCAAGAGTACGAGACAGAGTATTGGTGAACATCTTCGAACTTGAATGGGCGGACTCTCATAGTTGGGGAGTGGATGGCGCAGATGAAAGCAGCACCCTTGGCGATAGCCTCGTCCTGGTTCAAAGTGGTGGACAATGGCTTGCCGAAAGCCTCAGAGATGGCGTTCTTCAAGCATGGGATACGGGTGGTACCACCAATGATTTCAACAAAGTCGACATCTTCGGCCTTCAAGTTAGCCTCGGCCAACGCTCTGGTGACTGGGTCGGTGACACGTTCCAAAAGAGGTGCAACCAAGCTTTCCAATTCCTCACGGTTCATTTGCGAAGAAACGTCCACGTCATTCATGACGGACTCGACGGAGAAAGGAGCAGCGGTGTTGGCAGACAACACTTTCTTCAATCTCTCGGCGCCGGTAATAACTCTGTTGTAGGCCTTGGCGTTTTCTCTGATGTCGATCTTGTACTTGGTCTTGAACTCATCTGCGAAATGCTCGGTGATGGCGCGGTCAAAGTCTCTACCACCGAAGTGCTTGTCGTAAGCGGTACCGAGGATCTTCATCTCACCTCTCTTGAAAGCACCGATGCTGCAAGTGTAGGTGGAGTGACCAATGTCGACGAAAGCGACGATTCTTGGCTTCTGTTCACCTTCAGGCATCTCGCTCTTGAAGACACCGTAGGTCACGGCAGCGGCGGTAACGTCGTTCACGATTCTCACAGGGTTGAGACCAGCGATTCTGGCAGCGTCAGCGACCGCGTAGCGCTGTTCCTCGGAGTACCACGCTGGAACAGCGATGGCCACATCCGTGATTTTACCCTTGGTTTCCTCGACAACGGTGTTTTTGACCTTGTTGATGAACATGGCCACAAGCTGGGTGGCGGAGAACACTTTTTGCTCGCCGCCGAGTCTCACTTGAGCGCCGATCTTCCCGTCGTCAAGCTTGACCAACTTGGACTGGAAGTATTTGCTCTCAGTTTCGAAGTCAGCATCATCGTAGTTCATTCCAACAATACGCTTCAAACTCTCCACGGTGTTCTTGATGTTAGAGGTCTGCTTGTTCTTACCAGCTTCACCCAAAAATCTGTTTTTTTGTCCAAATCCAACCATGGATGGTGTGGAGCGGTTCGACACTTCATTTACCACAATGTCGATACCTCTGTTTCTGGCCACGGCCAAAACACTGTTGTGGTTACCTAGATCTAAACCGAAAGGTGTACTCATCTTGTAAAGTCTGTGTGAACAAAGCTTTGATGGCTTTTCTGTTTGACTTATTTTCCAAGAAAAGTGATGAGTTCAGTGGAAAGTTGGTAATTTGACGATCTAAAATTTTTTGCTCATTATATATAAAGGCTATGATGATGAACTTGAGCTATAAGAGAAGTGAAGAATTCTGGAAAATTCTAGAAAAGGCGATGAGATGGAAGGACACATTTAGAGAAAGAGAGATAGAAAACGGTGGTTATAAGTGAGAATGCTTGGGAATAGAATGTTGTAAAGGTAGTATATCAATTATGCAAGAGAAAGCGGTTCTTTTGCAGGTCAAACGGTCAAAATTGGATGAATACTGATGAGTTCAATGCGAGGATGACAGACGATGCAAAATCTTGAACTACTTGAGCCATTTTCTTGGACAGAGGGAACTTATCCCAACGTTGTAGTCGTGGTAAGTTTCCCTCTCCTTTTCTCTACACAGACTCTTGTAAAATCATAATTAAAGTCTGCCATTCTGGTGAATCGACCAACTGGAAAACCGCCGTAGAATCTCCGGTTGCCGCTTTACACAGCAACTGCCACTCCTGTGGGCCTAGGATCTGTAACGAATGCACATATAACAGGAAATGGAAGTTCGACAACTTTTCCTGCAGCAACTGGAAATCGCCCGATATGGAAGCCTCGTACAAGTATTGCTTCAGCTGTGAATAATCCTGAGAGTGGCCAAGAACCTGCCGATTGGCCCACGGAAACCCTGTGACAGTTGAAAACAAGGGTTTGGATGGCGCTTCAGCCGTAGGGAACCCGTGCGTCACAGTCACCAGCAAGTAGTCCACTGGGAATGCCGGTTTCGCGTTTTCCTTCACTAAAAGGCCATACTCATTTCTTCGCATGTAAAAAAGTTCCGGCACGTAGCGGTCCTCATTGGTGTCGTTAATGTACGCCATCGAGGGATGCGTCGAGCCTGTGATCATGTCAGCCTGAACCAGGGCCTCTGCGTCCGTCGAAACCTGATATGTGGATATGTCAACCTCCTCCTCAATGTTGCCGGAAATGACGCAAGTGACAAATTTCGACGAGTAGAACCCTTGTTCGCTGTACTTGCATGCATTGGGCGTTTTTAGCTGTTGTCTTGCAGCCATTGTGACTTCTAAAGACGACAAAAAGAACGAGTCCTTATGCCGCTTGCAAAAGACAGAACCATTTCCTTTCCCCGTGTCTGTCAAGTCTGTGAAGATCATCCCAATACGTGAAAGTCCCATGTCTTGAGCAATTGCATCAATCTTGACCATTTCGAGTTCAACAAGCTCCGGGTCCATGGTCAACCCATCTGCTTCATCGTGCTGAGGAGGCTCGTATATGGCTTCCGCTTTGGCTATTATCCCAAGAGGAGTTGCGCTGTAGGGTGCATAATGACCGTAAATAAAACCAAATCGTTGAGTTCCTGTGCTTCTCCAACTGTCTATAAACTCGTTGATTAGCTCACTTGTCTGAAATTCGACGTGGTCAACCATTCTAAAATCCTGCTGCTTCAAAGTTATAGCTGACGGCTGGCACTTGGAACAGATGCTTCGAGGCCAGGACTCGTGCCCGCCTGAGCAATTCTTGTTGATGCGGAAATCGGGTTGCGAAAGAGGCGGTATGTATGAGCCTCCACTACCTTTTTTGTTGGTCTGCTCATTGAGCTGTCTCAGATGGGCATGGAATGAAATATGCTTTATGTTATGCTCGCTTTGGTTCCCTCGATCCCATGGAGGTAACGGGCTGCAGTACTCGCACATCCCTTTATCACCGTGTTTGCAAAGAGACGATCGCTTGCGCGGTATCAACCCATCCATTTTTTCGAGCTCTTCATCAACAGGTAATTCTTTGATTTTGAGTGGACCGGCTTCTTTGGACGAACTAATCTTGACGCTGGCTTGGGATGAGCTTTTCACTGAATTTTGTGCTGTTTCTGCAGTCAGACGCTGATTGGCACTTTCGTCTTTATCATAGCTGACATTTAGAAGCTCGCCATGTCTGTATCCAAGCTGAGCAATGCTGAGATCGCAGTTCTCGCGCGCAAGCGTCATCTGCTGTGGTCCGGGGCCAACTTTCAAAGTCTTCAGATCCGCGATTGGGCTCAATTTTGGAGCTAGTAGGCTTAAGACAGACTCCAGACTTTGAGATTCCTCGCATTCAATGCGGGACATCCCATCTGGGGTTCTGAATCTGAGGATCATGGTTCGCGGGAGCTTGAATGTGTAACGAATGAGTTCTTCTTTAGTGGCAACTTAAGGTAGTTTAAGGAAGGAAATTGAAGATATAAACGGTGTCACATTCTACTTTCGTGTCATCGGATTAAATCACTTTCACTTAGGCTTTCCAGCGACAGTGGTTGCCATGGGCAAGAGCGGACAGCTGGCGGTTGGGTTCCTTACTTTCAAAAAAAACGCGTAAGACATCTGCCTCCCTCTGTGGTCCTTTTCAGACTTTTCTCTCATTCGCAAATCAAAATTGGATTTAGACTTGCAAAAGTTCGGAAATGAAGTTCAATTCTTCTTGAGGGTCACAATCATTCATCCTCAACCATTGATTCTCGGTTTATGATACTTTGTCTTCTATCATTGGCCTTATGGTCGCGATTGAAGGTTCGCGCAGGCGCATTTGTGAGTAGTATAAGCGAGTCTGAAACCAACGTTGAAAATGTCGACAAATAGGCACAGATCTCTCTAGACATTGGCATCTGCGTAAGATGTGCTTTTCTCTATTTTTTCCAAAGTCTGTTTGAGTGCTCTGTCGAAAGTTGTTACATCTTTTCCTGCGAAAAACTGCTCTATTTCAAGCTTCAAAGACAATCCAACCATGTTGCTCAAGGAGAATTTTACAAATCTCTCCAAGACCGTCGGGTTGGAACCGATTCTCTCATAGATGCGATTGTAATTGTCTTTTATGAAGAGCCACAAATCTGAGCGAATATCTGGGTTGGAGCCCATGGCTTCGGCCAAAAACTGAACGTTCATGGGTTCCGTTTGGAAAATAAGTTCGAAGACCTTGGCGAAGAGAATAGGATTACGCACTTTTCCCACTATGCCCAAGAGAGACTCTTTTTTTGCCAATGTTGCAGCTTTGAGCTCACTGACAGCATCCTCGAATGTTTCGAGAGATGTGTTTGGCTGGGATACGAGTACCGACATCACTAATTCTCTAGTAATTGGACCACTCTCATTGTGGTAGAGCGACTTGCACTTCGCAACAACCCGTTCGTGAGAAACTCTCCCTCCTGCTAATAGAATTTGCTCATAGAACTGAGCCTTGAGAGCACGCTTTTTATCAGAGCTGCGCGCTAAAACGGAATCTGGATTGACTAAGAAAGATATCGCAGCGTCAATCTGAGGCTCTATAATTAGATTCATGAAAGCTTCGATCTTTTTGTAGAACTTCGATGACTGATCAAACACCAGCATAAGTTTGGAACATGTCTCGAATATAGCTGCCCACACGTAATAGTCATAGGGGTCCTGAATTCTTGGGAAATAGGAGAGTACTTCTAGAAGAGTTGATGTGCTAGCTGTCGCCTGGACATCATAGATCAAAGCAAGTCTGCCGCGAGATGATAAGCTTTTGATATTTTCGCAAATGTCGAATAAAAGAGCCTCACTTCTATAGTCAACGCGGTAGAAGCCGTAACCATTCGCGTTGAAGTGAACACAGCTGGTGGGCTTTTTATAATTCATTATGGAGTCCCAAAGCTCCAGCTTTTGTCCTGCAGGAGCCTCGCGCGTCATAAGCGGCACCCACCAAGTGCACGCTTTGCTCTCAGAAGAGCTGACTTGTTGGCTCAAAAGTAGTTCGCTGCCGTCGATCTCTTCGACGACCAATAGTGGATAGCCAGTAGTCAAAATCCAGTTGCTCAAGCGCGACAAAAGATCTATCTCGCACACCTCACCTACGCTTCCAAGAAGGTCATTCATGGTTGCATTAGAGAAAGCATTTTGTTCCAGATATCTGGCGACGCCTCTAATAAAATTACCAGGTCCCAGAAACTCACTTATCATCTCAAGAAGCGAACAGCCTTTCAAGTAGGATATGGTATCAAATAACTGGTCTATGTCCTTAGCATTTTTCACCGTAACCCTTACAGGATGAGATTCTTTCAACGAATCTAGCTCTAATGCAACTTCGTGAGATTTGCACATTACTAGCGACGGAATGTCCCACTCCGGAAACATTTCATTCACAGCATGATAGCCAATCCAAGTAGCAAAGCCTTCGTTTAACCAAAGCTCGTCCCACCATTTCATTGTGACAAGATTTCCAAACCATTGGTGTGCAATTTCATGAGAAACAACGTAGGCTATCTTTTGTAGGGACAATGGATTGCTTGCTTGAACCGAGGTTTCGAGCAACAGAGCCGTTGGCCTGAATGTGATGAGAGAAAAGTTCTCCATGGCATTGTGAGAATAGGCTTCAACACATAATAAGTCCAGTTTGGGTAAGGGATATGGTATTTGGAAAAGACCGGAATAGTAGTCAATAACTCTAGTTGCAACGTCCAGGGCGAACTTTCCCAGGTGAGATTTCCCCTTAGCTGCGTAAACCCGAACTGGCAGTCTTTGAACGTCTTTCTTATTGCCAACCTCAGTTGGGTAGATACACTTCTCTGTATGTTTTTCAATGTATTCAAATTCGCCCAATGCCCATGCAACGAGATAAGTAGACATTTTCGGGGACGTACAAAATCTATGCACCGTCTTGCTCCCATTTTCTATATCCAAGGACTTCTTGAGAGGCATATTGGAAAGGACGGTTGATTGAGACAAAGCGGTTATTGTGACGTCAAAAGTGGCCTTACGAGCAGGTTCGTCCAAGCAGGGGAAAGCCTTCCTTGCATCGGTCGCTTCGAATTGAGTCGAGTACATTGCTTTATTCGTCTGATCCTGGGAGTCAAAATATTCGGATTTGTAAAATCCAGTCATATTGGTTTGGATAGCGCCCTGGTAGGCAACTTTCAAAGTAAACTTTTCGTCTATTTCTTGTGCAAAAGTCAAAATCGCGACATCAGAAACCTCATCATACGTTAGTGACTCCGGTGCGAAAGAATGACCGCTTGCAGTTTCTACGGCCGAACTGAGGATCTTCAGATCTCTCATATTTAGAAAGACCTGGTTTGAGGGTTCATTGACTTGCAAGTCTATGGATACTGCTCCATGGAAGACATTGTTTTCTATGTCAGAGCAGTCAAGCTCGATAGAATAATGCAGCGGATCGAAGTGGTCCGGTAGTGTTTGGTTCGACGCCATGGTAAAAATGCCTGGTAGAATAACAAGCTTGTAATAATTCCAATTATTGTTGTTTGTAAAGGGCCTTCTCTCTATGGTATCAGCGACGTAGATTGATTGAATAATAGGCATATTACAGCCCCGGTCCACGTGACTACATCGAATACTGATGTCTATCGTTGTGCGTGGAGCTGCGAAATACTTCCAGACCGCGAGCTTTTCCCATTCAACTCTTCTAGCTTGATTTCAGGGATTTTTAGGTCAAGCAACATTAATTGGGTGTTTTCTGATTATTTTAAATCGACAGTGTCGCTGAGTACTGTTTTTCGTATGGCTCAAAAGGGAAGCCTGACCCCGTTTTCGTGGACTCAGCTCTATGCCCTAGTCTTTGGGAAACATAGTATGAGCTGTGATCTTAAAATTTCGTTTTGAAGAAGCCTGTTTCTGACTCACTTGAATTCCCATTGTTCGCATTTCTCATAAGTAACAACAGTCTGATACCCGAATACTGCACAGTTGTTGCTGCATACTCTAGATCTCTTCGGGTACATATGCGACCTTGATGGAGAACTGGGTAACGAGCAGCTCTTGAGCTTGTTGTGCTGAGCTTGTTGTGTTGTGTATTCAAAGAACGCTGTTTATATTCTGAGTAGCTTTTGATAATTTAACCGCTGTATTGTTTCGTTTATAGTGATGGACCTGATATTTAACGATAAAGCCAATATAATACTGAAAATCCAAGAATACTCAACTTTCCTCTTATTACGCTTGCTTTCAAGCTTGAACAACCCCTCCATAGAACTAGTCAATTAGCAACCAATGTCATTCAATGATACCCAATTCAATGGCACATTCTCCGAGGATGATGGTGGCACAGTGGAAATGAAGGCAGTGTCTTTTTACACACCTTTGATTTACGTTTCGATCTTGGTGATATCATTGATCGTGTTCGCATCGCATTACCGCAAAAAAACAGTAAAAGAGTTGAACGAACTACCTTCTCTGTTCGACGAATCGGTCGCCAGGGACCTGTACTTCGAGCTGAAACAAATGAACGATAGTGGCGAAGCCAAGATCCATGAAAAAGTGCTCAAAGCTGCGCTTTTAAACCGTGGAGCAGAAGCCATCAGAAGGACGCTGAAACTCAAAGAATCCGAACCACAAATAACAATGCTATACAAAAATGGGTGTGTCGGTGAGGAGTACTGGAAGCGGTACCAAAATGAGGTGAAACTTGTGGACCTGGACTTCAAAGATGCGTTACAAACTGCAGAATTAATGCAGCCAGGCTGGCCTCAACTCTTCGTTGCCGTTAGCAAAGAGATTTGTTTCAACCAGGCATTGAAAAGACGCTTTCAAGCTATCTTGCTGCGTAAAGAGGTGTTTTCCAAGCAGTGGCAGGTGAATTTTGACAGCACGGGCAAGCTCATCGAGTAGGTAAAAAATAGGCATTAACGAATCAGACAAAAAGTAGTGAAGAATAACAATACTGACTGGTATGCAAAGACAAGACGTAGATTTGATATGATATGTAATAAGTTTTGCGTGAGTATTTATCTCTTCCAATGAACGTGCATGCAGGACACAACAAGTGATCTTGTCTGCACATCGCAGTATCTCAAACAATCTAATGCTTTCTATTCTTCTTCTTGCCAACAACCTGGAATTCCCAGTCCTCAGCATCGCCTTCGGGCATGGACAACGCTTCGCTCCAAGACAACGAATCCGTGATTTTGCTTTCGCATTCAGCACGTCTTTTGATAAACTCAGTGGCAAACCGTCTTCCATCCATGGAAGGACTATTGGAATACACTGTGTCTGCGATAATTTCCTTGGACTCTGGACCCGCTGGTAAACTGAGCAGAACTTCCAAAACACCATTCACGTTAACGTCAGGGGACAACTTGAGCTGCGATTTGCTCCACTTCAAAAAATCTTGACGCAACGACGTCGACGCGTTTCCGGCAATGCTAGCCACGGGCTTGGGAGCAGCGGCCCTTGTCTTTAGCGTGGGAATGCTTGTGGATGAGCCTATTTGCTTGGCTTGGTTCGCACTCATCGAACGAAGCTTCTCAGGATTCAGATTGGCATTTGCTTGCTTAGATGATTTGCTATTGATAGCAACTTTGCCGGCCACTGGCTGCTTTTTGGAAACAGTGGTCCACTCATTCGTCTCGACACTCGAGTTGGATGAGCCAAGCTTAGCGTTTCTCTGAACTTCCTCCCACAATCTCCTCTGCTCTTCCAAGAACTTTTTCTCCTCCATTTGCTCTTTTTGAATCTGTTCAATGGTTTTCATTGGGGTTTTCACTTGATCTTGAGTGGAGGTAGAAGTCTTCTTAGTCGCCCATGAAGCAATCGAATCGATTCTAGGCTTACTGGATTCCTCGATCATAACCTGTTGTTGCAGTTTGACAGCGAGCTCCCTCGTTTGTTGTTCTTGTTCCTGTTTACGCTTTGCGCGCTGAGCAGCCTCTTTCTGCTGAACATCAGCTAGTGAAGGCGCTGTGAAAGTTGGAGTGGCTTTGTTTGCCCAAGGGGCAGGTTTCGCGGACAGTAATGCTGGGGTAGAAACTCTTGATGGAGCAGTTTCTGTACGCAATTTTTCTGATTCTTCCCGTCTAAGCTGCTCTTCACGCTTTGCCTGTTTCTCTGCTTCCTGCTGTTCCCGAGCAACACGTTCATTTTCCTGTTCTAGCATAAGCACGCGAGCAGCCTCATCGGCAATTCTGCGACGCTCTGCTTCTTCCTGCTGCTTCTGGCGTTGTTGTGCAATACCCTCTATTCCAGTGGATGGTACAGGTGTGGGCTCAAGACCGTTTACTGTGGCAACGGCTTCTTCGGTTGTTTGAGTTGGTCCTCTGGATCCGTTCTCCGTGGGTGCTAAAAAGTCATGATGTTGCTTTTGTTTAGCAGCGAGTTCATGATCACGTCTTCTTTGGACAGCGTCTTGATCTAATTTCTGTCTGCCCTTGAATGGAGTTGCATCAGTAGCCCTAGCCCTGGCAGCTTCGCTTTCGACGAATTTGTCGATAGGAACTTGGGACACCGTTTCATGATAGTAGCCTCCGTCAATGTCACGCTTTCGCAGTAATTCGCCATGAGTGTAGTCCGGAGCCTCTAGGTTTATGGCAGACCCGTCTAGATAATTGGCAGAAGGCTGAATACTAGAGGGCACTGGAGCAGAGATTAAACCAGGATCCTTTTTATCCAATGCGAGTCCATCGAAAAGGGTTTGGCGATGGATGGTGGGGGTGTGATCTGGAAGTTGCTCGGTGGCTTGATATTGACCATGAAATTGCACTTGAGCTTGGGCTTGGGCTTGGGCTTGAGTTACGATAAAATCAAACCTTGAAAAGGGATCTGAAAAGTCGCCTACTTTGGCCATCAGATCGCCCAGTGAGGTGAAGACATCGTTGATCCCGAACGGTTCGGGACACGTCGCCACGCGGGTGATCTGCAACGAGGACTGTAGATAGCCAGCTTGGTACCAGTTGGACATAGCTTGCGAGGGGAAGGGACCCTGGATGACACCCTGAAAGTCTAAATATTTCCATTGCGAGTCGATCACGGGCAGCTGCGACCCAAAAACGCCCGGCGGCGGCGGCGGCCCGGGTGGCGGCCGTGCAAAGCTGTTGGCTGAGCCCTGGCCATGGCCTCCAATACCGCTGCCCCAATCAAGCAACGAGGCCGAAGCCGAAGCCGAAGCCGACCCCGTATGCTCATGCAGTCCGCCGTAACCATGGCTGGGCGTCATGTGAGCCTGTTGCTGCTGCTGCTGTTGCTGTTGCTGCTGCTGTTGCTGTTGCTGCTGCACCGGTGGCGCCTGTCTTGCAAAAAACGAAGTTTCCGCGTTAGTCACAAACGGCGAACCAGAACGTTGTATGCCGATATTCTCCAAAAGCGAACTTGTTTTCGCCACGGGTGTACGACCCACATTGGGCACAGCATTCGACAAAGACGGCGAAGCCATGTCCACCGGAATACCGTGTAATTGCGAACCAATTGATATCATATTTTCTTGCTTTGTGCGTTGGTTTAGATCCATGTTTCTCAAGATCTCTTGCTGATCAATGCTTTGCTTACTATCGTTCGCTCTTGACTCGACCAAAACAAAATCTTGAATTTCTAGTGTATCGTGGATATAAATCCTTTAAAAATTCACCAGCGTTAACAAAATAGTGTGTGCGTGTGCTCTCCATAAGAGTTCGAAAATTTTTTATTGGCGCCGCGATCTGGAAAGGGAAGAAGAGAAAGAGAAAGAAAAAGACAAAATTTCTGAGAGGGCGCAAATGCGTCGTGGGAAGTGATTTTGTGGGCGCGTGATTTGTGTGTGTGATATTCACGTGATGTGTCCGGCGGAGCAGTTTCAGTCAAAGACTTATGAAGGTTCATCTCGGTATTGAGGTTGGCATATATCGTCGAGTGTCCATCAGTGCTTTTCTTTTTTTTATTCTTTATCCTCTCTTATTATATGTTGAGTGATCTCTCGATAGCGCCATGGACGTCAGCGCCAAGCGAAACACCACCGATACCCATTGAGCTCGAGCCTGGGTAGACATCCTCCCAGTCCACACTGGCCTCACGGTTCAGCAGAATATCCCGATGCATGCTTGCTGGAGAAGAGAATCCGTTTTCCGTACCAAGTGACAAAGGGTTGAAATCGGAGTTCCTGACAATGGCGAGTTCCATTTCGCGTTTCATGGGTTCTGCGAGACCGAAAACCTGGCGGTACTGTTGCAAGTCTCTTTGACGTTGTGTGGTATCCCAGTTTTGTAGCTTGGCCTCCAATGGGTGTTTGCCGTTCATACGAGACGTCAGCGGCGCGGCACCGCCGTTTTGGCTTCTCAAAGTGTCTGGTAGCGCAGGAGCGGCATTCGAAGCCGGTTGGGAGCCAGAAAGGGAAGACACGTTGGTTTGGTAGTTCTGGTTGGGAACAATGCTCATTGTGTGATGTTTGTTTAGAGTGTGGATTTGACGACGCGTAATCCAGTGGGGGGTTAGGTTTCTGGATTATGGTTGATGTGTGAGATATACCTGAAGCTTATATTATGTTATGAGGTGAATTATAATTTTTTGCCACCCGGCGTAGGATGATCGCTTTGTACGAAACACTATGTTGAGAAACTGACGCTTTTTCGAAAACTACAAAGATCAGAGCTGGACAAAACAAACTCGAGGATTACAAGTTTAAAGAACACAAGTTTTATAGACAAAAGACACTTTTATGATGTTTATTCGAACACAGAACAAGGAAATTTCTTTCCATACTATTTCCTGAAAACTATATAAGGTATCACTAAATACGAATTGTAAATGATTTTTTATATTAGAAGTAGAGTCACGTGAATCATCAAATAGAAGTTTCCCACCACTATTAGCGTAGCGCAGCTCTGATATATATATAAGTATATAGAAAGCTCTATGATCATGTAGCTCTTCAGCTTAGTACCCTCACCCTCCCACCCATCAACTCTTATGGGTCAATTCCAACTGCTTGACATTGTCCAAGAGCCACAGAAACCAGGACAGTTTTTCACTGCCGCAAAAATATCTCCCAACGGCCTCAAGATAGCTCTCTGTAATGAAACCAACATTGACGTTTACGATATCGAAAAAAAATCCTCTGTAAGACTCTCTACGCTACATTCGCGGCCATTGTCGGATCTGTGCTGGTCACCGGACTCGCAATGCATAGCCACGGCTTCTGACGACTTTACAGTGATAATTACACACGTCGCATTTGGCGAATTGCATCGTCTGGTGGGCCACACGGCTCCCGTCACAGCTGTGAAATTCACCCATCGGGGTAACCTTCTTTGCTCTTGCTCCATGGACGAAAGCATCAGAATCTGGGATACGCTTTCAGGTACTCTTCTCCGCACACTTTCGGCCCATTCGGAGCCCGTTGTGTCAATTGACATACCAATGCACGACGCCAGCATTCTGACCTCCGGGTCTTACGATGGCCTAATCAGAATCTTTGACACCGCCACCGGTCACTGTCTCAAGACGCTCACGTATGACAAGGATTGGCAAAGTGAGAACGGTGTTGTTCCTATCTCTCAGGTTCGCTTCTCCGCCAATGGTAAATATCTACTGGTAAAGTCACTCGACGGCATATTGAAGATATGGGATTTCGTTAGAGGCAAAGTTGTGCGTTCTTTCATATCTGGAGAGTCCAGTTCGCTTCGATACACATGTGGCATGGACTTTTTGTATCCCGAGCGAGAATCCGACCATCCCATCGTCGTGAGCGGTACCGAAACAGGAGAAATCGTCTGCTGGGACTCTCAGACTAAGCAGATGCTACACAGGATTCAAGACAGGCATGGTGAGAACCCCATCATGGACATCAGCTGCCATGGCACATTGATGTGTTCGCTTTCATTGTCTGGTGAATGCAACCTGTGGGTCTGGAAATAAGGTCAATGTTTCTCCTGGACCCAAACAACTATTTCATACAAGGTCCAACTATTCCTTCAAATCTGTAAATATGTATCTGCATCATTAACAAGTTAACTCTTTAAATTGATTCCTGTCGCTAAGAAAAACCAAGCAGTATCAACCAATTCTCAATTGGTGAGAGAAGAAGCTAGAATCCTCACGATATGCTACGAACCCGATTAATCTCTTTGGTTAAGCACAGTAGGGATTACTCCAGCAAGTTTGCTCCCGGCGAGATTGCAGAAAAGTTCAGCTTTGCCGGCAAAGCCATCAGCATCAAGAGCTTACTTGAGTCAAAAACATCTTCAAAAGTCATTTTGAATGGGTGGATTGAGAAGAAACCCAGAAAAGTGGGTAAGAGCTTACTATTTGGTACTTTGCGCGATACTAAAGGCGATCAAATTCAACTAGTGGACTCGCAATCGGTCTTGAAGACTGCAAACGTCGAAGACGTTGTTCAGGTAGAGGGGTATTTGAACCTTAAAAAAACAAGCGGTGTAAACGACCTGCCACAGTATGAAATTCAGTTATCTCGGTTGAGGACTTTGAGTAAGGCCGGTAAAAAACCGTCTCAGTTGGCGGACTACAAGCAGCAGGGAAATTATCCTCCGGGATTCAGATATCTGCAACTTCGTCTGCCAAAATATCAAGCGTACTTGAAAAAACGCCATGCTATCGCACAAAAGGTGAGAGAGAGTCTGAACTCCAGTGGCTTCACTGAAATCGAGACGCCGATTCTCTTCAAATCCACACCTGAGGGTGCAAGAGAGTTTTTGGTTCCAACGCGGACTGAGATCAACCGCGAACCCGCATTTTACGCACTGCCGCAAAGTCCTCAGCAATACAAACAGCTGCTCATGGCTAGCGGTGTTGAGCGCTATTATCAGGTTGCTCGCTGTTTTCGAGACGAAGACCTGAGAAGTGATAGACAGCCAGAGTTCACCCAAATCGATATGGAAATGGGTTTTGCATCGGGTGAGCAAGTAATGGAACAGGTGGCGGCCACAGTAACCGAAGTTTGGAACCAGCTTTCTTCTGTGGGGACCTTGCACACATTAGACCATCGTGATAAAATTGTTACGGTGACGAAGTCTCAGCCCATCAGAGAAATGAAATATAGCACAGCAATGGCGCACTATGGTATTGATAAGCCCGATCTCAGATTCCCAAACCTGAAAATTTTAGATCTTACCGAGTTTAAGGCTTATAGCGTCGAGAATAACGGCTTCCCCGTTTTTGAAGTTCTGGTGCTGCGGAATGCCTTTAAAACTATGGATGACTATCAAAAGAGCTGGTCCGTACTCTCTGATGAGCACCAGTACAATGCGAGAGCACCGATAGTCGTACCAATCGATTCGCAAGAAATGGAAGGTCGCTGGTTTGAGAAATTCATGTCCATTGCTAATTTTGAAAACGCTACAATGATGACACGCTTTTTGAACCTTAAGAAAGGAGATATTGTGTGCGGCGCGACCAGACAAGCAACGCATGCTCTTTTTGAAAATCCTACTCCCTTGGGGCGTATGAGACAACTTGTAACTCAAACGGAACGTGGCACGGCATTGTACAAAGAAAGCGATCAGGCAGTAGCTGCGTGGGTCGTCGACTTCCCTCTGTTTGCGCCTAAAGAGAAAGATACAATGTCTACAAGTAAAAAAGAACGCTTTCCATTGTATTTGGAGGGACAGTTCACCTCCACCCATCATCCTTTCACGATGGTCAATCTAAAAGATTTAGCCAAGCTACAGGAAGAGCCTTTGAGATGCTCTGGCTCGCATTATGACCTTGTGATAAACGGTATAGAACTGGGAGGAGGCTCTACAAGGATTCACGACCCGGAGCTGCAAAATTATGTGTTCAAATCAATTCTAAAAATAAAGAACCCAGAGAAGCTATTTGGCCATTTACTGACAGCATTCGATACCGGCACCCCGCCTCATGCTGGATTCGCAATTGGTTTTGATCGAATGTGTGCGATGATGTGTGGAACAAACAATATTCGAGATGTTATTGCTTTCCCAAAGAGTATTAGCGGTTCTGACCTCGTGGTTCAAAGTCCGAGCACTGTGCCTAAACACTCGCTAGAAGAGTACAATCTATCTTTTTCCGCCAAATAATATCAAAATGACCGTTTATAAATGAATATTCAATGTATGAAGTTATACGCCAGCGACATATGTGTTAATCCAGCCTGCAGTCCCTACACAGGTCTATCTTTCCTAATATATTCCGGAATTGTCAGAAGGGTAGCGCCTCGCGCGTTTCGGCTTTGAGATCGATGTAAAAATCCCAGCTTTGATTTTTTTATCATACAGCATGTAAGCTCAAAACAGATGTTGTTAGTTCTCTTCTGACGTATTCCATTCCCAACAACTGATGTTCGCTTCTCAAAACTTTCTCTTGCTACGTCCAATAGCTAGAAAGCGCGTGGCCATGTAACAGCCAGCCGCCGCGAATGTAAGCAATGAGCAGTAGACAATGAACATTTGAAAATTCTTAGCTGTTCCCTTCCCTATGATAGCACCCGCAGCAGGAATGGCACCTAAACTGCACAGCGCTGTCATTAGATACATCATGCTGTATCTTCTACCAAACTCCTCTATTTTGCATATTTGCCCAACAGCTATCGGTACAAGGGACAAGATCGAAGAGAAAAAGACTCCGTACAATGCTGCAAAGACATATAAAACACTGAGTGTATGTCCGAAGGGAAGCCATAGAACGAGAGAGAAAAACGTCATGAAAAAAAGACCAATCGTGATAATCGTCATGCGTCCCACGTATCGGTCGCCTATGTAGCCGGATGCTCGACCCAAGATTCCAGCTGCGTTAATAACAGTGATCAGGGTATAGGATGTGCTTTCCGAAACGCCCGTGGAAAGGGCGTATGAGGGGAAATAAGTGGATGCAACTAAAAGGCCATTTTCGGCAAAACAACACCCGAGGGCACACAACAGAAATTTTCTGTCTTTCAAACCCTGGAAGTCGACGCTGTATCGGGTGTAAACGCGGGCGGTTTCTTTCCAGCTTAGTTTATCTGTCTGGTAGTTCATAACAGCAGCATTTTCCTTGGTGAGAAACATTGAAAGAGCCAGACAAACTGTTATAATAATTGCAAGGATGCGAACTGCCCAGGCGTAGCCCAGCTGGGAGTAAAGTTTCCGAAGCATGATTGGGAAGACAACACCACCGATGGATCCGCCCAGTCCAGCAAGAGACTGAGCGTGGGCTCTTTTGTCCTTAAACCAGGTGGCCACGGTGGATACATAACAAGTCATGAGAATACCGGATCCTGTGCCATAGAGAACACTCAAACAAAGAATGAATTGATAAAGCTCTTTGCACTCGGCCAGACAAAAGGCTCCCACGACAGTGAGCACACATCCAATCCATTTGGAGACTTTGCAGCCGTTTCGGTCGAAGTAGCAACCAGCAAGGATGCTCGATGCGTAAGTAGCGAAAACATACAAGGCAAAAATCCACGAGATGGTCGAAGCCTTGAGGGAGCGAAGTTGGTGTGTTGAAACGTACGCCTGAATAGCTCCTAGTGCATTTATCATTCCGAACACGGAAATCAGTCCCAGACAGCACCCTGCCACCACCGAGTATGCCTTGAGTCCGCCATCAGCGAACTCTTTTTCCTCGTCCAGCCGCAGGACCTCTATCGAAGTCTTTGATTCTTTTAAGACAGGTGCCAAATCATCTCCAGCCATTATTTACGCTTGATCGAGAGGTGCTAATTGATGCTGAACGTTGATTGAGAGGAGAGTTGAAGAGAAAGAGAGAGAGAGATGGATCCTTGAGTATCTCGAGCGATAGCCTGAGACTTTTGGTATCTTAAACGTTCGATGTCACATGAGCGAAGAAGATAAGCCAACCCACTGGAAAATTATGACCGTTGACGTTTTGTCTCGACGTGCTAAGACATACGCGAGAGGCGTTCCGACAGAGCAAGCGTTAGCTTAACGGACATGCTCACTCACAGCTTTGATCTCGTTTTTCGGACTTCAAGTGCTTCTCTTGCAGACATGGTAGAAGAGAAAGCGCTGTTTTAGCGTAGGCTGATGAGTAGTGGCTGTCTTAACTGCAGCAAGTTAAACCATCACAAAGAAGAGATTTAAAGAAGAGACTTCAAGAAGAGACTTCAAGAAGAGACTTCAACACTTAACTTCGACTCTAGATGTATAGGCCTAACGAAGAGCACGCTTATTACATTTGTTGGTCTTGCATAGGATCCTATGCACTCTTCGTAATTAATCACCTGCCTTTTAAAAAAATCTGATTCGTACGAAGCTATTAAAAAGATCAGTCATGTGATATGTGACTTGAATCATTTTTCTCAATTCTGACATTCCTTGATTATGTAATATCAATTTAAGGTCTCTTTTTTTTTTACCCCGCACAAGGGGCACGCGGACACCTCCATCCAGAGTATAAATATCACTGGCTGAACAATCCTTCTCCTTTGTCCTCGCTCACCACACCGTAATAGAACAAATAGACGAAAAGAGCGGGAGAAAGCCCATCATTTCAGGCCTATAACTTTGCAAGATATTTAGCAAGAGGCAGTCGAAGTAGTCGCTGTTTTGACGCTTGGACGGCAATCTGTGCTGAGGAAACGCTTTTGCTGAGAGGTTGGCGGCTAAAAGTGCGAATTTGAAATTCACTCCTTTTTTTGAGTCCCCGACATTTACAAAGCTTTATTGTAGTTGCTACAGAAGCGCCGGGTGCAACGGCTTCTTTTTATCTTGTTCTTACCCCTAGGAACAAGTTGTATCACAAATTATTGTTATAATGGCTGCAACTGAAGCACGAGAATTGGCTAGTGGAAGCATTAGTCGTTTAGGATCACCACATGATAATACAAATGAGATGTTGACCCCAGAAAGGAGTCAACCGGTTCTGGACCTTCCTTCTCCTGTTGTCACCTCCAGCAATAACATGAACTCGAAAATAAATAAAAGACTTCAAGAGCTGCCGGAAAACCTGCGGTATCAAGGCCTCACACCAAGTGGCAAGCCACGGCTTTTCGTATGCAATGTCTGCACAAGAGCTTTTGCAAGACAAGAGCATCTGGTGCGACACGAGCGTTCACACACCAAGGAAAAACCGTACCATTGTGGAGTTTGTGAGAGAAAATTTACACGTCGAGACCTTTTGATAAGGCATGTACATAGAGCCCACAACGGTAGTGGAGGCGATGCTCTGAACTCTTACCGTCGTAAGCGCGAAAGTGTGCCGCTCATCGAGAAGTCGTCGAGCGCTGGAGAAACAGATCGAAATTCGGTCGTAAAAGATGAAGAAGGTGCTGTTGCAAACAAGCATCAAACCATTGATTCGGGGAAAGTGCGTAAAACACCGTTTGCAGTTCGAAGAAGAGTTTCCTTTTCTGCACAATCGGCTGAAAAATATGCTGGACTATCAAACGTGGGGCATGTTGCTGCCGGTATGGGGAGAGTCGAATTCTCGACACCACAGCTCTTGCCGCTGGATTTGACTTTGAGCGAACAGGGTCTTGCAGGATTTAAAAAACCGACGAGTGCGGGTGGTTCTAATTTCAATCTACTGGATCGGGATACTTGGATCAAGGAGATGAATTCGCTACCAATGCTAGAAGAATCCAGCGACTCTGGGGATTCACCAATGACTGGGTGTGGGCTTGTAAACCGAAGCAGTAATTGGAGTAGGCGAAGCAGTCGTGGCAGCTCCCAACCAGGGAGAGCTTTGGGCGCACACCCGAACAGTGTCGCCACTTCCATGGGAACAGGACACTCTAACGCAAAGCGGAATTCATCATCGTGGAGAATCGAAGGTAACAACCTTGTTGTGAACTCTTTGTTTGAATCGAATTCAGTTCGACCATGTGCGGATGAAACAGGTATGGATTCGAAACTAGGGGATCGTCTGCCAAACCTATTCCGTAGAGACCATTGGCAAGCACCTGCACGCCCCAACAAGGATTTCTCCCCAGATATCATCTCACGTTTCAGCGAGTTCAAGTTTGCCAACAAGCGCGACACAAATTCTTCGGGTTTGGACGCACCATCGGCGTCATTTCCAGATGTGGAAAAAGCAGTCCCTGCTCCATTGGATGCTGTTTCAGTTTTCCAAGCGCCACAATACCCCCGTTCACCCATAAGAGTCGAGGATTCTGGTAGATTCGATCTCTCGGATGTCGCCGATTCTTCCAACAGCATCTCTCAGGATGGCCGGAGTTACATGGCTCTCGGACCTTCCGAAACTTCGCCAGGGACCACTCTTGAAAATACAGCAACCTGCCAATTTTTTACAAATGAGGTTCGCAACATGTGCATAAAGACTCTGGAGTATTATTATGATAATGCTTCCGATTCACATTCTGCGAAAATAAGGAGACAGGGTTCACAGCTTCCTAGCTGTCAAGACTTGAATCTTTACGCAAGCTATTTCGAATCCTCTTTCCTTGTTCATTATCCTTTCATTCATCCTAGATTACTCACGTTGGGACTTGACGACTTCAAGAACTATATTCACGAGGGACAATCGAAATTATCTGAGGATGAGTTGTTTTTCAATTCCAACATATGTTGTTTGCCACTTTTCATAGCTTCCGTTGGGTCGCTATTCAAACCAGGAGCTAGGGTTCAAAGTCTGGATCTTTACGAGAAGAGTCGCCGAGCACTACATGTTTATCTGACCACTCGTAAGAAGCAAGAAGAGAAGTTGACAGAAAATAAAGAGTCGCGCGGGAAGTTGTGGCTCATCCAGTCACTCTGCTTGAGCGTTGTTTTTGCGATGTTTGCTGATCCATTGGAAAGAATAAATGCCGAGATGGTTGTGAAACAAGTTTCGGCACTTTGTTCTCTCGTGAAAACCAGTTTACTATTCACAGCGTCAACCCCTATATTTTTTTTCGAATCTTCGAGCCAGTACGTTCTTTATGAGTCCACAGTAAGAACTGTTTTGATGACTTATAAGGTATGCCAATTTCTTAATGTCTTTTGCAATATTGATGCACCCTTATTTTTGAATGACCTTCAAATTGGTGCGACTGTGATCCCCGACAGCGAAGAGATATGGCAAGCCGCTGTGTTTCAGGAAACGCCAAAGCGGCATTACAAACAGAATAGTGCAAAATTCGATAAGTTTTACCGAAGCTTCGCCTTCAGCACTGTTGGGATGCATCTTATTCCAGAATTCCTTTGCAGTGCCATGCTATTTTATGAGTTCAACAACATTAAAAACAACAGGTCCTCCATTCCACTTCAAGTATTTCTGACCAAGATAGATACCAGGAAACTAGAAATGAATCTTCCGCACTCGAACTCACCGGTACCCAGCTCTTTGATTTTGATTGAGAGCGCAATAGACATGCGTAATTCACTAACCTGCATGATATTTTTCTGCAAAATCGACCCGTTGTTCTCCCAAAAGGTCTGGAACAATGCAATTCTCGAGCTTTATCACAGCTTTTTGATATCCAAGGACAAGAACATACTTGCTCAGGGATCATACGGCATAGTCACTGACTTTCTTGTCGCCCTCAACTTTTCCATCAAGAACATTTCGAAGCTTTTCAAGAGCAGGGACGATACTATTGAGTTCAACAAATCCAAATTGTCAGTTCTCAACCTCGAAGGCTACTACTACAATTTTCTTGTTGTCATCAAATTCATCATGGATTTCGAAACTACCCCAAATTTTAAACTTCTTTGCATTTACAATGAGCTCAAAAAATTGGCCAACCAATTGCTGATTCCGAAATTAGCGCCCGTTTGCCCCGAAGATTTTAGAAAATTCACAAGAGATTCTAATATGTCCAGGGCAAAGGGTACTGCTTTCTCAATCGATATGGATCATCTGGAGAAACTCATCAATAATGTCCTCGTTTACTCTTTCAACGACGCGAATTTTCTGAAAATGCCAGAGCAGTCAACAGCTGAGTTTGCTTTCGGAGCCAAAAAATCTAGCGAGCATTTGAATGAAGAATCTAAACAGTTTAGGTTTTCACATGACTCTGCCATGAACTTGAATGAGAGTTTAAAGCCAAAAAATCCTGCGACCGAAAATCACAAAGAAGGATTTGCCGAGCATTATCATTTATCGGAGAAATATGTCGTTGTGGCAAAGTGCTTTTTTTACTACGTTTTCGAGAACTTCGCCCACGCTCACTTTTTAGAAAAGCTGTCTCTCGATTTCCTCGCCCTTCAAAGACAATTAGACCAGACGGAACTCGACCCAACAGCTCACATCCTTCATGCATCTCTAAGATCTTCAGCGGAAGATCGGTGACTAATAGTTTGCGGTGTTGAAATGAAATTTCAATCGTCATCGTGGCCCAAACTTTCATTGATGATGGTCTGAATCAACCATTCTTTCCCCTCTATGTATATATCGTGACCATAAGAACTTTGCTTAATGCATCGACCGAGCAGTTCTGATGCAGTGTCTGTCTCCCCTTTTAAATTAATGAATATCAACACTTTAGAGCCTTTGGGCAAATCGCCCAAGTTATCTTTAACAAAAACTGAGGTAGAAACCTTAGAGTCAATCCGCTCAATGTTCTTTGCAAGAGTGCTCAAAACGTTCTCTGTGTTTTCACAGAATTTCAGTGAGGCGGCACCCAGTATTTGAAACGCAAAAGTTACAAATTTGTTCAAGTCCGAGGATCCGCAAACCATAACGTGGTAGGTGTTCATCTTCAAAGGTCTTGAATTGATTTGCGCTTCAAGCGACAAATTCTGTAAGAGCCCCGAGAAGAAATTGAAGATATTACTAGATTTGATGACGCCCACCTTTGGACTCGATGAGTTGTGAAGTCGAAAGCTTTCGCCGGCAGGTAGAAGAAATTGAAATATGCTGGGCCAGTCAGCCTTTTTTAGCCTCAGACAATGCTCAATAAAATTGTAATGCAAAAGTGGCCATCCGAGAGCGAGGGTCTCTAGGTATTTAAGGCTCCTGGAATGTTTTTCTGTGACCAGGCCGGCAAACCTGATTGCAGCCAAATCTATTGTTTCCGATGTGACATGGAATTTGTCCGTAAGATCAACGATATTGGAAAAACTCATCTTTGACACCATTCCTTTTTCTTGCTCGATAATGGACGATAGATAGCTCCTTTTATGATCACTCAAACCACTCAAAACAAAAAGGCAACCGCGAAAAATCCCTCCGCTTTCTGAGTTATTCGAGTGCGGGCTTCCTACTTTCAATTCGGGCTTGCTATCCTGATCGATCGAGCGTGGAGCATGATTATGGCTTGAGGAACCGCGTGAATTGATGTTTTCGGCAAAAACATCGGAGGGGGTTGGCGGAGTCATTACAGTGGTGCTCTTGCGACCTCTTCTGGGATGGCGTAACTCCCCAAAGGCCTCTTCACGGTTTTGAAGGTTACTGGACAAAATTATCTTCGGCCTCTTAGCCCAAAGCGCAACAGTCAGCGTTATTGAAGAAAGAGACTTTACCAACGTTCTTTTACCTAGATCGCCGCTCTTGTTTTTTCTTTTCAGATGCACTGTGTCGTATCCCCGAACGCATCTGATAGCTTTCTTCTCACTTTCTGGTCGGCACTCCAAAGCGATGATTGCGTAAGGCTTTCCCTCCCACAGTACTGTTTCGCCAACAGTTACATCAAGGTAGTGTAAATCTTCCCGCTTGACATTGGATATTCCTGATTCAAATAGTACCTCCACATCAGTTGAATTCGAGCTGTCTCCGCAAACTTTTCCAGGATAGTACATGCAATTGAAGTCATAATAACACCATACAGCGTCATAAAACCGAATGTTTTTTCGGGTGAGAAGATTGTCGTCACTGGTTCTGACATCATCCGGTACTGGTGATAGAGTCCCCATCAAAGGTTCCGGGGAACATTTGGTGCTCTCTTGAATCAATCCATCATCCTTATGCTTTGAGGAGTCTACTGAGGCCGCAGTTGAAATTTCTCCTACTGTGTTTGGATGAAGGTTAGGGCTCTGCGGGGCCTCAGTACTGATCTTCTTTCTTTTTGGTGAATTATCTGTTTCCAGTTTCTTTGGTATTGGCGCACCCGCCGTGTCCGCAAGGCTCTGAGTGCCTAGCCTTTTTTTCTTCAAAGATCTCCTGTTCTTTACTACCTCCTGAGACGGTTCAGAAGATCCTTGGTCACAAGTCTTCTTGAAAGACATAAGCTCTTGGGTATCGAGGCGCTGAGAAGAGAGCCTGCTTTCCTTTAGTGTGTCTAGCTCATCATGTGTATCCTCTACCATCTCGGGACGAACCACCTCCTCGACCTCGGGCAAATCTTGAGTCCTCTCGACGTCGCTAAATATAACATCATCGTTTATTTTCTCACTTTCAACAGACTCGCAGTCCTTGTTTTGTTCATAGCCGTTGGAAAACCTAAGCCGTATGCGCTTTCCGCTTTCATCCAACTGCGATGCTGAATTGGGAGCTAATTCTATACCATAGGCATGTTCCTGAGAGAAGCACTCGTCTGACTTGGATGGAGTCTTTCGATTGTCATCGGAGTACTGTTTCTCGCCCACGGTCGAGGTTTTGAGACTAGATACCGGCAGTGTCTCGTCTTGCGGAGATTGAAGAAAGCGACTAGGTGTACTGTTGTCTATAGGAGGTTTTGGTAAAGCGGTATCCCGATGTGAGAATTTTGCTATAAGAGGCGACTGATGGTCGCTAAGGATGCTTACATCCCCTGGTGCAGAAATGGAAGGAGCAAATGTGTTGTCGACCTGAGTCGCAGACCCGTCAAAATTTTCCAACCCTTTTTGAATCTCGTCAGTTGTGTCTATGGGTTGTGTAGTCTCCTCAACTATCCTATGCTCGTTCGTATTTGGAAACGAGGACTCGACCGTTTCTACCGGTATCGCCTGCGAAAATTGGAGTCCTTTCTCGTGTCTATGAGTGGGGATAGTGTCTTCAAGTGAACCTTGCAAAGGACGATTGCTGGGAGTAAACGCCATGTCACCTGGGTGTTGAGATATTTGCCTTGGTGAGCTATGTTGACTCTCTAAGCTAGCTCGTTTCCCGCTAGCATTTGAGCGATGATAAATTTGTCCGCGAGTGTGACTATGATCGAAACTAGTATTTCCACCTTCGTTCAATTCCATAAAGCCACTTGTATCTCTGCTCAAGTCTGGGGCTTCAATTTCACGCATATCTCGGAGCAAGGACGTTGGTGATATTTTTCTTGCTCTAAAGTCAGGCACTGCTCTTTGTGATTGGGGCGTATCCAGTGGTGAGCTTTCGAATAGGAGCTTCTGTGCCGACAAAGGTCCGCTCGTTTTTTGTCCCACTACATTTTGATTTCGGAAAAAAGCCTTCACTCGTCCCAGGTTTGGTGTTACTACATTATGGCTCAACTCATTGACCTTGCTTGGTGTTTCGGCACTTAAAATGCTAGTTTCTGGTATAGTTTTTGAGTTAGACAAGTCTGTTCTGTCAACATCATCACTTCCTATCTCTTCGACAAAATTGTCTTCTTTTCTGATTCGGCCTCCCGGTTCTCGTTTCCTTAAAGTGTTCGGTACGCCTTTCGGAGTTTCTCCGACAACCTGATCCCGTTCATTGTGGAAATCATCGGCGTCCATGTCTTTGTTTGTGTAACTGTCTTTTAGTGTCATTGAAGAAAGTGTTTACATCTTTCATAGAGATTATTGATTTATTCAACGACGGAATACTCTTTAGTGACAACACTTTTAGAGCGGTATCGTACCAGCACATCCCGAAGTCTTGGTGGACAATTCAATGACCCAAAGTAAGTATTCCTGACGGTGAGCCAGGCTACCAGAGATGGTTTCTACTTTATCGAAAGTAGTGCTAAACCTTGTTCTTCGGCTGATCGAAATTCTGACATTGCAATATAGCTGAGATAACGAGGTTGCGGAACTCAGAAAATGACGACCCGTCAGACTTTGAACGCTTGACGATTCAATTTAGCAACGCAATTTCAAGCTTAGCAAGCTCTATCGGTGTAGAGCCTTTTATCGATGTTGCATGTACCTTTTTTGAATTGATTGTGAGTCTGTGTCCGGAGAAGTGTTTTCAGCAATTGTTGAAAGAGGACTGCAGCGGCCGCAGGGCACTGGAGTTAGAACTGGAAAAGGAGATTACAAGCCATCCTGAACTCGATTTGGAAGTGGATCCCCGATTTTTGATGAAAAGTATTTCGCGCACACGGTTGTATGATCGACACACATTGGAGCTAAAGATCAAGCTGGTAATTGTCTCCAAGACTGTCATTGCGTTTTTGGACTTTTTCGACAAGGAGTATGCAGAGGCGTTTTTCAAATTCCGCTGGACGCTCCAATTCTTACATGAATGTCGTAGAATCATAGGAATATGTGACGTTCCTATAGCAGCGTCTCTCGATTATGAGAGATCTCTATCGCTTCTCTGCGCGAAAGCGCTTGTCAAAGGATTCGGAGGTTTGCGGGCGACAAAAACCAAAATTGCCACGGAGTTCAAGGTCAACCGTCTTGATATTTTTGAAGGTTTGTTGGCAAACATACTCGATTGCACGGAGCCTAGTATACTGACATGCGGTGACGACCTCGACCATTTCATGATGGACGAAATGTTCACAGTTTTGGGTCGAATGGAGGAGTGCATCGCGTTTTTGAGAGGTCCTTTATGCGAAGTAGAAGAGACTAGTTCCCCGCGGATTTATGCCATCAGACCGCAACAAACACATCTGGATGGTATGATTCGCAAATTCATTCTCGCCTCCACTTTTAAACTCTCTGGAGATCCTTCCATTCTTCTTTGTTTTGACAAAATTCTAGAAGGAATAATGTTTTATGGTGGTGTTCACTCGTACGTGGTTGCCTTTTTCCGGGAGCTCAAGCTATATCATCGAGACGAATTTCCTAAGTGTGGGCTGTCTTCCGGACTTCTTGTAAAAACAAGATCATCCTTAGCGGCCCTAGTCAATAAATTTGCCGATCAAGGTTGTAGCAGGGGAACTTCTAGTGTTGGTTCAAAACATCCTCGATGTCCTTACGTTCTGATCAAAATCAATGACGAGAGGCCCATTGTAGTAGATGCACTCCATGAACCATCAGGCAAACATAACCATGAAATAACGCTTCTGCTCAGTACTGCTAAACTCAAAGCTAAGCGTAAAATACATGGAGACCAGGAGTCTGAGGTGCAGACGCTGGGAGATCAATGGGAGAAAGGCCTTTCGTGGGTGCACTTCTGGCATCATTGTTACTTAGACAACAAGGGAAGCGTGCCCCATAAACTCACAACGCTCTTGAGCGCCGTGTACGAGTGGGATGCACTTTCTCTTTAACAGAGAAACCGTCATCAAAGATCGCACTTTATAGGTTTGATATAATGTTCGTTGTTCCCATACTCGAAATCTCTTCTTATTTGGATATGGCCCTGCCCTCTAATGCTTCATTAATTTTGATGTTATTCATCTGATCCACTTACTCTTCTTCAAAGATGCAGAGACTTAAAAGTCTCCGCCATGGAAATACTAATGCATGATTGCCTTTGATTTCCAATATTGTTTCCTTCAGAATGCTTTTCGCTTACTCTTATTTACTGTTTTCTTTTCTTTGTGACATTTTCGGCATGGTCCGACTCGACTGCGGCAGCGCGCTTCAAGTTGGCTTCACTTTGGGCTATTATTCTTGCCGAAAGATCTTTGACGCGTGTTTCTATACTTTTGAGCAAGTCATCTCGTACAATGCCGTCCTTGATATCCTCATAAACAAAGACGTTACCGTCATCCTGATCATTAAAGGTGGCATTTTCGTCTTCATCAATAAGATCTTCCATCATTTCCAGTGAAACTTGGAGCTTTTCTCCTTTATTACTTTTTAGGTCAAAAAAGTTCTGCTCCAAGACTTTGTAGTCGGATAGTAATTCGACGAAAAGTTGTGGACTTGCTTGGAAAGGAAATCGTTGGGAAAAGAAGTTCTTTGGGAATTTAAAAGATGGATTTCCATTGTTTTTGAATTGCAACCCACAAAATACCAATGACAGTGCGGTAAAGGTAAACCCATCGCAAAGAAGAGATACAGGCTGAGTTCCTGCTTGGATGATAAAATTACGAGCGTCCTGAATAATTCTAGGAAGTACAGCTCTGAACTGCTCGTCCAAATCGAAGTCTCGATTATAACGAAAAAAACCGCTGAATATCTCTTCGATAAGCTCTTTCGGATTGTTCAGATTCAAGTCAAATCCCAATTGGCACAATATCTGCTTTTCATACGCTACCAGCTTGTCTCGCAGCTCCCATTTAAGCTTCTCCATATTCTGTCCGCTGCGCGCTGTGGGAATGTCTTTTAAGAGAAATTCACCGGTTGCTTTAACATAGACATCAATAGGCCTGTTGTTCTCTACCGTCTTACAAGCAGTCGCAAGTAACGCTTGCGATAAGTGAATACATTCGATTGAATTTGGCGGCAGTCCATAGACATACCAGTATCTGAAGAACAAAATGCAGGCCGCTGTATATGTATGGTCGAATAATTTTAGCTGTTTTTTCATCACGTAAAAGTACATCAAGCACTTTTCCATTCTCCGTTTCATCTCTGCGGCCAAATGTGGATCGCTGCCAAGCCGGTCGACAATTTCTCTGCATGAGTAAACCCATTTATTTTGCGGTGTTTTGATCATATCTGGCCATAAGAGGCGGGAATTAAATCCCTCCGCAGTTGTGGCGGGCGATTTAGCAACAAATTGTGACATTTGGAGTAAAGAATAGCCGCTGAATGTCTGCAGAAATGTGAACCTGACTTCGTTTGATGTTCATATTTCGTCCTGACCTATTTCATTTCAACTATATATAATTGTGATCGCTTAGCACGATCGGTGCCGACAGCTTCGATTAGAGTTTGGCAGTCTTAAGAAGATTAGCTAACTCCATTAGCACTATCATTTTGGTAAGCCTATAGTTCCTGGAATGCATACCATTAATTCGTGAGCTGAAATCGTAGGCTCAAGTTGTCATTGAAGTGTTTCGTAAAATATCCTATTATCGTCCGTGATTTTAGCAACCAGTGCCCTTCTGTGAGGAGCCTGGTTATGCCGTCTTTGTTTTCCTTTCTTGCGCGAAGCATCCTGTTTGTTTTTCTCGGCTGTAGCTAAGTGCGCCTGGTATCTCGACAAAAATTCTTGCGAGCTTGCGGAAGCCTCCAGCGAGGGACGCAAAGAAAGAGAATTGGATTGTTCTAGCTCCGAGTTGTGTCGCAGCCTTCTAGTTGCCAAGTTGTTTTCCTCGTCGTTATTGGATTGTCCCAGTTCGTGACCTATCTGGAGTCGTGTGTTTAAACGTTCAAAAAGGAATTTTTTATCACTCACTTTACTGGAGCGTTGTAGCTCTCTCAAATACTTGACCGAAGAGCTCGAATCTGAGTCTTCACCTTCCGAAGCTGAGCTCGCGGGCTCTTCGCTTTTGAACACATCACAGTACGACCAGGTCAAGTCCGATATTCTGGGCACTTCCGAAAACAGAGAGCTTGCCGAGCTAGAGTCATGCGAGGAGCTAGGTGAGCCATCTTTCGCATTTACTACGTCCGGTTCACTGGGTTCTGGGCTGCGTGGACGTGAACTTGATGGTTCTGGTGAGGAAAAACCCGAGCCAATCTCGGTAACTTTGTTAGACTTTTCTGATCTCTCTGTAGCTTTTTTATGAGCATGGCTATCTTTGTGATTTTTGGGATCGTTGGATTCGTCCTCAAACAACCTGTGACTGTTTGTAGCGATCCGCTGAAAGCCTTGAAGGATTTTTAGATAAATTAGGCCATCTTTATCGGTATGATTCATTTGCCGCGAGATCCCAAAGGAATTCCTTAACTGTAATTCTTTCGAGAGCCCTTTGCTGTGCTTCAAACCGTCATCTGGTGCCTCGAGCGAAGAAAATGCGTCAAAATGCTCTTGCTGCGTTAGCAAATGTGCACTTGCTCCCAGATCGAACCGGCTCTGCAAAGCATGGACTCCATCTACCATTGAAATGTTATGCGAGTCAATGTAGTCCAACAGACGTGACTTTCCATCAACAATGTGCAGAAAATCGAATAGCAGGCGTTTTGTCCACTGAGAAGCACTGCTTGTGTTTTTGAATGTCCTATGGTAAGTGATGCTTTCATTGCTCAGAATGCGCAATGTCTTGGAAGTCTTGGCGACATTTTCAAGGTCTTGAAAAGGTAAATAGAAGAGAATCTCCATAATTATGTGGAGAGGAAGGTCGGTCAATGATCGACTCTCACTACCGACCATCGTTGGACTCGGAGAATTTTCACAAGTGACAAAGACCTGGCCTTAGCAAATATCAGTTTAATATGCCTCGAAGTCGAAGTAAAGTATCTCTGCGTTTTCGTAACACAAATCTAGCGCTGGAAAAGACCGAGTTGATTCACAGTACCTTGCAACTTGATTTCGATGATTGATTAGAATCATCATTTGATCATAATATTGACTATAATTTTCGTAAGTTATTGATTACCTGATAGAGAAAAAGTGACATCTTCGAAAACTAGCTGACAGCGGTGTGGAAACGAAAGAGAACGTAGACGTTGAGGCCCATACCCCATTAATGCTGTGATATTGTAGCGTTGAAAAACTCTGAAAGACTTGCAATGGTTCTGCAGATAAAAATCAATATCTACTGGTTATGCTTTTTCCTTATATGAAGCGCTTTCAAATATCTTGAAATTACGATATTGGAAGTGTGACGGTCCTCTTGAGATTGGACTCAGTGCAATGCCAGAGTTTTTTGGAAAACAAGCTTCTTGTACATTTGAGAAGTACCTGAGCCTTGTGTACTGAAGAGGAATAGGTTCATCCTGCTACATTTTAGATTGATTGCCGATTCACTTGTCGAGAATTTGCGGCAGCCAACCTACCAATGGGAAATCCTGGTAGCTAGTAAGCCTTTATGAGAAAGTACCTGAATACTAACAGATCAGTTACCTACCTGCACGTTTGGAGTTTCAAAAAAAATGACATAAAGTGACCACTTTTTAGTCTTCAGCAGGAATATATATAACGTCATGGCATTTTCAACCATTTCGGGATTAGCTGAGTTGTGAGTTCAACGCGGCTTCAAGGCGAAAAGGATTTGCGAAGACTGGACTTCTCGGTTTTGGCGCTTGAGGTATTCTTCGAAGATATTGTACTCGTACTCGTTGTGCAATGTGGTTATACCTAATTAACCAACTACCTTAGCAGGATCAATCGATGAACCGCGTTGGACCCGGACTATGAGATAAACCACACAGTTCACAATTTGTCTACCTACATGTTGTTATTGACTCATTGTTTGCTGTTCTCGTCCGCCGTGGCTGCTTCAGCAGCCTCTTTGAGAGGCGTTCCCGATGCTCAGAGACACCTTTACAGGCCACTGGAATCCGATTCTACTAAATGGGCTTGTTTGAGCGATCCCTCGATTATTTTGAACTATTCTCAGATCAACGACGACTACTGCGACTGTCCCGATGGTTCAGATGAGCCTGGCACCAGTGCTTGTGGCTCATTGTCGCGATTTTACTGTTCGAACGACGGATTCGCGTCGAGATTTGTATCAGGATTCAAAGTCGATGACGGCGTATGCGATTGTTGTGACTGTTCGGACGAGAAATCCAGCAGTCCTTCATCGGAGTACAGCTGTGCCCAGTTGAATGATGAGTTTGACGCACTGGTGAAGCAGGAAACTGACAGGCATCGGCGGGGTGTTGTGGCCCTGCGAGAAATAGAAGGTTGCTCTTCTTTGGGCGGTCGAGAAGACGATGCCACAGATGCGGAATCAGCTCTTGAAAGCATCGAGACCGAGTACAGTGTTAGCGCCGAGCAGTACAAGGCCTGTGTATCCGAGTTGGCAGCCACCAAAAATGTTTATAACGAAAAGTTGCAGCGTGATAGTCCCCTGATGTTTCGTTTGGAGCAACTCGGCATTCCTCAAATATCCTCTTCCGTTGTCGAGATTTTCACGCAAGCAGAATCATACTCAAACCTTTACCACGAACTAGTGGATATTCTAAAATCGCTCCAAGAAAATTACAATGAGAATCTGAACGACGATGTCGTTAACCAAAACGTGCAGAAGTTCGTTGAATACATGCAGAACAACGCCGAAGAAGGAACGATCAGTGGCAGTTTTGATCGCACTCAGCGAAACCAAATTACTACTTACCTCACCGAAGAGCTACCCAATATGATTCTCCAAGGCACCAGTCACCTGCCGCCGGCAGCTATTGAGGGGAAATGTTCGATGGCAAAGACTTTGGTGAAGGTCAAGATCGATTATTGTCAAAAAATGTATCAAGCTCTCAAGAACTTAACGGCGATTATGAACGATGTGTCCTCGAACTACAACGTTAATTTTCAAGACTCGGGTGTCAAAAATGCTGTTACTAGCTACAGAGATTTTTTGGCTAAGAATGCAGGTATTCTCGAGCCATCCAATATTCCTTCCAATGTTATGGAAAGACTGCAAGACGTTGAAGTTTTGGTCAGAACCGTTTCCTCGAAGCTTCTAACTCCTTCGTGGCGGGAACAGAATTCCCTTCAATCACTTTACTCGGGATTTCTCTTCAAGTTGAAGAACGCTTTCTCAAATAAAGGAACTGGTTTGCAAATGCTCAAGTCAAAAGTCGGTGCCTTGGAACAAAATTGTGCAACGCTAAGGAAAGAGTACAGAGCCAAAGCTGACCAAATAAGACTGCTGAGAAAAGAAAACTCGCAGAGAAAAGATGATCAAGCAAGCGATCTCACTACTCAAAAACTGGGTGAGCTACTGGCCGTAGTTTCCCCCAGTTGTGTTGAGGAAAAAATCGATGAATACAATTACCAAATATGCTTTAACAGCCAAAGTGGCGTGATTGTTCAAAAAGAAGATAAGCCAGGTGGAAAGCAGGTGTTAATCGGTCGTTTTGACACGCACCACGTTGAACCCAAGGGAGCGACGGACCGCTACGCTGGAGAACTGGCTATAAAACACTCTGAGTCTGATCTAATTGCACATCTGGAAAGCGACTTGGCTAATTACGAAACCGAGTTGCTGATGGGGAATTTGCCGCAAATTAACAATGGGCTCTCCTTACACTATAACAACGGTGACAGATGTTGGAACGGGCCACAGAGATCCGCCCTGGTATATTTTAAGTGTGACGAGCATTTCAAAATACATGGCGTACAAGAACTCACCAGGTGCCAATACGCTTTCGATGTCAGTGGACCTTTGGGCTGTAACACCAATTTCATTTTCACGGCACCAGAATGGCTAGATGGACAGAACTATATAAAATAGAGACATGCAATAGAGGGCGTTATGAGACAAGCCCGTCTCTGTTGAGCTTTCAGGGCAAGCAGCCATGTGCTGGATTCTTAGAAGTAAAGATTTTGGATTTCGGCTATGTGGTAGCACCTACTCTCAACATAGAGGGGTTATATTGTGTCGCGTCAGACGAAAATTAGCCGCCCATAGATATTTTCAATTCTTTATTATAAAAGTCTGACCTTTACTTTTAAACAGCACTAGAATTTATCGTCAGATAACCAAACCCTGTCGGCTGAGGTAGCAACCTGAATCGTGTAGCTGAAAAGTGACTGATGAGGTGAGGTGATAACACAGACTTGGTTTCCCCAACGATCGACTCTTTCACATCTGAAAAGTTTCGAATTATGGCATGGTACAGAAACCAGTTTTTTCTACAAGTCCAAGCCATTTTAAAGCAGGCAAGATCAAAGAATCCAAGGACTGAATACGTCTCAACTCAGCATGCGGCAATTTATCCGTGTCCGTTGGTTTACCTATATGTTGAAATGAACTCATAGTTGGTTCTTCATTTTTGATTTTAGTCTGACAGAATCTCAGTGAAAGAGTCCGATTTCAGGATCTTGAAAGGTCGATTACAACGTTTTATGGTCTGTTGAGCCGGGCTTCTAACTCGATGACTGCACACGGGTCGAGGTGAATCCCAAAGTTGGAAATCCTTTTTGAAGCATCCCACCTTGTTGCTCTCAGAACTTTCGTATCCAAGTTACTTTATGAGCTGTCTTAGCACCCAATTGAAGTCCCAATCAACTTGCAATCGTCAACGGGCCTGCTGTTTCCTCCAAATTCTCTCAGTCGCAAGAGACAACATTGAAAACGGCCAAGCGTTTCCCTTTCCCTGGCATTTCCATTCGAGGGATACACCCAGTCATCTCTGAGCTGGACGTCTGTTTGAAGTCCAGGCCCTTATGTTGATCTCGCCTATTTTTCGAATGGGGCCCTCATTTTACCCGCCCAAGTGTATGCTATCAGCCGCCTCTTTTAGGAAATTGGTAGTTTCATCCTAAATCTGCAAAACCTTAGTGACTTTCTAAAAAAGAAAAAATCGAGATGAGAAGAGATGATTTCCAAACTAAAAATTTTAGCGAAGAGCCCTATTTTGAAAAACAATAAGAATAACAGGTATACTGGAAGACTGTATTCGACATCTCACACCACAATTCAAAGTTACTTGTTGATAGTAGCTTCTTTCGTTTTGTAAAAAAAACGCACAAGAAAAAGGATTATTATAGGACATTTTGGAGGTGTTTTTGGGAAAGCGGGAAACCTCAGGATACAACGATTAGAGGATAACCCCAAACTTAGTGCGTACACCGCTTGTTAGCCAACACTCACATTACAGAGAGTTGATATTACTATCGTTAAGTGTTAGGGCCATTTTGGTGGAAAAGCAAACGGGAAATGGCCGGGAAGAGCCCCATGAAAACAGGTGCTGTAGCAGGCAAACAGCCGTCAAATTTGAATACGCTGAAAAACCGAAATAGAGGCGGTAAATCAGCACCAACACTTGCACATTCGACACACAATGCAAGGCCAAGGCGATTCAGTCTCATATACTCGTCTGATTCGTCCCTGAGCGCGCTTTCAGACGTGGAAAACAATCGGAAAATGAGCTTCAAAAATCCCAAAATGAGCAAGAAATCCAAGCGCGGAGTAAGTAATGAGATGGGTAAGAACGGGAAGCTGATACCGGAAAACGCAGTTGACTCAAACAGTGGATTTTCTTCAGATTCCGTTGCCGTTGATGACGAAAGTAACAGCAATGGAAGCAGTAACAGCAGTAGCGACGACGACGACAAAGAAGACGATGATGCGGACGACGGAAATAACGCAGCTTCTAGCTCTACATCTAGTTCCGACGACGATGACGTTGACTTTGTCAAGCTCAGCGCAGAACGAAAGAAAAGGGCCATGCGGGCCATGGGCGCTTTGAAGCGAGGCAAATCGCCGAAGAAGAGCGACGTCTCCTTAAAAAATACCAGTAGAGCTTTGAAACAAGATCAGAAAGACGATAAAGAAAGCTCAAGTGATGATAGTTCATACGAGGATCCAATGGCGTTCACCTTCAAGAATGATGGCGGTATCAAGTTCGGAAAGAAACCAAAGGATGCAGCGAGTGATGAAGATTTAGGAGAAGAGGTTAAGGAGGGTTCGCCCGCTCTTAACCATACTTTACCTGCCGAGAACAATACTGTGGACAGGTTGAATGTACCGCAGATTTCAGAGAGCGAGGAGTCGGATTATGAAATCGACCCTGACGCCTACCTCAAAAGTATACAGCACGATGAAGAGGACATAGTGGGAATGGAAAATGGCTTGGATACCGGAGAAGATGACGTCCCTATGTTAGACGAAGAGGAAAATCATATCGTTATGGAGCTCGAAAATGATGACGAGCTTTCATTTAACGGTAGCATACATGAAGAAGGCGAAGATCCCGTGGAGGCGGGAGCCGAAGGAAGCAAAGGAGCAAAGTTCAGCAGCCAGGCTTATAGCGAATACAATGACGAGGATGAGGATGAAAACATGAGCGATTTTGATGAGCCTTTTTATGAGGATCCTAAATTCGCAAATCTATATTATTGTGCTGGAAGTGACCAGCCTCTTTCACTCAGTACTTCGCTACCGCTGATATTGGATGACGAGAAGAGGAGAACTCTCGATAAGAAACAAACCAAAAAAAGGGAAAGAGAAGAACTAATAAGACGTCGGAAGCTTTCCAAAAAGCTTGACAAGGAGCGCAGGCAGCGTTCTGCGGCCACGGATTTGGACAACGAGGAATACCTCTTCAGCGTGTACTTCAAAAGCGACGAGGAAAAGAGGAACATAGAAGGCATTGAATCGTCACTACGTCAATTGGGCTCAGCGGCTGCTTCCGAAACCGATTATTCAAGTGACGAAGAATACGAGAACATTCTTCTAGACATCGCGAATATTCCTACTGACGAAGAAAGTCTACCCTCCTTCATAAATGGTGCAAATGCAGATGAAGGTGGGGATGATGATGAGGAAGATGATGACGACGACGAAGTCGATGATGTTAGTATGTCCAACGTCTTCATAGATATCGATGACCTTGATCCCGACTCGTTCTATTTCCAGTACGATAGTTCCGAAGACGAAGTACTGGATGTGGATGCGCAACGGGACCAGAAAACAGAATCAGGTAAAACATCGGGACCAGAGGACAAGAGCTTTGCAGAGACTGTTGTTTACATTGATGGCGAATCAACCGACGAGGATGAAACTTTGCCACCTCCTGACACCAGAAATAAAAAAATCGGTTCCAAGGCTAAAGAAGTTGTCAGCGCCAATGTTGTTGGCTTGAAACCACCAAAGTTGGGGACTTGGGAGACAGATGATAAGCCATTTAGTATCATTGATGGGCTGTCGACAAAATCGCTCTATCCACTTTTGCAAGAGCAGCAACTTTTGGGACAGCCTGTTATACAGCAGCAACCCATGTCAGCTAGTGAGCTAAGCGCCGCTGGTGAAAAGGAAGAATTGACGCTCAATGAGCTTCTCAACATGAGTGAACTCGACGATGAAGATGAAACGGGCGGCACCGCCAACAACAAACTTACTGCGTCAGAATGGTATGAGAAGCCCAAGGTTCCACTGTCAGCCTTTCGAAATAAAGGTGTTGATGTCACGCATGATGAAGAATATATGCTTCCAGTATTTTCCGCCAGAAAGGTTCCGATCGGGTATGTGGGCAGCGAAAGAACTAGGCGGAAAATCGACCGCATGAAATTACTTCAAAAGAAGAAGAGCGAGGAACGCAGAAAGCTGAAAAAGAAAAAGAAGCTTTTGAAGCTCAGAAGAGAGCGGGATAGACTTGAAAAAGAGAGACTTTCGGAAGTCGCTGCATCTAGCGAGGCCGGTGGAGTGGATGGAGAACCCACAACGCCTTTGAAACTGGAGGACAACGTTGGCGGTTTGGAAAAATCAATCGAAACTGGGATAGTTTCTAACGCCAATGCAGCGAACAACTCCATGGACGCTATGGACTTGGATGACATCAACAACCTTCTTGCCAATACAGAAAGCGACCTAGTTCCTCACCCGGGTCAAGACGGAGATCGTTTGGATGCTGCAGACGCCGATATTTTGGCCACCTTGACGGCTCCCGTGGACGTGCATCCCACAGACGAAGATCAAATCACGACGGGCGCTGCATGGAGAAGACGTCAAAGTGTTGTTGAGGCGGCTGCTGAAAATCTGCGTTTTACCAAAAGTGGTCTTTTCAGCGAAAGTGCACTAGCAGACCTCGAAGAAATAATAGGTGGCTCCGGTAATTCAGTCATTGAGTTCAGCGATGTTTTGCAGTGAGACCCAGTAGGGCGTTGTCACGTTGCATCCGAACAACCGTGCATGTACGATCGGCATATCGGTCACTTAGGTGGGTAAGCCAACTGGGTATAAGTTACAAAGGGGAACGATCAATAGATTTCGGTGCTCCAGCGGGTCTAGTAGCAATTTACTCAGGACGAAGACTTACATAACAAATGGGTAATAATAAAGTTATAGTTTTTCGAGCATTTCAGTTTTGACGTCCGAGGATTGAAGCCAAAAGCTGTGAGAATGAAGCATTCAAGTTTTTTTTCAAGGTTTCTCTTGGACGATAAGTTTGTCTGACCTTCTAGCGTCAACAAGGCAAAAAAGCCAAAATGGAGCTATCTGGACAAAAAACCAAGCGGATGTCTAGCATTTCACCGGAAATGAAACATAAAACAAACGAACTCGGTAATGATCACACCAAAAGCACCTTGGCAGAGCAGAATTCGTTAGCTTCGTTCTCGAACGTCACATGTTGTCGTAGTGGTATCTCGAAAATGGTGATATCATTTTAGACGTATCCGTCCTTCAAGCCAATTTGAAAAACTTTATTAGATCTCATCGTCCCGTCAAGCTCATCGCTAAGAGGCCAACCTTGCATATCCTAACGAGCTATCATCAGTTCGCTGCCGAAATGGATTTGAAAAGCCGTTATACAAACTATGAACTGCGACCATTTTATGCTGGCAGTGGTGCAGTTGCTTCCGTTTCAGAAGATGGAAAGCTTCTTGCAACTTCTGTGGTTGATGAGGTGATCGTCACAGAGCTAGGCTCTACAAAGCGAGAGTTGCATAAAATAGAAAACGGTGACGAGCAGGAAATCACAGCATTGCAACTAACTCCCGATGGTAACTTTTTGGCGTTTATGTCACAAGCCCAACTTTTGCGGGTTTACGACCTGAAGGCTAAAAAGGTAATTAGATCAATGAAAGTCTCTTCACCAGTCTACGTGATGGATTGTGACGCCAGTTCTACGCTAGTGGCACTCGGGGGTACTGATGGTAGTGTTACCGTAGTAGACATCGAAAATGGATATGTCACTCATTCGTTCAAGGGCCATGGTGGGACCATTTCCAGCGTCAAATTCTATGGCGAACTCAACAGCACTACATGGAGATTAGCTTCAGGTGATACCAATGGTATGGTGAAAGTTTGGGACTTGGTGCGCAGAAATTGTCTTTACACGATGCAAGAGCATACAGCCGCCGTGAGAGGACTCGACATGAGACTGCCCGAATCATCTGAAAACAGTACATTGGAACTGCTGTCAGGGGGAAGAGACGATATTATACACTTGCATCAACTTGGTCCCGGCAAAAAGGTGAAATTGATCAAGTCTATACCCGTTAATCAACAAATTGAAGCTTGTGGCTTCATCAGAGTGCCTGGGAATGAGGGTACCATCTATACTGCAGGAGGCGACGCGGTGTTTCAAATAACTTCTTTAGACTCGGGAGCTGTCATAAGGAAGACAAACAAGCCAAAAGAAGAGCTGTTCATAATAGGCGTCCTACCAATTCTTCAAGGCCTCCAAGCATATTTGGTGTTATCGGACCAGACTTTATTTTTGGCTGATCTGGAAGCATCTTTTGAGAGTTCTGGAGAAAGTATAGTCATAAACCAAAAAATCGCTGGTAATCATGGAACTATTGCCGACATGAGATTTGTTGGTCCTGAGTTGGACTTGCTAGCTTTAGCTACAAATTCTCCGGCTCTCAGAATTATTCCCACAGCAGGCTTTTTCTCTCGCCAGAAAAGAGATGAAAAAGATGTTGATGGTATTCAAGAACATTCGAAATCAACAGATGCGGGCTCAAGTCTGCCACTTGAGGTCGAAATTTACGAGGGACATACTGACCTTTTGAATGCATTAGATTCCACGGAAGACGGAAGATGGCTAGCAACATGCTCTAAAGACAATTCCGCCATGATATGGAGATTCAACTCAAAATCGGAGAAATTCGAGCTGTACGCGAAATTTGTCGGACATGCAGGTCCGGTAACAGCTGTTGGCTTGCCAAGTGTTATGCGCAAGGATTGGCCACTTTTCCTACTAACTGCGTCGAATGATCTGACAATAAAGAAATGGGCAATTCCAAAACCTAGTGTCGACGACAAGGCAGTTCACATCGTAAAATCATCCGAGTACACGCGAAGAGCTCACGAAAAAGACATAAATGCATTATCCATTTCACCTAACGATTCTGTTTTTGCTACAGCCTCATACGACAAAACATGTAAGATCTGGGATGTGGATACTGGAGAACTGCAAGGCACGTTGGCCAGCCACAAGCGTGGTCTTTGGGATGTTTCCTTCTGTCAATATGATAAACTATTGGCGACGGCGTCTGGTGATAAGACTGTCAAGATTTGGTCATTGGAGTCGTTTTCCGTGCAGAAAACGCTTGAGGGACATACGAACGCAGTTCAAAGATGTTCATTTATCAACAAAAATAAGCAAGTGGTGACTACTGGTGCGGACGGGCTGATCAAAATATGGGATCTTTCTACTGGCGAATGTATTCGCACCTTGGATGCCCATGATAACAGACTATGGGCTCTCAGCGTTCTGGAAGATGGTGAGGAGTTTGCAACGGCCGATGCTGACGGGGTGTTCCAGTTCTGGAAGGACAATAGCGAAGAGGAAGCCAAAGAAAATATGGAAAACGAGAAATTGAGAATTACCCAAGAACAATCTTTACAAAACTACCTTTCTCAAGGAGATTGGACAAATGCATTTTTGCTGGCAATGACGCTAGACCATCCTATGCGTTTATATCGTGTGCTAGACAGCAGTTCACATGAGCAGGACAAGAATTCCACTTTTGTCTTTAACGAGGAACTTGACAAAGTCATTGGCAGTCTTCAAGACGAACAAGTGCTGACGCTTCTGAAACGCAGTAGGGATTGGAACACAAACGCATCCACTCATTCAGTGGCCCAAAAGGTCATCCGTTGCTTGTTGATGACCCACAATATCGCAGCTCTCAGTGACATACCGGGCATTATGAACATTATCGACGCAATTATACCATACACAGAAAGGCACTTCACTCGAGTGGATGATCTGGTTGAGCAAAGCTATATTTTGGACTATTCGCTAGTCGAGATGGATAAGCTGATGTGAAGATGGATAAGCTCTTTTGTAGATACCAGTCTCTAGTCTCTAGTTTAACCAGGTGATTATCACGTTATCGTGATGGTAAATATTATATGTTACTTTGGCTAGCATTTGAAAAATTTAGACAATAATAAAGACCAGATGAGATGAGATGAGATGAACATGCGATGAGCTGTTGATCCAACGCTAGTATCCGTTTCTTTGATTTGATTCAACAAGAAATGGGTTTGAGCAATCCAGCTGTTGCCACTGGCTCCAGTAAAAAAACGAGAAGAAGTAAAAAAAGAAGAACTGCAGAAGTGTCTGATTCCGACTCTTCTTCATCTTCCTCATCGTCATCGGAAAGCGAATCTGAAGAGAATGGAAATGCTAATGAAATAGCTCTTGAAGAGGATGTAGACGACGCAGCACAGCTCCAGGAACTGGATGTGGAACTCTCGGACGCGGAAAGCTCAAAATTTGACGGTGCAGCCTTGAATCAGGACGAAAATATGGACAAGGCCACTCGTGAAGCCCTGAATGACATTCCACTAACGACAACAGAACTCTCAAGAAGCTCTTACAAAAATGTGAACAATATAGATCTGACCAAGATCCAGCAAACGCTCCAGGAAGCTGAAAAAAGGGTCTCAAGTGCTAAAGACCAGGGTCAGTTGAAAAATGCTTACTTGGGTGTGTTATTCAATCACTATGGTGAAGACGTCAATTCATTGCGGGAAGCCCAAGATTTCACTCCTAAGTCATTGGTGCTTTTGGCCAACGTGCTCAAAGATGGTGGCCAGATTTTCGACATCGACACGCTAAGAGCAGTGGTGGAATCGGAACAGTAGACATGATGATAAGGTTTCGATACTTCAGTGAATGGGGTTATGAGAAAGACTTGTACCAGCATTGAGTTTATTTGTAATTATGTAATATACAGCATCCCGAAGATGAAATGGATAGGAGGAAACGATCCAAGTGTGCCAAAAATTGGGAACAACTCGCCTTGATATCCGTCGAAAAAGAATTATTCAAATCGTTTTTCCAGACATTCCGAGTAAGAAACCAAAAAGGACCCCCAATTGTAAGCCCTCTTTAACTGTTCGATTCGTTCATTGATCAATGACTCTTACCATGAACCAAGCAGCACCAGCCGCCATACCTCCTACCGCGAGCATTTGTACACCTTCGCTAAACTTTCTACGAGTAGTGCAAGTGTCTCCCATGGATATGCTCGCCTTTACATACCCAAACCAGAATAGCGTTATCGACATCAATATTATGGAAACCAAAAGTCCAGAGCCGACTTTTTGCAAAAAGAAATAGGGGATCAACGGCACGAACCCACCAGCAAAATAGCCTCCTCCTATCGTGAGCGCACTTACAAGCTGGCGATTTTCTGCTGGCTCGTCGAGCCCTCTTCCATATCTGATGATGAAGTCCACCATGAGTTCTGGAGTCTTCTGTAGGTCTTTGATGAACGACACAATAGTTTCGTCGGAGAAATTGGGGTTAATTTCCAGTAGAATATCTTCAATTTCGTGGTTTATCAGGTTCGTGTTATTATAAAACTTGCGTTTCTCTTGGCTAACCTCAGCGTGGTAGTAATCAGACTCACTTTTGGCTCCCAAGTATCCACCGAGACCCATAGAAATGGCGCCGGAAACCAGCTCTGCAAACCCACCAGTGATGACCAGTTTGGAGTCTCCCAGAGACGACAAACCAGCTGTCAAGGCAAATGGAACCGTAAGGCCATCGCTGAGCCCGATGATCAGATCGCTCATGAGGCGTGGATCGATAGATCCGAAAAGTCCGCCCCGGCGTTCCTGACGTTTGTCTTCCAGTTTACCGCGTTCTTCGTCGCTAGTGCTTGCAGACTGGTAGGACAAATCGGCATCGCCGGTTCGAGACAAAGAGTTACTGTCGCTTGTCAACAAAGGAGCGTTTTCGGAGCCTCCTCCAGACACCAACTTCGCAATGGCGTTTTTTAGAGCAACGATTGACATTTTATTACAGCGGTGCTAGACGGATGACAGAATCTTGTGAGGATTGTTTTTGGGTGCAATGGAGTGTGTGCAAAAAGCTAGTTTTTGAGTACGATAAAGACAGTGATAGATTCCGTGAAAAGACCCTCGTAAAAGCCCAGCTTGTCAAAAGTCCTTGCAATTTCACTTGCACTTTTCAACTTTCCACAAAGTCTTGAGTAGCCAAACAATCAAAACTGTAGTAAACGGGTGAAAACTTGACGGATTTTTTCGCCTGAAAGTCGATCTAGGAAAAGCCCTATGCTGTTTTGAAGCTTGGATACTATCTGTTGATCACAAACTGATGATTTTATGTTGAATACACGACGGAGTGTTGTTCAAAGGTTTGTTATAAGTACTGAGCTGAGTGAGGTCTTCAATTTAATAGTTTGAGATACTCTTCCACGAAACATGTAGGTACGTTTGTACGATCCAATGAAAGGGCGTTCCATTAGTAAACCTTCAAAAGATGTATGCGATGCGCATAATGTCACAATTATTTGAACTTGATTGATGGCGTTTACCGGATTTTTTATCTTTCGTTTTGTTTGGGACGTTTTGAAGCTTGAAATGAATCAGATGGGGAAACGTTGGACGAAAACTATTCAGAAAAGGGCAAGAATTAAGATAATTGAGAGAACGACTAAGGAGTGAATTTTAGGAACTTGTATGTGACAGGGCTGACATTGTTTTGGTGGGTTAGTTAAATGTCAGGATTTTCTTTATGTTTAATATTGTTGTCTAGTTTTTAGTATTTTAGAGTTTATTAATTTATACAGACGCTTAATCTTACAGAATGACAACAAACAAAGCAGGGATAGTCTATCAATTATAAGGAGGAGCTGTAGTACGTATGAGGAATCTGGCTAGATGGTGCACACTATCTTGTTTTACTTGAATGATTGCGTTTGATGATTAGGTTCGCGCTCCGTATTGTTGACCAGGTTTTGTTAAAAACATGCAGCGACACGTTCGTATATAGTGATAAGAAGATCCAAACAATAACAACAACAACAACAACAACCGCATGTTACGATTTCAAAGACTATTATATTGACGTTCATGATATCAAGACAAAAACCGAATGTGTGTGTGTGCTTCTGTGTTTTTCGAATCTCGGGCGACTCAATGCCTATATTCTTTAGCACTTCAATCAGCAACATATCATCCTTCACGAATCATCAATTCCCAAGCTTTAATTCTCATATTCCCATTACTATTATACAAATCTACATTTCTGGAGTGGTTTTAGAATGTCTTGTTCTTAACAAAACACCAAACCACTGGCTGCGTATTTCGTCAGTTAACCCAACTCCGTTTAGGCCTGGGTGGACGAAGAGTACTTGGTGACGGCTCTGGTACCTTCAGACACCGCGTGCTTGGCCAACTCACCGGGTAGGATCAATCTGACAGCGGTCTGGATTTCTCTGGCGGAGATGGTCGATTTCTTGTTGTAAGCGGCCAACTTGGAGGCCTCGGTAGCGATTCTCTCGAAAATGTCGTTGACGAACGAGTTCAAGATCGACATCGACTTTTGCGAGATACCGGTGTCTGGATGTGTTTGCTTCAACACCTTGTAGATGTACGAGGAGTAGGTCTCCTTTCTGACCTTGACTCTCTTCTTGTTGGCATCGGTAGAAGACGCGGTCTTCTTGGCAGCTGGTTTCTTCTCGGCTGGGGCTTTGGAAGCTGGCTTCTTTTCGGCTTTGGCAGACATTATTATTTGTTGTGTGTTGGTGGTATAGGTAGCGATTAAAGCGTGTTTGTGCTATGGACTATCTATCTTAACAGATTATTCATGTTTTTTTTTGAAATAACTGCCACTCAACTTCCTCGCCCTTATATACAATTTTTTTCCTGTGCCAAACGCCAAACGCCACTTTGCGCGCGCCTTTCGCAACACGTCCCAGATGGCCACCAAATATCCACTTTCAAGGGGCCCAGTTTGTTCGCATGTGGCTTCTCTTCAGGCGCGAAAACCTCGGTCCGTCTACGTCTGGTAAATTAATTTTTTCATCAAAAATTCCCCAATTCGGAAGCGACCACGCTCGCCCATAATGAAGCAGGCGATCGCGTTTCCTGGAAAATTAATTTTTTGACACCTGAAAGGAGCACTATATTGGCATTCCAAAGTATTCGCGATCGATGCGAACAAACAGGACCGGGCATCCCAAAAAAATCAAACACCAGTTCGCTGCTAACAAGCGAGACCGCGCATACCGTACGCTTGCACAGGAGGACTAGCAGCAGCAATAGTCAGGTCTGTAGTGAATGTGTTCGTGACAGGACCAGGAAATCCAAGGAAAAAAAGTATATAAGGGCCATGGATTAAGAGCCTAAAGGGAAGTAGGAGTAGTTACAACAGCATTTCAAAGCACAATTTAACGCTACACTACACAACACACTACTAAAACACACAATACAATAATGTCCGGAAAAGGAGGTAAAGCAGGCGCCGCCGCTAAGGCATCTCAATCTAGATCGGCCAAGGCCGGTTTGACTTTCCCAGTCGGTAGAGTCCACAGACTTTTGAGAAGAGGCAACTACGCCCAAAGAGTCGGTTCTGGTGCCCCAGTGTACTTGACTGCTGTTTTGGAATACTTGGCTGCCGAAATCTTGGAATTGGCCGGTAACGCCGCCAGAGACAACAAAAAGACCAGAATCATCCCTCGTCACTTGCAATTGGCCATCAGAAACGATGACGAACTAAACAAGCTTCTGGGCAACGTTACAATCGCACAAGGTGGTGTTTTGCCAAACATTCACCAGAACCTGCTTCCAAAGAAGTCCGGAAAGCCAGAAAAGGCTTCGCAGGAGCTATAAACGCTTGGGTAATGGCAATAATAACAACACCAACACCAACACCAACAACGATGATGACTAGCATTTTTATAGGTTGTTTTCTGCAGACCCGGGAGGGCCCAACAAGACTGATTTCTTTGTCTTGAGAAGGCCGCTGCAGAGACTAGTTTTTTGTATATTAGGAGAACAGATGTTATGGTAATAATGATTTGTGAAATTAAAAGTAGAAGACCACTAGAGCTACGTTTTTGACATTTCCTTAGTCTTTAGAAGTTTTGAGAAGTCTTGAGAAGTCTTGAGAAGTTAGTTTTGTTTCGTTTTCCGGCTGGATCGCTTGAACAGTTTTTGAAGAAAATTAGGTTTCTTAGTAGACTTTTGAGAGCTCTTTTCCGTAGGTTTCGGCCGATTAGCCACCTCTGGCACTTCGTTGATGCTCCCACCGGCCAACTTAGGTTGTTGTAATTCTTGTTTCTTGCCTGCTAATGATCCCCTTACGCTCTGTCTGGAGAAATTGGCCTGAGAACTGGATACTGACGACGCGAGCGTTGACGCTCTCGGCTGCGGCTCGTGAATAGCTGGCGCGACGAGCTCTTCACCGGAAACGATGTCACTAGACATACGCTGAACAGGCATCGAATCCATCTGCTCTGGACTAGCCGTTGGGACGTCAGTGGGGGCTGGCGGACCATCTAGAGCTGTGACTGGCACAGCCGCAGGTTCTTGCGGCTCCCTTTCTAATACTCTGACAGACGTACTTTGAGGTTGGACAGGCAAAACAACGTCTGGCGCGTCCGTTTCCAAAGGCTCCGCTGTGACAGCAATTATAGGACCCTGCACCCGCGTTCCACCGTCTTCAATTGCCCCACTATCTTGCGCTCCATCAGTGGCCCCAATTTTTGCAGAGGGTTCGATTTCTGGCTCCAAAAAATTGTTGACCTTGTCATGAAACCGATCTTCATGTGGAAGCTCTTGTCTCTTGAAACTTGAATCGCTGGTTCCTGATAGCCTGTCTTCATTATCCAGCTTGAATGCCTCCTTACCAGAATCTGATCTAGTTTCAGCCACAAATTGTTTCCCGTTTTTATTTTGATAACCATAGTTTTCCTGGCTGAATTGAGCCACCTTGCTGAAGAAATTCTTGACCTTTGAACCAGAGCCAGCAGGTTTCGAAGGTGGATCCTCAGCTTTTTGACCTTCTTGACGGGTATTTTCCGCATAAGACCCTTCAGCAACGTGGATCTCTGTAGACGGAAGGTTTTCGCCGGCCGCGTACCTTGCGCGAGCAAGTTCCACAGCTTTGGCATGTATTTCCTCGTTAGTCATTGGAGGTGCTCTTGTTGAGATACGGGCATTGGTTGGTGGTTGACCCCTTTGCGTCTTTTTTTCCCCAACCGATGGATTGGGGTCAAGGACGGCTTCGCTTTCCGGTCGACCTTGCTTTTGAGCCAACATTTTCAGCGAGAAACTCCGACGCTTGACTCTTTCCTGAGGCACCGCACCCACCGGATTTTCGCGCAAAGAGCTCATCCTGTTGACAGCAGGCTGTGGCCTACTTGCGGAAACCTCATTTTTCTTTTCGGGCTCATTTTCACCGTAGACTTTCTTGCGTGCAGCTTCCAAGGCCTTTGCATAAATCTCCTGCTCCGTGAGCGCCTTTTTGGGCTTTTCTTGTCTTTTGACCTTACGAGGTGCCACCGCTTTAGGGCGGTGTTCCACCAACTTGCGTTGTGGCAAGTAATCAACGGCGTCACTGAAATCGGCATCGTCGATATCGATATTATTGTTGTCCTCGTCGTCATCCTCATTGTCTTCTTCTCTGAGCGTATCAGAAACTCCGGAACCTGCACCGAACCTGTCCAGTTCGCTGAGATACTGGTGCTGCTGGTCATAGTTGGAATCCACATCACGTGACAGGTCTGTAGTGAATTCGTTGAATTGTCTCTCCGAATCCTGAGGCACAGCCGAGTTTGTTGTGGTCGTAGTTGTTTCTACGTATTCGTAGCCATTGACGCGCCGGACCGTTTTCTTGGTAATTGAGTGGGTTCTCCCACTGAGGTCCCGTACTTCTGTAGTGTGCACCGTCACCATAGAATTGCTCCGGGACGATGCTTTTGCCGGGGCTGCTGCTGATGCAGGCCGTTTCCCAGCTCTGGTGAGCGATCCTACCCGCTCGCTGTTCCCATTGTGACGCAGGCTATGACTGCGATAGCCTGCCGTTTCTGGTCGTGCATGAACTGGTTTCCTGGAGTGGACTAATGACTGACTCCGGCCAGTGGAAGCAGCAGCAGCAGCAGCGGAGAGTCTGGACCCGGTATCATTTTCGTTCTTTGTTTGATAGTGGTAATCGTATCGCGACAAATCTGGCACCTTGCGAGGCTTTTTGTTGATTCCCAGACCCATTGATATTGTGCACTTGACGATGTCAAAGGGTTGCTTGCTGCGATGGTCCGTGAGTCTCTTCATCTTTAATTCTATATATATTAAATATATTACGCTGAGAAAAGTTTCGGAGACATCACGTGATTAGTTGAGATTATACCGATAAATTTGACAGAAACTCAACAGACAATTGACGTTTTAGTAGCATTGTAATGGGTCGCAGATAGATGCGTTTGGTGGCTTGTCTTTTTCGGCGTCTTGGTGTTTGTATTGGCTGCGAAAAAATGTGTTTTTTTGAGTATGTTATTGGGTCGTTTGGACTATTGAGCATTTGAGGTGTGAAAAAATGCCATATGGAGGGCCCGTGATAGACATATTGTAGTGAACTGTGCTGCAGGTATCTAGTTTGCGTGTGTGAGGCTTACTTTCGGTAGTTTGACTTGTAAGTCAGCTGATCGTATATTGGTTGATAAGTAGCATGTGATTATTAAGTACCAATATATAGCCTTTATTTTTTTCTAGGGCAGCAACTCGTCCTTGTTAGCTCAGTTGGTAGAGCGTTCGGCTTTTAAGCACCGCTTGCAAGGAACCGAAATGTCAGGGGTTCGAGCCCCCTATGAGGAGTTGCTTATTTTTTTGGATTCCAAAGGGTTGTCGAAGTCATCTAGGGGTACCCAGTTAACGCTCTTCGCCCCTTTACGCATTACTGCAATGTTCAACTTGTGTCTGTGCACTCCATTTGAAAAGTCGGTACTCTAGATCACGAAGAACGAGCCTTTTTTAAATCTGCCGTCTGGAACTACAGCCCGTTTGGGATGCACTTGGTCTCATATTCTTGTACAGGAGTGATCAAGGGGAGGGAAGCGGCATGCTATAATAGCGACGTACCAGACTTTTCAGCTAGATTTTTTGTTGAATCTTCTTATTTCTCCAAAGCCTCCACATACTATCACTTCTTGATCTATAACTTGGCCCAGCATACGTCAGTATCTTGTGCCCGAGTGACGACAGTAAGACTACTATAAGAATATGTCCAAATCTCCTATTCCAACAATTACTCGCAGTTGGTGCGGTGGTTGGGTTAGTACCAGTTCCCGGGTTCGATCCTGGGAAGGGGCGCTCAGGAATGATTTCTAGTCATTTTCAACGATGTCAGTTTGGCCGAGTGGTTAAGGCGATAGACTCGAATCAGTTGTCCTCTTGGGACAGGGTTGCAATCTATTGGGCTCTGCCCGCATCGGTTCAAATCCGATAGCTGACGTATCTTTTTTTGGATGAGTTTCACAATAGTAGGTGTCCATACGGAAAATTCCTGACTGCGGTGGTTTTCTGCACAGTCCTAGGTCACCGTTCTATTGATAAAGCCTTGGTAATATTTGATTATGTAGTCCCATAGAAGTAGGCTTTCGGCGTAATTTTCGTCAGAAGCGGTCTTGCATGTTGACGAGGTTTCGAGGAAATATAACAACGTCTAGTATATAAGAAAGGTGTCGGATACACCTCTAAGATGGAGCGTCGGACTTTTGAAAAAGTGATCTCAAGCTCGTGACACGATGACAGCGTCAGGTTTGATAAAAATCCAACTTCGAGGCATCAAATTCCTCGCTTCCTAGCGCTCAAGATGCAAGGGGTAGCGAGTAGTACCAAATTTGTAACACGACACATCTGTAAAATTATTTGACATTGATTATTCGTCCCACCACGTCCATGCCAGTGAGAACTTTTCACTTCCGTTGATAGTGAAACAATTTTTAAAAATGTTGTGAAATGGCACTTTTTGACCAATTCACAAAACCATCATCTATACAGTAGTTTGATAACTCTATAAGAGTAGTATTTCAATTTCAATGGAACAGAAACCTCGGGTAATAAATGGTTGTCGTACTGTGACACTCTAGAGACTCAACTGGATTTTTACAATGTTTAAGAACGAGTTTTTATGGCTCAAATCTCAATGCACACTGACATCCTTTACTTAAAATCAGCCCTATGGTCAAACACGGTACCCTTTTGTCATTTGTTTGAGCTGTCTCATATAGCTGTTTTTTATAGTTCTTTGGCCATTTTGATAAATCTGACGCTGTCATTATGTCACGTGTGTGTTTGAATTTGCTATGAATCTAAGTAGTGTTTACGCTCATTGTCACGGGGCAACAACCCTTCTATTCCCACAGTGTTATTCCTTAATGCAAGTGAATTACCATTTTTAAACAGGTAGAGTGCAAGTACATTGTTCCTTAATGTTCTAATTGTACGGACGGTATTCTTGTAATTTGATTTAACTGTGTCGCTCAATGCAATATTTAGAATCGTTCCACTATCAATATAAGTGAAAAAATATCGCTAGCATGGACGTGATCTGACGACTGAGACGACTGAGAGAAAAGCTATGGCATGATGGTGTAAGATATATTCAGATGGCAATGATTCATCTCTCGGTCTATGGACTCTGTGGAGCTAGGAGTCTGGCTATCGAAATTGGGAGTCGATCAGTCTGACGCTGTCGTTGATCACATGCCCGTACTTTGAGTGCGCCGTGTAGTTTATCGTTGGATACGAGCACACTAATGAGGTAATCCGTCCATAAAGGGTAATAATTAAGTACGGATCAATTCATAACTTAAAAAAAGTCAGGCATTGTGAACGAACACGGTTTTTTATCCGCATTCATACGTGTCCGCGTAAGCGTGGGCAAGCCGCTATCAAATCAGTTCAGAAATGCAATATTATTCCGAATCTTCGACATTCGTCCAGCATGATTTCCCCCTCAAGCTTCAATTTGAGAGCTTGGGGTATCTGTTGTCAAGAAAAGAGATTTAAGCTAAAGCTAGAAAGTCCATGATTCAAGCCTAGTCTTTTTTCAACGGGAAGTACTAGTAAACACATTATGTTCGTGTACTATGACTAAAATAAATTGCAACCAGTTTTAGTTTAAAGTGATCAACTTCTCAAAAGTGAAAGTCATTAAAAACGTAGCGTCTCTATTGGGTAATATGAGCTTTAAAACTGCAGGTTGTCGTTTTACATGCTCGCCTTGTATGCAGTTGTATCACGGTTACTAAAGCTGTCCAATAGCTACGCATCAGTCACGAAATGCTGTGATAAATTGATCTTTGACGGGAAACATAATTTCAAACATTTAATCGTGCGATGCTTTCCTCTTTCATTGTGCCATTCTTGTATGCGTAAAAGTAGTTGTGTTTTGAATCAATCATCGTGAGATTTTATTCTGAGAACTATTTACAAAGAAACCTCTTAATATTCCCATTTTCTTACAAAACAAAAAAATGAACAAAATTCAAGTAGGCAACAAAAATAAGCATCTTCCTGTTTGAATAGCCACAACCTTCACACTCATTGACCGCAAACAATGCCGGGCAGCTCAAATTCAATTTTACATAATTTCTTATTTTTTCAGTCTTCCAACTTCGAACAAATACATGACTTCTCGAACCAAAATAATAGTGTGATCTCTACAGATTTCATATCCTGCTTAAGTACTCAGACAAACCCGATCTCCGTTGAATCTTCACAGTTCAATTCTCAGTACAGTTTGACAAAATCGATTCTGTCGCTGTCGCGCATCACGTGACCAATCTCGAGTTTTCCTCTGGAAAAAAAAATTTGAACATATGTGCTTCAAGAACTCTTGTCAATTCTCTCTCTCGCTCTCTACCTCTTTACAAGCGATTACAACAGCCTCGATTAGTATTCAATCGAATTCCATCTTTAACGACTTCACGACCTCCACGAAAACAACATGGCCCAGCAAGATTTGAAACACGTTCCTGAATCCATCAGAATGGTGCTAATTGGACCACCAGGTGCCGGAAAAGGTACTCAGGCTCCAAACTTGAAAGAGCGTTTCTGCGCCTGCCATTTGGCTACCGGTGACATGCTAAGATCGCAAGTTGCACAGAAGACTGCTCTTGGCCTGGAAGCCAAGAAAATCATGGACCAGGGTGGTTTGGTGTCGGACGAGATCATGGTCAACATGATCAAGCACGAGCTGACGACAAACTCGGAGTGTAAGAATGGATTTATCTTGGACGGGTTCCCAAGAACAATCCCACAGGCCGAGAAGCTGGACCAGATGTTGCTCGAGCAGAACAGACCTCTGGAAAGAGCTGTTGAATTGAAGATCGACGACGAATTGTTGGTCTCCAGAATCACCGGCAGACTGGTCCACCCAGCCTCTGGCAGATCCTACCACAAGATCTTCAACCCTCCTGCCAAGGACATGAAGGACGACGTCACCGGCGAAGACCTCGTCCAGAGAAGCGACGACAACGCCGACGCTTTGAAGAAGAGACTTGGTGCCTACCACCAGCAAACCGAGCCAATTGTCGATTTCTACAAGAAGACTGGTATTTGGGCCGGTGTTGACGCCTCTCAACCTCCAAAGACTGTGTGGTCCGACATCTTGAAGTGTCTCGGCAACTAAGCAGCAATGGAGTGTGTCTGTAATCTGTCCAACTGCACGATAACGAAAAAAACAAGTTAAAACAAAAACAGAACAAGGCCGTACTAGACAAAACAGCGATGGATATGTGAAGCTTACGCGCTGACTTCCTTATATACTGCTATACTTCTACGAATTTATACATAGTCTTAGCTGCATAGACAGGCCTTCCAAGCCTACTACTGTCTGTCCTGATCATTAATCTCTATTTAATAATTAAAACAAATAATTCTAGGAAAAATACAACAAGTACACAGCTAACAACCTGTTTCAAACCACAGCTGTACACACAAATAGCGTCAGACCCACCAGATACCAACACACCTTAATACGCACAATCCAATTATACTAGGGTCTTCTCTGATGTATAGCGCTAAAGCCCCTTCGTCGCCTAGTGAAATGGATCAAACTGGGAACGGTGATGAGTACTCAGGACCGGTGAAAGCAGCCAAAATTCACATATTCAAATCAACTCCCAGCAAAAAAGAGCCGGTGGGAATAACAACTACATCACCACGTAGCCTGTCTCGTGGGACTTCATCAGAGGGTAGTAAACTGCTACAGTTGCTCAAGTCCAAGACCGTGAAAAGTGAGCAGTCGCCCAAACAGATGGACAGACGTAATTCAGACCAAAGCCTGACGTGGGTTAGGGAAAATTTTGAATCTGTGTCAGAGGACTCCACCGCTCAATCGAGAGAAACTGAAAAGAATGGCTCCACCAAAAGTTTTCATGATCGGGTTTCTCGCTGGATATTGCTCCCCTCGCCGTACAAAGTGCCCTCATCCAAAGCTAATCCTAGGCGAGTTTCTGCTGATATGTCTGCACAGACCAATGGCCAGGAAGCCAGGGATACAGAGAGCTCGAATCCAGTTTCCAATGCAATTGAATTTCCTCTCCCAACTGCAGCTTCAAGGGTTCTGGACCCACCACCGGCGGATCCTGAACGGTCTTTGGAGATTCCTCTGATGGCCAGCGGCTCTACAACAACTAATAATACTAATACTGTGCCTCCTGCTGAGCTCCATTCAAAACCGTCCTCAGCTCCAATAGTTCAAGAAATGATAAGCCAATCCCCAGCAAAAAATGTGGTCACAAAAACCTACCCACTGGCTTTAAAGAATGTATTGCACCGAAGTCCTGTTGAACAGGGTTCTATATTTCCTTCCGGCCCCAAAGCTATGCGTTTTAGTGATGGCACACCTACAAAGGACGGTTCTACAGCGCTTGAAATGGAACAAACTCATCAGCGAAATGTTTTACCAACAAAATCTGATCAGCTTGCGCCCGAAGAGAAAAGTACGCACTCACAAGTAGTTGAGGAGGTAGCCACTCCATTGAATCCCGAAATAAAATCTTCCGCAGGAAGTACATCAAACAATCACCCAGATTCAGAACCAAAAGAAGCGAGTGTACCGTCAAATTTGATTAGTTCTAATTCCCATGAAGGGCCGGCAGAAGTAGAAACTTCAGAACAAAATCCTCAAATCCAGTCAGGAGTGGACAAGCCCGCTTCTCAACAGAGCACAGCTAGACCGGGATCAGAAAATGCCGGAAATCAGGAAAGTGAGCGCAGCGCGGCCGTAGTGACCAAGACTTCAGTTTCTAAAACCGTATCTTCCGAAGAGCGTGCAGGTTCATTGAATACAGTTGAAGCCAAGAAAGCTCCTCATGAATCGCTAGCATCAAGTCGACCAAGCTCTTCTTCAAAAGGAGAAAACGAAACAGGCAAACCCACCATCCAATCACAAGCACCTGCTACCCCCCCACTGAATAACGCCCCGGGAACAAAGAGTCATGCAAAGGGAAGCACGGAACAGAGACGAAATTTGGTGTTGAGGAAAGACAAAGTTCCTCCCAAGAGTCGATTGTCCACATCCCCATCTCTCGAGGCAATACGACGAGTTTCGATCCCTACCTCGCGAATGTCAAGTGGTAAGGGGTACAGACCGCAGGTAGGTACCGTGTTTGACGTATTTTTAAAAGAGAAGAGTATTTCCAGTTTACAGCCGACTCCCGTGCGTCCCTCAGACCTCGGTGATCAACTTCTAGTTGGTGACAAGAGCGAGTTGTTCGAAGCACTTCATACCCAAACTCCAAATGCTTCTGTGGTGGGCGCCAAAAACAATGAGAAGCGGAACGAACCGCATGACTGGAATACCGGCTTTTCTTGGTCAACTAAAATCACAATGGGTAATGGTTTAACAGCACGTAACGATACTTCGGGAAATGCCTCCTTTGTGACAAGGTCGGCCCCACCCATTATTGGACTGGATGCTAGAGAGGATAAGCTCTCTGGTCTTAACAGGTCATATCCAGAGCGCTACCCAGTACAAGGTCCAGCAAACATGACCCAACCTTCCATCAGTTTGGGGACGCCATCGATGTCGGTTGAGAGAATGCTCGAAAATGGCGGTGCATGGACTAATGGTGATAAGGGACGTGATGTCAGACAGCTGCGAGAAACACTTGTCAAGTCTCAGGTGCGCGAAAATCCGAATGTGCAGGCAAGTTCAAGACACACCCGAAGAGAATCAAGCGAAGTAGACGAAGGAAAAGAAAAAGACCTCTTCAGACAGGCTGGGCTCATTTCGCCGAGCTCACGCTCTGCTGAGAGCTCATCGTCTACCCCATTTCTCAGGACCTTTCTTACCACCAATGTGGTTGATGGTACTGATCAGTTTGCTTCGCAAAATAGCCAAGCAACCAAAGAAAAAAGCAAAGACGCTTTTGGACTAGTCGATTCCGCTCCGACGGGCATTCATGCTGATCAGAGCTTGCCGTCTACTCCACCTCCCAAGGTTCCCGAATCTACTAATAAATCTAGCAGCAGGATGGAACAGGTCGTTACGAATCAGCTTGGTGGCCACTTAGACTTCCAAAATGCTCTCAGTCAATCTCCAAAATCTTTGACCGAGAGGAAAAGATTAGGAAGCAATGAATTTACTGACGATAGACCATTGAAGAAGAGCGGATTAAGTCAAGCAGTACCACAATACGCCAATGGTAAAAAAAATGTGGTTATTCGAGATCCCGTTAACGGTTCAAGACCTGCAAATAACTTTAAAGCATTCTCCAGTTTGCCAGGCCGTTTACATACCGTTGGTTCGAAAGCATCGTCTTTACAAACAGGCCAAATTACGAGGAGCATCAATGATCAGCAAATGAGTGGTCCGATGCCTCAGGCCTTGGCGAAAGACCTCAGAGTCAAGCTCAGGTCAGTCAAAGATGTGCCTTCTAAAAAATCTTTGTTACCTGATATGAAGCCATTGAAGGAAGTAGTTATTGGGATCGCGATACCAGAGATGATAGAGTCGGGAATGGCTCAAGGGTCATTTTCAACACACGCAATCAATCCTTCAGAAAAAATTGCTGCTCCTCTATTACAGAGAGCATCAGACCCACAACTGGGGAACGTATCGAGTGGGGACTCGGGTGATGCTTCATCTGACTCTTCCGAGCACTCAGCAAAAGAAACAGACAGAAGCGCTCTCAGAAGTAGAAAAGATAGAGCTAAATTTCCAGCGATTGATTCGGAGTTAGGGAAGTCATTCCTTGAAGCGCCTTCCCCACATCTTTATTCAGACCCGCTGTTAGCATCTATTGAGCGGAGTGTAAATGCAGCTTCTTCGAAAGCAAATGCGACACCTCCGACAGCTACTTTCACGAGCCTGAAGAACCCTGAAGAAGACCGCAAAAAGACAGAGCGCTTAGTGGCTCGTCGAATAGGCGCGGAACTGGCTATTGCCAAAGGTCTGAACAAAAAGATGCTTGTCAACTTAATATTATCCGGTGTTATTGCATGCTCTCCTCTGAAGTCCGGTCGTCTCGTCACAAGCAGTAATGACATTTGCAATAACAACAACTATGAAGAAAGTCCTGCCTTATACCTTCAACATCTATCAAAACGAGCAAGATTAGAAAGCTCTGCTTTCGATAGAGCTCAGGTTCCAGTCCTTGATAACCAAGTAACTGTTCTCGACAAGCTGACAGTGGAAAGCATAAGAAAAGGTTTGCGCGATGCTTGTTTCTATATTGACAAGGGTGAGGTAGACCCCAAGGACCTGAACAAGCAGAACATAGTTCATGAGCGAGTGATGAAACTGAAAGATTTTCTTCTACGATTGGGGTGTCTAACATCCGATGCCAAGTCCCCTTACGTCAATATTATAGTGCTCATCAACGACCTGGTTGGGCTAAAGAGCGATGTAAGGTCCTTCGAATACTCAGGTACACAAATTTGGAACTACGAATACGCAGTGAGGCTCTTCGAACTCGTCAGCAGAACGGGTGACTTTTTTACCAACAACGAGGGTAGTTACAGCCTAGGAGCCTCACCTAATCGCAGGTTGACGGAGAGAGTGGAGCGTCGCAGCGACGCTTCAAAGGTCATGACCGAATTACCACATAAAGTCACCGATCCTAAAGATACCGATCTAAAAATGGCATTGACGCTGGAAGAAGAACGAGCTAATCAAATACTAGCCAGGCTCGAAGAAACAAAAGCACGCGATGGTGGTTGTAGGTTGTTTGTGGAAAGCGTAAGCTCAAGTGACATTGACGTCATTGGGGATGGTCTTGATAATCTCACCGACGTAAGGCCCCGGACTTCAGATAAACTCACTGACTCAAGGTCTCAGATCTCAAACAACGTAACCGACCTGAAACTCCGCACCTTAGCTAGTGAGACTATCAAGGACCAGTTCAAAATAGCGTCGTTGCATGGTCGCCTTTCGGCAAAAGATAAAGAGATTGTACGTCTGACATCGAGGCTAACGGAAGAGCAACGTCGGATAGAAAAATGGAGACTTGTTTCGAGCTGCTTAGCTCCGAAGGTCCTCGAAGGCATAGCTGAGACTGAAGCTGAATCAAACAGATGTTTCATTCCTCAAGAAAATGAAAGCCAAAACGAAATGCAGCTTGTTACACCTTCGAACACGGACTCGCAAAGTGGAGTTTTGGACGAGAGTGTAGTCGAGAATATTCATGTGATAAAAAATGCGCTACACGCAAGGCCTGGATCTGGTGGTCATGGGGATCAAGTAAGTGCTAAAGGGCAAGCAGGACTAGGATCTGCAAGAGATCAATTAGCACAAGCATCACAAAGCGATGATCTATTCTTCTCTCGTATTATAGCTCTTTCGAAAAGGGTTACGAATACGATATCGTCGGAACAAGAACTGCGTAAGCTTGTTGATGATCTAAAGAGCGAGCGCAAGACTTTGGAGGAAACTTTGATGACTACAATGCAGGAAAGGGAAAGCGAGAAAAAAGAGGCTGATCAAAAGCTCGTCGCTTCCCAGCAAATAATTGATGAGCAGCGGCAAGCCATTTTATCACTGAAAGAACAAGTGAAAGGAGAGAAAGTCAAGAGGAAGGCCTTGGGCGCTAGCCTCAATGCTTTAATCTCGTACCAAAACTCAGGCGAGGAGGAGGATTCAGGCAAAGAGGGTCCAGAGTAAGTTTCGCGTCAGGATACACATAAGTGATGTTTCAGTCAAAGATAGTAAAGCTTACACGCCGCACCGAAGCGTGGTGGTGACGGCCGTTTGTAGATAATAATCAAAAAGCTTTTGGGAGTAATGCAAAGATTCTATATACGTTTCCCTAACCTCTATAGTCGTTGCGGGCTATGATCTAGTCCTTCGTCCAGAACAATCAGCCTGCTAAATCTTTTAAACGCTCCAATCCCTGGTGAAGAGCTTGCTGTGGAGCACTGCTTGCAGCCTCGTGGAAGCATGTCGCATGGAAATATTTGCCCTGCGATTCAATGCAGTTCTGCCAGATCCATTCCCCAGTTTCGTCGTCGTAGACAGCGGACTGGTCATCACGACAAATTGGGCACTGGAAGGACATATTTACCGATGTCTCTGGGACCACGACACGTTTCTTTGCCAGATTGGGGACATCAGTTACTGCAGCTGGCCCTTGGCCCGCTGTCGCGCGATTGACCGTTTGGTCATCAGAACCAACATCCAATTTGGCCAGTGTTACAGGGTCGTTGTCTGACCTTGTGGTGGAGACGATTTCCTCATCGTTGAAATGTTGCCACTGGCGTTCACCCAAATACCAATTTCTGGATTGAATGTTCTTGACTGAGGTACCGTTGGCGCCCAGAGTGCCCTTAATTCTCTTGTTGATTCTAAAGTGCCAATCCAGATGGTCTCTTTCACGTCTTTTCTCGTCGTCTGAAGTCCCAAATCTCTTTCCACAGGTACTACACTTATTGGGCTTGTACCTATACAACAGGTGTTTCAATTGTTGCACAGCAGTATTGTCTTCGATTATGGTTTGTTGACAAAGCTGCAAGTTGGGTACTTTCAAAATATCGAGACCATACGCTGCGAAATGAGATCTCACGTCTCCTAAAATACCTCGCATAAGGTGTGATGGCGGTAGTTTGACTTGCTGACTTTCATCAACATGTTTTAAAAGAGTACTCTCTAATCTTACAATTGATTGCTTGGGAATGGGTCGAATCAAACCCTCTTTGGTGAGCGAGTCATATAGATTCTGAACGCGATCTGCTTGTCGCGAAGAATCGGAGGGTGGAACGATATTGCTGGCATTGGGGAAGAACGATGAAGATGCTGAAGAGGGGCCAAAAAGTGGGATCACTCCTGGATCCAGTGGCGTTGGTGTTGGTTCTTGAGAAGGCGACGCACTTATGGGGAAGGAGCTTTGATGCACATTTTTCTGCAGATTATGCTGTTGCTGTTGCTGCTGTTGCTGTTGCTGCTGTTGCTTTCGAAGAACCTGCTGCTCTTGAAAGAAAATCTTGCGTAGTTGAGATTGAACTTCTTGTAAAGCCTGTGGGGCCAAAGATTCTCGCTGCAGCTCTTGTTTAAGCTGCTTCAAAACTAGAACTTTTGTATTCAATCTGGAATCCTGAGGGTTCTGAGATGCGCGTTCTTTGGTCAGAGACGTGAGCTTATCTATTTCACGTAGCAGGCCCGGTACTGTCGGCAGAACTGCTTTTTTCTGCTGGAATGAGCTGGCTTTGACTAAAAACTGCTCTATGGCATCGAGAGCTTCTTTCCCAAATAAATTATGGCCCATGGAGCCCTGATTGTGATTGAGCCATGTCTGGAACAATCGTATCAGACTCGAGCGAGTCTGATTATCCACTAAAAGATAAGTACGTTTGTACAGTTTTGCAAGATTTCGACTAAAATAAATGGTATAGGGCGATCCAGCGTTTTTGCAGATTGAATCGAGAACGTAAAAAGCGTACAGCTTTTGGTTCGGCACGCAACGCTCGATACGCCTTTCTATCGCATCAACAAGCTGCTGGGCGCAAGCTATATTTTCCTCTGCTGTCTTTGTAAGGGTAGTAATTATAGGTCTTGAATTGCAAGTCAATTCCTCCAGAATACTGGCGAAATCTTGAGCCACTTTTTCGCAATCCATGACGGCTGGGACAAAGCGAAAGATGCTAGTGATATATACCGCTGCTACTGGGAGGCTAACGAGCTACAAACGTGTACTTTTTTTGTAGATAGACGGTTGACGAGTTGAGTAAAGTTCTTGATTGTTAACCACGTTAATTTTTCAATCAAAATTAAATGATTTGAAAGATACTTTTATACGAGCAGGTTAAAAGACAGCTTGTAATGTAGTTCGAGGGCTTGCTGAAAATTAAATATTCGAACATTTGCAATGGAGCGGGCGACTCCAATCGATGAATTTCAATACTTTCGTTGGTTAAACTAAAGCTTGCTCATCTGTGGTCAAATTTGTGTGTGAAAAAAAAAAGTATAGTTATGTACGGCAATGGACCGTTTGTTTTCAACAGTGACTGAAACCGTATTCAGCTTAGATCAGCTCAGATTTTTCTCAACTACGATTATGAGTTCAGTTTCTCAAACTCTGTAGTCTCATCTTTTGACTTTAGGAACTGAGCACATTGATGGGGCCTCAGTGCACGTGACTAAAAAGTTGCCCGCGCATTTTTCTGAGACGCCAGAGGTAAAAAGAGAGATTTCAGTGCCGTCAAAAGTTACTTTGGACCAGAGAGGTGTGGTGGAACGTTTAACAATGGAAGAAATGATCACAAATAGCGTTCTTTGTCTTCAATCCCACAACGTAATCTCAAAGTATTCACAGCAGAGCTTCTGGATTTAGCGGGACATCTTTCATTTTTTCTTTCAAGGAAGAAATTCAAACTGGAAAAGAAAAAAAAAAGCAGATGGTTTGGAAACAGGCGGTTTCCCGATGATGGAGAAGAGGACAAAACGCTCTCCCACATATCTGCCGGTTACGTCTATCTCTCATCATGATGCCAGTTTACGCATGCAATTTCGACTCCGTACAGAGTGATAGAAATAGCCTACATCAAGGATTTACCTTGCTGAAGATCGTCAGACGTCAAAGGAAGGCAGCTACATTTGACGAGAGGTCACTATAGTTTCTGGTTTCGAGGCATCTACCGATCCTGCCAGTCTTTAGCTGGAAAAAACACGGTAAAAAATTGAAGCTTCTCGCACAGGTAGTGTAGACGGGAAAAAAAAAAATGCAAGAGAAAAACCAAGACCTTGGCTACATGCAACGGCCACCTTGTCACCTCTGCCAACAGGTTTACGCCCGTTGCGTGATGGAAAGGCGAGAATATCCCATGGAAAAAGAAAAAAAGCACCGCATTATCTCGGCTTTAAAGGCCGCGTGTCGTCGTTAAGCGTTCGAGCTGTGCCTATCGACGATCCACTGGCACTGGCACTGCAGGCCCAGGTCCTAAATCCTAAGTCCGAGCCACCTGCAAATCGTGCTTCCCACGTTCACTACGGTGACAAAAACAGCAGCAAGCAGACATGGCGGCAACACGTACGTACGCACGGACGACACAATCAGAGCTGATCCAAGCGTTCGTTACCGTGGGCCCTCGTCCCTATGACTTCCCATCGAGAATAAAAAAAAGTTGGGAAAAAAAATGAAATGAAAAAAGGTCCCTAACACATATGAATCCACTGGCCCGGTTTTAAAGTCTCGGTGTTAAACAGGTCTCTGGTTCTAGAAATCTTTCCTTCCATTGGATCAAAACTTCAAAATAGCCTTTAAAAACCATACTTTCTTCCCAAATAAAAAAGCTTGAAAACGATCATAGCGTCTTTTAGCCTTAATTTAACAATTCGTCCAGAGTGACCCCAAAAAATCTCAAAATACCAACTTTCTTGAGAAGCTTAAAACTAACCATCAAGCAATTGAACAGGCCCATTGAAAAAACCATACAAACAGTAGAAATGGTCTCTTTTTCCCGCGTAGTTTCGATTCGTGTGACTCTCTGTCCACATCAGAGAGAGACCTTACAGTAAAGATATGATAGCGTCAGTAAACTTATCGAAATTTCCCGTGTTAAATATCGAATCTGAAAAAAATTTTTGGAACTTTCTGAACTATATATCCATCGAAACCTGAAAAGTCAGTCCAACGACCTCGTTGCCAGCGTCTGTCACCGTTTCAACTTCACCAGAGTAGTCGTAGAATGTCGAACGATAAAAAACAATCGGGCCTGGCCCGTGTCTTGGGTTCTGCCTCGGCCGGTATCTTGGAAATCGGTGTTTTCCATCCGGTGGACACTGTGTCCAAGAGACTGATGTCCAACCACACCAAGATTGGATCTGCAGCGCAGCTCAACACAGTCATTTTCCGGGAACATGCGGGCGAGGCTCTTGGAAAACGTCTGTTTACTTTGTTTCCAGGTCTCGGATACGCAGCGTCTTATAAGATCCTGCAAAGAGTCTACAAGTACGGTGGACAGCCATTTGCCAATGAATTTTTGAACAAAAACTTCAAAGCGGACTTCGACAATGCGTTTGGCGAGAAAACCGGTAAGGCATTGCGTTCTGCCACCGCTGGCTCTTTGATCGGTATCGGTGAAATCGTGCTGTTGCCGCTGGACGTTTTGAAAATCAAAAGACAAACCAACCCCGAGGCTTTCAAAGGTAGAGGCTTCGTCAAGATTCTGCAAGACGAAGGTCTCGGACTGTACAGAGGCTGGGGCTGGACAGCGGCCCGTAACGCACCTGGGTCGTTCGCACTTTTCGGAGGTAACGCCTTTGCCAAGGAATACATTTTGGGTTTGAAAGACTACTCCACAGCCACTTGGTCTCAAAATTTCGTCTCTTCGATTTTCGGCGCCAGCGCATCTTTGATCGTCTCCGCTCCGCTAGATGTCATCAAGACCAGAATCCAGAACAAACACTTTGACAACCCAGAAAGTGGGTTCAAGATTGTCAAAAACACTTTGAAAAACGAAGGCATCACAGCTTTTTTCAAAGGTCTGACACCCAAGCTGCTCACCACCGGGCCCAAGTTGGTGTTCTCGTTCGCTCTAGCACAGTCCTTGATCCCAGCTTTTGATAAACTAGTGAGTAAATGAAGATGATGTCGACAACAATCTCAAGTCCTATTCGACTTCTTGAGTTCTTGTATATAGAGCAAGTATTGATACAATGATTCATACAACAGTGCTGAGCACTGCTCAGTTGGAAAATGCAGACTTTATCGTTCATCGTTGTGGAAAACAGATGAAAATGTGACTATATGTACATGAACGTCATTGCGTGGTGCGAGCGCTTAGCATCCAAAGGGATTATATTGTGAGACCCAAATTGTAAGACCGCTAGCAACGCAGCGACGTTAAAATGCAAGTTAGCGATGGGAGAGGAGAATTAGATCGCTATGCTGGAAAAACATTTTTCCATCAAGTTGTCCCATTTCAGGATCACTGATCATGCCTTGGCCTCGAACCACCAGACCCTGCCGGATCATTGCCGTACGGTCCTCGAAAAGAATCCAATCGCATTTGTATGAGTCTGACTTGGTCGGATAATAGAGCAAACTTTTGTGATAAATCTTGGAAATCCATAGCCAAAGTCTGCGAAGTTGATACCAAAGACGTAACTGAATTAGCAAGGTGTTCGAAGTCTGGCGTTGGACCAAGCTCTGCAGTATCGTGATGTACTGAATGTGGACTGCCCAAATTATGAGGAGCTCCGGGCTCTATTTTAGGGTATGCATTGGCATGTGGGATATGGTACTGGTTTTGTTGAGCATCATAGTGTTGTGGATGAGGGTGCTGAGGATGAGGATGATGATGATGAGGAGGATGATGAAGCTGTTCGCTGTTGTGTGCGTATTCCAGGTGGTATGGGGTGCCCAAGTGGGGGTGTTCAGATGCTCGACTTAGTCGATAATGGCCTCTGTCTGCAGACTCGAAAACTTGGGCGATCTTCAAAGTGAGAGCGTCTCTGTGTGAGCTGGGCTCGATGTTGCATGCAGCGTTTCTGACGCCTCGAGCGTACAGGAGGTTGAAGCGGTCGCGACATTGGCGAGTGTTTCGATGCAGGGAATGTTCTTGACGAAGCTGCTGGCTGACGAACTCCCAGAACCGTTTGGCGTTGGAAGCGGCAGGCAGTGCATGTTTGTGAGTGAGGATCAGAGTGAGCAACACCAGGTCTTCCATCGGGCTCCACAGGCGCCGCGAAGACTTTTGGCTGGACGAGGAGCCCGTGCTGGAGGTTGGCGACACTATGTCATTGGCCAAGGCCTGCTGGCGGTGCTGATGTGGGAACTGCTGATGCTGGTGCAGGGCTGGTGGAACTGGAGTGCTCATCTGCGAATGCGGCTGGGCCAGTAGCGGCGGCGAGAAGGGATGCAGGGGCAACTCATCTGCGGCGACCATGGGGGGCGGAGCCCGGTTGCCTCCAAATGCATCGCATCCATCGTCAAGACTATCACTGTATGCAGGGACCTTCATGTTCATGGAGGGCTTGGCTTTTGAGCTTAAAAGCGAAAGGAAATATCGCTAATGGGTGCGGACGAGGTCTTTGCTATTTTACAGCTTATTTTGAGATCCCAAAAACAAAGACTTCACTGTGTTATGGTAATGAAAGGAAGGGAACCTTGGCTTTTTCTTGGTTTGTCTAATCTCCACTGAATCTCGTCCAATCTCGTTCTCAATCTCGCTCAATCTTGCTTTAGGTCTCTCTATCTATCTCTCTATCTCTGTGACTCTCTGGATCTCCGTCTCCGTCGTCTGGACTCGTTCCTTCGCCTGCTTTCTACCCTTTGCGCGCTTCCATCGACGCCCATCCATCCTCATCGCTCTGTCCGATTCATCTTTATATACATGTCTATCTCTCATCATCATCTACTTTCCACCTAGCTCTAGCGAACTAGTGTAATTCGACGCCTGTCGGACCTCTGTCATGCAAACGACAATATTCCATAAACAACGTTCATTGCTTCATCATCACACATACGCACGTCGTCAACACACACCTTTTACCTGCCTGCCTGCCTGCCTGCCTGCCTGCCTGCCTGCCTGCCTGCCTGCCTGCCTGCCTGCCTGCCTGCCTGCCTGCCCACGACACAGGCGTTTTTCTTCATAAGAGAGCAGCAAGTGTGGGCGAAACGACGACAGCTGCACGCAGATTGCATCACTCGCCTGGCGCGGCCGATATATACAGGTATACTAGCCGTCTGAACTGGCAGTCTAAGCTGGATATTCGCTCTCAACATGCACTGTTGCGTGGCAACGCCAGATACGGGCGCTGGCAGATGAAGAGTCGAAGTGAAAGTGCATTGAAGTTGCTAGTTACACAGGTCCCGGAGATGTGGTTGTGTCCCAGAGAGGGCCAGGACGAGCTGGTGACCAGGACGACAGTCCAAGAGGATTTGCATGGTGTTGCTGCATTTGTTGGCAACCAGTTGGCAACCAGTTAGAGGCAGCGAGAGGCGGGGGGGGGACGTGAAAGCTGCGGGAAGTGTGGAAAGTTGCAGACACGGACTTGGAGTTGGTCTTAGCAAGCTCTCGAGGCGCAACGTCACCATGCACAGAACCTTGTAATGCTCGAGCACCATGCACCGAAGGCCTTCGGTGCATGTGCCACAGAAAGAAGCGGAGAAGGCTTTTTGAAGGGACGAGCCTCGAGGCATCATGCATGCATGGGAATAATCCGGGCGCCGCTGCAGTGACTCCTGCGGGTTTTTCTGGGATGTAGATGCCGAACTTCGCCTCGAGAAAAGGAACAGCGCAGCACTTGCTCAAAAAGGCACCAGAGTTTCCCTATGCGGTAACTACCCGGATAAACCTTTTTTTTTTTCCAACTTTTCTCCGGTGGCAATAGCCAAACAGGAAATCAGGTTACCCAAAGAGATACGCAAGTTAAAAACTAGTGACGGCACACGGCAGGTGACAGATATGTGTAGAGTGCTACAGCTGATGTTGGTGCGGCCGCTCTCAGTGTTTGAAAATACGAGACCTAGTGGGATGGGATGGGACAGCGTTTTTCATTAATTGCAAAGAGTGCAGAGACGGACAAGCAGATGGGAGTCTCTGCAATCGAGCCGTTTGGCTCTCCGGGACAGAGATAATTTCGGGTAATTTTTTTTTTGAGGATTTTAAGATTTTCACTTATTTTTTTTCCCCTTTATGGAATTTTTCCCAAATGTTTTGCTGCTGCTGCTGCTGCTCCTCCTCTTCTTCTATCCTTCCTCTCAGTCGTTTCGTTGGCAATTAGTACATCTTTTTTTTCCAGCCTGTGCGTGCTGTGCATATGTTATGCGTATGCCGATCAATTTTCCATCAAGATTTTCTCGATGCTTTGCTGGGAGAGAGAAAAAAAAGGTTCTAGAAGTCCGGCCAGCGGCGATCACTAATTCAATTTGAGGCTTCTTGACCTTCTTTTGCAGCTGGGGTGCGGCATCCTGCCAGGGGAGGAGCCATCAAAGGAATATAGCGGGGTGTAGTTTGCTCGAGAGGCAGGTGACCAAATTAAAAATATGGAGAAAACAAAAAGTTGGGTTCAAAAATAGGTATTATTGCTCTTGAAAACGCGTGCTGCGTAGAGGATTGTCAGGGACGTCCACTGCTCATAGTTATGGGGTGGTTCTTTTTGGGGTTGATGACAAGTTTTTGGTATTTATTCTTAGGACGACCATTGGTTATCACTTTGTACAATGTGTGACACCTGGGGTGTCAGTTTTTTTAGTATATATTAGTTATTCAAGAAAATATAGAGACTGTTGATTGATAAATGGAAAACAAGGAAACGTGAACCGGGATCTATACGAATGATCTAGGTTGTTTTTTTATTTTTTATTTTTTTTGCTAGAAACTAGCTTGTAATTCGTCAAAATAAGTCGGAGAGAAACAGCTTTTCAGAACCCCACCCAACCCGAATAAAATAGGACGATCATGTCTTGTGTACGTACAAAATGATACAATTCTTCGAAGAAGCTAGCACTGTTCACGACTCCTACGAGTCCCCTACCTTTATACGACAAAGGAGTCGTCCATTTCGTGCAGAAGTGTATTGTGGATCCCAGATGACGTTTGGACAAGTAACTTCTGGAGAAAAAATGGGATCATTTAGTTAGGAACTAAGTATCCGAAAAGTACCTGATTTTCACAATATGGGATCCACTCTGGAATCCATTTTGATATCTCAAAAAAAACACGCGAAACGGTGAATATAAAAACAATAACAATCTAAATGATTGATTACCATAAGCTTGGAAATTTGTAGCGAATTCCAAAGGTATACTTCTTATTCTTCCGAGTTATTCGTGCATTCTCAATCTGTTATCCGGATCGACCCGTTGAACATGACTACTTTCGCCACTCAGGTAACTGTATACGAGCGTGTCACGTGATTCACAAAAATATTTGTCGTTGCGCGCCTGTTTCTTAGATTCACCAAGGTCTATGATACGAGTAAGAGATCTACATACAAGGTGCGGACTACCATGGATTTTCTTAATCTTTAAGCCTTCTCCATGACTTCAAAGAACTACATTCATCAATGTCAACAATGATTAAATTGGACAAGTAATTTGCCGGACTCACAGCCGGAATCATACCAGAGTCACTACAAACGGAAGTGGTTACCGACTCATGAGCAGTCTTGAAAAATGGGTATCAACTATATGAAAGAAGCGGAGATCCGAGTTCATAGACGCCTGGTGGTGTTGAAATCGCTGTCTACTGCTCGAAAGCTTTATTAAGACGTCTTCAAATTGTGAAATGTTCTTCTGCTATAAAAAAGTCTCGCCTTTAAAGCCGTTTTCTTGCCGAGTTCAAATCCCCAAAGAGTTCACAGAAAATTAAAGTCCATATATCATCGAAACAAACCCCATATTCCAGCCGCTACGAATAACAGCTGTTTTCTGAGAAACGATCAACGTCTCTGCCACCCAGCGTCACACTCGTACACAATGACCGGACATATCGAATTATCTAAAATTTGATATATTTTAAGATATACCTCAGATAGGGTCAGGATATAAACAAAGTTTCACTAACTCCAGCAACAAGTCGTCGACGACTAGATCACTTTTCCTTTGTTTACACTTCAATTCATCTATCAAGGCCGTGTTCACCTTTTCAATTTTCATCGATAGTCTCTCGTTTTAGAGTTCAACCAAGGCTTAGTATGTCAGGTATTGAAAGAAGTCCCAGTCCCAAAAATCGGGGCAGATCTCCCCCTGGAGTGCACGAGGGAAACGCCAGGGTTCAAAGCTTTAACCAGCAGCACCGCGATGCGGAACTCACGTCGTTGCCGCACAAAAAACCAGATGTTTACCAGTATGATATGGGCAAAGCGACCGATTCTGCAAATGAACGTGGTGGACCCGTGGGGAATACTGGTATGTTATACCAGGATAGCAAAGCGTCTGTGACGCATGGCGGTGGCCCTTTTGGTGGTCATTCTGACAGCCACGGCCATCCACAAATCATTCCACCGGGATTTGACGGTCATCTACAAGTAAAGGACTCTTTTCTTACCGGCCGTGCACTCCTGTATTTCACGTCCGTGTTTGTATCATTGGGAGTCTTTTTGTTTGGATACGACCAGGGTGTCATGTCTGGTGTCATCACCGGTCCATATTTCAAGACCTATTTTAATGACCCTTCGCGAGCCGCGATTGGTAACATGGTTTCGATCCTGGAGATTGGAGCCTTGATCAGTTCATTGCTGGTGGGACGTTTGGGCGAAAAATGGGGTCGCAGACGTACCATTCGTTACGGGTCCTTTGTTTTCATCATTGGTGGTTTGATTCAGACCTCTGCTTTGAACTTGAACTATTTGATCGTGGGGAGAGTGATTAGCGGTCTGGGTGTAGGCTTGTTGAGTACCATCGTGCCCATCTACCAGTCAGAAATTTCCCCTCCACACAACAGAGGTAAGCTAGCATGTATCGAATTCACGGGAAATATCGTAGGGTACTGTTCCAGTGTTTGGGTCGACTACGGCTGCTCTTTCATCGAAAACAACGCGTCTTGGAGACTGCCTCTTTTCATTCAATGCGTCATGGGTTTCGGGCTGCTTCTCGGTACTTATGTCATTGTGGAGACCCCAAGATGGCTCTTGAACCACGATCATGATGTCGAGGGACTGATAGTCATCGCAGATCTACACAGCGAAGGCGATGTCCAGGATTCCCGGGCCCACGAAGAATTTCAGGCAATCAAAGAAACTGTGTTAGTATCCAGACTCGAAGGCGAAAAAAAATCGTACTCCTACGTGTTCAAGCGTTACAGGACAAGAATGCTGATTGCAATGAGCTCTCAAATGTTTGCACAGTTGAACGGTATTAATGTTATTTCTTACTACGCGCCAATGGTTTTCGAACAGGCCGGTTGGGTAGGTAGAGATGCTATCTTGATGACTGGTATCAACGGGATAATTTACGTTCTCTCCACAGTTCCACCTTGGCATTTAGTTGATAAATGGGGCCGCAAGCCTATCCTGCTGATGGGAGGTATTGTGATGGGGCTTTCATTGGTCTCGATATCGGCTTCGATTTACATCAACACTTCATTCACCCCCAACCTAGTCGTTATCTTCGTGATCATTTTCAATGCTTTCTTTGGCTTCAGTTGGGGACCTATTCCCTGGTTATATCCAGTTGAAATAGCGCCCTTGTCTGCAAGATCAGCTATGGCATCTGCTTCAACTGCTACCAACTGGCTTTGCAATTGGCTTGTCGGTATCATGACGCCCATCTTGCAGGAAAAAATTGAATGGAGATTGTATTTGATTCATGCTACGTCCTGCTTCATTTCCTTCTGGTGCGTCCTGAGAGTATACCCCGAAACTGCAGGGTTGCGTTTGGAGGATATGGGATCGGTTTTTGACGACAAGTCGTCAACTTTTAGTTTCCACGGGTCCATCGCGGGTGTCGATGTTGACACTGCATCTCTTGCAAATTCTTCTAACGCCAATCCATCCCTTGCGCGTAAACCTTTGAAGGCGCAGTCATCGTTTTATGATGGTAATAATGCGGTGCTGAACCAGTTGCATCCGGGTGGTGCTCAACAAGACTCGTTACTAAACCAACCTCCCGGGAACAGCAGTGCGCAGAGTGTGATCTCTAAAAAAAGCATAGCAAGTACAAACATGCTATCGGCAGAAGCTTTAGACCCACCAACATTGCAACAAGTGCTTGAATTCAAAAAGGGACAGCAGCAGGCCGGAAACTTCCGTAAGCTGGTAAGAAGGGGATCCGAGACAGTCGGTCTGATCTACGGCAGGGTCGTAGGTTTGGGCAAGTCTTCAGACAATGGCGCATATGGAACGCTATCAACCAATGATCAATCTGGTCCAAGCAGCTAAATAACGGTTTCCGCGGACCGCAGAAGAAAATGTAAAAACATGGTTGTGTAATGAAAGGAGGCATCAATGAAGTAATGTCATCAATTGCAATTTGTACTGATAGATCGAGAAGTATAATATTATACAATTGGTGGGTCTGGTAGTCTTACGAAGCAAGCAACGTATTTGTCACCCTTTTTCCTCTCTACTTTCTTGCCCTCTTCAGTGGCATGGGTCATAATTTGAACGCACTTGTCGCTCTCTTCCCACTCTTTGGACAGCCTGTCGAAAAGTGGATGCTCTTCCAAGTGTTTGACCATCCATTCATGTAGATCCAACACGTCTGTGATCGTGTAAACGATCCCACCTTCTTTCAAAACGTAAGCATATTCGGACAGTAAGGTGTTGGTGATTATTCTTGCCTTATGCTTTCTTTGCTTGAAATGTGGATCGGGGAAACAGAAAAACATCTTTTCTAGCTGGGCCTTGTGGAAAAAGTTGGGTAAAAACTTCATGGAGTTTCCTCTTAGCACGCTGATGTTTTGGTATCCGTTGGTATCGGCATTATTGGATCGTAGGGCGATGATCCGGTCCTCAACGTAGTTGGTCACTTGAACGCGGATTTCCATTCCTAGTATCAGATTTTGTGGAAATTCTGGCGAAAGATCAATCAATAGGCCACCAAATCCACATCCAATATCAGCGATTGTTACCTGCTTGGTCATTCTATTCGTTGCCACATCGAAAAAGTGAGGATACAGCTTTTGCCATTCCATTTCGTCGGGACTCACTGGATACTCCAATTGGTGATCCGAAAACGGGTTGGAGTGCGCTCTTTGACGGTAAAATCTCTTTCTAGGCAAGTCTACTTTCTCAGAATTCGCACTTGCATCGATCCTAACATGTTTAAGTTCTTCCCTGTTTTCCTGCTTTTTCAACCGATATGCCTGACGTTTGCTGGACGGATCGTCCAGTGACATGCCTGCCTTCATAGTTTATAGTTCTGCTGGTACTTTTACAGTAACCAGGATGTAGAGTTCCCGATTAGAAGCTGTTCAAGTTTTCCGGGATTTACTGCGATGAGCTGAGTTGAGATGAGATGAGATGAGCTGGAAGATATTTAAAATTTTCAGTTCACCATTACAGGCATCGAAACAAGAACAAACCAAAGTTAACCATTGATTCAGCCCAAACTGCGAGCGTAGCATTCATTGCAGTGTCTCAGTTTATTCTTATAAGTAGCTTCTTAAAATTCGGTAACTATGCTCTTTTGAAGACATCGTTGGGAATTCAATAACTTGCCTTTTTACCAATTTTATATACAGGAGTCTGATGATTGTACTTCGAGAAAATTGAAGACTTATTTGTTGTCGTCTGACTTTCCAGTGTTGTCGTGATGCGACTGCAGGGTTAGATACAGTGAATGAGAACCGGCCTCCAACGTCTTGACCAAACCGGCACCGCTGAGCACCGACAATAGACCCAAGAGCTGGCTCTGTAGAGCGGACTTGGACGGTAGAGTTTTGAACTGCTGCAATTTGGTGACGTCCATGACTTGATCTTCGATTCGGGCACCCACCACAAACATTTTATCGGAGCTCTTCTCGAGCAGCTTCAGAAACTTTAGTATCTGCGATGGATCGGTTTCTGCAAAAGATATGGCTGCAGTGGGACCTTTGAAAAGCGGCAACAAAGGATGATTTCTGTTTTGCTCGGCTTTGGTGGAGGGAGCGCACGGATCTGCGAGATGCGAGTTTCGCAGATAGACCTGGAATAATTGGTTTCTAAGAACGGTCATATTACCGCCCAATGCTTGTATTTGTGCACGGAAAAATGCATTTTCTTGCTTCAGCAAGTTGTTGTAGTGAGCAAACAGCACCACGGGGCTTTTGTCCATCATCTCTTTGTAAGTATCGATCAGCAACGTCTTTCTCGAATGCAGAGGTTTGACGGTTACTCTCGCACTTGTAGCCAGAAATCTGACATTGTGAGACACCCCAGAAGTAAGTCTGACCCGTGGCAAAAGGAACACACCAAGATTGAACATCATGGAGAGGTGGTAGATATGGCTTTTGAAGACGACGTTTTGGGAGTTGGATAGTCATTATAGATATTGTACGCGAATAGCGTAAATTTTTAATGAAATTGAAGTCGTGGATAGTGATAAAATAACATACACTCTTTTTTTGATATTTTCAAACCGCAGGAGGCCGAGTGGTCAACGGACGATTACCTTTAGTTTCGATCCTTCAATTATGCCCTGGTTTTTTATTCTTTCCCTCTGTTGGAAACAATTTCTATGCTTCAAACGGTGCCGAAAATTGTTGATTTATTTGTAGGCTCGACTTCCCAAAATATACAGCTGCAGATTATGCAAATACCAATATCACGGTGTTTCCTATGACAATTAAGCACTCGGATTAAGACAGTGAATCGCCAGACTTGTTTTTTGACGATATTTCCACCGAGGTGTCAGATTAGTACATAGTGATAAAAACATTTTCCTGACACTTGTTGTTCAAAGTGTATGAAACCGCCGTCAACAGACCACGAATCGGTGCTGCAGTTGTTCAATTACTAAAGTTTCGAGAAAGCCGGAATAAGACTGAGTTTTCGATTCTTTTTTAATTTTCCCCCACTCAACGACTAAAACTAAGAAAGAATACTCAAAATTATGCTGGATTGTCGGGCCCAAGTGTTGCCAAATGTGTTCTTTCGTCGATACTTATTCGTGGCATCGTACAAAGAAAAATCACAGTTATTGTGCTCGGTTTTGACAGTCTAGGAAGCTATCTTGAATACTTTCGCTCTACCATGTCTAATAATCAATATATCGAAGTATAAATGACAGGGCATAACAAAAATCTGAAAATGCGATAAACAAAACGCAATGGCACAATTTGGATGCCCAAAATGATGGCAAAATCTACAGCATGGTTTTACTAAAGTCAAAAACTGCTCTTTCAAAGCACAAACATTCGAATCTGTATTTCAAAAATCACATATCGCGATGTACGAGCCTCGAAGCTATCTTCAGATCTCATCTAGTCAAGTGTATTCAACAGAATACAAATCAATCTCGAATTCATCTTACAGATTCAGCCCAAGTGAACAGGTGTCGGCCTGCTAAATATTCCTTGATCTTGTCAGACATTGAAATGGGTACTGGAGACTTTGACACGAAAACATCAGCCGAGAGATATGCGCCACATCTCTCTGAATTCTACCCTTTAGTTAATAGCACCGGCCAAGTTGGCACAGGAATTAATAGACCACAGCTTGAGAATCCAACACCTGTAGATAGGCTCGAGTCGCCGTTCAGGTCAGCAACCAATTCCAGTATGTTCAGACTTCGCCGGCCCTCATCCTTTAGATCTGGGTTTAGCTCCATAAGTGACCTTCAAAATTTAGTCACTAATAAGGACATGGGGCAGACCGCAGATACCATGCAGCAATTGCTAGCCAACGCAGAGAACTATGCGAAGGAGCTCTCTGCAACATCCCAAAAGGCCAGCATGCTGGCCTTATCTCTGGAACAAATGGCACGCTTGAAGGGTTGCAACGACGACACCGCCGACAAGTTTCTCAGTTCCAGCGGTCTATTCCATCTCATTGCGAACCACCAGCGGATCATGTCCGATTGCATTAGCTCGTCACTTGTCGATACTTTGAGCAACCGCATAGACGAATTCCAGTACAAACGAAGGGTACACGACGCACATTTTAAGCGAGAGTTCCATGACGAGGCGAAAAAACTCAAGCTCCAGGAAAAGTACAATGCTCAGTTCTCTAAACGAAAAACACGCAACTTATTGTCTTATCGGGAAAACTTGGCTAATTTACAATTGCAACTTGACGAGTTAGAATCTTTGAAGCATCGCTACTATCAGAACTCCTATGAGATGGTCGAAAATTGTTGTTTCGACGTCTTAAAAGATACTGCAACTGTTTCGAGAGCTCAAGTGGAAATCAGTGAAAACATTGCACGAAAAGGGTGGTCTGGTGGAGGGCTGGATGATCTTTTGGTGCATGCAGAGGATCCATTCAGTACCGCAGAAAATGAACCCAAGAACGAGGACGAGACATACGATTATCACAGCGATGCTCTCAATTCTCCAGGGAGCTCTCAGAACACTCGGAATGGTACTCCTCGTACGGCCATTCTTCGAGCGACACCGTCACATCGCAAAAGCATGTCGCATTCTCCATCGAGTGCAGCTCCCATTCAGGATTCTGATAGTAACGACGCATATGATAATTCATTTTCCCTGCCGATGCCGAAATCGCAAGAGCCATCATTCAATTCTGGAGCAGAGGCAAATCAAAAGAATAACGATAGAAACGAAAATGACGAAGAAGTGAGCATAGATGATGTGGTGAGCGGCCAAAGGATCTTGGACGGCATGCACGATTTGAACCTGGGTAATGTCAGTACCTCAAGCTTGGCAGACTGAGGCTTTCACTCACATTTAAGACTGCAATTAAAGTATGCTTGCAAATACGGTTTTACGTAAGGTGCCTGGATAGATCGGAGTGTACTACTTACTACAAGAACAGTGAAACGAACAAATATTTGTCATTACATTACTTAAACACTACCACAGCTTATACCACGGCTTTTTCGAGCTCGTGTCCGAAGTGTGGCCTTCCCATTCTTTCTTTACCCTATCATCATGAACCACCGGGTTCAGCATGGGCTTTTCCTTATTGGCGACGGCCGATCTCGCCATCTGAGCAGTTTGGAAGCTTTTTTTTCGCCTCATACGACACTGTTCCCACCCTACAATACTTCCAAGCATGAGTCCTCCGACTGCCCAGTTTGCAGCTTTAGCTGGGTTCTTATGGTACAGAAATATGACACCTCCAACCACGAACATGCTGGTAAACCCACTCATTCCTGCGTCTCGCAGACATGGGATTTGAACGAGCTTTTGAAAACTAAAATCGTTCCACCCTATAGTTTGCCACGCCTGTCGAAGCGAAGCCTGTTCTTGGGCCTTGGCCAACTGACTTTGAGATTCGTTTTCGAAGCGAGGTTTTGTATCTTCCAGAAGGTATTTTTTCCCCGCACTGTAGTTCTGCAATTGCGCTTCTGGCTGCTCTTGACGGGCAACAGAGTCATCCTTTTTCTTACTGAACGGCCAGACCATTGCTACTGATTCGAATGTTGGCAAGTTGGGACCAGTTCGTTCGATTGAAGTTGCTCATCCACTGCTGAAAATAGAGAGAGATGGTAATTAAGGTGGAATATATGGGCGAGAAAAAGGACCCGTGAGAGATTTCGAACTGGAGATACATTTGGGAAAAACTCTTTTAAAACTGTCGCACTATAGGGGCTACTAAAAGTTGCAGCCAGCGGAGACGAAAAAAACGCCAGCATTGGGGGTATACCATTCTGGTGTCTAAAGTTGAAGTTCTTCGGGCGCCCGACAAAGAGCAGGTCAGGAAAACGGAATCCAAGAAGCTGTATGTGGTCATTAAACAAGCAGAAGAGACTATTGCAGGGAATTTGTTCGATTTGCTATATGCCACCACTACAGACCCCGATGTCAGCAAAAAAAAAAGACACTTTCGAGTTACTTCACATTGAGGTCAGATACCGATCTATTGAACAGCTGGAAGTATCGCTCTACTAGTGGGAATTTGTCGAACCAATGTCCGTCTGTGGCAGCGGGCTTTCCAGAACGCTAGAAAATTTCCAGCTCAGCGATAAAATCCAATGGGCAAATTGTTCAGCCTTACAACCCAGAAAGATTTCGAAGGCCTCTCAAAGCTGCCACACACACCTAACGTGTCCAGTTCCTTGAGCGAGAGATATCTACAGATTCCTCCACATCACTCTCACCTTATTCTGACACTTTGTACGGAAATTAACCGTTTCCGTACAAAGTGCGATTTGCACATATCGATTTAAAGTTATCACTGGATATCGTGCTTGAACCACCCAGGAAACAACAAAACACGACGCTTGAAACGCGCTACTCTCGAGCATCTCTGCCGCGTTTCAACAACAATGGATAGAGCTAAGGAAGTGCTCTATGACACACACATCAAGATGTATCCGCCCTCGCGAAAAGAGCCGCTCCCACAACGAGTGACAAGTAATAGTCCCTCTCGACCGGTGCCATATCCAGTGGAAGATGCACAGCAGCCTATGAGCCCGATCCCATTACAGTCGGCACATAGCTTACAATCTGGTCGATCCACACCGTCGTCGTCGGACGGAAGAAGCAAAGTGGTGACGCCAACAAACGCGCGATACGATCAACCGTTTACTTTTCAAAGTTCTCCTTCTCAAGGGCAGTCCACAGACTCACTGAAATATGGAAGACCGAATAATAATTACACTAATAATAACAGCTCAGTGGATACCTTCCAGAGCGCAAGCGACATCTCCAAACCTGCAGTACCGCCTCCGCCATATGAAGAAACCGATGATATGGAAACACCACAGTTTGTGCAAGAAAAAATGTACCGCAAACCTAGCGATTACTCTGATTTTGCTGAACGCAGCGATCAAAAGCGGAAATCAGCCGAAAAGGAGCCTTCACCCAAACGCGACATTTCACAGTACAGTGAGATTGCAATTCAGTTTCACAAAGTCTACCAAGCGACCATCAACGATTCACCAAATTTCACTGCGGAAGTTCAGATGAAATGGTGCGAAACGTTGTTGCAGTACGCTTTCATGGACGACTTCATTGCCAACTACAACATAAACGGCGACAAGCTCAAACGAACATTATCAGCAGCGGAAATGCTGAAAAACCAAAAAATAATTTTAGAACATGCTTTAAAGGTATTGACGAAACTAATCACATTGCAATATGGGCCCGCGTTGTATTTGATGGCAACGCTTTATTCTCACCAACCGTATTTGGAGGTCAAGATCCAGCAGGTTATCGCACGGAACGATAGCAAGGCACTGGATTACTACGGCAGGGCAGCAGCTTTTGACGTCAGTGAAGCTTGCTACCGAGCTGGAGTATGCTATGAATACCAGAGAGGAACACCTGCAGATATGAATCGGATGCGTTCTATGCAAAAAGCCATACAGTTTTACGAGAAGGGAGCGCTGAATTGTGACAACATCGCCTGCATGTATAAGCTAGGCATGTTGTGTTTACACGGGGTCAGGGACTCGAAGGATAGGCCGCTTTTAAACCAGGATGTGAAAGTTGCCATAAACTGGTTTTCAAGAGCTATTCGTCGCGACGAGAAAGTTGGGAACGCATCTCAATCCGACCTGTCAGAAAGCGCTAAGGATGCTGCCAAAAACGATCGTGTATCTCCACAGGCCATGTACGAGCTTGCCAAAATTTACGAGTTTGACGGTCTGGCTCCGGCGTTACAGGAATCGCTGACCGCTGCCGGGTTTGCGCGAAACACGACAAAAGCGTTGCAATACTACCACCGCTGTGCCACCCGGTATTCTTACGCGCTAGCCCAGTGGCGTCTTGGCCAGTGTTACGAATTTGGACAGCTGAACCTGGCCGTGGCGGCCAATAAGTCTATTGCATGGTATGCACAAGCAGCGACCGCGAAACCTCGCGGCAATTCCATGGCCATGATGTCGCTGAGCGGCTGGTATCTCACAGGTGCCACGGACGTGCTCAAGCCAAACAATCAAGAAGCATTCAATTGGGCCCGTAAGGCGTGCCATGCGTCAGAGGGCAAACTGGGCCGTGCAGAATACGCAATTGGGTTTTTCTACGAGAACGGCGTAGGGTGCACCGCGGATCTCAATGCAGCGCGTGAACACTACCAGAAAGCCGTACAGGCCGGACATCGAAAAGCACAGGATAGACTACAAATGACGCAAAATGTCCAAGCCTGGAATGGTGGAGGATAACTGGAGTATTACACCATTTTCCATTTTCCCACACGTCACGTGGACGCGATGACCCGCCGTCTAGAACGATATGAATTTCCTCATCGGGAGAGCCATACCGGTTTAGGAAGGTATCTCCCCATCAGGAAGTTTTTCTCCTGGTCCATTTCCCTTTTCGGACCTGTCAGGTGGCTTACGTCCAATCATCAAATTTGTTTCTTTTTCTCATTGAAGAAGACCAAGTAATAAACGGTGAAAAAAAACCAAGCTATAAGTTGTAGTCTCTTAAACCAGTGTCAACTTTAAGCTCATCTCCAGATTTTCGAAGCGATCTTTGGGTAAATTCGGACCTGAAATTCACTGTTTTTGAAAGTGATTTGCATTGCAAAATCACCGTCATTGAGAGGGAAATCTTTAAAAGATCATTTAGCCTTTTTTCGCGGTCAAAAACGGTCAAGTTTCGACTGATTTGAGAAATGGAAAACATCGCGAGACAGTCCGTGAGACTTTGCCCGTTCATGAACAAGACGGCGTCGTCTTTGAGGAATGTCAAGAGTCTGCAACAGTCGAGCGTGTCGAAAATGGCACAAAAATGTCCTTTCATGGGTCAGGCCATGCAAAAGGCACATTTGGCTACAGCAGCAGCTCCAGGAGCTGCAAGAGCCAACCGCAGCGCTGGCGCTTCACCAGCACGCGGGGAATCAGCACAGGATGTGCTGATGGCAGACCATGCGACTCAGGAGTCCAAGTTTGACTATGAGGGGCTTTTTGAGCATGAAGTGCGTAAAAAGCGGGTCGACAAGTCGTATCGGTTTTTCAACAACATCAACCGGTTGGCAAAAGAATTCCCCATGGCTCACCGTCAAGAAGAGCACGACAAAGTGACCGTGTGGTGTTCCAACGACTATCTGGCGCTTTCCAAGAACCAGCAGGTTGTGGATGTGATGAAGAAAACTCTGGACAAATACGGCGCTGGAGCCGGTGGAACCAGAAACATCGCTGGCCACAACCAACACGCTTTGAGACTCGAGGCCGAGGTAGCTGCACTACATAAAAAGGAGGGTGCCTTGGCGTTTTCGTCTTGTTTTGTGGCCAATGATGCGGTCATATCTTTGTTGGGCCAGAAATTGAAAGATCTGGTCATTTTCTCGGATGAACTCAACCATGCCTCCATGATTGTCGGGATAAAGCATGCTTCGACGACCAAACACATCTTTAAGCACAACGATTTGAACCATTTGGAGGAGTTGCTTGCCAGTTACCCCAGATCGACCCCAAAACTGATTGCGTTTGAATCTGTTTACTCTATGTCCGGGTCTGTTGCCGACATCGGTAAGATTTGTGACCTGGCCGAAAAATACGGGGCCTTGACGTTTTTGGATGAAGTTCACGCTGTTGGTTTGTACGGCCCTCACGGCGCTGGTGTTGCCGAACACTGTGATTTCGAAGCTCATCGCGCAGCTGGTATTGCTTCTCCTGACTACACCACTGTTATGGACCGTGTCGACATGATCACAGGTACTCTTGGAAAGTCATTTGGTACTGTTGGTGGCTACGTGGCCGGCTCACAGCGCCTGATTGATTGGCTGCGTTCTTACGCACCGGGCTTCATCTTCACTACTTCGCTACCTCCTGCCGTTATGGCGGGCGCAGCGGAGGCCATCAGATACCAGCGTTCCCATTTGGATTTGAGACAGGCTCAGCAGAGACACACCGCCTACGTGAAGCAAGGTTTGGCAGATCTCGACATCCCTGTGATCCCCAACCCATCCCACATTGTCCCCATTCTTATTGGGAACCCAGATTTGGCTAGACAGGCCTCTGACATTTTGATGGACAAACACAGAATCTATGTCCAGGCCATCAATTTCCCTACTGTGGCCAGAGGCACCGAAAGACTACGCATTACCCCAACACCCGGGCATACTGACGATTTGTCAGATAACCTGCTTGAAGCTGTCGATGACATTTTCAACACCTTACAATTGCCTCGGGTGAGTGACTGGGAGAGACAAGGAGGACTTCTAGGAGTGGGCGATCCAACTTACGAATGCGAATCCAACTTGTGGACTCAAGAGCAATTACAATTCACAAATGACGACCTACAGCCAAATGTCAGAGAGCCTATTATCGATCAATTGGAAGTGTCTTCGGGACTTCGCTTGTGAATGCCGAACAAGTTGGTAGATAATTTATTAATGTGGTAACTGATACGAAGAGCCTGCTTGGCCAAAGATTGGGTTTACTGACAATTTAGGTTTTCGTTATCCTTCATTGACCAGAGCCTGATCAAAGCCTAGCCTTTGAAGCCTATTTATCTGCTGTGGGTGTATCAATTTGTTTTTTTGTAGCCACATGGTAGGAATAGCTTATATCTAATTTTACTCTAAGATATTATTCGTATTTAAAGGCAGGCTCAGAAACGTTTGACGGAAGTTCTTGAACTTTAGCATCTTGTGGACTTTCGAATCAAGTTTGTTCTCTGGAGTCTCTCTTTCGATAAATCAAAGGCTATAGTTATATATTTATGATAGTCGTGAATAGAGAGAGTTGAGCTACGTTGTTCATCTTACTGCTGTGAAGGCTGGATTGGTTTGCAATGAGATTACAGGACCAATCCGGAGAACAAAATGATATAATCATACACTGGATGTGAAGAACTCATCATTTCCTAATAGAAGGAGAAGATAAGAAAGAAAGAAAGAAAGTCAAATAATTTTGAAGCTTTCTTCCATTTACTCTCTGATTGGCTCTTGGATATTGTGGGCAAGACCAGTGGTTTCGTCAGTGACAATGTGGCCTAGGTTGGTGGAAGGCGCAGTAGGGAAGTCTGCAGACGAAGTGGAGGCCTGAGCGGGCTCTTCGAAAGGAACGTCGGCAGCCAACTTGGCGGTCGAAGACTCGGCAGTAACGTTAGAGCCTCCAACTCTGGTGGCTGGCACCTTAGATTTGATGAACCCGGAAACAGGACCCAATTTTTCGTCTAGCTGCTTCACGTATGGGTTGGCCTTTTCAGCAACGGTAGACTGCAAGGCAGAAGCGTGGTGTCTGCCAGCTTCAACACCCTGTGCGACTGTTGCGTCAATCTCCTTTTGGAAGGTCTTGTAAACTACGGGCACGGTGAACATACCGATAGTTCCGATGAAAAGCATGCTCCACACCGATAGAACGCTAAACAGTTTGCTCAAGACGTAAAGGACACCGCTGGCCTTGTATGTGGTCTTTGGAGACTGAGCCATGAGTGTGGTACGGAACTTGGTCATTGTAGGGGGCACGCGAGTCAAAAACGCATCGATTCGAGGCTTCAAGAACCCAACAACGTCGGGACAGCTCTTGATCCCGTAACGGGTAACCAGGCCTTGACCCAAGAACAGATTCGACAGAAACTCTACCGATGCTGTTGTGAACATGGTCGTGTAAAGGACACGCAGCAAAAATGAGATCAGGTTCACTTTTTTGAGCACCAGCAACGCCACAAGAGCACCACCGAAAACCTTTCCGGTTTCCACAGGGTTTTTCCAGTACAGCAATTCACAAGCAGAAGTCATTATAGTTGTTATTATCGGATTTTGACGATTCTAAAGACGTCTTTGACAGGGTGTGGGCCAGATAGTGTAAATGAACAGCTAAAATCTCGCGGGAAAAGGGATTCTAGATGAAATTGATGGGATACTTCGAGTTATCAAAGTCTCAAATGTCCAAGTTATCTCAAAAGCCCGTCAAATTGCTTTGATTTGATCTTATTTAACCAAGATCAAAAAAGTTCACAATGGTTAGCGTTTTAGGGTTACCGGTTTGTCATTTTTCGGTGCCCCTTTTATACTCTGGGAATTTTGAAAAATTTTGGTAAAAAAAAAATCAGCAGGTCATACTAGACGGGCGTGTCGTCGCTCGGATTCACGATAACTCCGAGATTTGTAGTTATCGATTTCGTAGAGCAATGTGAGCTGTACATGCTAGAAAGGTCAGTTTAGGTGGGTGCATAGGTATGCGTAGCCTGGTTGAGAAGTTAGGATGGGTTTGCCGAATTTGAAGAATTGGGTTTGTCACTCTGTCCTTATCTGGCGCAAGATAGCAGCAAAACATTCGTTCAAACGGGCGCAACGTTTTTGAATTGGTGGGCTTTGTCTGTAATGGAAAGAGAGGGGGAATGAGACTACGGCGTTCGTGAGGAGAATGTGGTGTGGTCAAAATGTTTTTTCCTGCTGCTCTTGTTGTGATGATTGTTTCCAGTTGACGGCGTCACGTTGGAAAAAAGTGATATTGATAGATGAGTGGCTCTTTAACCCTGACATAAACTTTTCGAGACACTAGATGAAACTGTCCAGGTTTGAAGTGGGGGCGGGGGGAAGAGTTGTTTTTGAGAATTGTTTCTGGATGCACAGTTAGGAATTTTTTTGGAAAAGAGAAGGAAAAAGAGGTCCGGGTCACGTGATGCATAACATTATTGAACCAGAATGAAAAAGCTACGCACACTTCAGGCTTTGAAGTCATGATTGCTTAGCTAGAAAACTTACTCCACTATCAAACTACACTTCAGAATTATCGATTACTGGGAAGACAAAGCTCTCTCGCCTGCGACATAATCGTACTAAGTGATCCACCGATTTCAAATGTATCAATGCACCGCCGACGACGGCTGATGAGGACTATAGCTATTGTCCTTAGCATCATTCCCAGAACCTAAATTTCACCACCATCAGACCGTTAAACTCTCAAAATTGTGTCGCAAGAAGCACCATAACATAAACTCGAATTTACAAAAAAATTCAGAAAACACACCCTTTAACTCCTTAGAATCTAAATGAATCAAAATACTCGTCAAACGTCTGGCACATCAACAGTCTCGTCTTCCATCGAATTCACGCTCAATTTTTCTAACGATGACTGAACTTCACCTGTCTTTTACCTAGGTTACTTTCATTATGGGATTATATTGAAAAAAAATTTGGTCAGTTTCCCGTGGGAAATTTGAACCAGATGAGTTGACGAAAGTTCAGTATTTAAAGCACACAATGCTTGACATCAGCGTCGAAAAGTGGCTAGTGTTGACGCCCTAAGTGTGTTCACCTCGTGCTTGACCAATAGCATAGAATTGCAGTGCAATTTGACTTATATACGGACCACTTTTTTTGGTTTGTCATGCTTAGATTTGCTCGTCAGTTTTCGTCTTCAAGACATGTCTTGAAAGGTCAAAACTTGACCGAAAAGATTGTGCAAACGTACGCTGTGGGATTGCCCAAAGGGAAAATAGTAAACTCCGGTGACTATGTGTCTATTCAGCCCGCTCACTGTATGTCTCACGACAATTCGTGGCCTGTGGCTCTTAAATTCATGGGCCTGGGAGCCTCTCAGGTGAAAGACCGCAAGCAAATTGTCAACACTTTGGACCATGACGTGCAAAATACCACGGAAAAGAATCTGACAAAGTATAAAAATATCGAAAATTTCGCCAAGAAACAGGGAATCAATTTCTACCCGGCTGGCCGTGGTATTGGCCATCAAATTATGATAGAAGAGGGCTACGCTTTCCCCTTCAATCTTACCGTGGCATCGGATTCCCATTCCAACACATACGGTGGTATCGGTTCTTTGGGGACCCCTATCGTGCGTACAGATGCGGCAGCCATCTGGGCCACGGGCCAAACGTGGTGGCAGATTCCACCCGTGGCCCAAGTCGAACTGAGAGGTGAGCTGCCTCACGGTATTTCCGGTAAGGATATCATTGTGGCATTGTGCGGAATTTTCAACGAGGACCAGGTCCTGAATCACGCCATTGAATTCACCGGGAGCTCTCTAGACAAAATTCCCGTAGACTACAGACTAACGATTGCCAATATGACCACAGAATGGGGTGCCCTTTCGGGCTTGTTCCCCGTCGATCAAACTTTGATCGATTTCTACCGTCAAAGAGTCCAAAAAGTCGGACCCAACCATCCTAGGCTAAATGAGCAACGTATCAACGAGTTGAGCCAACAAATGGATAAGCTAAAGGCCGATGAAGATGCAGTTTACGCCAAAAAACTTGTCATAGATCTCAGTACCTTGACCCACTATGTTTCGGGTCCTAACAGTGTCAAGGCTTCTGCAACCGTTCAAGAATTATCACAACAAAATCTGAAAATCAACAAGGCATACTTGGTTTCTTGCACGAACTCTCGTTTGAGCGACCTGGAAGCTGCCGCACACGTTGTGTGCCCAACTGGCGATCTAAACCAGATCAATAAAGTTGCACCTGGCGTCGAATTTTACATTGCGGCTGCGTCGTCGGAAGTCGAAGCTGATGCGAAAGCCTCAGGTGCCTGGGAAAAACTATTGCGTGCTGGGTGCAAGACGCTCCCAGCTGGCTGTGGCCCATGTATTGGTCTTGGTACAGGTCTTTTGGAACCGGGCGAAATTGGTATTAGCGCTACAAACCGTAATTTTAAAGGAAGAATGGGTTCCAAAGATGCGTTGGCCTATCTTGCATCGCCAGCCGTTGTCACCGCTTCTGCCATTCTTGGCAAAATTGGGTCTCCCGCAGAGATCTTGAAGGAGAAAGACCCCGCTTTCAACGGCGTGTCTGGCTGGGTCGAGGACGTTCCTGCCAAAGACGCGCAAGTTTCCGCTGAGCAGACTGGGCCTGTCGAGATGCTAGAAGGCTTCCCATCGCGCATCACAGGCGAGCTTGTGCTTTGCGACGCGGACAATATCAACACAGATGGGATCTACCCAGGAAAATACACATATCAAGACGATGTTTCTCGCGAGAAGATGGCTGAAGTGTGCATGGAGAATTACGATGCTGAATTTGGAACTAAGGTCAAAGCGGGCGATATTGTCATCAGTGGCTTCAATTTCGGCACAGGCTCGTCCAGAGAGCAGGCGGCCACAGCGCTGCTTGCCAAGGGTATTGAACTTGTTGTTTCTGGATCCTTTGGTAACATTTTCTCCAGAAACTCGATTAACAACGCTCTGTTGACGCTGGAGATCCCCACACTAATCCAAATGCTAAGAGAAAAATACAAGGATGCTCCCAAGGAACTGACAAGAAGAACTGGCTGGTTTTTGCAGTGGGACTTGCCAAACAGTAAGGTTATTGTCACTGAGGGCTCTTTGGACGGCCCTGTCGTCTTGGAACAAAAAGTCGGCGAACTCGGCAAGAATTTACAAGAAATTATTGTAAAAGGTGGGCTTGAAGGCTGGGTGAAATCCCAGCTCTAGATACCCGAACAAAGACCTTCAAAATAGTTGGCGGGTTTGGTTTATATTTATTAGTTAGAAGTAACGTTGAAAGAATAGAGTGATAGAGACGTGAAAATGTGTCATCATATACGTATACAACGAGTAGGTAACTTTTTCCTGGTACGATGACACGGCCCGTATAAATCTAAAAAATTAGGAAAGGCTCGGCGGCTAAACTTTTAGTCTTGCTTCCACCACTTTTGTAAAGCTCAGAAAGACGCAAAAAGAAGTAGAAAGAAGCTGAGATAATGATAAATGGATGATTGGAAACTCAGATGGCTTGAAAGAGTAGAAAAAACGACTCTAGAAGCTTGATACAAGGAGGAAACGGTCGTTGGGTAGCGTTGCGAGACCAAAAAAAGTGTTAGGTCTTCGTCTTCCACCGATGTTTTGACGAGAGTCTTTTGAAAGATTTATGCGAGAAAAATGCAGCAGTGTGTGCTTCTTTGTGTTGCTGAAACTCGAGACAAGAACATAGTGACGAGCCTTTAGTTTTACATGATCCATTCATCGCAGGAGGAAAGAAAGATCTACACAAAAGACAAGTGCAAACGGATGACAATGACCCCGGAAATCGGCAAAGAAGGTTCTACATAGGGAAAATTGGTCTGATGACCTTGTATGATCTCCAATCTTCAAGAATGCAAGATAAATCAAAAATCATATCCTCAACAATGATTTAGTTGTTTCAGACACGAGAAATTAGTTGTGAGTCAAGAGATCGACAAGACTATCATCCCAGCACCGTTTGATCATTTTTTGTTCATGAATTGGCTGGTTTTTGGTTTACTTCAATGTTGAAACTCTCTTCTTATAAAACCGTTTTTCAGCACCAGCTGGCCCTCAAGAATTCCTCTTTTTATTGGTGAATCAAAACTTTCCAGCTTTTATGGTGGTAGCTTACAAAGCGTCCAGGGTATGGGCATCTTTTATGTCAGTTCTGGACCGTAAGATACTCAAATTCTCTTGGCCGCCAGGCCATGCTGATAAAAGAAGAACTGTTGTCTACTCAACGTTAAAAAAAAAATTTACAATTCAAGTTGACCAAAAATCTACCTTTTTGACAGATGAGGTCCGAAAAAGAAGTCGTTTCTAGTAACTTTTGATCGTCATAGGGTTGGAAGCTCTCCAAGAAACCAAGCAGTTAAGTTTGTTTCGATACTGGGATCAATTCTGAGTTGCAAAATAGCACATACGCCGGTGAAAGTCAGACTTTATTCTGTCAAGTTTGAAAAACTAGAGTGCAGCGCTTATTCCAAAAGACCGGAGTGATTGCAAGTCTTTCTGTTGTCTACCAAAACGTTTCCCATCTCCAATTGCTTTATTTATTTGTACCATGCAAGACCCACACCATACTGTACGCATAGGTGGCAGAAAGTCCAAATTGGCTGTTGTTCAGTCGCATGAGATCAAGGACATGATCGAGAGTGCATTTCCGCACTACAGTTGCACCGTCCGTGCACTCAAGACATTCGGAGACCAAGTCCATTCCAAACCGCTTTACTCATTTGGTGGTAAAGCTTTGTGGACCAAAGAACTGGAAGATTTGCTATACGAGAAAGACAAAGAGAAACGTATAGACCTCATAGTGCACTCACTGAAAGACATGCCAACATCGCTACCAGATGGGTTTGAAATTGGAGGAATTACGAAACGGGTGGACCCCAGCGATTGTTTAATCATGGCAAAGGACAGCCACTATAAGAGCCTTGACGAATTGCCAGACGGCAGTGTTGTCGGTACCTCGTCCATAAGAAGATCTGCACAGTTGAGACGCAAGTTTCCCAAACTCGTGTTCGAGAGTGTCAGAGGCAACATCGAGACTAGGCTCAGCAAACTTGATGACCCAGTGACCCCATTCTCATGCATCATATTGGCCACTGCCGGACTTGTGAGACTCAATCTCGAGCATAGAATCACTCAGCGCTTCAACTCTTCTGTCATGTACCATGCGGTGGGACAAGGTGCCCTGGGTATCGAAATACGGTCGAAAGACCCATGGGTCTCCGAACTACTAGAGAAAATCACTGACAAACAATCCACCATCTGTTGTTTGGCAGAAAGATCACTTATGAGAACACTAGAAGGCGGGTGCTCGGTGCCAATAGGTGTTGAGTCTTTCTACAAAGAAGAAACCCGGTCCTTGCTCCTGAAGGGCGTGGTGATCAGCGTGGATGGTACCGAGGCCGTCGAGGATGAGTTCTCCATGGTCATTGACGATACTCGCCAAGACTCAATCATCTGCGGACAGCAGCTAGCGCAGAACTTGATAAAGAAGGGCGCTAAAGATATCCTGGATCAGATAAACCTCGACAAAGTTGTGCAATAAAGAGCGCAGACCTCGACACCCATCAAGATGAACTGAATCCAGTTAACAAAGAGACTGACAAAGAGACCGACAAAGAGACGAACTTTGTGAACAACCTCAATGAGGTTTATGAAATACTCTGGCCCCAACGTTTCCTGCTTCGCAACTCGCCATCCACACGATAACGACATGCAATTGATGTTAATAAGGACCTTGTAAATAATGAAAAGTCATGGCTTGCACAGGAAAAGAAAAAAGACGACTGATACTAACGATATAGAAACGGGATGTATTCCAACAATTGATAGGACAAAGAACTCTAATAAGAGAAGGGTTGAGGCCTGAAATGGAGTGCGATCACTATCGAATTGGCCTCGAAAGCAAGAACATCACTAACCACGAATATTTATTTTCATTGTCAATTAAGAACTGACATCATCATAAGACATCAACAAGATCATTCACATTTTCATTTACAATTCCATAGCACTGGTGCTTTACTGGCTGGAATGGACGATACGTTGGAGGAGCTGCTGGATGATAAGTTCGATGTTCTGTCTTTAAATGTTTCACAATCTCCCATGGCGTTGAGTCATTGGGAAAACCTGCTAAACTACCTCCTAGAGAAGGCGAGTCCTGTCTGTAAAAACATCAACCAGCAGTTACTGGAGCTCATAAGACAGACCTACGACTCCTTTTTTGCATACTTTCCTTTGCTGGAAAACTATAGTGTCGATCGTGCTCTCCTGGAATACAAAATAGGAAACGTCAGGGCTATGCACACAGTCTTCACTAGTGCACTGCAGAGACACAACAACTCGTCACTACTTCTGTGGATCGAATATTTGAAGCTGTGCAACGAGGTTGTAATTAACAAGAAACAATTGTTTCGCAAATACGAATTGGCGGAATCTTACATTGGTCTCCATTTTTACAGCGGGGAGTTTTGGGAACTTTATCTGGAACAAATCAAACTGCGATGCGTAGGACATCAGCGGTATTTGGCCGTTTTGAGAAAAGTGCTGGAGGTACCGGCATATTCTTACAGCAAATTTTTCGGTCTTTGGATGCGTGCTGTCGACGATATCAAGGACGTCAAACAACTTACACTAATGGCGCCAGAACAGGAACTCAACCGTAAAGTCAAAATCAGAATACGAGGTCGCGAAAGAAAGGGCCCACAATTACAGGAAGGTAAGAAAGCACTGCGAAAATTTACAAAAGAGCTTTACATGGTGACACAACACCGCGCATTGGAAATTTACAATTTATTTGAATCCAACATAAAGACTCACTACTATTGTTCTGCTGAGACACTGATAGAAAAGAGCGAAATTTCAGCTTGGTGGAGATATCTGGACTATTGTGACCAGAATGGCATTGACCAATTGACGCACCTAAACTTCCAACGTGCGTTATTGCCCTTGGCACACTATGAAATGATCTGGCTCAAATATGCCGCGTGGTTGATACAGAACTATCAAGATTTTATAACGGCAAAGAACGTTTTGTCTCTTGGACTACAATTATCGCATCGAAAATCCAAGATTTTGGATAGGTTATGCGGACTTTTGGTTAAACTTGGGAAACAAGATGAGCTGCAAATGCTTTTCAAACAAATTAAATCTGCTTTTGACGACAAGATAGAGGAAACGGATGATTTTGAATTATTTATGGAATATTTCCAATTCACTATTTTCGTGGAAAAATGGGATCATCGCGATGGCGCCGATACTGCTCTGAAGGTATTGCGCAAACGGCTCAGTTATGGGGGAAACAAAAGTGGACAAGAAGAACTGTTACACTTGGTTTGCCAGATGTATGCTCGCTTTCCAAGAAAAGTTTTGGAAGAACAGATATTTCGACTTATCATTGACGAAAACTGGTTGTATTATTTGGACAACGCCAAATTTTGGTTTGAATATTGCAACCGGGTGTGGGTAGATCAGAAAACGTCCTATTTGGATAAAAGAAGATACATTGTTGAGCACATAATGCCGTTGGTGTGCAACCGCAACGACTCCGCGAAGAAGAGTATGGAATCTTTCTGCGAGAGCTACATGCCAGAAGACCTAGATGTGTGGTACGAGATGTGCAGTTAGTTGGCGAAGTGCAGTTCTGACAGGACGTTCACTGTTGTGATAACCACGTACAAAGTCAGCAGTACAATACCGATTTTTCTGTCGATTTGCCAATTGTTAAGTGGTATCAATGCTGCGTAAACGAGGAAAGTAATCAACATGCCAATGCAGCTCTGTATTAATAGTCGATCTACCTGGAAGTCAATGGACCGGTGCCACAATGGACCTTCTGCTGTTGAATCCGATAGCATTACAAGGATGCCGTCAAGGCCGACCCCAAACACGAAATAGAGCAGCGGTCCACCGAAGCATGCTCCCAGAGCAATATCCAAGACACCCATTTTTGTAAAAGTGATGGTTGTTACCAGATCACCTATTGAGTTGCCCCAGGCAAACACAGTGAGTCCCAATATGGCCTCGGATAGGTGAAGTAAGTGCGCACAGCGTTGCAACGTGGCTACTACGGTCTGTACAATCAGTGTTATCACCCCCAAGCAAGTCAAAAAGCTCAGTACGGAAACATATCTCACGGCCCAGTCGCAGTATTGGTTACGGTTCAAATACCAAAGCACGCAAGTCAATGTCACGGATGACAGCGCCGCAGCGATCACGTAAATAGAATGTGTAAATGCGTAACACAGCACAAATGGAATGACGGAAACTTGAACCAGCTCAACATGGAAGGCGCGTTTAGTGCGGTCGAGAGCATCGCAAGGCGCTGGGATCAGAGTCTTGAGCACGGCGACCACGGGCGAGATCAAAAGCGCGGTGGAAAGCTCCAAGAGTCCCATTGCAGTCGCATCGCTTTCACCACTCCAATAGCGTTGCAGTGCAGACTGAATAACAGGCTTGTCTAAAACAGAAGTTGGTGATTCTTGGGAGTTCACAGAGTTCTGAAGGCTATGGGAGTCATTTCCGGCGTCCGAAAGCGAACTGGTGGTGCTTTGAATGCGATTGTTGAGATACAACAGATAGTCTGCGCTGGCTGAGCGAGAACTGGTACGCAGCAGAGGTTTTAAATACGCAGGATCGGTAGCGTCTGTTGGTGCCGATTCATCGGGGGCTGCAGTGACAGTGATCTCGGGTCTCAAAGGCAGCGCAGTGTTGTTACCATGGACAAAATCCCGATTTGAACGGCTCCGTGTGATTCGAGTTCCAATGTTGGTTGTTCTTGGAGCTTCGGCCTCGAAAAGGTCGGGATGATCCCAGACATTGAGAATCGAGTCGAGCGAAAGCGTCAGCCGTCTAGAATAGTTACGACGCAAGTGACGTTGTAGTTTTTCGCGGAAAATAGCCTTATTCAAATCCAGTTCTTGCAAGAACAGGTTTTCATCGTGTCTTGAAGAGCCGATTCCAGCCGTTTCTTCCTCTTGCGACGCACCTTCGAGTGTTGTTGCCGTCGTTGCATGTTCTCCTCCCAGGACCTGGCTCAAGACATACACAACATAGGCCACGACCATTACAACGCATTCCCACAGGACCAAGCGTCCATCGCACAACAGAAATAGTGCCAAAGACACCATCGCTGCAAACATCGCTAAATCTTTAACCAGTCGGCTTCGACTGTACCAAAGTACAGTGCCAGGCTCCACGATCTCCAGACCCACACCACTGCGTAAATCGATTGTCCTGACGAAGGCCATTGTACCTGTCACCACAGTCAACATAAAAACCACAGCACCCACCAGCTCTCCCAGGGCAAGCGTTGTAGCGTTAGCTTGCATTGCCTGATAGGTGCTGGTGATATCTGGTACTGAGTTACCCAAAGCTAGCAAAGTAAGGCCAGCTACTCGTTCGGATATTCCCACAAGTTCTCTTGACACTACTGACAGGCTGGGAGTCAGTAGATCAGAGGTTACCACGCCCAGTGCCATAAAGCTGTAAGCCAGAATCAAAGGTGCTGCTAGGAAGGACCATAGCGTCAGCCAGTACAGTCCGGCACCGAGTGCAAGCACTTGAAGAGCATAGAAGCCAATAACACAGGCTTTTCGCAGCATGCGTTGATAGCGTGGTGGATTGTACAGGAGTGGTGGTGATAAGTCAAGAAGAAGGCTAAGTTGTTGAAGACTGAACACCCAGGGTACAGGAACACACACGACACACACACACAAGGCATACATATACATATACATATACATATACATATACATATACATATACATATACAGTCATAAAACTAAAGGTCGCGGTGTCGAATGTATCCTGGAAGTGCAAGTGCTCGTTGGGCAACGGCGATGTCGTTGTGGATATCAGCGATGAGGGCTTCACGAGTAGTGTAGTCCAGTTCAGGTCTGATGTAGCCCAAGATGCGGAACTTGACCTGGGCACCGTAAAAGTCGTGTGCAAACTTGTGAACCAGATGCAACTCGACAGTCTTGGCCTTGTTGTGGTAGAACGGGTTGAGTCCAATGGACAGCACGACGGGCAAGACGTCAAGGTCTCCACCGGCTAGACGTTGTCCGTAGTTGAAATGCACCCTGGAGCCGTCCGGACGGTGTGAATTGCGGGTTTCAGTGGCTCGGGAAGCTTGCAATCTGGCAAATCCGAAGTATATGCCCAGAGCAAGACTATCGAACGACTGGGGCAGTTGATCGATAGGAATGTTCGCCGTGGGGATCCCCAGTTCTGCAGAACCTCGACCAAATCCGCACACAACGTCGCAGAACTCGGTTGTGAGTGGGAACGGTTCTTGGGGAGCACTGGGAGGAGTCATTTGGGAGGCAAGTGTTCGAGCGTTTGCAGAGAAGAGGTTCTTCTTTTTCAAATACAGCTAGCTGTCTTTTTGTTTGTAAGACGGTTCCAGCTCGTTGTTTTGTATAGAAGACTAACTTCAACAACCTTTCAACAACTTCTATCTTGATGTGTATATGGTCTTTGACTTTAGAAAAGCGAATGTTTCCTAAGTTTTGACTATTCTGAACTCTTGAAACTAGTGTCGATATCGACACTAAACAATGTCCTTGGTGGTTGTCTATTCTGATCAGGATCTATAACGTCTTTGTTCTTGATATATGCTTATATGATATGGGTGTTTAGCGAGCTTTAGAAATTCTTGTGTGTTGACGAAAGCTCTGTCTGTGTGATGGAGTGTATCTGGACGCTGTCTTTAACTGTGAAGTATCGCTACTCTGGCGATCTCTGTAGTGTTTGTACTTGAGTCAATCAGCATTGGCATCGAGATGCCTTCATGAGGGTTTCGGACAATTCGAAGAGATAGATTGACCGATCGAGAGCTCCGGTAGTGTCCATGAAAGGTCTTATGTCTTGGCTGATATTCACTGTCGTCCCGAGAAGCTTGGCTCAATTGAAAACGAGGCCAAACTTCTTCTTTGGCTTTGCTCAAAATACTGAGTAAAGTAGTCTTTGGTCTCCCCATGCGAAATCGTGGAGTGTCGTTGAGCAGTAGAGCTGCCAGGCGTATACTGCAAGCTTCTGATGACAGAAAAATCAACGCCGTTTGCTTGCTCCATGCACTTGCCGGGCTCCACTTTGAAAAGCGCATTTGGCAATAGACTGAAGAATCAGTTCCCATGCAAGCATTCAGAGCATTAGTGAGTGATTCTTGCAAACAAGAGAATCTAGAAGCTCTTGGAACTCGTGTAAGGTAAGTGTCTTCCTTGGAAAAAACAGAGACATGGCTGGCCTCTGCATAGGATGCGCCCCCAAACCTGGTCGCTTTCTTGTATGGAAAACTGCCCCAAAATCAATGTCTTGACATTTCCCATCTGGAACCATTGACGACACTGAAATTCTTAGGAAAGTTCTTTAATTGGCATAAATCTCTTCTTTCGACACTTCATTCTACATGGTCTTCGAAAACTTCACCCCTGCCAGCATATCACTCGCAATCTCGGCAAACTAACTGCCAATCACAGCACTTATAGCTTCTGGTGCATGGGCTCGCTCATAGGAGTTAAATAGCGAGTCATTGGAATAGCCAGCTCTTACCACTAGCCAATCCGTCACCTCACCAAAGCTCTGACGGTCTTTGAATTGATCTGAACCGGTTTCAACAGCTTGAAACTTTTGAACAATTTGTAGACCTGTTCGCATGCCTTCTTTCAAAGTTGACCATAAATTCTCTTTTGCTGCACTGCGATCGTAGAATAGAAACAATTCTCTGATCCCTAAGAGATCACAAGTCTCTTATTCCCTTCCCAACCCTAAGACCATGTTTTTACAGCAACTTCGGCCCCAAACAATCAGTCGATTTTCATTTCAGGAAAACTCTTTGGTCTCCCGGTCGACTCATACTCTTCAAACAAAATCCGTAATCTGGCAGCCCCCACATAGCGCCGTTCTGCCACTGAACTTGTCAGATCCGTTGAAATCAGCGCCAGTAATTTGTGACCTTGTCTTGCATAGGCTTGCAGTAGCTGGGCCGCTGCCGCATCCCACCAACACCCAAGTACTACAAAATGGGTGTTGTTCAGTAACTGTAAAGAGGTGTTTGCCACTCGAGCTACCAACTGCCACGAGCGCTGAATGGGCAATGGGTGCTCTAACTTCCCGATAAGGTCTGCAGGCAATGGCAAACGTGTTATTGTTGCAAAAAGTGTCACAATTCCACCCATACGTTCGTCGTAAGAGGTTTCTTCCTCCCAGGTGTTGTCCTGGCTACGTTTCCAACCCATATTGTAACGTCCAGTCTCTGAATCAATGGCACATGAAAACCCTATCACGAAGGGACATTTTTTGACAAATCTCGCCATCAACAGCTCCAATAACTCCGGATACTGTGCTAGCAGCGTCAAAGCCAACTTCGCTAATGGCAATGCGCTTTCGGGCTTAACCCGAACCTCCGTTTCGGCCTGCGACACGAGTGCTTTTGCTATGAAATTCAAAATCCATTGATATCCTAGGTTGTTTGGTTTTGTTTGGTCTACTAGCGAGGTCATTTCCAGTATGATCGAATGCAAATGTGTCTCACTATTGGTTAATTGGCCGAATTTGGGATTGATCTTGCGCTTGTGCTTCGATAAAATAGACTTCAGATTTGCATCCTTCTTCACTGGTTCTACCACTTCGTGTTTTATCTGCTTTATCTTGTGTTTGTAATGGTGGAAAGACGCTTGTATATCGCTGAAATTGGTGATTCCTCTACCCCTTGCAGCGTCTTCGCGTGCGCGCTTCTCAGCAGCCTCAATCTCTTTTTGTGCTGCCAGTTTCTCTTGCTTCAAACGCTCTTCCTCTCTAGCCTTGGCCTCCATTGCCGCTTGTTTCTTCTTTGCCTCATCTTGTCTGCGTTGTTCTTCCTCCTGTTCACGTTTCAAGCGCTCCTGTTCTTCCCTTTGCCGTTTTTCTTCATGCTCACGGTCCCGCTGTTCCTTTTCGCGCCTTCGTTGCTCTTCCTGTTTCCTTAGTTTCTCGGCTTGGACATTTCGAACTTGCTCATCGTTTTTCTCTTGCAAAGTTTCCACTTTTCGCAGGATCTCCCTCGTCATAGCATCTTGCAGTTCTGTGAATGCAGCATTGACTGGTTCAGTCTGTACATCTTCTCTTTCTTCATTGATATCAGTGATCAACGGTTTCAATACCAGTCCCTCATGTCTAGGTATTCTTGTTGTAATAATATTACCTAGCTTACAGGAACCTGGAAGCTTAGCGGTCAAATCAAGATTGGCTACCCAAAGCGCCAAATTCTCGTCTTCCAATTGGTCCTTCAGGCTGTGTTCACCGTCCTCTTCATCGAACTTCTCAAGCTGTCTCGGGATTCTTAATCGCGGGATGAGCTCATCGTCACTTTCGATGATTGAATATTCCTCTGCATCCCACAATTCCGGGCTTTCAATGCCGTAAAGTTCATCGAAACTAAACCGCATCCCCCCAATGCGCCTGAAATACTGTCTTGAGCGCTAAATGAAGCTTCCAGGGTGTTGTAGTTGCTATGCTTAAACTTGTTGAAGTAACGAGCTTAAAGTTTGTCAAATTCAAATGAACTTTCTATCTTCTAATATGATTAAAATTTTCCGAAGAAACCGAAAAACACAGCATCAACAGCCTTTAAAAGACCATTTGAGCTCCGGTTCGTGCGTATAAGGTATTCTCGGTAAATTTGACGTTTCTGAGGGCTTTTCAACGAACTTTTTATCATCATTTTTGGCCTAGAATCGATTTCAACAGTAGGTTTTTTAATCTAGTTTTGACGATCAATGCGATTTCTTCGTGAATTTTCCAGCAGCGCCAGAACATGCAAATCTGCTTGCTCGCTGGTGAAACCGGTTCATCACCTTGTGAGAATCAACAAATCGCGGCTTTCGCCTCGTTTTAAGGAGCTGCAATATCCCAAAAACGACATTCGGTCACCTGCGTTCAAACCTGTTTCAACACACCAAGACCGTGTTGACGACCATTTCCACACCACTGTGCAACCGGACCTTCTTTTGATCAACTATTCGCACAACGCTCAAACAACAGTCGGTGTGAAAAAAAGAGATTGGGATTACTCGAGTCCTTACCATCTAAATCGACAACCACGTAAACCAAAAGGCTCTGCTGCGCAACTGCCGGATCTACATCCCATTAAGTGGCATAATATCCCAGCCCTCGAATCCGTTGTTTTGAATTGTTGCGTTCGGGAATCCAAGGAAAACCAGTTGTTGCCAGTCAGTGCTGCTCTACAGCTGCAGCAACTTACCGGCACCAAGCCCCAGCCTGTTTACGCGAGAACTGACGTGCCATCTTGGAAAGTGAGGAGAGGAACTCACATGGGTGCGAAAGTGGAACTAAGGGGACGTCCCATGACACAATTTTTAAGTACATTGACCGAGATTGTTTTACCAAGAATAAGAGAGTATAAGGGTATCAGCAACAAGTCTGGTAACCGCTTCGGTGGATTGTCTTTCGGTTTGAGCGCCGAAGATGTGAAATTTTTCCCTGAGATCGAGTCCAACCAAGATTTGTGGCCCAAAACTTTCGGTATGCATATCAACATCAATTCCTCTGCGCAAGATGATATACAGGCAAGGACTTTAGTGAGCGGATTTGGATTCCCATTCCACGGTCCTGAAAAGATAAAGAGATAGAGCTTTTCGAGAAAATCATGTAAATACTGGAATTATTCCGCTATCATTCTTTATTCTTTGGCATTTCTATTTACGATGTAGCTTAGTTGTTCAGTTTTCTAAACGCGGTCCAATTTGACTTTGTTCATCTGCCTTGCTATCAAGGCAACTCTGTCACCCATAGAGAGAGCCAGCCCTTGACCCTTCGACCGAATACGGACGTGACCTACAACTTCTTCCGATATAGGATCCTTCTCGATACACAAGTTGGCTAGCGCGTCCTCCCCAAATGTGGACTTCGAGTAAAGGTTACAACTCAAAAATCTGCAGTCTTTTTCGCCCAAAGCTTCTTCCGATGTGAGAACGCCCATACGAGTGCCTTTAACAAGTTCCTCTAAGTATGCATGCAGCGTTGGGAGCTTGGATTTGACGGTGATTTTATTTTCCCATTCAAAGGCATTCCACATTTTACGGAAAGTGGCATCATCTGTTTTGGCCGGCTTGATATAGTCCATAATATCAACATGTATGTCATTCATTATCACGTAACGAGCATCCTCTCCGTGCCCACCATCGTAGACAATGTTCCCAAAAATAACACCGGTGTCCGCAGATGAGACCTTCACGGTGATAGTAAGTCTATGAAACCCGTGAGCTACCACATTTGTGCTAGGAGGATTATCGATGATTTTGAGATCTCCCAGAGTGGCGAACTGGACGTGGAGGTTTTTCAGAGTTTCCTTGGTCTGATTAACCAATAAAACATCGATTACGACATCAAACTGATGGTTAGTGATGTAGGCTTCCGCGTAAACGGGGTCCGAGAAACCAGTGAGAGGAACTACTTTCCGCAACTTCGAAATAACAGAATTAGAGGCATTCAAATGCAAAGCATCGCCGCTTATGGCCTTTTCTAGGTCTTCGTTGATCGTGTCGATGGGCGTACTGTGAATATCATTTGCGGCAAATTGGCGGAAAGAAACTGCTTTGTCTATTGGATCGGCTGTGCGAGCCAAAACAGAAGCATGTTTCTTCGCAAACTCGCGTTCTTCACTTGCAACTTTCAGCTCAAAAGAATTTTTCGTGGCCTCCAAATAAGCTAACTCCAATAATTTCTTGCTCTCGGCGTCTTCGTAGCTCGTTTGGTCCATTAGAATAGACAGCGCGACAAGTATTCTCTCTGCAGAGTCCTCATCAATCTTCTTTTCCACCAGGTTACTTTGGCCAGCCCTTAGGATGCTAACAAGAATGAGCATTGCCTCAGCTTTCAATGCGTTGAGAACAGTAGCGTCTTTCGACGACTTTTCGAATCTCAAAACGCATTTAAGGATTGTAGTAGCCAGAACAGAAGCAGTGTAGAAGTCACCACTCAGAGTGAAGCGGCGAAGTGGTGGCTTGGACTCCTTCTCCTCATTGGTTGCAGTATTCGTAGGAGCGGAAGCAAAAGCAGATTCAGTAGCGTAGGTACCATCGGGCAAGACAACAGGGCCCGACGAGGGCCCGACTTCCGGAGCAACATTCTGTTTGGCAGACTCATCCTCTGTCTCGCTAGCCTCTGACTGAATAATTGGTAAGGTTCCTACACTGCTCCTAATGTGCTTCCAGGAGCTTTGGACATCAGCAGCATCCAAAGAATACTCACCCAGAATCCATAAAGCGCCACGATAGGCTTTAGCGGAATGCACGTACGAAAGAGCGCCAATCAAATGTTGAAGAATTTCTTTTCTGAGCTGAGGGTATTTTTCGATAACTTCCTTGATGAAAGAAATTACACCGCTAGCAGCGTTGGAGCTTAGGTTGCCTATGGACTCCAAAAAGAGCGATACGACATCTGCCGATACCTCAGCGAATCGAATGGCCACCTTGTGCATGTTTTCGATCAGTATCTGTCTATAGTCAGTAGATTTTTCATCATTGTGCGCATTGGTAATTGTTGTCTGAAGCTCTTTCTTCAATAGCTTTATTACATCATCCACGTTCCTAGAAGACACTAGCTCTAGAGCAATATCTAGTGCTTTGGCTCTTACATCCAGATCTTGTGCGGACAAAACCCGCAAAATGTCTAATGTAAGTTCTTCTAGATGACCGGGGGCTCTTTGATGAATGTCCTGAATTCTTTCCAGCACAATAAGCTTCACGTTGTTGTCAGATTCCTTGACGGCAACGTCGATCAATTTAGACGCTACTTCGCACAAGACCTTGGGATCACTGGATAGCACGGTGAGGGCCAATGCTGCCTCAAAAACAACTTCCGGAGAGGTTGTAGCTGCGAGAAGATCTTGGAGTAAGTCAACATATTGAGGCTTCAAAGTTGGAATTTGGATCGCGTCTTTGCGAATAAAGTCTATGAAGGCACCCTGCAAAAGAGAGTCGAGGCTTTCAATAGACGCAATGTTTTCTTGCAAATAGTTGAGAGCAGATTCCCGGTCTAGCTCCGCCAACCCCAAGAATGCATTCCTCTTGCAGATTGGATCGGTTTCCGCGACTAAAAACGAGTCAATAATCTGTGGGGCATCCGGAATCAAATGTTCACTGACTTTGAAGATTGAGTATACTGCTAAAATCGCGTATTTGCGAATATAAGCGTGGCGGTACTCCAGACACTGTCTAACAGCAGGCACCATTTGTTCTAATAAGTCAGCCTCGCGCAATTTCGTCAAGAAACGCAACGTGTTACCGCGAATGTATTCATTTGGATGCTGCAAATCGTGTTGGATTGCATTGCACACCAAAATCATCTCCTGTTTCAATTTACCTTCGGAATCAAGTTTGGGCACAATCTCCCAGTAAAAATACAGCAGCTTCTTCAATTGCTTGTTTTTGGATGGCATTACAAATCTGATGACGTGCATCAAAATCTCGCGCATTGGATTGCCGTCCAGCATCATAACCAGTATCCTCTTCATCGTATTGATCTTTTCTTCATCAGATCCCTTTTCCAGCGATCTTTGCAGCTCCTCCCTTGTGTATCCGACCAAACTCGGGCTCGGGTCATACACCAAAGTGTAAGCCGATTGATGAAGGGTAGAACTCATCGTAATTGACCCACAAACCGCCTTTTTGTCACTTGTCAAGTTTACGGTTTTCTAGGAATTTAGCCAGGTTGTTGTTTCTTGTCAAAATGAAATATTGCCACTTATTGAACATTTATCATTTTATACGTGATGTGTCTAACTTTACTGTACTACAAAGATCTTGGAATTTCGTGACGTGCACCAATAATCATTGGTGTCAGCATTGGGATGAGTTAGAAAAGCTTTAGCAAAGCTCTCTTGATTGACTTTTGTTCTTGAAGACCTTTTTTAGAACTTAATCTGTGTGAAAAGGTCTAGAACATCATGTTCTATGAGACCAGGCTCTTTCATCTTCGAATACCTGAAGAAAAGGAGTATTTTCGTATGCTTCTCGAGGTTTTCGTAGATTTTCTTGCATCAGTGCGGCTCTCTTTCGATTTTGTTTGAGAGATATGTTAATATGAAGTCAAATTCTCGAGTGGTTATTATGAAGCGTTTCATTGAACAATGTTGAACTTCTAAAAGCAGGGCTGAAGGATTAAAAGTTCCTTGGAATAGCCTGAAGGTTACGGCTAAACTCTTGCCTTCAAAGATGAGAGAGGTTGATGCCGGAATGTCGTCATAAGTGAGCCTTGGAAGTAATGGCAGTGTCAGAATGATCATCAAGAACCACCCACCTTATCCGCTCCACTAGGCAAGAAAAAAAAAGCATTTCGGTTGTGGGCGCCATCCTCCCGAGTTCGGATATCTCTTTTGAAGATCTTACTTTGAGTATCTTTTCCAAACCGCCTCGAAATGGTCGAATTCACTCATTTGTGAACCTCCACTTAAATTAACGAGACCTTCACTTTACTCGCGATGCTATCGTTTCTCTTAGTCTTCGTCTGACTCTGGATCCTGATTTGTTACGTGCAATCCTCCATTAAATGTAGACTGCAGATATGCAGGGTTTGATGTTTGGACCGACAGTTCATCATCTGACGAGTTTTCAGCAGCAATTTGGTCTCTCAAAGTGGGATCAAATCCTTTATGAACCGTGTTGATGTAATCTGTGTCCAAAGTACCACTGCGAATACGGTTTATATTCTGTCTAGTAAAATAGCTGGTCACAGTATCGCTTCGATTGATTCGTCCATTGGTTCCGCCCATGCGGCGTTGGTCACCTTCGTGTGCCCCAGCAAAACGAAGAGGAGCCTTGTGATCTCCTCTATCCCTCAGTGGTGCCATTACATCATCGCTATCGTATGCCTCGTCGCCCGGGATATTTTGCAGATATAGGTCATCACCTTCCATACTGTAGGAATTTTCAATGTCTCCGTTTTGAGTCTGTCTGCCGCCGAAGAGCAGATTAGTTCCCGATGTGCTCTTGTTCAATAGATCGTGGAACTCTCGCGTATGGTCGACTTCAGTGGAAACAGAAGAGTTCTTGTCGCGCACTTTCATCGCACTATCTGTTTCCTCTTCTTCCTCTTTAGCGGTCTCTAAAGACAAAAGCTTTTGTTTAGCCTTTCCGTGCTTGATTCCAATTTGTTTCGAGCTCGTGCGTATCTTAACCTTGATGTTTTGTGGCTGTTCAAGACTATTCTTCGTCTTAAGCACAAATGGTAAATTGGGAGGAGGTTGAAGTGAATTGGATGTTGGGAAATACTTCAGTCGTAATTCTTCAACATAGCCGGACACTAGCTTTACCGATTTGTCAGTTCCATTTCTCCGCGGGCTTGGTAACCTTGCTGTTTCTTGTGGCTGTGAGAATTGGTCCTGTATTGTGAACTCAGACTCTGGTACACTCCTGGGGCTGAGATCTTTATCCAACAGAGGTAATGAACCCGAGCTTGACATCTCATGATCGAGTCCCTCAGACATTGAAGGCGGCGAAGGTGTTATCGTAGGCAGAGTGGTTATCAGAGGCGGCTGATCTACCTTTGTGTGATGCTTGGCCGAAGACGGAAGGGCGGGCGTGGACGTAAAGCTCTCATTGTCAGTTGTAGTACTACTCCCATCGTTGAGCGTGAAATTTGGCCGATGTTCGTTAACGACCCTAAATTGTCGTGGCCTATCAGTGAATGACTGATCGTCGCCATAGAAGTAATTGCTACTGGAGGCCTCCGAATCAGTGAAGGGTCCTTCTATACTATGTTGCTCGGTCTTGGAAGTTTGTTCATGTCCAATCTTTTCTTGGCTGTTTCTGTAATTACCAGAAGCCATTTTCGGTTCATTATTGAACGAAAGTTGTTGTAGCTCCATTACTGATTCAACTTGCGAATTTGCGAAAGAAAAACGGTCGTCATCCTCGATTTTGTCTTCGTTATCCACACTGGAAAGCGATTTCCGCAAACGGTCATCTGTGCGTTTAGAAGCTAACTCGCTGGAACTTTTCCCGTAATCTGAATCGTCTCGAGAGTTATCACGCAAATAGCCTTCCTGATCTATACTGCCGCTCGCTATATTCAGACTAGGAGTATCGTAGTGATCACTTGACGAGAAAGGCCCAATTGAGCTTTCCTCTCCATAAGTCAATTGGCTTTCATTGCCAAATTGATCTAAGTGATCCATCAATTCGTCGATGTCAGACTTTTTTCTCTGGTGACCCCGGTCTGAAGATTTTAGGACATCCTGTTCATTTATTCTCGTGTCTGTCTCAACGTTGCTTTTCGGAACGCTGTCGCTCTGTATGCCCGTGAACTGCAATTCAGGTGGTGGGGGCCTCATTCTATTCAACGTTCCTACCCTATGTGTTGTACCAGAACTAGCGGGGTTTATGACAGCCGAAATTTGTGGCTGGCGAGTCTCCGGTGTGTTCGAAGGCGGGGCACTAGAAGTGCGAATCTCGCTTGTAGCAGACTCAGAACGCTTTTTCGTTGAAGACATCAACGGATATTTCCCAACATACTTGACGTTTGAAACTTTTGTTTCAACTTTTGGTTCGACTTTGGGTCCATTATTCTTGCTTGAAAAGAAGAAAAACGAGTTGCGTTTCTGTTTCGGATCGCTCATACCGAGCTCGCTTACGTTCTTCTGGGTTGTAGGTTCGTGTTCATACAGGAAGAGAGCAGATCATTAATTGTAAGGTTACAACAACGTACGCGGTGACGCTTGTGGAGCGCCAGGCATAAACAGCACCATGAGGTTTAGACCTGGGTTTCTAGCAGTTCAAGCAACAGTTTCAGAGCTTCTAGGTTGTGTTCGCCAATACCACCAATACTCACAACTCTCACGGTACTTGGATGAGGAACAGAAACAATTTTGGAGTCTTTAGTATGTTTAGACACATTCAACGAATTGAACCAGGCGGTAGATTCGTGGACGTTGTTTAGGTTCATCACCACAGCATTGCAATTCGTCTTGGATCGCAGATCATGAAGGTTGTCGTAGATTAGGTCAACGTAGTGCTGTCGCGGGCATTTGATGTAGGTCTTCAGAATTTGATACGGGGACTTGCTTTTCACTGCATCGATCGAAGCTTTCACAGTGGCGATACAATAGTCCCTGATCTGTTCTTGCGAAAGGTAGTTGGCGTTTGAGCCGCGGGATTGAGGATCTAATGTGCGACCGCTACCATTAGCACCCACTGGGCGCGCAGGAACACTTCTGCTGGAAACTTGGTCTGCATTGCTGGAACCGCTGTATCGGGAGGTACTAGGGGTAATTTTTCGTGATGAGCGTGATGTATTAGACGGAGCTTTGGCAGACTCTGTAGCTTCTGTGGTCTTGACTGGGGCCGCTTCGTTGTACTTGAGAACAGTTTCGACGAAGGATTTCAAGGACTTTTTACTCTCCTCTATAATCGGCCCGTTGATCTTCGAGACGGTAGCGGGGTCCATCAAAATATCTCTGTCCAAGAACGGTATTGACGTCACTGCAATGGTTCTTTTTAGTGTCAGGTCTCGTAATCTGGTCGGAAACTCTTGTTTAGTTCGATCGGCCGACTTTTTAAAACTTAGGTTGCCCAGTAGTTCACAAATGGCATCGAACAATAGCGGTAATCCGTATCTGTCGACTGAGATTTCTGTGAAATTCCAAAGCTCGGTGAACTGCGCAACAGTGACGCCATTTGTGGGACCTCGTGTCCCCATTGCAGGCTGACTGGATTTGTGAACGTAGAAGCTCCCTCGAATGGGCACTTGTCGCGGTATATACACCGGATCTTCTTTTCCGACACCTATCCATTGCTTGGCCCTGTTTGCAAACACGAACCCTAAGACCAGCGCTAGGTCAAGGGCCGTGAAGTTTTGAATGCACAGATAGTTAACCCCATCGTCCGGTTGAATAAACTCCAAAGTGTCGGACCTCATCTCAGCAAAGGCTTTGGAGCTTTTCAAATTGCTGTATTCAACATTAGTTATCAGTAGAAAGGCTGCGCTACGTCGGATTACTGTGTTAGTCTCAGCTTTCTTCCGACTGAAAAAACGGTATGTAGCGATAAGAGAGGACTGATCATATGAATCTTGTCTTTTGCTCTTAAACCTGGGACCATTGCCACCAGAATATGGTCTCTTTTTGACTCCCATTATAGATTTACCAGTCGAGCTTAGCAGTAGTAACAAAATTTCTTGTAAGTGGTGATGTCCAAGTTCTTAAGATGAGCTTTTTGAACACTGTAAAGTCCCCAAACTTAAAAGAGGAAACTGGAAACGATTGTCGTATTCTACCTGTGGGTTTAGGATGCAATCTGCAGGACAAATATCTTGTTATGTTACAAAAGTCGGTGATATTATATGTATATAGCGTTTTTGAATTCCTGCCAGGCCATTTAAACGGCTTGGGTCGATGACGATGAAATTTACCCAGAAGGCCAATGTAGATGATGCGTTGCGAGGGCTTCTACATTTTACAAAGACTTGACCTCCTTGACCACATCGTCAAAGCTTTCACGGTACTCTTCTTCCTTGGCCTTACCGTCTTTCTTCTTGCTGCTGCCTGGCACCACAAAGACCACCGATGTAGGTCTCTTGGTGGCTCCAGCAGAACCTAGATCCTGTTTAGAAGGCACGAAGATGTAGGGTATGCCCTGGTCTTCGCATAGGACGGGGATGTGAGAAATCACGTCTGGGGGAGAGATGTCGCCAGCAATGACAACGAGGCCTTTTTCGCCCTTTCTCAAGGCCTTGACCACTTCCTTAACACCTCTCTTCACGTTCTTGGCCTTTGAAGCCTTCTTGACGGTCTTGAGGACCTTCTTGTTTAGCTTTTTCGAGGCCAAAGGCTGTGCAAATGGCAGAACGGCTGGTAGTCTTGCGTCGTAGTTGTCTTCGCTTGAAGTTGTCTTATCCTTGGCCATTTTTCCTGATTTTTGATATGAGACTAGATATTGAGAGTTCAGCTGCCGATTGTTGATAGACAGAAGCAGGTACGAGTCCCAGTAGCGCGCTTTAAGTTCCTGAAATCTATTTTCGATAAAGCGTTCTCTCCAGGTATGAAATAAAATTTTTTGATGCGATGAGCTTGCAATAAATTATTAGCATCAAATAGATACACACCAAAAAACACCTAGCTGAGTACGACAGATCGTCAAGAAAGTTGGGATCTGTGATCTGTAATGGACTCGACGAGTTCCAATACAGGCGGTAGCATTTGTATAAACTGTTAAGACTATGGGCTAGTACCGAAATTTGGTTGTTTCATTCAGCGTGTTAAATTATCCACTTTTTCAAAATCAATAAAGCTCACTACTGAACAAGGGTGCCGAATGCCCTTGTAAGGTCTCTATCAAACGGGACGTAGTCTATTTGAAAATATTTGGCTGCTTGGCTTATCGTTGAATTCTCTTATACAGAGACGATGTCTACGTCAGCTGGCTTAACGTAGTGAACATGGGTTTCACCGAATTATGAAGGAACAACAGCTGCATTCGCTTAGTGTAGCAGTTAACCCAGGTTAAAACTTGGGTTCGAAACTCATAAGAGGCTTTAGTCTCTTGTTATTGATCCTCTCGGTGGCCAAGTTGGTTTAAGGCGCCAGACTGTAATGTTATCACTGTAATCTGGATATCGGGCGTTCGAATCGCCCCCGGGAGAATTATATTTTTTTAAATAAGATTTAACTCCACAACTCAAATGTGAAGAGCATATCAAGCCGTGTTGGGATGTTTGTTTGAGCTCCCAGCGGGCTATCATGATATTCAAGTTCGCATTACTGGATATGCTCTCTCCGAGTCTTATACTAGTGTATACGTGCAAAATGATACACTCGCGGCATGTTTTAAGACTTTTTACGGGTCCGCATGATAATAGCTAAACCTCAAGGTAAGAGGTTAAAAAGTTACCTTATGTTTCCGAGCGTGATTTCGGCAGATCAGGGACAGCATCAAGTAGTAATGGTGGAAGCAACCTGTCTCTGGCCTACGCTCGTATATAGTTACCTTCATTTTCGTAATTGGCGTTTTCTATTTCGTGAAGAGTTACCGGAGGTCGCGTGATTCTTCGGACTCGTCAAAATCGCGTACCTGATCATAATTAGAAGTGCGAAATTAAAAAATTACGTGTTGGCGGCTATCAAAACGGTATTGCATCAAATAAACAGGCAAGATTTGAACAGTGATAATCATTTGAGTGTTTTGACCAGTGTTTTTCTCACCTCTAACTTCCAAAGCGCCACTTGAGATCAAGAGAGATCTTATTACGCCTTCAAGAAACCGATTTTTGAGCTCATTCTTGTCAATTAATTATAGTTGGCGTCCCAGGTTGGATGAGAGCTTCTTGCGACTGCAGTATATGGCATACACACTGCTTCCAGCTCATAAGCGAAGGTCCATACGATTAGAAGCCAAGAGTACGATTTTCAAATCGGCAACGTGCTCGAAAGTTAAAGCATTAGGAAATGCAAAAGCACTCACAAATTGGCCTCAGTGAAGAATAGCATTTACAGCTTCGAGCCCAAATCTTTGAAAAAACACCAGGCGCAATACTCGATCATCTTCTATCCACAAAGATATCCTGCTACCAGCAAAATGCACCACACGATTCCCAAAAAAGCTAGGTATCTGGAGTCTAAGAGCCTCCTGAATCAACACACGACTAACTTTTCTGAAAAAGAGCTTCCCAATCGTTGTATATCAAAACACTGATAAATGATATCATACCTCTAGCTCAACTTCAACACCACGAACTCCAGAACCAGTGAGAATCGTTAGTTCCTTGTCACTATGGACGAGCACGCGCTTCGCTATATTACTTGAAAGCTTCGTGTAATCCAAAGGTTATTATGGTAGAGTGTTCGAGCAGCTCAAGATCGAAACTAAAAAACCGTCCCATTGGCGTCGCACCGCAGCACCGGATGTCTGACTACCAGCGGGTACGACCTTTGCAAAATTTCGAGGTCGACACAAATAACGTCGGTCGCGTAGGCAGTGTTTTTCAAAAGCGATGGTCAAATTGGAAAATAGTAAATGTTCTACGCAAGTATGGAAGATTCATTGGACCAGGGCTTATGGTGTCTGTTTCGTACATGGATCCCGGAAATTTTAGCACTGCGGTAGCGGCAGGTTCTGCCCATCGCTATAAAATGCTGTTTTCCGTACTTGTTGCCAATATTTTGGCCGCGTTTTGGCAGTGTTTATGTGCGAAATTGGGTGCTGTCACAGGACTGGATCTGGCTCAAAATTGCCGTCGTCACTTACCAACGAATTTGAATCTGGTACTGTACATCTTGGCCGAAGTGGCCATCATTGCCACGGATCTGGCTGAAGTGGTCGGTACAGCTATTTCATTAAACATTCTATTCAACGTGCCATTGCCCTTGGGGGTAATTCTCACAGTCGTCGACGTGCTGGTTGTTCTTATGGCGTACCGTCCCAACGGTTCCTTGAGACTTATTCGGTGGTTCGAGATTTTCGTGTCGCTGCTCGTGGTAGGGACCGTAGTGTGCTTTTCTGTCGAGCTATTTTCTGTCTCGATCGAAAATGTGGGCGAGGTGTTCAAAGGGTTCATGCCGAGCAAAGCTGTTGTTGAAGGCGACGGCATTTACCTAAGTTTGGCAATCCTGGGCGCCACTGTTATGCCGCACAGCTTGTACCTCGGGTCAGGTGTGGTGCAGCCCAGATTGCGCGATTACGACATCAACAACGGACACTACAAACCCAGTGACACTGATGTCGACAACAATCACGAAAATTATAAACCATCCTATGATGCCATCAACGACACGCTCACTTACACTATAGCCGAGCTTCTGGTGTCACTGTTCACGGTAGCTCTGTTCGTTAACTGCTCCATTCTAATAGTAGCGGGCGCAACGCTGTATGGATCACCACAGGAATCTAGCGCGGATCTTTTCACGATCTATGAGCTCTTGTGCAAAAGTTTATCAAAAGCAGCAGGTACAGTCTTCGTGCTTGCGTTATTGTTTTCGGGCCAATCTGCGGGAATCGTGTGCACTTTGAGCGGGCAAATGGTTTCTGAAGGTTTTCTGAATTGGACCATTGCGCCTGCATTGCGCAGGGCTCTCACTAGAGCCGTAGCCATCACTCCGTGTTTGATTTTGGTCTTGGTCGCTGGACGCCGGGGCCTAAGCGGTGCTCTAAACGCCTCTCAAGTCGTGTTATCGTTGTTGCTGCCGTTCGTTTCAGCGCCCCTGCTGTATTTCACAAGCAGCAAGAAGATCATGCGTGTGGATTTGGCAAATAATTGTTACTACGATGATCGTGACCGGGGCATTCCTTTGCAGAATCTGGCGGCTGATAATGCAGCAGACAGTACAGACGATGAAAATGGTGGCAATGATAGCGATAGTCTCGACATTGATGTAGCGCTGCCGTCTGGGAATCACAACAACAGTGGCAGCGACAGCGACGATCATCTCTATGCCGATATGAGCAACAGTACTTTCACAACAATCATGGCTGTCTTGCTGTGGCTATTCATCTCTGCTTTGAATTTCTATCTACTCACAAGCTTCTCCACGGGTAATGATGTACATATGTAAATAACAATGAAGGCAGAAAGACGTAGCGGTTAAAACGTTTCCGGTTCGATGCGTGTTGTATACGGGCAGTCTAGAATTATAAATTAACTAGTATATATGTCAAAAATCTGAAATTGTACTAGTAAAACAATCACCATTATCACTTGAACGGAGCAAATCACTATCGCTAGCCGCCAATCGACACTTTTGAAATGTTGAAATGGTTTCCAATACCGTGATCATTACGGCAGGCTACCAAAACGCGACCGAAAACGGCGCTCTGGAGCGAATTCGAGAATTTTTAGAGGCAACGGTGTTGAAGCGTTTTGAGGTTACTGAAGAGAGGCCTTTGAAGCTTGTGGCATTGCCCGCGATGAACAGATGTGTTCTGGTTTGTCCATCGCTTGAGCTGGCAGAGCAAACAGTGCTGTTGCACTCGCAATGGCCGTCGTTAAATGGGTTTAAATTCCAATATTCCGCTATAGATGTGTCTGGCTCAGCTGAGAAACAGTATTTAGAGCTACCGAAAGAACGTGCGCTGTTCTTGGTATCTCCACCAACATCCCCACCACCAGGGTTCGATTATTCACGTCTGGAAGAAGCACCCAACCGTGTTCGTGGGCTACAAGCCTCGGGACACGTGCCCGAGGCTTTTCAACCTCGCGATCATCACCACAAGCTCACGGGTGAATCTCAAAAGATTCTTCTACACCACTCCCATACTTCTATTACCCTTGAGCAATGCGATCAGGATCCTGTTACAGCAAGAATGACACCAGAAGATGTTTCCGTGCGTAGTGATCAGGATTTCAATGGTTCACAATTGCCATCATCAATCTCTCAATTCCGAACTGCCGTACCGCCGCGTTCGATATTCGATGATATTGACTGAAGAACTTGCTCACCACGATTTCAATACCCCCATCCATTTATTTCAATGATCATCAGACTTTAGAAACTTTCTGGAAACTCTCACACAAATCACGTGATCCGCTCCTTATCTACGAACCAATAACAACGCCGAATTTTCCTTATTAACGTCATGTGATGGGTAATCAAGAAGCTTTCTCAATAGTAGAGGATGGGAAAAAAAAGTTCAGTAGAGAGCGGAAGAGTTCCACATCGGCAAAGAGATAGCGATCTTGAAGCTACAGATCAAAAGTGAAAATCGAGGAACCTTTGAGTCAAACTAGCCGTCACATTTTTGTGGATTAAATCTGAACTCGACCGTTTTTGTTTCATTGAAATACCTCGAAATTTGAGCTTATTCCTAGCAGTTGTTTTAAAAAAATGTTGTCCAGAGCTATTTTCAGAGGAGCCCGTGTGAACAGCAGAAATCTGCTTACTTTTGCTGGTCAAAGAACCAGTGTGATCCGTTCTATGCCTAGAATGGCCCAATTTCAATCGGTACGGAAATACTCTGACCATCACGATGAAGAAACTTTCGAAGAGTTCACCGCTAGATACGAAAAGGAATTCGAGCAGGCGTACGATTTGTTCGAAGTGCAAAGAGTCTTGAACAACTGTTTCTCCTACGATTTGGTGCCTGCCCCAGCCGTGGTTGAAAAGGCCCTAAGAGCGGCAAGAAGAGTCGACGACTTGCCCACAGCCATTCGTGTTTTCGAGGCCCTTAAGTACAAGGTTGAAAATGAGGAACAGTACAACGCTTATTTGAACGAATTGAAGGATGTCCGTGCCGAATTGGGAATTCCACTAAAGGAAGAACTTTTCACTAACTAGAGGATTCTGGCTCGTTCGTTCTTCAAAAGACCCACTAAATAAAGCATCTCTTTTCCTCCTCCGCCTCCTTCTCCTCCCGCGCATCGCGACTGACTGCCAGGAATTTGTCCGGTCACATATATCCCACCCTCGCAGTGTCCGTTTCGCCAAAAGAATATATTTGTAGGAAAAGTATTATAATTACCATTACTATTTATGCTTAGAGGATGACACGAGCACACGAGAAAGCTGCTCACGCACATCACTCGTCATCGTCTTCATCGTCGTCTTCATCGTCGTCGTCCTTTACTATCTTACCACGTCCGCGTTTGGAGTTGCCCACAGCTTCTTCGTCGTCCGAAATCTCCTCTTCGTCCGAATCTATTTGAGCGCGTCTTTTGTTTGCCACTTCTGCATCGGAATCGCTTTCGTAATCGCTTCCACTGTCACTTTCGCCTTCAGAATCGCTGACTTTACCAGCATTTACCTCCTCTACCGCATCAAACCAGTCGCTATATACATCTACCGGCTGCGACAAGGCATTGACATGTGTTTGAAAAGTCTGACCGCATACTTTGCATGACAACGACCCGATGCTATTCTTTTTATCCAGCGTACATGTCACTGATCTTTCGTGATTGCAAAACAAACAGTTGAATGTGGAATCAAGCCTTTGGACTACTTTTTTCGCCGGACCTCTTGAAGACTTCTTTCTCTTACCCATTGTGCCACTATTGACGCTGCTAGCGGCTGCCGATAAGTCGCTCTAGTGTCGATGTGGTTGTTTTAGAGGTGGTCGAGCAGCTTTATAGACGTGAGTGAGACTGGCATGTATTAATTTGATATTGGAACATGTGACCTGTGGTCATGTGACAGGAACAAATATTCGAAATGTGTGCAGCTTTGAACCGACTGTTCGTCGATGAAAGCTCTTTTGAAAGCTTGAGGAATGAGAAATTGTGTCAGTTTATCGGTGGTCAGAATGATTTCGGCTTTTCGGACTCTTGATTTTGAAATTCCGGTCAATAAATTCGACTCAAGTGCTGGAGAACGCTGACAAACTTGAAAGTTTTATTTCGAGGCAATAAAGGCACAGCTTACGATTAGAACAATCCATTTCTTATGCATTTTTGTTTTCGGGAAGGATGCTTTCTTAACTTACCCGATGACAGATTAGTACATAGTGATTTGCGTAGATGACAGCATCAACTAATACAGAAGACTTCACGAAGCTCGAATTGTGCCCAGTGTATTGACGATATGACTTGGTCAGAGTTTCTCCTTCTTCACACACACAAGATTGTCAAAAAAGACTCTTTCAAAATCTGACCAAAAAACCATTATTTTCAATTCACTTGCCATTGTTCAGAATTTCAGAATGCGTTATGTATGCGACGTTATTCTACAACGATGACAAAAGAACTCAAAGTAATTCAAAGGCTTAACAACATCCTGTGACGAAACAATTTCGAAATCTTTCCGTACAGCCCATGGCTCATTGTTCTCGACCCCAGTAGCGTTCTGCTGATATTTTCTTCATTTTTGTCACTTCATACTAAACTGACACCACATCGATCAGTATCTTCCTTAGTCTATAACTTTACCTCTAAAACAACTGGAATTGCATTGGGAGCACACTCTTAAATACAATCTTGTCAAATCGAAATTATGAAGCCAGTATGCTAATCTTTTTTGCTTATCAAAGCTTCTGGGCCCGTTATTTCGATACTTCAAGAAAGTGTGGCCTCATAAAAAAGCTCACTCTCAAACTTCAAACATAAAGCAGAGTTATATGACATAAATATCCATTGATACCACCAAAAACTGTACTAAGCTTCTGGTAACTTGATGTTTTACACTCAATGTCGATGACCCACACGTTCAATGTGACCGTTTTCTTCCATTTGAAGAATCGCTATACTGAAAAATTTTATAAGCGCATCTCATCTCATCTCATCTCATCTCATCGCATCGATTCTCAAAAACAAGTGCAACTACACTTCAAGCCAGTTCGATATATACACGAACGTATAAACAGGCTCCGTTGCCGATATTCGACATAATGGCTAAGGGAACACCTGTGAAAAAGGGCAGAGGCTCGAAGAATGGCACTCCAGTGTCTACTCCTCCTGTCAAAGCGAAAAAACCTATGAGCAAGACGTCAACGCCTACTCAAGCTCAAGCATCTACTCCTGGATCGACGCCATCCAAGAAAAAGAAGAAAGCAGTGAAAACGGCGGGCAAACAAGGCGAGAAGCTGGTTCTTAGTGCCAAAGAGTCCTCAGCCGCTAAAAAACCAGAAACTGTTATCCCAATTGACAGAATTGTGCGTGCAGTGCAAGAGTTGCAAAAGTTTGTGGATAGTGAAAAGGCCAAACAAGAAAACTCTAACCAGCTATTGGACGATGATGAGTTGGATAGACAGGTGGAGTTGATCGCCGTCAACACCACGTCTTTCACAGAGAACAGAAAAGTGTTCAAGCCTAAATTGTTCAAGATCGAGCACTCTCTTTTCAAACCATGGAAAAAAGCTAGTGAAACCGCCGTCAAGGACTTCAAAGTGCTTCTAATTCTCAAAGACCAGGACGCCGCCAAATGCACGGAAGACCAACTTTACGACCAGCTGCATGGAGAGGGCATCACAATCGATGCCGTCGTTACAGGCAACGATCTCAAGACCAAATACAAGGCTCTAGAAAAGAGAAGAGCTTTTGTGCAAGATTTCTCTCTTATCTTGGCTGACGATTCCATCGTGACGGCGTTGCCCAAGCTTTTGGGAGGCAAAGCTTACGAGAAACTGGCCACCACGCCGCTTTCCATCAAAACCAGCAAGAACAGCTCCTTTTCGCTAACAACGCTAGTGAACAGCATCAAAAAGGTATACTTGAAAACGCTTCCAGCCAAGATGCCCCGCGGAACAACCTTGAGCGCGCATTTGGGTGATTTGGAATGGTTTTCTGCCGAGCAAATCGCCGACAATGTGCTGGCTATTGCGGAACAACTGGTCAAGGATTTCCAAATCAGATCGGTTTTCCTCAAAGTCAACAAGTCTCCTGTACTTCCGCTTTACTACAACCAGAACGTCTTGGACGCTTTGGCTAAGCAAGCTGATGAAGGTACAGAGGGCAAGGACAAGGCATTGCATAAGGTCACCATCGGTGGCACAGACTTGGAATTGTCCAATTTCGATGCTGCGTTGATGGAGATTGCCAATCCAGACGAGCTGGAAAAGGTTTTCGCTTCTCGTATCAACAAAGCGAGAAAGAGAACAGCGGAAGACGCCGAACAAGCTGTTTCCGCGAAAAAGACTAAAGCATAGAGTAAAAAGACACACTGTATAATAATAAACTTCGGCTACATTCAAAGCTCACAATGAGAAAGAGAGGCAACGTCTGTTAAATGAATCGACCTATTATCATGACTTGGTCACACCTGAGCTTCAGGCAGTGACCTCGGGCTGGTCAAGCTTGTTCAAGGCATCACTGGCTTTATTTGTGATGATGGTCTTTTTATACCTCTGTCTGTATTTAAGATTGAAATAATGTCACCGGCGTCAACGTTTTTAAGAAATGACACAAACTCAAGAAACGGACAGGATAGCTTCAACAGGGCCCTTCTATCATTCGATATATTCAGAGCAGTGATCAATTCAACAGGCTCAAAGGCCTTGATATCAAGTGTGTGAAGATTAGGCTTTCTTATATAGCCTAGTTCGAGATTAGACTCACTGGTCTACAAACTTTCTATATAGTAGACTTTGTGAAGAGCTCGTTGGATCAGCTTTCAAATCAAGCCAGTGACCCTGAATAGTCGCTAGTAAGCTTTGTTGCTTGCATTCTCAATCTCTTGGCTTTAGAAATGAGTTTCGATAGCATTATTGAATCCGTCAAGGTTCGCATTGACAGCTTGACGCGGGACTGGAATGAACTGAATGCTGCGACAGCAGAGACGCCAAACGACGAATTGAAGCAGTTGGAAGACAAGCTGAATCTAGTCCAGGAGCAAAATACGTTGATCATACTCGAACTCGGTCGCATCAAAAAATTGCTAAGCATCGAAGAGGATAAAGCCAATAATCTCTTCAGTGCGGTTGTAGACACTTCCGGCAACGCTTTGAATTTACCTGGTTGCACCGATAATGAATTTGTGATTACCCCCAATGACAAAGTGCAAAGGAAAAACTCTGAATGGCTTCCTTCAATAGGGTCACAAAAACTCCCAAGACCAGACTCTACCATCGAACGACTCACCGACTCAAACCACGATTTCTCTCCACTCAACCGATATCCTTTGGCGTTTAATGTACAGAGCTTCCTGAACCATTCTCCGTCACCTTGGAAAAGAAGTCTCGATGCAGAGTCGCCAGCGGAATCCCGCAAAAGATTTCGCCAAGAGGGACCTGTCAATGACGAAAACGAGTATTCAGACTACCAAAAGCTCCAGCACTTACAATTAGTGGAGTCGCCTTCTGGTAAACCTATTGTAAAACCACAATTGAGGCCACTGCTGGCATCAAACGTGCATAAAGTCGATAATACAAAAACCTTCGAACCCCAGGTCAGCATGAAAGACTTCAAGTTTTTGATGAGCTCCGCACCGCCATCAATTCCTGCCATGTATCAAGAATATGAATGCGTTTTGAGACCACAGATCTTGGATTTCGAGCAGAAGTTCGGCAAAGGTCAACTTTCTAAGTTGCCTCAAGTCCGGACATATCAGCGGCGAAGAGCCTTGGCGTGTGAAATTGGCAAGTACGCAACACGAAATGGCATCACCATCGAAGAGGCAGTGCGGTATTTCGAGAGCATTAGAGTTCGCAACAATAAGACCGTAGCTTGGATCTACAATAACTTGACCGATATCCTCGAGCAATACTGTTCATGATGACGGCATTTCGCATAGAAGCAGTAACACTGCAACATCTTTAACGCGCATGATTCATTAAATATAAAGATGCATTCATTATTGTCTAACAACAATCACTTATAGTTACAAGTTGTGAGATTTAAACCCTGTCCTGCTCCGAAGTGCGGCTTTTCGCAGCTTTTATGATTTTGGTCCAGTCGCAAGAGAAGACAGCGTAACTCTGGAAAATGCTCATGAATACCAATGCGCCCGTGATACCATACCACAATCCTGCCATTCCTTGTTTGAAATGGAATGTCAAGACGTAAGACAAAGGTATGCCGATGCAGTAAAAGGCAAGCACGTTGATGTAACCGCCAATTTTTTGTTGGCCTTGACCTCTCAAACAACCAGCTGTGCATGCATTGAAGGCATCAAAAATTTGCATGAATGCTAATAGAGGCAATATGCTGATCACCAAGGACACCACTTCGGGATCGTTGGAGAAAGCATTGGCGATTTGGATTCTGAACGAATAGATGACAGACATGTTCAGAAGACTGATAACGAAGGACAGAAATAGTGACACTTTGCAAGTGACAATGCAATTTTGGTAGAGCGAAGCCCCGATAAAGTTGGCGACACGGGTGCTGGTGGAAATGGAAATGGAAAAGGGTATTTGGTATGCTAAAGATGCGACAGTAGACACGATTGATTGTGCTCCAAGTTCGCTCGTACCCAAATGAGACGCAAAAATGGTCAATAGTTCGAAACCCAAAAATTCGGCTTCAACCATGATAACGCCAGGCAGGGCCAAACTAAACATTTTGCGCCAGTTGCGGAAAACTTGATTGGGTCTGATGAGTCCTCCCCAGCATTTACGGGGATTGGCCTTATGCTTAGTGAAAACGGTGTAAAATAGTAATCCAAAGGCCATTAACCAATAATTAACGGCCACGCTAATAGGGGCACCAATGTACCCAATACCAAACCGCTTATCTAGAACCAAAACGTAATTCATGACGGCGTTGAAGGGCGCACAGAATAGTAACACAATTGTGGACGCATGAAAGATGCCCTGGCATTGCAAGAATCTTTTGCCACATTCGAAGAATACAAAACCTGGAACACCTACGGCCACCACTTTGAGATAATTGGCGGCCAATCTGCAAAGCTCTCGCTCCGGGATCATCGAGGCCAAAATTGGCTCCGACCAAAACCACCATATAAATAAAATTGGCGTGAAGAATACAAGTGTGATTAATGCGCATCTTTGTAGCAGGACGCCAACCAATTGCTGATTCCCAGCACCGTGTGCTTGCGAGCAAAGCGTGTCAAGACATGTGCAAAGACCTTGGATAGCTGCAAACCCGGTTATATTGGCAGTCATGGACCCCAGGGTAATTCCACCAAGTTCATTGATACCAAGACGCGATGTAGTGAACACAGAGGCCAACGACAGCGAGTTTTGCATGACAAAAGTGAAAACCAGCGGGAGTGCACTTTTGAGCAGTACCTGGCACTCTCGACGGGGAGTGGTAGAAATGGATTTGCCAGACTCAATTGCAGCTTCCCAGGTATCGCGGATTTGTTGTTCACGTTGTTCTGCCGTCACAGCTTGGTTTTGGCGGTCTTTAGGGATCAGCTTGTTATCCACGAGCAAATCCCGCTCTTCTTCGAGCAGGTCTCTGGGATAAGGTTTCTGACTGGTTGCTCCGGAGCCACTTGTCCCGTACGAGTCCAGACGACTAGCTCTTTTGATGTGTTTGTCTCCGGTCGTCGAGAGTGACGTCCCAGACGCCAGAAGCGGTTGCTGTTCTAGTGGTTCTTGGTGTACCTGATCTGGGCCTGTTGGGCGAGCTGTGTCTTCGGAGTCCTGCATGGGCTCCAGATCTTCCACGGCGGTTTCCTCGGGACCGGGATAGTCCACAGCACCGAAAATTCCACCTTTGGTAATGCCATTCGACACAATGAGCGACGAACGTCGCTCATTTGTGGTGTGGGTGAACTGCTTGGATGGTGGGGCCATTTTGAACGTTCTGAGCTCGCTTTTTTTTCTGCACTGGTTTGAATCCTCACTTTTCGAAGGTTGCAGTTGGTAGTTTGCACCTGAAGGAGCTCCTAGGGCCTGTTTCTTGCCCCGCCTATTGTGAATCTCTAGAAACACGAGGATAACTAGGATACCTGTGCTTGAGCAGAGTCTTTGAGCGAAGGTGCGACTATGACAGTGACCTTAGAGCGAACCGATGAGTTTAGACTATGAGATGAGTAGAGAAAAGAGAGTAGCAGTTGGATTTTAAGTGTTAATAAGTTTTTCAGAGTTTATTTCGGTGTTTTTGACGAGAAAGCGGTTTCGTTTAAGACGACCTAAGGGACCCGAGATAAAAAGAAAGAAAACAGAACAGGAAAAAAAAAAAAAAAAGAAAAGAAAAGAAAGAAGAAACCATACATCACATGCTATTCACGTTTCTGTTTTTGGATTTTGTTTTTATCTCGTCACATGACTATGGCGTGACCTCTAAAGTTTTCATAAAAAATTGAGTTTCTTTTTTTAGTACAAGGTGATCTATTTTTTGATCATGTGACACTCCACTCCCTTTTTTTCCCTCCCCTAATTCCGTACACAACTACAAATTATCTAAAAACTCAGGGTTTCCGTGGAATGAGAACGGGTACCGCGGATGCGTACTTCATGATTACATATTAAGTTGTTTCCTTTATACAATCTATTTGAATAGGAAATTGCCCTAAGAGATTTCTTCCTACACGCAGAGCTCAGCCTATATTACAAACAATCGCGATCAATAATGTTTCAATAATGATGCTACTTCCTCAACATTATCGCCATTAGTCAGCGCTCTTCTGGATTTGGTGTATATAAAGCGGTAACGTTTTGCCATATGTCGTTCACTACTTCAATTTCATCAGTCTACCAAGTTCTGCACACGTCGCACACGTAGCACACGTAGCACACCTCCTACATTACCGTCCTAGCTCAGAAACATGGCAGACTTATTTTCACCAGCACCACAGCCTCCCACTGAACTTGGAAGATACCGTATTTTGTCGAAAAATGCCGGCATCCGAGTTTCGCCACTAGTTCTAGGAGCCATGTCGATAGGGGACGCATGGCATGATATTATGGGCTCCATGGACAAGCAGCGCTCTTTTGATTTATTGGACGCTTATTACGAAGCAGGTGGCAACTTTATCGATACCGCCAATAACTACCAAAATGAACAGTCTGAGACATGGATAGGTGAGTGGATGGCATCGAAAAACATTCGTGACCAGATTGTGGTGGCCACCAAATACTCAATTGACTACAAGTCCCATGCAATTGGGAAAAACAAGAGTGTGAATTTCTGCGGTAACCACAAGCGCAGCTTGCACGTTAGCGTTCGTGAGTCTCTCCGTAAGCTGCAAACGGACTGGATAGACATCCTGTACGTTCATTTTTGGGACCAGATGACTTCGATCGAGGAAGTCATGGACAGTCTCCACATTCTCGTGCAGCAGGGTAAAGTGTTGTATCTCGGGGTTTCAGACACTCCAGCCTGGGTGGTGTCTGCAGCCAACACGTATGCCAGGGCTCATGGCAAAACGCCCTTCAGCGTATACCAAGGTCGCTGGAATGTGATGTTGAGGGACTTTGAACGCGAGATCATCCCTATGGCCCGCAACTTTGGAATGGCGCTAGTGCCCTGGGATGTTTTGGGCGGCGGTCGGTTCCAAACCAAAAAGAGCCTGGAGGAAAGGAAGAAGAATGGAGAAAACATACGTTCGTTCTTTGGCGCCGCAGACCAGAGCCCAGATGAAGTAAAGATCAGCGAGGCTTTGGAAAAAGTGGCAAAAGAGCATAACACCGAGTCCATCACCGCAATTGCACTAGCCTACGTCCGGTCTAAGACTACCCGCGTATACCCACTGGTGGGAGGCAGAAAAATTGAACATCTAAAGCAAAACATCGAAGCCCTGAGCATCAAGCTGTCCCCAGAACAGATCAGCTTTTTGGAGAGTGTTGTCTCCTTCGATGTCGGTTTCCCAAGCTCTTTCATTGGGCCGGACCCAGAAGTCACAGGAGAAGCTGGATTTTTGACCTCTATGTCAGCCCATCTTGCCTTTGACTAATTTAGCCAACGACTATCAATAGAATTGTGTTTGATATTACTAGCAATTATGCAAAAAGCACCTCGGCACTAGCCCTCCATGTTCTCATAACACATCCTCAACTATCACACACACTACGTATGTCCACTGATCAAGCCCTCATGTCGAATTTTCGCGCATGGGTGCGTTTGAGCGACTTGAACGGTCAATAATGAAAATCACGTAACGAGCAATGCAGGGAGCCCTGACCTCGCAAGTAACTCATGAATTTACTTCTGCCTTAATGTCACTTATGCTATCAAGCTATCAAAGTTATTTATTGCCTTCAAGGTGCGCTTCAAAAGCGTCTTCAACTCTGTCATTTAACTTAAATCGCGATACGCTTTATCTATACATATAATGCTAAAACGCTATAAATCCTAATTTATCATAGCGATCATCATTAACAATAAATATCTGCACTTTTCAGTACTCATAAGCGCGCTGCAAGATGGCAACAACTTCCTTCTTTTCGAAAAGAATTGGGTTTGTTGCGTGACATGCATCTTTCATAGCATGCTCGGCCAATGCCTCAAAGTCTTCCTTCTTGACACCTAGCTCCTCTAAGTTTCTTGGTATCTTTAGCGCTCTGCACAGCTCCAATACTTTTTCGATCGCAGCATCTGCTGTTTGCTCTTTAGCACCGAGATGAATAGCAACATCCGCTAGCCTCTTATTGGTGGCTGGATCGGCCTTGTTAAAGTATTGAACGTGGGGAAGCAGCACGGCATTGCACACGCCGTGAGGGAGATGGTAAAACCCGCCTAGTTGATGAGCAAGAGCATGAACATAGCCGAGAGAAGCATTGTTGAAAGCCATACCACCCAGATATTCGGCGTAGCACATGTCGGTGCGCGCTTTCTTGTCAGACCCGCTGAGGAAAGCTTTTTCCAAGCTTTCCTGAATCAGGTCAATTCCCTTTAGGGCACACGCATCAGTAATAGGGTTAGACGCAGAGGAGACGTAGGCTTCGATACAGTGGGTCAGGGCATCGAGCCCGGTTGCGGCAGTCAAACTAGGAGGCAAGCCGTACATGGTTGCAGGGTCGTTGATGGCAACTGCCGGAGTTACATGATTGTCGATAATGGCCATCTTAGTCTTTTTCGCTTCATTCGTGATGATGGTAAATCTCGTCATTTCAGAGGCAGTTCCTGCAGTAGTATTGATAGCATACAAAGGCAATCCATTTTTTTTCGATTGATTGACACCCTCATAGTCTCCAATGGTGCCGCCATTTGTGGCCACCAGAGCAATTGCTTTGGCATTGTCATGAGCAGAACCACCGCCAATAGAAACAACAACGTCTGAATTGTGCTCTTTGAGAACCTTCAATCCATCCTCGACGTTTCTTTCGTTGGGATTTGGTTGAGTCTGATCGTAGATGGCCACATTGAGACCGAGCTTTTCGAGGATCTTCGTCACGGTTCCTGAAAGTCCGATCTTGGCGATACCAGGGTCTGTCACAATAAGAACATTTTTGAAGTCTTGTTCACGAATTTGCTTGGCAGCCTCTTCGATGGCGCCTTCACCGAATAGGGATACAGGTGGGATATAGAAGCCGCTGACAGAAGTCATTCTGATGATATTTTTAGTCTAGTTTGAGCTGATTAAGGATTGATTTAAGACTGCTTTCAGACTGCAAAGCCCAACCATCAGCAATCTCACGAAAATCTGTTGTATAAATAGCCCTCTTCCCACATCTTGCATATGTTGCAGAGCTTTCGGATCGTTAGGAAGCTAAGCGGGAAGTCATCCCAGTTTAGGCAGGAGACGAATGGTGATACCTAGCACTAGAGCCACAAGACAAACAACACACCACCGAGCGAGTACCAGAAGCCGACGTCTAGTTCTTGGCGCTTCTAATAGTTGATTCAAAATTATAACCTCTGGGGTAGCTTAAACTGTTAGGTAGTTTTTTTATCCGCCGGTTCATGACACTAAAAGTTTTGCAGTTCACCAGATGTCGGAGTTCCATCGCCATCTTTCAGCTTCGTGTTGACTCTGCATGAGCCGATTTTCATCTTTCGAGTGTAGTTGTGATTCTTTATCTGCTTAGAAGACACATACTAGAATGGAAAATTGTTTAACAAAGAGGAAGTTGACTAAATGAATGACTTCGACCTTGGAAGTTATCCAGCTTGCTGGGACCAAGAAAATATTTTGCAATCAGAGGAAAGAGCCTTTTTAGCCAAAAAGTGGAAGTTAGACGCAGAAACATCATCAGCGGTTCTAAATGTCAGGAAAAAATCCTATCATTCTGTACTAATCTCTGCAATCAATTGATCACGTTTGTAAAGGCAAGAGCGGAAACACAATCCATCCTTGTATACGAGATCTGAACTATCGCAAAAGATCCGAGAAGCTCTTCCTTCCACACTTTTCCAGTATAAAGTCCTAAACGTTCATCTCCTGCGCAGCTACATTTGGCTTTGATAAGTGATCCAGTAAATGGATTTTTCTCATAGTTTTGTACGAGCAAATCGTAACCAATTCTATATGCGTAGCTGTGAACAAAAGGGCGTTCAATTAGTCCATGTGGTGTGAATCTTGAGGTTAGCCATTCAATGTGAAGGATGGGTTGTTTGATGAAAGAAAATTGTTATCATGTTGTACGTACATATTCAAGAAATGAATGGCATCATTGTAGTTGAAACTGTCACACGTGAAGGTTCTTGAGGAAGTACGAAAGGCGGCGGGAGGAAACCTTCGAAACTTATAAACACTTTTCAGTACTCTTTTAACGCTCGAGCGTCGAAAGAATGATAAAGCGCTGTATTAATTTTGATTAAAGTCGCGTTGTATCACTATGCACGGGAACGTCAATCTAGCATTGTTTTCCGTTCAAGATTAAATAAAGCCCTCTCTACAAGCACATCTCGAGAAGTGTGGGAAGCTTTTAAGGTATTCTTTGACATTTGAAGGTACAATAGTGCTCAAACCAGGACATTGGGCCACGCATATTTTGAGTATCGAGGATATCGGCGGTCGTTTTTGAACGAAAGGGTTTGAACTAGAATTGGTCGATTTCGAGAAAGATCCTAGAAGCAGAGACCAAAACAAATCGATTTTTTTTCAGTTTTGAATGTTTTCGCAAAGAAAGAGCAAGAGCAACGCTAAACAGACCTCGGCGAGGGTACCTGCAAGCTCTTCGGAGCGTCAAACTACGGTGACGAGCTTTTTTGGGAAAAAAACCACGTCGAAAAGACAGTTAGCGGGCAGCACGGCGGGATTAGCCGCCCAGCCCAGTGGGCGGAAACCAAGGCCGAAACCCATATTTGAGTCACAGGGATCGTTTGACGAGGACGAAGACGCAGGAGAGGCGGCCTTGTCCCGTTTGATGCGTGAAACGCCGTTGCAGAATTTCAAAACGCATTTGCAAAAATCTACCAAGACCGACGGCCAAGCGGTCCTGACTGCAGGATCGATACAGAGAAAAAGCAGCGGGGTTGCAGTTCCCGGAGAGAAGGTTTCGGCAGCAAATCCGGCCGCCAAACGGTCCATGGTCTCAGATTTCTCGTTCTCGATGCACAAAAAACTGAAACCCACACGGGCACAATTAACACAACCAGCTTTGAGGACCAGAAAATCACCAGCATTAAAATTGACCCCAGAGCAACGAAGAGTGATCGAGCTTATTGTGCAGCAGCGCAAAAATGTCTTTTACACAGGCTCAGCAGGAACAGGTAAATCTGTGGTCTTGCGTGAGCTGGTGACTCAATTGAGGGCCCGTTACGGTGAGTCTGCCGTTGCTATCACAGCATCAACCGGTTTGGCAGCGGTCAATATAGGTGGGATCACCGTCAATCGATTCTCAGGTATAAACATCGGAATGGGCAGCGTGCAAAAATTGGCAGCCCAGGTCAATCGTAATAAGACCAATAGTGAAAGGTGGAAACGGACAAGTGTGCTAATCATCGATGAGATTTCGATGATCGATGGCAGATTTCTGGATAAGATGGACTACGTGGCCAGAGACGTGCGACGGAATCCGACCAAGCCTTTCGGGGGAATCCAACTGGTTCTCACTGGGGACTTTTTTCAATTGCCCCCCGTTGCTGACAGAGATCCGCGCTCAGAGAAACCTACGTTCTGTTTCGAAAGCAAAGTCTGGAAACAAGCTATTGATAACACAATTTGTTTGACGCAGGTTTTCCGACAAAAGGACCCGGAACTTGTAGAACTCTTGAATGGCATTAGATTTGGCGATATAAATCACCAGGTTGTACAGCAGATCAAGACGTATGAGAGAGAAGTCGATTATGCAGATGGCATAATGCCAACCGAACTATATCCGACGCGACGCGAGGTCGACATGTCGAACAAACGAATGCTGGATAGGTTGGCCGGCGAGGTCAAAATTTTCCAAGCCCAGGATCAAGCTACTAGTGACAATCCGGCTTTGCTCAAGATGCTGGACTCTTTAATGGTTGAAAAGAACCTTGCGCTGAAAGAAGACGCACAGGTAATGATGGTCAAGAACGTAGATGAGACTTTGGTCAACGGATCCGTCGGAAAACTGCTGTTTTTCACTACTGAAGCACTTTACCTTAAAATGCTAGAACTGTATCCATCCACAAAGCTCACCGATCCAGATCTAGTACTCGATATGCGATTATTGGGTCGTTGTATCGGCCTCGCACCGACTAGTTACCCTAGCGATATCGAAATGGAGATGGCAAGAATGCCATACAATAGAGCCGAAAATATGCGATTATTATTGAAGATCGCAGAACGCGAGAGTAAAGCCTTCTCGTATCCGCTGGTGCGGTTTACCACTCCTTCCAGCGGGTTCAGGTTCGAGCTCATATCTCCCACTGAATTTACCGTTGATATTCCTGCTCAAAAGACAAGTGTTAGCAGGACGCAGTTGCCGCTCATACTATGTTGGGCATTGTCCATTCACAAGGCACAAGGCCAAACAATCGACAGGCTCAAGGTTGATCTCAAAAAAGTGTTCGAAGAAGGCCAAGTTTACGTGGCTTTGTCGAGGGCCGTGTGCAAGGATCGGCTACAGATTGTCAACTTCGATCCAAGAGCCATCAAGGCAAATTCCAAAGTCAAAAACTTCTACAAAACTTTGGAAACTGTCTCGACTTCGATTGCGCCGCATTTTTCGCCAACTTGAGCTACAGTCATTATAGCAATCATTCAATTCTGATCTCGGCGATGCCTTCTTCTTCTCAGCATAAGCCTCGCTGTCATTATTTGACCGTCGCATCCCATCGCATCGCCCGCATCGCCCGCATTTGAAGTTGAAAAAAAAAGCGTCCTGCACTATCAACGCGCCTTTTTTTGATAAAAATTGCATAATACAGCCTCAGACCTATTTTTAGTCTGCATGTCAGCTGCTCCGACTAAGGACGCACCACAGCCACTTACTCATCATTCTAATGCCGTCGCTGCAGCGACGCGAATCCATTATTAAGAACCATGAAGCTTCTCGAAAATGGATAAACGGCCAAAAACACACAACGAGGACAAGAACTATGCAAACGCTTCTACTTGCTGTAGTTCCGAAATGTGGCAAGCCCGGTTTCCTGCATATCCGTATTGTTTTGCCTAGACGCGAATTGTATGAGAGCTGCTCAGACGTGTTAGGATTGATTTTTTGACCACTTTACTGGACTGGAACAGATATTCGAAAATTTTTTAATTCCTCCAGATATGTGTAATTGGGAAAAAGGTTGTGAAAAGGGATAGGTCAAGTGAGATTATAAGGCGTGTGTTTACTCAGGCAAGCCTTTGAGATACGTGAGTTGCTGATCACTTGAGTTAAGTCTAGGTCAAGCACCATGCCGGAAGCGTTGGATAGACACACGTTCAAAGTGTTCAACCAGGATTTTACGGTTGATAAAAGATTCCAACTGATCAAAGAGATTGGTCACGGCGCGTATGGAATAGTGTGTTCTGCTCGGTTTACAGAGGCAGCCGACGAAACCAACGTGGCCATCAAGAAGGTGACGAACATTTTTGCCAAGACTTTACTGTGCAAACGGTCACTACGAGAGCTCAAACTACTACGACACTTTAGAGGCCACAAAAATATAACATGTCTGTATGACATGGACATTGTTTTTTCGCCGGACTCGACTTTCAATGGACTTTACCTTTACGAAGAATTGATGGAATGCGATGTTCATCAAATCATCAAGTCGGGCCAGCCTTTGACCGATGCGCATTATCAGAGTTTCATTTACCAGATTTTATGCGCTTTGAAATACATTCACTCTGCAGACGTTCTCCATAGGGATCTCAAGCCTGGGAACTTGCTGGTGAATGCTGATTGTCAATTAAAAGTCTGTGATTTTGGTCTTGCACGGGGGTACTCTGAGAACCCTGTGGAGAATAACCAATTTCTGACCGAGTATGTCGCCACTAGATGGTACAGGGCACCTGAGATTATGCTGAGTTACCAAGGCTACACCAAGGCTATTGACATGTGGTCGTGTGGTTGTATCTTAGCAGAACTGTTGGGCGGCAAACCCATTTTCAAGGGAAAGGACTATGTGGACCAGCTTAATCGAATCTTACAGGTACTGGGAACACCTCCAGAAGAAACGTTGGAACGCATTGGGTCCAAAAATGTTCAAGACTATATCCACCAATTGGGCTATATTCCGAAGGTACCCTTCTCGGTCTTATACCCACAAGCCAACGCTCAAGCTCTAGATCTACTTGAAAAGATGCTGGCGCTCGATCCGCAAAAAAGAATCACGGTTGAAGAAGCCCTAGAACACCCTTATTTGAGCATATGGCATGACCCCAGTGACGAACCTGTTTGCAGCGAAAAATTCGATTTTGGTTTTGAAGCTGTTAACGAAATGGACGAGCTCAAACGAATGATACTTGAGGAGGTCCAGGATTTCCGCCAGTTTGTAAGACAGCCATTGATAGAAGAAGAACAAGCGCAGCAGCAGAAGAACCTGCAACAGACAGAGCAACAAGAAAGTGATCTATTACAGCAGCAAAACCGGCGTCCTCGTCACCGACAACAGGATCAGCGTCAATACCACGGAAATGACCAGCAAGAAGTTCCAAACTCGAAGCAAGCACAGGAAGTGCCACCTTGTGATTACACGGCAGAAGCGCAGCCACCACTGGGTGGTACATATGGGGACGGAGGCTTCAAATCGCATGCTGTTTTCGCGCAACAGCCAGTGGCCATATCTCCTGACGTACACGACCAATTCATAGGCATTCATTCCGGCGATCTACCAGACCACAACATGGATTTTCCGCCTCGTCCACATGAAAATCTGCTTGCATCACCATTGGGCGGTAACACAAACCCACTGGATCCTTCTGCGTTGGACGATTTTCTGGACCTTGAGAAAGAGTTAGAGTTTGGTCTCGATCGCAAATATTCTTAGCCTATTCGAAGCTAGCCCTTTGCGACACTTTAAGCTACAAAACCCTTTACAAGAAACGCCACTTTTCTGTTGATGGCTTGATGAGTATGCATTGATTGATGATAAGTTTACAGGACAACACAAGACAACACAAGATAGTACAGAACAAGAAACTCGTTGGTAAGAATAACTCCTTGGAGGCATAGCGTGCTCTGATAGTGTTGCTGATCTGCAGAGATACAATAACCCGCACCTGCTCGCTTCCCCGAAAATTTCGCATAGCCAGGTAATGACACAGTGCTGCTTTAAAAAACCTGGCAATTATTTAGATACTCGATTGTAAATAATAGACAGGCATTTAATTCAGTACCGATTTTAATGTTTTTAATTTATAAAGGACAATCAGCAATCTTTCCCCTACCAGTAACTTTAAAAAAGACTCCGAACATTTGCGGAGCAAAATACAGTCGATAGTTCTCATCGAGCTGTTGCACGTTGTTTAAGTTCGAATTTGACTTCTCAAGCCCTGTTCAGATTGAAACCTGCAGTTCCTTGTTTCCCTCAATCGCCATGCGCTTAAAGGAGGAGGACCTTGAGCCACTCAAGCTTGACATCGAAGGGTTGGGAAAAAAGCAGAAGAGAGACACAGTGCCGGTCAGACTGGCGTTATTGACCTTACTAATATGGGGGGCCTGCTTTTTTCTGAAATTGACCGGTTCCATGGGCTCTGGACCCACCCCTTCTCTGTCCTTTAGATGGCCATGGCCGTTTCGTTCAGGAAAACCCAGTCATAATATCATTTCCTTTGAGAGCGTTCGCAACTCAACGTTCGTTCCTCAGCTACATTCGGTTCAGTGGATTGAATCTCTTGAACCCAATGCCGAGGACAATGGGTTATTTCTAAAAGAGGAAGCGAACACTTATGTTGTGAAGTCAGTTCTGGACAAAAACTACTCCAAAGTCCTTTTGGATTCCATGCATTTTGAATACAACAATCACAATTACAGTGTTGAGTATCTCAAAGCGTCTCCCGACTTGTCACAAGTCCTGGTGCGTTCCAATACAACCAAGAACTGGAGACATTCGAGCTTTGGATCTTATTTTCTCATCAACAAAAGTCGGGGTACTCTGCATCTGCTAGGCCATGACTTGGCTCTTGTGAAGTGGTCCCCAAACTCAAAGGACTTGGCATACGTTCAAAACAATGACATTTTTCTGTATTCCACAGAAACGCAGACAATAACTAAACGTGTGACTAGCGATGGGAGCGCCCAGGTCTTCAACGGCAAACCTGATTGGGTTTACGAAGAAGAGGTCTTCGAAGGTGACTCCGCGTTGTGGTGGTCTCCTAAAGGCGAATACTTGGCCTATCTCAAAATCAATGAAACCCTGGTGCATGAGTTCCCGATTCCTTACTTCGCACAAGACGATGCAGATATTTATCCTGAAATTCGCAAGATTAAGTATCCTAAAAGTGGGAGTCCAAATCCGCATGCAACGCTAAACTTTTACGACATCGAGAATCAGAAAACTTCCGCTGTTAATCATGGCGATGCTTCAGCTTTAGTAACGGAGGTTCTGTGGGTCGGGGACTCTAAAATACTGGCCAAGACAAGTGATCGCTCGTCTGATGTTCTCTCGGTGCTTCTTGTCGATGCTGCTGAAAAAGCGGCTGAGAAGCCTGCTGTTCAGGTACCTAGGGAAGAATCCTCGGAAGGAGGATGGTGGGAAATCACACACAAAACATTGTACGTTCCTCAAGACTCTTCGAAGAAAAGAGATCAAGACGGCTATGTGGACTTGGTGCCATTCAACGGATTCAACCATTTGGCTTACTTCTCCCCAGCCAACGCTACAGATCCAATAATGCTGACCAGCGGAGAGTGGGAGGTAGTGGACGGTCCAGCTGGAATTGACTTTGAGAGCAACGAAGTTTACTTCGTTGCTACTAAGAAGTCCTCCACGGAGAGACACGTATACAGTGTCAATTTGAACGCACCGCTCAAGGTCAGGGAAATATCTGACACAAGTCGCGAAGGCTACTTTTCGCTGTCTTTATCTGCTGGCTCTAAGTTCGCCCTTGTCAACTACTTGGGTCCCGAAGTTCCTTACCAGAAAGTGGTACAGTTCGAGTCAAATTCGACTGGTAGTTCGGAGGCTAGAAACGCGGTTGAAAAGACCTTATTCTACCTTGAAGAAAATAAGCAACTAAAGTCAAGACTTGGAAACTACACAATACCTGAAAAAACATTCAAAGAAATTTACTTGGGGAAAGACAATGACGACAATGACATAGTAGCCAACTCTTTTGAAATTTTACCGCCAAACTTCAACCCTAAACTAAAGAATCATTATCCGGTCTTTTTTTATGCTTACGGTGGCCCTAATTCCCAGCAAGTCGCGAAGACCTTCTCCATTGGGTTCAACCAGGTGGTGGCATCACAGCTAGATGCAATTGTGGTGGTTGTTGATGGCCGCGGAACAGGCTTCAAAGGAAGAAAATTTCGGGCTCTCGTGCGGGATAATTTGGGTGACGTGGAAGCTCAGGACCAAATAAGTGCTGCAAAATATTACGCAGCCAAGTCGTTTGTGAATGCCGATAAAATATCACTTTTTGGGTGGTCGTACGGCGGATACCTGACACTCAAAACACTTGAACGGGACGCGGGTCGAACCTTCAAGTACGGAATGTCGGTGGCTCCTGTGACCGATTGGCGATTGTACGACTCTGTTTACACTGAGCGGTATATGCACACACCTCAACAAAACAGTGATGGATATGAAAAATCGAAGGTTCATAATGCTACTGCCCTAGGTCAAGCAACAAGATTTTCACTGATGCACGGATCTGGGGACGATAATGTGCACTTTCAAAACTCCCTAAGATTTTTGGACATTCTTGATCTAGCGGGGGTCGAGAACTACGACATGCACGTTTTCCCAGACTCCGATCACAGCATTCGTTACCACAATGCGAACAACATCGTCTTTGACAAGCTCCTGAACTGGGCGTCACAGGCATATGATGGGAGATTTTTGCGCTGATAGACAGCCGTCGAATATTTTGACAACTCACAAAGAGAACGCAAAGGAATTACGAGAACAAAAATGGTAAACTGAGTGGTTGCGTTAAATTGATAAATTGGCGTGCACTCAAAGCTTTCATTGCCCGTATATACCAGAATTTTCATAAAATTGTTGTCAAAAACCCAGAAAGTAGTAAAGACAATGGATGGACACTGAAAATCTACCCAGTGTTTCATGAAACATGAATTTCTACAAATCAGTATTGCTTAAAGTTGAACGTCTATCGCATCTATGCCTAGTTGACTGTTTTGATGACAGCTAATAGCGAAGACCTAAGGTCACATACGTTAATAATGATATCAAGAACCTTTAAAGTTCTCGGTGGCGAACTCACGATCAAACTTCCTTTATACCACACCAATAAGTGTAACAGTGCAGGCCTGACACAACCTTCTTGTGGATCTCGAGGCTGCAATTCAACTGCGATAATCAATAATGGTGGAAGAAAACGCGAAAGCGCCGGAAAAGCCGGTTCAAGAATCGACTAAATCGCAAATACCGACCAAAGACGGTGGGGCCGCTAACAAGACCAGCGTGAATAAGGAAGCTGAAGAAGAGCTCTCGGAGGAAGATCTCAAACTGAAAAATAATTTGGAGACCTTAGTGGAAAGGTTGTTGGAGGATGATACAAAGCTTCACGAACCATCTCTTGCTCAATTAAAGGAATTGGTGCGTGATTCCACCAGTTCAATGACAGCTGTTCCCAAGCCTTTGAAGTTTCTACGCCCATTCTATCCGGAAATGTGTGACGCCTTCGACAAATGGAATGATCCAAAGCTCAAGTCGATTATGGCAGACACACTCTCCGTATTGGCGATGACGTATTCTGACGAGGCCAAGCGGGATAGCCTTCGTTTCAGGCTTCTTTCCGATGAAAAGGATATTGCCAGCTGGGGCCACGAATATGTGCGCCATTTGGCTTTGGAAATCGGCGATGTATACAACGAACAAGTTGAGAAAGAGGCTGGAGATTCGGCGGAGCCTTCTCCCGGCCCATTGAGTACAGGTTCTAAAGGCGCTCTAGACGTATCCAAGGAGGCTCTAGTTCTTCTGTCTCTCGAGATTGTACCCTACTTCCTAAAACACAATGGCGAAGCTGATGCTGTTGATCTACTATTGGAAATCGAATCCATCGACAAGCTCCCTCAATTTATCGATGAAAACACATTTCAACGCGTTTGCCAGTATATGATCGCCTGTGTTCCTCTACTACCACCACCGGATGATGTATTTTTCTTACAGACAGCTTACTCCATATACTTGAGTGAACTTCAATTGACAGAGGCACTCGCTTTGGCCATCAGATTGGATGACGAATCTCTGATAAGAGCTGTTTTCGATGCTACGTCCGACCAGGTTGTTCACAAACAGCTTGCATACATTCTCTCGGCCCAAAAGTCATCTTTCGAATATGAGGGCGTTCAAGACATAATCGGCAACACTAAGCTATCAGAGCACTTTCTCTTTTTGGCAAAGGAACTCAACTTAACAGTACCAAAGGTCCCCGAAGACATATACAAGAGTCACTTGGATAACTCGTCAAAGGGAGTCTTTGCAGGAACTGGCTTAGACTCCGCACAACAAAACCTTGCTGCTTCATTTGTCAATGGCTTTCTGAATTTGGGTTATTCGAGCGACAAGCTCATTGTTGGTGATGACAATTGGGTTTACAAAACTAAAGGTGACGGTATGACCTCCACCGTTGCCAGTATCGGATCTATATACCAATGGAATCTGGAAGGGCTGCAACAGCTCGACAAATACCTGTATGTTGACGAAACCGAAGTGAAGGCAGGTGCTTTGTTGGGTATTGGAATTTCTGCCTCTGGTGTGCATGACGGTGAAGTTGAGCCAGCATTGTTGCTATTGCAAGACTACGTGAGTAACCCCGACCAAAAGCTAAGCTCTGCCGCCATTTTAGGTCTCGGAATCGCATTTGCTGGGAGCAGAAACGATGAACTGCTAGGTCTTTTGCTTCCAATAGCTGCTGACACAAGTTTACCAATTGAGACCTCTGCTATGGCGTCTCTCGCTCTTGCTCATGCTTTCATAGGTACCTGCAACGGGGATGTTACAACTGCGGTTGTTGATAACCTTCTTGAACGCAGTGCCTCGGAGCTTAAGACCGAATGGACTAGGTTCTTGACGCTGGCTTTGGGTATTTTGTACCTGGGACAAGGTGATCAAGTCGAGGATGTTATTGAGACCATTTCGGCGATAGATCACCCTATCACATCTGCTATCGAGGTCTTGATCAATGTATGTGCTTTCACAGGCACTGGAGACGTCTTGCTCATCCAGGATCTCCTACATCGTTTGACTCCTAAGGAAAAGAAGGTGGAGGATGATGAAGAAGAAGAAGGAGAGGACGAAGATCAAGTTGCTGAGTTGGAAGATGCAGTTGAACATGAAATTGCAGAATCGTTGAGTTCAGTAAAAAAAGGAGAAACTGACAATGACGGTGACGAAAAGATGGAAACTGCTGAAGAATCTCAAAAGGACGCTGGAAAGGCAACAGAAGGTGAAGAAAGTAAGAGCAAGGAAGAAGAGAAAAAGAGTCAGGAGGAAGAGGAAAAAGAATATGCTCTTATTGATGAGCTCACCTACGCTGTCCTAGGTATCGCCATGATCTCCATGGGTGAAGAGATAGGTAAAGAAATGTCTCTTCGTCATTTCAGTCATTTAATGCATTACGGTAACGAACAAATCAGAAAAACCGTTCCTCTGGCCATAGGTTTGCTTTCAGTTTCAGACCCACAAGTGAAAATTTTCGACACCCTCTCGAGGTCCTCCCACGATCCCGACCTAGACGTGTCGATGAATTCCATTTTCGCAATGGGTCTCACAGGTGCTGGTACAAACAATGCTAGATTAGCACAGCTTCTCAGACAGTTAGCCGGGTACTATTCGCGCGAACAAAACGCATTGTTTATCACCAGATTGTCACAAGGCTTGGTGCATCTCGGTAAGGGGACTATGACTTTCGACATTCTCAACGATGCACAGGTTTTGAACAAGGTCACTCTAGCTTCCTTGCTAACAGTACTGGTGGGATTGGTAACGCCTTCCTTCATGTTGGAGCACCACTATTTGTTCTACTACCTCAATAGCGGTGTCAGGCCGAAGTACATCTTGACCTTAAACGAAGAGGGCGAACCTATTAAGGTAAACGTAAGAGTAGGTCAGGCTGTGGATACGGTTGGACAAGCAGGTAAACCCAAGACTATAACAGGTTGGATAACCCACTCTACGCCGGTGCTGCTGGGACATGGTGAAAGGGCTGAGCTCGAAACTAACGAGTACATCACCTATGCCAGTCGCCTCGAAGGTGTTGTCATTTTGAAAAAGAACCCAGATTACCGTGAAGAAGAGTAAGACAAGGTGAGATATCATGATGAAAAACGCTAGATTTTTTATGTGTATAAAGACAAAACAATTTGGCTGTCCTGTTAAGTAATGATAAATTTTTGAAGAGAAAATGCTCTCATGAAGGCTTTTGGAACCCCTACACCGCCTTAAAGCATAAGCTTTGCGGTTCACAAGGGCAGCATTGCAAATTATGATTGTCGTTTTGTGAGCATGGTGTATCGAAATTCACCAAACGTCCGTCAGAGAGTTGGACAATTCCATAATTCGCGTGCTTTGGTGGTCTATAATCAGCTGAATTCAGCAGCCTTTCCTGCCATCAAAAGTCCGACAATTAGGCCCAGCAGACCCAACACAGACCCGAAAATTTCAATGACCAAGATTTTGACAAACAAACCAGAGTCTGCTGCATCGGAAATAGCAGCAGTAGCACCCGTGATACCGACAGCAACACCACAAATTAGGTTGGACACTCCAACGGTGAGACCGGCCCAAAATAGCGAATATCCAGTGTACAGATTCGATTTTGAAAACATTGTTTCACGAGTAGCCGTGGTCAATTTAGCTGAGAACACGATAGCCATGATCAAGCCGTAAATGGCCACCACTTCACAAAAAATGATGGAAATCAAATTTTTGGTCGTGATACGAGGTGCACGTACACCGGCTCCGATAATCGACGAACCCGTAACAAATATACCCCATGCGGCTCCCACAACGCTGAGCCCGATGCACATTGCAATCCCCAAGTTTGCCCACATATAGGGCGATGTTCTTGTCAAAAATTTACCGAAATTGATGTCTTCACCATGTCCGGTAAATAACTTGTATCCGGCGTACCATAGCACCACTGCCAAAACGATGTAACGCACAACCTGTGAGTAGGAGAAGCCTGACGCTCCCATTGACGACTCTGATTTCGTGGCCATGAAGGTAGATAAGACGGTAAAGATTGACCTGGTAAACTGGCGAGAGCCTTTGAAGTGAGTAGTTCTGATTAGGGTCTAGGAGAAGTGTTAATTGATATCTTGTAAATTGTATTAAACGTATAAAATTTGAGACGTCGATGGTGAGCAGAGGAACGGTTAGAAAAGCTGAATGGAAGAAGCGTGTCAAAAGGTTGCGAGAATTTGATGGGATTGGTGGGCGAATATACATGGTGATGAATTTCAATTGAGCATGTTTCTTGTGCTGAAATCGCCAAGTCGCTGAGAAAGAGAAAAAAGCATTTCATACGAAACAATTTCTCGTTACGAGCCTCCGGTGATGAAATGTCTGAATGTTGGGCATTTTTGCGCACTGGTAGTATTTGATATGGCAAAAGCTAAGCTGCGTATTGAAAAGCTGTAGGAGTTCTGTCTGGCAGTTCGTTTTTGTCGAGCTAGATCCAGATCACTTGGAACGAAAAATAAAAAGGTTTGGTTTTTGTAAGATGTTCGATACACGGTTTAAAGAGCTCCAAAATACTGAATATTTTTTTTCTTAGATTTTGGCTTGTGATGTGTGATGGTATAAAAGACCCCATTAGAGACCATTGTTTTGGGCCAAACTTTGTCGCTGTATTTCCTTCAGTATCACGTGATGATATATAAATTTTGACCTGCGAATGCTTATATAACGCTCAACACACACACACACACACACACACACACACATATATAGACATTCTTAGTTCTAAAGCCGAGTGTCATTTTACAAGAATAATCATCAAAACCGGAACGTTTCAGTCTTTGGTGTAATGAGTGGTTTAGAGCCCACAAGTTTTTAGAAACACATTTACTTGCTACCAAATGAAATTTGGACGTTTTATCTCGAAAGACGGGCACAATGCGTGACATTCAGTGCAAACATAGACAAAAATATGCCCTCAAAGTTCCTTGAGACATGCAAAGTTGAAACGAACTCCGCGAAAGAGTCTCGTTCTCACAAACTGCTCGAATTGCAATTCTACCTTTTAGTTGTCACTTTTTCCCAACGTGTCGCAGCCCAAATGGTGTCACGTGACACATAAAATTTACCACTTTCTAAGCATACACTCACACACCACACCGCGATCAAAACCATGAATTTCCTTGAATTTCCTTCCTCTCTTCTTACTCTTTCTCGTCATCTTCTTGCAACGCTTCAACTCACTTTTCCCAGTGTGCCCAAACTAATATCACATCCGACGACAGTATCGGACTTCAATAGCGCCCGTCTTAGAGCCCGGACAATAATAACGTCAACAACCCAGTAACATCGAAAACTCCACCTTACAAGCGAAACCGGAAAAGTATATAAAGAACTGATCCAATGGTCGAGAATTAGACTTCACTCTCTCAATTAGCTCTTTTTCACTATTAAAGTTTTAACTTGCCATCAAAACTATCACTTTCCTAGCTTTGAACGTCTTCTGTAAGACTTACGGAAAGACAATTTTGAAAAACCGAACGAATCCAACGATCCGGACAATCAAACAATCAAACAATCAAACGATCCCGTTGAAATGCTGTCTCCTCAAGAACTTAGAAATGCTCATTTCAAGGCAGTTGCCGGCTATGGATTGATGGGTCTTACTTGGACACCACAACCTCCTGCCAAAGAAGTTGCTTTCGCAGCCATTGATAAAGCGATTGAACTAAATGAAAAACCTGTTTTACTGAACATCGGTGAGCTGTATGGACCAAATTGGGCTAATTTGAAACTAGCCCGCGAATATTTTGCTAGTCGTCCTGGGAATCGTGAAAAGGTGATTATCAGTTGCAAAGGGTGCGTAGATCTACAAAACTTGAGTCCAAAGGGAGACCGTGCCAGTGTTATTGAATCAGTGGAAAATTGCGTCCGTGAGATCGGAGGACCTATCGACATTTTCGAACCCGCTCGTATCGACACGAAAATAGCAGGTTCGAATCTCTACCCAGCCGAGACTTTTGACACTCTGGTCGAATTCATTCAAAAGGGCCTCATTGGCGCCATTTCCTTAAGTGAGGTTAATGCTGAGCAGATTCGTGCCCTAGATGATAAGTATCACGATTACATCGCGTGTGTCGAGGTTGAGCTTTCTCTTTTTTCGCCTCATATCCTTTCCGATGGAGTTGCTGACATTTGCAATGAAAGAGGCCTGCCTATTCTTTGCTACTCCCCATTGTGTCGTGGTTTCTTGACAGGTGCAATCAAATCTGCCAATGACATGAAAGACGGTGATATACGTAAGGGCCTTAAGAAATTCAAGGGCGAAGCGTTCGAACACAACATGCAGCTACCCAAGTTTTTGCAGGAAGAAATCGTCGACAAAAGAAACGACGGCAGTACCATTTCTCAGGTTGCCTTGGCGTGGATCGTGTCCTTGAACTCCAAATATCAACATACTCGATTCATTCCGCTTCCTGGTGGTTCATCCACCCACCGTGTGGAAGAAAACCTTTCTTTCAAGCAGCTCACCCAGCAGGAGCTATCCAAAATCGACAAATTTCTCGAGAACTTTGAAGTAATTGGTGACAGGTACGAGAGGGCATAAGGCTATAGAGCTTCGAAACTTGAATAGGAATTGGAAATTGTAGCTTTCATGTATTAGATAATACTATGCTACCTTTATCAAGACATTGCACCTATATACCAGACAAAGCAGTTCAATATCCAAAGGGCGAATTCATGAAGCTGAAGACCTCACAGACAAGCTGATTGTCACCCAAAGTTATGGACCTACAAAGGCAGCGTCTCCGCAGAAAATGACCGAGAAACGGAAGCCAGATCTATACGTATGTCAGAAGCACAAGCAAATTAGTCCAATTAATCGTTTGCGAGTCTTCAATTGAATCACTCGCTGCATCCTGTGCCGCGAAGAACATTGATTTTGAGCACCTACCATGGTAAGATTCACACATCGTCGGATCAAGAACGGACGACTCTCATGAATCACTCAATTCTATTTTATTCTTAGATAGTATAGTGGGGTCGGGCGCTGCAATTCGCGGTGCTCAATACTCATCTTCATTACTTGCACATTTATGACTTTAATATCTATCAAGTTGAAGAACTCTCCAACATGCGTGTCGTGTATGACCAGAATTTCACTTCAGTTTTTCTCACCGAGGTCGTTGCTTACCTTCTCGGTGGAAACCGTCGCACCATCGTACGCGAGATCTAGTAGCTTCCAGCTGCAGCTGATCTTTTTCTTGGCGAATCTGTTGATGATTTCCAAGGCAATGTCTTCGAAATTGTCTACCGCTAGGGCGAGGATGGTGGGTCCAGCACCAGATAGACATATGCCCAAGAGACCGGGGTACGTCGAAGGAGTCACGCTTGACAGAATCTCTGTGAGCCCCGGGATCAAAGTCTTTCTGTAGGGCTGGTGGACACGATCCTGCATTGCTGGATAAATCAATTCTGGGTTTGGAGGTGAGTGAGTCAAAGCGGTAGTCAACACGGCTAGTCTTTGCAGATTGAACACCAAGTCCTTAGCCGTGTAAGCCTGAGGCAACACACCCCTGGAATCCGCCGTTGAGACTTCAAAGGCTGGAATAATGGCAATGCACTTGATAACTCTGTTCCAGTTGTAGCGCACATGGCGGCCAATGTCAGTTGGAGGACTAGGAGGTACCAAACCGGTGTCTTCACCGCCGCTAGGTTCGCCCAAGACTTCGCTCAAAGGAATCTCCCGTCTCTCCATTTCTGCGGGCGTCAAATCTCTCAAGAATGATCCCACAAACCCGCCCATCATGGCAGCTGTGATGTTGTCTGGATGACGTTCGATCATCAAGCAGTAGTCCAGCATACGCTGTTTGGAGAAGCCTAGTTGACCCACTTCGTTACCTAGCATAACACCAGCCACAACGGCAGCCCCCGAGGATCCCAGTCCACGTCCCAGTGGGATTGGATTATGAATATGAACTTTAGTTCCTGAGGGGAAGGATCTGTTCCCATTGCATCTCAACACGTATAGAGCGGTTCTGGTGATCAAGTTTTCGTCAGACTTCAAAGGGACATTACCAAAGCCCTCACTGTCCTCAGTGTAAGTGATTTTGCAGTTGTTTGGATCCGAATTGGTATCTTCCGCGTTTTTGGCATTAATCTCAACGTCAAGCGTCAAGTACAACGCTAAACCAATACCCAGTACGTCGTATCCGGGACCGATATTAGCGGAAGAAGCTGGAACACTTATGTTGAAGCTGCGAGGCATTTTTGTCAGGACTTCGAGAACAGTAACTCGACGTTAAAAGCTAAAGGTTTCTGACAGAAGTTGTGATGTGTTTCGTGTTGGAATTGAGTATCGAAGTCTGATAGAGAGTTACTAGAATGAATGATTTTGTCAATTAGGATTACTTCGTGCACAATGATGATAATATAGAGTCATCTGATGAGTCAAAGCGGCGACGACAGTAACGACGAATGGTATTCAACAGACACATTTCTATCTCTTTTAGTTGGATTGATTCAATTCCATGAAGAAAAGGTGTATTTGTGAGAAATTTGAACACGCGCGCAATTTGTTCGGGTTGAAACTTATGTCGAAGGATATCTATCTATTGGGCTTGAATCTGGTGAAAAAAATTAGTTCTGGAAATTAAGAACAGGTTGGATCACTCTATAGAGATTTCAATAGTCGATATAAGCGGTCAAATCCTCTTTTCCACTACCGGGTGATATAGGTCACGTGACTCAATGACAGCGCTGGATAACGACTGATACTGGTCGAAGTAGTGGCCCGATTTGCGTGTTATCTCATTTTTTTTGTCTTTTTTTGGTGCTACAACATGGTTTGATCTCGTCGAAACCGTTTAAAAGAGAGCATAACGTCACAACCTTCTCAAGATCACATTTGACGAAGCTCCCAAAATATACTTTCAGAACGAGCCCTAAGGGCATTCCACGTTTAAGATAAGCATCCCCTTCCCTCCCCTCCATTATTCTACTCTCCACTAGCTATTAAGACCAAAAAAATTCCCGATTTTGACAAGTTTTCTCATTCAAAATGTCTCTTCTTATTTATATCGGTTTTGAACATCATACATACTGTCATTTTAACGTCGAGTTCGAAAATCACACTTGTAATGCAAACCTGCTCGTATCCACGATAAACTCTCACATAATTTGAATAATATCAAGAGTTCGATAGCCAGGAATAGCGCTTTCTAAAAGTTTCTTCATTACTATAATTTTGAAGCTAAACCTCTTCCTGGACCAGTGACACCAACCGTTGTGAACTCAAAAACCACGATCCAAACTTCAAAAAAAATCGCTGAAAATGCCTAGCACGTCAATACTTAGGATGGTTAATTGAGGAAACGAATGCGGTAGTCCCCTGTCTTTCTTTCTCTCAAGAATCTCGATCTTCGTCACTGTCACTCTGTACTAAGGTGTCGAATATAATTTGTAGACTACAGGAAGGCAGACCCAACGTCTTTGAAAACCATCACTTCAGAGCACTTGTCAGTACATTCTGAGAGCATTGCAAAGTGGCTGCGAAATCTGTTCTTTATTGCAGGAATGCTCAGGGCAAAATCTCTTTCTTTGAGGTCTTTTTGTTCGAAGGCTGTGAGTAGTACTGAAAATCATCAAGTCTCTAGACTAGCTAACGGACTACGTGTGGCCACCAGCAACGTCCCAGGCCATTTTTCAGCACTGGGTTTATACGTGGGAGCCGGTTCGCGTTATGAAACGTCAAAAACCAAAGGATGTACACATATTATGGATCGTTTGGCTTTTAAATCGACAGAGCATATGTCCGGACGTGAGATGGCAGAGACTTTAGAACTCTTGGGTGGGAATTACCAATGTTCTAGTTCACGCGAAACAATGATGTATCAGGCCTCTGTTTTCAATAACGACGTGGAAAAGATGTTTGCATTGATGGCGGAAACCGTAAGATTTCCACGCATCACACCAGAAGAACTTGAGGAACAAAAACTGACCGCACAGTATGAGATTGACGAAGTGTGGAGTAAACCCGAATTGATCTTGCCTGAACTGTTGCATGTCACAGCGTTTTCGGGCCAAACTTTAGGATCCCCTCTTCTTTGCCCTAAAGAGCTCATTCCATCGATCTCGAATTACTATTTGAAAGATTACAGGCAAAAGCTTTATACACCAGATAATATGGTTGCTGCTTTCGTTGGTGTCCCCCATGAACAAGCGTTAGCCTACGCTCAGAAACATTTCGACAGTATGGAAACTCCGGCTGGCCATAGTCCTCGTGAAGTGAAAGCAGCAACTTACACCGGAGGGGAATTGTGCATTCCTCCTGGGCCCGTCTTTGGTAATTTACCTGAACTTTGTCATATTCAAATAGGCTTCGAGGGATTACCCATAGGACATCCAGACATATATGCACTGGCCACTTTGCAGACACTTTTGGGAGGTGGAGGCTCCTTTAGCGCCGGTGGACCAGGAAAGGGAATGTACTCTCGTCTCTACACTCACGTTTTGAACCAGCATTTCTTCGTTGAAAATTGTGTTGCATTCAACCATTCTTATTCAGATTCCGGCGTTTTCGGCATCTCAGCATCGTGTGTCCCACAAGCAGCACCATATATGCCTGAGATTCTTGCACAACAAATGGCTAACACCTTCTCTACCGGTAAGCTCAGGCTGACAGAAGAAGAGGTTTCCCGAGCGAAAAATCAGCTCAAGTCCTCTCTGCTTATGAATTTGGAGTCGAAGCTCGTTGAGCTCGAAGACTTGGGAAGACAAGTACAACTTCACGACCGGAAAATTCCTATACATGAAATGATGTCAAGTATAGAAAAGTTGACGGTGGAAGATATCAGGAGAACGGCGGAAAATGTTTTCAGTGGCAAGGTCCAAAACAAAGGACAAGGAACCGGTAAGGCAACAATTGTTATGCAGGGTGACAGAGAATCTTTTGGTGATGTCGAAACCGTTTTGAGATTTTACGGTTTGGGGAACTATGAAAAGCTTGATGTCTCTGCTCTAAAAAAATCAAAGAAGAGAGGTTGGTTTTGAGCGCTCAACTCGCTGCGATAGACCTAGAAAGACTTGTATATAAAATCAGGATACAAAATACCGTTATTCATTAATGAGCACCCCTATATAAACAACTCTTCGTTTGAGCGGGCATCTACGCTTTCACGCCTTTTCAAGACATCATTGTATTTTTCTTTCCACAGGTCGAGCTCGTTCTTCAAATAAAGTATTTGCTCTTCTTGATAAGCTCTATCACGTTCCATCCGTCTTCCATCCACCTCCTGTTTCGCCACATAGTCTTCCAGGACTCCCAGTCTCTCACTCTTCTCTGCTATTTCAAGAGTATATTCCTCTCTGTTCGTGTTTGCGGTAGCGATAGTGTCTGCCTGCTTCTTATTCATCAGCTTTAATTCCTCGACAGTGCGTTCTAGCGCCTTAGATTTTTTGATTTCCTCAAACTTTGCATCAGACTCTCGGGTAACAAGATCCTCGAGCTCCTGAACCCTCGCTACCCAGGCTTCCTGTTCACTTTTATCGGCAAGCTTAGATTCTAATGCCGATATTGTGTTCCTGAGCTGGTCGTTCGATTTACCCAAAGATGTGTTTTCTTCATGTAGTGTGATGCTCTTCTCTTTTTCTTCTGCTAGTTGCGATTTTGCATCCGCGGAAGTCAATTGTAACTTTTCCACCAGGGATTCATTACGACCGTTTTGCTGTTCCTGGAGACTATAAGCTTCTTCAAGTGAATGTAACTTAGCTTCCAGCTCCTTTCTCATGTTTTCGGACTTTCCAAAACGTAGTTTACTTTCGTCAGATTGGGCTATCAAACTCGCTCGATGCGACTCCAATTGATGCTTTTCCTCAAGCAGACTTGTGACAGATGTGTTAAGGTCGTCCACTTTGCCTTGCAGCCTCGCGAGTGCAGCTTCCAGCTCTTCCCTTACGGAGATCGCTGCATCCCTTTCTTTGACTAATGAACCTATGACCTGCTCGTAATGCGAGTTCTGTGTTAACAAGTCCTCGACTTTTGAGTCATAGTCAATCTTCGCGGTTTCCAGAGTGTAATTTATCGACGAATTCTCCTTTTTGAGTTCGGTTTCTGTTCTAAGTGAGACTGTTAACTCATCTTTAAGCTTTTCAATCTCGCTTAGCAGCTGACTTTGATCTCCAGCCGACTTGAATCGTTCCTTGAAATGAGCAAGGTCTTTGTTCAAGATGTCGATTCGGGATTGTAGTTTTTCCACTTCAATATTCCTCTCTTCGACTTCTGATTCGAGCTCATTATTGCGAGTCTCAACTTCCCACAATTGTCTATCTTTTTGTTTATTTTGACTTTTCAATCTTTCGACGATAGTGCTCATGGTTTTAATGTCAGCCTCTGACTCCTTCAAACAGTGGATCATCTCTTTGAGTTGCTCCTCTGTGGCATGCAGGTCGTCTATACAGTTTTCGTACTGTACTTTGTGGTTTTTGGAACTGGCTGCAAGCAGCTGATTTCGCCTTTCAGATACATCCAACTCCTTGTGCAATTGTGTCAGCTCATCCTTCAAAGCAAACTTGTCAGATTGGTGCTGCTTTATGACCTTCTTCATGTTAGTTGTTTGTTTCTCTGCTTCAACTAGAAGATCTTGAAGCTTGTAGTTCTCTAGCTTGAAAAATCTCAGGTCTTCCTCATATTTGGCAACGGCGCCACGGTGTGTGAATAACTCACCATTGCTGAGATTGGTCTTGTCCCTTAAGGCTTGTGACATGAACTTCGACTCTAAAGTCTTGAGCCTTTGCTCACTAGCCTCGTACTTGAGGCGAAATATATCGGATGAAGAATCGGACCTCTGAATCTGCCTCATTTTATTATGCAAAGCTGAAGCTGCGTTCTCAGCATCTAATCTGGCTTGCTTCTCGGTATTCAATTGACTTCGTAGGTATTCGACCTCCAAGATGAGTTTTTCGTGATTTACTTCCACCGGTTCAACTTCGCTGAGAATCTCTTCCACACTCGCTCTCTTGTCTCCGTTAGTGAGAGCACTTTTCAAAGCTCTCAACTGTGAGGACATGGTCTGAATTTCAAATGATGCAGATGCCAGCCGTGTCTCAGTGAATCTTAACTTGGAAATGAGATCTTTCTTTTGGTTTGTCTCTTTTTCGAGACGATAGGAAGCATCCCGCAGCTTTATCTGTAAATCATCATACGCCTCAGAAACTTCATCTACTTTGGTCAATCCGCTATCACGCTTATTGTGGAACGAACCTGAGGATGAAGGAGCTGACGAGCTGTCCAGGAGCTTTTCATTCAAAAATCTAGTAAGTGATTTTTCTCTGGCAAGTTGCTCCGTCAAAGAATCAATACTTTTTATTTCCCGCTCATTTTTTGCTGTAACGGACGAGCCAGACCTGCCGTGGGAATTGGTCTTTTCCTGTAAAGCCTTTGAGGAATGCTCCAATGCTTGATACTTTTTTTTGAACTCTGCTAGCTCAACCTGAACGGCTTTGAATTCACTTATTAGGCTACTGTGTTCTGAAGAAAGCTCATCTCTTTCCTTGTTAAGTGACTGTATGAAATTCTGATTCTGCTCTGCGCGTTCTGAAATTCTCGCGAGCTCTTTTTGCTTCGACTTTAGTGTGTTCTGTACCTCCGCGTACTCTTTATTTGATCTTTCCAACGACGCTCTCAAATTCTTGTTCTCTTCAACCAAAGACTCCAATCTTTTGCAGGTGCTGTGAAATCTTTTTTCCAAGCCTTGTAAGGTCCTCTCTAGCTCTATATCTGAACTCGAAAGCTTCGTTTTTAACTCAGCTATGCTTGATTCTTTTGAAGAGAGCATTTCCTTCATTTCGGCTCTTTCTCCATTCAATTTGTTCTTCTCATCTTCAAGACTAGACTGTTTATCTTTGGCGTCATCCAATTCCGATCGAAGTTCATTTATTGTTTTAATCAAATCTTGTTTCTCTTTTTGGATGGAGAGCAACGCAGCTTGAGCCTTGGTCGACCCCTCCTGTACACCTTGTAAGTCGCCTCGAGACTTTTCAAAATTTTGCTGAAGAACGCTTTTTTCATCAGCGAGGGCATGCTTGACTTTCTCAGATTCCTCAAATAAGTCGCGAAGCTCCTGCTGTTTACTGTTAACAAGTTCCAAAGCTCTTTCTTTCTCTTTGAGATTTTTGGTCTCTGCTTGAAGCATTTCCTTTACACCGGCTAAGTCTTGGACAAGGCTAGATCTCTCAGCCACAAAAGCTGTGTTTAAGTCATTGACTCGTTTGAGCTCAGCTTCAAGTTGCTTAACATTTTCGGCTATTTTCTTTGTCTTGGAAATTTCTTGCGTAGAATCCAGCAAAGGTTTGATTTTAACGTACAGACTGAACCATGGGTCTTTCATCAACTGGTCATAGGACGTGAAGGCAACTTTTAAAACTTGGGCGGCTTGCAACTTTTTCAGTTGATCGGCGGTCTGCTTTCTAATTAAATTACCGTTGATTTTGGCATTTAATTTGGAAATCATGCTTGCAATACGGTCCTCTTTCTTGGTCTCTAGGCCAGCAAGAACACCTGCTTTAAAGAAGAGTTTGCTATTTCCCACCTTGAAGAGTGCCGGATCAAGGTGCAAAGCAGACAAAACTATTTCACAGTTTTTCTTAGAGTTGTTCGAATAGCGGTATTCGTCAGATAGAATTTTGTAGCGCTGGAAGAACTCTTTAAAAAAAATGCGATTTGGGTATCCTTCACGAGCAATTCGAATACCTTCTAGAACACCGTTGCACCGTAGTTGATCTAAGATGAGTTTTCTGTTGAATTCGTGAGCTTTCTTTTTATCATTAGGTATAATACATCGCACAAAATGAGGCTCTGTGGAAGACAGTCGATCTAGGAGTGAGCTCAATTGGACTCTGTGGCGATGTGATGATGTCTTGAAAGAGCTCGCACGGGATTCGTTGCTGCCGTAAAAATGCCTTATCAGATCGTTGGATGAGTTTGATAAGAGTTGTAGCAGGTTTGCAGATAGCGGGTCTTTGTTCTTGGACAGCCAGCCTTCAACATTGTACTCAACTTCACCCGCATAGTGTTTCAGAATGAAGGATCTATCCTTCTTGGAGCGTTTGAATTTGGAGGACTTGTCATCGCAGAATGATATTAGCTTTGAATAAAACGTTTCGTCCGTGGATTTGGGTAAAATTGACTCCTCATCAAGAAGAGGCAAGACACCAGGATTTTCGCTTTTTCTTTCAATGAGGTCAATAGTAGACTGTAGGTCTTTCCCGTAATCGACATAGCTCCACTGAACATTTTCTTTGATATACTCGTTTTGCTCGAGAACGAACATATGATGATTGAAGAACTGCTGTAGTTTTTCATTAGTGTAATTGATGCAAAGCTGTTCAAAAGAATTGTGCTTGAAAATTTCAAAGCCTGCTATATCAAGAAGACCAATGTAGTTTTCGGTCATCGAGCCATGATCAAGATTTTCGTTGATTTTCTGCACAACATGGGAAAACAACTTTTCGTAAAGCGACCTCGACAAAGAATTCAGTATGAAACGTGCTTGCTGGGCGTTCTTGGCTTGCACGACCCAATCCTTTCCGGCTTTTGCTTTTGGGCTGAGAACGGCGGTCTTGAAATCGGCTTCTGTTACTCCAAGCTGCTGACAAAGGTTCTCCACACCATCTTTGAAAGATGCTTGCTCTGCCCTTTCCGAGACAAATTCTATGTTACCGATGAGAAGCACGATGGCTATGCATGTCAAAACTGCGTTTACCTCATTTTCCGCGAAGCCAATAACTTTGAATGATGCTAAAAGAGCGTGAAAGTCTTGGGTATCATCAACACCCGGTATGCTTGCATTTGACCCGCGCAAATATCGGTAGTCCCTAATGGAACTGGAATCAATTCCAAACTTGCGAAGTTCCTGTGCGCTCATACCCGACAGCATTTGGTAGAAGATGTGGTAGTTCCTCTCTTGCGACCCCTGTTCAACTACTCGAGACTTCTCCAGAAGGTACCAGTCGACGTGGGCACCATTTATTTTACCCAGTTCATCAAATTCTATCTTTATAAATTTTCCAAACCTTGATGAATTGTTGTTTCGTACCGTCTGTGCGTTACCAAATGACTCTAGAATTGGGTTACTTTGTAGAATCTTGCGCTCGAAGCTCTCATGAGTAGTATCCGGGGAAAGTTTGTCCTCACATGTAATGCTTGCCAAATATTGTAGGATCTTCTTCGTGTTTTCGGTTTTTCCTGCCCCGGATTCCCCAGTCACCAGGATAGACTGGTCAAGCTTCAAAGTCAGAAGGTTTTGGTACGCTTGCTCGGCAATGGCAAAAATATGTGGCTTGTTGTCTTCTTTTGGGGACCCATGATACAAGCTAACATAGTCCGGTGAATATATGCGAATGTTGCTGTACGGATTGATTGCAACCAGAAACAGTCCAGAATATGTGTAAATGACATCATCGGCGTATCGGTTTTCTAGATTATAGAGAACTGAGGGTTCATTCAAATGTGTCAATTCAGACATGTCGTCAATGCGGTCGAAATTTTTGGGGTTTACATCACAAACCTCATTGAGTGGCAGTTCCCGCTCGCGTCCATCGACCTTTACTACTGCCCAGTGTTCATCCTTGTTTTGTTTGTTTCGCAGCGTTTTTTCCGAAACCAATTGGGCTCGCACAAAAACCCGGTCTGGATCAGGAACCCATACTTCTTGCATACTCGGGAGGTGCAACTAACTGGGAAATTGAGCCCTGGTCTGGTCAGATTACGCGAACTTCGGATACATAAGTGCTAACTTCAGCTGTTGTGATGTTTATGTGTTTTGATTTCGATATTGAATCGATCGAGTAGCCGGGTAACAGTGTTTTGAATTTGGTTTGTAAGGCGACATACGACACACTGACGCGGGTTGTAAGCAGGGTGAGCCAGAAGATCAATGCACGAATGTTCAAGTTAGGAGCTATTTAATAGGCAATTTGAGAGATTGAGATTGCGCACGAAACTTATTCACAATTAGGTCAGGATAGAACATTTTAATGATTTCGTTGGAAATGTGACATTTGATTAGTGACTGAATGTGTCAGACTGATAGGGGTCCCTGGGTAGTAGAAATTCTTGAAAAGTCGGTACAGGTAAATCAAATTCAGTCTTGTCCTTGCAATTATGCTTTTCCAATTTCTGCGCTCGATTTATGGTCCACGTCCGACTTAAGAAATATACAGTGTTACTACCTCTAGAAAAAAAATTGGCAAGCTCCACATAGGAATGAATATAAGACTTGCGTGTCACTGAAAATAACAAGAATGCCTCTCTCAACAAGGACAAGAAGGCCAGCAAGAGCGAGCTGTTTTTCCAACTCTCTGCCATATTCGCGTAAATCACTTCGTACTATTTTGTCAACCGTGACAGATAAATATTCAAATAATCGTCTAACAAGTCTAGTAATCATACAAGTATCTGGGTAACAACAACTACCAGCGGAAGAGCAAGAAAAGGAAAACTCCTATTTACGTATCACTCATATTTCTTCATTGCAATTAACACGCTTTCTTTTTAGGGCAACTTAAATATCGCCACGAATGAAAGGCGCTGCAACATGTTTGATATCAGAAAAAACTTTCTTTACTCAAAAAAAGCAGGAGCTGAGACATACAAACCTCCATATTTTTCTGATTCTGGCTCATCCCGAACCGCCGTTCCCGCTCAAAAGTCGTCCTCGATACTGGGAACATACCTTTAGTTACAACATCCAAAAAAGGTATCACGTGACTCGTTTTTTCACCACCATAATTAAATTAGACACTCGTTGGCATAGGTAACCGGGTGGATCATCGCGAAACGTAGGTGCGCTGCTAAGGAGCGACACCCAAAATCGAGCCCAGAATCTCTCACGCACACACATCACACATCACACAAGCCGCGGTCAGTGCCTTGCAAAGACCTCAATTCGTGGATAAATAGTGAACGCTGAAATGAATCAACCGTCAAGTGCAATGAGCAGTTCACCAGGACTAATAACACCGGACGATCCTGATAACGCCATGACAGAACATGTTAGTGTTTGTACTCCAATTGGGCACGCGGGGCTTCCGCTACCGCATGACTACTTCTATGGCTCTAACTACGAGGCTCCCAAAAGTGCAACGCCCGAAACGCTTACTTTAGATGTCATCAAGTCAACCACAAGCTCAGCGTCAGATTTGCCAATTGAGATTAAAGTTCAGGTGGCCAGTCTGCTGTCACAATACGACTTGGTGAACCTGGCAAGAACTTCAAGACTATTTCGTGCAGTGGCTACCCAGGCACTTTATTCCAAGATAAAAGTCGACTCACAACATTCGTATCTGCACGACGCACACCAAACGCTGAACGACCGTGTGACATACGTTAAAACACGCTTCAGTTTGACCCGGCTGCTGCGGTTGATATCTGAAAGTGGCTCAAATGGCGAAAATTTGGGTAATTTGGTTCAGTGTCTTGAGATCGTCAACCTGCCCGATGGTATGAGGAAATCTGAAATACGGGCGCTGATAAGCAGCTGCTTGCCGACCATGACAAGGCTATGCAAGTTCTACTGCGGGAGCAATACTATCTCGCTACCGCCGCGGTTACTACAGCTAATGCCGAACAAACACAATGTGCAGACATTGGCCGTCAACGTAGATTTACGACAAGACTTGGGGTCGGTCGATATTGATACTTTTGCCAATGTGCAAAAATTGTCGATCAGCCCGTTTGTAGACTCCGAACGGCTTGCGGCTTTTTTATCGAAGATTCTAGTGCCTACGGTGATTGACAATCTGAAAGTCCTGCGGTTGGCGCGGGAGGATGCTTCTGCACTCAGCAGGCCCAGAAACAGGTCCTTGATCGTCACAGCGTTCATGCTGAACAACAATTTGGACCAGCCCGACATAACAGAGGGCGATGAAGTGGTCAGAAACAATGACACAGACCTGAACTTCTGGCAGTTCTTGGAGAGTGTGCCGATGCAAGGCCGGAAATTTCAGACATTGGAAATGCTGGAAATCTCAGGCGTGAGTGTGGTACCTGAGGACAGCAAGCGGGTTGCAAAAAGGCTCAATCTGGGGGCGCTGAAATTTCTGGCTTTAAGCGATCTGCAGGAGGTACAAGTTGTCCGCGAGGTAGATTACGAGGTTACGGACTTTACAAGCCTAGCATTGGAGCACATGCAGTCGGGGTTTCTGACTGGGTTGGCTCCCTTTTTGCAAAACCTGCAGAGGCTACATTTGGATTTTCGAGAACCGGTTAAGGACTCCGTGCACGACTTTCTGCGCAGTCTGAAAGAGGACGCCGGTGTTTCGCTGCAAGAGCTGGATCTGTCGATCCACTGGGACGACAGCAAACTGGCGCTCTGGCCCAGCTGGGACGTGCTGGCTCGCAAATACATGGCTTCCGTTCTTTTGCACGCAGGGACTTTACGAAAACTCTCGATGCTGGCGTACCACGACCACCGGTTCTACGAGCTGCCGAAGCAAATCCCGGGCGAGACGCTTTGCCAGCTGCAGCAGTGCCGTGTTTTGAGAAGCCTGCGTCTTCATGGCGAGTCTCTGCATCCCGTTGGGGCGAGCCTAGTGGGCCTATTTGACGGTCTTGAGACGCTGGACCTGGTAGGCAAGGCCTCTGGAGGCCCACAGCACATGGGCCTGCAGGTCGTGCATGCCGGCGTGCTAGACAGCTGGTACCGCGTGATCCATGTTGCCATTGCCCTTTCACGAGCCAATCCTGCACTCAGGCGAGTACGCATCGACCATTGTGTATTCGAGTGTTTACCGGATGGCACCGTAAGTCCGCAGACCGATTGTGAGGACTTTAGCGCGGTCACGAGCGTGCTTATGTCAGCGTCCGACTGGTGATGAGATTCCCGTTGCATTCATTCATTCATTCATTCATCTACTCACTCAATAACTCATGCATTCAATACCACTGAACTACAGCAAAACCAGGTTTTTCTCCAACCCCGACCGTAAACCCTGAATAACCCGTTTCCCAACCGTAAACTTCTCCTATAACGGTCTGCGTCCAGTATCAACTTAACCACCATCACCGCCGCACCTGAATTGCAAACGGGCTTGTCCATAACAATAACATTGTCCAGTTTTCCGCCTTTTTTTTTTCCTCTCTTTGGCCGTATGTTGAAAGTTTTCGTTTTGGACGGACGCACATCGTTTTTCGCGCTTTGCGCTCCGCAAGGGTGTTGTCGCTTCCTCGGAGCCAACAAGCCACGGACCTGTTAGCTCACTTTTTGCTATCGGTCTGGTCTACCTTGTCGCCGCTGCACTGGGTTTTTTCCGAGTGAGCGAGTAAGCTGGCTCTCTCTCTCATTCCAATCTTGGCGTGCTCTCCGCAACTTCCGCTCGATTGCGCACTGCATGGAAACTTCTCATTTTGCTGCAGCAGAAGAAAAAAAACTGTTTATGCTGTGCGGAAGTCTTTGATTTCCACTACGTTGTGTGAAAAAAAAGAATGCAATCGAAGAGGTACGAGCTGAAGCGTGCAGATGTGCAGAAAGTCAACGCAGCAAGACCACAGCGAGGCACCGAAATCGACAAGAGCAAGAATCAACAGGTTCGGGGAAAAAAAAACGGAATTTTCAGTGACACCACCCACGGCATGCAGCGATGAGCCCCAGGCAGAGCGCACGCGAATCGAGGCCCTCGAACTCTGCTTGTATTGTCTTCGGCGGAAGTCAATAATCGGACGGAGCTACTTACTTTGCTTGCGTTAACGAGTAATGGTTTTTTTTTGGCTGTTTTCAATGTGGCCGATGAGCTGCCTATACAAGTAACAGAGATTTCCTACCATCTGCATCGAAGAAAAATTGAAGAAGAGTGGATGGGTATGAAAAGAGAGAGAATAAGAAAGAAAGAAGATACACAAGAAACCGAAACCTAAGAGAAACGGTACCCAGGGTTATCATTGAGGTGCGAAAAACAAAAATACTACAGAGACTTGTCGAGAACACTGACTGGCCTTTGCTTGTTCGCCATTTGGAAAAAAAACCGTTTGAATTAATTAAAGTAAACGCATCTGTCACGTGATGGTGCCTCTACTGTATGACATGAATCCAGCAGAAATGAGCACTCCAAGAGAGCTGGATCTCTCAAATGCCCGAATAGCGGTGCTGGGATCGCGCGGGTGTGGCAAAACAACGCTGTGTGCACGCTGGTGTCGTGGCAGCGCACCGCTGCCCGAATCTGACGCCTACAACTACGGAGAAGAGCTTTTCTGTCGAAAAATACTGTATCCAGCGCTCATGAGCTCCAAGAGCTACAGCGAGTATTACGCGATGCAACTGAGTCTGATGAGAGACCTGTTAGAGTCAGAGCTCGAAAAAGTACAAAACTATCCAAGCTGCCACGAAGCCGCTATGGACGAACTCGACGACTACGGACAAGATATCGTGAAAGTCCAGGTGCTGGATGGCGCAGACGCCATGCAGGCAGACTACTCAGAGCTGGCCGCATTGCAGATGAACCAGGTCGACGGTTTCATGCTGTGTTTCGATGTCAGAAGCCCGGAGTCCGTGGAAACGGTGGAGCTCTTGCACCGCCAGATCTGGAAACTGCGAGGTGAAAAGGTGCCCTTGGTGCTGTGCGCGCTCAAATCTGACATAGAGCTGGAAGACAGAGCCATAGAATTGCGCCAGGTCGCCGAGATGTGCGATGAGCTCCAGCTAGACATGGACACCGCGTTCTTCGAGGTTTCCGCCTTGGAACAGTTTGGAGTCCACGAGTGTTTTTACAAAATGTTAAGAGACATCGACAGCCACAAAGAATTGCTCAGGAAGGAGCGGGTAGCGGCCGAAGAAGAATTGGTATCGGGTGTGTCAAGCGGTGTTCAGGGATTATCCTCGGATAGCGAATTGGCTCGTTCGACGATGAGCCCGACCAAAATGGTCACAGCTTCGAGCTGGGCCCGATCCTCTCTATCCTCCAGTGGCGGGAAAACTATGGTCACTGGGGCCTCTTCCAAGGCCACAAGCCGCTCCGAATCACGTGACAATTCTGCTCGACTGGCGAAATTGTCGGAAGATTCATCACTGCAGGGCGATGGCCGATCAGAAACGGACAAGTCCTTTAATGCAGTCATTTCCGAGAAGGCTCGCTCTCTGCAGATGTCGCTGCCTTGCAACACCAACAAAAAAGCCGACCAGAAGCGCAAGAATAAATCTTCGTGCGGATGTGTGATCTGTTGAGCTTATTTTACATTGCATTTTTCCCCAGAGACTCGCTCAACCTGGATAGGTAGACTCCGAGTTCTTTAGGAACCATTTTTTTTATTTTTTGGCATGCCCGTGTGGCCTTTTTCAAAAATTCTTGATAGACAAAACGAATATACATATACAAAATAAACCTTATATATATACATACATAAGGAATGGGAATGAAGCGGTTAGAAAGATAGCGTGTGATGTGGGGGCAAGCGGGCTGTCGTTGAGACGGGGTATTTTCTTGTAAAAAACCGAAACTCAATCGACGACAGTTAAAAGATCAACCAAGTCACTTCGTACGCAACAGTCATGTAGTCATCTCTTACTTCCCTGGCTTTTGGAAGTGTTTCAGGATATATGTAGTTTTTTTCATCAACTTTTCGGGAAACAATAAACGAAAAACAAATTCTTTTCAATTGTTTTTGGAAACTGAATGTTCTTCTGGCTTTTAGGCTTCTACAAACTTGTCTCTTGGAACACTTCTGTTCTTTATCGTTCTACACGCTTTATCCAATCCCACTTTTGACTGTCTTTTCTGAAACACCCATACATTTATGACAAACTGTCTCAAAAACTCCATTTCTCAAAACTCGTACAAAACTATCTGAAAAAAGCTGAAAAAAAATCACCGACACAAAAAAAACCGACGCACCAACGCACAGCGTCTTACGTAAGATCTGGACGACAAATGGTGCTAATGTTACCCGCACCAAAGCGCGATGCCACTCTTTCACCCTAGCGGTATCATTTTTTTTCAGTATATAGACCTGGAGGTTATCACACTGCCTACTAGTTGCCACTATAGCTACATTTTACAGACCACCGAAAGAACTCAAAATGGTATGTTGTGGGCACTAGCAGAGCAGTATTCGAGCGAAAGACGTGGATGAAACAAGAAGCGAATGGTGGGGCAAGATAATGGGAAAAGACTGGAAGAAAAACGGAGAAAAACGGAGCAGAATGACCCAAGTACGAGAAAAATCGAGCAAAAACTGAGATCCTAAGGCCAAACGATAAAGACGATTAGAAACAACTTGGTACAAGTGCGTTTTACAGGCCACTCACGGACGGAACACATACACACGGAGACAGACACACCGAGACTCATGGAGATTGTTTTTTTTCTTACTTTCTCTTTTTCGCTTGAGGAAGTCAGTCCTCACATAATGGTTCAAGAAACGATGCCATCGTTTTGGTTCCAGGTTTCTGCGTCGGCCACCAGCAACATCCGTCTTTTCCCTTTCTATCGGGCCCTTTCCCGTAGAAATCGTCTCCACTACGTTTTCCAGTGCTCGTCACCGCTGCAGCAAACTCTCCAAATCAACCTTTACTAACTTTTTCATTCTCCCCACAGGTTTTAGTTCAAGATTTGTTGCACCCAACCCCAGCCTCCGAGGCCAAGAAGCACAAGTTGAAGACCCTTGTCCAGGGCCCAAGATCCTACTTCTTGGATGTCAAATGCCCAGGCTGCTTGAACATCACCACTGTGTTCTCTCACGCCCAAACCGCTGTCACTTGCGAGTCTTGTGCCACCGTTTTGTGCACCCCAACCGGTGGTAAGGCCAAGTTGTCTGAGGGTACTTCTTTCAGAAGAAAGTAAGCGACTCGGCTATTTTTATCCAAAAAAATGGCTGTGTTTCGCACACTCCGTCTAATTTGCACAACACTCAAACCACACAAGAACTCAACACCCTTTCACACTACACCATTTACTTGTATAGGTAAGTTTTGACGCTGTACACAATAATTAGTTAAGTCGTTATCAGAGAAAAAGGTAGAGACTAGCAAACGCTCTGTAACCTATTTTATTCTCACCTATGCGCGGAAACAACTGGAAAATAAATAAATATATTTACATGTGTATGCTACTAGGCATGTTATTCTATGACCGATTTTTTAGTGATGTATCTGTCTCCGCAACGTCTTTGCGCGGTAACTTAAAGTAATTGCCGCAAAGCCTTCCCCTCCCACACTTCAAATTTATTTACAAGAGCCTCCGGTCTTCGGGACATTCCTGAATTGCCTCTTTCCTCCATTATCAAAACGGCTCATTTCTTGGTTCGGTCGAATTCGTTTCCGTACATCGCCGCTAAAGCGTCAACACTTTGCTCATGTGTTGTATCATCATTATAGTCCACCTCATTTAGTGCTTCTTTAATTTCGCGGTCTTTCTTCTTCAGTTGGCGCCTTTCCTCGCGGATCTTGTCCTTTTCGACTTTCTCGAGCTTTTTTACGTTTAGTCCTCCCATCCCGGGGGCCTTTGTCTTAGCATCTAGGGCCCACAAATCGCCTTTCAATGCCTTTCTTGCATCGTGGTATGCTTCTTTGGAGAATGATTTCGGAACTGTCCATTTTTCCACCTGCCCAGATGACCCGCACAGGTCCATAACAACATGTCCTTTGCGTTTCAACGGCTGTTTGATGATTCTTGGCCATGTGTCGGGAGTGTCATCTCCCAAAGATCCGACTTCGTAGACCTCATTTGAGCTTTCTCTGCGCTTAATTATGCTCTCGACAGTCTCCGCATCAGTTTGAGACCTTTCCAAAACCAGATAAGAGTAATTCAAGATTTCAAAATTTCTTCCGTTGGGTCTACCAGTACCTTCTCTCGCCAGGCCCTTGATACCAACAGGCTCCAGCTTGCTCTGCCATGGGGTTGCAAGAATACGACCTTTCTTGAGCTCTATAGCATACCTAGGTCGATGCACAGACTTCTGGAAGGTACAAAATTTCAATCCCTTTCCTTTACCGTATTCATAGTATTGAGGTTTTCCAATTTGAAGTGGACACTTCCGATGATGCGGGCAAGGCGCAATCACCTTCAAATGATAAGTGCCGGTGTGATCTTGCGAGCTCGGGGCATCTTTAGATGCTTTCCTTGAATTTTGCTTTTCAGGCTCAATTTCTTCACGTAACCCCTCATGCTCCTCAGGGACCTCATTGCCTAGTATACTGCTTGATTGAACTTGCCCTAAACCCCATGGCCTCGGTATCTTTCCGTGCTCGTTGGGGTAATTTTCGGGACGTATAGAAATTTGCCTCGCTCTGGCGATAATTTCAAAACCCATTGGATTCCCCCTCTCTATCACCACTATGTGGCCCCCTGGAGCCAGCAGTTTGAGGTACTTTGTGATATTTGTATCAACTTCGAGCGGGAACTTCTCCTCTATATCTAAAAGTTGATGCGTCAATATTATGAGATCGTAGTTCCTTGATTCAGGCGCCTGATCCCGTAATTTAGTCCTGATCTTGATCTTTTTAGTCATCACTTCACCCAACAAATCGTCATCCCTGTCAATAGTGTCTTCCTGTGCCTCTGAAGCTGTCTCAGCCTGCTTTTCAGCTTGAATGGTATCCGTTGCTTCATTCAATTGTCGACTAAGAATGATCTTGGCCCTCTTTTGCATTTCTTTGTGCCCCAGAATAACAGCGTCTTTCACAGACGGCTTATAGTTATCTCCTAGTAAGTCATTAAGGGCTACCATTCCTGTAGCTGGTCCGTAACCAACGTCCAACACCCTATCGGGACTAAAAGAACCGCCCAGTCGCTTTTGCAGTTCGCTCAACGACTGGTAGCAGGCCCCGTAGTTCTGGAGAAAGATTGAAGCGATATGGGAGTCCACCTCCATACTTGTGCGCGTAGGTCTGTGGAGTTTACTTTGGCGAAGCTCTACAAAGCTATTGCCTGCTGATCTTCGCAAATTGTTCGGAATGTGGAGACTCAATATGTTGTTTCTGATTGCAGTTGCAACTTGCGGATTAAGTTCAACCTGTTTCCCAGGGGCTTTAGCCCGCAGAGTTTTAGGCGAGAGTCGTGAATCCCTTGCGTTTTCGCCATGCAAAGCTTCGCCGGCGCTATTTCTGAACGGGCTCATTGCTTCATTTCGCAGAATTTTCTCCCTAGACAGAACTTGTGCTGTGTTTGATTCATCTTCCACAACTTGTCCAAACCTGTGTTGTGAATCATCTGTATTTGGCGATGATTGAGTGTTGGAAGAAAACAGGTCCAAATTTTGCACGGAAAGTCGAGAGGAGGCGCTCTTGAAGCGCCCCAAAATCTTGGGTGGTGAAAGTGCAGCTCTGAAAGTTGATTTCAGCATGAGTATGAATGAAAGCCGCGACTTTTGTATTGTAGCGTCACCAGAACCTGGAGGCCATCTCTCACTTCTTCGCTCATCTCATCTCGAATTGTAATTTTCACCAGTCACGTGCTATTCGTTAAAAGAAGATTGAGTTGAGAGACCGAAGATGCAGGTTGATTCATGTTCAACGAGCGAAAAGCATATCTTGGAGTGACTTCAAAACAGTCTGGAAAGGCTTGTGACAATATTGAAAATTCAAAACTCGCAATGGCGTTTCAATTGAGTAATACCGTGCTCCTTTCTTTGCTGTTGGTGCTGATCACCACGGCACTATTGTTAATAATTCAGAAAAACACCACTAATGTAATTCCCGGCCATAAAGTAACAAATAGGGATCCAACGTTCATAATTGCTGGTCCTAGCGGCAGCGGAAAGACCAGTTTGTTCAATGTGGTATGTTTTAGGTGAGAGGTAGGCTTCTCTTGATAAGTCTCAATACTCAATCCAGTGTACTAACGAGTTACGGCAGCTCACCACCGATACTGTCAAACCGACCGTCATGTCACAGGTACCCAATGTGGCTGAAGACTACATGCTTCCTTCAACTGCGAAAAGCTTCAAGTTCAAGTTGATGGAATTTCCCGGCCATGTCAAATTGCGGTATCGTTTGTTCGACACCTTAAAGGAGTCCACAGCGTTGAAGGGTCTAATATTTGTTGTTGATAGCACCGTCGATCCGCAGAAACTTGCCGAAACCGCAGAGTTTCTTTACGACATTCTGGCGCTGACTGAGCGCTTTCCAGAGGGAGTAGACATCATGATTGCTTGCAACAAATCCGAGTCATTTAGTTCCCGTCCACCTTTGAAGATTCGTGATGCGCTAGAGAAAGAAATAGGCAAGGTGATCGAAAGAAAAGCCAAGTCGTTGAGCGCAGTCAAGAAGTCCGGTGAAACCTTGGGAGAAACCGGCGCGGACGACTCTGGCGCTGCATCCCTCGATTTCCAAGGCCTCCGTGCCTTTAATTTCGATGCTTTGGACGGCAACGTCGACGCTATCGAGGGCAGTGTATCCAAGGGAGAAATTGAGAAGTGGGAGTGCTGGATTGATGAAAGGTCTGTAAATTGAGTAGCGTAAATGTACGTCTGTCCCACTTATTTTATAACTTTGGAGTTGTGCCTTTCCGAGCACAATACCAATCCACCCAAAAAAGATACGACGCAAAAAATGCCAATCAGAAGTAAAACTACCGGACAAATAGCAGCATATATGGACGGTAAGGGGAACCCTAGTAATACATTTTCGAGATCAAAAATCGGAAGCAGTAACCATATCACGTAGTAAATGAAAAGCCCTGTTAGGATCACAAATCTATTCATAGAGAGTATTAAACGTCAACGTTGTGGGCGAAGGAGAATAATACGTTTGGACACTCCGAAAGGACAACACACCGTGGACTCATCATGCCAAAGCGAAGGGCATCAAACATGATATGACAATGCACATGAGCTTTAAACAAAGAAGGTAAACAAATAAGTAAACGTGTTGTATCATCTCAGTCCTATATGATTTTATCTCCTTCGAATTTCAAGAAAGCTTGCGTGGCGTAATGGCAACGCGTCTGACTTCTAATCAGAAGATTGTGGGTTCGACCCCCACCGTGAGTGCTTATTTTTAATTTTTAATTTTTCGGTAATTGGATCTAAGAAGCGGGCGTCACAGTGTATCGAAACAATCAACTGACAACTATACGTTCGACTTCACAATTACTGCCTTAAAACCATCGAAATTATCTGAACTACAGTAATCCTGTGCTTAGCATAGGCTTCCGAAAGACGAGTTGTCATCGTTTCTTCGAACCGGCACCACCCTCTCAAACCACACAGTATCATTATAATCTATGCTTCTTGAATTACTATCTTTCATTTGATGGCTCAATGAAGCTCGAAAAGGTCCTTGGAAACCTACTACAGTTTTACAATTCTTATTAAATACTGCAAGGGTAGCCCAGTTGCGAGTCCATTAGGTAGAGTAACGTGCGAAGGAGAGGCATTACGAAACCTCACTAGTTAAAAACCATGTCCGTCATCCTGCTTTGACTTAACACCATTATATATCTAAAAACACGTTGAAGCGATCGGTAATTTTAATTCAGAGATTTGCATCTTCATTGAAGAACAAGATCTCGAATGCCACAATCACTTTGGCGAACGCCTACTTACTTTTATCCTTTCTTGACGATCTCATGTCTCGTAGGTTGTTTTCTTGTTTTCTTTCTAAAGTGAAAAACTAACATTCAAGGCAGAGAAGACATTCGAACAGCAACAAAATACAGGGCAAAACTAGTATGTCTGCGTGGGCAACAGCACCATTCGAAAGCCTGTATAATTCTATCGAGTCTGGCTCCTTCGATCACTCTCAGTATGAACAGATACTTCGGCATTTGAAAACTTTAAATGTGCTTAGAGGAAAAGCGAAAAACGCAACGAGCAGAGCTCAACTAGAGAAAGGCGAGGTCAAGCTGTCATCAGGGGATACCCATAAAGTAGCCAAGGATGTTGTGATAGCAGCCGTGATGCTCTCCGACGAGTTGAATTTGGATGAGCAGATTTCAGCTAAGCTCATACTTTTGAATTGTGACACTGATTCAGAAGAAGAGAACTTGGATGTTGCACTAATCAATGGGGCCAAAATAGCTTTCTATCTCAGACGTCAGTACGTGCTGCAGATAGTGTGTTACATCGTCAACTGTCTGGACCCCACCGACAAGATATACGTGGATTTGATCGCGGATGGTACTTTGGTGAAAAACACGATTTCCGCGTTCAAGGAAATTGAGACACAATTCGAGGAAATAAAACAACTTGTCAACAAGATGAAGCTTTTGGACAGGTATGACGCATACGCTAAGCAAAATGTGCGCTTTAGGCGGGACTTTCTTCTTTCAGAATACGATACAATGAGCCAGATTCTTCACGGTTTGATCAAGAATGGCCCTTTTATGCAAAAGGACAGATTGCTGGATGTTGTGAATGAAGTGTCCGATATGGACCCAAGTGATTTTCTCATTGTCTACTTCCTTCCTTCTCTTTTACAAGCCTTTTCACAGCTAGACCAACTTTCTGATAATGATGTGAAAGAATTACATGAAATATTTCTCTCTGAGTTGAAAAGCGACGCCATCTACGCAAAACCACTGAAGGTGTCGATCATATTTTCCTTTTTAGCATTTTTCATCGGATGGTGTAAAGCTGCTCCTTCAGCAAGAGCATCCACTTACGACTTCGCCAGTGCTGTGGATGAACCCATGACAAGAGCTGTAAATTTGGGGGCCATTGAACAAATAATGGCGTTTGCAGCCGACACTTCCGCATTGGAGCGAGACAATAGTATAGAGCTCTTCTATGACATGAGGTCTTTATTACAGAAGCACATTCCGAGACTTTATCCAAAGCAGCTAACAGACAGCGATCAAGCCTACAATGAAAAGGGCTCAAAAGAATCAGGCTTCGATATCATTCACTTATCTCACCAATCTCTGAACATACTGCTACCGACATTCCATCATTTGCTGCAAGTGGTCATAACTGACTGCGCCTTCCTTCTAACAAAAATGAAAGACGCAGAGGAGGATTCCCTGCTTTCTGGAGAGGATTTGTACCTAGATGAGATATCTGCTAAGGCTGATCTAGAACGGTTTTTTTTGACTATACACTACTTTTACGCTTTCAGGCCTGAGTATTGTGCGGTCTTCTGGCAAGACAAGGAATCCAATGCATATGGCTTTATAGAGTGGGCTATGAAATGTACTGATACATTAATGCGCTCTTCAGTATTCTTGATGCTATCAAGCATTGCATTTGGAGGTGAAAACTCACTCAATGTTTACCACTACATCAATCAGAATCTCCATTTTTCGTGGAGCCATATTGCGCAAATCATTAGCGAATACATTCTTAAGATATCGGATGTGGAAAGGCAGCTTGAGGAAAGTCAAGGCTCAGTGAAAGAGCAACACGATCTCGCATCTGTGGCCTTGAAAAGTGGTTTGAATGAGGAGGTGATAGTTCTTTTGTCATCGCTGTACACTTTAGTCGGTTGCGTAGCACACGACCTCGATGAGGATACCAAGTCACGTCTCTCAGGTACGTTCACCAGTATTCTTTTCGAATTTGTGAAGGTCAATACTCCTCTAGTTGGCGCGGCATTGAAGGTGTTAAGCAACCTTGTGCCACAGAATGAAGCAAAAAGAAGCATCTTTTGGCAAAAACTGGATTCGTGGATTTTCAAAACGTCGAAGTTGTCTCTCGCTCAAAAGACTTATCGCGACGCTTACAAAAGCATTTTGACTACTTTTTCAGATGTCACAGGATTTCTTATTCTTTTGCACAAACTCCTTCGCGTGTGCTCTAAAGGATTAGGAGGCTATCTCACCTTTGGGCTACTGCCTTTCCCACCGAAGTTGGGAAAAGGTTACAGGAGTGTGGGTATATGGCCGTACTTTGACTACTTGTTCAATGAAGTTTTTGTTCAGTCCCGCCTGCTTAGCGACGCGACAGAGAGAGCGGCCATTCAAAAGCCAGTCTTGCAAATCATTGATCAAGCACTACATTCTTTTGATTATTCGGTCATATTGGACTCCATTCCTGCTGGCTCAAACTTGAACGACCTGGTGGCGACAGATGATTTTTTCAGCTATGTCCAAGAATCTCCTGCCACTGCTGTCATCAACTACCTTTTTGAGGATAAAGTGTTCACGGTTCTGTTCGAAATTGCCTCCGTCGGGGTTGATACCGTTACTTCAAGCTTACGAAATTCCAATGAACCTATCGAGCTTTTGGGGTTGGCGATGAAGAACATAGAACAGCTTCTGCTATGTCAAGAAACATATGTGGAAGAATTGTGCCCCATAGTCAAGAGGCTTGCCCAGGATGATTTTTTCCTTCCTCAAAATTTTGGCCTACATGGTCTGAAGTCTTTCTACAATGCTATGTTTTTCGATCTACCGATGGTAGCGCACTTTGGACTGTACGTTGGATTAGAGAACTATTCAGTTGCTAAACACTCGATTCAAATTTTACAGAAATTGGCCCGGGAAATGAAAGGTAGCGACGATAAGGCAATCATGAAGGACACACTACTTAATCTCTTTGATTCTGTGGATGAGTCTGCACGTTTGAAAGAAGCATTCATTGCGCAGCTTCTGAGTCCGATCATAGATCACAGGGCTTTAGAACTTAAAATTGGGATTTTGAGCTTTTTGGCGCAGAATCTTTCCTACACCGATAGACAGCCGTCCGTTGCGCACTTCCTACTTGGTTTCTCGATAGAAAGTACGATATCCTTGGGGCCAGAACTATCAAGCTTCATAAATTCCGGACACTCAGTTCTAAATGCCATTATCTTTCTGCTAACATCTTCTCTCGAAACAATGAACAGTATCAATATTGATAGCTCACCTTCAGAGCTAGCGATGCACTCAATGGAAATTATTTTGAAATTGAGCCGCAACCCGTTGACCTCCACTATGATACTCAACCGCTTCAGTGAATCAGGCTTGTTCGAGAAGCTTCTGATGCTCGATCCTAAAGTTAGTCTCAAGACCAAATGGTCAATGGAGGCAATCCCAAGTAATGTCATAGGCAGCTCGCCAAAATATTGTAGCGAGAAAGCTGCCAGTTCATTTTTGAAATTTTTGACTTACAGAACATTTTTCTTACAGTTTTTGAGCTTGGACATTCACAAACTAAGCACTCAATCGCTCATGACTACGATAAAATCTAGAATGGAACTCCTCATCTCAGATGCTGCTCAACCACCCCGTATACTCTCTTACCTTGATGTTTTGGGATTTGAGCTAGCCAGTCTGCCGGGCGATTTTGCGAAGAACTTAGTTATATGCGCGAACTTAGATTTGAGCGGACTAAAAGTGGAAACCAACTTTTCTACCGGTGAAGAGACTTATGACATGACTCGTCTGCATTCATTGGTTCAGTTAAGGGTTCATTCTTTGACCAAAAATATTCCGATCGTGACACCGGATGGCAACATATCAGATACAGAGGCTTTGGTCAAGATAGCGGACAAAGAGAAGGCCATGTTAACGAAGTATATGTCTTCGTACTTCTCATACCAAAAGTTCAAGTCTTTGCAATTGTCGGTGCTTCATTCATGGGTTCAGCTTGTCCAGGTTGTTGTGCTTGATGGACGGTTAACGAAGGATGTTAGATCAAATTTCATTCTCGAGCTCTTCGAATCCTTGGTGCCCCGAATAATGGATTACCTCGAAATTGATGTCGCATACTCGGAAGAGATTGTGTCACTTTGCGTTTTTCTCTACGATATTCATCATAAAGATTCTCAATCGCAAGTTGAAAGCGCTCCTGTTGACGGGAGACTCATGGCCCTCTTTATGGCTTGCATCAACGGAATCAGATCTCCGCTCTCTACTCTTTCCTTAAGATCGGATTTCTATGCTCTTTCAAACAGATTTCTGTCAAACTTATTGGAAGACACGGAGGTAGCGAAGCAGATAGCTCAAAATTTGAAGCTGTCCAGCGACCGGCTGATAGAAGTTGTATTCAACGACGCTGTATCCGGTGAAGGTTCTTCTCGAATCACTGGTATACTTTTCTTGGATTCTCTATTCCGGCTTGCTGGGCTCCATAAGGTCAACTTCGTATTAGAGACTTTAACCAGAAAGAACATGCTTCTTTTGATAGGGCATTCGCTCAAGGCCACTGACGATTTCTTAAGCTCTGCACTGGAAGGAAGAAGCCTAGATGATCTGTTGTACGAACTGACCGCCTTCAAAGCCACAGTCCAATTTCTCATTCGAGTTGCAGAAACTCGTAGCGGTGCGCAGGCTCTGGCCCAAAATGATATATTTCATGTTATTGAAACATGCTCGTTTTTAAAGGTTGATCCTGATTTGGGTCTCGATCTCAAATTTAACGCTGACAACATCAACGACTCGAATCCTGTACATGTGAGCTTGAGTCTCGACAACTCCCTAGCATCGGATACAGATGCCTGCGGGCTATCACTGTATGAGATTATCGTTCCCGTTTTTCAATTAATGACTTCCATTCTTCTCAGCATGGGAAGTGCTAACAGAGCGGTAGTCAAAAGAACGCGTTCTTTGCTTGAGCATTTCAAGAGAATTGTTCAAGGTGTCCTTAAGCGTGATGCTCTGATAGAAGAGGGCGATGCATTGACAAGAAAACCCTTCAATAACGATGGTCTTACACAACTTGTGAAATTAGTCGTCCTTTTATGCACCCTGACTGGCTACAACGGGGACGCTTGAAGGCTGATGAAACCTGACTGGTCGAAATATTGACAAGAAGACTACCGCAAAATGAGATTCATGTACCAATAGGAGTAATTTATTATCTAAAGAGACCTAAGCTTACTTTCCAATGACTCCGAACTATTATCTAATGACTTCAACGCATCTAGGTGCGTATTTAATAGCTTTATCAGCTGAGTATTCTCGTCTTCGTTCGTTACGCTCATATTCGTCGCTTTGTTGAAAGTCTCACTAACGCCGTTTATTTCTGTGATTAGAGATGACAAGTTAGAGGACAAAGACGTTAGATTGTCGTCCAGCGCTTGGGCCGTCTGGTAAACCTGCTGTCTTTTTTGGTCATTGATGTTAGCAGATGATCCAGATGAAGATGAAAAGACGCCCGAAAGAAGTGAGTCCGCTTTTCTCTCGTAGTTATCAAGAAAAGTTTCCAATTCACTCTGCTGGCGCTCAATGTATTGCAGAGATTGATCAACACGACTTTGTGTTTGCTCTGCCATGACCATTTCAGAGTACAACTGACCAATATGCTCACCGCCAAGCATTAGAACCTGATCCCACTCTTTCACTTTCTGAGAGTACTCACTAAAATGTTCGGCCGACCCGCCTAACTGCGAAGTCCATTTAGTAACGAGGTCATCCAGAGTCTTGTTGTCTAAAGAGACGGGTTGAAGATCTACCGTTTTTTGTGATTCTTGATTTCCAGCAAAAGAAGGAGCCGTGGCGCCCTTTTGGTCAACCTTCTCAGATTCCTTATTCCCGAATGATACCCCTGAAGACCTGACGCCCTTATCCTCGTCAGTGGATGCAGTTTTCGAGGGTTCTTTTTCGTTCTTCGAACCAAAGCTAAATGCGGGTTTAGTTGTAGCTGCCTTCTTGTCTCCTCCTCCAAGGGAGAACCCACCCAAAACTGGTTTCTGGTCACTGGCCGCGGCACCTGCTTCAGAGGAGGCATTTTTGGCCTCATCTACAGATGGCCTTTTACCAAATAATAAACAACTAACAGCCGGTTTTTCTGTCTTTTTATCTGCAAGTCCTCCAAATGACATTGGGGCCTTTGCGCCAGCGCTGGTTCCGGAATCGGTTTTAGTCGTAGCTTTGGTTTCAAAGCCAAAGCCCGCTGCGGATTTTGATGGACCAGCCCCTGTCGAAAACAAACCACCAGCGCTTGGCTCGGCAGCTGATTCCTTCTTGTCTTGATCTTTGCCGCCTATAGATTTCTCATCATTCTTTCCAAAAGTCAGAGGTTCACTCTTTCCAGCGCTAGATCCAAATAAAGGGGTGTTTTTGGACGCATCCTGTTGTGCAGTGTTCGAGAAAAGAGCCCCGGTCTTGTTGTTGTTGTTCGTACTGTCCTTGTTGTTGGCTCCAAAACTAAAGGCAGGCTTATTGGCCTCGCTTTGCTGTATTTCAGTCTGCTCTTTGCTGGTGTCAACTTTCTCGCCAGTAGTGCCGATCGACGCGGAAGAGCCAAAGTTAAATGCGGGTTTGCTGTTGGAGTTTACCCCGGAGCCAAGACCTTGCGAAGCTGCACCATTGTTGCTACCCGAACCAACCTGCGGAGCTTCAATCTTCTTTTCGGCTGTTCCTAGCGTTTTGCCAGAACCGAAAGAGAACGCAGGCTTGTCTACGCTTTGGCTGGTATTGAAGGAGAACGCAGGCTTTTCTGCACTTTTATCATTACCTGTAGAAGGCTTTTGTGCATCGCTTCCAAAGCCTCCGAATAAGGGTTTTGAAGCAGCTTCGCCGGCTGAGGTGCCAAAAGAAAAGGGTTTCGAAGAAGTGTCACCACCAGTGCCTTGAAAAGCGGGTGTTTTGGTCTCATTCGAGTGAGACTGTGAGTTTAGATTACCTGCTCCAAACGAGAAAGCAGGCTTATCGTCTTTTTTCGATTCCGAGGTCAGACTTACAGCTTTTTGAGGTGCGTTTTGACTTGTACTTCCTTGACCAAAGGGTGAACCAGCTTTGTCGGCTGTGCTGCTACCACCAAAAGAAAATGTATTCTGGGCTGCAGGTTGTGCACCGAACGAGAATGTGGGCTTTGGCGTGGAATCAGAGGATGGCTTCGTTGCATTAAACAAACTCGAGTTAGTGGCACCTAGTCCGGTCGTTCCCGGTTTACTACCCAGGGAGCCAAATGGCTGCGATCCAGTACCACCTGAACCACTGGAGTTGATTGTTCCAAATGTCGGGAAACTTGCTGTCGATTTCTGTGAAGAATTCCCAAAAAGCTGACCAGAATTTTGACTATCCTGACCAGCCGGCTTTTGACCAAATCCTCCAAAAAGAGGTTTGGCTCCTTCACTCTTTTGGTTAGATCCATCAGCATTGCCAAACACAGGCGTGGAGCCCGTTTTCCCACTTTCGTTATTGTTGAAGTTGAGTTGGAAGCTCACTGTTGATAAAGTTAGTAAATTACATCAGATAAGGCCACTTTTCCACAAAAAAAGGAGTCAGACTCGCATCATACTTCTGTAGTACCTTTGGTGGTCACCTGGAGAGCGAGATCGCGAAAGGATGGCCGTTCAATTGGTTGTATGTTTGCACTTATACCTTGACTGTTTTCAAATTATTCAAATTTTCGAATTTGATGATCTTCGTGTATAGTGTCAACTATCATAGACTTTAGGTAAATGACTATATAACGTACTGTAACGGCTAAGAGAACAAGCAACCTTGACGGCTTCTTTAATTTTGCATTCTTGAGACTTTTCGAGTAAGCCTTTTGACTCCGAAGATCAGTTAATTAGGCCCCAGTTTTGTGCGGGGATCTGCCACGTTCGATATTGTCCAAAACTTCATCGTAGACGCGATCGATGGCATCGCCTCCGTCAACGACGTCAGAATCAGAGTCAGAGCCGCTAGAAACATCAGACTGCTTGTTATGTGCTTCCAGTAAATTTGCTTGGACCCCCACGACGGTACTCGACTCTCTAGAATTGAGGTCGAGTTCTTCAGTCGCCGGATCGCTGGCATCAGTGGGAGTTTTTTGATCCGGTCTCTTCTTGAAAATGTCACTCAAATCCACCCCACGCCTGCGTAGTGTTTGGAGAAAGCCAGTCACCGTAGAAATGTCTTGAGTGAGAATAAACTCCTTGATTTTCCCACCGTCAAGATCCATGACATCATTAACATCATGATTTTTCAGAAACTGTTCATCAATTTGATCGTCGCTGTTAAATGACCCATTCGCAGCATGCTCTATTATACCATGCGATTTGCGTAACACCGCCCCTTCTTCCTTCAACTGATCACGCGCGTGGGAATCCCCGCTCATAGAGATATCATCCCTGATCTCGATCGCGTCTTCGGCAGGACCTGATCCAGCCGACTCTATAGGTGGGTGCTGGAACGGCAAAAGAGCTGAATGCCCACTCCCAGCAAAATAGTCGGAGGAGAGCGTCGCACCGGATTCCATTCTCGGTAACTGGTGGCTATTATTAGCAAGATTTCCACCCGAGTGGCTCGGAATGTCGATTTTGTTATTGTAGCGCTGAGCTAACAGCCTCAAACCTCTTTCGAACGTTGCATCAATGAAACAAAATCTAATAAGTGTTTCTTTGCCACTTGTGCTCAAATTCCCATCAACTCTAAGCCTAAACAAGTCCTCCGTCATTTTGTCAATGAAAGACCGGGCTTTCATCAACCGCGTTACAAAGCTCTGTGCCACAACGCCAAGATCTTCCTTGCTCATTGGTTTCTCAGTCAGAAGCTCAGCCAATTCCTTCTGCAAGAGCGCTAAGTTGTCAGGTACGTCTCCCTTAGAGGTGGCTAACCCAGCAGAACCTTTTGGACCTGTATTGCATTCCTCGACCTTGTTTATTGCCAACTCCATGTTCCTTATGCCATACAAGGAAATTTTATCCTTAATCTTGTCAGGCAAACCCTCCAGATCAAGGTCGAGTGTTAACAATGAGGAGCTTTTGTGCATTGCTGCGGCCAACGCACAACCGGTTGCAATATCCACTTTTGTTCCACGGGCCGAAACGTAGTTCAGCTTTTGACACATAGGAAATACCTCAGCTAAAGCAACTAATGACATTGAAGGAATGTTATTATAATCCATTTGCAATCGCATCAAATTGACGAAAACAGGTAGGTAGTGTGCAAGGTGTCTTGTGATATGAGGAAAGATTTGAGGATTGTTGGAGATGTCCAGCAGCTTCAAGTTATCACAATAACACAAGCTGCTAATTAGCCGTATCAGCTCATTATTCTTCGATTCCGCACCATCCGGAACTTCCAAATTCGTCGAATTGAGGGAAATGTACTTGAAAACATTGTTATTGTTCTGCATTTTCTCGATCAGTGTGGCAGAAAAACTACCTAGTTTTCCGCGCAGGTCATTATAAGCCATGTCAATACCTGTGACCTGGGATCGAACCAGCCAATCAGCAAGCAGGGTACACTTTTCGGTTGTGAGAGAGTTATATGCCAATCCGAGTCGAGTAGTTCGCCTGCAGCCGAGTTCAATGAAATTTTCGAATTGTTTGAGAGGCATTTTAGCACCTGACAGAATGATCTCTTCGAGACCGCCATTGGTTGCCAAAGCGGCCGTCAAAAGATCCCAATTAAGCTCTTCTCTACTATCCATAGAGCACTCCATTCTCACAATGCGAGACTTCTGGGCCGACTTTGAAGGCTTCTGAACATTTATTGACATTCCTGGAACCATTGATAAGTCGAGAGCCCCTAAACTTTTACATTTGGACACGAAGAAACATAGTAAGCGCCAGCCTTCATGATCAATTGGTGTGTTTCGCAAAGACAGTTTCTCAAATTCCTTTTTGTAGGCCAAGGAGCATAGAATCACGTTCAACATTTCGACGCTCAAACTCACACCGTCCAAGGAAAGACACAACACAGGCGCAATGCTCAAAAAGTCACCAAACGACAAAACCTCAATCATAGATGGTTTGGGGTTTCTCAATTGGAGCAAAGGAATTGGGTCAGTAGACCCTTTTTTCAACTGCTTGAAAGTTGCAGGTATGGGCAAAATTTCGCGCAGATGGCAGCAACGCGTGTAAGTCACGTCATGTGGTATCTTAATGTCTCGCGGCGGGAATACATCGTCATTGTCATCCTCACTTGTCGATACTAATGACGATAGAGAGCAGCCCGAACGTCTGCTAAACATAGGTTTGTCGATTTTTACCTCCGCAGCACTTTTACTGACAGACACATCTTCTTCATTAGCGCTATCAGTCGTGTCAACTTCTCTTGGTGCCTTATCGTCATTTAATTGCGCGCCTCTTAACGCAGCATTGGACTGATTTTTAGCATTTGCCTCATTCCCGTCCTCATTGGAAACAATTACGTCAGGCTTTCGTTCTTCTCGTCTTTTGATGTCATTTTCATTGACTGATGGATCGCTGAGAAGTTTGAGATGACCGGATCCTCCCACAACAATTCCAGACGTCGTCTTTTGCAAGATCTCCCGTTTTTCCTCAGGTGTCAAACGATGAATGACCACAGATCCGTCAGAATTGACTTCCACTTCACCTTTCCTAGGGTTTTTGCTGCAAATTTGTTGTGGAGGATCATTGAAATATGTGTTCGTGGCAAAAGCCACTTTCTTCAACGGCTTGAGGTCCTCTAAACCGGGAATAGTAGGCCCTCGGTCGTTTTGCAGGTTCCCCGGAGTCTCTTCGTCACTTGTTTCCGTATCAGAGTCGGTGGTAGAGCCTTTAGACGAAGGATCTTCGTTGTGAGAAGTAACTCTTTTCAAAAATGCCCCGAACTTGTTAGCAGATGAAGAGGCATTAGTACTTGTTCTGCGCAAGTTTTCCTTGCGAGCAAAACGATAATGCTTTCGCAAAGCGGGTGCCAAATTAGATTTGGCAGGATGCGGTGGAATTGGCCTTCCTTTGGCGTCAAAAACACACGAAGGTTTCTTATCATTATGGCTTTCTACGTCTTCATCGATAGAAAACGTTGTCTTCGACTTTGCTGTGTCGGGTCTGGTTAATTTGTTCGCAGAGATAGGTCTAGCATTCGAGGAAGCACCACTTTTAAGAGTAGATCTATAGCGTTGCAGAAACTCGTCAAGTTTTGGATCGCCCTCAATGGGGTTGGTTGGGACGGTTCTCGATCTGCTTAAAGCGGGCATTTCCGGTTGATTCGGGGATATTCCGCCGTTGCTGGACTCCTGAACGTCCCTAGTTGCGGGACTTGTCTCCTTATCTCGCGAACGAGACGGAGTATCATGATTGTTGATTCTGAACGAGTTTTTATAATCGGATTTCGCGCTAACACTGCTTCTTCTAGCTTGCTGTTTTTTGGGCTCCTCTTTTTTCTTACGCCCAAACAGTGACCGTAGGAAATTTGGCTTTTGAGACTTGACGTCCTCGATGTGGCCCATAGAATTCATGGAGAGCGAGTTGCTACGACGAACAACGTGGTTTGGGCGCTGCATGTGTACCTTAGAGCACTCAATTCCGTCGAAGTAATTCGGGTCTCGAAAAGGCGCCTTTTTATGCTCATGAGACGCCGCACCATGGCCAATTGTTGTCTTCAATCCATCCTGTATTTCTGGCGAAACAGCGCGCGAAGTGGCCGTTGAAGGTGTTGTTGAATCCGCCGGAGCAGTTTGAGTGGTCGCCGTTGTAGCGTTTGTATCCTTCTCTAGCTTCTGAGACTTTGCAGTAGTATCACTTTGGCTAGGAATTGGGCTCGAACAATCATTTCTTGTGAGCCAGTCAACGTTTATCGAGTCCAACGGGCCCTTTCCCGAAATTCTTCCCCGTGAACCAGTGTGATCTTTGGGAGAAGACATTAACGAGTCCCTATTCATTATAGAAAGTCCCGGTTTGCTGGATGTTGTGTTAACTTGGGACAAAAGTCTCAGCTCTAGAAGAATGATCCCTACTAGTATCTCGGATCTTCAATTTACCGTGGAGAGAAAGAAAGAGAAAGAGCAGAGACACAATCGCTTTCGACGAGGAGTACCATGACTCCGAGTAGTCATCTCATAGACAGGCTGATAGGCTTACCACAGACCAACGGTTCATCAGGCTGATTGATGCTGGCATTTCCGCACCATAGCTTTCAGTCTATGCGTCACTAGATCATCGTCTTTTTTCGCGAGTTTCCCTAGTCTTTTTCAACAATTCTAGCTAAAATCTCACACACTATGTGGCACCTTGTATGGTGTTCCAGAAAACAAAGATCGGGGAACTAGACGGGCAACTGAGTGGAAATGTGCATTATTCGAAAGTGTTGACGGTGACTGTTAGTTGATGTGCTTTCTCCCGAACAAAAATGAGAAAGTAGGAAATGAGATGCTGTGATGTCTCAGATTGATGTAACGTGAAATCACAAAGGACGCGTGGCTAAGCACACAAGAGCCGTCAATGTCATGAGACTCTCTTGGTTTGTAACTTCTCTCGACAGCTTCTCGAAAGTGAATGTCTCTTTCTTGGTTTTCTTGGTATTTGTTTAAGACTTCTTATAGCTCTGGAATTATATATAGAATAGATCAAATCATCTCTATCTATTCCAAGATTAAGAATATGTCAAGTCAGGCCTTTACTGAACTTCAACAAGCGCACCAGTCAATGGCGAACTCCACTAAGATCCAGTACCTCATTCAGCGGTACGGGACACGAGAAGAACTGGCCAAGCGGGGTATATGGCGTGGAGACCTTTACAGCGCAGCAGAACTGCATTATTTGGATCGTGGATGGTGTTGGAAGACACTGCTGTTGAGAGGAGAGGACGGGTTACTGGTAACCAAATTGGCAGAAGTGCCAGACAACACAATTGCAGATAGCGCCCCATTGCATCTGGACAAACTGCAATCGCGAGTGAGAACCTTGACGCCGGAGCGCACTAAAACGCATCCGTTGCAGAGCGATGAGGAGAAGACCAATGACGATCGATTGAAGGAAAAAATATCGCTGCATGAAACACTGGAGGTAATCAGACTCGATATCTCACGACTTTTGCTGGATCCCATTTTCGAATCAGCAGAATGCAAGGCGGAAATGATTCAAATCCTGTACAACTACGTCGTGCACAACCATACCAGTTACAAACAGGGATACCATGAGCTTTGTGGCGCGGTATACATGCAAATGGCCAAGGAGGAATGTGAAGCCCGCAAACTCAATACTTTGAACATCTTTAACAAGCTGATGAAACGTGTGAGGCCCGTGTTCTACGAAGAAACTGCACTACTACATTTCGCACAAGTCAAATTCGACCGCATTTTCAAATTGACCATGCCCAAACTCCACCATTTACTGACAGTACACCACGGACTCGAAAATACAGTTTGGCTGATCCGCTGGACCCGTCTTCTATTTTTGAGAGAATTCGACCTAAATTACGTTCTAAAAGTGTGGGATCATCTCCTCACGTTTGTCATCCCATTGGAAGATCTCCTGGCATGCTGCGTTGTGGTTTTACTCATAGCTTTGACCCGGGATCTCTACTCCTGTGAGGATCAGGGCGAGGTGATCAGTATTTTACTGCATTACCCCAGTGACAAACTGATAGATTGCGTTGAGTTGATGAAGAATAGTGCCAGTCTTTACGAGCTCTATGTCACCCACCAGCATCAAGACATGAAGGCGTTGGGAGACAATTTGTGCAGGATACACAATCGACAGTGGTACGACAAACAGACACAGGTTGTCGACCAGAACAGACTCAGACTTGAAGAGAGGTTGAAACGGAGAGTAGGACAGCGGCTTAAGCGTTGATGTCTTACATATCGCCAGTTTTTCATTTAAGTAACAATGGTTTTATCTCATTATCGTTATATAAAGCATCATATAAAAGCATCAAGACAATTAGACGTGTCTAGCATTGATCCGCTGCCTTGATTTACATCAGCTTTTTGTGCTTATTTCTTTTGACCTTGGTTGGCAACAGCGGCGGCACCGGCAGCAGCGGCCTCAGGGTCCAAGTAGTAAGATGGCTTGGTTGGCTTCAAGTTCTGGTCCAACTCGAAAACCAATGGGATACCAGTTGGGATGTTCAACTTGGCAATGTCGGCGTCAGAGATGCCTTCCAAGTGCTTGACTAGACCTCTCAAAGAGTTACCGTGAGCAGCGATCATAACGGTCTTGCCCTCCAATAGCTCCTTGGAGATGGTGTCTTGCCAGTATGGCAAGAATCTGTCAATGACAAGGGCCAAAGACTCAGTGGCTGGCACGGTGCTTGGGTCCAAGTCGCTGTATCTCTCGTCACCCTTCTGGGAGAACTCGGAGTCGTCGGCGATCTTTGGAGGAGGAACGTCGAAGGATCTTCTCCAGGTGTTGAACTGCTCCTCACCGTACTCGGCCAAAGTGGCAGCCTTGTCCTTACCTTGTAGAGCACCGTAGTGTCTCTCGTTCAATCTCCAGGTTCTGACAGTTGGGATCCATAGTCTGTCAGCAGCGCTCAAGGCAATGTTGGCAGTCTGGATGGCTCTGGACAACTTAGAGGTGAACAAAACGTCTGGCTTGACGTTGTTTTCCTTTAGCAATTCACCAGCACGCTTGGCTTCCTTTTCACCAACAGCGGACAATCTAACGTCCACCCAACCGGTGAAAAGGTTCTTTTCGTTCCATTCGGATTGACCGTGTCTAACTAGAACTAGCTTTGGCATTATGATTGAATTTGTATAATTGGGTGATTGAAATTGAATTCGATAGAGATGTGAAAAGGACAAGTAGGAAAACTTATTCTACACAACTAATGAACTACTTCCTTCGTGTTATATAGTCTGCCACAGTTGACCAGAATTCATGGGCTACAAAAAGTCTGGTCATTTGGTCTCACCACTTAAGCTCGCGTCACCAGATGGGAGCGAAATAGTGTGAGTGCATGGCGGGATGAGCGAAGTTTGATGGGTGATGGGATCAGGTCTGTGGGAACGAGATGGCGGTTGACGTAAGAAGCTGTTGTGGGATTTTGCGAACGAAGAGGATCTGAGGAAGCTGGACGAAGCTAGAGGAAGTTGAGGAAGTCGAGGGAAGTTGCTATTGTGTCTGGGTGTAACGTGTGAGGGTGCAGGGGTGTAGGGTGACTGGGTTTTTAGATGACTGGGTGGAGTGGTGTACGGAGTGTGGGATGTACAAGGGTGTGAGGGTGTTACCATGCAATTTACATATTTTCGGGTGTCTGGGTGTCTAAATGACTGGGTGGAGTGGTGTACGGGATGTGGGATGTACGGGTGTTGATCTTTTCGGATTACTCCATTCCGAAGATGGTAAAGTTCTTTACACGTGAAGCATAATGCAGTTATCTCTGTTTGTAGAGCAGTAAAGGATTGTTAGCGGTACTAAACACTATTTTACGATCGCTGATCGTTCATAGGGACTCTCAAGATGTCGAAACTATATACACTTATTTTATATCACCCAATAAACTTGTGATGACCTTGCGTGTCGCATCGGTTTGAAAACAAAGACTGGAGGTTTATACTATAAACGACCAATTTCACAGCGAGACACCCGCTGCGCACTCAGGCCTTTAGATCGTTATCAAACTTGTTTGTCGTCGCAATCACTGTACACGAGTCAAGACATTTGAAGCTGTCGCTAGAGAGCTGTGACGGTGTGCTGAAAGCGGCGGTCTCTCAATATTCAGTAAAATGCATATGTGTGCACATACGTGCATATAGTAGCGTTGAGATTCACAATTGTATATAATTTCATAAGGCCGTACATAAAACGCCATATTTCTACTGTCCTATCACGCTCATTTCCATAATCGTCACATTTCACATCAAAGTTTGCTCAATAGCGAGTTGTAAGCATCGCCAACCCTGTCGTTGACATCTGTCGTTTGCATTGCCCGTCCATGTTTCTCAAATGCAAGACGTGAACATTCCCGCGTCACAGAGCTCCCCACGTAGCAGCTTAGAACCGCCAAGTCGAACCATTCAAGCTTCTCACTGGGTTCCCAGATTTTGAAATCGTAAGTTGCCCTACTGAAGGCCAGCATGGAGGCTATTATCCCCGTCAAAGTATCGCCTTGGCCGCCAACCCGTTTATTGGCGCCCTTGGCAGCGCATTTTAGGACAGACTGGTCGTACCAAATCTTGTCTTCCTGGCCCTTCTGCACCACAACACACTTCAACTTATCTGCAAGTTCTGCGCCGCTTTCGCAGCCAAAACGGTCTTTGATCCGTTTGAATTCCACAACATTGGGTGTTAGTACAAGCCGTCCCGGTTTGAAAGCACGTAGGATTTTGCAGACTTTTTCAGAGTAGCTCTCGTCTGAGATCAAAAACAGACCGTCAGCGTCCAATATCACAGGAGTCTCGCCCTTGTGCTTGTTGGCTAGATATTCGAGCACATCGACAATGGAGTCCAACATAGCCCGGTCTCGGCCAAGACCGGGTCCCACCACACACACGTGCATCCGGTCCAGCAAACCTTGGATTTTATCCATGGGCGCTGTGCCAGCGCCCGATTCTCGCAAATACGGATGTACCATCAAGTTTGGCGTGTACGATTTAATCACAGTTGCTGCGTTTAGCTCGCACATAACGTGGGTCAAATCTGCGCCAAACAGCGCTGCTGAATGTGCACTGAAGTACGGAGCGCCGGTGTAGTCTTCACACCCGCCAATGATGCACACCCGGCCGCATTGGCCTTTGTGGAACTCCGGCAAAAGCGGTGGAATGGCAGCTTTGGTCGCAAGACGCAACAATTCCTTGTGCGATAGTCGAGACAGCATATTTCCGGCCTATTATACAACCTTAAAAACTTACAGATATAGGTATAGATATAGATATATATATATATGTATACAATCAGCGGATTTTGACGGTCTCAAGGCAATCTCAAACAGTAGTAAGAACTGTAGCTGAAGTTAGCCCACAAGCTGGTTTTCTTACTTTGTCGGGTTTAACTGCGAACGACAGCGTAAACGTTTGCGATTCCTAATTTTTCAGAGATACTAATAGTAAACTACAGCAATTTAACCTGATGTCAGTTATAAAAGTTCCAATTACACACTCGTGAAACAAACAAGTGCTAACCAGCTCTCCAAAGGCGAGTTCTCCAAAAGTAAAATATTCATTGGCAAGCTACGTTTTCAAGGTATTTTTTAAAATTGTTTTGATGTTTTTAGCATTTCTACTTGTTGAGATAATATTACGAAACCAAATAGCGTATTTGATGTCATCTTTCAAATATGAAGAACTATGGGTCGAGACATTCAAATCTGAGCTAAAATTCATGGCGAATTTGAAGCTGCTATTTGTAAGCAGGCTTCCTGAGAATTGATCGGCGTTATTGGCATGTCGTCCAAGAGTCTTCCAAATAGTGACGTCGCAGACACTTCACACATGATCGTCAGTCCTTCTCGTCCAATGAGAAACAGCTGTGACGGATGATGTGATGCCACGATGATAAGCAGAGCAACTAGGGCCGAAAAATGTCGTAAGAGCCATAAACTAAGACTGGAACTGGCCTGCATGTGACCCGGGACACTGATATATATATAAGCAGTGGCTTTTTACCAGACTGTAAAGGTATCAGTAAGACTTGGCTCTGTTCTTGTAATGTATTCCGGTTTGTCGACTAATCTAGTTCCAACACTAACCAGAATAAACCATCAAGCAATGCTTACCAGAGTTCTAAGACACAGGGCCACTTTGCCTTTGGCAATTGGGTCAGTGGCAGCTGTCGCTGCCTTTTACAACTTGAGCACCGTGAAGAACGAACCTTTGAATACTTTCAACGGTGACGGAAGTTGGATTGAGCTTCCTATCAGCAAGATCGAAAAGGTCTCTCACGACACCCGTCGCTACACGTTCAACCTTCCTGAAGCTGACCAGACCACCGGGCTAATCACAGCTTCTGCGTTGTTGGCCAAGCTGGAAACCGCTAAAGGTAACAGTGTCATCAGACCTTACACTCCAGTAAGCGACGTCAGCACCAAGGGCCACTTCGAATTGGTCATTAAACACTACGACGGTGGTAAGTTCACAGAGCTTTTGTACGCCAAAAAACCACAAGACACTGTTGCGTTCAAGGGCCCCATCAAAAAATGGGAATGGAAACCAAACTCTTTCAAAAACATCACCTTGTTGGGAGCCGGCTCTGGTATCACTCCGCTATACCAATTGGTGCACCACATCTCGCAGAACCCAGAGGACAAGACTAAGATCAACTTGCTGTACGGTAACAAGACCCCAGACGACATTTTGCTAAAGAAGGAATTGGACGAAATCGTGGCCAAGTACCCAGAACAAGTCAAGATCCACTACTTCGTTGACAAGGCAGACGGCGGTTTCGAGGGTAACACCGGGTTCATCACTCGTGAATACTTGGAAAAGAATGTTCCTGGCCCAGCTGACGACCACCAGGTCTTCTTGTGCGGCCCTCCACCTTTCATGAAGGCTTATTCGGGACCTAAGACTTCCCCTCAGGATCAGGGTGAATTGGTCGGCATTCTCAAGGATTTGGGACACACCAAAGAACGTGTCTTCAAGTTCTAAACTGGAGAAAAATATGACGAAGCCATGATATATGATACGATATATATTCTTAGATAGCCCTCCTTGCCCAAATGAGCACTGTTGTTATTCAAAACCCTTCAATTCGTATTCTTCCCACTTCACATCGTCGAGGGACCCGCGTGCTTCTCGCAGTTTGTCAAAGTTGATATCTTCAAGCCTCTCCGTGCAAGGATTACTAGCCAAAAACTCCCTGTTTGCCACGAATTCTGGGTTTGCAAAGATTTTCAACGGACCATCGTCGAAGGTCGGGTGAGCAGGGTCCACGCTTAACGTTATGAATTCCAAATGCTTGCGGTTGCGTCCACACTTATCCAGGGCTAAGAATTTGGTTGCCGTTTTCGTTGGCGCCGGTTTTTGTGTGTCGAAGTCCAAATCTAAGTCAATCTCATCGGGATTTGGCTCCTCCAGACCTCTCTTGTTGCTGACAACTTCTGCTTCGAACCTGACGTGAAGGTGAGCGCTCAACCACCATGTGGGCATCAATTTTCTCAAAAGCTGCCAGCTCACAGGACTTCCAAGATTATTTCTTCTGATGTCTTCTTTGAAAAACGGTTTTAGTTTTAAAAGCCTTTTAGTATCCCCATGTTGTACAACTCCATTAGGCCAGTCATGACTGAGCATTACGTCTGTGTGCTCTAACATGAACAGTGGTAAAACGTCCGATTTGCGTACATGGTAGAGGTTGCGCACGTATTTCCCCCATCCTTCAGATTCTATATTTGAAAGTGAGGGTCGAGCAGCATTGAAGTCATGGCGCTTATAAATGCCGCTCAGTCCGCTAATCTCGATGCCCTTGATCACTATTGATCCACTGTAGCCCATATAGTAGAAGTTTTTGGCAACGAACCCTCCAAAAGGCAGTTCAGCCAATCCTCGCATGCATTCATGATTTCCGCCAATGAATATGGTAGGCAAGGGAGCTACAAGCTCCCCAGTGTAGTATTTGTAAAAATCGCCCATCTTCTTGTACTTTTCAGGAACCGCAATTGATTCCAAGTCTTGTTCGTCTCTCATTGACTGAAAATCGCCCAAAATGATGAGCAAATCTGGTAACTTGGTCTTGCAGCGACCTTCAATGGCCTTATAGATAGTGCTGAGTTCGCCGTGAGCACATCCTTGAACAGCGATGCTGAGCGACTGGGACATTAACGTAGTTCAGTGCGGTCCATTAGGCTGTTAAATAATGCTAAAATGGAATTAGAATATAATAATGAGTATAGAATAAATAAGTTGCATGTAGTAGTATACTATGATGGTGTAAATAGTTCAGCTGTGGACTATTTGGTCAGTGTGTGTATATTCTTTGATCCACTCGACCTTTCGCTCTGAATAAAGCCTCTTAGTAGGCTCTCACAGTTGGTGGGACAGACGGACATTCATTTTCGTCCAAAGTTGTGCTTATGACGTTTCTGTAACCCAATTCCACATTTCCTTGAGGGTCCTTTTGCCACGACAAAGAATGCTTCATCCAGTTTTCGTCGTCTCTGTCTGGGTAGTCTTCTCTAGAGTGAGCACCACGCGATTCCTTTCTGTTGGAGGCAGAAACAGCAGTTTGAACGGCATTGGTCAACAAGTTCTGTAGTTCCAAAGTTTCTACCATGTCGGAGTTCCAGATCACAGATCTGTCGCTTGTGCCGACATCGGCGAAAGACTTGTCAATGGCAGTGATATTTTTGACACCTTCATCTAGAGACTCTTGAGTTCTGAACACGGAAACATCAGCTTGCATGGCCTTTTGCATAGCCAATCTGATTTCTGAAGTTGGCTTGGAGCCGGAAGCGTTTCTGATTTGGTCCAAGTTGGCAATGGAATCTTTACCAAGATCAGCAGGAACAGGTTTGTGAGGTAGACCGGGTTGTAGAGAGTCGGCGACGGAGTGAGCAACGGCACGACCGAAAACGACTAAATCCAACAACGAGTTGGCACCTAGTCTGTTGGCACCGTGAACGGAAACACAAGCTGCTTCACCACATGCCATCAAACCTGGAATGACCTTATCATTACCTTCCTCATCAACAGTCAAGGCCTCACCGGACCATTTGGTAGGAATACCACCCATGTTGTAGTGAACGGTTGGTAGAATTGGAATTGGCTCCTTTGTAACATCGACACCTGCAAAAATGGCAGCGGTTTCGGAAATACCTGGCAATCTTTCTTTCAACACACTGGCTGGAAGATGGCTCAATTGCAAGAACATATGGTCCTTTTCTGGACCGACACCTCTGCCTTCACGGATTTCCATAGTGATAGAACGAGAGACAACATCTCTACAGGCCAAATCCTTGGCTGTTGGAGCGTAACGTTCCATAAATCTTTCACCTTCGGAGTTGACCAAGAAACCACCTTCACCACGAGCACCTTCAGTGATCAAACAACCGGAACCGTAGATACCGGATGGGTGGAATTGGATAAATTCCAAGTCCTGCAATGGAAAGCCGGCTCTAGACACCATGGCATTACCGTCACCGGTACAGGTGTGAGCTGAAGTACAGGAGAAGTAAGTACGACCATAGCCACCAGTTGCTATGACAGTCTTGTGGGCTCTGAATCTATGGATGGTACCGTCTTCTTGGTTGTAGGCAATGACACCAACGACTTCACCGTTGTGGACCAGCAAGTCCATGGCGAAGTATTCGATAAAGAAATGCGTGTTGTGCTTCAAAGCCTGACCGTAAAGGGTGTGAAGAAGCGCATGACCGGTACGGTCGGCCACAGCACATGTTCTGTATGCCTGACCACCTTTCCCGTTTTCCTTGGTTTGTCCACCGAATGCACGTTGGTAAATACGGCCTTCTTCGGTTCTGGAGAAGGGCACACCAAAATGCTCCAGCTCGATGATAGAGTCTGAGGCTTCACGGGTCATGTAGTGGATCGAATCCTGGTCTCCCAGCCAATCGGACCCCTTGACGGTGTCGTACATGTGCCATTTCCAGTCGTCCTTGTGCATGTTGCCCAGAGCGGCGTTGATACCACCTTGAGCTGCAACCGTATGCGATCTGGTAGGGAAAAGCTTTGAGATACACGCAGTCTTGTAACCGGCTTCTGCCAGTCCGAAAGCTGCTCTCAAACCGGCACCTCCGGCACCCACCACCACACAGTCGTATTCGTGGTCCACAACCTGGTATTTCCCGCCAAAAGACGCACCAGCATCAGATCCATCCACATGTTGCGACGTGCCCACAGCACGTAGCGCTCGACTGGTGCTGTTAAACAGTCTTCTGGTTGTTACTGCCCTCAAGTTTTTCAATGACAGCATCTTTTCTACTATGGTATTATCTTCTTTTTTTTGCCCTTTCCTTGTCTAAACTCGGCACACTGTATTACTTAAAATTCACAGCACAGTGAGTGAAAAATAAGCTTACAGAGATGATTAATAACGGAAGGTTTCCAGCACTATTTTCCAAGTGTTAATGTCCGAGATGAATAAGATAGATGCTACCACAAAATTGGCGGCGCGTTTTTCCAATATTATCTTGATCAACCTAACAATCCAAAAATGCTGATGTTGAAGACTTCTGTCAAAAACAAGTCTCTCGATTTCAATAATTAGCAGCTAGCTACCCGCTCTTGAAAACTTTCTATAGCGCCAAACTTGTACAAAGCGTCGTCCTGTACACTTGCAACTTTCACCCTGTAGAATAAGTCTTCGAAGTGAGTTGAGTCGATAAGAAACAAGGTTTTGACTTATTTCTTCCACCGCTTCTTTTATATATATATATATGTGAAAAACGAATTAAGTTCCTCTGTGAAATGAAAATGCCGAGTTTCCTCGTGACAAACCCGATCTGTTCCGAGAAGAGCGGTCATGGAATAAGGGTAAAATGATTTGGGGAGGTGTCTGGGTGTCCCCACAAGAAGAAAAGCGGACGCGACACGGAAAAGGGTTCGCATGTGTCATTCACGTGATGTAACGTGTACTTTCGTGTGGTGTGCTTTCGGACCGCAGGGATCCGATGTGTGTCAACACCCATGCCTCAAAATGGGGTAAAAACCCACACACCCACATCGGGATCTTTGACAGAATCTCTCCGATGTTTAAGATTAAATGCAGGTCCCGGAGCTATAAATATGCGTAGATATGTATCATTCATCAGTTGAATTTATTCCATTGCATGCAGGGAAGATATGTTGAAGAAGAGATTCTCGTGCAACCGTAAACTTTACGTGAGGTCAAGGTAACCATCGATCTGCAGCACTTCTCTTTTCGATGCTAAGGTTTCGCAACACTCTCCTCATAGGTTTCGTGGTGAGTGACTATAAATCTGACGATTGAGCATTTTTTTCCTCCGCGTTTGTCTCGACAGTATTCCTTTCACGGATAGGTACTAATGTACTTCGAATATACGACATTGCTTCTCCTTTCTTCCTGCACACCCCGCGGGATAGCTATTCACATCAATATTCATTTTATACACCGCTTCTCTCTGATCACGTGCTTTCGTGCTTTCGATTTTTTTAGGCAGGTATGTTGACCTGACACTTAACAGCGTCAGTTTCCATTTCAAATTTACTGCAGACTCATTGAACACTTGAAGCACACTATTACTGGCGTACGTAACGCGATTGCAAGCAGCTGTAGAAACCAGGGCAACATCTGGCAATTTGGTCGCCTGAGTACAAATAATCTTTCATATATTGAAAGTTTCATCGAATCTTCAAAACAACTAGTATAATAGCGTGTATGTCTAACTTACGAGCGCAATCTCGACACTTGCCAGAAGTAGTTCAGTTTTTTCTTTACTTTGCCTTGTTCAAAGCAGCTAGAAATTGATAAATCTGTTTCCCCCGATTTAAAGTTCATAGCCAGGACGTAACAGATATTATCAAAACCCACGGCTGAACTGAACGTTCGATGGTCTAGCTGCACCTTTATATCCAAGCTTTTCGCTTGATCAAAGAACTTCTCAAGCCCATTCTACTATACAAAACACTGTAAAGATCAAACGTCGTTGTTAAACCGCTGCAGCGACAAAGATGATTTTGCAATTAATGTCGCTTCGGCTGACACTGGCAGGTAACCTCGTCCAAAGAAAGACAACACCTCTTATGCACCGATAGTACATTTAAATATAAGCAGTCCCCCTATCGACGTGTCTCGCCTAAATCAAACGAATAGCAACTTATCAAGCAAATACTCTCAGTCGATTACCTGTCTTTTTAACACCGACGATAATGAGCGGCTTGAGGATGTTCATGCTTTGTGTTTTGCAGATAGGGTGGATGGAATTAGCCAGTACAGGTAATTGCGAGAGGTGACTCGGTTTCATGGGGTCAAGGAGTTATTCTGTGCTTGATACTAGCAGTGCTACATGATAATTCGAGCTCGTGCTGAAATGCGTAAAGCAATTCACTTCTACTAAATAGAAGAATCCTTTGCTCTGTCGTCTATTACCCCTCGCAAATGCCGAAAGAAGATCACGGCAACATCTTTCTTTGGCACCGGTAGTTTCCAGCGGCTCAATCTGAGCCATTCCTAAAACTCCAAAAAAGTCCGGCAATGCCACTGTCAAATGTGCGTCTTTTGCCGAAGAAGTCGTATTATTCACGGTCCTCGACTTTATCAATAAGTGGAAAGACAAAAGACTCCCTTTCCAAACATTGGCTAGTTGTTCATGGAGTTGGTCTTACGCAGTCAAGAGTTTGAAAAAAAGCAGAATTGGGCTTTCAATGCTCAAGCAGAAAGTGGGTGTCTTGACAAAGACCATTGAGCCCTTGTATGAAAGAATGACCGAAACTCCCCTCGAGATGGGTCCACATTTGGACAGAAGATAAGCTATCATCATCACAGGGTTCAATTTGTGATCGTTCGCAAGCAACTATCAGGGGTCAAGTTCCTAATGACTTGTGCCAGAGCAAGCTTTTCCTTCTATCAAAACATATGACTTTTCAGCAGTTGCTCTTCAAGGTCCAACGATCTGCCCTCTTTTAACAATGTATTGAATGAAATTCTCAGAAAACTTCAACAACGAGTAGTTCTCTCCGAGCTTTCTGCGTTGGCGTGCATCATTTTTTGAGGGAGATAGTCTTGTATATATTCATATCCAGCCTTCAGAGTAAAGCCTGGAGTGTAGTATAAATCATCACTACAACCCCGAACACCGTTATTGCACCATCTGCAATGAGAGACATCTTTGATGCACCACCATTGGCAAAACTCTTGTAATGCAGCATAGGCGGATAGATGTAAATCAAAGGAACACAAGCGAAGCTCCCCACAATTGATACAAATTTGTCAAGGTTGTTGGCTCCTACCCAAGCGATCAGCATGTTAGCCGAGAGGATGACCAGACGAAAATAATTCTTTAGCCACTTCACGCGCGGGTTGTGCTTTCCAGAAGCATGCTTTGGGAAGATTGTGGTCTCCAAAATTCTTATCGTTGGAAATAATTGAAGCGGTGTCGACAACATAATCGCCAAAGCGTAGAGAAGCTGAACAGCAGCTGTCATTGATGAATCGCGAGGAAAATTTAGTAATATAACAGTTTCCACCTTGTCTCCGAAAGCAGCATAAGATTCCAACCCACAGGAAACAAGTGCCACGGCCACAAATATCATGACACCCAAGAGGCACTTATTGAATTGCTCGGGTCGCTTCATAGATTCCTGGATGGGTATTAAGAGCCCAATGCCTTCGTAGGTGAAGATAGCTGTTCCGATGAAAAGAGTCCAATTGTCCTTATTGAATACTAGCATAGAATCCGATGCTATACCGTGTCTAGCCACATACTGTCCAGAATAATAATACACGTACACCATCCCGAATAAAATGAACAAGTCGGCCAGCAAAGCTGTACCACTCAATGTGGCAATATTTCTGGTCAAAGATAAAGGAAGATAGAAGAAAAATTGGACAAGAAGCCAGAACGGCATCGAGTACTCTTTTTGAAACACGTTCGCGAAAAATGCCTGCAGGTTGGTAGCGGTGAAAACGGCGTAAGCGGCCACGAACCCGATTTGCGACAGAACGATAGAGACCAAAATTGCGATTTCCATCGAGGGACCAAATGTGGTGCGTCCCAGGTCACCATAACCGCTCACTTTTTGCTTGTCCTTTGCGTTGATCAATAGAAGGAAGCAATAGTAAGATAATGCGCCGCACACAAGCAGTGAAATGCTAGAAAATGCCCACCCACCGTTGTGAAAGGCCCTAGGTAAAAAAAGAACTCCTGTTCCCACAAATGCTTTTAAAAGTAATAGAACAGCTTTGAAAGTGGACGACTTGTTTGACTCACGACGAGCGGCGCGCAAAACTGCACGTCTCTTAGCGGAGCTGGTTCCCACAAGAGCCGTTTCTTCGTCTTCTACTTGGTCTCGTTCATGATCTGAGTCTTCGTCTTCATCCTCACTTAGATCAAGACCGGCAAAATGGCCGTAAAGCGTTAAAAACTCGTAGAAATTGCGAGCAGCAAAAATGGGCACGCCGCCGTTTTCTTGAAGGCTCTTTTGGACCAAAAAGCTTCTTCTGAAGCCTTGGGGTGCTCTGATCTGATCCGCTGACATTTCTGTGTTCGGTACAGACCCATGAGAGATGACACTGCCGGAAAAACTAACAGACCGTCTGTGTCTGGGCATTTCCACACGCCCAGATTGCGCATCTGACAGCACTTCTTGAGTTTGATCTTGCCAGCGATACAGATCTCTAGCGATATCACCACCTTGCATTTGTAGTGGATTGAACGAATCTGGTCCGCTACCATCAGATGGCTTTGCCAAGTGCCGAGCCACAGCGTCTGCAGCTTGTCTATCTGGAGAAGCTGCCATGTTGGATATAACACCAGAGGGACGACGACTATCTGCCACCGAGCTTAAGGGCTCATCTGAGATTGAGTTATTGTTTGTTCGAAGGTTGACAGGCATTTACAGATGGTTTTGGCTATCTGATGGGATATACTCTGCGGAACACGATGGCTTCAATAGCCTTTTACTTTATATAGTGGTCGGGCAGAATAATTAATTATGTCAGAAGAGAGCAAGGTAATGGCTAGGTAGTGAATAACGATGGGCCTGAACAGGCCAACACCTATGCAATTAGCTGCGGAATTGGATTTCAGATTGATAGAGAAGCCGCGCTGCTCGAACAAATGTGCAGTTCAAATATATCAAGGGCTTTTTGATGGTTCTGATCGATGTCATGTTAAAGACATTGATGAATAATAAAAATGCCATGCGATGATGCAAGATTTCATATATATAGTTATTCAATCTTTGGGACTGGTTTCGGGGTACTGAAAGGCCTGATGATTGGAGTTAGAAATCTCGTAGGTATTTTGCTTGCACCGAAAAAACTCTATTTGTAAGTTAACGACCTCAACGAGGTAGTTTTTCATTTCTGAGATTGTCGCTGTAATGCTCATTTTCAAAGAAAAACGATTATAACTAAAGCTTTGTTGATGAACATCTCGCTGTACATTGGGTTGCAATGTGTGGTATAGTGTTACTGCGTCTTTCTCATATCACTTCTTCACATCTTGTCATCTGGCGCTCGTTTTCTGCACGTGCGTGGTCTTCTTCACAGTCTTTAGAGAGCGCCATAGTCAAGTGTAAACGTTTTCTCAATTTCTTTGCTTTCTGTAAGCAAAAGGAGGAGCGACTTGTCCGGCAAAGCCTGTGTAAGCTTTCATCCAAACAGTTTATCCAGTAGTCGTGGTGCTGTATGAGAAACTTTGATACTTTTTCCTGTAGTGCAGCTATCTTGCATTCTCGCTTTCAGATCATCTTGTACTATTTTGTCACGGTTTTAGAAACCTCTTCCATAAGAGTGTTCCGAACCCACGACGTCGACAAAGTCGAATATTAAGTTCAAAACTAGCTGCGAATCGCATCCATGACCTTTTAAATTTAATCATCTCTTCACTGATACATCACGAAAATGGATTAATCTTTATATTACGTTGATTATCTATCAAACAATATTAGCATGGCACTTGATATTCAAGAATCGAGTATTCTACAAAATTAAGGTCACAATGGTGGTGAAACCCATAGTAATTCAAGTCCAAAGATCATAGGAGTTATTTTTCAAGTAACTAATGTTTTCAAAATTTCTATATTTTTTCCTTCTTCCTTTGTCTGGCGCAACTCAAAATTCAAACAAACGCAGTTCAAAAAAGCTTTTGAATATTTGAATTTTTGTTCATAAGCAGAGTAGCTTATGCAATTGATTCTCGCTTCTCTTTGCACTGCATCGCTTTGCTTCGGATTCGTTCTGTAAGAACTATGAACCTTTTCTATCATTGGTCACGTGTTGTCTCGCTCAAGCAGGCGTTTTTTGCATAGATTATTACTTGAGCTCTGAATTTAAGGAACTCTTTATACCTTTGCCACCCGACGAACTCAAGCCAACGAGCTACAATGGCACCTAAAGAAGACTGGGAAAAGTACAAGACGCCCGCCGAGGACGAAACAACAGAAGAAAAGCCAAATGTGCCACTTTCGGAGGGAGATATCCAAGTTTTGAAGACTTACGTATGTGAAGAGATGTGGTTGAGTTTGAGAGAAGAAACGAGCTGAAGGGGTGTTTGCGACGGCTAGGATGGCTCGATGGATCTACTTTTGTTGCTGGTCTTTCAAATGGCACTAGAAAAGTGTAGAACTGCGGCTTTCGTGGTGATTGCAGCTTTCTTAACGCTTTCGAAAGTTGATCCGTAGGTCACTGTCACAATTCATTCTGTCCGCTCTTTCTTTCTGATAATACACAATTTTACTAACAGTTCATGCAGGGCGCTGCACCATATGCGGACAAACTCAAGGCTACCGAAAAAGACCTTAAAGATATAGAAGCTAGAATCAAGGAAAAAGCCGGTGTCAAAGAAAGTGACACTGGTCTTGCCCCATCACATCTGTGGGATATCATGGGTGACAGACAAAGGCTCAGCGAGGAACACCCCTTGCAAGTGGCCAGGTGCACAAAGATTATAAAGCCCGAGGCTTCGGAGGAAAATACAGGCGAGGAAGACGAAGAGGACTCGAAATACATTATCAATCTAAAACAGATTGCCAAATTCGTGGTGGGTTTGGGAGAGCGTGTCTCTCCCACGGATATCGAGGAAGGTATGCGTGTGGGTGTAGACCGCTCAAAATATCATATCGAGCTGCCTTTGCCACCTCGTATCGATCCGTCGGTTACCATGATGACCGTCGAGGAGAAGCCTGATGTCACCTACAGCGACGTTGGAGGATGCAAAGAGCAGATTGACAAACTACGTGAAGTTGTGGAGCTGCCGCTTTTATCGCCGGAAAGATTCGCCACATTGGGTATCGACCCACCAAAGGGTATTCTTCTTTATGGGCCTCCTGGTACTGGTAAGACGCTCTGTGCCCGTGCTGTTGCGAACAGAACAGACGCCACTTTTATCAGAGTTATAGGATCTGAATTGGTTCAGAAATATGTCGGTGAAGGTGCACGTATGGTCAGAGAGCTGTTTGAAATGGCGAGGACAAGAAAGGCCTGTATTATCTTTTTCGACGAAATTGACGCTATAGGTGGTGCTCGTTTTGACGACGGTGCCGGTGGTGACAACGAAGTGCAGAGAACTATGTTGGAGCTTATTACACAATTGGACGGTTTTGATCCTCGTGGTAACATCAAAGTGATGTTCGCAACCAACAGACCAAACACATTAGACCCAGCCCTTCTCAGACCTGGTAGAATTGACCGTAAAGTCGAGTTTTCTTTACCAGACCTTGAAGGTCGTGCCAACATTTTCAGAATCCACTCCAAGTCGATGAGCGTTGAGCGTGGCATAAGATGGGAGCTGATCTCGAGGCTATGTCCCAACTCCACAGGTGCAGAACTGAGGTCTGTATGTACAGAGGCGGGTATGTTCGCCATTAGGGCAAGAAGAAAGGTAGCGACGGAAAAGGACTTCTTGCAGGCGGTCGAAAAAGTGATCAACGGCTACAAAAAGTTCAGTTCCACCTCTAGATACATGCAATATAATTGAGATCGTGTTTACAAAAACAACATCAAAGGTGCATAAAGCAAGTTAATGAGAAACACTTCCGTTTATTTGATTGACTTTGATCGAGCTATCTTTTCTCTTTATTAAGCTCATATGTACATATATTACAGTGGATGCATGATTTATCTCATGGACCAACCTCGCCTGGCGTTTATTCCCACCAGCCTACGAGGCCCATTCCATCAGTTTGGCAAGACCCCAGGAGCGCGTATGCGGGAGGTTTTTCTACTTTTGGCTTTTTGTTCTCCTCTGCACCGTCTTCAATTTGTTCGTTTTGTTCCTCAGCCTCTCTCTCCTTCGGTGACTTGGGCTTGACATCCACGAAAATCTCTTGCTCCACGCGGAATCTAATCTTCTCGTTGACATCAAAGTACAATTTCGTTTCTTCGTCCATGGGCCAAACCCAGGCGCTGTCGTCCGGCGAGAAATAGCACCCTTCGAATAGCATTTTGTGGGGGATGAAGATGTCGTCAAAAATTCCAAGAAGCGAAACCTTTATACCTTCTACTGTGCACTGGGAAATCCAGCCCGTAATGATCTCGCCCACGAAGGGTTTAAACACTAGTGCTCTGAAAGTTGTATTGATGAAAGCAGCTCCGTCTCCGGGCTTCAACTGGCCCTCTTCGACGGCCAGCAAGTCATAGATTGTAACACAGAGTCCCACATGAGGTATTACCTTATTTGCGAACTTGTTGTTTAACTGGTGGAAGATTGCTGCCTTAGGGTGTCGGTGGAATTGATCTGGTGGGACCCTGACCAAATCAGAGATTTTGGTCAAGATGAACATGGCAGAAAAGGCTTGAAGCAGAAAAGAATTCAAGCCTGTATTCACTAGCTAATTGAGCAGAAAAATGCTTAGTTATTCGCTCTTTTGATCCGGCTTTGACGGCAGTATAACTCTTATTACGCGAGTTTAAGAATTGAAAATTTTCGAGATGAGCCTTAACTATTAGAGATTATGTAATCACTCTTCTGTAGTAGCGCGATGTAGTTCGAAGAAGGTCAGTAATCGAAATTTTGAGAGTTCCAAGAGTAGATTCGAGAATTTCGAAGCATGCAATTGAAGAATAACAAAACCACGAGGCCATTGCTTATTTGATCTATCAAGCTGAACATCTTCCAGCTCGATTTCTATGTCATTACCATTTAAATTGCAGTTACTTATATCTAGTGATTGAAATTTGAAAAAAATAATCTGAGATGCGATGAGCTCAACCAGAAATCTTCGTAAAGAGCTTTTTACGGATACTTCGGCAACTTTTGAGCCTCTAGTAAACACAGCTTTGAATTTCTGTGATTTGGGGGATCTGAAATATGTCATTAAAGCCCGGGTTTGACCGCAAAACGGCCAAGAAATTTGCCGTAGTACATAGACCGCACGATGACCCGCGATTTCACGATACGGAGGCATCAGAGCATGTTTTGGTGCCAGTAGAGGATCGTAAATCGCGTAATAAAAACTCTACCGGTGCTAAATCACCTTTTTCTCAGGGATCGAGACAACAGAGAAGCGATTTGAAGAAAGCGCCTGCTCATGACCATGTCGGCGAAGCGACGCTCTACGGTATTGAATTCGACGACTCGAAATATGACTACACACAGCATCTTAGACCGGTCGGAATGGATCCGCAAAATGCGGTGCTTATCTCTGCCAAGTCTACAACGCAATCAAAACCGCGTGAGGCAAAGGTCGAAGACCTATTCGCCGGGCTTGAGATTCACGACAGCAAGGACAAGAAAAACGATTCCATGTTTGAACGTGGCGGTATCGCCAAACGCGAATATCTCAAACACCAGCAAGATGTGGATGAGGAGCTACGCGGTTTTAGACCAGACCTCAATCCCGCACTCAGGGAAGTGCTCGAGGCGCTGGAAGATGAGGCATACGTGGTGAACAAAGATGTTGTGGTTAAGAAATCGAAGGCACAGGCAGAGGCAGAAGAAGAAACCGGTGACAACGACGACGATGATCTATTCGAACAACTTCTGCTTGGCGGGGAAGTTGAAGACGCGGAAGATTTCGATCAAGAATTTGACGAATGGGATGTGGACAATATACAGGACTACGAGGAGACACATTACCGGGATGAGCTGCAGCAGCTTGAGAACATTGAGAACTTTGAGGATCTGCAGAATATCGACTATCAAGCGGACGTGACGAGATTCAAAAAGCAGCAATCGCGCAAAAATCGTGAAGGTACCCTCGATGTCGACGGTGACGATTTGGATTCCTTGAACGATTTCGGCAGAGGCTCGGACGATGGCAGCTTGGCACCTCTGCAAGATGGCGAAGAACAAGACACGTTGGAAGATCTCCCGCAAATCGGTAACAAAAAGAAAGCCTCCAAGAGCAAAGGCAAAGCCCGCCGGCAAAAGGGTGCCATGTCGGACGTTTCCGGTTTTTCTATGAGCTCCAGTGCAATTACTCGGTCCGAGGCACTCACTGTGCTTGACGACCGCCACGACCAGATCATCGCGGGATACGAAAACTACCAAGAAGACCAAGATGAGGATGAGGACAACTACCAGCCCTTCGACATGGCTAACGAGCGTGCAGATTTCGAGTCTATGCTTGACGACTTTCTCGATAACTACGAGCTCGAGTCTGGTGGCAGAAAACTCGTCAAAAAAAATCATGAAGCTGCCAAATTTCAGGAAGCTGCTGATCAGGTCAGCAAAGGTAAATTATCGCAAAGAAGAAACAAAACTCGACAAGGCAAAAATGGTATCGACTCCATAACTGGCAACTTGAATAGCTTGAGATTTTGATGTATTTCGTTCTACTGACGCTGTCATCTCTTATGAAATACGCGGTCACATGACCTTTTTTCTTTGATTCGAAATGTTTTTCGACCACACCGTTCGTCAAATGTAACCATAATATGATCAAAGTATATATATAATTTGTAGGGGTTTATAAAAGACAACGCACCAGTTAGGTTTTTGAACATTTCTTGAACACAACTCGTCAAAGTTATCAAATCTGCTTTTACTTATAATAGGAGCGACTTTGGTAAGGAACTGATATTCTCAGCTTAATTTGCGTATCGAGTTTGTTATATAAGTGAATTTTCGAGATGTCTGACGAACTAAGCAAACTTAAGACCCAGGTTGAAGAATTGCAACAGTTGGTCAAAAAACAGAACTTGTTGATCAGCAAGACAGGACAGTCTGTGCTGGAGCTTCAGGTGGCAAAACAGAAAAGTGACGTAGAAGACTTTGATTCTCAATACACCGGGTTCAACAAAAAGGGTAAATCGGGATCGTCTGCGGTTCATGACGACACCACCGACTTTGCTACAAACGAAGATTTGGTGCAGCTAGTGGGTGAACTGCAGGGGCAACTAGAATCCATCGAGGAAAGGTCGATCAGAAGACTGGTCAACTCTACCAAGGTAGAGAAGAAGGACTATCTAGCGCCACTGCCCAACTCTGACGGTGAGACCCCAAAGACTACCGAAGGCTTCTTCCCAAGATCTCTAGGCGATTTCGAAAACGTCTCAGATGTGGATTTGTTTAGACTGGCCAAGTTTTACGAGCTTCTCGCGCCAAGTTTGAAGGAACAGGAAAAATTCGACGACTACTTGGAGGGCAAGCTCGACAACTTTCACATTGGTGATTTGCCTGAAGCTGACATCAAAAAAGAGCTTGAAAGTTTTTCGCCAGACCAGTTGGTGGAAACTTTCAACGATGTTGCCAGATTCCTAGGTGTGAGATCCAGAAGAGGAACTGACATTTGGTAAGGCGCTAGGCAGACATTGAATGCCATCACTAGGCTCCACAAAATGGAACCTTTCTAGAAATGAAATATTACTTTTATCTTAGTTGATTAATGCTATATCTAGTAAAACAAATTCACTTCTTTACTCTCTTGTCGCCGCGCTCAAAACGCCCTTCCGGTTGGCGCTTAAAATTTGCAGGGGATGGCAATGAATTCTGTGCGTCTGGAAACAACTCCTGTAGTTGATCTTTTACTAGACGCTTCCAGTCAAATCTCTTTCTAATGAACTTGTCCAATGACCAGTTTTTCCACGCTTGCCTTCCGTACACGCTATTCTTTACTTTTTCGGACTCTCCTGTTAGACTGGTGGCTATTCTTTCCTTGTACATGGGTAGCTGAGCTGTAAACTCCCAAAGCTTATCGACGAGATGAGAGCCATAAGCGTTGCAAGACAGATTAATGACATCTGTGCAAAAAACATTCAGCAAACGCTTCCTTTGTATTTTGTCGACACGTTTCACTTGAAGTACATGCTCCACAACATGCGAAAAAACACCGTGGTAACACATTTGGAGTAGTGTTTGTTCCGGAAGCGCCAGCAAACTTTCAATAGTGGCTTCGAGAAATTTATCGTCGTAATCTATCAATTTTTCAAGAAACAAAGACCTCCGTCTCTCTTCGGCAGTAGGCCAGTCGTCTCTTGTATTGCCTAATGTTGAAGAGCTCAATAGAAGGCAGCTTTCGAGGATATTTTTGTCTTCGGACTCCTCAGGATAGTACTTTTTCAGCAGCTGTGTGACGATCGTTTCTTTCATGTAATTGTCTTGCTGAGTACTGGCATCTATCACACCATTGCAAAGATCCATGTTAGAATTGACGATCACACTCAGTTCTGGCACAATTTCATTAAGGATTGACTTCACATCCGAAGAGCGCAAATGTTTTAGTAGAGCCTGGACAACAAAAGCACCCGTCAATTCTCTTTTACTCAGTTTCAAAATACGGTCTTTCATGTACATCTTGTAAAGTCGCTCTGTGTACTTGACACGAGTGAAAGAGATCACATTTTCTAGAAAGTGCGATCCAACTGGATCTGAAAGAAGATACTCAACGAATGCCTCTTCTTTCGAACTTTTCTCCTCCTCTGATGAGAAAATGAAGTGCCAAAAGGAACGATCCCTATCGAAGATACCTTCAACTTGAATTATGAGTTGAAGAACTGGAGATGCTACGGCATCAATGCACAACTCTCTTACCTTGACAATGTACGTAGGACTGATGTTCTTGAAATTGGCAGAACCGAGCTCGACGCCGTTGGTTAGGGACTTATAAAGAGACGAAAGCATGTCTCGCAGTTGAATTTTGAAGGAGTCCGGAGTTTTGTAAGTCTTATTGAAGTCTTCACTGTCTTTGATATCGATCATCTTACGGGCAATTTTGGATTTCTTCGAGCGCAGCGAGGAATTACTCATAGTAGTGCCTGGTAGAGTTTTCGAAGATAAGATCAAAATCAAAAGACGAAGAACGTGGGATGCATAGCGGTGGTTGAGCATGGCTCTTACGCTTGGAGTGATTTCATTCAGCATGTGCAAAAACAACGACTCCATAGGTGCAAACACCTCATCGTCATCCTCGATAGGCGCAGCATCTTCGAAGCTTGGTGTCAAGAGCTCTTTCTCCACCAATGCAGCACTTCTCACTAGAAGCGTTTCCAACACATGCGAGGAGTACTTATGACAAGCCATGTTGAAAAAGAAGCCCGAAAAGCTCTTGAAAATTCCTTTCAATTGTTGGTTTGTACCAGCGAGAATGAGTCGTTCCATGAGCTTTGAGCAAATCTGCGAAGTAGCCAGCTTTAATTCTTTGCCTTTCGTCTCCTCGATAACACTACTGATGAACTGGACCTTTTCCTCAGGAGTCTCGAAAGTGTCGACTGTCAACGTTGATTCTGCTTGTTTAAAATACTCGAGCTCCTCAGTAGCTAGCACTCCAAAAAAAGTGTTGGGCTGGTTTCCATTAATGGAATCATCTTGTTGTGTGCGAGAGCTGCTGTAGTCTGAGGTTTGGGCCGCAGGTGAGGATTGGTCCTCATGAGTTTTTGGCCCTTTTGAGAAGTTTCTGCCTCTAGACTTAGCCATTTTAACTGATTAGATCAATACTCAAGCTGTTTCAGATTTGGTAACAGATCTATCACTGTAAAACAGAGATTGGTGTAAACTTGTGGTGCCAAAGTCTTAGTTCTCAAGCTAGCTCATCGCACCCTCCACATTTTTCAAAATTTTCTATGTAGACAGAATTGGCGATGAGCACCGGTGACATGAAAAAATACAGTGATATGTGAAGATGCGTTTACTATTTACCTCTCTAACTTACTCAATCAGCTTGGTCCCAATTTCCAGGCTTTGGTCCCTTTGGCACCTGTGGGCCACCTGCTCTTTTAGCCATGATAATCTGGTCTATGGAAAGAACAGTGGTCGCTGCTTCGGTGGCTACATTTATCGCGAATTTCTTGACAGCCAGAAGATCGAAAGTTCCTTCTTGTCTGACATCTTTGATACCCTCTGGACTTTCACCGTCAATATCAACACCGTAGAACATACCGTCTTCATTTGTACTGGAATGGGCAGCATATAGATTTGGAAGAACTTCGTTGACATTTAAACCTGCGGTCTCTGCTAGGGTTCTTGGAACCACTTCGAAGGCGACAGCAAACTGTTTGATGGCTAGTTGTAGAAGACCAGGTGTACGCTCACCATACTGTGTGATTCTAGAGACCAGTTCCACTTCGGTAGCTGCCGCACCTGGCAAAAGCTTGCCCCCATCTGGTTTCATAAGTCCCTTTACCGCAGAAACGCCGTCATCGATAGCTCTCTCGATGTCATCTAAGTTGTTCTGAGTGGCACCTCTTAGTACGATCGTGGCTGTTCTGGTGACTTCATCGTCTTCCTGTCTGAAAACGGTGACTCTGTCACCGCCAATTTCTATGGTTTTAACGGTCTCTACAATACCCGCTTCTTCGGGTGTAGGAGCTCCCAATCTTGCCATTGGCGTGGCGCCGCATACGCGACATATTCTTCTGAGTTCAAACTTACTGGGCACCTTTAGTACTAGTATGTTGTATCTGTTGAGATAATGCAAGGCTAAATCGTCTAGGCCGCTTCCAGCAACCACACAGGTGACACCTGCATCCACAAGCTCTTTAATCATCTCATTAAGCTGTTTTTCTTCACCCTTTGTGAAATCTAGCATTTCTTGCGCGTTATGCAGCAGCACCGTGCCCTTGGTTTCTGTGTTTGACGTATCAATAGGGCATGTGAATACGGCGACCTTGTGCTTTTGGCCGGGGGCCAAAGACTTAACGTGGCCTTCAGGCTCACGGTTGAAAACCATACCTTTAACCACTTCGGAATTGGCGAGCGAGCCACCCATTATTTTGACGACTCTGACGGAGTCAACGTTGAAGTTGTTCGACTTGGAAGGTAAAACGTGCGAGACAGCTTCTGCCACCAATTCACTCAAAATATCTTCAGAGCCATACTGTTTGGACGAAATAACGGGTTTCATGATCTTGACAAGCTCTTCCTTGCTGTGTTTATTAGTCACTTCTTCAACGCAGAGTGCATCAAGTTCTTTGAGTGTGAAATTTTTGGCCAGATTGTAGCCCTGGATGATTTCAATTGGAGAGAGACCCAACCCGATCAACTTTTCGCTTACATTCAGCAGTTCACCAGCTAAGATGAGAACCAAATTTGTACCGTCTCCCATATCGATTTTTTGCTGCTCAGTGGCCATTACCAGCACCTTGACCGCTGGGTGAACAATGTCCAATTCTCTTAGCATTGTGGCTGCATCGTTAGTCACAATAATTTTCCCCAAATGGTTCACAATAATCTTGTTACGACCACAAGGTCCCATAGACGTGAGACACATCTGATGGATCTCCTTGACCGCTGCAATCGACTTGTTGATCTGGCCATCAGCGTTCAAATACGAATTGTAGCCCTGCTTGAAAAGACCCGCGTTTGGGTTCTGAGGAAGCTTCAAAGACATGGTTTAAGTGTTCGAATGGCTTTTGTTGCTCAGTGAAAACAAGCTAAGTCAACAAGTTACTCGAGTTGAACGGCAATTGGATCCGTATCGAGTTCTTTGGTTTGCCACCAAACCTTACCAAAGCTCTATAAACCCATGGATCTGGAAAACTTTTCTAATACTTAGTGAAATATTACACGTCATGTGATCGTATCCACTAGTATAAGAAAAGCTCAGACTATAACAGTTCTGCTGTCAAGGTGATTCAAAGCCATGAAAAAGATCCGATTTGGTGACGAGCTGTGTTTGTAGAAGTATACTTGAAATCTTGGCTCTGTTGAACATACTGTGCGAAATTCGCTCTTCTACTACTGAGATGACAGGGTTTGTAGAGTGAAAATGTTACAGCTTCAGAAAAAGAAGGGAAGAAAATGCTATTTGTTGTCCGTTATGTTTGCAGAACGAAGATCGAGCAAAAAGATGATGGCTGCGTGTGCAATTCGGATGGCTGTATTTTGTTAACACTTACTTTCAAACACAGCGTCTTCGACACGTGATACGACGACAGCGTCAGAGTCGATAAATATTCCACTCGAACTCTTAGAAACCCGGCTTTCTACCCTTCACCTAACACCATGATGTGATATGCCCTCCTGGTGAAATTGGGGCAATTTAGGCTCAAAACTAATGTACAAAAGAGCTTTTTCAAGGTTATTCAAGTGGAATCGAACCCACGACTTTCCAAAATGGGTACCGTAGAAGGCCATCTTCGGTACGATCAAGATATGACGGAAAATCTGCTCTTACTAACAATACAGCTCGAAGACAATTATTGATCTGCTGTTATTCGAGCATTTCAAGGAGGTTCAAAAATGAGTATCGGATTACGAAACTCTACAAAGTCGATACGAAATGTCACACTCGCAAAACGTGATTCAAACTTTCCCTACGCCTGGTGGGTTTTTCGATTAAGCACGCGTATCTGACTATGATAACTCATTTTTTAAGCGTTTCTCAAACCCTTTTCGTTGCATCCACCATATTCGTTGGCACCGTATCTGTACTGCCTACCGAATGTTGAAGCTCTGTAAGAAAAAGTTGAGTGCTTTTATAGCTCGGCAGAAAGACAGGCGCTATCTCAACTAAAGAAAAAGAAGTCTGCAGGGAAAATAAGGCTTTAGTATCTCACTCTCGTTGAACATTTTGACTGCTCCTGTCTCAGCTCCTACGATGTTGTTTTCGATAAATCAGGTCTCAAGCAACTCCCCTTCTATCTTAACTTTATCTCAAACAATTTATATGTTAGCTTCAGTAGCTCAGTCGGAAGAGCGTCAGTCTCATAATCTGAAGGTCGAGAGTTCGAACCTCCCCTGGAGCATTTGTTTTTACTTTTTTAAATTAACCTTACAAACAAACAATCAAACCTCTTTAAACCTATTCTCAAAGAACTACTACCGTACTCAATACTGGTCACTGCCATTGAGACCCAATGGATATAGAGGAACCTCACTTTGATGCAGAACCAGCGTTGAGAACCATACTGGAGACTCCTGGCTCTCTCGACGGAATAGACCAGTTGATCCAGGCCACTAGAGCTGCCAAGTTTGTTCTCGAAGATGACATAGTCAAAGGCGTTGACGAGAGTCATAGGCCCAAAGAACCAGTGTCTGTGACCTCTGGTGTGGTTTCCGAGTTTCATCAGCTGCTTGTAGAAATCGGTGATATTACTGCGCTTTCTCGAGAGACGGAATCAGCCATTTCGCAGCTCACGAAAGACATCTCTCATTTGGACAATGCCAAGCGCAACTTATCCCAAACGATGGCTTTCTTCCAAAATTTGGAGCAGCTCACAGAGTCCTACTTCCAATGTCGCGCTCTTCTAGAGTCTAACAATTTCAAGGACATGATACCGTCCTATAATGTCATGAGTGGTCTTGTGGCATACTTACAACAATACAAATCAGTGCAAGAAGTCGGCGACATAGTAGCTAAGGTCACACGCCTGCAGTCACAAACTTTGAGTGAGGTGAAAAAGATATATCAAGACCTCCTGAACACTCACTCTATCGCAAAAAAGGGCGTCGACGAGTCCACGCTGAGAGAAGGCGCCTGTGCCTTGTTGGAAACCAACTCTGGTGCCAAAACGGACTTGATAGATTGGGTGGTCAATAAGCTTCTATATGAGGTATCTGAAATTTTCCAAGTGGACGATGAAGCTGGCTCCTTAGAGAATTTGTCTAGACGTTACGTTTATTTCAAAAAAGTACTGAACGGTTTTAACTCTGAATTTGCCCAGAGCTTCCCTAAAGACTGGGACCTCCCGATAAAGCTGACTGCTAAATTTTACAGCATTACTAGGAAAGATCTGAGCATTTTACTGCAGCGAGAACTCAAGGATAATCCTTCAATTGATACATTCATGGGTGCGCTGCAAACAACCCTGGAGTTCGAAAAATACATTGATGTAAAGTTTTCCAATCGCTTGAACGCAGAAGCTGGGTTTGAACGCATCTCCAAGTCCTTTGAGCCATATCTGGTGCTGTGGATTCAGCATCAAGACTCCCTCATGAATTCAAAAATTCTCAGCTACATGGCTGAAAACAAAATCACTCAGTCATCGGACTCGTTAGTTCTTCCATCCAGTGCCGATCTTTTCAGAAGGTATAGGTCTCTTCTTTCACAGACGCTTGACCTAATTCAAAGCGGTAGCGGCAGAGATCAAATGTTACGCGAGCTGGCTACTTTCTTCAACAATTGGCTCACGACTTATTTGGAAAAAATACTGAGGCCGCTGTTGATCGCGCCGAATGTGAAGATTGAAAACAAAGAAGAAGCGATGACATACACACTGCTACTTCTTAACACTGCCGATTACTGCACTACAACGATTAGACAATTGGAAGAAAAGTTGATTGAGTATCTATCAGACAATAAAAGCTTGGATGAGCCATTTGAAAAAGTGCAGGCGCAATACGGAAGCATCATTTCGAGCGCTATGGATGTGTTACTCAATTCTCTAATCGCACCAGATATAGCATTCGCGTGGAGGGAATTCGATAACACAGATTGGAGGAACGTGCAAGTCGAAGATTACAGTAGATACACATTCACACTGAAGGAGCTCTTCAGAAATGAACAGTCGATTATGCGAAAGATTATACCTCGTTTCAACAGGGAGCTATACAGTTGGAGTTTCATGGGGAAGGTTATTGAATTGACTTGTGACGGCTTTATGGGTTGTATCGTGCGGCTTTTGAAGCCAAGGCCGCCATTTGCAAACCTCAATAATCCCCGCAGTTTACAAATTTCCCAGGTTATAAGCATCGGCGAGCAATTACAGCTGGACACTGAATGTCTGAGGCAAGCTCTGGCTTCATGGGCGGATGACTTAGCAGATTTGATCAACGGGAATGCAGCATCGTCCAAAAGAATCAAAAAACACATCGAGAAAAGCTTTGAGCAACTGGTAACATTCCTCAAATTGTTAACCGTGCCGTTGGACGACCCCGAAACATATCAGGACAATTATGCTGCCATTACAGAAAACAATGAAAATGTCATTTCGTGGTGTTTCGTCTTGGCACTCAAAGGCCTGCCGTGGGAGCTTGCGAGATGGAAAGCGCTATATGCCGCGTTCCGGCGTGCTGACAATGGAGCAGAAAAGTCTTTGCTTCCTGTGCTTTTGAGGTGTGAATCTACGGTTCTCCAATTTCAGTACGATTTGACCAGCGCCAACGAACCGGCATGGCAGAAATTTATTCGAGGCGATTTGGATTTAAAGCCAGTAACGAGCAAAAAACCCACTTCGGCTTCAAACGGAAGATCATTGTCGCCAACGCCCCGACTTGTATCGAGCAAGCTGAATGGTAATATAAAAAACCTCATGTCAGGTACCGGCTTTTTCCACAGAGGATAGCAACAACAAAGAAACTTTTTACTCATATCTAAAGATGCGGTAGATGGAATTATTCTTTATGAGCCTGAGCTGGCATTGACTCGGTAACTAACCTGTGTTTTAATATTGTGATCTGTGGTTGAAAAACTCTTAAACTCCACCTTTTCACTTCCATTCGTCACCTCCAGAGCATCAGAATCTGCCCATTCTAGTGGAACTTTAGCGTTGGCGTCCGTATATGCAAGCACGTTGAAAGTGAAATTGTCTTCCTCCCCGTCCTCACTTTCCAGTTCTGGCAAAAATGTGACACTAGCAGTAATTTGTCGCATAAGAGCACGGATTTGCCGCTGAGTTTCTTCCAGCTTGACCCCACCTATCTGGTCATTGTCAGAAGAGTGAGCGTTATGCTTTACGTCAAATTCCCATCGTTCCACTACTTCGCATGTTGATTTGTCCAAAATGCACAAGACCAGCTTACTGCATTTTCCGCCCAACAGCCAGCGGTGCACCTGCTGCAGAATCTGGCGGATGTAATTTTTGAGCTCCTCGTCGTGGGTTTTCAGTAAGTTCAGATCATATTTTTTCACTGAAATGAAATCTTCAGGCGGATACACGGCTCGCTGGAAAAGAATGGAATTGATGCTATATTCGAAGAATTCCGTTACCGTCCGTGTGGATCCTTTGAGCGATAGATTTGAAGACATCTTCAGAGTGCTTAACTCGCTGTGTATTTATCTACCCATGGGTAGAATTACAGATATATATGTGTGGTTTCGAGCTGAGAGAGAGAGAGAGAGAGACATATAGAGGAAAAGCCTATGAAATCATTAATTTAAATTGGATTCTGGTCACGGGATTTTGACTTTAACTAAGATCACGACGACAGCGAGGTACTTCAGCGATCTCAAATGCACTAGAAGACGAAAGGATCTTTATCAGTCATAGGAATTCCTTTATGTTCCTTTTGGCAACCGAGTTTTCATGATTCGTCGCAACTACAATTTGACAAAGTCCAAAATAAAAAAATTGACCAACTTTTACTGTCGCCACGGATTTGGCTGCTGCAATCCGATTGAAATTCGGAATGATGCAGTTATTTAGCAGCGAAATCGGACGCAGAGAAGTCTCTCGATTGTTGCATCAACTTATTCTTCTCTTCTTTTTATTCTTTTCACCAATCATCGTGCGATTTTGATGTCAATCAAATATGCTAAGTCGGAATTTCTGATAAACACATCATTCTGGAATTGTCAAAAGCTGTTTCGAGCTTAGTTTCCCCAGCTCTGCTGCCTTGCAGCCGCTTGACTTAATTGTATTCGATAACAGATTGATTTGTGAAGTTTGGTCAGTACTCAGTCGTCAGTCCCCTACAATTATCCCAAAGTCTCTCCACGACTGTTGAGCGATTCCTCCCTATCATCTTCTTCCCGAGCGGTTCACATTAAAGCACGTCGAAGATGTTTTCTTTCTGTATCACTTTAACTTTTCTAGTCACTATAAATTAGACGGTATCAACACGCTAAAGCATAATAAATACAGAAAATCGACAGGTTTGTCCAAGTAATTGGGTAACGGCTAAACCTGATACAGTGGGGACCTTAATATTTACCCCAGAACTAGCTAATGTCATACCTTATAACAAAAAGGCTAAAGGTTGGCCATTTTCCAGGTTTGATCACGTGACTAGTACATAAATTCCACATCCTAGTTCAAATACCTACTTACATATAAAGATGAGATGAGTTTGAGTTCGAATCAACGACAGACTACACCTTTAGCAAACCTTGAGCAAGCCGTCTTCACTCAATTCACTTGCAAGTTTATAGAGCACGTAAAATACGTCTCGTCCACACACGCTCGAATGGTAAGTTTAGCCCTGTCCGCGCTTCTTTAATTGTATGTCGAAACTAACGTAATCGGAATTTATAGCATGGCATAAAAAGACGGGAACTGACCCAGGACCTGATTTCCAAAAAGAGGGCCAGGGACGTGGAAAAGATCGTGAAATATCGGTCGTTAACAAAACGGGTGCTGGAGGCCAAGAAAAATGAAATATACACGCTGGAGAAGTTGAAAGCTGCATCGGATTTGCTAGAGTTAAATCCCGAGTTTAATGCCGTGTGGAATTTCAGAAGAGATGCCATCACCCATTTGAAAAACGAGCTGCCTCGCGAATTTTGGGACCAAGAAATCCATTTCACCACGCAGCAACTGAAATCGTTTCCAAAGGTGTATTGGATCTGGAATCATAGACTGTGGTGTCTGAACGAATACCCAGACTCGCCGGTCGAAAAATGGCAACAGGAACTGGCTTTGGTTCATAGACTTCTGACAATGGATCCCCGAAATTTCCACAGCTGGCACTATAGGAGAATTGTGATTACCAGGTTGGAACAAATGACTCAGACTAGCTTGAATCAGCAAGAGCTGGATTACACCACTGAGAAAATCAACTCCGACATCTCCAACTTTTCAGCCTGGCATCTAAGAGCCACTCTGCTCCCAAAAATGTTTGCCTCGTCAGAGATCTCGGACAAAAAGCGTTTTATCAAACAGGAACAGCAGTATATCACCAATGCCATGTTCACAGATGCAGAAGACCAATCGGTATGGTATTACATAAAGTGGTTTGTCAAGACCGATTGCGTACTGAAAATCATTTCCACAGAAGAGTATAAGACCCTGCTTCAAGAGCTCAAGGACGGAATTATCATGATAAATGAGGACGAAAAGGAATTTTCCGGCAAAGAAAACATTTGGTGTTTGAAATTATTGTGCTACCTAGAGACCATACAAGTGGAAGAGCTGGCCGTCGATGTCAAGCCCATGAAATCTGAATATTTAGCAAAACTCGCACAATTCGATCCCTTAAGAAGGAACCGATACAAATATCTTGCAGAGAAGTGACCGTTGCTTGTATAAAATGCATGTTATTTGGAGGAGAGGAGAGAAATCTCGTATATAAAGTTACAACATAGTAGGAGCTTCTCAGCAGCGGAAAAAATCTCAAGTTCTTTCACGTTTCGTTATGCTCCTAGCCAGTCTCTCGTCATTGAGTCTTTTTCGTGATAACACGTACCTTCTCTCGCTGATTCCGAAGTCCCTCTCGCTTGTGAGGGACAGATCTGAGGATACATTATCAGGTTCTTTCAGACCTTTTTCGGCTCCTACTTGCTTCTTCAAGTCCATGAATGTCTCTATGGTAGTATTTCGAAGATCGTCTGGCAAATTGAGGCGGAGGTCTGTGAGGTCGAAAGCGTTGATGAAAAAGTTCAGTAAATCGAAGTATGCTTCACCAACCGACGGTTCATCGCTTTCGAAAAGCGAGTATCGTATGTTTGGCCACGAAGCTCCTTTTGTAAGCTCACATGCCATTTTCAGCGCTGCTAGTGCTGTTGTATGCTGAGGAACCATAAGAAGAATCTCTAACTTTAGAGCGTCAAATGCAATGATCCATGCCAAATGTGCCACTTCACGACTCAGCGACAGGTCTTTGGCAATCTTAGTCAGTATTTCGTCGATATGCACAGAGTTATTGACTCTGTAGTCAAAGCAGCATGTTTCGAGTATCTTCAATTCCAGCTGCACTATGCGTTTCTTGCAATTATCAACCACCACTGGGGACAGTTTGAGAACGTTTCGCAGTCTCAGAGACATCGATGCTATATCTGCGATTTTTTTCATCGTCTCTACCTGCTTGCAACTTAAAAACAGACAGCTGGTGGCTACATCGTAGCACAGTTCAGATTCAAACCTATTGAATAGATAGTAGCGCTGGTAAAAATACATGGCCGTTTCCAGCGTTTTGCGTGGAAACTTGAATTGTATACATATATCGCAAAGAAACTTGAAAACAGACAGCCTTTTTTGGTTATAAAGTCGACGATCTGGAATAGTGTTTTGCTGTGCTCTTTTGATCTGTCCCCGCGTTAAGTATGGTCGTGACAGCAGGAGCTGCATTTGAAATGTTCCTGACATTATAAAGAGATCAAAATTCACGCGTTAATAGAGGTAGCCAGCTGTCCTTGCCCCGATCTCAAACAATCGCTTTAAAATGACAACGTGCATCTTATGCTCATCGAGTTCAACCTTTTCTAAATTCATTTAACTACTCTTATTTAATTTTTCAATCGTCTTGTACGGAATCAAAGGTTCAAGTTCTCTCGAGATCGTTTTCTGTCCAACAAGACATAGCTAACGCATCATGGAAGAAACCGTTACTAACAATGAAGAAAATCGTCTATCTGGTTGTGTTGTTTGATTTGACTTCATGTATCAAATAGCTTGAGTTTTTGATCAAACCGTCACAAGAATTCCATGAAAAAGTTAAAAAGTGTCACTATATATAATAATACAGCTAAGAAAATTGGTGGACCCTCTGGTGAAATAAAGACACCTGTGAGCATCATGCACATGCAGAAACAATTGAGCTTCATCAATTTTGTAGGAATTGGGCCGTGAGAGACTCCAGATCTTCCAGGGACTCAGGTTGCTGGACTTCAATGACGCGGCGACCAGCTGAGTTTCTGTTGTCACTTTGTCCCCTTCTGTCAACGGCGTCAGTGTCACTCGAGGACTCGCTACCACGTCTGGAGTATTTTGTCTTTTTGGAACGGTGACGAGTGTGATCGTCTTCGTCTTCGTCTTCGTCTTCCGACGCAGATTGCATATCATCGCTCAAATTGGCCCCAGTGTCTAGCACAGCATGGTAAGAGCCACCGTCTTCCGAGCTAGAATCGTCATCCAGTTCGGCCTCCTGCTCGCGTCTGAGGGCTTCGAGGCGCTTCCTCTTCTTTTCCTGGCGTTTTTCCTTAGCCAGCTTCTTGTCTTCGACGTCTCTGCCTTTCATTACGTCCGCTTCTCTAGATATGAAAGATTCCTTCTGATCCTCCGCAGCACCACGAGCGTGGAAATCATCTTCGCCTTCGAGCTCATAAATTGGATGTGATTGACCTTCATCATCGAAAACTAACTTCGAAGGATTGCCCTTTCCAGCAATAGAAGCCTTTTTCGAAACGGCACGTCTCAGGGCCCTCTTGGAAGTTGGCCCGATGAGCTCTGGCAACTCTTCCTCACGTAGTTGATGGTCTTGACGCTTCATTGTCATGAAATCATCCTCTTCGTCAGCATCTGCTTGAGCCTTTGTAATATTCAAATAATGTTCACTCAACACTGTTTGATTTTTACGATCAAACATCTTGTCGATCTTAGTGCGACCCTCTTTGTTCGCTCCAACAATCTCACCGTCATCGTTTGCCTTCGAGAGCGATAGAAGCTGTCTCGAAGTGTTCTTCAGTTCTTTTGCTCTTTCTACGGACTTCATACCCTTCATTTTGATTTTAGGAGCACCGGGGAGACCTAAAGAATTTGCGAATTCCTCGTTTGGCAGCTCATCGAATTTGAACACTTCTTTGTCCTTTTGAATGTAAATCGATCTCACATAAGAAATGAATGCTTTCTGGCCCAAATATTTCAGTTCTGGATCTTGGAACAGCAGCGACTGCAATTGTGGCTTAATTGATTTCTTGCGCGACTGTTTGATGGTCAACTTGTTAGGCTCAATGTGTCTCTGTTTTAGTCTTTTCAAAAACCCTTCTTCTTCCTGCGGTGTCAGCATGATCAGAGACTTACCTTCTTTTCCATAACGAGCTGATCTTCCTACCCGATGGATATAAGTATCCACGCTTTCGGGACAATCGGCCTGGACAACCCAATCCACGGCTGGGAAGTCGATTCCTCTCGCAACAACATCCGTTGCAAACAAACATGTATGCTGTGCTCTGCTAAATTTGTCTAAAGTCTCTGTTCTTGCAGTCTGCTTTTGGCGTCCATGCAGGTGCATCAGTGAAATACCTGGTTGCAGTTTTCTAAACGTCTCATAAACGAAATGAACCTGTTTAGAACTCGAAAGGAAAACAATCATTTTGCTTTTCAGGTGGGTCTTGATGAAACTGTAAAGAATGTCCAACTTGTCGGGAAGCTCGACGCCAATGTATGATTGTTGAAGAGTCTCTGGGGTGGCAGGGAGATTTTTGGAGTCTTTTATTTCAGCAGTTCCGACAGTTTTATAGTCGGTAAGGGAGAGCCGAGCCAAATCAGCTAAGGATTGTGACTGAGTGGCAGAAAACAATAGAGTTTGCCTTATGGGTGGTAGGTTGCTCACAATGGCATCAAGAGTCTTTTTGAAACCCATGTCTAGACATCTGTCTGCTTCATCGAGAACAAGAACCTGTAGATTTGAAGTATTGAGCCCGACTGCCTGATCCATATGCTGCAGTATTCTTCCTGGAGTACCCACCAGAACATTGATTTTCGAAATACGTTCCAATTCAAACTTAACATCCTTACCACCGATCACCAGACCAGCGGAGAACGAAGTGTACCTACCAATTTTAACAAGAACTTCGTAGATTTGCATTGCCAGTTCACGAGTTGGAGAGACAATTAGAGCCCCAAGTCCATCAAACTCTGTCCATTTTTCACGATATAGCTTTTCAATTACAGGGATCAAAAAAGCCAGCGTTTTACCGGATCCTGTTTTCGCTGCAGCCAAAAGATCATGGCCTTTGAGAGAAATTGGAATCGACTTTTGTTGAATTTCTGTCATTTTCACGAAAGCACTGTCTTTGAGACCCTTGATAGTGTTATGGCTAAGCGGGAGGTCCTTGAAAAGAGTGTTTTTAGTATTTTCCGCATCATACTCCTCGATTTGCTCTTCCAATTTTTTCAAGTAATCATCTTCCCTCTGTCTAAGCTGCTTTCTGGTGGCAGTTGTGACTCTGTGTTTCTTTGCCATTTTTCTGAACGGGAACAAGCTGGTTTTCTGTACACAAAAATCGACTAGTTAGTACTCAACAAGAAGTTCCGCAAGGCGTCTCACAATAGGTGATTAGAGGTTACTTCTGGATGTGAAGAGACAGATCTGTAAATCTATTCGCGATGCGATGAGCTTGGAAAAGTTTCAATCTTTAATTTTTAGCGCTGAAAAATTACCTTTCTTCGTTTCTTATGATAACAAGTGCCGTCACGAGTATCCTCGAGCACGTGTTCAAGTACCATATGTCCAATTGAAAACAATCCTAACTTAGTTCCGGTCAAAACGAATATTGGTTCGACGCAGACCTTGGCTGAGATGTTACAATTGAAATTTGCAAAGCTTGAGATTTCACATCACGAAAACATGCTTCGATTACATCTAGTTCAGATACCGGCACTATTAGGTTCTCGACATCTCATCCATCACGAGTACTTTTGTACTCAACTAGACCTACAATTATTGATAAATTCGATAGATCATCGGCGCATCATGGACATCTCACTACTAGAAGACAGCATCAATTCTGCATTTGTAGGTTAACCATGGCTCATCCTTATGGCTTTCCATAAAGAATTCAACAAGAGACCCTTTGAATCGACTTCCGGGACAACTTCCCAGCGCAAGAGATTTCGGTCGCCGAACAACGACGGCGCTGCTAAGACTTCCTTTCGAAGAAAAGTTGTCTTACCTATATTCGAGCCGTCCGGTATTCTGGCGCTAGAGACTCACAACAAAGAAGGCATACAGCTCTTGCACACAGAACCGCAAGACTCGGTCTCGCCTCTTTCTTATTATAGAAAACATTCACTTCCACTCCGCAAGCAGACACATTTCCAAGCTGTGGTTTATAAGGACTCGGATGAAAATTACCTCTCTAAATACAATCTGCTGGAACGGACAAACTACTTGATTGGTAGGAAACTTAACACAGACGATGAACCCTCGCTGCAAGATGAGAACCGTGAAATAGTGCTTGCTGACATCCCGATCCCCGAAGAAACGTGTTCAAAACAACACTGCGTGATACAGTTCAGAGAAAACAAGCAAAATCAGCTCAAAGCGTACGTCATTGATTTGGACTCATCCAATGGTACCATGCTGAATAACGTTGCTCTTCCGAGAGCCCGGTACGTTGAGCTGAAAGATCAAGACGTAATCCGGTTTTCTAAAGATGACTCGGACTCAGACTATTTTCTTGTCTTCATTTCAGCGTGAAAGACCCAAGCGCTCTCTTGAAGCTGACGACTACAAATGTTAACAAAGTCTAGGTCAGCCGTTGCCCGAACATTACTTGGTTAACGCCTGATTTTCGAAATAAAAATGACAACTAAGTTTTTATATTGTAATAGTAGGTATGTTATGTGCGGTCCGCAAACAAGCGCAGACCATGATTATGCTAGGCCGAAGGTTACGGCAGGTTGAAACCTTTTATTTACAATTCATCATGATCGAAGTAGTCGTCGTCTTCGTCTTCATCTTCATCTTCCCCATCGGCACCGGTAGCACCTGCGCTACCATATAGCTTCGAGGTTATTGGGTAGGCGACTTGAGACAAAGATTCGAACTTCTCTTTGAAGTCTTCAGCCACGGCGGTGTCGAAGTTGTCCTCGATCCATTCCAGGGCATCGTTGGCAGCGTCCAACAAGGTTTCCTTGTCTTCTTCCTCAAACTTGTCGGCCAATTCTCCGTTGACTTGATTTTTCAAAGAGTGAGCGTAGTTTTCCAATTGGTTACGAGCTTCAATCTTGGCCCTCACTTCTGCATCTTCAGAAGCGTATTTTTCGGCTTCCTCCATCATCTTTTCAATCTGATCTGGAGTCAATCTGCCCTTGTCGTTGGTGATGGTGATAGAGTTTGACTTACCAGTGCCCTTGTCGGTGGCAGAGACCTTCAAAATACCATTGGCGTCTAGCGCAAATGTAACTTCGATCTGTGGAACACCTCTTGGTGCAGAGGGAATGCCAGTTAGCTCAAATTCTCCGAGTCTGTTGTTGTCCTTGGCCATAGCTCTTTCACCCTCGTAGACCTGAATCATCACAGTTGGCTGGTTGTCGACGGCCGTCGAGAACATCTGGGACTTCTTGGTTGGGATAGCAGTGTTTCTCTTGATCAAAGGAGTCATGACACCACCAGTGGTCTCAATACCCATAGTTAGAGCGTTGACATCCAAAAGAACAATATCTTCCACGCTTTCTTCACCGGACAAAACACCGGCCTGAACAGCAGCACCGTATGCAACAGCTTCGTCAGGGTTGATACCCTTAGAAGCCTTCTTGCCCCCGAAGTAGGATTCCAGCAAGCTTTGGACCTTTGGAATTCTGGTAGAACCACCAACCAACACAACGTCGTCAATGTCCTCCTTGTTAACACCAGCATCCGCCAAGACTTTTTCGACAGGTTTCAATGTCTTCTTGAAATAAGCCAAGTTCAATTCTTCGAATTTAGCTCTCGTTAGAGTTTCACTGAAGTCGATACCGTCAACAAAAGAGTCAATTTCTACACGCGTCGACATTTGGTTGGACAAAGTACGCTTGGCCTTCTCAGCTTCTCTCTTGAGCTTGGCCAAGGCCTTGCTGTTCTTGCTGACATCGATGTTGTGCTTCTTCTTGAACAATTGCATAAAATGACGAACGATTCTGTAATCAAAATCTTCACCACCTAGATGGGTGTCACCGGCAGTGGCTTGGACCTCGAAAACACCACCTTCAATCGACAACAATGACACGTCGAAGGTACCACCACCGAGGTCGTACACGATGATCTGGTGCTCTTCCTCGGATTTGTCCAGACCGTAAGCAATGGCAGCGGCGGTAGGTTCGTTAACAATTCTCAAGATGTTGAGACCGGCAATGGTACCGGCATCCTTGGTGGCTTGTCTCTGGGCGTCATTGAAATACGCTGGAACGGTCACGACGGCGTGGGTAACTTTTTTGCCTAGGTAGTCCTCCGCGATTTGCTTCATCTTACCCAAAATCATGGCCGAGATTTCCTCGGGTGTGAACACTTTTTGCGTGCCCTTCACCTCCACTTGCACCACTGGTTTGCCATCTTTGTTGACGACTTTGAAGGGCAAATGCTTGATATCTTTTTGTACGGAGTCGTCGGTGTATTTGAGGCCGATCAGTCTTTTCACGTCGAAAACCGTGTTGTGAGGGTTTGAGGCAACCTGGTTCTTGGCTGCGTCACCGATCAGTCTTTCTTCATCGGTAAAGGCCACGTAAGAAGGTGTAATTCTGTTACCCTGTTCGTTAGCCAAAATTTCCGTTTTCCCGTTTTTCATCACTGCAACACACGAATATGTTGTTCCCAGATCGATACCGATCACCGTACCGTACTCTTCCACCTCATCCGCAGCTCTGGCGAACCCACTAGACGAACGCGACGATTGCGACGCCAATGGAAGTGCCACCAGGAACATTGCGTAAATGATAGCCGCGAACGACACCATCCATCCTCCAGATCTAGATCTGCTAAAAAGCATCTTTATCGGGCCTTGAAACTTATTGAGTCTGAGTCTTCCTTATGAAACACCAATTTCCTTTTGTTTCCAACAAAGCCTGTAGTGAGTTGGCCAGTGTTCCTGAGGTCTTATTTCAAAACTTCCGGAAACCGTTGAGTTTTGGGTGAATGTTTATAATGGCTTTATTTCTTCAAGTCTTTCGCGTTTATATAGGTGGCAAACCTTGAAAAGACACGTTGGTCAAAATAGTGGATTTCAAGGTTGAAAGTTCTGGAAAGGTTATTTTGTACGAGGTGTGGGCGTGACGCTGTGCGTCAGAATGTGCTAGAAGTGATAATGACAGTATTGGTCAGAAGAGAGGATGGAACATTAATTACACGCCCTGCTGTACGGTGTATTTGAATGTAGCAAGGTTTTTAAGGTGATTTTGGGATAGTTTTGTAGAAAATCATGCCTGAAGAAAATGCCGCTGATGAGGACGACACGTTCGTGTGTAGTGATTGATGTTTCTTCGGTTTATTGTATATACTTTTTTCTGGTCTTGACAGGACGTGAAGTCCATACTAGTATCAGCTTGGGAAGCCGATTAGAGTACGTAGCTGGCTAATAAATGAAAGAGCGGAACGGAAGGTGAAAAGAAACTTAATTCTCTCTTTATATAATGGGTCACGTGATGCTCTTAATTAAACTTGGTATTTTACTGTCATCCACGAAAGAAGATCTCAAGCAGTCCTGGAAAGCAAAGCAAATTATTTTCTGGTGAATACTGAATTTCTGGTCACCGAGAGCTGTTCTCTGGGCTTTTTTTTGGAGTTGGAAGTTCACATTACACAGCAGTCTTTAACAAAACTGTCTAGCGCTTGGGGCTAATAGGCCTTGCATTTCATTCCGAGTCACTTCGAGAGGCATGTCGTTGAAACTATCGCACCATTTCTCAAATTGAAATACTATGATATAATTTATAGTTTTGGTCCAGAATATTGATATTCAGAAACCCTGGATCTCAATATATTACCTTTAACCAATCACTTTACACTAATGATTGTTGTCCTGGAGAGTAGCCTCGAGCACTCAATGAGCACCATCGATCATCAACACATTTCATCACATCAACCCAAAGCAAAACAAGCCTTAGATCGCCAAACTGCGCAACAGCACCTCATTTCCCATGGATCTAGAACACCATCTTCGTTACATGCGCATGGCCACCAAGCTTGCCAAATACGCTCTGGACCATGACGAAACTCCCGTTGCTTGCATATTTGTATACACACCAACAAATCAAGTAGTGGCTTACGGGATGAACGACACCAATCGCTCTCTTACAGGTATCGCACACGCAGAGTTTATGGGTATAGAACAGATCCAGGCCAAATTCGGAGCCTTTGATACCTCTGTATTCCATAACATAACCCTCTACGTCACTGTGGAGCCTTGCATAATGTGTGCCTCGGCTTTAAAGCAGCTGGGAATACAAAAAGTGGTCTTTGGGTGCGGAAACGAAAGATTCGGTGGTAATGGTTCAATTTTAAGAATTCATCAAGATGCGTCCACTACGCCCGAAAACAAGTATTGGTCCTTACCTGGTCTTTTGAGAAGAGAAGCAATTATGCTTCTAAGGTATTTTTATGTGCGAGAAAATGAACGTTCGCCAAAACCACGAGCCAAAGCTAATCGAAAGCTCGATTTGACAACTTTTCCTTTCATGGATTGGAGCACATATCTTTCTCGAGAAGAATTTACAACCATTTATGGTCCAGCATTGCTCAAGTTTTACGACAACAAGCTTGATCTCAACGAAAAATTGGACTGGGACCTTATAAACAACAATCAAGACGAGTTCTTCCGGGACCTGCAAGAGCAATGTGAGAACTTTTCCCTACAGGCCAGCAAAAAATGTAAACCGAAAACCGTGAGCTAACTTAAAAAAAAAATAAGACAGACGCATAATAACTAATACTTGACCAGGTCAACTCATAAACCTTCTTCCACTTTTGTCCAAGTGTCTACCATTTTCTTGTAAAACTCAATCTGATTATCGGCCAGTGAAGCTAGAGAGTTTTTCAATTCTTTTGTTTTAATTTCTTCGAATACTGCCACCTCTTTCAAGACGGCTCGCTCGAATGCATCTGCTACCTCTTTGGCATTGTCGACCTCGCCTGTCAGCGACGTGATTTTGCCCTCGAGCTTGGATATCTTCTCTCGTCTCGCCGCTTCTTGATTGATGCCTGCTAGTTCTTCTAGCTTACTTGTGAAAAAATTACCACCTCCATAACCAGAGATCAGATTGTTCTTTTCATTGATCGACCTCGTGAGGTAATTGCTTAGCTCTTCGTAATCGATTTGTTTTTGATCCTTCATCTTGACTGTTTGATTGACACTGTCGATGTAATGCTCCAGATCTTTCAGATCGACAATGTATTCGTATTCCAAAAACTTGCTCAAATCCTTGAGTCCGTAAGATAGTTGAGAAATGCCCTCATTGAAAAGCTTGACTTTCGATCTCAAGGTTTCATCTTCGACAGAGTTATTGGAGACCAGTTCCTGCAGGTCTTGAAGATGCGTGCTAAATTTGAGATAGTCGTCCGAGATAGAGTCCTGTCGCTTGACAACTCGATGGAAAACCTTATCGATCTTCGAAACATTGTGATCTAATTTATCGCTTTTCTCTTTGATCTCCACAAATTCTTCGGTTTGGTTGTGCACAGACTTGAACGCGTTCATGAAAGTGTCACTGACCTCTTCTTTGCCACCGTTCAACGATCCCGAAAGACTCCGACGGTACGCATCCCAGTCCCCGCTGGTCAGAAAAGTCATCAGGACCTGCGATTTTGAAAGCACTGGGTGCTCCGAGATTCGTCTCAAAAAGTTTTGTAGACTATGACACCTTTTTTGGGTAAAGGTCTGGCTAAATCGATCACCTGCAATGTACTGGAAAACCTTTTTGTCGGGAAGTGGAGGGATCACACACGTAGGATTGTCCTGGCTCAAAATACTTTGCAGGAGCAAAAAGTCGCTATAACGCCTGTGGACAACTATAATCTCCATTGAGTTTCCATCACTCTTATCTTGTGAACGGTTTTGCTGCTTATGGTACGCCTCGTAGTAAGATTTATCGTTGGTTTTCGTTGAAATTTGATAAGTCACGTAAAAGGACGATTTTCCTTGCTCATCTCTCTGTTTTTGAGGATCTGACACAAGTATGGAAAGCTGAACGTTTTCATCATTGGTGGGTGTCTCATTCATTGCGGATTCTCAATTCACTTGTGTATATATCCCGATTTTGTTGAGAACACTATCTGCCGATTTAATGCGACAGAAGACCAGTCACACCGTTTATGCGCAGATGAAGCCTCTCGAGAAAGTCCTGTAACAAGGGTCGTTAAAATTTCGCCCAAAGAAATTCTTAGGCCCACCGATTGACTCCGGTTTAGTCTTATCCGAGACGAATTTGATGGTTTCGTCAAACCCCTTCCCTAAGAATAATGGTATATTAATTTCGTCTGTCAAGCCGGTAACTTTGAACGAACATCGACATCAGCCAGCAGAGAGAGGCTTCGGCGAGCTAGCTTGAAAGGTATAATGAACGTAAGGTTTCCAGTTAACCTGTTCAAATGCTGAATAATTTTGAAGATATTCTGAGGTGATTGACAATTTCTTGGCCTTTTCATTAGGGTTTAACGATGGCGTTGGATTTATATTCAATTTTTAGTAATGTCATTCAAGTAGCAGTCGCACTAGCGGAGTCTAGGGCCGTTTGTGAAATTCGGAGGCTGCCAGTCTTTTCGTGGTGTCTTCGAAAATGAATGGAATGCATGGACAAACCTCGCTGAAGAAGAAGTTTGATTTTTTCTTGATTTTGATATGGCAACGCCAAAGACACCAGTGACGTAAAAATATATTCATGGGCCGCCACACTATGACATAAAAGCACTTAAAGAAGATGACCTTGGCAGCGGTATCAAAACAAGTCTTCCAGAGAGTCTTCTTCTAGTAGAAAAACGAGTCTCTCATAAGCTGTGAGCATTAGCTTTTCCCGCTTTTTTTCAAATCCATTACTACTTCGAGTTCACTTCGAGCTCAATGGCTACCCATCACTTAGTAACTCGGCCTCAACTTCATCGACAATGTCCCAGACTATGTCGTCAGCAATTTGCTCTTGAAAAATATCATTGACGGGCCTGACTTCTGGAACTGCAGCTTGAACCGCGTCCCAATGTTTGAAGTCATTTACCGCAGTTAGCAATTGAGCACTACCCCCATTGAAGCAGCTTATGGTCGGATAGTACCCGAGTCTACTATTATTCACATATTTGTTTTTCAAAATGCTTCCGGGCCCACGCTTTTGGTCGTCTTTGGCGTGTGCTTCATTCCCCTCTGCGTTGCCACCAGTTTCGTTTTTCCAGTAGTTGTAATAAAGCTTCTCATTGTATTTCAGCTCACTGAAAGGCGGCAGAAACGGCTTTAGTTGCTCAAATGCCACCCCAAGCTCTTCACCATTCAAGAACACCTCGAGATAAGAATCTTTAAGCGAGTAAAAATCTTGACGTTCACGCTTATCTGAGGTATAGTACTCAGGCTTAGTTGTCTTGACGTAATCAGTTGCTTCGAAGAAAAGCTGGTTTTTGTAACGAATCGCGATCTGATCTCGTATCACATTCGAGTAGTCTTGGTCGCGTAACAAATCCTTTTGAAACTCACGAGTTAGTTTTTTAGCTTTCTTCTTTAAAGGTCCATCCACCGCGTTTTCGACAGGCGTTGAAAGAGCTGCAATCTTGGCTTCTGAAAAGTCCTTGGCCTGAGTTATTTGGTCCTCGGCAGACGGCAGGTGCAACACGAACCCTAGTCGATCTCCCGCTCTTATCTGTCCCGCGGGGAGCTTCTGATTCATTTTGCCGTCGTGAATCGATTCCAAGCTGAAATTTCGAATCCCGTAACCGTACAAGTCGAATCCAACTGGACATTCCAAAGACGCCTCTCGTCGCGAAACCCCTAATCTCAAGTTTGCCATGCTGTTAATTTTATCTTTCATTGACTTCAGGTCTGGGTCGGAAGTCAAATCAAGCACTTCATTCTTTAAGATTGCCACTTCCCAATAGACTGTTCCTTCTTTTATGCAAGCATCGCATCTTGCCGTCCTCCACCCCAAGGGTCTCGGCACCCCGACAGCATTGTTCGAAGGTGTAAGCACACCCATGTCCTCAGCTCTGTCCATGTAATTGAAACCTGCAACATCAAAAGGATACTCAGTTGTAGCATATTTTAGCGCACTGAATAGCGGATTGGCCGAGCACGGTGTGTAAATGAAGTTTCTTCTGTTCAGCGGTATATCTTCCGGTTTTGCAAGTTCGTCATCGACTTGCGAAAAAACGGGAAGAGAGGGCCGTGAATGAGCAGCTGATTGATCCTTAGCCACAAAATCAGTTTCTGGCTGGTAAGGGATTGTGATAAATTTCATTCGATTATCCTGTGTGACAACTCTGACTTCTCTTTAAGACCTGCTGCTTAAACGTCAAAGTAAAGTTTAACTTATGGAGATGCGTCTGCTTCCAAGAAATCTTGAAAATAAATCTCTAATCACGTGACCCATGTTTACGTTTTGGTAGTCATGTAAGGAGAACTCGGCGGCTAAACCAAAAGAGACCTCGTGTGCAAACAGTAACGCACTATTTTCCTGTTATTCTTCAAACTGGAATAGATAAGTAGCTGGTCGTCAAAACAAGAATCGGTCTGAACTTAATTCATCCTAAGACGAAGAAAAACCCAGCATAATGCTGGAAATCAAACGACCATGCACTGCTCCGTACGCTGACCACAGCCAATAGAACTGTTTTGAACTATTTGTATTTGTGGAGGATCTGATTATCATCAAATCTTCTCTCCTTGATGTTCTCCTTAGGAAACTTCCGAAGCTCAGCTCTATCTAGCCAGCTTTTAGCGAAAAGCTTGAGCACTCATCTGCAATTGATTAAGTTTGATCAAAATTGCAGCATCTTTCAAGCCTCTTTTCACACTGCTAACCCATCAACTTGTTGAGAAAAGCTTGAGATCTAGTCTTCCACTCTTTATTCCGTTGTGCAACAGGCATCAAGCCAAAAGAGCACATCGTATTTCAATCATAGTATCCATTCGATACCAATAAAGCCTGATACACCGACTTTCAAGACAGTTTCCTCTCGTCTTCTTGTAAAATAAAGAAGTTTGTAAGAGTTAAGGATCGATAATTGACATCTCATTTATTTTAATCATGAAAGATAATGATGGAAAGCTCAAGAGTGATGCTATAAAAGCACAAAGGACTCAGAAATAATCAGTATTTGTTACGTATGACTTCATTGTCCTTCCAGAAGAGAATTGAATGTTCCTGTACGTTGTATAATTTGCATCTAAGCAAACAGCTCCAAAAGTAGGCTTTCATTCAAGATTGATCAAAGTTCGCCCTAAAAATCCCTTTGTTTTGTCTGTATGGTAAGCATAGACCTCGATACTGTAGAGCTGATAGCTCATTGTTCACCTCCATGGCGTTCATTTTGATGTTCCGTTTTTCGTGGCTCATTTGAGCTTTGAGAAGTTCACAGGAGCGAAGTTATCAAATTGTTTTGATACACTGCAAACCTTCAATTTCGAGTTCTCGAGTTGAAAATGAATACCTTGATCTTAAAGGAAGCGAGTTTTGGCATTCTGATGGCCGTGTTTTGAAGGTGGACCCAAAATCTCAAAAAACAAAACCACTCTCAAGGTTGGATCTCTAAATGATCGGGTTGAACTCTTGAAATCAAAATGGATTATCAGGAACACATACTCACTACCCAATTATCGCTAACGAGCGCGGCATCGATGTGCTCACTGGCTGCTGGCGGCTTTACACCATGTAGTACTCGTGATGGGAAATATGAGTACTTTGATAATACATTTAATGAGATACACTCGAAGCAGATGATAAGTACCAACCAGCGCTATGTACAGACGTCGCGGTGGTATGGGCGAGATCGATGGGAAACGACATAGTCCAGATAGGACGCATGACGATGACCAGGAGCCGAAACGAAAGAGGCCTTCATCTGCACTGATGGGTATCACTCGGTCTATCGCTGCCTGCAAAAGATGTAGAATGAAGAAAATAAAGTGCGATCAACGATTCCCGACTTGCACTAAATGTGCCACTTCGAAAGCACCGTGTGTTTCTGTGGACCCAGCAACTGGTCGAGATGTTCCAAGATCCTATGTGGTATTCTTGGAGGATAGACTGGAGGCGATGATGCAAAAGCTCACAGACAGCGGAATAGATCCCAATAAAGTCCAGGGAAACATCCCAGCTACAGATCAAGACAATGCGTGTGATCTTGGGATTTACGAGGAAAGACTAAGGACAGACCACAAAATACGGCACGACAACGCTATGGCCGGCTATATCATCAACAATGGAACGTCCATGAAGAAGGGAGTTATCAGAACTGCTAAACCAGAGGTTGTTTTTACTGGGGATTTTTCAGAATCCAGCGAGCATACAGCTTGCGAGCCTGTTTCTGAATTAAGTGAATCGGCCAAAAGTATCCAAGGACTGGGATCCATGAAGCATTCACAACAAAGATCCACGGAATCCGCCCTGGGCGCTGCGTCTAATTCCTATTTGGGCGATTCTTCCGGAATCCCGTTCGCTAAGCTGATATTCACCGCTATAAACTTCATGCCTGATGCAGTGGAAAAAGCGTCCAAGGAGGCAGAGGATGTTCAAGTAGCAGATGAAGACAACAGCGTGCTCAATATATCATTTTTGCCAACCAAGGAAAAAGCTCAAACTCTTATCTCCCAGTATTTCACTTGCTGCAATGCACAGCTACCCATTTTACATCGGGAATATTTTCTGAAAAGATTTTTTGAACCTGTATATGGACCATGGGATACTAATGTCTCGTTAAATTCTGACACTACAATGATTAACGAGAACTTCAAGCTTCCGCCAGGAAAGAACATCATAGGTTCACCTTCCGAACTCTGGTACGAGCCGTCACTCTCGCAGCCGGGAGGCGAAGATCGTGAGATTCCAGGGAAATTCCGCATACCGCTCTTTTTCTTGAATATTGTGATGGCGATAGGTGATTCTGGGAAGATTTTAACAGCTGATGAACGTGAGTCGGCGGCCTTCAAAGATAGAGCGTCAGGACTGATCGATGCCCTGTTCAAATCAGATGATCAAATGGAAGCCTTGGCGGGCACATTACTGATAGCTCAGTACTCAACCATGCGACCAAACGTTCCGGGGGTCTGGTATACAATGGGCTCAGCCTTGCGATTAGCCGTGGACCTGGGTTTGCATGCAGAGAAATTGAATCAGAATTACGATCCTTTCACAAGGGACATGAGGCGAAGATTATTTTGGTGCACGTATTCACTCGACCGGCAGATCTGCGCGTTTTTCGGGCGTCCATTTGGAATTCCAGACGAAAATATTACCAGTGCATTTCCTAGTACATTGGATGACGCCTTGATTACTACAGCCATGGATGATATCGATGACTACTCGGAGGCGAAAAGTGCAATGGCATCCTATAAGTGCGTAGCGCTTGCATTTTTCAAAATACGAAAGCTTCAAGCAGAAATGGTTCAAGTCTTGTACACCCAACGGAAGCTTCCTGGAGGGGTTGAAAACCTCGCTATGTGGAGGGAGAAAATGAATGGGTCTCTAGACGAATGGTTTCAGAAACAGGTACCGAAGACTTCGAGGAAGATGAACTGCGATTTCCGAAGTGATCTTTTCCAACTCGAGCTCTTCCACTCTAAAGTTTTGCTCTACGGCTTATGCCCAAAATCCATGCATCTAGATGAACGTGGCTACAAGATGGTTTATGATGGTACCAAGGGTATAATTGACGTTTACTACAAACTGTGCAAAGAGGGGAACATAATGTACACATGGTTCGCTGTACACACACTTTTTATGTCTGGTGTGACATTTTTGTACGTACTTCACAACGCTGGCGTTGAACTAGGAGATACGATTCAAGATGCTGAGAAAACATGCGTGCAGTTGGTGCACGTCTTGGAGAGACTGGTTGGCAAATGCGAGGCTGCGAAGAAAGGTTCAATCATTTTCAAAGTGCTATCGGCCGCAATCTTGAAGCTCAAGCTAGAGAAATCGGACCGCTCGCGAGTGGTGGTGCAGCCTGCGCCGGAAAAGGAGCCTGAACCCAAATCCGAAACCTCGTCGCAGAGAAGTTCCTCGCGTCTTGGGTCGGACCGGGTCGAGAGCGACGGAAGTCTGGTTGCGCTTGGCGAAGAGCCCCGTTTTTCTGCTACTTCTGGAGTGGATTACGGCGCGCTTGACCAATTTTTCGCGGAATTGGATAAACTTTCCCCGTTTTCGGATCTGGGCGCAGATCTGAATGCAGAGATAGCCAACAACTACGAATCGCCTACGCATTGTGCGTCATCGGCGCTACCCACTGTTTTGCCCATAAAACCTGCTTCCACTATACCAATTGCAGCAGAGACCGGCGAACAGAAGGTATCGTCGAAACCCAGCGCGGAGATATCCGCGCACAACCCCGGTCGTGCCGATTCGACGTCCAAGGACGGTCAGCGTGTGTACGACATGATGAGCCAGTTCAGTGTGGAAACCGTTTGGGACCAAGTATTCAACACTGGCGGTGTTTACGGTGTGAGCAACGGCTCCCAGGACCAATGAAGAGAGAACGATTGCGGCGGAAAGGGAGGACCAGTTGTAACAATATACATAAATAAACAAGTCTATATGCGATACAAGAGGAAGAAGCAGGAAAGAGTGGGACAGAGTAGGACAGAGTAGGAGAACAGAAAAGAGCAGCACCCGATTGTTTCTTGACGAGAAAGAGTCTTTTATATGTATTTTAATGTATTATAGGACCCTGAGGACACAAGACGCCCCGATCATTTCTTCTCAAAACACATGCTCTAAATATCCTGTTATATAGCTTCCTTTTTTCTCTATATTTCAATAACGGTTGTTTGGCCGAGCGGTCTAAGGCGCCTGATTCAAGAAGTTCGTTTCTTAACACTGTTAAACAGTGGAATCCTCAGGTATCGTAAGATGCAAGAGTTCGAATCTCTTAGCAACCATTAATTTTTTTCGAAAAAACAAAAATCAAAAACCACTTTTTTAAGGTCAAACTTATACCTTTTAATTCGCAATTTCCAGGCCACATTATTGTCCGTTTCAGATCCCCACTTTTCGCCTTTGAATCGTCTTCCTTTCCTCAATTTCTCCGGCTCCGTTGTCTCCGAGATTTTCCTAGTAAATAGTCACTATATGTGTGACAGGTCATTCCCCGCAAATAATAGGCTAAATCACAGATCTCAGGTATAAAAGGGACAAACAACAAGAGAGGTTTATCATCGCCGCCAACAACTCATGGATTTCATGGCTGGATTAAAGAGCTGTTTTCAGCTCCAAAACTACAACAATCTGTAACGTTTAGCGTATATAACAAGTTTAGCGTTTGATTTCAGCATAAATAAGCACTACATAGCATATATATCTATCTATAGTGATGTCAGCGACAGTGGAGCAGGACGGAGGTGAATTGGAAGCCAGGTTGACAGAAACGCAAGGCTCGAGACAAAACGGTATCTCTGTAAGGGACAACTTGAAGTCTCTGGCAGCCGGTGGCGTGGGAGGAGTGTGTGCTGTGATCACAGGACACCCTTTTGACCTGCTGAAAGTGCGGTGTCAGTCAAACCAGGCTTCCGGAGCGGTAGATGCGGTGAAAAAAGTGCTGTTGGAGGCCAGAGGTCAACCAGGACCAGCGGTGCTGAACCAATTGCGTGGCTTATATCGAGGCGTGGTTCCACCGCTGCTGGGAGTGACTCCGATCTTTGCAGTCTCGTTCTGCGGATATGACATGGGCAAACGGCTGGTGACATGGGGGTCGAGCCCGAAAACCGAGATTGCAGGCTCGAGCTCCAAAACCACGCCGTTGAGCACCGGCCAGCTGGCTCTGGCAGGTCTCATCTCGGCCGTCCCTACAACGCTGGTCACTGCTCCCACAGAAAGGGTCAAAGTCGTGATGCAAACTTCAAAGGGAGCATCTTTTGCAGGCGCTGCAGGGAAACTGGTGCGTGACGGAGGTGTCAAATCGCTGTTTCGCGGGTCTTTGGCCACCCTGGCCCGTGACGGGCCCGGAAGTGCGCTGTATTTTGCATCCTACGAGGTCTCCAAACGTTACCTTTCGAGCCTCCAAACAGACGATTCCCTCAGCATCACCAATATCTGCCTTGCCGGTGGCATTGCAGGCATGAGTATGTGGATCGGCGTTTTCCCCATCGACACCATAAAGACAAGACTACAATCTAGTGCATCGGCCAGCACGATGTCAGAGGCAACTCGCGAAATATACCGTCGGGCTGGGATAAAGGGGTTTTTCCCCGGACTGGGACCTGCTTTGATGAGAAGCTTCCCGGCCAACGCTGCCACATTTCTTGGCGTCGAGCTCACTCACCAACTGTTCAAACACTACAATGTGTGAGGATAGCGATTTGAACAAAAAATAAGCCCATTTTCGAAAAATGTCTTAAAACTCTAGAGTGAATCATATTTAGCGCTATGCAAAAATGCTATATTCAATCAATCAGCATATTTCAGCCATTCCTTAGGTTTCTTCGTGTTCGAGACAGTGTAAAACTTGGACGTGCAAGAATATCCTTTCCATGTAAAATCATCATCAGGGTTACAGTTGCAACGGTTGTTGAGTCTGATACTTTCGTCAATTGGGCAGGAATGGAAGGGAACATGATAGTATCCAATATCACCGAAATGGTGAATTTCAGAGCGATCCAAGAAAAGCGCAGCACCAATGGTATGAACTGGAGCGTCACCCCAACGTTCATAGAAGAACCCACCAGCTTTGTCCAAATGATCAAAATAAGCAGAGTAAGCAGGCCCGCGCCACAAGTCCAGCCAGCCGACTTCGAAATTCGACCAAAAGTGGCACAAATTGTAGGATGCACCGTCGTCGTCGGAAATAAAGTCAAGCATGTTATTGGGGTGCACCAAGCTAGGGTTCTGTTCCATAAATTGCTTCGTGGTGTCCCAAAGAGTCTTGATAGTACCCTCATATTCACGCAAAGAGATGGTGAAAGCGTACTTCTTGCCATTGTCCTTCATGAACCTGAAAATGTCGTAGTCAACGTCACAATAGATACGGGTGTCCGGTTCCACACGCCAGTACCAGTCATAATCGGCCAACAATTCGTGTCTGTAGAAAAACCCAGATTCAAAACGACACATGTGTCTGTAAGGAAGCGAATCACCGTAAATAATTTGGTCTTCGCGCATCTGTTCCCGGACTTTGGCTGCTTTATCCGCGTCGATCCACGAGGGCAAAGACCAGTGTTCTGCTGGTACAAGCCCGTACTTGGTTGTGCCGCTCACCATTGCGGTTGTGACACGCTTGAATTCATCGCTGAACTCTTTATCGTTGAGGAAAACCCAATCGTACTGGAACTTGCTGTTGAAACGATCTTCGACGCTAGCGATAGATCCCAAAAGCGAGTAAAGATCCTCGTTACGAGCCAGCGTTACAAAAGTCGCTTTCTCCTTGCGCCCCTTGTATTTCGTGTGCTTCACTTTGCGGTAAGTGTAGCCATTTGGCTCGTCCTGGGCCTTGAATGTTTGGTGTCCCACACTGAAAGATCCACTTCCTGCACCGGTTCCTTGCACCAAAAGCCACAGAGAAGTCGCTATAATACACGCGGCAGCAACGGCACGCGTGGTGCCACTTTTTAGATTCAATTGCATGCCTTTTTAGGCTGTTAAAGAGTTGTTTTGGTTTTTAAGATCTGGTGTTTGGTGAACTTGGTGATGACAGCTGTCCACCCGGAGATTAATTTTCGTCGCAGAGAGACGTCACGAGACTAGAAATTGATAATTTGAACAGGTTTACTATGGGCTAAAGAAAACTAATGGGCAAAGGAGAGTGTCAACGAGAATGTCTTGGTAGCGCGATGAAGTTCAATTCTTGGATCACCTTTAGTGGCTTTTCTGGAGCTGCAAGTTCCTAACTTTTTTGAAAAAAATAGAGAAGTTTGTCGACATAAAAAAACGATGTCGGTGTATGTGTCTGACGAAACAGCAATTTGGGACGGCAGAGATAGAAATGATGAGAGTTTTTGATGATTATAATCAATTTCTGGTCATATCGCTCCTGGGCAACTTTATATTGCCCTTGACAAGAAGACTAAATTCGCAGCTTGTCACACTTAACAGATTGTTTTGAATAAAACTGTCCATACGTCGATTTTGAGGCTGAAAAACTACACAAAATGTCTTTGCAATTGCAATCAAGAATCTATAATCGTCGTGGCAGGACTTTCTGCATTCTTTTGAAGAGCTCGAATAAGTCATGCGAAAGCAAGTCACTTTGAACCAACCAGTCGCTGTCACCAGCTATATCATGTGACCACCATTCTTTTTCTCTGGTTTCAAAGCTGATTTGAGCGGAACGAGCCTCAACATGAACCAAGGTACCATATTTCTTATCTATTTAATCAACCTGCTTGTAAGGAGGTCGCCTTGCTTGTTTGGAGATCTCAACCTAGCGACCAAAACCAGCTTCGGACACATTAGTATGAAGTGATACGAAATGCACTCTCACCGGACTGAAAAGCAGAACCCACCCATTAGCAGCACGAGGCACCGAAATCAAACGCTTTGCTACAACGATTCAGCAAAGTCTCTAAGACCGTTCTAACTTTTTTCAAGGTGTCAAGTTTTCAAATGTCACGAAAATTAAAAGGAAGAGAACCCTGGTCGAAGTGCGTTTCGATCACCATGAAAAAAGTCCAAATGATCAAAAAATCCTGCTCTTTCGAAGTTCAAGATTCAAGATAACATCAACTTGATCAGCATCTCCACGTTCGCCTTAGCCCAACGAATTCGGTTTTCTGAACTCTGATACTCGATACTCAACGTACATAGCTATCTCAAATTTTGAAATATTACAACCTAAAGAAATATCCTAGTGTTGATGGTCATCTCAGCGTCAACTTCAAGTCATTATCCCGTCAACTTTGCGTCCTATATGTCAAGTGAAGTCTCACAGCAGTCGAATAAGCGCTCAATCTCATCTACTATAGCGAGTTTCTTCAAAAAAGACACTTCGACGGATCATTATGGCTCTGATAATACTGTCAAACCAAGTTCAATAACGGCCGATTTTGGAGATGTGGATACTACAGAACTACCGTCAGTGCCCGATTTGGTGTTGTACGAATCCAAAAATGGTGAAAGGCCCTTTTTACTCCCAATAATGCCTGTAGAAAGGCTCAAAATTCTACGTCAGAAACAATACCTACGACATATTCAAGATTCACAGCTGGGCCAAGTAGGAGTGGGCATCAATCCCAGCTCAACGGCTAAACTGGCAGAGAAGCAACTGGTACCTTTGAGGTCTTTGAAAAGAAGACCTCTAAACTCAGCCTCACGTTCCGCGCAGCTGCCCAGGAAGCGTAAATTTACCAGTAAGACAAGCTTGGGAAAACGATGGAGCGGTGATTTTGACTACGATCTCTCCGAGTATGATACTGTCAAAAAACCCAAAATATTGTCGTCAGTAAGCAGCGATGATCCAACGTCAAGTTTAGAGTCCCCTCGGCTCTCTCCATCGGTTCTGAAACGGGGCACAATGGGTGGAAAGAGGGTTTTATCAAGTGGTTTATCCAAGACTCAAGAAAATCTCTTGAACGGAAAGTCGCTGACAGACTTGACTTCTACCTCGACACCGCATACAAAGTCTTTACCACAAGATAGAGGCCCCGAAGCATCTGCCGCTACAAAGCCATTTTTAGCTTTGCCAAGTTCCGGCTTCGATTTCGTTAAGTCCCAGGAACCAGAAATAGTAAAGGACAAGATCCTCGACTCTGATGGCCAAAAGCCTAAAGTGCAAATCAGTCTGGATCAGAAGGATCTCCCAGCTGCGGCCAATAAGTCCTTCTCATTTCAAAAAAGTGAATCTTCTAGTGGAGATAAAAAGACAACCGAAAGCCCTTATCTTAAAAAGCCAAATACAACCTTCTTCTCGTTTGGCGCTAGTAATGACAAACCTTTGCCGACAGCCGAAAATGACAAACCCAGAGCTGACGAGCCGAAAAAGCCCATATCATTTAGTTTCGGGAAAACAACTAACGATCAACATGAAAATGTAACAAAGACGACCCCAGCTTTTACCCCAGCTCCACCACTGAAGACTTCCGCTGAAACCGAGCCCGATCAAGGTGCTAAGGAGCCTTCATTACCAAACGCGACTCTTCCTGCGCCCAGAAAAGGCTTCACTTTTGGGTCGGCTCCGAAGGATTCGGAGCCTGATGCAAGTTCTGCACCCGCACCAAAAGTAAGCGATGCCTCAGCTACCAAACCTGCATTTAATTTTGGAACTCAACAGACCGTGAAGCCGACCTTTAACTTTGGGTCTAAGAGCTCAAAACCGGTGCCAGAGTCGACATCTCAGCCCAACACCAGCCTTTTATTCCAAAGTAATACCCCCAAGAGTGAGGGCGCAAACAAGACCCCATCTTTCACTTTTGGTGAAACAAAAAAAGCAGAGGATCTTCCGAAAGAAAAGCCTTTTACATTCGGCGCCGGAAAAAAAAGTACGGAACCTGGCACCGACAAGCCATCAACTGGATTTAGTTTCGGGGCTGCGAAGGAGCCTGTTGAGTCATCGAAGCCAGGCGCATTCTCTGGGTTTTCTCTTGGCAATAAGTCTGAATCAGCGCCTCCTGAAAGTACATCCACTGTACAAAAGCCCTCATTCTCTTTCAAAAGGTCTGCTGATGAGCAAACTGGAGCTGCTCAGACTTCCGTAGCTGGTCAACCAAGCTCCACTCCTGCCGTGGAGTCCAAACCTTTTAGTTTTGGCCCTACCGAAGGAAAGGACAAATCTGCCACACCATTCAGTTTTGGATCCACCGCGGAAAACAAGTCCACCACCCCAACCTTTTCTTTTGGAAGCGGAACCCAAACCAATGCTGGGCCTCAGTTGGGAGGAGGATCTGGCTTCAAGTTCGATACAAACGGTTTGAACCAAAACATCAATCAGAATGACCAATCGAAAACGACTTTCCCAGCTAGTTCAAGCCTTGGTGCCACTAAACCGCTGTTTAGCTTCGGTAGTACAAGTCCACCAGTTGCTGCACCGCAACCACAGCAGTCTGCGACCACCTTGGCACAGCCTCCGCAAAATACTGGATTCAACTTTGGCTCTGGGTCAACTACGAGTAATAATTCTCCGGCTTTTGGGGTAAGTGCCAATAACCAACAGACTGGTTTTAATTTTGGAGCTGGGAACACAACTGCATCGTCCACACCACCACCATTTGGGGCTTCCAACCCCAGTCTCACAACAATGAACCCTCAGAGTCGGCCATTCAGTCCTTCCAACACTATCAACATGAACTTTGGGGGCGTCGCTTCTCAGCCTCCCAGCTCAATTTTTGGCGGAGGTGCAAGCACCCCAGCACAGATCTTTGGCGGGCAAGCACCGGGCACAACGGGCTCTTTTGGAAGCGGAGGAGTTAATCAAAATCCCGCTCAAATATTTGGAAGCTCCAGCACGGGCGATATACCTCAACAGCAGAGTCAAACTCCCATGTTAAATCTTCCTCCTGGTAGAAAGCTCGCTCGAATGCGGGCAAGAAGGAACTAGAACGCAGGTTATGCGTGGGATCACCTTGGCATTTGATTGTATTTTAAAAGGTATAAATAAACTTCAAAAATTCAGTCGTATACATCATATCTATTAGCTGTAGAAGGAAACACCGTCGTCGGTCGCGCCCATCCATATCTTACCTAGTTCATTGAATAACTTTTGATCGTCGGCCGAGAATGAGAACATCTCGCCAGCTCCAGGTGAGTATTTAGCACAATATGTGTAGCCGATACAAAGATCGGTAAAGCCTCCACCCCACGGGTTCACAGATACATCTGGCACAACAGCATTTTCTATGCTGATCATTGACTCGTAATATTCTCTTGCGTGATCGATAGAGGAGAACCGATCGTGAAGCTCATCTTGCTTGTATGCACTCCAATCATAATCTATGCCGTCTGTGAATTTGCAGAATTTGAATCCACTATTGAACCATAGCAGGCTACCTTCCGAAGTAGTGTGGCCCACTTGAATAGAACAAACCTCATTTGAATCATCAGCTTTACCCAAGGCACTCGCTGGTGTTTTATGGAATTTATACTCATGGTTGGTTAAGAGGAATGCTAGCCACAACGATTCTTTATCCCCATGAGTACATCTTGAGAGCTTTGGCGCCAAATTCAAAAAAACCCCTGCCAGAAGCGCATACATATGCTTTGATTTGTCCAAGGCGAAAAGTCCACTGTCCATGTGGTGTCGTTGGTGGCCAACAAATAGACTTTGTATGATGTTGTGCTCTGTGGTGGGGCTCATTGAAAGCATAAGCTGCTTGTCTATTGACCTAGGATGATTAAAGTACTTGCCTTCGAAAGGTGTGGCCTGTAATGACTGCAGTTCGGGAACACAGTAAGGAAAATCAAACTTATGGCCGAAGGCGCGATCTTTGAAGAAAAGAGTGCCTGTTGTAGTGTACTCTTCAAAAGCGAAATAATAAGACATGGGTAGAATGGACACTGCGTCGACGTCTGCAAACACGATTTCCTCAAAAGTACTGAAAAGCACGGCCAGCCATTTATTACGATAGGAAGAAAAGTCTGAAGCAAACCTCTCGTCCAGCATGGGTTTCACGTTGACAAACCATAACTTCTGGTTTGCTGGTAACGATTGAGAGACTTTGCGCTGGGATTTCAAGGACAAATCACCTTTGTGAACGATCTGGATGGGAAGTTGATTTCCCTGATGAGAGAGTACCTTCAACAAACGTATCACCAGCGGTACGTGGGAGTCCGGAAAAGACAGTACAATGCCTCGTGAGTTGGAACCGGTTGACTTTTGACATAGTCGCCTCCAATTGTCCACAAAATTTAGCTTTGGATCAAAGTAGAATTTAAAAGAGTCCTGCGGAGCTCCGCCCACGTATGGGACAGCTCCGTTTTCGTACTTTGTCAATAGATTTCCGGATGTGAATATGGGGGTCTTATTGGGTCTTAGATACGGGAACATGCGGGTGTCCAGATCTGCAAACTGGGCAGCGGGTAAAGCGTTCAGTTTTTGGCATGCCTCGAAGACGCGGATACGTTCTAAGATGAGTCTTAAATTTTCTGCCTCGTACTCGTGAGCCATATCGCCCGAAGGTGCTGTATTTTCGCGGTAGTCATTCCACCAGAGCGGTTCTGCAGCATAAAGAGCAGCGAAATACGCAGAGCAGGCTTGTTCGGGTGAAACGAAGTCATTCGACTTGTCTTGGTTCCCGCGAACGGTCGTCTTTGTCTTATCGTCTGAGGACTTCAGGGCCCATTCGGATAATAGCTGAGCACCCACATCGCGCGTCAAACTGCTTCGATTCTTCCTGTTCAGCCCTCGTCGTACCGCATGCAGCGAAAACAGCGCGGTGAGGAACAGCGCTGCGGCCACGATGCGCCTTGCAGGTTTCCTTCCCAAAAAGACCATTTTCTTTGACCGAAAATTCTAGCGGAATAGCGGGTTGTCAACACGCCACTGGAGACTTGAGTTGGCAGACGCAATGGGCACACTCTAGGGCATGTGTTGATGTCTCTAATGAGGTTTAATGGGTTTAAATTGGATAAAGAACGATGCGATCTGGATGGGCTGCACGTGACTGGTGATAATTTCATAATTGAAAAAAACGATTTTCGAGTCAAAGCGAAAAGGGAGTCGAGCAACAAGTAGAGAAGCGAGTAGAGCATCGAGTAGAGCAGCGAGTAGAGCAGCGAGTAGAGCAGCGAGTAGAGCAACGAGTAGAGCAACGAGTAGAGCAACGAGTAGAGCAACGAGTAGAGCAACGAATCAAGCAACAAGTCGAAAAACACATCGAAAAACACATCGATGTTTCCAAACTTTGGTTTTTCGCTGACACGCCCGTTGGAAAGTAAAAGAGCAAGCGCTCACAGACGATTGTATAAGATTTCACTGGCACTGTTATTCGAAATACCCCAACAAACAGCCTTGCAGTGGCACTGCGTTCACAAACTACTTTGAACTTCTCATCCTGGGTCCTGGCTTGGCTACCATGCCTGCCCACCCCTGAACACGTCGCTTCAATCTCGTGTATTCACTTTGTTTGCCGATCAAAACATGGACTTCGTCGGCAATCTTTGCTGTTGTTAGTGTCATGGTGTATTACAGGTCAAATAATCCTGTTTATGAGCCGATACTTTGGCTAAGAAACAAAGGTGTTCATGCCAGCTGTCGCGAAGCGCTCTTGATCTCCGAAAACCATTCAAAAACATGTATTAAAAGCGGAACAAAACTATCCAATAATCATCAGAACTTGATCAATGTGAAACGCATAGTTGAACCTCAAATAGAAGCAGGCCTGCACTTCTCCCTATGGATATAGAAAGCACTGGTTAGTTGTCAGTGATAGTTAGGATGAAGGGTGGTGTTGATCTTCTCAGTATTCAATATATATATGTTTATATATATATTAGTTTTTCATATCCTATCAAAAGGCCGTTTTGTATGGCGACAGTAAAAAAACTGACGTCAGGGTAGATACCTAGCTGTACAGCACAGTTTTGCTGTACAATTTTGCAGTGCAATTGCTAGTTTTTCATTTCTGGTTTCCAGGATTTTTTCAGCGTGTTACCGTTTACCTGTGAATGAAATTTGGGACCTTTTAATCCATTTAGCTTAAAAACTCCTGCGACACTTCTCGTCCGCTGGAAAGCTCCAAAAGGTCTCGAAATGTGTGGGGAAGCACATATTCGTTCAAGTGAGATCGGCTACTCCGGCCAGAAAAAAACCATTTGCAATTTTCAGTCCAGAATCGCACCAAAAAATACATAAAGCTTCCCAATTTGCTGGAGAGTTTTGACGGTGGATTATTTGACATGGAAAAAGCATTAGCAAGTGGTGAAGCTGCCCACTTGCATAAATAAATGCAACCAGGGAAAACTCATGTTGTGGCTTTGAATTAGCCTTTCCAAAACGTATCATTTGTCCCCACCATCCACCCAGTTCTCCAGGCGCTCGACTAAAACATCTAGTCACTTCTCCACTCGCCAAACAGTACCACATCTTATATGGATAACTTACCTTACAGAAAAGTCAAGCCCGGAATCGAGTCAGTGTAGCGGAGTTGATGGAACAGACGACCACATACGTTTCAACATGGCTGGCTCGCACTAGGCAATCTTGGGAAGACCGTGGGCTGCCGCGAATTGACGCTCTTTCTTTCGTTCTGGGCGCAGTCGCCGCGCTCATGCTCTCTTTCCTCGAACCCGTGCTCAAAGCCCTCATCGGTGGTATCCTGGTTAGCCTTTTGACGCTGCTGAAATACGCCATCTGCACTGGCGGCGTCATAGCGTGTTGGATCATTTTAAAGTCCAAGAAAGGACTCAATTCTGAGTCTCCTGTCAAGCCAATTGGCGTTGGCAGCACTCACCAAGATGATGCCCGGAACAAATTCGTACAGCGCGCAGTTGAAAACGCAGACGACTACGAAATCGTCGATTACAAAGATGTCAAAAGACATCGTTCACCGGCCACACAACCAATCCATGTGGAATCTCCGTACGAAAGATTCGTGAACCAGGCCCGGTGAGCTCAAGTAACGCTTCCTGGAACCAATTTAATTAACTCTTGTAAGTCGGAAAAACGCTTTAAAATTATACACCTATTAAAACATTTTGAGTTTTACTTTGTCAGCGGGGAGTTTGTAGTTTGTTGATAATTTGATGACGAGTTGGATGTGATGTAAGAGAAGGCCTGTATCGAGCCAGCTTCTAACATTGGGTAGTTTAGTGGGATTCGCCTGGGATCTCGAACACGATCTGCTTACCGGTCAACTTGTTGTACACAGCCTGGAAAGACTCCAACTTGTAGTCGACTTGCTGGACGTCCTTGGAGTCCAACAAGACCTTCTGGACCTTGTTGCCGCCAACCATGTATCTAACTCTCTTGCCGACAATTTCGGTTGGGAAAACCAAGTCTTCCAAGATCTTGTCGTGGACAGCGGTCAAAGTTCTAGATCTAGGTCTCTTTTGTTGCTGTCTGGATCTTCTGGATGGCTTTGGCAAGATTCTTCTCTCGGCCAAGAAGATGACGTGACGGTCTGGGAACTTCTTCTCCAACTCACGGGTCAACTTGGTCTGCACTTTGTGGTAGCCGGCCAACGATGGGACTGGGACAAAGATAGCAATGGCTTTCTTACCGCCACCAACTTCGATCTGGTGAAAAGGGTTAGTACGAGGGGACTTGTGGGACAAAACGGAAGAAAAAAAGGCCTTTTTTCCAGGAATACATCGCAGCCTGCTGAATTAACCACATCTGACAAAATTTGGTTGTGATGTGTCTTAACAACGGGAAGACACGGCATTCAGGATATCTGCACCACGGTATTCGAACCTGGAGGCACCGTACGGGCCTCCAAGTTTGTTCTTTCGTTGCGACGGCTCTCTTAATCTTTCTAGTGCGTTAAAAACATACCTCTCTGATAGACTTGAACTGCAAAGGTCTCAAGTCAGCCTTGGCATCTGGAGAAGCGGCTTCCAAGTCCACGAAAGCTTGGGCAACTTGCAATTCCAATTCGGTAGGAGCTTGAGACAGAATCTTAGCTTGAGCGGACATCTTGTGGTGAATTTGGATTATGACCTTGGAAGTACTCCTGCAAATAAGCTTACACCAACACTAGTTTTGACCAACTATTTGATAATATCGACAAGGTACCTCTGGTGTGAAAAATTCACGGCCACAGCGACAACCACGACACGCGAAGGCCAGGCAGAACGCCAGGCTGACTGGCCCGTGGGACTACGCGGACTCCAGACAGAGCATGATTGTTTCGCACAGGGAGGACGCTGGGTACTCCAGACGGGACGGTACCGTCGGCACAGGCAGGACCTCTGCCTAGCTCCCAACCCAGCTCTCTCTCTCTTTCCCTCCCTCGCGCTCTCTGGTGCCATTGCAACTGCAGTCTGTACAGGGGACTCTTTAGAAAGAGACCACGCACCCACGCAAAAAAAATCCCAACGGACCCACGCACTGAAACATAAAAAAATGTCAGCACGTGACACTTTCACGCAAACCAAATATCTAATTTTGTGAGATTACAAATGAAATGTCTGGGTTTAAAAGCAGTCACAAGAGAAACACCGAAGCCTGTAGAGTAGACACACACCATCATCATATATCTATTAACTCTCTTCAGGTATCCAAGCTAAGCTATTAAAGCATTAAAAGAATGATATAAGATTCTGAGCAGCAATGTGTATCACAATTTTATTCCGCATAGTTCGTGTCTCCTGTCATAGATTTCTGTAATTTCTTACCTACTTTCAAATTTCGACAGATCATTATTTTTGCAAAGAATGATGTCTTTGACTCACTTCCCCATCGACTATATTGTTACAGCCGATTTTATTCTTAACACAACCTTAAAAACGCTACTCATAAACCCTCCATACTACTACTATTCATGCTTTCTTATCTTGTTTCGTCCTATCTCACTCTCTTCATTCTCTAACGGCCTCTGAACACCAATATATTAACTGACACTACACTCTTGAAACTTTATAGATCAAGTTTAAGCTACCTAAAGCCCAAGAACCACACACTAAAAGCACTGAAAAACGGCTCTGTAGTTCATTTAAATAGTCTTAATGTCAAATCATAGCGGTTACCATTTAAAATAGCCTTCTTGGCTCATTTGGGATCGTCTCTGCCAACAAAACCTCTTTGAAAGTCAGACCAGCCAAAATGCACTTAAAACAGCTCAAAATGACACCAAATTTTACATAGTTTTCCAAAACCATCGTGTCCACATTATGGCGTCCCTTTCCAGTTCGAAACTGGCCTCTCCGAGCCCAGTTTCGTCAATCACTTTTTTTTTCGCATTCACCCAACCCACAGACGTGAAAAAGTGTGTTAATAATTAAATCCTTCTCGAGACATCTTGTTTCGCCAAAGTTTGATGTAAAGTTTAGTTTTATGTTGCGAAACTCGAGCAGATACGTTCAGTTTGTTCGGTCCAACGCTCGCAGTTTTGGTTTGAAAATGAGCCCGCTACCAGACGTCAAGAATCTTCCAGCACTGCATAGTACGCTGGAACAGGCCAAAAGATTTGCAGCTTACAGAGCGGTGGACGAAAACCTGGACTACGCCAACCACCGCGTGATTGGTGTTGGAAGTGGGTCCACGGTGATCTACGTGGCAGAACGTTTGGGCCAGTACCTTTTGGATCCCAAATTCTCTATCTATGCATCTCAGTTTGTATGCATTCCTACAGGATTCCAATCCAAAGAGCTTATCCTCATGAACGGACTCAGACTTGGGTCTATCGAACAATACCCGGCTCTGGACATCGTGTTCGATGGTGCTGACGAGGTGGACGTGAACTTGCAGCTCATCAAAGGTGGTGGTGGGTGTTTGTTCCAGGAAAAACTGGTGAGCACTTCTGCAGCCAAATTCATCGTGGTGGCCGACTACCGTAAAAGATCTCCCAAGTATCTCGGTACCAACTGGGTCAAAGGTGTTCCCATCGAGGTGGTGCCCTCCGGGTACACCCGTGTGCTAAACGACTTGAGGACCAAACTAAAGTGCAAAAACGCCGTTCTCAGGCAAGGTGCTCCCGCAAAGGCTGGACCAGTGGTCACCGACAACTGTAATTTCATCATTGACGCGGATTTTGGAGAAATCGAGCACCCTGAGAATCTGCACCGGGACATCAAGATGTTGGTGGGCGTAGTAGAAACGGGTTTATTCATTGACAACGCTCAAAAAGCGTATTTCGGGAACCCCGACGGATCCGTCGAGCTACAAGTATGAAAAGACTCATTGTCACTCGCATAACGGTGTGCGTGTGTGAGATGGGCGATCAGAGCGCGTGCACAAATTGGTGTCCTTTGTATAGTAGCAACCAGGTCGACTTTCGCGCTCTCTCTTTCAGGGCCCTCTCTGGTTTTTCTTAAATGCGCTACGTTTCCATATTCTGTTCTGAAAGACACAAGCGAATTCGGGGCCCCTATGTCGACTTGGTGATGGTGGTGGCCCGCTACGATTACAGACGACATTCCATTCAAAAAAATTACTATTACATTGTATAACGTCAGATGCAGACAAAACAAGCGGTCACAAGAATCAAAATCACTTGTCATTTCATTTTCACTTCATTTCATTTCTTGTCTTTAGCTTTTGTGTTATTGGTGATCCATGACAGCCCTTCCACTAGACCCTGGCCCGTCAGCGCGTTGCTTCCGATGACGCACCACAATTGGTTATCCAGATGGTCGTTGAGCTCCAGATAGTCAGAAATTTGCTGCGGACCCATTGCACCCTTCAAATCCTGCTTGTTGGCCAGCACCAGAAGCACCACGTCCTCCATTTCCTTATCACTGATGATGCTGTATAGCTCTTCCTTGGCCTCGTTGAGTCTGGCAGAGTCCTGCGAGTCCAGCACGAAGATGAGCGCCGTAGTGGCCGGGAAATAGTGTCTCCAGAGCGGCCTGAGTCGATCTTGCCCACCAACATCCCACATGTTGAACTTGACGTTTCTGAACGAAACTGTTTCCACGTTGAATCCCACAGTGGGGGCCGATGTCTTGATTTTATTGAGTTTGAGCTTGTACAGAATTGTTGTTTTACCAGCGTTATCGAGCCCGAGCATCAGAATCTTCATTTCTCGGTACCCGAACATCTTTACCATTACCTTTGATATAGAGTTCCCCATGGTGCTTTGAATTCAATGTGAGTGTTGTTTTGGCTGGTGTTTTGGCTGGTGTTTTGGGCTGCGAGAAAAGGGATGATTCAGATGTTAAAACCAGAAGTAAATAGCGTCAAGAGTCTGAGATGGAGAGTCAAAAGGTTATACAAAAGGTTATGGTTATGGCGTTACCGTGAACTCAAGTATGGATAATACTAGTTCTCAACCAACCGTTCGTCTAAAAAGGAATTGTAGTCATGTGAATAAGTTCAGCGACAGTGAAAGACACGACGGAGAAGAGAAGAGTGACAAGATATGGGGAAGTTAAGCTCGAGAGCAGTGAAAATTAGCAGAGAGAGAGAGATGTTGTTTTCTAGGCTTTTTGTCAATTCAGGACTCGCTAGTTCAAATGGTGTCAAAATTGATCCACCATGAAGTATTTCACGTTGAGCGACACGAAAAGATGTAGATGGTCCAGTTATAGGGAAACTTACAATATGCACACACATACAAACTCACATGCGCATGTGGACTTAGAGCTGTGGATTTGGATATTTCATCAGTCGAGAATATTTTGATACTCGTTGTTCAGTAAATGTGAATGAAGTCCAGGTCATTTGTTTTCTATTGTGACGTTGGGTCTCTAATTGGCATCGGTTCAGAAGAGCACACACGTACAAAGTGATGTGTCAAATGAAAAATAAATTACGTACATAGTGATATACAAATAGATGACAGATACGTACAGAGTGATTGGAAAGGAGACGAACCAGATAAAGAAAAGAAAAGCAGCAGCTATCTTTCTCATTTTCACGGTTCACTGGAACCCTCTCCCTCACAGAGCTCATTCTCGAGTATATTTTGATAGAATGAGAACAGAATGAGCAGCTTTTTTTTTGATTTCCTCTTTTTGAAGCATTTTTCCTGAAGAAACACGAATTTTGCCATCAAACACACCGCGATAAATCCAAATATCGCTGATTCTGAATCATCCTGGCGTTGCATTGTCTCCAAACGGCCAGCTCTCTCTCTCTCACACACATTACATATTTTTGAGATAAATATTAACTATCACGTGACGAGCTCGATTCTCCGTTATTAAATAAACACCTATATGTATATGCATTCTTTCGATGAACCATAATAGAAAGAGCTTTGTCAAGACCAAAAGAGACCCCGTTTCCGCCTCCAATGGACCTTTCCATACCCGATGGCCTGTCTTTAGAGGCCAAGTCGAAACTTCGGATGCTCATACAAGAGTTTGAGGACGGAGATCTGACGGCAAAAGGCTACTACAGAAAAAGACATGAGCTGTTGGATCAAAATCAAAATCGAAATCAAAATGCATTGCCAACGTCACCGCTGGCGTCTAGAAGATCCACAACATACGGTAATCTCGGCCACACGCGAAACACAAGCGTGGCGTCCACAATAAGGTCGCACATCTCGCGAACAACACCCAAAAAGGACAACTACGTCATCGACACTTCCTCACCAACGATCAACTCGAGACAAACTTCAACATCCATGTATAGAGTCACAACGCGGAATTCGAGCCTTCTCAACAGCGTGGCAGGATCCTTGAAGTCCCCTCCACCAGGTACCGAAGACGGTGATGCGGGTCCCTTCTATAAGCCTATGATGCCTTTACTGCCGCGGACTGAAAGCGCCCCTGTATTAGACTCTTTGCCCTCCATTCTTCGCGCACGCTCGCAGCTCTACGAGCGTGAGACTGCCTTTCTGTGCATCAATCATAAAAACAAAGAAACTAGCATCTCGTGGGACAAACTCTACCTTCGAGCAGAACGTGTGGCACACGAAATCGAAAAACACAGACTCTACAAAATGGCCAAAGTGCTCCTATGGTTCAACAAGGACGATCTTGTGGAGTTCGCGGTCTCCATGTTGGGGTGCTTCATAGCCGGAATGGTGGCTGTTCCCGTGTCACTACAAACATACTCCCTTGGCGAAGTCATCCAGATTGTGAATTTAACAAGTGCAACGGTGGCACTCATTTCAGATACTTGTTTGAAACAAATTGATAATTTAGAGTATCGGGACAACGCCAAAGTTAAGCTGACGAGGGAAGGAGTTTTATCCCAAATGACATATATTGCTACTGAAGACCTGGGTACATACTCCAAGGCCAAAAAAAACAAACCCACTTTCGAGATCCCTAGCGTTTCTTACATTGAATTTACCAGAACACCACTCGGCCGTCTGTCCGGTGTGGTGATAAAGCACAAGATTCTATCCAAGCAACTAGAAACGCTTGCGAACATTTTAAATTCACGAAGAGAGACACACGGGACTACCGGGGACATCCGACGGTCCTACAAAAAAAATAGAACTGCATCTCGGTATACTATCCTGAGCACCCTGGACCCGACAAGGTCGACTGGATTGATCTTTGGCGTCCTTTTCAATATTTACACGGGTAATTTGCTAATGACTTTTGACGATAGTTTGCTCCAACAGCCTGGCTTGTATGAAAACATTATTAACAAACATCGTGTTAATGTTTTGCTAAATGATCAGCTGCAATTGAAACAAGTTGTCATCAACTACTTGGAAAATCCTACTTTGGTAACTTCCAAGAGAAACAAAATCGACATGGGTTGTGTCAAATGGTGCCTAACTTCTTGCACAAATATTGACACTGAAGTCACTGATATGATTGTTCACAAGTGGCTAAAAAATTTGGGGTGCTTAGATGCCTCCCAGTGTTATTCCCCGATGTTGACACTTCTTGATTTTGGCGGTGTGTTCATCTCCTTAAAGGACCAATTGGGCCACTTGGAAAACTTTCCGGTACACGACCAGAAATTACTACTACAAGACGAACTTTTTATTGATAAAGAACAGCTAAAGGAAAATATTGTGAAGCCAAGCATTACCGCTATGATCAATTCCTCTAGTTCCACCAAAGACTTTCTTAGACTGTCATGTTTCGGGTTTCCTATCCCCGACGCCACTGTATGCATTGTGAATCCCGATGACAGCACACTTGTTCCAGATCTTACAATTGGCGAACTTTGGGTATCCTCTTCGAGCATTACGGATGAGTTCTATCAAATGGACAAAATCAATGAGTTTGTTTTCAACGCGCGACTAAATTTTAAGAAGATGTTTGAAATTGCACAATGGATGGCGCTGGACGCCTCAGGTGACGCCTCCAGGTCATTCGAACGGCTTGATATGATCAAAGAGATTTGCAGTCCAGAAAAAACCTATATCAGGACTAAGTTGATGGGATTCGTTCATAATGGTAAGATTTTTATCCTGTCACTGATAGAGGACATGTTTTTGCAAAACAAGCTTGTCAGGTTGCCTAACTGGGCCCACACATCCGATGTCACCAAGGCTAAAAAGTCCGAATCATCCGGAGAAGCGCAAACTCCCACAAACCACGGGTCACTAACGTCAAGAAGAATAATTCAGACATTTTACCTTCAGCATATAACAGAAAATGTTGTACGAATGGTGGACAAGGCGACCGAGGTCTCAGTGTTTGAACTGCCTCAAAACAAGGAGGAGCATTTTCTGGTCATGGCTGTCGAAAGCCCGTTGGCTGTAAATGCCTCTGCGGGTGCCATGGTCATTACTGCACAACAAAAAGAACAGCATGAAAAAAAGATGGCAGTCGTGGTAGAGCAGATTTACAAAATTCTTTGGATCTTTCACAGGATACAGCCACTGTGTGTCATGTTAGTATCCCCTCGTTCCCTTCCGCGAAGATATTGCTCACTCGAAATTGCCAATAGCACAGTTGAGAAAAGGTTTTTGGGCGGCCTTTTAAATTCGAAATATGTGAAGTTCCAGCTCGACAATGTCATCTTGGATTTCATTCCGCATTCAAGCTTCGTAAATGAAAGCATTTTCTCCGAGCATTTATCATCTCTGCGACACGAAGCCATGGCACAAGAGGTATTCGCTGCGACAGGTTCTCCACCGCAATTGACCTGGCAGACATCGGGAATAGATTATCGCGAGAAAGCATTGGACTATAGGAGCAACACGGATTTAGCTCCATTCCCAAACATTTTAGAGATTCTTGAGTGGAGGTCGCGCAAAAATGGCGATGAGTTTGCTTTTAGTGATGGTCTTTCTGGTACTTCGGCATCCACTGCAAATCCCAACAATCTTCACAGCAAAGTATCTTGGAAGTCCTTCTTATCAATTGTGGGTAGTTTTGTCAAAAAAATCGTGCAATCGAAGAATCCTTTGATGAATGGAGATTTCGTTATTGTCATGTGCGATAACTCTGTGGAGTATGTTGCCATGGTTCTGGCATGCTTCTATACAAATTTGGTGGTCATACCGATTGGGCGTTTGAACGAGTCGCACGCTGAAGAAGAAGTGGACTTCCTATTAAGCACTGTGGTCAACTACAAAGTGAAGAGAATATTTGTCGATGCCAAGATGCAAGCTGTGCTTGAAGATGGCGTCAATATTAGTAAGATGTTGAGACGTTATAAGCACCTCCTCCCGAAGATCACAACTTTCTCGAAGATCAAGAGGAAGGGGGACACATCTACTTCGGGACTCAAGTCTTTACTCACAGGAAGAGGCACTTCTGGTTCAGATGCTTCTGGTTCTTGCGTTGTGTGGATAGATCGTGAAAGAGATATCGACCGCGAACTGAATGTGGTCATGACACACAAGGTGTTACTCAACATCTGCAAGATCTCGAAGGAAACACTGCAGCTGACCAGCGAAAACCCGGTGATATCAGTGTATACTCACACATCTGGCTTAGGGTTCATTCAGAGTTGTCTTCTTGGGATATACGTTGGGGCAACAACTTCCTTCTTCAACTTTGACGATGTTCTGAGTGATGCGACAAATTTCCTGGTTGCGCTGCAAAATAGAAACGTGAAGGACTTGCTACTAAGCCCGGAAATGTTTTATGCTGTTATGGACAGGGCAAGCTCTTTGGTTCAAAAGAGTCAGGGCCAAAGCTCGGCTTCTGGAAGGAAGGATTCTAAATCTGTCAAGTCGGTTCTCCGCTCGGATTTCCTGCAAAAAGTTCAGAATATCATGATACCCTCAAAAGGTAGACCAAGTCTTCTTGCCATCGAAAATACGTTGGCTAGATTTCCTTCAATTAGCGTCAGCCCAACGCAATTGAATCATTTGTACCAGCATTTGTTCAATCCGTTGATCTCTTTGCGCTCCTACTTGGGTATACCACCGGTGGATGTGTACCTCGACCTTGTTTCCCTGCGTGAGGGCGTGATCAAAGAGGTTGATCCCAGTGTCTTGCCCACAAAAGATTCGGGACAATATTTGCATTTGCAAGACTCGGGCGTTGTCCCGGTTTGCACAGACGTCTTGGTGGTAAACCCCGAGACGCTTCAGCCGTGTTTCGAGCATGAAATTGGCGAACTTTGGTCATGCTCAGAGGGAAATGTGTACGATTACAACATAAGTCCTGTGGTTGCTGCTGAAAGACGGATAGGACAGACAGGTACCAAAGCAAACAAGAGTCAGCTGGGCAAACTTCCGTTCATTTCGAGTCAGTTCAAATCTAAGCTTCGAGGCGATGCTGACAACGGCTTATCATACCTGAGAACTGGTGATTTGGGGTTCATGAAGAGCATTAAATGCACTGACTCCAGGGACAACGTCTTGAGCCTGACGGTGCTCTATGTTTTGGGCAGTATCAACGAAACCGTTGAAATTTTGGGTCTCACCCACTTTGTGTCCGACCTCGAGCAGATCGTGAGAGACGCCCACTCCAGCATCCAAAACTGTTTGATAGCCAAGGTGGGTGGCTTGCTAAGTTGTCTGATTGAGTGTCGTGGCAACAAATCGCATGAATACTCGAATTTGACCCCGCTCGTGGTCGCTGCGCTTTTGAAAGACAGTGGCATAGTCTTGGATCTGTGCTGTTTTCTCAAACCTCAGTCACTTCATTACAGCATAAAGAGATGGCAGAACAACCGCATGACCATATTGTCCGACTGGCTACGTGGGAAGCTCAAAATCGACGCCCATTTCGGTATCAATTATGGTGAAAACAATTCTATTTACCTGTTGTCCGATTTTGAGAAAGAAGGCTAAAAAAGAATAAGCTATCTCGTTCCCACATTCACACCTCCCCAAAGTTTGAACGGTAGTATGTAACAATAGCGCATCTCTGTCGTGTGCTCTTCCAGATACTCGGTGCTACATAATTCACCGTACATCTACCCATTTTTGCAGTCGATCCTCTACTTGACTCTTCAGTCGAGATGTGACTTTACGATAAGATTTGTACAGTCAACGTTATAAACTCTGATGAACATGTTGACAGCTTGAAGAACTCAAAAGCATTCAAAGAGAGAAAGCCGTTCTTCATTCAGGTTAAAGTTTAAATCAATCCCAAGCGTACTGAAACTGTTTGTCCTGAAAACAGCTTTTTTTTGATTGTTAAGGTGAGCTTTTGGGTTTAATGACAATAACGCTAGGACAGGCAATTTGGGCATCCGTGAAACCCATCATAAAGATCTATCTGATCATCGGAAGTGGATTTCTTTTGTCGAAATTGAATATTTTATCAGCGGAAGGAATTAAATGCATTTCAAGCATCGTTTTAACACTTCTGTTGCCATGCCTGTCATTCAATAAAATTGTTGGAAACATCGAAGATCAAGACATAAAACAAGTGGGCATTGTATGTCTTACCTCGGTCTTAATATTTGGCACGGGTATATTCTTCGCATTCGTGGTACGTTTGTTTTTCCCTGTGCCGAAAAAATGGCGGGGAGGTATTCTGGCCGGAGGAATGTTCCCAAACGTTAGCGATCTGCCGATCGCTTATTTGCAAACGATGGACCAGGGTCTCATTTTCACCCAGGAAGAAGGTAACAAGGGTGTGGCGATCGTTATCATTTTCCTCACTATGTTTCTGATTGCGATATTTAATTTGGGTGGCTTCCGGCTGATAGAGCAGGACTTCAAGTACTTCGACGAGGAAAGCGCCATTCGGGAGACAAAGAGCGAAGAAAATTCGGGGTCGGATGCAGAGGTCAGCGGTTGTACAGCGGATGGCTCGCCTGCGGCCCCTGGCGGGGCGCTCAGCTCGTACAATTGCGATGAGAATCACAAAAGGACGCCAAGCCTGGCCTCAGTGACGCCTGAGGAATCACATAGCCAGAGCATCGACTCCAATTACCCTCGACCTCTACAAAACGATTATGACTCTCAGTCCATGCATCGCAGACGTGAATCGAATGCTAGCTCTGCCCGCACTTCCGGATCACAGGAGGCAGCGTCAAATAACGTCTCAGAACTGGTGCGACAGTACTCGAACGTTGATCAATTCGGACGTAGGCAAAGCGTATCGCATCACTCGCAGCAAGGTTTAAACAGACGATCCTCGAGACTTGATAGAGTGCGGAGCTCGAGTTTGGTACGGATGGTGACTTCAGATGTAAATGTCAACACTAAGGATTTTGAGGATTCAGGCAAATCGCTTCCTAAGTGGCTGCACAAACTGTCCCCCACACGCTACATTGTCTTTTTCTTGAAAAACTGCTTGAGACCCTGTTCGATAGCTGTTATTTTGGCGCTTATCATTGCATTTGTCCCATGGCTTAAGGCACTTTTTGTGACCACTCATAATACACCCAAGATTAAGCAAGCGCCCGACGCTCAGCCGGCTTTATCGTTTCTAATGGACTTCACATCCTATATTGGTGCAGCTTCGGTGCCTTTTGGTCTTCTTCTTTTGGGAGCAACTTTGGGACGTCTTAAAATTGGCAAGCTTTATCCTGGGTTTTGGAAAAGCGCAGGCCTTCTGGTCATTTTGAAGCTTTGCGTCATGCCAATCTTTGGCGTGCTGTGGTGTGACAGACTTGTCAAGGCGGGCTGGGTCAATTGGGATGACGATGCGATGCTTCTGTTTGTCATCGCGATCGATTGGGCCCTTCCCAGCATGACCACGCAAATATACTTCACTGCTGCGTACACCCCCGCGGAAGCTCTGGACACAGTGCAGCTTGACTGCATATCGTTTTTTTTGATGATACAGTATCCTCTCATGGTTGTGTCCCTACCATTTTTGGTAACCTATTTCCTCAAAGTGCAAATGAAGGTTTGAAGAAGGACAAGCTATGATATATGGATGCATTATATTCCGTGAAGCTTTGAGTGCAAGAATTTTTGCGAAAGAACTAAATGGCCTTGGTGATCCGATCTGAATAAAAGACTGAAAGTATGCAAATGCGGCAGGGGGCGTATTTTCCACTCCTACCATCCGGGGGGTGGATGGTATGCAAAAAAGCGTCTTAGGAGCTTACACAGTTTGAATATCCTACCAATCTGCCATTAGTTGTTGCTGTGTGACGGAAAGCAAAGAAACATAAAAATTACTTTTCTCGTTTTTTTTGCCAAGACCAATATAAAACTGTTCCGCGATGTTTCCCCATGCAAAACTAGGATAAACCTCACGCATTTACCAGGATCTGATGTGATTTTTTGGATCTCTGTTCTCGACTCATCGGTGTGTCACTTCACACAAGTCACCAATGCGGGACCGTTTTCTTCGATAAACCATCAAACAAATTCACCGAAATGCTGAATCGATTAACCAAAAGGCTTGGGATCCATAGAATCGTCAACAATTCGCACTTGGACAGCGACTGAATCACACATTCCCAGTTATCACCAAACACGTGATTTTTTCAACTGGATAATTCAACCAACTCATCGAATAATAAACCAAATCAAGCCAAAACCTTAACATTTCACATTACAACGCAAGACTACCACAAGCATTTTAGCACTTCAGGCAACTCGCGTCTCCACGTTATCCGGTGGCTTACTGCTCGAAGCTAAACAATTGGAATACTTGTTTGCAAAGGTGAGGATTAAGATCTAAAGTGTTTTTTTTGCCGTTTTGTTGGATATACGAAGCGTTTTGTACCAGACAAGATCTCTTTCTTTGTCTAAAAGATTCAAACGTCGATCTTTGGCGAAGAAAAAGCTGAAGATGAACGGCAACGAGGATGCAAGGGGCGGTTCAGCGGCTTTGAACAAGCGACAGCGACTCCTGAACATCATGAGGACTACTAGGGACGTTTACGTGCCCACATTCACAACGACGATCTCACAGCTAAAATCGGAGGCCAGCAGTACGATCAGAAGCTACTACGATGGTACCGGTGCTGGCGGTGCAGCCCCAGTGGGTGGTCTCCCGGTTTGGCCCCCAGATATGCGAACTTTGATATACCCTTCATACACGCGAATGGTTGACCAGAACCGTTTTGAAACTCATATTCGAGGCCTAGTTTACACCCCTGGCACCATGAACCGTAAATCACGGCTGGTTTTGTCTTTGTGTCGACAACTGATAAGACCTACGTCTCCTGGTGCAAAAGCCAGTGCAGATGAACAATTAGGACTGTCTTCGAATGATTCACAGTCTACTTTCGAAACCAGCTCCAGTCATTCATCTTTGGGGCTCGATTCCAGTGAAGAAGACACCTTGCGGTCCAGAATATCTGGTTTTTTGCAAAAACACATAATGGGTGTCTCGATGTCAATTGACATTTCGGACGGTTTGAATGAGCATGAGTTCACTAATATCGCCACCGACAACTGGGGCAACTACGACATCAAGATTCTAACGTCTTTTAAACCTGAAAAAATCTGTGCGAAGATCGAGGTTCCCGACGGTATGTCTGCGGATTGTCCTGTCAATTTAGTCCAGGATCACGGATTTGCGCTCATAAGTGATGTTGACGATACTATTAAGCATACGGGTGTGACTGGCGATAAGAGGTCACTCTTCACCAACGTGTTTGTGCACGATTTCAATTTCTGGGCTGTTCCAGGAATGTCAATGTGGTATAATACGCTTAGGGATTCCGAAAATGTGAATTTCTTCTACGTTTCCAACTCCCCTTTCCAGTTATACCCTCTTTTGGACGACTACATATCCCAGTACTTTCCGGCAGGTCCGCTCTTTCTTAAACGGTACTCTGGGAATCTCGTCTCGAGTTTGATGTCTTCGAGTGCTAAACGGAAACTGGGCTCCATACTAGGCATTTTGGCCGATTTCCCGCACAAGAAGTTTATCTTGGTCGGAGACTCGGGGGAGAGAGATTTGGAAGCGTACACGGAAGCTGTTAAGCAATATCCTTCACAGATTGCGGCAATCTATATCAGGTGTTGCAAGGACTCGATGAGTGATTTGACGGTCAATACGCCAAAAGTTGCTGAAGAACTGAATTCGATGATTGAGAAGAAATACTACAAACAAGTGGGCGTGCCAAGAGGCCACGACGACGACAAAGCCTCCCATACCATTTTTGCGTCCAACAGTGAGGAAAAACGCAAGCCAAGTAAACCGCAACAAAAGCCAAATTTGACAAACGATCAGCAACACGAAATAGACATCTCCAGGGCCACAGCGCCGGCTCTTCCGCCTAGGAAACATGCTACTTTCTCCACGGGGGGCAAGGATCCGCTAACGTTCGACCGCAGCTACACGGACGATGCCATCTACTGCACGCCGTCTTCGCAAAACGACTATGGGGCGTATTCCACCTTTTTCGACTCTAGAGCCGATTCCTGGCGTCAAAGGGTAATGCATACGATTTTGGAGCTCAAGAATTGTGGAGTAAACATCCGGTTCCAATTCTTCACGCAGCCAGAACTATGTTTGGAAGACAGCATTGAAATGATCAGGAAACAGAAAAGTGCAAGTGAACACGATGCGGATGTTACGTTACGCTGAACAACACAGAATGATAATGACGATTAACGAGAATACATTTTCAATCGATTGAAAGAAGTAATATTAAGTACTAAATAGAATTTAGATATTTGGGATTTCCTGGAGGAGTCCAATGATGAACCAGGATGGATGTGTGAGTGTGTGTGTTGGGAAGATCAAGAGAAACAAAATGTCTTCATGCAGATGCAGTGGGGGCAGCTTTGAGCGGCATATCGAACGTAGGGTTGGAACCGTCGCCGTAGTCCTTGATGCCGTCGTCGGTTTTGGTTTCTGCTTCTTTCAAAGCCTGGGTGAATTCCGACAGATCCCAAGCGGAGCCCTGGGAAGCGTCCAAGTCGTCTGCCTCTGCGAACTTTTTGTCTTCCAAGAATTTCTTCATCATCACCTCGCGGCCCGAAGGTTTGCGTTTGCTATCCCCGAGACGCTCTGCGTTCAGCTTTTGAGCGATGTGGTTCTGTTTCCACTCTGCAAAGTTCGCCACGGTGATCGGGGTCAGTTTGGCCCTGTCCAGACGTCCTCTTTCGGTCTCGATGAACTCTTCCAGCGTGATCTTGGGCTGCAGATCCAGCGCCTCCTTTTCCAAACGTTTCTGTTCCTTGGTCTTGAGCACGAAGCCCTCGGGCAACGAGTGCCGGTACATACACTTGTCGCCGCCGTTGGGACACACCCAAAACCACCCGTACTTGCCGTTTTCCACCGCCTCGATGAAAAACTTGCACACTTTGTCGGTTGTGGTCTTCGGATTGCCGTGTTTCGACAAGATCACCGACCGCAGTTTTTCCTCGTCCCACGACTCCATCGTGTCCTCCTCCTTTTCCGTTCGCACGTCCTGGTACAGATCTTTCTTCTCCACGCGCCGACCCACGTTCAAGTCGTGCGAGAACTTGCATCTCGCGCCCTTGTTACAGTTTCCGATCTTGAACATCGCGCACAGCACTGTTTTCGGGTCCACGCCCGCCCGGATGCTCTGGTCCATCGCCGGGTTGAACAGCGCACGTCGCTCTGCCTCCTCCTGCTCCTTGCGCGCCTTCTCCTCGGCCTTCTTACGTTTCATCTCCTCCTTTTTCGGATCCGTCTGCGTCTGCACCTGCTGGATGTATTTCTGCACCTTGGTCGACCGATTCTTGTTTTTCATACCAAAAGTCTTGTCGACATTGTCCTTTTTCTTAGCAGGTTGCTGCTGTTTGTTCGATTTCTTTGGGGGCATCTTTAGCGAGGTTGGCGAGGTTGCGAGAGTTGCGAGGGTGTCGATTCGCCGTTGATTTCTTAGCCTTTTTATACTTTTTTGAGAGGTGAAGTTCCAAAAGTTCCAAAAGGTTCAAAAAGTTTCAAAAAGTTTCAAAAGTTTGCTTATATTGGATGAAAAAGATTTGAATATTTGAATATTTGAATATTTGAATATTTAAAGATTTGAAGAGCTCACCAACTACAACAAGAAAGTGTAAAAAGGTGAGAAAAGAGGTGGAAATCAGTGGGAAAATGAGTATGATCTTGGGCGCAATGGAAAGATACGTTTGTCGCGTACGTGGGGGAAAAAACGCGGTGCGAAACGGAGCATTTTTGACCTGTTCAGCAGCGGTTTTGAGCTACGCTTTGTGGGACCAGCGAGCGGTGTCGTGCGAGGGCGTAAAGGGCATCAAACAGTACAGCTCGAAGCCCGGACAGGAGCGCGACGGCACCAGCAGCACCGTGGCGCTGCTGTCGCAGCGCCAGGTGACGGAGCGGCTGCGCCAGCGCGACCAGAGCTACTACGTGCATCGGGGACGCGGGGTGGTGCGCTACGACACCGCACAGCTGCCGTCCAACGCGCCCATCGAGGATACGCATGTGGAACAGGTCGTGACTGTGCCCCGGACGCTGTCCCAGACGGCAGCAGTTTCAGGCCAGAATCATGATGATCTCGACGACGACCTATACTTCTTTGGCGTTTTTGATGGACACAGCGGACCCTATACCAGCAGCAAACTCGCACAAGTGCTAGTTCCCTATGTGGCCCACCATCTGGGTCAAGTTTACGGCCAGGGCTCCGGCCAAAGCTCCGGCGCAGACGCGACCAACAAAGCCATCGTCTCTGCGTTTTTGGCACTGGATCGCGACCTGGTCCTGGGTTCCCTCGACACGCTCTTCAAAGACCCAACGAAAAAAAACCTCATCAACGCTTTGCCCGCGATCTCGGGCTCCTGTGCGCTCCTGGCCATGTTCGACTCTGCGTCCTCCACGGTCAAATGTGCAGTCACGGGCGATTCCCGGGCCCTCCTGGGGTCTCAGAACGCTAACGGCGTCTGGTCCATCAAACCTTTGTCTGTAGACCAAACAGGCGACAGTCCCGAGGAAGTGGCTCGCATTCGAGGTGAACACCCGGGAGAACCCAATGCGGTTCGCAACGGCCGGGTCCTGGGCTCCTTGCAACCCTCCAGAGCATTTGGCGACTATCGCTACAAACTTAAAGAATTGAATGGGAAAACAGTGAGAGATCTGCCGGACCATTTGAGAGTCTACTTCCGTCGGGAACCCAGAGACCTCAAAACACCGCCCTATGTGACCGCAGAACCTGTCATCACGACCACCGCGATCGACGCAGATGCCAAATTCATGGTTTTGGCCTCTGACGGGCTATTTGAGCTGCTAGAAAACGAAGAAATCAAAGATTTGGTGGTAGAGTGGATCAACAACGACAAGGGCATGGCCAAAGCTCCCTCTTCCAAACAGTCCAACTCTTTCCTCGAGGACAAGAACGCCGCTACGCATCTGATCCGAAACGCGCTGGGCGCTGGCGGCCAGCGCGACTATCTCTCGACCCTAGTTAGCATTCCGGCGCCCATGAGCCGCAAATACAGAGACGATCTCACGGTCACAGTTGTCTTTTTCGGGCAAGAGGCTGACGCTGCGCAAAAGCCAACGGGAGAGCTAACGTTGAACCTCGAAGCTACAGCCTCACCCAAACCTAAGCTTTAATTGAGTTATCTGTTGCACAGTATATGTGTGTGTGTGCGAGGTCCAGATTCACAGATAAGCTAATTTTCTCTCAAAACCAACCAAATTTGGACCGGATTCCAATGTTTGGTAGCTCCAATTGCTAGTCAGTGATTCTTCCGTGACCCTGATGATCTCAAAACTCTGGAAAGTCCTTATCAAGCCTCGTCCCATCCCAATGACAGTAAGAAGCATTTTTTCAACTATATTACTGACATCGCCGATTCAGACACAATTTGGACACGCGAATTCAACCAAAACTGGATTTAAAGACGACCTACACTTCAAACCTCACCGCAAGATCATTAGAATCCCTAAAAGTCCTCTCTTACCCTCAAGTTCTCTTCAAAAGCTCTGGCTAGTCTCTTCTTTCTCTAAAAATATTGATATATAGAAGGGCTTAATTTGACGACAAATATGAAAAATGATGAATTGAATTCGAATCTTGATTTCAACAGAAACTAGTACAAAACAGAACGTTCAGACGTCCAAACGTCTGTGAAACTGTAACAAATCGTCAACTCAAGTTGAGGAACTATATTGACCCTTTTTCAGCGCACGTTTAGCGACTTTTTTGGTGGTTTTAGCGCATCTGCAAGGGGTTCAAACTTCAAAAAGAGATAGGAACATCAAAGCTGCCAAAAATCTAGAAAATAAAGACAAAATGAACAGTCCCGTTACATCCATCAAGCTGGTCTTACTGGGGGAAGCTGCTGTGGGCAAAAGTTCGATCGTTTTGCGATTTGTATCGAACGATTTCGCGGAAAATAAGGAACCAACGATCGGTGCAGCTTTTCTCACTCAACGGGTCAACATGGGCGACCACACGATCAAATTTGAGATCTGGGACACTGCAGGACAGGAGCGGTTTGCATCACTTGCTCCCATGTACTACAGAAATGCACAGGCCGCACTGGTGGTGTACGATGTGACAAAACCGCAATCTTTCATCAAAGCCCGTCACTGGGTCAAGGAACTGCATGAACAAGCCTCAAAGGATATAGTCATTGCACTGGTCGGAAACAAACTCGATATGATCGAAGCAGGCGCCGAACGGAAGGTGGCGCGCGAAGAAGCGGAAAATTTGGCACAGGAAGAGAACCTTTTATTTTTCGAAACTAGTGCCAAGACGGGCGACAACGTCAACGAAGTGTTTTTGGGTATAGGCCAAAAGATTCCGCTCAAAACGGCGCAGAACCAAACACAGAATGGCGGCCGTGGTTCTTCTGGTCTGCGCGTCAACGACGACTCACGAATCGATTTGAGATCCGGAAACCCATCAACATCAGCTAGTAGCTGCAATTGCTAGCATGTAGAAAAATCTGTGTGTGCCACTCGTATTTACAATATACATTGAAATTTTATTTGGGGAATCGTGTTGTATTTTATGGATCCTTATGTGTAGCAAGCAAGATCTTGAGTAACGACACCTTGACTGAGGAGGTTATTTCTCTTGAAAATCTAAGCGAATGGACAGATCTTTGACCATTTTGGTCAAAGTCTCGATCATTTCCGTTTGTTTGTCCGAAACCTCCCGCTGTTTGGTAATTTCGCGGTATAAGTCGTAAGATTCCCAGCCAATTCCCGATCTGAACCCACTATCAACGGGCTGGACACTGCATTTGACACTCTTGAACCATTCGGGCTTGACTCTGAAATCTGGATCAGCACGTTCGGCTTCTTTTTGCAGTTTCAGCGTTCTTTTGTTCTTCTTTTGAGTAGCCGCAATACCAGATGTGTTCCCGCGTGGGATCCAGCCGTCTGCATCATCAACATATCCGTCGGTGAGGTCCCAAGCCACATCTGATTCATTGGCATCATCTTCTAGCTTTTTCATTCTGTTGTAAACCACCCGCTTTGCTTCCCTTACCTCTTTAACGGCAACGACCACCAACATGGGAAAGTACAGGACCGTCAGCACAGTTGTGCTAACCATTTTAGCCGTTTTACGAGGTAGCAATTGCAAAAAGGGAGTAAGAGCGCCTTCCACTAAATTCAAGGGCGGAACGTAAACTTCCTCGTCTGGGGCTCTGATATAACGCAAGGTTTTTTGAGCCATCAAAGCCATGTATTCGTCAACGGAATTGTCGATGACTTTTTGATATGCGGTACTGTACAAAGCAATGAGGATGTTTAGTAGGATGACGGAAACGACAAAAGAGTAGGAGTAGTAAAGAATCGATGCGAAGGGTGGGGCAAAGTCGTCAAACATGTCAAAGCTACCAGCGCCTAATACCGTTCGCAGTAGGTTGGAAACAGTAGGCCAAGTAATCTCACGATTACCGTCGGAAGAATCCAGCCCGATGAAGCCCTGCAAAAACCCAAGGACGATCAGAAGAAGTAAGAAAAAGAAGACGATCGATTCTTGCATCATGTGTTTGAGTACAACGAGAAGGGCCCCAACAAAACGCCTTGACTCCAAGTAGAGCAGGAGTCGAGTCCAAACCATCGGCGCCGCACAAGAAAGAATCCGATAAGATATCTTATCCCAGTACTCTGCTGGGTAGTGCGTTTGTATGGGGCTAACACTGATCACTCTCAAAATCATCGAAGATGAAATGATAAAGTACATGGTGTCATTGAAAGAGTTCCAGAACCCAATATATGACCAGCCAACATGGTAGCACTTGGAGATTTCATCGAAAACGCTTCCCAGCGTAAAGAAGTAAAACACACCTTCTAAAAAGTCTATCTTCTGCACCGCTTGAGAGTCCTTTCCATTGACCACGATTGTGTAGAGCACAAGAAACACGAAGGAAAATATGATGTTGATAAAATTTTGGTACATCGGAGTTTTCAAACGGTCAGGATGAAAGTGCTTCATGAATTTTGGAGAAGAGACCGAGTCGCAAACAACGTAGGACTTGTTATCGTATCTGTTTTGGATAATCCAACCTCGCCAAAGCCACTTTAGACACCTCTGGTAGCCACTGGAGCCGATGACGGTGGTGCAGTGCATATCCATCGCAAGCTCTAGGGCATTTTGGGCCACGGAATCCTCGTCATTTTCGTTGATCACATACCGACGACAAAGCATTTGGATAAACAGAAACTGGGCGTCACGCGTCTCTTCTTGTTCGATGATCAGCTTGCACAACTGTTGTGCGGCTGAAGCTCTCAAAGAATAGAGTTCTGCATTGTGCAATTCTGCTGCGGCTAGTTCCCAGTTCCAACTGCAAACTTTCAAAAGTGAGAAAACCACCACCGATTGATACTTGTGGAGAGACTTGGTATCGTCTTTATTGCCGCCACAAGCTTCTCTGGCTAAGTTGAGAACGTTCATGTTCAAGATTCGCGAATGATCACACATGATAAGTTTATCGTCGTAGAGTATGGGCACCACTTTATCAATCAGGTACTTCAAGTTGACACAGATACGCAAAATTTGTCTAGAATTTGGCACATCATAGCTTGGAGGCTGTTCATTAGACCAATCGACTCCGTTTGAAGTGGGGAGTAGATACGACGGCATCCTTGTAAATGATGGAAATTGAGACTTGAAAGTGGCCGCCTCTCTCCTTCTCTGTTTCTCTCTCTCTCTCTGTTTTCCTTTGGTTTCGACAGTTCAGATACCCTGATTATCATTCCTGGAATATAAACCAAAATTCTCTAAATATTCAGTGCCACGTGACAAGTAAAACGATAATGTTTAATTTCCTGTCATCTTTCCTTTACAACGTTGAAAAGCTCAGACTTTTCTAATCATTGTACTTCTTGAATTTAAGGCTATATTATGGTAATTTTTTTGAGCTCGTTTTCCCGCTTCAATCTTGAGCATTTGACAGTTTTTTAAATTCGATTGGCGACGAAGAATAAGTTTGATGTTTTCACCAATCTCAGATATATTTCAAACATAAGATTAGGTAGCATTGATCTAAGATCCGAATTACATTATGTCCCAGTAAATACTGCTGCTCTAGCATGCTGTTCCTTGTTGAACGTGTTTCTATCGATTTCATTTTAGCCAGTGATTAATTATATCCAAAAAACGACGTTTATGTACATAGTGATAAGGAAGACAAGAACTCACAGAGAGAGACAGGATAATCATAGAGATTTCTCCTGAGGCTCGACGGATGCTACTGAGAAATTTACATATATTTAACATCACTTTCGCGACCATATATTGCCAAAAACATACTTTGATTCTTTGGTTGACGTCAGAATGGGTTTTAGCAAGTAAAATAAAGATCTTAATAAAACCTTTCAGTAAAATCTTCAAAGATCTGGCTTTTTTAAAAAGTAACACGACATATCAAATACTTCCAATTTCAGGCTCGTTTTATCAACGTGTTCTCAAAAACTGGTGGTCTCCTCCCATTGCTTTATCGTTGCGATCTGCGATCGCTGGTGCCAGCTTCATCAAACCCATATCACTCTATACTAAGTGATCCTTCTGAAACGGCTATATAAAAGTTTTCAAACTAACAGTGTAGCCAGGTATAGCAGGTGTGGATAATCAAGGGCAAAATGGGGAAGAAACGGCAAGTTAAGAAGGCCGATGAGAGTACCGATGATGCTGGAACCGTGGTGAGAGGAAATGACGTGCGTTTCGAGCTTTCAGACGAAAATTCGGCTGGATCAGCGAGGAGAAAATCGAAAAGTAAGAAGAAACCAAATGGCACAGTCCCTGAAGCTGAAGTCTACGATAATGAGACAGAATACCCCAGCTCACGGATTATCAAACGAGCCCCAAACGGGGACGTTATAGTGGAGTCTTTGGAGGAAACGGACCGCGCCAAATCCACAAAAGAAGATCCGGGCATCTCTGCAAAATTGGATATGCATTGGGAAACGCTGAGTAAAGAAGAGAAGAAACGCATGCTCCGGATCGAGAAGCAAGAGGTGTTCGAGGTGATCAAGACTTACCAATCGAGCAACAACTGCAACTGCTCGGTTTGTGGTCGTCGTAACGTTGCAATGGAACAGGAACTAGAGCAAATATACAACCGACTACATGACAATGCTAAAGAGACAAACTCGGACACAGATTTCGTACTGTTCCACCTGAATATGATCAAAGAGCTGCAACGGGCCAATGCAAGTGCCACTTCGGTAGCCACGGGTGAAGAGCGGCTGAATGCTGATCGATCCGACTCCCCTTCTCCACAATATCTCGAAGATATGCGGGACGAAGCTGTCAAGTACTGTCTGTCCAGTAAAGCTGTGGAGTCTTTGAAAGAAGAGGTTTTGCAGTTCAAGCACAACAAGCAGCGGCAACAGCAACTTCGTCGACAGCAACGAGAAGCAGAAATACATCCACCGTTTGCGGAAGAACGTGACAACGTGGCCACGATACAGGATGAGCATCAAGTACCTTCACCGCTGCCGCAGCAACCACAGAATTTACAGCCGATGTCTCAACAAGATCCGGAATACTACCTAAACTCTTTTGAAGGGGCTTCGATGTCCAACGAGACCCCAGCCCAACTCCGAGAAAAAGAAATAGAACTTCGTCAACTTATGCAGCAACGGCAGCCTTTGAACCCGGCCACACTATCCTCACAAAGAGATTTGCAAGGTTCTGATTCGCAAAATGTGCTTTTGGGACAGCTTGTTCAACGCATGCCGAAAGTTCCCTCTGTAGATGATCAGGAACCGCCCACGAATGAAGAACTCAAAGATCGGTACATGAATTTTGCGAAAACTTTCATTTCATCCCACCCTAAGATAGCACACGAGTACGTCAACAGAATGATGATGTATCCCGACTTGAGAGCCTTGACGGAAGATTTGATGTACAATAATGGTCAAAATTTCATCAAAGCAATGGAGGATTACGTTGTTCAAAAGGGAAACGACTACCGGGAAGAACAGCAGCCTGAAGAGGTGCAAGATCCCACGCAAACGCCAGCTGAAAGAGTACCATTGACGCCGGAGCAGTACGCCAATGTTCAGAGACACATCGCTGCCGGAATGACGGCTTCTTTCGAAAGCCAAGCTAGGGAACTGCAAATAGCTGCTGAGCGCGATGGGAAGAGTCTTTTTGAGCAATTTTTAGCCGGCGAAGACCCTATAAGCCTGTTACTGAAATCACTCCCAAAGAACAATGGCGTTCAGGGGGAACAAATGATGGCAACCCGTGAGGTTCAAGAAGAGATTGATTACGACGACGAAGAGGAATACGATGAGGAAGAGTATTCGGACTATGAAGATGAAGAAGAATCAGAGTACGAGGAAGAAACCTATGAAGAAAATGAAATTGATGAAGAAGAATATTTACACCATCATCACACACAGCACCCACACCACCATGAGCATCAATTGGATCTTGGTGAAGAGGAGATTAGTACTGCTGGAAACGAAGATGAATATGACAGTGGTATCGACGAACAAGAACGTTTGGAGGAAGGTAGAAGACTAATTCAGATCGCAATCACAAAACTCCTTCAGAAGAAACTGGTCAATTCCTACCACGAAAAACAAGCTGAAAACAACCGCCTGAGGTTGCTACAAGAACTCGAAGCCGAGGAAGTGAAAAAGCGTGAGAAAGAAGAGAAAAAGCAGCGCAAGCGCGAGAAGGAAAAGGAAAAGAAAAGAGCGCAGCAAGTTGCAAAGGAGCAGGAGAAGAAACGTAAAGAAGACGAAGAAATACGAGTGAAGCAGGAAGCCGAAGAGCGTGAAATGCAACGAAGGGAAGCTCAAAGGCAAAGAGTAGAGGAAACCAAGCGCAAGAAGGACGAAGAAAAAAGACGAAAACTAGAGGACCAAAGACGCAAGGAAGAAGAACAACAGCGACAAAAGAAGGCCAAGGAAGAACAAAAAAGGAAAAGAGAAGAGGAGAAGCGTTTGAAGGAAGAAGCCAAGCGTCAAAAAGAAGAAGAGTTGAAAGCACAAAAGGAGGTCAAGCGACTAGAACAAGAACGTAAGAAGCAGCTGGGCGATGCTGCCTCTACAGCTCAAGAATTGCAGAAAAGGAGAGCATCGGAGACACCATCTCAGCGCCGCTTAAGCACTCCCCCTGAGGCGGTGCCTTACGGAGTCCCTCAATCCTCTGCAAATAATGACGATCTCTTCCACATGATTAACGAAGCTGCATCCAAATCTTTATCCACATCTTCTTCTCATCTTCAGACCCTTCTTCAACCCCAGGTCTCGCGAACAACCATGCAACAGCCGCCAACAACAGGCATCTCTGTCAACAGCATGGGACTAAATCCAAACTGGCAAACGTCAGAGGCATTTTCTAATGCCTCTTATGATTCTTTGGCCTCGGGTGCGAAGTCCTTGGATAACACTTGGGGCAATATGAGTGGTCTTTTCCAGACGTCGCCCAGAAAGGTGCAGCCTCATGAATTGGATAATCAAAACGCAATATCTTCCCAGCAACATATACCTCAGTACCCTCAATTCGGTGAAGGTATAGAAGACCGCAAGAAATCCTTCAATGACGAGCTCGACAGCTTGACGAACTTCTTGTCGTCGACATCCCTGGCAGGAAATCAAACGTCCTCAGCAGGCTTCCAAATACCAGAGAAGCTGTGGTCTGGAGTGGACCAAAGCTCTCATTCTGGTGTTCCTTACTCGTCGAGTTTGAACACTGGCACTCCTGTTAACAACGGAGTGAAAACGCAGCGCAAATCGATTTGGGAAAACGACGCGCCTTTGGGCGCCAGTCCCAGCATGGGAAGCATTGCTCCCAACATTTGGAATGGTGTGAACTCCTCTCTCCCCGCGGTATCGACCGAGCTACGACCTGACACCATCCAACAGGCCTACATTCTATCTCGCGGAGAGCTCAACTCTGACTTTGTCGATGTCGATAAACTGTATCGCACTATTGCGACGCTTGTGAAGGATCCAAACGCTGTGAGCTACAACAGCTATCTCGGACAGCTTGTAAGTATGCGCTCGACGCACAATTGTGAGCTTCTGACCAATGTCAATGGCAGTATCACGCATGTACGATTTCCCTTCTCGTACTCCCAGCAGCCGCAGCACCCTCCACCGACGCAACCGAATATTTTCGACGCGGCACCAAATGTTGGCACAGCACAGAGCTCCTTTAACAGTACGGCCTATCCAAACGGACTCTTCGACGATCTTTACAATGGCAACAGCAGCGCCATGCCCGCATCAAACCCTCCGGTGGTTCCAGGCGTGAATGCTTCTAATTACAATTACGGCCAGAATTTCGGGCAAGCCCGAACAAGTAACATCTGGGGATAACAATGTTGGTATTAACTAAATGAAAGACTAAGTAGTTAACGCTCCGATTGATGATCTGATCTAGCAAAAGCATCTATCTATTCTTCTTGGGTACTTGCACATTCTTCAGCGTTTCGAAGGTCCGGTACTCAAGTACTCGTCATATTGACCTTTTTTGACATTTAAGGCTCTAATGCTAAAGTTATCAGAAATTGCAGCATGTTGAGTACTACTAAACTTCTTGAACAGCTCCTCTAGTCAGGTTGTATCTCTAGCTTTTCAAGCGTTTAACAACTTGGGGAGTAGCTTGCTTCTTTCTACTCCTTTGCCTCGAAGAACGCATAAAAAGAGCTTCCGCTGGATACCAAAAACAAGGCAGTAGCAGCAGTAACAATAAGAATCGAACACATCGGGTGATCTACATCATCAATTGAATAAGTCATGTCAGAAAATGCAGTAAGAAGGAAATTGGTGATAATAGGCGACGGTGCTTGTGGCAAGACGTCTCTACTCTATGTTTTCACTCTAGGAAAATTCCCACAAGAATACCATCCAACTGTTTTCGAGAATTACGTGACAGACTGTCGGGTTGACGGCATCAAAGTGACGCTGGCACTATGGGACACAGCAGGACAAGAAGAATACGAAAGATTGCGGCCATTTTCCTATTCGAAAGCCAACATAATACTTATAGGATTCGCAGTTGACGATCCAGATTCGCTAAACAATGCTCGCACAAAATGGACAGAAGAGGCTTTGCGTTACTGTCCAGACTCGCCAATCATCCTTGTTGGTCTCAAAAGCGACCTTCGGAAAATGGGCAACGCTGCTCATTTTGTGCGGCGAGAAGAAGCGGAAAAGGTCGCGCAGGCAATAGGCGCAAAGCGGTACATGGAGTGTAGTGCCCTTGATGGGACAGGTGTGGACGACGTTTTCGAAGTCGCCACGAGAAACAGTTTGCTGGTAAATAAAGATCCGGGTCGAGGCTGCTGCGTGGTATCCTGAGACGACAATGACGACGACGAGCCGGGAGGAAAAAAGGATTTAGTATCGTATAATGAATGGTAATTTACTGGTAGCATGCTGTGAGCTCGAGTTGATCTCCTAGCTCCAAGAATATCTTTAAATCGCTTTCTTCTTGAAGAAGGTCAAGTCCACCGAGCTTAGTTGGTGAAAAGCCCTACACTAAAAATAAATGGTAAAAAATTACGACCTCGGTGAGGATTGAACTCACGATCTTGCGATTAACAGTCGCACGCCTTAACCAGCTTGGCCACGAAGTCTCCTAATTTGTGAAATAGGGTAAAAACAAATTACAATATAACCTAGCCTTTTAAACATGTGCACTAAAAAATCAATTTTACGCGACGCGCTTCCCGAATCAAAACAAGTTGATCTTCATTAAACAACAACATCATCACGTTAAAGCATCGAACACACAACGATAAGACACACATACTCGCTCAATAAGCATTTCTGACTGCCATATATCTGTTCGCAGTATTCGTTTTAGCTACTGTGCGAAATGAGTGACGCAAAGAGCGCGTCTGAGCGATACCAGAAAATTTCGCAACTGGAACATATCCTAAAGAGGCCGGATACGTACGTGGGTTCTGTGGAGGTACAAGAGCAGGTACAATGGATCCACAATGAGGATACCGAATGTATGGAGGAGAGGGAGGTCAAGATTGTTCCGGGTCTCTTCAAGATCTTCGATGAGATTCTCGTAAATGCTGCCGACAACAAAGTTCGTGACCCCACAATGAGGAAAATAGAGGTTTCGATCAACAAGGAAGAGAATCTGATAGAAGTCAAAAACGACGGGAAAGGAATACCGATCGAAATTCATGAAAAGGAACAGATTTATATACCTGAGATGATTTTCGGCCATCTCTTGACGTCGTCAAACTATGACGATGATGAAAAGAAAGTGACTGGTGGTAGAAATGGTTATGGCGCCAAGCTGTGTAATATCTTCTCTTCTGAGTTTGTTCTCGAAACCGCAGACCCTACTAAAGGTGAGAAGTATGTGCAGAAATGGGAAAACAACATGACCGTGTGCCATAAGCCCAAAATAACGTCCTATAAAAAAGGGCCCTCCTATACAAAAGTATCATTTCGACCAGATCTGAAAAGGTTCGGGATGGAAAATCTCGACAGTGACACGGTGGGCGTCATGCGCCGCAGAGCTTTCGATATCAATGGATCTGTAAGAGATATTAGTGTCTACCTCAACGGCAAAAGTCTCAAAATCCGTAATTTCAAGAATTACGTTGAACTCTACCTCAAATCTTTGGAAAAGAAGAAGTCTGAGGAGAATGGCGTGGAAGCGGGCAAAACCCCGACGATCCTTTATGAAAGGCTTAATGATAGATGGGAAATTGCATTTGCGGTATCAGATGTTGCATTTCAACAGATATCTTTCGTCAATTCGATAGCTACTACCTCTGGCGGTACACACGTTAATTACGTGTCTGACCAAATTGTGAAGAAGATCACAGAAGTACTCAAAAAGCGGAGAAAGGGGAAAATTATCAAAGGTTTTCAGATCAAGAATCATATGTTCTTGTTTATCAACTGCCAAATCGAAAACCCTGCGTTTACATCGCAAACTAAAGAACAACTGACAACTCGTGTAAAGGATTTTGGCTCGAAGTGTGACATAAAAGATGATTTTATCAACAAGGTAATGAAGACTGAATTAGCTGACAAAATTTTTGAGATTGCTGATCAGAATGAGGATAAGGCCTTGCAAAAATCGGACGGCACAAGGAAAAACAGGATCACAGACTACGCTACGTTGGAAGATGCGAACATGGCGGGTACTAGACAGAGTCACAAATGTACCCTGGTCTTAACCGAAGGTTTGTCGGCTCAGTCTTTGGCAGTCGCAGGCCTGGGTGTAGTGGGACGTGACTTCTATGGCTGCTATCCTTTGCGCGGTAAAATGCTCAATGTTAGAGAAGCCAGCGCTGATCAAATCAACAAAAATGCTGAGATTCAGGCTATTAAAAAGATCGTGGGATTACAACACAGGAAAAAATATGAAGATACTAAGAGTTTGCGCTATGGACATATCATGATCATGACAGATCAAGATCATGATGGTTCACATATTAAGGGTTTAATCATAAATTTCCTCGAAAGTTCTTTCCCAGGTCTGCTTGACATACCGGAGTTTTTGATAGAGTTCATTACACCAATTGTGAAGGTCACTACAACAAAACCAAAACGCAGCGTTCTTCCTTTTTACACAATGCCCGATTATGAAAGATGGAGGGATAATGAAAGTCACAAATTCACTTGGAAGCAGAAGTATTACAAAGGTCTGGGAACGTCTTCTTTGCAGGAAGCTAGAGAGTACTTTTCAGATCTCGATACACATTTGAAGAAGTTTCATGCCCTTGAGGGTGACGATAGTCTCTTGATTGATCTGGCTTTTTCGAAGAAGAAGGCTGATGAACGTAAGGAGTGGCTGAGGCAGTATGAGCCTGGAAATACCCTGGATCCTCAGCTTTCAGAAATTCCCATATGCGATTTTATCAACAAGGAACTTATTTTGTTTTCTTTAGCTGATAACATAAGATCCATCCCCTCTGTTCTGGACGGCTTCAAGCCAGGTCAGCGTAAGGTTCTTTTCAGTTGTTTCAAGAGAAAACTTAGAGGTGAGATTAAGGTGGCACAACTGATTGGCTATGTTTCTGAGCACACCAACTACCACCACGGTGAAATGTCACTAGCCCAAACCATTGTTGGTATGGCTCAAGATTTTGTGGGCTCTAATAACATCTACCTCTTGAAACCGAATGGTGCATTTGGTACCAGAGCCACCGGTGGTAAAGATTCGGCCGCACCTCGTTACATTTTCACAGAGTTGAACAAAATCACGCCTGCGATATTTAACCCGCTGGATAATCCACTTCTCAATTACATTCAGGAAGATGGTCAAGCAATTGAGCCTCAATGGTATCTTCCTGTAATCCCAATGCTTTTAGTCAATGGTGCGGAAGGTATCGGCACCGGTTGGAGTACCAATATTCCACCGTTTAACCCTGTAGATATTGTTCAGAACCTCAGAAGATTGATGAATGGTGAAGAAATGCAAGAAATGACACCGTATTACAGAGGGTGGCGAGGAAGTTTGGAAAAGATTGATGCGCAACGATACAGAATGTACGGGAGAATTGAACAGGTGGGACCCAACGTTCTTGAGATCACCGAACTCCCCGCTAAGACCTGGATGTCGACCATAAAAGAACATTTGTTGCTAGGGCTAGCAGGAAATGACAAAGTCAAGAAATGGGTAGAGGATATGCAGGAGAACCATGGCGCGACAATCAAGTTCTCTGTGACCCTATCTGATGAGGAAATGGCCAAAACAAGGAAAATGGGATTTTATGAAAGATTCAAGCTTATATCAAGCGTAAATCTTGGAAATATGGTCGCATTTGATCCCCAGGGCCGCATCAAGAAATATGAAGATGCCAGAGAAATTCTAAGCGACTTCTTTTACGTTAGACTGGAATACTTCCAGAAAAGGAAGGATTATATGTCAGAGCGATTGCAGTGGCAGGTAGAAAAGCTGTCTCAACAGATTCGGTTCTTGCAGTTGATTGTTGAGCGGAAGTTCACCGTCAGCAACAAGTCGCGGGTACAGCTTTTCACAGAATTGGAAGAGCTCGGATTTCCCAAGATTAATTCAGAAGGAAGGCTCTATTATGGTAAGGTGGAGGACACGGATGAAACGAATGAATTGAAAATGGAAATGGAAGATTCCGATGAGGCGGTAGATAATGAGGCCGAGGATGAGGTGAACGGACCCCAGGAGAAATACGGTACGTTTGAGTACCTCCTGGGAATGAAAATTTGGTCCCTAACTAAGGAAAAATACGAGAGTCTGATGAGACAAAAGCAAGAAAGGGAGGCGGAACTTAACGCACTGTTGAGTCTTTCTGCTAAGGATTTGTGGAATCAAGATCTTGATGCATTCAGCAAGGCCTATGAAGCTTTCATGGAGAATGATGAACTTATACGCAGCAGCGTCACTCCTGACGCAGCTGTGAAGCAGAAGGGAAAGCGCAAGAGAACCAAGGCTAGTGATGAAGCTTATGACCCGAGTCGTAAAAAGAAGAAACCCAAGACGGCTGGTTCTTCCAGCGTGAAAGTTGAGGTGGAAAAGTTCGAGCCCGTGCTGCTTGAGCAAAAAGCTTTGGAAAAGGCAAAGCGCATTACAAAAGTGAAGGATGAGAACCAACCCACGCTTGAGGGTCTCATGGGTAAAGGAAAGAAGTCAGGGTCCGCGCCAGTTAAAAATGAGCCGGTGTCTCGATCCGTGTCAGGGTCTGCGACACCTCGAGAAAACTCACCGGAGTCGCTAAAAAGCGAGAACTCGGCCGTGACAATTGTTTCAGAGAACCCCAACGCGGAGCCTACCAATCTAGAGACCAAGAAGGAGGACACAATGAGTATTTTTTCCAGCAAGTTCAAGCAAGCAAGTGCGCTTTTCGACGGTCCTGCTTCTGTCACAGACCCCGTTTCCACACAGGCCGCGAAACCTGCTGCTCGTAAGACTGCGACTCCCAAGGCACGCACGAAAAAGGCCATCAAGGTCGACGAAGATGACGACGATGACGACGATGACGCATTTGACGACGATAACGACGACGATAACTCGAGTGGCGAGCCCGATGCGAGTGCTTTGAGAGCGAGAGAGCCGCGCAGTCGTCGTGGAGCTGCCCGGAACACTCAAGCCCCATCCTACGCAGAACCCACGCTCATATCCGATGAAGACGACGTTGACGCCTCTGTGATCATTGACGACGAATCTGACGGCGACGATGAATCTTTCCAGATATCGCAATGAACCCATAAAACCAACCGTTTGGCATTCTGCTTGCCACTGGAAAAATGGAACTGAAAACCAGGCAATAATCTTCTACAAGCATCGCCCGTTCCAAGCTTGAAACCCAGCTAAATAACATCAAAACCAAAAACAAAAAAAAACAAAAAAAAGCGGGGACATAGTTTTCTCGTCTTCCGGGTAGTAGCTATTTACCCATATAATTACTAAACTCGATACTACATCGTGTTGTGGTCAAAAGTATCCATTGTGAGTATCTGACGACCGTGAGTATCCATTACTACTTCTTCCACTTTTGATCACGTTTCTGGTGATGGGTTTTTTCAGTACGGTTTTCGGACTATATATATATATATATGTATAGAAGAAAAAAAGACATCTAAAGATGATATCCCTTCAAGTTTGAAAAGTTACATTCCGGCCAAAGAATTTGAAGAAAGAGGACCAATACTGAGCCTTTAAGACTCTTGAAAGCCATCTGTAAGATCCAATTCGATACTTTGGAATGGCCACTACCGGATCCGAGGTGGTTGTCCCGACCGAACGAGACCAAGTAGCGATTGTGGACGGTGTGGACAAGTTAGCTCCTCCACAGGCGAAACAGGAGCAAGTAAGCAAAGATGTGCCCGAAGACGAAGTAAAGAACGTGAACGCCTCTGAGGTTGACCGTGAGGCGGTGGACGCCTCTTACGTGGGGTGGAAACAGATTGGAGGCTGGGAAGAAAAGGACGAATTGACGGTGGAGGACGAATTGCTGGATTTGAATAACGAAACTTTCTTGGATAATGTGATCCCTGATAAGCTATACGGGGATTGGTACCATGCTGCAGCGGTGTTTTTCGTTGGGGGCACGCTCTCGTTTCTGGTCGGGAAACTTGGGTTTTCGCTGGGTCCAGTTTTTTTCATCGTCTTGGCCATGGGTATGCTGTATCGAACATCGATCAGACGTTACAGAGGGGCAATCCGGGACCAGGTACAGAAAGAGTTCACCGTGCAGAAGGTGGAGGGCGACCACGAGTCGATGGAGTGGCTCAACAGCTTTTTGGACAAGTATTGGACCCGTTTGGAACCAGAGCTCTCGCAAATGGTGGTTCAGCAGGTCAATGAGATCTTGGCAACCAACCCAAGCATTCCTGGATTCATCAAGGCGTTGTGGATCGATCAGTTCACGCTGGGCGTCAAACCTCCCAGAATTGACCTGGTCAAGACCTACCAGAACACCGACACAGACGTGGTTGTGATGGACTGGGGCGTTTCTTTCACGCCTCACGATCTTGCAGACCTAAACTCGAAGCAGTTGAAAAACTACGTGAATCAGAGAGTCACTGTCAAAGCCAAAGCATTTGGTCTTCCACTTTCCGTCACTGTCTCGGATATAGCGTTTAAATCGAAGCTCAAAGTTAGGTTCAAGCTCATGACTCCATTTCCTCACATTGAAACGGTCAACATTCAACTTTTGGAAGTTCCCGATGTCGACTTTGTTGCCAGATTGCTTGGTGATAGCATTTTCAACTGGGAAGTCCTCAATATTCCTGGACTGTACCCTCTCATCAGGGAGATGGCGAAGAAATACATGGCTCCTGTGCTCATGCCACCATTTTCTTTGCAATTGAACGTCCCACAATTGATGTCTAGCTCTCCAGTGTCCATCGGTGTCCTAGAGTTGAGTGTCAAAGATGCCGTCGATATCAAGCGCGCTCGCAATATTCTCAACAAATCCGTGGATCCATATCTATCCTTTGAATTGAATGGCGTGTCTGTTGGTAAAACTAGAACTGTTCGGGACTCTTTGAACCCCGTGTGGAATGAAACCTCGTTTTTGTTGATCAACTCGTTCACCGAGCCGCTGACCATTGTACTTTACGACAGGCGTGAAAAGGTTAAGGATAAAGTGTTGGGGAGAATAGTGTACAACCTGAGTACGCTTCACGACGAAAGAAATCAATACAACCTGAAACCCACATTCCTGAGAAACTCGAAACCTGTAGGAGAACTCCACTTCAGCATGAAATTTCATCCTACCATGGAGCCCAAACAGCTGCCAGATGGCACTGTCGAGCGGCCACCAGATTTGAACGTCGGTATCAGTAAAATTCTTGTGGAGGAGGCAAAGGAGCTGGATGAACCGGGCTGCAAGGTATCCACCTACGTTGAGTTGTATTTCAACGCCAAACTGGTTCTAACCACAGGTACCTTGAAAAACACCGAGAACCCGGTGTGGAACCAAGAGTATGAGGCCGTTATAACAGACCGTCGTAAGACCAGAGCTAAGCTTGTTGTTAAGAATGGCAAAGGTGAAATAATCGGAAGCACCGTCCAAGGTTTGAATGATATGATTGACAGGACTGAAGTTGACAAAAAATGGATTCCTTTACAAAATGGAAGAGGTCAGATCAAACTCACCACACACTGGAAGCCAGTTGACCTCGACTTGGGCGCCAACGCAGTAGCATACACCCCACCTTTAGGAACCTTACGTGTCTTCATTAGCAAGGCTGAAGGCTTAAGAAATTTGGAGAAATTCGGAAAGATTGATCCATACGCTAGAATTTCGGTCAATGGTGTAGCCAGGGGGCGCACTAATGTTTGTGAATCTACTTTGAATCCCGTATGGAATCAGGGAATTTACGTCGCTGTCACTTCTCCTAATCAAAAGATCACACTGGAATGCCTAGATGTTGAGACTGCCGGTAATGACCGCAGTCTAGGCAAATTCGACATTAGTATCTCTGAGATGTTCCAGAAGGGCAACGACGACAAGTATGTGGAGAACATAGATGATGAGGCCCGCATAGGACGCTTGATTGGTAAAAAAGGTGCCAAGGGTACTGTTACCTACTATGTCTCATTCTATCCTACTGTTCCAGTCTTGAGTTTGGAGGAGATCCAAGAAGTGGATGATCTCTCTGAAAGAAAGCGGAAGTTGGATGCAAAGCGGAGTGAAACCGGTGAAAAAGCTTTGAATAAAGCAGCCGAAAAGAAACTCAAGGAAGAGGAGTTCGAAATTAAAGAAATGGAGGATCTGTTCAACAATAAGATGAAGCTGGACCTTGATGAATTGCTACAATACCAAAGTGGTGTGCTTGCCTTTTCAATTCTAGGCGGGGAACTCCCTCAGACGGGTACTTGTATTCAAGCCTTCTTTGACTCTAATAGTTACGCGCGCTATGTGACTCAAAAGTTTAAGGGACGAACCATCAGGAATGGTTCTACAGGCGATGTTATGATCAAAGAGCTGGACTGGTCAGTGACCACTTTCAGAGCCACGACAAAGCCAGAAAATAGTAAGGCAGAAGAGTGCCTAGCTGAGGTAACTCTTCCGACCGTGGAACTTCTCAGGAACTGTTACTACAAGCCATCCATTTTGAATTTGTCCGGAAACAAGAGTAGTAAATTGCTACTTCAGGTTTCTTGGTTTCCGGTAGCAGCCTCAAAGCTACCTCAAGCGGATCTTATCACCAACACAGGCGACTTGACGATTGACATTTTGGGTGCGAACAATTTGATTGCAGCTGACCGCAATGGAAAATCTGATCCATTTGTCAAGTTTTACATCGATAACAACGAAGACTCATTTTTCAGGACACATCACAAGAAGAAAACTCTTGATCCTACCTGGAATGAACAATGTCAAGTGCAAATCAACAATCGTGTCAACAACTACCTCAAAATCCGCATGATGGACTGGGACGCCGGGAATAAGGACGATCTGATTGGAACTGCAATTTTACCGTTAGCAAATATCGACCCGGAGAATCCAACAGATATCGACGTTCCGCTCAGCGGCCCTGATGGAGAAGATGGCGGTGTCCTTCATTTGAAATTCTCTTTCAGTCCCAGACATGTCTTGACAGCACGCAAGCAAGAGAAAAAAGTCGGCGATTTAGCGTCCAAAGGACTTTCCTCTGGATTGCACGCTGGAACCTCAGTCATTGGAGGAGGACTGGGCGCAGTTGGCAAATTGAAGAGAGGCATTTTTGGAGGTGAGAAAAATGAAAACGATACCGAAGCCTAGTCATTTTATGTTTTATGTATCATTTCCTGACTTTCCGTCATTGTTTTTAAATTTCAATGTATATTATAATCTTATCCTCTGAGATCAGCTACACACTGCAGACCATCACCGATAGTGAGCAAAACAAACCTTAATGGAGACGCGAGAGGCTTCCTTGGCTACCGGCTTACACCCTGTAGAGCTTTGTGTATATTCTGTACTCTCCAATGATCTGGACGGTATATATAAGTCTGTAAACGATTTGAGAGAGTCTCAGGCCTTACTTCTAGTCAAGCTAAGGCAGTTGAAGAGCTCGTTGAAAGAAGAACAAGATTTCTACAGTGAAGAAGATGGGTTTAGGGAAGAAATTCTTCGATTAAAAGATCTGAAGACACGGGCGGATGCATTGGTGAAAACTTACAAAGCGCTGTCTGATGCTTAGTTTATAAACTTATTCTATTTATTTGAATAGATTGCCTGGCAAACGGAAAAGTCTGAATGGGTAACCCGAGCTTTTCAAACCAAAGACTGCCAATAGGGCACTGTAGATGGCATACAATGTGATGAGGAAAGACAGTGCGAGAACCATTTCAACGAAGGAAGCTCTAGAAGGCGACAGCTTACCTGTCCTGTCTTTAGCATAGAATTTTGCTGCGTAGGGAACGAAAGTGATGAGCCCCACGGTCGAGGCAGCAAGAATCCCGTAAATGACACTGATGATCTGAGTTTCGATCCCAAATTGGTTTTGTTGTTGCCCTTCAAGGAAGTACACTACGGCCTCGCCGTTTTGAGTCATGCCTGCAAATTGACTGCCTCTTATGGCATTAAACATATAGCCTGAATTCCAAAGAATTATGATGGACACTGTTGCAAGTCCCCAAAGCGGTTTTGACGTAGCCAACCGGGCTGCGACTTCTTTGTTCTTTTTGACTAAGATCGTGATTGCAGCTGTCGCAAAGGCAGTGATTGCAATGGACCCCCAGTTGAGAGGCTGGTGAATTTGAAAGTCTGTGATTCCAGTGACTTCCCTCAAAGCGTTCACAACAGCAACCACCCTGGCAAGCCCAGTTTCTCCCGGTAGGTTGATTTGACTGAAGGTGCCAAACTCTTGATCTGGAGAAATGAAAAGTAGTCGTGGGACGTTGTTCACATTGAAATGCATGAAAACTTTGTTATTCTTCTTGGGGTCGAAATCTGCTTTTGCAAAGAATAGAGCTTGCTCACCGTTTCCAGAAATACCGTCCTTATGATCTTTGACCCATGATTCAGTCAGTAGATTGAACTCGGGCTCCAATTCAGTGCATAAGCTGCACCCAATGGCTGGGCTTGTGGATGTTAGGAACACGACTAAATAGGCATCTCTGGGGCCTTTCAAGAGTCTTTCAAAATTGTTATTGGTCAATTTCAGGACACCTTTACCTTTGGCAGCTTCTTTGGCCAAACCTTCGTTGGAAAGGGCCAAACAAAGCGGGACAAAAAACGCTGCTACGAAGGCAATCAATTGGGATATTCTCATCGTTGCGGAAGCTTTGATGATGGCCGCTCGTCAAAATAAATGAATTGATAGAAACAGCTGCACACGGCTATCAATTGTCTAGCTGTTCACATCTGCTGGTAGTTGTTAGCGTTTTTTGGCCAAATAGGTGGGTAAACTCAATTAGTGGATATGTGTCATTTTGAACGTGCGTGACGTTTTGGTATTTTGAGTTGTTTCAAAAGAGAGTTGAAGGATAGACATGATTTCTCAGGGAAACCATCTGAGAACTTATCGGCATCGCACATCGATAAGCTGAAAGATGTCGTTGACAATTTCAACTTTTCTTTTCAAAATTTATTTTCTGGGTGAATTAATACGATTGTCAGAAAAATCATCCGAAACAAAACCATCCAACACAGAATGTGTGCAGTTAAATTTGCTCGAGTCAATCGCTATGGATGTCAAAAACCGGCTCTGATTCTGCTAATTCAATTGATCTTCGTCAGCTAATGGGTCACGTGACCTTTTGGGATTCCAATAATTAATGTCATACACTGACAGTGTCAGCAGTGTAAGCAAAGCCATGAAAGAGAACCACATCCACAGACAATGACATGCTGTGATTGATTGTCAAGCTGCGAATTAAGTTCTCATGACGAATGTCTACTTTTTTCTTTTACGCCTTGTGGAGCATAAAGACTAATTTTTTTTGGTCCTTTTTCATTTTATTTCGAAATGAAGCTAGTCGGAAAAGTTCTGCACTCCTGTGGAACAAAGAATGGGACATTCAAAATTCGTCGCTGCCACCGCCCTACGCCGCTGAACCTGTTGTTATCAAAAAATTCAAAAAATTGTTTTTTTTTTCCGGTCGGCAGAAAGACGTTCAAAAAACAATCAACTTTGAAAGGATTCCCAAGTGGAAAACTTCTCGAAGTAAAATGAAAATTTGCCATCGATCTCACCGAAAATCTGCGTATCTTAGAGCTTTGGCTAATGTGAAGTTCTTAACCTCAATTTGAGTCACGTGACCTTTTTATTAAATTCGCTTTCACCATAATTCGAAAGGACAATTTGAAAAATACCAACAATGAGGGAAATGAAACGGGTTCTACCTAAACGTTTCTCACTTGACTGAACTCGAGGCTTCTTTGCAAAGTGGCCCTTTCCTGAAGCATGCCGATCAAGTCTCTAGAGTCTTTCTTGTTCGAAAGAGGTTTGGTGGGCTCTTACCCCATCGAATCGCTGAAAAACGCGACTTTAGGGATTGATGTAGATCACTACGTGTCGCGGTTGTTGACGTCAAAAAGAGAGCAGTATTTGGACGCAATTGGTGGGTTTCCAACAAGCTTGAAGCTGTACTTGGAATCGGATCTCCAGGTGTTTCAGGAATACGAAATCACCCCTGTATTCATTTTTAGTGGATCGCCAGTGGCCACCCAGGCTGAAGCTAGTGGTCACTACACCGCAGCAGCCGCAGAAGCGGCCGCTGCAGCCAGCAATGCGAACTTGTCAGGTCCTGTGGGCTCTGTTTCGGGCTCTTCCAGTAGAACCCCCAAAGAAGCAGTTCTGGCTCAAAGACACAAAGCTTGGACTCAATGGACAAACCTTTTGTCTAATAATCAATCGACGTATGTGGACCAGCCAATTCCTCCAACGGAGGCGTTTCGCTACAATGTTCCCTTAGACACAAAACGGTTTCAAAGTGACTTGATAGCGTACCTCATTTCACGCGGCATTTGCTATCAAGTGGCGCCCTACTCCTCTTGGATCCAATTGGCATATTTGCTACAACAGGGCTTCATTGATGCTATCTATGGGCCAACTGAGCTCTTGCTTTTGGGCTCGGTGGAAAAGTTCATTCTGGGCATGGAATTCCCCAACAAAGAATACAGGTTTGTCGATAGCAAGCGGGTTTTAAATGACCTTCGTTGCTCTATGGAAGAATTTATAGACATCAGCATGGCTGTTGGAAATGACTTGCAGCCCTACACTTTGTCACCATTAGGCGTTTACCCGAGTCAGCAACTTTTCGAAGTAGCGCTGGATATGGTACTAACAAGCGGCACCGATTTCTACGCATACCAATTTGTCAACCCGGTTAAGGCCGAGAGTACGCTCTTAGTTTCACGTTACCAGAAGGGTGTTTCTGCATTGAGATACATGCCAGTGCTAAAGGAGGACGGCAAAGTTGAACTTTTCTCCGCCGAAAGATCGAAGGATGCAACTTCAGCTGGGTCCGATTCAACTCAATCAACCCCTTCCTCTGCAGGCTCATCAGACGTCATCCCATCCGATGTTCACGATGTGGTGGCTCAAAGACTACCCCACGAATACTACTTTTACAGGTCCTTAGGATTGACAAGTGGAAAACTACTGGATGCTCTCACAACAGGGGTATACGCCGAGGAACCACCCCTGGATGGAGGATCATCAGACTCGTATAGACAGTTGGTAAAAGATTCTGTTGAACAGTTTAAGAATAAAGAGATCAATCAACTGACGCAACCCATCAATCGTTATTACCAGATCAAGCCCATTAAACAAGTTAAATGGTTTGCACCCGACGATCCAGTCACCTTGACAAACAGAGCGACGCCACCAATTTTTGATAGAGTCAATCTGTTAGTTGTAAAGACTGGGAACTCAGAATTGGAGTTTTCGATATCGAACTTCATTTCCACACTAAATGGTGCTCAAAGTCTCTCTCAATCTTTTGTTTCAAAACAAGTCATTTTCCCTAATTCTGTTCCCTCTTCTGAAAAACTCTCTACTTCCTTCGACCTGTTGGCAACAAGTTTCTTGCGCACTTTGACACTTCTAGAATTTTTTGAATTCGATCCGGCGAACAAAAGCTTAAAGGCCACACCCTGGGGAGAGATTTTACTGTCACTGGACTTGCAAAAGGTAGACACGCAATTTGCCGAACCTTTGTTCATACTGCTTGTATTTTTCAAGACGCAGGTCTTGTCTCTTTTCCAAGAGACCGCTCCACCAACATTATCAGCTTTGTCCAAAGCGACACTCAGATCATATCCCAAAGAGTCTTCTTACATCCTGGCGATTACGCGAGTATTGAGTGCTCTCAAAATGGATCAGAAGCCTTCTAATTATCATGGCCCTGTCGACAGAAAAACACTTGTGTACAGAGACCACCTAGATTTCATCAGAGAGAATTTGAACGATTTGTATGAAACAACAACAATGTCTTGCCTCACAGCAGGGGAATTCGACAGATTGTCGCTGGACAATTTTGGCTGGCAGACAACCGTTGTTGGCGCCATGCCTTTCAAATTGTCAACTCCAAGCACGGTCCTGGCTATGATATGGGAGTTTTATTTGCAGAAGTACCTTCACAACGGCAATTCCAAGTCAGACGCGATGTCGTTGGTGATGTCATTGTTCAACACCAGTAAAACGATTCCAAATCTACAGGAAGAGCTCGAGGTTTCTTTGCGCTTCTTGAAGCAGTTCAACGAAATTCTCGGCAAAATGTCTAAGATGGGACTCTGCAAAGTCGAAGACCACACATCATTAACAGCTGCAGTGGCGTTTGCTGAGCAAGCGTTCCAGTGAAATCAAGAGTAGGAGCAGAAGCTTTGAAGCAACTTCAAATATACTTGAAGACGTAGATTGCAGAGGGGGCTCCTTTACTACAGCTGTCTGTCGCTACTCGGCGATATGTTAAATGAAGGTAAGTCATTTACTGGCACTACAAAAATACGTAATAAATACGCTTAACTGTATAGACAACGCGTCAAGAGACGGCACCGAGTGAATGAAACAAAATGCTTAAAAGCGTCGGATTGACAGAGACGAATCCCCGAGACCTACGCATCCAGTTGGTGTTTGAAGTAGTAGTTTGGCATACAGCACATGATCAGATAGAACGTATATATTGATTCAAAAAACATCTCCTTCAACAAAAACAGCTTCTATGGCCAAGTTGGTAAGGCGCCACACTAGTAATGTGGAGATCATCAGTTCAAATCTGGTTGGAAGCATTAATTTTTTGCATTTATTTTTTGGCTAAAAAATTGCCTGAAGACTATACTCAAATCATCACTTAATGCAGAACAACTATCGATCGAACGTAGTGGCAACGTCACTCATTTCATGTTGTAAATCGTGTCGTGATTCGGGCTTTCATATAGCTTTTAACGTTACGCACACATTTCCAGCTCTAGATCACTATATACGGAAGTGGCGAAAATTGATCAAATTGTATTAACTTTAAAGATGCTCTCTGATCAAAATGGTTTAAAAGAAGTGAAATCAAACTGCGCCCGATTTACTCCACTTTGAGTTTGTTTTAAGGCTTCAATCATGGTACGTATCGATTTTTGGAGCCGGAGTTTTCCTATGTGCTTTTTCCAGCGATCGAAAAAGGGTTTCAGGAGGCCGTTTTGACCGACTTTATACTAACAAATTGTGACTTTCTGTAGAGTGTCCAGATTTTTGGTGACCAAGTCACTGAGGAAAGAGCTGAAAATGCTCGTATGTCTGCTTTTGTAGGAGCAATTGCAGTTGGGGACCTTGTTAAGACGACTTTGGGACCCAAGGGAATGGATAAACTACTGCAAAGTGCAAGTAGTGGATCTGCAATGGTTACCAACGATGGGGCAACCATTCTAAAAGCAATCCCTCTTGATAATCCAGCTGCAAAAGTGCTGGTGAACATAAGTAAAGTCCAGGACGACGAAGTCGGGGATGGTACCACCAGTGTCACAGTTCTGAGTGCCGAATTACTGAGAGAAGCCGAGAAGCTCATCGAGCAAGGAAAAATTCACCCACAGACAATTATCGAGGGTTTCAGAATAGCCTCAAAGGCTGCTTTAGATGCCCTTGAAAAGACAGCAGTGGACCATTCGGCTAACAAGGAAACTTTCTATCAAGATCTGATCTCTATAGCGAAGACCACGCTATCGTCAAAAATTTTGTCGCAAGATAAAGACCATTTTTCCAAGCTGGCTGCCGATTCCATCATGAGGCTTGGGGGCTCGGTCGATTTGGAACACATACAAGTGTTGAAGATCATCGGCGGTAGACTATCTGACTCCTTTTTGGATGAAGGTTTTATTCTACCAAAGAGATTTGGTAATAATCAACCCAAGCGCGTGGAAAACGCCAAGATTTTAGTCGCCAACACTTCTTTGGATACAGACAAGGTCAAAGTCTTCGGCGCCAAATTCAAGGTTGACTCCACTTCCAAGCTAGCTCAGCTGGAAAAAGCGGAGAAGGCCAAAATGAAGAACAAAATAGATAAGATCTCAAAGTTTGGCATCAATACCTTCATCAACAGGCAGCTCATTTACGACTACCCGGAACAGCTTTTCAGCGATTTGGGCATCAATTCCATCGAGCACGCAGACTTTGAAGGCGTGGAAAGACTAGCTCTTGTTACTGGTGGTGAAGTGGTTTCAACTTTTGACAATCCTGAAAAGTGCAAACTTGGTGAGTGTGACTTGATAGAAGAGATTATGATCGGAGAGGAAACCTTCACTAAATTCAGCGGATGCAAGGCAGGTGAAGCCTGCACCATTGTGCTTAGAGGTGCGACCGATCAAGTGCTAGATGAAGCCGAAAGATCTCTACATGATGCTCTGTCTGTACTATCACAGACAACTAAGGAAACTAGAACTGTGTTGGGCGGTGGGTGTGCCGAAATGATTATGTCCAAGGCAGTCGATACTGCTGCACAGAATGTTGATGGTAAGAAGTCGTTTGCAGTGGAAGCTTTTGCCCGTGCCTTGAGACAACTTCCAACAATTTTGGCAGATAACGCAGGGTATGATAGTAGCGAGCTTGTCTCCAAATTGAGGTCTTCTATATATGGCGGTATCACCACTTCGGGTCTCAATCTGAACGACGGAAGTATCGCTGACATGAGAGAGTTGGGCATAGTTGAAAGTTACAAACTGAAAAGGGCTGTTGTTAACTCTGCATCAGAGGCCGCTGAAGTGCTATTAAGGGTGGACAATATTATTCGTGCTAAGCCAAGAACCGCCAACAGGCAGCATATGTAAGATAGCTGAGCGTTTCTAGTCATATAAATAATAAAGGGAAGATTCTCTGTGCTAGACGCTACGTTGCTGTTTATCTAATATACAAGTGCGTTATTTACGCACGCAGTGACTGGTTTTCCGATTGCAATTGTTGTAGCTCCTGCTTTTTGCTGCTTAAAAACTGCTCCAAAACACCAACCTGTTGTTCTATCGTCCCTATGTCCTCACTGATACCCCTTACGTCTACCGGTGCACCTGGATTACGGTAATTAGATGCTTGCTTTTGCAAATAGTTGTATAACTCTTCCAGTTGAGCTCTGGCGATCGCAGGGTCTGATCCCACAACCGCCTTGGCTTCGTCAGCATCAAATGTGCTTTTATTCGAGAGTTCAGCTTGCTTTCTCTGAGCGGGATTTACAGAATCTGAACCTTGCTGGGTGATGGCGTTGCTGGTATTTGTGTGACGAGAATGACGTGTGATATCAGCCTGTGAAGATTTCAAGTCGTATGATACTCGTTGCTGATTGCAGATCTCCTTGAAAGCATGTGGTAAGTCTGATGGCAAGTCACAGCCCAGATCATTCCTCTGTTTCAGGGCATGTATCAGAAAAACGGCTGGGTCTTTGTTGATGGACCCTATATTTTGAGGGTTCACAAGTACCCACAGATGATCGAAATCAGCTGAGCTTACATTTGGAAATTTATTTCTCACCGCACTGAGTAGAGGTGCATACGAAATTGTGCCATCTGTGAGTTTTTCGCACGAGTCGTAGATGGAAGTGTATAGTGCTCTGTTAGATGGCGCGATGTACCAATCCAATTTTGGCGGTGGAGAAGGTGGTTTCTGCGTCTCAGTTGCTGGGGCAGTTTCACGGGTCGTTACACTATTTGAATTTGACGCAGTTTCCTGAGTTCCGTCTCGACCCTTACGCTGTTGCAGCAACTTTAGCTTACTACCTGGTACAAGCCAGTCAGGAAGGTCGTCGGGAACGGAATCGATGTTCTTGTTGACCATATCAAAGATAAGCCGCATGCATATCACAAACTCTTCAAAGTCGAGATTGTCGTCATCGTCAATGTCTGCTAGGAACCAAATCTTGTTCAAAATGGAGGAATCAAGCTTCGAATTGAACAAGATAGGTTGAACTTGATCGTGCGTCAATTTGTTCTCGACGGGCTTCAAACCAGAGAAAATTTGCCAGTATTTCTTGATTTCGAACTGCTCCAGTTTGGGCATGATGATAAAGGTTTAAATGTTGGATTCGGAGCCCTGGATGCTGGTTTTCGAATGGCTATTTTCTGCTATTTTTGTAGGATTTGGTTACGTGTTAGGGGCATTGAATTTCATTAAATCAGTAATTGTAAGTATAGATCACTATGTACGTTTCTGTCATTTGAAAGGATGTCTCTAAATGGGGGAAAAAGACAGTTATGACTGGGGAGAAATTGGATTCAATTGATCAGAATTAATGCTAAAAGCTTCGGGGATGTTTATGAAGAATTGCGGGAACAGAATTCGGCATCACTTATGGGAAAATGACGCTGCGTGTCAGTTTAGTACGAAGTGATATGAGAAAGGAAAAATGTTCTAGCGTCGAGTGCGTACAAGGAGAGACGAGGATCGGTCCTGCATTGAATGTGGTATGATATAAGCTTCTTTGATACCAAGTTGGCTGGTTTGTGGAGTAAGCTAAGATCTTCAGTTCATTTAATTCATACTTTTTTTTCTGATTCACGTATACTAGCCAAAAGCGCTCCACGGTCAAGACGGAGCTAAGCATGAACTCATGGGGAATACCTCACCAAGTAAGGTTTAAATGACTCAATCCAATGCACTTTCACATGCAGACATTGCCAAATACAAATGTCACGTGACGCACAATAGTTTAATTTATTGGCGACGTCTAAAACAATAGTGATAGATCCGATCTTGGCTACATCATGACAAGCATACTGACTACATGTAGCGCTACCCAGCATTGTAGAAAACCAAGCTACAATGGTGATCATTTTTTGTTTCGAAATTACCAGAAATGGTCGTTCTCCATGGTTTAATTCCCTATCTTTTCTTCTCCCCCCCAAAAAAAGCATACCAAAATGGTGCTCCCCACCCTCTTCATGTCCGGAACCTCGAGCTGTTGCAGGCATGAATGAAGGAAATCAAGAACATTCTACACGGCAACAATGCTAGCATCTCCTGAACATCTTAAAACTTCAACTTCCTTACACTTTGAAGAAAAAGGTTGATAAAAATGACACCTTCAGTCATCAATGTCAAGACCTTTTTACAGAAACGAACTGAAAATAAGACCACACCCGCTATCCTCATTTCCAATGTACCCCACATGCCAAAAAAGAGTGATTTTCCAGGGCTAACTAGTAGAACTTGGGTGAGTAGCACCGTCTTGTCCACCAACCGACAAGAGGCTTCAATTGAACCATTTTTTTTCGCTGAAAACTCGCCATAGCGGTCATCTAACCTAACATATCGCGCTAAGGGAATACAGATCTCAAAGCACAATAGTTTTGATCCCATTAGCGTGTGATAGTCGTCTATTCTCGATGTCGATGAGATAGCTAGATATTATATTTCTAATTAATTGACATCAAAATAAGAAATATATCAGACACGAAACTTAACATCTTTGATTCGAAGAGCTCGAAAGAGTCATCGAGTATAATAGTCGAACGTTGAAATTTTACGTAGTAATTAGTTGCATGCCAAATTGCTCGTTTTCTGTAGTCATAGGTAGTTTTCATTCATCAAAAACCGCTAGCTTTTGACCTTTCAACGTTTACAACAATCAGAAACGGTAAGCTAAAAGGGAAGAACGTTAGCTTAAAAACCCCCATGACCAAGGTTAAGACGAACAAGTGCTCCAGCTCAGCTAACGCCGGATCGTCATAATGCCTATAAAAGCTACCAAATGCTATTTTAGGCCGAGCTTTTTCTGCTCAGAACCGCCAAAAATTCGCGATCAAAACGCGAAAATGACCGTGCAAAGGGAAAAAAAATTGGCATTCCGAACGCGTTCAGAATGTACGCCTTTCGCATACCGCCCAGGCTACTTTAAAAGCACCAGGCTAACGGCCAGGGGCATTTCATGAACCGTCTTGGCTCTTCACTGGCTAAAGCACTTAACCTTTGAAACTATAGCTGTACAACTTGCCCTTAAGTTTTCCAAAGACTTTAAATGCGCTTAGTTGGGCTCCTTCTTGCAGTGCTGGGAGGAACGCCGGCATTTTGCAAGCCGTACGAGGCCTTTGGTGCTTCCAATCAGTATCCTCCCGTTGCTTCTGCTGGCACACAATTTTCATTTCAGCTATCCAACGACACTTTCAAGTCTACCGTCGATGACGGTGTTCAAATTCAATATGAAGCGTTCGAACTACCATCGTGGCTCGAGTTCGACTCACAATCGCGCGTTCTTTCGGGAACGCCATCGGAGTCGGATGTGAGTAACAACTCCCAGAGCACGCAAATTTCTTATACTCTACAAGGTACTGATCCTTCCGATCAGTCTAGCCTCAACAAGACGTATCAACTGGTGCTTTCCAGCGAAAATCAGCCAGAGGTCTCGTCGAGCTTCAATTTGCTCAGCTTGCTGAAAAATAGTGGGTATACCAATGGAAAGAATGCGTTAAAGCTTGCACCAGGTCAGGTTTTCAACATTACTTTCGATAGAGATACGTTCGAAAATTCAGACGCAGCTACAAAATATTACGGGCGGTCCGCCATGTATCATGCGCCATTGCCTCCGTGGGTCTTTTTCGATGAAGCAAATTTGAAGTTCAGCGGGACTGCACCAGTGGTAAATTCTGAAATAGCGCCCGAGTTTTCTTATTCCTTCTCACTGCTGGCTTCTAGTATTGAAGACTATACTTCGGCAGAGGTAAACTTTGATATAGTGGTGGGAGGTCACCAATTTACGACCTCTATTCAAAACACTATAGCGGTCAACGTTTCATCATCCGGATCCTTCAACTATCCTTTACCAATGAGCTACGTTTATCTCGACAACACTCCCGTTTCTTCTGCGAACATTAGCTCAACGGCGCTGCTGGGCAGCAATGACTGGGCTTCTGTGTCAAACGCAACACTGTCAGGTACTTTACCGAAAGGAAAGAGTAGTCAAAATTTGACCGTTGCCATTTATGACACCTTCGGCGATTCCATTTACTTGAACTTTTTAGTCGAGTCTACTCACCAGCTATTTGCAGTATCGTCACTACCTAATGTCAACGCGACACAGGGCGAATGGTTTCAAAGCCAGCTTCTGCCTTCACAGTTCACTGACTACGACAATACAAACGTATCTTTGAATTTTGGGAACACCTCACAGTCAACCTCTTGGCTATCATATCGTGACAGTAATATGACTCTGTCGGGTTTAGTTCCAGACAATTTTGAAGGGTTGGCCGTTGAGGTGGTCGCCAAACAAGATCAACAGTCGCAGAAGCTATCTTTCAAATTAGCAGCGGTCCATGCCAAGCATACTTCATCTTCTGCGTCCGGTACTTCGTCGTCTCTTTCTACAGCAACAGCGACTTCATCTGGGACGTCCAGCAGTGCACAATCAATCTCTCCAGGCGCAACATCTTCTACTTCGCCAGGTCTATCATCCAAAGTGAGCTCCAAAAAGAATCACACAACGGCAATTGCATGCGGTGTGGCTATTCCTCTCGCCGTAATTCTCGCCCTCTTAATTTTGTTCCTTCTTTTCTGGAGACGGAGAAAGAACAAAAGTGCAGCAGCAGCAGACAGAGAAAAATCACCACAAATCAGCAATCCAAAACTTGGAAATCCAGCAAATGACCCTGCATTTTATGGTGGACCATCGCCATTCGATGACGAGAGTTCACTCGAAGACACCTCTTCGGCAAGAAGACTCGCCGCTTTGAATGCTATTAATTTGGATGAACAAGCAAGCTCTGGATCTGACGCTTCCACGCTGGATGAAAAAGCCGCGTCCAGCGCCACCAACTCGTCTGCAGCTGACCTTTATCACGATGCCATGCAGGTTGGAAGTACAGATGCTCTTTTGGGTGTACAGGAAAACGACCAGTACTTCGACTCTAATAAGCATTCGTCGTCTGTTTATCTCAACAGTGAGCCCACAAACCGCAAGTCTTGGAGATTTTCAACGAGAACAACGGAACCGCAACCTAATGTTCGGGAAAGCTACAATTCTTTGAACACAGTCAGCACATCCGAACTTCTCAACACACATATTGCAAGTGACAAAACGCTGCCGAAGGACCCACGAAAGTCATCTTTAGGACTTCGAGACTCTGTATTTTTCGGGGCGGGCGGAACGAGCACCGACAAGAAGACAGCAATGCATTCAGACAGTCCACAGAAATCTACTAATGCGTTAAGAAATCAGCTATCGGGAGACCGAGTGCTGCCTAATTTAGAGGAATCACCTCATGACCGAGACTCATCAGCTTCTCATTTGACGAGTAGCAGCTCAGATGATATAATACCTGTCAAGCAAGGCGATAACTACAAGTGGGTCGAACGTGATGAAAGCGGGACCGAAGCACCACATAGGAAAAGAAGTGTCAAGAGACTGGTTAACCTTCCAAACAGAAGCGGTGTGAACGTCTGGGACGCAAATGACATTGAGGGACACGTTCCAGAGCTGGACATCTCGATCGAGTCAAACATTTAATATGATCTGTTAAGGATCGCTGTAATATTAGTATAAAGGAACATTAAGATTAAACATCGAGCTGTTGATAAATCATCGACCACCCCCATCTGGGTAGATGCCTCTAAGAAGAGGGCACTCCGTGTGGAATATTCATATGGAATGGAGGGATACATAATGACTAAAAAATACCTTACAACTTGTTGTTTCTCCTCAAATTGTTTGCGTAACTTGCTGTATCAACGGCGCGTCTTCTAGCACTGATGTATTCTATCATTTCAGAGTAGCTTTCTGGAACCACGGTAGCGTAGCCAGGTTGAGTACTACTTCCATTAGTATCTCTTGGAGCAAAGTATGAGAAAATGAATGAGCCGGATGAAGTCTTCTTTTCCGACGCTAGCTCCTGTACAATTGTATCAACTTTAACCTGAATCAAGGTACCCGGTTTATTTAGCATCGCGTCGGGACTCTGCGATAGCTGGTTGATAGGCGATGGGTCAAAGTGGAAGATTGTGCTACCATTTGCTGTCTTGTCGGTCACATTGGCGACCTTGGGTTTATCTTCCCTCTCATATAAGTGCTCAGTGTGAACCACGGTAGCATCCATATGCAATATAGAGCCCACTGGGACGGGTGTTTTAAAATGAGTGGAGTCTAGAGATATGAATCTTGGGTAAGAGTGCGAAAAGGATGCAGCAGCACAATAAGCCAACTCGAAAGTTTGTCTCATCAGATATCCACCAAAAATCATGTAGGAATGTCTATTTCTGTACTGGGGCTGCATGAACATGGTAGATTTAACGTTGGTGTCTTTCATGAACATGACGTTCAAAGGCTTCTCGGGAAGTTTGGCGAGCTGCTTCGATGCAGTCCACATGTTGTGAATGATTCTGGACTCTTGACCGGTAGGAGGGTTAGTGTCCAGACTTTCGCTCGCGGCACGGAGCTTTTTCGCCGCATTATGTGACTCAGCGCGTCTGAAGTCCATCCATTCCTTTTGATTCAAAGGCAGAAGTTTGTTGACAGACAGAGATTTGTGAGTCTCTGGATTTCTGGCAACGAAGGTGAAAGATGCGGTCAAAAAAGTGTCTTCTTCTGAAAGATTTTCTTCTTTGATGGTCTTGGGTAGGTCGCCTTGAATAGCGGTAGCCTTGATAGCGATTTCCATAGAAGATCTACCTGTCCAGACCACAGCGCCCGACAAAATAATATTGTAATCGGCCATGGTGTCGATGTTTTTCAATAAATAAATCCGGTCAACGGACGCAGTAACAATGACGGGCTCGGCAGGGGAGGTGTGTCTATAGGCGATTCTACCGGCGAGAGCATCCAAATCTTGGAAAATTTGACCCATTCTCAGTCTGCCGGCGGCGTTGACGTAAAAGTCTGCGACGCCAGCATCGTCACGGAAAGGAAGCGTCAAATATGCAAACGAGTCCTTACGAGCCTTTTCACCCACTTCTGTAGACTTTACAGAGTTGTAAACGTAGGAATCGATAATTTTGCCCTGAGCTAGCTGCTTTTCACGTTCTGCGAGAGCATTGAGCCAAGTTGCCTTGTAGCCACCGACTGTCTTTGGACTTCCCGAAAGACGTCTATGTTCGTATTGGTCAGTAAGTGTGGTGGCAGCAGCATCCGGTTGCAAAGAGGGGTCGTTGGACTTGCCGTCGTCTTTTTGGTGCAGCATTCTGGTTCCACTCAGTTTTTGGGCCGTTAAAACCGTCTTATTATTGTCCAAAGTCTTTGCGATGACTTTCCCAGCGCTTTTAGAGCTCGGACGTGGCAATACGGAGCGAAACATAAGGATCACAGAAACTGAAGAGTTATGGGAAAAGATGGGTTCTTGATATCTGAGAACGAAACTTATACCGAAAAATAATCAGCAAAGTGCCACTGAATGCAATTGGTTCTGCAAGATGCTAGAAAGGTATGATCGAGATTGAGGAGATCGGAATGATCAAAATCACCAATGGGAAACAAAGGGCAAACACGATTGTTAATGGACAACCTTTTAAACTCAGAAAAAGAAGGGGAAATCCAATTTAAACAAAGGTCTTGCAATTGAGTCTAAAACAGCTTTTTAGAGCTCGTAGTAACGTAAATTCGCTTCGAACTTCACGCAAATCCCACTTGGTCGTTATAACACTTTTCAGGACACTATTTGATGCGCTGAAAACGGCAAAGAAGATGGTTCTAGGTTTTAATAGATGGGGAATCCAAAAAACAGTTCAAAAACGTCCTTGAGGTCCTGGACAGGGTTCAATTCTGGGGAAGGTTTGGTTAGATGAGGCTTTATCTTATATAGATGGGTACCCAACAAAAAATCGGGATTCTACGGATCGTGTAAGAAGATGACCGACTAGATAAGAGAGTAAAGGATTGGGTAGATTAAATAGCGGGGAAAACAATCTGTCGAAAATTAAAAATAAATGCTTCCAACCAGGTTTGAACTGATGATCTCCACATTACTAGTGTGGCGCCTTACCAACTTGGCCATAGAAGCTGTTTTTGATGGTGGTGCAGAATGATGAAGGTATATATGCGTTTTCATAGAACACATGACAAGGAGCAAGAAGAGGTCGGATGATTCGAACTGAATCAAAGTCAATCAAGGGAAGAGACTAAGGAAATGTTGCTGGGCAGATACATGATGCTTGAAACTTCATGATTGAAAGGCATTTTCTGGGCTTCAAATAGTCCGAAAACAAGTTTTCACGCTATATTTCGAGAGATATCGTACATGCGTATATAGTGTTTCGAGCTCATCTCATCTCATCAACAAAAATTGTATCGAACTGTAACGGTGCTTCAGGGAGAAAGAAGTCCTTTCAAGAGTGTGATAGCCTCTCGGGAGACGTACATATTTGTGTGGCTGGCGGCTTTTGTTTTCGCAAACTGAAAAAAAAAAAAAACAATGACGCTCCCGGAGGAATCGAACGAGGAGCGAGATCGCCGGCTTCAACAGCTATTCAGCACAATCGACACTGAAAAAACTGGAAAATTCGATCTCGACCAATTATGCAAGGCCTTCGAGCAAAATGGTCATCCACTGCGGAGATCTCCAGACGCTATAGAGCAGCTTTTCAAGTCCCTTGACGACAACAAAGACTCAATGGTCGATTTTGAAGATTTCAAAAAATACGTGCTGGCCGCAGAAGTCCAGATACGACAGGGATTTCAGAAACTCGACAGCGATGGAGACGGTAAAATCCGCGTAAGTGAGCTTTCAAGCTACCTCAGTAAACTGGCCGAGGCCAATGAGCCTCGACCTGAGAAGCCTTTTACGTTTAAAAAATTCGTGAATTGGGCTTTCACCTCCAGGAAAAAAACTGCAGAAGACACTCCTTACATCACATATGATCAGTGGCGAGACTTTCTGCTGTTCATGCCCCGCAAGGGTGGATCCCGATTGCATACCGCATATTCATATTTCTATTTATTCAACGAAGATGTTGATTTGTCGTCAGAAGGTGATGTGACCTTGATTAACGATTTCATACGTGGTTTTGGGTTTTTTGTGGCCGGTGGTGTATCTGGGGTCGTATCAAGGACATGCACCGCCCCGTTCGATCGAATCAAAGTATTTCTCATCGCAAGAACGGACCTATCGTCGACGTTTTTGAACTCAAAAGATCGAGTCCTACAACATAATCCAAGCGCCGATGTGGCCAAAATCAAGTCACCGCTGGTGAAGGCTGCCACCTCACTTTATAGACAAGGTGGCATCCGTGCATTTTACGTGGGGAATGGCTTGAATGTTATAAAAGTGTTCCCAGAGTCTGCTATCAAATTTGGTTCTTTCGAGTTTGCCAAACGTGTCATGGCGCAATTAGAAGGCGTCAAAGACACGTCAGAGCTGTCTAGGTTTTCGACCTACATAGCAGGTGGCTTAGGTGGTGTGATGGCTCAATTTTCGGTTTATCCAGTCGACACTCTAAAGTATAGGGTACAATGTGCCCCGCTCAATGCGCACCAAAAGGGCACACACATAATGATCGAAACAGCCAAACAGATGTACAAGGAGGGTGGCTATAAACTATTTTATAGGGGGGTGACCGTGGGTGTAATGGGAATCTTTCCCTATGCTGCCCTAGATTTAGGAACTTTTTCTGCTCTGAAGAAATGGTACATCTCTCGCCAAGCGCGCATGACCGGTATCCCGGAAGACCAGGTCACAATGAGTAACATCTTCGTGTTGTTGATGGGCGCGTTTAGTGGAACCGTAGGTGCAACTGTGGTATACCCTATCAATCTTTTACGGACAAGACTACAAGCCCAGGGAACCTATGCTCATCCACACAGATACGCGGGATTCAGAGATGTGTTTATGAAAACTGTTGCAAGAGAAGGGTACCCGGGACTTTTCAAGGGACTTGTTCCTAACTTGGCGAAGGTGTGCCCCGCTGTTTCAATCAGCTACCTATGTTACGAAAACCTCAAAAAAGGCATGAAGTTGGAATGAGCTTCATGTATGATAATGCATTATTTTAAGAGTCACAGCCGTGCTATTTAAGACAGATACTAATAATATTCATGGAAAGAATGGCTCCGCCTCAGAGCTTTGGTACGAGCTAGGCGCTTCGTAGATTTGAAAACTAACCTCTGTGTTGATGAGCAACTCCATGAATTGATATATCACCAGGGGCCCAACGTCACAGCCGCTTAAAGTGATCATCTTGATGCGTGGTCTTCGTTCCTGGCTGCTCGAAACAAAAGGTTCTTCCGCACATTTAACCCAATTAGAATCCTGTTCTTGTGCTAAACGCTCTTTCAAGTTTTGAACTCGATTAACTTTTCTGCCGAGACTCAACCCCGCTGAATCTATCACAATTTCGAAAGCCACCGTATTAGGTTTGATTTGTGGAAGCTTTTCGAGGCGAGAAATCAAACTGTTCAGACTCGAACGCAGCTCGTCAAAAATTTGTGGTTCTTGTACTGTACAGTCATCATCGTGCCTCAGTTCACCAAAGTCTAAAGTAAATCTTTCCAGACATGCTCCATCGTCTTGCTGGATTATTCGTAGATTGAAATGCCGAACCGCTTGCAGTTTTGATATGACATCTACCACCATGGTCTCGATGTAGTTCTGAAGCTCCGGGTGGCGATTCATTGGAACGTGGCGGGGCAAATTGAACGCTTGAAAAGACGTCCAGTCAAACGCTTCCTTCGGGTATACATTCCGATAATAAAGAATCACGTTAACGTAGCATTTCAGGTAAACCTGGAGCCATTTCGAAACTGCCCAGTGCATTGTTCATCATAACAACTACTGTATCTTGGGACCAGCAGAATAGTCTGGATTTTGACCTGATGGATGGATCATTTTGGTAATTTTCCATATTTGACATATTCATTATATTACCTAGAACAGAGTGACTGATAAAAACTATGAAATGGTAGTGAACAGAGTTATGTGCCAGAGCCTACCAAGTTGTTTGATGAACGTTAGCTCAATGGCTTGAAAAATATTACGATTGTTTTCACTTGTGGCGTTCATGGTCTATTAAGTTAACGGTTATTTCTGATTGTCTCTGTTTTTAGAAATGTCTGGATACAGGCAATCCTGGGCTTTATTTACGTCTCCTTCCAGAAAAAAAAAGTATAAAATCAGACACGATAATGTGCTCTGTCTAAGCCGCCGTGTAAATGATTCTCTCATCCACCGTGATACCATCCTCGACATGTTTTTAGGTCGACAGATGTATGTGCCGATCATGATCACTCTGTACTACACTGTCACTTTGCGCCGCCAATTCGCTTGCAGATATATTTATTTACTCAGAAGCCAAATGGAATCGTGAAGGAATGAAATCCGGTCGAGAGCTGTATGTGAGGACTCGGTGAAAAAGCTGAAGTGACCGATTGCAACGCAGTGATTATATTGAGATCTCACATTTCGTGACAAATGACATAGAAAGATGACATGGGAATGTGTCTGCAGCCAAATGTTTCGATGCTGTCAATAGTGAGTCTAAGAAGTACTCATAACACGCCCAGTTTGTGCGTCTTTCGGATTACAGTGTTTCATTATTTGGTACGATCATGTTATACGAAATCTACTCATCGCATATCTTCAAATGATGTAATAACCCTAACCTTGCAGGATCTTGCCCAACTTTTCACCATTTACTGTTCAACCAGTTCTTCGACTGTTCCAATTCTAAGATCAGGGCTCAATTAATGACTCTTCTTAAGTGAACCAGCTTTATGAGCGTCAAAATCGCTGCCATCAACGAGATCGACGTTGGTCGTATCACTTCTGGACAGGTTATTGTCGATTTGACATCTGTAGTGAAGGAACTGCTAGACAACAGTATAGATGCTGGGGCAGACCAGTTCGAATGTGTTTTCAAAAACTATGGCTTAGAATCTCTAGAATGTAGTGACAATGGCAGTGGTATTCCAGCCGATAGTTACGCGGGACTTGCACTGAAGCATCACACGTCGAAAATTTCGAATTTCGAAGATGTATCTCAGGTTACGACCTTAGGCTTTCGGGGTGAAGCTCTTTCTTCACTGGCGGCGATCTCAAATTTGGTGGTAACTACAACGGCCAATCCTCCCAAAGCAGCACGGTTGGAATTCAATGCCAAGGGAGAATTGATCAAAAACGTTGTAACGTCCCGCAATAAAGGCACAACCGTGCATATCTCTCAGTTATTCAATAACCTCCCAGTGCGTAAAAAGGACTTTACCCACAATTGCAAACGACACTTCAATAAATGTATTGCTCTACTGCAACAATACACCATAATTCAGGACAAGATGAAGATTTCCATTTGGCACGTCACCAGCAATGGACGCCGCACTCTTGTCTTGTCGTCCACAAAAGATCAGGGTATCCCCAAACGGATAGTCGGAGTATTTGGATCAAGTGCCATGCAGGGACTTTCAGAGATTAATTTGGACCTTTCGATAAACACCACCAAATCATGGGCTTCTCAAGCCTTGGGGCGTGATTTTGATGAACCTTCAGAATACTCTGTAAAAGTGTCAGGGTACATCTCGGGCAGTTCATTTGGTTGTGGCAGGAACGCAAAAGATCGCCAATTTGTATATGTCAACCGAAGACCCGTGGTATATCCAGCACTTCTAAAATGCTGTAATGAAGTTTACCGCACCAACAATAATGTGCAATTTCCAGCGTTGTTTCTGAACTTTGAGGTTGCCCCCGAGCTCATTGACGTGAATATAACACCGGATAAGAGAACTGTTGTATTGCACAGCGAAAACGTTGTAATTGATTCCTTGAGGGATGCGCTGGTGGAGTACTTTTCGGATCAGGAAATGGTGCTGCCCGTTTCTTTGAAAACTAAAATTGAAAAGAATGAGGAAGAGCCTGAATTTAAAAGACAAAAGGCTGAGGCTGTCAGCCAAGAGCTGGATTACCAATTTCTAGACGATGTATCACAACCCGAAGTTTCTGCGCCTCAATCTGAAGTCTCAGAAAATACTCAGAGCGGCGTGGCAGCATCTAATTATTCGGAACATGGACGCGATACATCTGCGCAAGAGCCTTGCATTTTTGTGATGGACTCAGAACCATCCGATGAAGCAGAAGGGCTGAACGCAACAGATCATCCCGAAAATGCCGACGCGTCCGTATCATCAAACCGCATCCCTATCAAGCGTACGACTACTAGAGGTAAGACCCAAAGGACACTTGATGCTTTTGCAAATCCTGCTATGGACTTTGATGCGGACCCTTTGTCAAGAACGCCAAATGCCTCTGAAGAAACGTTGACATTGCAGATTGGCGATGATCACTTCGAAGAACGAGCGGTTATATCCCGAGATAAACATTTGATAATCTCAGAATACGGCGATTCGAATAGAAACAAACAACGCAAGGTTTCTGGGGATGTTGAATCAATACCCTCACAAAGTCCATGTACATGCTCTTCAGGTAACGAATACGAGGATGAAGATGATGAGGATGGCCTGGATAATGCTCAGCTTCGCAATACAATTGGAAATTTTTCGACAGGCGACTCAGTTTCACAGGTCGCTCCCGCAAGCTCGAGCCTGGAAGAATTCACATCTACAAGCCAGCTACAATCCGATTTGACAGAGACTGAGACACCCTCTCAAAGGGAGAATACACTGAAAGGTTCCGCTCACACCGTAGACACTGAGATTTTATCAGTGGTATATCCGGTGGATACCTCAACGATAGTCAATAAGTTTAAGGAGCAGGTTCAAGTTATGGATCAGCCAAAATTAGAAAAGCATCAAAACTTTATCCAGAAGAACGAACAGATAGAGGATTTTGCAGAGGGTGAAAAATATTTGACTCTTTCAGTTTCCAAGAGGGACTTCAAGAGTATGAACGTTGTGGGACAGTTTAATTTGGGTTTTATTTTAGTGACACGCAGAATTGGACGGAAATTTGATTTATTCATTATAGACCAGCATGCTAGTGATGAGAAATTCAATTTTGAGATGCTCCAACAGACGACGGTTTTGAAGTCACAACGTCTCATTGCACCTCAGGAAGTAGAAATGAGTATTATCGATGAACTCATTACCACGGAGAATCTAGAAGTTTTCGAGAAAAACGGGTTCAAATTGGAAGTAGATGAGGACAAACCACAGGGCAGTCGAGTTCGATTGGTTAGCTTGCCTATATCGAAAAAGACAATTTTCGATATAAATGACCTACACGAATTGATCCATTTGGTGAGAGAGTCTGATGGGCTAAACAAGGATGCAGTACGCTGCTCGAAAGTAAGGAGTATGCTAGCAATGCGTGCCTGCCGTAGTAGTATTATGGTGGGAAAGCCGTTGTCCAAAAAAATGATGGTGCGTGTGGTGCAGCATTTGAGTGAACTGGACAAGCCTTGGAATTGTCCTCACGGCAGGCCTACAATGCGGCATTTGATGGAACTGAGGGACTGGAATGCGTTTGAAGATGACTATAGATTGTGACCAGCGCAGTAGTTGACTACATTATATACAAGGGAATTAAAAATGGTGATCTTGCACAGGGCAGTGCAACATGACGTTAATTGAAGGGATATAGAGAGAGATCCGGCAACCGAACGCTATGATGAAAACAATGGTTTTGTTTTGATGTATCAATCTCAGATCAGCCTGGAGATAAACCTATTCCAAAGGGAAGTTGTCCTGTTGTTTTCCACACTAGAATCGGTATGGAACCCACGTCTATCAACTCGATTGAGCCTTCTGGCTGTTTTGGCATTATTTCTAGTGCGTTGTCCGCGTACCGGTAAGTTCAAGGCATGTCTCATACCCTCGTAAGACCCGATTCTTCTCTTCAAGGCAATGTTCTCCTTGACCACGGCTCGAGCATTACCCTCAATTGTCATGTTAGAGAGCTCACTAGTTAAACTCATAATTTGCGGTTCTGATAGCTGGTGCATGCGCATCCATGGATAAAATCCCAGTTTCGAGCACAACATTTCAGACGTTTTTAGCCCAACACCGTACATTTTCGATGCTAATGCGATTCTTATTACCTCTTTTCCTTTGAAACCCTTGCCTAAAATATGAACCACCATGTTTTAAATATCAGTGAGAAAACCCAATAGCAGGGAAGTGGCAGCAAACTGGATAGAACTGGATCTTTCGAGTCTTAAGTGGTGCTCATCTTGAGCTAAACCATGCATTTCAGTTACATTATTTGATGAAAAATTCCAGAATTCGTTGAAAGCGATATAATGAATATAAAAGTGATTATGTAAGAAACACATGGATGACGCGAATTAAGAAAACGATCCAGTTCGTTAAATATGATAGCAATTAACTTTTGGTGGTGATGGGTCACGGGGTACCCGGATCTGAATAGGTCGAACAGATCCTTTAGTATTATGGTTCCGATGACGCTCTGCATTTCTTCAACCGGAATAATTATGCGTGATCAAATGCTCTAGTTGTTCCAAATCTAGCCGCTGGATTACCAGGTTTCGCAGCAATCCGACCATGGTGATGAAACTTGCCAGTCCCACCGGGACCACACAAAATACAGTGATGTTGTAAAGATGAATTTGATGGTTTTTCGTGAGACGCAAATATCGAGAACTTCGTCTGCGTTTGCGGCTATCCGATGATGATGATGATGTGGTGGTAGTTGTAGTGCCAGTGGTGGTCGCTGTGCACGTGACCTGGCCCGAAGAAACGCCAGATTGGGACGCCGACGAAGGATTCGGACGTGGTGAAGACGTGCTGGAGCTCTCATCGGTAGATACGGTTTGAGAAGGTTCCTGTTCGACGTAATTCAGGTCAGATGTCAGAAAACTTTGCCAAATGTATGCGCCCGTTAACATGCAGCTGATGAGGATCCATGTGTGCAAAAAATAGTCACCTTTGGGTGACAAGGACGACAATAGTAGCATTTCGAGCGTGATGATCAACAGAGACATCGAAAACATGCGCAAGATCGCGGCGACCGTGGAATATTTCACAATCCACCGCACCATCAACGAGTCCAGTATTGCATACGTCAAATATGCAGAGACTACGCACCACAGTGAACACAATAGGTATTCAGACGAGCGTGCCACGAGGAGCTGCGACATCAAATCGGAATCGACCGCCGCAGAAGACGCCTGCGTCTTCTGAAGGGCGGGTTGCTTGTGCCACACGCGAGAAAGTCCCACTTGTAGCAATTCTGACCGATACGACAACTCCCAGGCCTTTTTCAGAGATCGTGCCAGAGACAGCAATGGAGGCAGCAACGAAACGTCTCTGCACACGGCGATTAGAAAGTGTTGTTTTGCATCCAAATTTCGAAGCGTGAGTGATTTGAGGGACTGATAGGATGACTTTTTACCACTACCATTACTGCTGTTAGCAGAACCTTCTGCTGATTCTCTCTTTGCTTGTGAGTTGCCCTCGCTGGCCGATCTGCGGTGGTAGTGATGATGGTGGTGAATGTGGATCTGCGATTGCGACCCATGCGAAGAAGCCTGCAATTCCAGTGGTGCAGCTGAAGACCCAGATTCTGTCATGCAAAAAGTCACTTTGAAGCTAACTTCAAGTGTAAAACACCAAAAACACCAAAAAACACCGTAAAACCGAAAATCCGAAAATTCGAAAAAACCAAAAACAGCCTACCCACTTTTCAACAACACTCTTCAGCAAACAGACATCAAACAGATCTCAGTTGAGATGATGAAGCTATTGCGGCAGATATCGTCGCTTTTTCGTCTTAGAAAACCGTTAAGTTTTGTCTCTTGAACACATTCTGGAAAGGAAGATGTCACTTTTTATATTCTAATAAGAGATCGGGTGATATTTATAAGTCGAGGAATAAAGATAAAAAGAGAACACAACATGTACTACAAGGAGTAGTTCAGAGCTGTTGTAAATGCTTCTTTGAGTTGTCAAGTGAAGGCAGTTGATTTCGTGTAAAAAACTGGGATTCTTACGCTTGTCTCAGACTCGAATTCGGATACAAAGCGTTTTTGGTGACAGAATGTGAAAAGTGATAATCATAACGGTCGGTACTGGACAATGCCAACTGTTTAAAGGGCTTGAAGGGTTTTAGGAAGAGAACTAGTTGGGTGGTCCGCGTAAACTCTAAGATCTGTGCAGTAGTTGGTGCTGCTGGGATATCTTTTCAATGTGGATAAAAAATCGCGTTTCTACTTACTATAGCAATGTGTAAACCTTTATCAGAAAAAGTACTACAAGACCCAGGCAGAATGCATTTTCAAATTGCTCATCACGCAGGGGCTGCCGCCATTCGCCAACAGACATCGCCAAAATGGGGTTGCAGGTGGCGGTGATGGTGGTCGTTGTCGTTGCAAGGGTATCGTGGGAATCATTGCGGCTCAATTGAGGTTTCCCGCAATGGTGATCGTTGTTTGGCAAAACCAGCGGATGCGAAAGAGCGCTGGGGACCAGGGTGGCGTCACTGGAGGCGGACCCGCGAGGCCGCGTGTGTCCGTCTGTGCCCGGCTCCAGAATCATAAATTTTCTAGCGACGCTGCGATTTCGTCGAGTTCCTTCTTGGCCTCGTCGTATTTGACCTGGAGCTCTTCATACTTCTTTTCCCAGTCGTCACGCTCCTGTTCGAGCGACACAGCCTTGCGTTCAAGGCCCTCAGCTCTTAGGTCCGTCTCGCGGAGCTTGTCGGTGGTCTCCTTGAGCTTCGAATCGCTTTCCTCGAGTTCTTCTTCCAATTGCTGGTTTTTCTTGGTGAAGTTCTCGTTGTGAGAACGCAGATTGTGGGAGTCTTCGGACAGTTGTTTGTGCTCCGACAACTCAGACTCCAATTTTTCCACTTCGGAATCCAAGTTCTGGTTTTTGGTCGTGAGAGCCTTTATTTGGTTCTCTTTCTCCGTGTTGTCCTGTTCCAATTGCTTCAATTGTTCCTTAACATCCTCATATTTTTCCTGCCACGATTCGGCTTCGAGCTTTAGGTTGCCAAGTTTCTGATTCAATTACGTTCAAATCGTTAGTCAAAGTGTTCCCCTTTTACAATCCATATCCTCCTGTACAAGTGGCCCATCTCAATCCCTAGTAGCGTCTCTCAATTCTTTCGGGGAAAAAAGGGAGAATAAACCGCGGGTTGAGACGGCACTTTCGTTGTAATAAAATTCAATGCTAATCATACCTCTCTGATCTTGTCCATTCTAGCGTTTCCGGATTCCTGAAGAGCTTCAAAGGTTTACAATTCCTTGATCTTTGGAGTGATTTCAACAAGGTCAAACGTTCCGTTCATTTTCTGATTTCTTTATATACTCAACAGATCATTAATTTTTTTTGATTTTGAGATCAGCTCGTAAGGTGTGATATCCACGAAAAATAATGAATTCGGAAAGAGAAAACAGTAGCACGTGACCGAACTAACTCATTTGATTCGAGCAGACAAGGATTAGGTGTTTTTATTGAGATATCCACTATAAATGCATTGTGATTTGGCTTTCGAAACAACTTGTCCACATTATTGGTTTTGTTCACAAGATATCCCAAAAAAGAGCAGAGAAAAACCAAAAAAACCAAAAAACCAGAAATTTCGGGTGTCGAAGTGTCTGTTTGTTTTTGAGTCAAAGATACATATTTTTGAGCACTCGATGGAGCTAGGGACCAAAACCACAGCTCACACCGGCTACTCAAAACCCGTTAAGATCCAAATTTTAAAAGTATTTTCAGATACGTATATAATGATACTTTGGTGTGACGCAGTGCTGTCCAACGGGTTGACCCGGATCAAAAATTTGCAACCCGGGTTGCAAAATTCGGGTACTTAACGGGTTGCTGTTTTTTTCAATCAGGTCTTTGAGTATTAATAATTTAATATTTACGGATCCTTCAGTGAGTTTCAATCACATTCAATAGCGTCGCTAACGGGTTGGGAACACCTCACATCGCCTCGGTGACAAAGAGGAGCAGCTCATGTTTGTTCGCGATGCTAAAAAACGTTTAGACTTGATATGAATTGTATAATGCTACCTGGGCTAAATACTGGTCAAAATACTAATTACGCCGCCCAGCGACCGTCGATGGTCATCATCATCATAGGCATCATCATCATCAACACCGTAATCATCATCCTGACAATCATCCTCAAGGGGTTCTTCATCAGATGATATATTTATAAAATCATCGGCATCGCCCGGTTTCGTGAGTAGAAGTTCCTTGTCGTACAGGCCGAAGTTAAAAAAGCGGTCTCTTAAAAGCATGATTCTCCTCGCATTAGCGCTCCCGAGACTTCTGCGGTCGCTTCTCATTAGTTTTCCACTGATAGAGAATGTTCTCTCAATACCGCATGTGCTGAACTTTGTGTACAACATGGATAAAGCCAACGGAAACAAATGAGGGTAGGTCAAACGCCGCGAGTACCACCACTTCACGGCATCTGTCAAAGAATCTGAAGTTAAATGAGAATCAGCCTTATAGTTCTCCCATTCTTCCAGAGCTTTAGAGGTTCTTTCTGGAGGCTGCTTGAAATGCAATTTTAGCCTTTTGAACTTGGTGACGCGATTCGTGTTCACTGGCTTGAGCATATTGTCAATGTACGGATGGTTTTCGGATTGGCACTGCTTGAGGTAGCCCTTGACATATGCCTCTACCCTTCGAAAGTGCTCTGATCCCTCATTATCACCAAAAAATTCTTTAAAATAATCGCCTTTGATACTAGGATCCAAGAACGCCGCAACAAAGTAGATGTCGTTCTTTTCATACAACTCGAAGTATTCGTCGAATTTTGACCTGGAAGAGATGATGGCTTTCAAAACAGTACTCTTTATCTCTTCAGAGAGTTCGAACTTTCCATTAATGAAGGTGAAATCAAAAAACCCCTCTGGAGAAGCTGGAATGGTTTCCGTTTCACACCTGCTGCATAAGTCATAAAATTCCTTCATCGTGGAATAGAAAGTGACTGCATTAGCTATGTTGCTTGCATTGTTGTCTTGCAAAGTATCGTTCATTAGCTGGAAGATCGAGCAACAGCTCGTAAAATACTCTAAGAGTTGTACTGTTTCGTCCGTGAGCTGCAGCCGCATTTCTATCTTCGGAAGGACATTGTGATATTGTTCATTTGACTTCAAACTCTGAGCCCACCCTAAATATCCTTTGTGATGCTTTAGAAATGTAGCGACCTGTTTCCAAATGAAAATCCACCGCGTTTCGGGAGCCGAAGGCACCAAGGGTAATCTAGCATCCGCTATAGCAGACCTTAAAAGAGATGACCTCTTGATTATTTTGGCGAACGCACTAACATCTCTCAAGCCTTTTTCAAACCTCTCATCTTCCCTCAGCTTTCTCACAATCTCCTGAAACAGAAGGTTCAAAATGTGACTTGCGCAGCGAACATGATGAAAGTTTTTTGTCTTCTTGAATGCCGTCGTCCTCGAAGGTTTTATGAGATTGTGAAGAAGGAAAGAATGCATGGCCGTATTATTAGTAGCATTGTCAGAGGTAAAGGAGAGGACTTTATTTGTTATTCTAAATCGGTTCAAAACCTCCACGACCGTGGTATGCAGACTTTCACCTGTATGGCGTGAGCCGCTGATATCAACAAAATCCAAAAGGTGACTGTTATTGGTCTCTTCACAGTTATTGAGTAATGCCTTTTCTCCAACGCCTTGTAACATCTTTTCATTCAGCAAGTTCGGAGCGAATGAAGCTGCAATACCCAAATAAGAGTGACCGTTGCCTCCAGTCCACACATCTAGCTCTAAGTTTATGAAATCGGTTTGTTCTAGAGCCGCAACGAGTGCCTTATCAAACCATTGGGAGTAGGTTTCGAGTTTTGTATTTATCGTGGTGCGAGATTGAATGAATGACATTTCTGGACATGCCTTACATATCCATTTCCACGTTCTAGAGCTGACAAACGAAAACGGCAACAGTCTTTCCGTCAAAAAGCCAATTGTCCCGATGGAGCCAGGACTGTGCATACACTCGCGAGCAATTTCTCCCGGCAGCGGAAGCGAGCGAGATTTCATGATCAAAGAGTCTAGCGAACGCTCCTTTATAGTTGCAGCCTTTTGGGATCTGTACTGGCAGGGGTGAATGTTCTTGACGTGCTTGGAGAGATTACCCGTAGAATTGCTTTCGTAGAAGGTTCTTCCGCAATGTATACAGCTAGCTGTGGTCAAACCATCTGTTTGAGAAAGTCGAAAGTGCTTGCGAAGTGCGGACCTTTGCATCCATTGTGATTTTCCACGCGCTAGAGCCTTTTTTGTATTGTGGTGGGGCAAGTCACCTAGGTGGTTCTCAGGATCACTTAGAACCGTATCCCCTTCAAGATCAGTACTGGGACTCGGCGCTAGTTCATGTGGTGCAATCATAAGAGGGGCTTCCATTGTTGGTAGAAACTGTGGCCTGAGCCATGTTCCTGAATGTGAAGTAATGAATTCTGAATTTTGTCACCTTTTATATCTTCAAAAGTTTACGCGTTGCATTTTAAAAAAGACGCGTTACATTTTAGAAAAAACGCGTCCAGGTTCCTCTCAGGTTGCAGTTCAATTCTAAGCGGGTTGTACGACAGGTTATGATTTGCCCGAAGCGGGTTCTTTCAGGTACCTAGCTATTTAGCAGATGGGTCCTCAAATTTTATGAATTTTTTTTACCCGGCCAGTTTTGCAACCCGTTGGACAGCACTGGTGTGACGCTGGGCGATGACAGCGACGGGATATTATCGATGGTGACTGATACATTAGGATTTTGAACAAGAATCACGACCTTGTTACTATGCAAAATTGCGGCAGCGAACCTATCATCTTCGACAAGCTCAATGTTCCGCCCTTTCATTTTCTCCTGTGTCGCTTTCGAGATTCCCCGCCTTGCCCAGCATTTTGGCGTTTTTCAAATCTCGGGACGCAGTCACTTAAACTATGCTCCTCAACAATGGTTTCTGCATTCGGGGCAGGCATCTGTAGCTGTCTTTCAATTTCCTGTATTTGCTCGTCCTGATCGAGCAGCTGGGCTAGTTTACCGATCGTCTCGGTCTTCATCGTTGTGGGGTAAACCACGTCAAACTCAATATACAAATTGCCAAACCCTCCTTTACCATCAGGCATGCCTAAATTTTCCACACACTTAAAAACACCAGGCTTCAAAATCTCACCCGGTAAAACATCGACTTTGACGGTTTTCCCACTTGGATGCGAGCTGATCCAAACGGGACCTCCGCATAAGCTGGTTTTCAACCCCACGGGGCACTTTTCGAAAACTAGACTCGCATCCCTGTCACGCTTGAACTTAGAATCGGAAATTTGCTCTACTGTTATAATAACGTCACCAGGAACTACCTTTACGTTTTCATTACCCAAGTCGATCACTTCATCTGCCTCGCCGGGCAGGATCAATTCTTGACCGTTTTCCATTCCCCTTTCTATTTGCACATCGAATATCTTGCGCTCACCAACGTACCCTTTTCCCTGACAAGTCTTGCACCTATCATCTTGCCTGCAAAATGTTCCTTGGCCGTTGCACCGATGACATGTAGAAGACCACGACTGCGTCACGGGACCCTGCTGTCTGGTCTGTGTGTGCATCCCACGACCGTTACACATTGTGCAGGGTGTCATTTTCGTAGCTCCTTCGCCATTGCAGTCCCGACACAACCTCGTCCTTTTCAAAGCGAGCTTTGCGGTTTTCCCATTATAAAGATCCTCCAAGGTACACTTTAGCACATGCTTGATATCGGGACCACAGGCAGGGGTTTTGGGACGTGGCTTATGCCGCGATGAGCCGAATCCGAAAAAGTCCATATTGCCACCAAAAAATCCACCGCTGCTTCCGCCAGCAGTGGTTGTTCCACCGCCGAAAAACTGGGCGAAAAGGTCACCGGCAGACATCCCGGGACTGCTTCTGCTATAGCCGTCAGATTTCATTGCAGACCACTGCGATTCGTCTGCGGTTCCAAAACGGTCGTACATCGCCCGTTTGTGATCGTCCTGCAAAACGCTATATGCTTCTGACACCCTTTGGAAACTGATTTTCGCTTCTTCAGAGTGCCCATTTTTGTCAGGATGAAATTGAAGCGCTTTTCCACGATACGCCTTCTTTATTTCTTGTTTCGAAGCCTCTCTTGATACTCCAAGAACTTCATAAAGCGAACTTTCTACCGGTAAACTCATATTACAGATAGTTGAACACACCTAATTTACTGAGCTGCCTCTGGATTTTTGATAGCTTTTCCAAATGATGTTACAGACAAGCTGTTTTGCCACTATGCATTGAATTACTCGCTTCCAGATCTTAGCGGCTACTTATGCTAAAGCTTCAATTCACTTGGCCTTTAAGTTCTTCAGGTTTGTCCATTTATATATGATCAAGATGACTACAGACAATATTAATGAATCAAATTTCGATCTATTCTACATTATTCTACAGACGCTACAACCAGCTTTGCCCTGTATATAAGACGATTGAGAGTAGCTCTAGGTTCAAGGTGTGGCACAGAGTAGATCATTGACAGCTTCAGAACTTTTTGGAAAGAAATTCCTAACCATGCTATCACTTTTGAACGCTTTTGTCCCCACGAAATATGCTATAGAACTTTTGATAGAGCCTTCAAAGGCCAACTTCAGAGGTCTTTTGAAAGCAGACTTGACACTCAATAAGAATCGTGAACATGATAGCGACGAGCTAATCACATCATTTTCGCTGCATGCCGAAGATATAGTTGTTTTGTCTGCCAAAATCGGTAGCCAAAAATTGGACGTCAGCTACGATAGAACGGCTGGCACGGTCAATTTCCATTGTAGTGACGGATTGAACAGATCAAAAAATGAAGCTGGGGTATCGCAACAACTGGTTCTCGAATATTTGGGAAAACTCCAGTTGATCAAAACTTTTCAGGACGTGACTCGCGGTGTCTTCAAAACGAACTTTATGGACGCTGAAACGGGCAATAGTGACCATTTTGTGGTGGCCACGCACTCGCAGCCATCATTTGCTCGAAGAATTTTTCCCTGCATAGACGAAATCAATCATAAAGCGTACATGCAGCTGGTGATAAAAACCTTACCTCGTTTTAAGGTCGTTTCCAACACCCAGGTAGAGTCCGAAATCCAAGAGCAAATTGAAGGGAGCGCCACGGATGCAAATGCCACCGCGTTGAAGACAGTTTCCTTCGAGCAGACCCCTTTGATGGCCCCCTCTTTGTTCGGATTTGTGCTGGGCGACTTGCAATGCATCGAATCTCACATTGCTCTGCCGCAAGGAGAGCTGCCTATTCGAATTCTGGCAACCCAGCAAGTAGAGCTGGCTGCTTTTGCACTCGATACCGTGTGTAAATATTTGCCTGTTTTGCAAGAATTCTTCAAGTGCGAGTACCCTTTGTCAAAACTGGATTTCGCACTTTTGCCATTTCTTAGCGATATGGCAATGGAAAATTTTGGACTAATTACAATCCGTCAAGACCATCTCTTACTGGACCCCACAATGTTGGCGGATGACACCGTGCAGACCCAGGTCCAACAATTGATCGTACATGAATTAGTGCATCAATGGATGGGCAACTATATCTCGTTCGATTCTTGGGAGCATCTTTGGTTCAACGAGGCATTCGCTACTTGGTGTTCATGCGAGATTATAAGCAATATTTCCCATCAAGACCACTGGTCGTCTCAGGAATACTTACAACAGCTCAACAACGACCTCCTGCGTGACGCTTCTTCCGATAGCCAAAGCATAGCTTCAACATCCACAAAAGGAAGCATCACTCAAACATCTGATGCTGTTGATCCGCACAACTACACCAAGGGCATATCGATATTGAGATCTTTGCAGTGTTCCATAGGCAAAGACAACTTCAAGTCTGCCCTGCAATCATTGAGCTGCGATAAATCGTACCACGAACGCAGCATTAAACCGTCAGAAATCTGGACGTATTTTGGACAACACCTGAGGTCTATGAACATATCCAACTTCATGTTTTCATGGACGCACTCACCGGGATTTCCAGTCTTGCACGTTGAATCTCAAAATGGCAACACGCTCTTAAAACAGGGCCGCTTTTTGACTGGCAATGGCGGTACTACTGAAAATGTTCCCTTCCACATTCCACTTTTTGCTCGCCTTTCTGATGGTTCCGAAGATAAACAGCACGTACTGATGACGGACCGGACACTAAAGCTTCCGTATGAACCCACACTTTTCAATTCCGACGTGAAGGGCTACTACAGGGTATCTTATGAAAGTAAGGAGTGTTACGATAGACTCTCTAAGGCTCTGGTCGAGGGGCAGCTGTCGGAGCTTGAATTGTACGGCGTGTTTCGCGATCTCGAAACTTTCATTGGTAACGAACAATACCAAAAGCCAGTGCATTTAGATGGCCTCTTTCAGCTTCTTCGTACTATCGCATCGGATGTGGATTTAAGCACGCATTCAAAGTACTATCATGGATTAAGTTTGGGACTGACTGTTTTGCAGCAGGTCGAGTTAAGCGATATGAGATTTGGTAGTGGTGCAGAGAGCTCCAAGCTGCTGGAAAACATTATAAACCCTTTGTTCAAACAGATTGAGTGGGCAGACTCTTACCAGAGCGTACAAATTCCGAGCTACCAAGCTCACGTAATGTCGCAAGTCTTGAGCGCAGGAAAGAGATTGACAGAGGTTCAGTCGCTTTGTTGTAAATATTTCAAAATGATCTTACATGGGCCAGCGAATGCTATTCCGTTCGAATTGCTGGGAGGCATCTTGACAGTCAATTCCTTTAGCACCTCGACTCTTAAGCAATGGAAAAAGCACTTTGAATTGGCGAAATCGAGCCAAGGTATTGTCCCACATATATCTGGTTGTTCAGCATCTGACATAGAGGTCACGGCACTGGAGACACTGGGATACTGCAAGGAGCCTCAACTGGTACAAAGAATCTTAAATTTTGTCTTGACCAACTTTGACTCAACGGGCAGCGAAAGAGCTCTTTTTGGACTATCAGATAATGCCAAAGAGCTTTGTGGTAAAGAGCAAGTAAGGGATGTGGTGTGGAATTGGTTTTGTCTCCATTTCGATCAATGGGCCAAAAAATCGTTGGTGGGTGACGCTGCGACATGTCAAGACCTAAGAAATACTCTTCTGGCTATTTCTGTTGTAGTGTTCCAGATGTGGCAAGACGTGCCGGAAAAAGTTGACACTTTCACAACTGCCAAACAGAGCCATTACGGCGGAGAGTTAAGAGTTGCTGAGATATGGGCCTCGGTTAAACGAAGCCAAATTCCTAAAATGAATATCTACAAAGCACTTCTGGGTTTCTAGAAAAGCACAGTGACGCACAACCTGCATGCATCAAATTATAAATTCTATAGACCAATTGCAAACCTAGTATACCTTTTGTAGTCGACGAGAACTTCTGCTCCTCTCAGTGCTCGCTATTGAAGCTTCTTCGCTTCCTAACTTGTACGAAGAATGATCATTCGTTGTGCCTTTGATAGAGGTCGACCTGTCATCTTCAGCAGTGTCGAAACTCGAAGAATGAGAGGGAAAATAGGCTTCCTCAGACGGGGTCCCTAGCGAACTAAATTCAGAGCTTCGTACTGCAAGTCCACTACTTACGTTGATGTCTGACAACGAACCATTAAGATAAAGCCGAAACTCAATGCGCTGCGAGATGACATGAGAAAGGTATTGCCTCCACATGTCATATAGCGGTTTATTATTTGAGCGCGATGAAGATCGGTGATACGGTCCCGAATACGTGTTTGCTCTCTTCGCCATTCTTGCGTTGGGTATCACTCTGCGAATACTATTTTTGCGCGCCGCAGCTGTACCATAGGCAGGTTTAGCTCTACCTGAAGTGGAAGTAAAGTCAGCTGCGAGGGTTCGAAACACAAACTGGGGATGAAGGCGAAGCAGTTGCCAAAATGACGGGCTTTTCAGTTTTAGGTACAGGAATCGCTTCGCCGACGTGAAATCCGACTTTGCCATAGAGCGAGGGTCAATGTAGTCCATGGCACTTGCAAGCTCGGATTGATTTCTGAACTTTCCTTTGACTGAGGGAACCCTGGAGCGCTTCAGAGAAAAACCGCGATGAAAGACGAAATTTCCAAATTGCGAGACCGACTGAATTTCTGCCCGCGTGGAGAAATTCTTGCGTCTTGATAGAGAATTGACGCGTTTGAGGGAGCTACTGCTTCTTACTGGTATTCTGTGTTCTTGAGTTGTGCCGTTTGAGTCTCGTAGCCTTGAATACCGAGACCACTTACAGAGTTTATCAAGCATTTTTTTTGACGGATTGGGATGTTGACGCCCGACATCGAGGGCTTGGTTTCGAAGCTTGTTTCGCCTTTCGTGGTTTTGAGCTTGTTGCAGATCGAATTGGCTCATCGTGAGACGCTGATTTGCGAAAATTGGGACGGTTTTTTTTGTTCGTCCAGGACGGTGATTGTCTGTGAGAGCGGCGATCTGTATGTGTGAGCCCTTTGAGTGGTCTTCGAATGGTCTGGTTTCGAGTAGTCGCGAGCCGAAGCCAATGCCGGGGGAGCTTCCATTGTCTGTGGGTGATTGTATGCATCCATAAGAGGCTTGATCAATGATGTCTCTTCCTCTTCGTCCGTCATGTCTGCGTACTGGTCGAGCTCGTAGTTCAACCACAGCGAGGTGGATTGTCTGTTGTCGGCGGATTTTGGAAAGCTGTGCAAAGTGTGTCTGTGATAAAGGTTGTGGTCGCTGAGATCCAGGATCTTGGACTCCTGAGTTTTAAAAGAACTTTCTGAGCCTCCTTGCATCTCAATCCGCACTTTCTGTAGGCACTTCACTCCCGACTTTGACTATTCTCGGCTCTGATGGGAAGAACGGTTCAGGTTTGGCAATGCAAACCGTGTTTTACATCCCATACATACTTACACACATACATACTGCTATATTTGAACATTCTTACATACTCGATACGGTGAAAAAGATGGCGCGATGCGCTACTGATTGTTCGCAAGCTCTGAATACTTTTTTGGCGATACCGAGTTTGTTAAATTCAGAGGGCTGGGCTGGTAAAGTGATGATCAAAGGTTTAATTAGATCAGTATAACGCTTAATATTATATTTTATACAGTATCACTGACGCTGTAGAGATAGAGGTAAAAGATAGCTTTGAGTGTTTAACTAGATGGCTGGTTGGTTTTAGTGTGATTGCAAATAACAGGATCGGGAACTTTTACGGTCAAAACGCGATTGGGTCTTTGTCTGAGGTGCTTGCTGCATGATTGAAAGATTCTATCGAGAACAATGAGTGTTTAGCCGGTATATTGTTGTGAATAATCTTGAAGCTCAGTTCACAGCTGAGAGCGAACTTGGAGCAATTGGGTTGCAGCTCACGGTTTTGCAGAGACGGGTTTGGGTTGGAATAGCCGTTGTTAGATTTTTGGTCGGTGCGAGTACTTTCACGAGTACCAATATTCTGATCTCGAGCTTAATGATAGTTTTGAGAATAGTGGACACCAACCGTGTCACCGCGTATCAATCGTCTTCTGTGAATGGTCCAATCGAAATACTGGCCAACGGGGCGAATGCTCTTGAAATTTGCTGAAATAACTTCAACAGTTGGATTTTTTCGCCGACATTTAATTGAAGGTGCCAAGCGCTCGAGACGTAATCAATATTTCAAAATGACACAGAGCGTTAAGGAAATAAGATAGAAAACGAAGATGAACTAGTTAGCATTGGACTGGAAAGGAAATATGCTATTATGGCCAGGAGAAATAGAGAATCTTGACCAAAATTCTATTTATTCTAGTGAAATGTATGTTGCTGACCGAAAATGACAATGCGTTAGCGACAGAATTGACCTCTTCGAAAAATGCGGGTTTGAAGAGAAATTTTCAGGTTTGTTGAGAAATGGCGAGAAAGAAACTGGGTCGGAAACGCTGTGTTTTGTGAAGGGCACAGTTCCAGACTCGCTTGCTTATCTAGGGATATTGTATCATCCCGAGAGGGATCTTTCAAAAATGGGCAAAGGCAGTGCGCGCGAAATTTATTTCTATTTTCGCGCTACCAAGCTTTTATTTCTTCAAGGTGGGTAAAGGCTTGGCAGCTGGTGTCATAAGGGCCTATTCCAAAAGACTCTCGCATTTTGCATGTATGCATCGTCGAGTTAAAGACGGCGAAGTAAAAACGACACATTCGTATTTTATGATGGGATGTAAAAAATCCACATTGAAGCACTCCCCACAAAGAGATGCTACACACGTTTGAAGACCATTTGGGCAATGAAAGAAACATTTTTAAAGCTTAAGACGCCCTGGGCAACTTGCTGTACTCAAATTGCGTCCCAGACTACTATTCGGGAACATTTTGATCAGTATCACGTGACACAAATCAGAAATCTTTTTTGTGCCGCATCTCGAGATATATACTGTTCCTATCCCAGTTTGCAACCCATCAATAGGCTTTCTATACTAGAAAATCAAGGAAGAACGCCTGTGTGAATAATCTGAGTGAAATGCTTTACATAGCACTTCCCAGAAAACAAAAACAAAGTTTAAGTCACGTGATCCCACTTGACAGCGAAATACACTGAAAACAGCGTTCTGTGCCATAGACACACAACATTGAGCCTCTTTTTAATTCCTATAGCTATTAAGTGGTATTTTCCGTTCAGCCACCTAGCCACCCAGGCACCATTTCTGAACCTACTGTTAGCTCATCTCTTCCTGAGTCGTGTGTTACTTCCTGCATGTGTGTATGTGTGTGTCTCTCGCTCACTCTTTCGTTCTCAGTGATCTCAAAACAACACCCACACACACTTTAACATCCGTGCACCATTTGGAAGCTCACATCACGTGCCATGTATCTCCCAGTTTTTCTTTCCTTTTCTTTTTTTTTCATTGGATTTTGGAGAGGCCTCCCGCTCTCCGTCTCTCTCCACAGCAAAAACCCCCAGTCAGCCGACGTTTAAACACCGCAATCTTCGTTTTTGTGTAATGGCAAAAATTTAGGGGAGCGCAAGGGGCCCGGAGCCGACCCGACAAAAAAAAGTATATAAAGGAGGCGAGTGCGCGGCAAAATGGTGGAGATGAATCTCTTGTTGTTACTACATTATTTCGATTTCACAAAAGTACGTTGTTTCTCAAGAGATTGAACACAAAACAAAACAAAACAAGACAGGACAAGATCGGTAAGACTAACGTTACCAGATTTCGTCTTTTATCCTCTCTCCATACAAAAACTACAGTGATTTACGTACTAGAGCTTTTATTCTCTCAGTCAAACTAATCGCGCTAAAATAAGGTCTCAAGCTAGCAAAGCAAAAAACGAACAGGTCATAATATTGTGCCGCTGAAGAATACCGCAACAATAAGAAGATGTCGTCTAAAGTGATAATAGGCGGGGCTGTCACCGTGGCCGCCGGGTATGCGTTGTACGAGTACCAGCTACAGCAGAAACAACAGCGCACCACGCTGCAGCCTGCTGCGCTACAAAAAGATCGCGACACACACGCATTTGAGCGCCAAGGCGAGCGGGCGGGCGCAAAGCTCGATAGCGCTGCCAACCGTGCGCGCGAGCAGGTCCGCGACCTAGCACACGACGCAGACGACAAGATGACGTCCACGATGGCAGAAGTGGAACGCGCCAAGGCCAGAGGCACCCAGTGGGTTTCCGAACATTTGGGAGATGCCCAAGAAAAGGTCGAAGACCGTCGCGACAAGTATCTAGAGCGTTCCGGCGAGTTGCACGCGATTGTGGAAAACACCCGTGAGCGCGAACGCGCCAGTCAAAACGCTGTCAAGAGATTTGTGAACGACACCCGCGACCAGATCTCAAGCGATATCCAGAACATTCGTGCTGGCGTTGCCGACGACGCCTCGAGCATCAGAGACGCAATCGTTGGTGCCAAGAAGCAAGGCAAAGACACCGCGCAATCGTGGGAAAAATCTGCGCGTGACACCGCGGCAGATGCTAAGCAAGCCACGGAGGACAAGTCCCAGTCCATTTTCAACTGGGGGTTCAGCAAGGCTGAAAAGGCCCGTGCCAAGGCAATTGAAGAGTACGACCAAGCCAATAAGCATTTCCACGAGCTCAGCGAAAAGTACAAGTCCGAATCAGGGCTTTTCTCGGGCGCCAGCGACGAATTGAAGAAACAGTTGAACGAAGCTGAATCTCAGCTCAAGTCCTACAAGGAAAAACTCGAGGATGCTTCTGCCAAGTATTCCAAATACACCACCGACAACATCAACGAACTTTCTGACAAACTTGAGGAGGAAGACCGCAAGCTGCGTAAGAAGGGATTTTTCACCTGGTTGACCGGAAAAGAATCTTTGTCTGACAAATCTGACAATGTGGATGAGATTGCATCTCATAGTGTTGTTGGATGGGGGGAGACTGCAGAGGCATTGGCCAAAGAAGAGTTGGATGACTTGGTGAGAAACAAACAAATTGGCCGCAGTGAGGCTCAAAGGCGTTTGGACGAGTTGAAGAAAATCAAGGATGAAGGATGGTTCACATACCAGGGTAAGGACGACGCTGATTTGGCTCAACGCGCTGCCAAAGCTCTCAAGGGCTGGGGTGAGACTGCCTCGCAACTGGCACAAGACGAGTACGAAGAAACTCGCAGACGTATGCCTCAAGCACCCAAGAGCTTGTCTGACGCTGTAAACGTGGCCAAAGAAAAAGTGGAGTCCACCAAGAAAGAACTAGACAAGGCCAGTGCCGAGTGGTGGTCGCAGGGCAAGGACAAGAAGAACGAGTTGCGTGACAAGGCTCAAAAACAGTATGATGAAGCCGAAAAGGAATACCGTGCCTCTCTAGATTCTCTTGCTGATTGGTCCGAAATGGCAAAGGGCAAGTTCTGGTCTGGCGCCGACACCGCTTTGGGTGCCACCAAGTCCACCACTGACACTTTACACACTAAGGCCAAGCAAGGGTTGAATGCTGCCCAGGAGTATGTTCAGGACAAGAAGGAGTAAACGCTAAGGTCATGGCTTATGGCTTCACAGTTCAACAACATGAAAAGAGTCTACGTATGTACGAATGATGAATGATGCAACATAACACGACATTTACACGACATTTACACGACACACAAATCCTATCTAAGATCAAGGTGATGATAACATTCAAACAATAACCTATTTTGTAACGATTTCTTATTCCTGAATGGCTTGGAGATCTGCGCTGTTCACTTTCCCATTATCTGGACGCGACAGCTTTCTTAATTTCGGGCCAGGTAGATACAAAGTAATATATTAAATCAATATCATGTATAAACCAATGTTGAAATCGAACGTTAAAGTTAAAGGAACAACAAAGGTTTCCAATACTTGGAATAAAACAGAACGGGCTAGTGTTTTGTTAGAGCCTTGCTTGAGAAGTAAGTGCTATTTTAGCAACAAAAGACCTTATTGGTGTGTTGAGCGCATTTACTATCTGTTCAGAGCTGTTTTAGCGCTTGAAATAACTGGAAGATGAGCAATAGAAATGCCAAGGATACTACGCTGAAAACCCATAAAGATACACACAAAGATGAGGGAAATGGACAGAACGGACAGAGCCGATCAACTCGGCCGAGTCGACAGAACGCAGTCGAAGAAGCAAGAGATTCAAAGAAAGATACGTTTTTGAAAGTAGCTCCTAGTTTGTTCACGGCAGCAAAGCTGCCGTTGTTCGATAGCCTGGATTTGTACACAACACTGATAAAGAATAGTGAGGCTTTGGAACAAGGAGAACGACTACGGAACCTCAGCTGGCGAATAATGAATAAAGCGTTACTCAAGGATCATGAGCTAAATAAATCCAAAAAACGGGATGGTGTAAAAAACCTCTACCGAGTGATCAATCCTGCACAAAATCCACAATTTCCCGAGCATGCTCGACAGCCAGTCGAGAAACAGCAGCCGCTGCAAATCATGAGTGCCATGAGGGGCCATCCGGTCCCACAACAACAACAACAACAACAAAACCATCAGCATCATGCGAGTTCTCATTACCTTTCTCCTACGGGACACATGCCAGCAAGAGTCACAAGCGATTTGCAGGCCAAGCGCGGTGTGCACAAGCCCCACGAGCTACCACTTGCCCGGCCGCCAACGAGCCAGGGTAATGTACGATTCACCCTGGGATCAGATGGCGGTTCCAGAATGACGTCGCCAGAGCCTAATAAGCAATCTATGACAGGCCTTCTCGATGCACAATTACCAGCTACAAAGAAAAAGGACATCCTTCTACCGCGAACAAGCGCTCTAACTGATGCAGTCTTCGAAGAAACAGATGACCAACGACCAGAAAAGCCCACGAGGCGTTTATTACATCAGCCGCAATCCACCGGTAGTTTGTTTGCCACTAGAAGTCACGATAAAATGGCCCATGGCACTAGGGATCACCTGTCAGATCAAAAACCAAAATCATTGTTTGGACCACCGCTTTCACAGCCCAAATTAGCGTCAGGCACCCACTCTTCACACAACGGAGCTTTCTACAGCAGTGACGAAGACGAGTCTGAGTGGAACTCGCTATCTGATGACTCGGAATTGTACGACGAGGACGAGGACGAGCGGTACTACCAGAAACAATGGGACAAACTTATGTTTTCTCGAAATGACATATCTCGAGGGACAATTAGCAGTCGCGGCACAACTTCGCCGTCGTCTGATAAACAAGATCCCAAAAGGAGTTTGCTCAGCGGGCTATTCCTTAACGAGATGTCTAAAAAACCTGCTCCACCTATCATGAGTTCTGTGAGCGTGCAACACCCGACACTTGAAAAGAGCAGTGTCACTGCCGTTGGTGACGTCACGCCGTCAAGCTCATGGAAGGGAGGGCTATCCGCAATTAATGAAGCTATGATACACGATAAAACGGCCACCCATCCACATGCACACCCTGGCACAGGTTATATTCCCCATCAACGCGGCAGTTTCAGCAGTATAATATCCGATTCTACACGACAACGCTACAAACATGAATCCAACGCACCACCCACGGCCCAAACCATTTTACCTACAGCGTTATCCACGCATATGTTTTTGCCCAACAATGTCCATCAGCAACGACTGGCTAAATCCTCGTTGTCTTCGTCGTCGCCATCTTCAAAATCGGTGCCACTGAAGAGACGTGAATCTATGGATATACCGTCCAAAAAAAGCACGAATTCATTTTTGAAAACTCGAGTGGAGTTGTCTGAAGAGCAGTATCTCTCTCGGGCGCTTAATGGTCGCTAGTCAGAAGCTCAAGGTTTAAAACCTCGAGCGGATACCAAAAAGTGACGTTTCCATGCCAGGTCGTCCCATCTCATTCCTGTCACGTGATGGTAGCTTATGTCATCATTTATGGTTTTCAAGCTTTATTTGAAAAATTTTAGAAAATTGGGCTATTGATCGATGCGATGAGATGCGATGAGCTCAACTACAACAACTCTTTGATACGAGAAAGCCCTAGAGTCCAGTACCACTGATAATACGATGATCAGAAGGCAGGCCCGTGAACGTAGGGAGTACCTATACCGGAAGGCAGAAGAACTTCGGGACTCGCAACTGCAAGAGAAACGGCAACTTATAAAACAAGCTTTAGCACAGGGAAAACCGCTTCCAAAGGACATAGCGGACGATGAACAATTACAAAAGGATTTCCAATATGACCAGACTGTCCAAGAAACGATAGATGACGAATACAGCGCGACCAGTGGACTTGCTGAGCCCAAGGTGATCGTTACGACATCGAGAGACCCCAGCACAAGACTTTCACAGTTTGCCAAAGAAATTAGGTTACTATTTCCCACCGCAGTAAGGCTCAACAGAGGTAACTATGTAATGCCTTCCTTGGTGGACGCTTGCAAGAAATCCGGGACTTCGGATCTTGTTGTGCTACATGAACATAGAGGTGTCCCAACTTCGCTGACAGTATCGCATTTTCCACATGGACCTACCGCATATTTCACACTGCACAACGTAGTGCTGAGACACGATATACTGAACGCTGGAAACCAGAGTGAGGTAAATCCGCATTTGATCTTCGACAATTTCACCACTCCTCTGGGGCAAAGGGTCGTTACAGTGTTGAAGCATATGTTCCCACCGGGTCCAAAAAAGGATTCTGCGCGAGTAATAACATTTGCAAACCGTGGTGATTTTATCAGCGTCAGACAGCATGTTTATGTGAGAACACGGGAAGGCGTGGAACTAGCCGAAGTTGGTCCTAGATTCGAAATGCGACTCTTTGAATTGAGACTTGGCACATTGGATAATAAAGATGCAGATGTGGAATGGCAACTAAGAAGATTTGTCAGAACTGCAAGCAGAAAGGACTATCTGTGAGTTCACACAGTAAATACGGATATCAAACTAATGCATAGACAGACGATAATGGTAAATAGCAAATGACTACCATAATGGAGACTGAGCCGTGAGTGTTAATGGTGAGACCAAGCACTGAAACGCGTTGTCTGAGCCTTCAGAATCATGAGCTGTCTCTTTGAACCCCCTCTTACTTGGTGCTCGGTAAAGCCCACCTGGTCACTTTATAACCCTACAAGGTTTATTCTCATATTTGCTTAACCTTTATATGAATGGAGATCAGCTTTATTGTCCCTTTGCTGTCTCCATAGATGTTATTTACCCAAAATGAAGCTATTATAGGCCATGGACTTACCCATGGCCAAACCCGGACAGTTTAAGTTCCCAACTTTGTCACAATTCACTGGCATTACTGATTTTCTTGCGTAGAACATCACTAACGGTGTTAGTCTGTAACCCATCATCATACAGTACATCGTTCATGTTTTGCGCAGGAGCTGGATTTGTGTGAAGAGCTCGATTGGCGTTCAAAAATGGCGAAACGGAACTCGCATTGGAATAGGTGCGGGTTTTGTAAACCGGGCGAACTTTTTTGAAACTGTTTTGAGTTGAGGTCCTTGTCAGACGAGGACCCGTTACGGTATTGTAAAGCGTTTGCGAGCTTGCCGGATTAGTTGCGCCGTACATGGCAGAGCGTGAATTTGGCGAAGTTGCAGGAGCTTCATGATCGGAGTCTTCGTCGTTTTCACCTTCACTAGTCGAACAATCGCTACCGCTGCTCTCGATTGTGAACTTGTTTTTGGGCCGTGGTGCCGAATTATTCGAAGGACCAAAAGTAGGTGAGGAAACCCGCGATGAAGGTGACCTAGCCGCACTTCTTGGTTGTGGAGCACCACTGCGCTGTGGTGGAACGGCCAGACCCAACGAAGACGAAGCTGAAGCCCGGCGATTGATGGAATTGTGGAAAGGATTGGAAAACGACGGTTGTGGGGATTGGGCGCGCAACAATGAACTGGAGGCCGACTGACTCAAAGAGGGGCGTCTATTCTGCGCGTTTTCGTCCGAAATCATATCCGCGTAAGAATAGAAACGCAAAATGCGAGGCCGGTCCGATGTAGTGGACGTACAGTTGCTACAGTTGCTCACATCACTGGCGTTCGAGTTGGCGCTGGCCATGCTGACCGCACTTGCGTTACTGTTGGCGCGCGATAACTGGGGCAAGTTGTAGTTGGAGTTGGTGCGGGTGCGTCCCAACGCACGGTCCAGTCCGATGGTCGAGTTGCGACCAGAATAAATCATTTCCACGTTATCGAGGTCTGTTTGTGAGTCTGTCACTAGCGACGCAGATGCGTCTAACGCCGGTGCGACCATATCCTCGAGCGTGTGGTGGGCGGGGGCCCCTGCTGGGGGCCCGCTCACCAGCGACATAGACCCTCGATTTGAGCCCCGACGCGAGCTCGAGAAAGACCCTGCAAACGAGCCGGCACGCGATCCCGCGCCCGGCCGTTCTAGCTGCGGAACACGCTGGTATGAGTCCTGTACGCTGCGTTCGAAGATCTGTGGCGGCTGGCCCTCGTCCTCGATAGCTGTGTCCATTGTTATAGTCTCGAGAGAGGCGAGCGCAAACGTGTGTGTGTGTGTGTGTGTGTGTGTGTGTTTGTATGTGTATGTATGTGTTTCCCTTCACCACCTAAAAACAAGGGCTGTAGTGGTCGCAGAAACGTCAAAAGACCCGGAAAAGAAAGCCTGAGGCTGCGAGAACAAAATGGGCAGTGGTAGCACGTCAGTTCAGCGTGGAAAAGATCGTTAAACTCAATGTTTTTCGTCTCTTTCCTTCAAGAACTCACTTGTGATTTCTCAAATTCTAGTTTTACCACCTCCTCAAGTCCTATTAATTTCAAACGCTTTTTTTGGTCGCTGTGTTAAGTATGGCTTTTTTTCAAGATATGGCCAAAAGTCAATTTATTATCAGATTAATTTTTTTTTTTTTTTCCTTTGGAAAAATTTCCCCTTTAATTTATATTTGGTCGCTGTGTACGGCAAATGTGGGTGCGGGTTTAAAAGCGGTAGTAGCTTTGTACGGAGGAAATGTAAAAAGGTAGTCGCTTTGTACGGGCTTGACGATCCATTTTTTACCAGATCGTTCACAAAGAGTATCTGGTTAAGGATCTGTTTACGGTTCACGTGAAAGTGGTTTTCAACGGATTGTAGCTTCTTACGGAACTTTGGTTTCGGGTGGAACCAAACCTGGATTGAATTTTCGTGAGATTGTGTATGTAATAAATTAGCAAGCAAAGCTCATGTGTGAGTTCGAATTCATCTTGTGAGAATACGGATTGAGAAGAGAATTGAAGCCAAAAGCTGTTGTTGTCGTCTTCGTTGGTTGGTAAGCCAGAAAAAAGGGGTTTATCGAGGGAAGGAGTTCATCAAATTTTGAGGAGAGTTTCAATCAGAATTGAGATTAATAGATAGTGATCTCGCAGCGTGAAGCACGGTGAAAACGTCAGCAGCCATGCGGATGCAAATACTACATGATAGCTCGACCTGGAAATATTTAGATACCTTACTCACCATGTCAGAATCACCAAAAAAAGTGATCTAGGTCACGTGATACGCGACAGCGTCACAGTTATCAAATATTCAACCTTGCGCTAGAGTTGTATAAAAGAGTATACTTGAACCCTGCTACAAGGTCCTCCTCTCCACTTTCGAAGCAGCGTTCAAAATATGGGTATACCAACTTCATTTTATAAGAGTACCAACCTACTCAATTGCCCAGGGTGTAAAACGGTTATAGGACCGTGACTCTTCTGAGACTTCAATCAACATGAGTCCCACGACAAGCATGAACAGGCATTTTTCGTACTTGATTACCCTACGGACTCAATTTCGAGCTTACAACGAGTTCGTGAACAGACAATTTGTCACTGTTGCGAGCTCATTATGCTGCTTCGCTGGGTTGTGCGCTAACAAGCCCTACAATCCGAGAGAGAAAAATTTCCAGGAATAGTAGAACGAGGTTATGTGTGTTTACTCCATAATCGCTGTTGTCTTGATGAGCTTCCAAACAGAAACTGTTGCCCATACCCATCTATTGATCGACTTCACGCGAGTTGGTGACGCTAGCGTGACAGTAGAGGCTTTGATTCTGTAGTCACTTTGTACGAAATCCAAAAAGTCTCTTTTAGTGTCACGCGAGAAAGCGACGCTTCATATGTAGATTTGCATGACGAGATTTCGAGATTTGTGTGAGCATGCTTATCTGGAAATCATTTTCAGAAAGGCGTTAGAATGCTGAGTTTTTCCCCGATATTTGTTTCTTCTTTGTATCGTAGACAATTAATAAATTTACGTAGTTGATTGATATACGTTGATCTTAGCTAGATCTTCAAATTAGTATAGTCATGATGATCATGTGACTTATCACCACACGCTAAACGTCCTCTATACTTATTTATCGTCTAAATAGAGCACAATGCTGATTGATTTAGCTATTTAGGCTTCAATTTAAGAGTGAAGATACACCTCCCCCACTAGCGTCTCGATTTCACCCCTGACTTCTTTACTCACGTGGCGTGCTGTGCAACAAAGTCTATATTGTATTCACTACTTTTTCCTCCCAAGCACTCGGTTCTATAGTGTAGTGGTTATCACTTTCGGTTCTGATCCGAACAACCCCGGTTCGAATCCGGGTAGGACCTCTTTTTGCCTGTACCAGGTCTTTTTTAAAAATGTTACCCGGACTTTTATTTTTTTCATATAAAAATTCAATTTTCCAAATCAACACGAACCCGTCTCTCTGTAACTCACTTTTCTACCAGAAGACAACACCAACATCGATACCAAACCCATTGTGGAGCAATACCGCCCAACAGAAGTTGACGTGTTTTTCACAATGGGTGCCTCTTGTCACCCATTCGCGACGATGATCATCAATTACTGCGTTATCGTATTGAGGCTGTTTAATTACAGTAATCGGAAAACAACTATTAACACACGACTGAGCGAAATGGAAATAATATCTTGAAGATGTATACTGTGTAGCAGAAACTCGTAGAAACTTTATAGCAGACACCGTTTGACGATGTGTCACTCTGTTTGTGTGTGTGTGTGTGTCCACGACATGACTTGTAACGATTTGTTTTTCTTGTTTCCTGGTTGAATATGTCATTTGGCGTCATAAACATAAAATTTAAGAGCTTATACAGGTCGAGCCTCACGAGCTTTGGGAAAATGTCCAGCTAAGAAGGTGCGTAGTTCTCTTGATCTTTGATAAGCGGTGAGCATAGGATCAATACAAACATCAACTAGTTAGGAATCGGTTACCACCTTAGAGCCCTTAATGTTCGGACAATGTTAAAAGTTGAGTAACTAACTGGAAAGAAAGACAAAACACGAACAAAAATTCATGATATTGCAGTTGCGTTTACAAACCGCTGCTTGAATCTAGGTCTGGAACTTGTAAAACAGAGCAGGAACTTGACGTTGTTGAACTTGAGGCACGTGACCGCTTCTTCATAAAGATCACCGTCTCTGTTAAAGAAGACTACTATAAAGATTACTCGCATCAACTTCATCTCACTCAATGTGTTACAGCACAAGTCTCAAATGCTGTGCCGGACACTCGTGCCGAGACTTCGTGTTATTCGCCGGACTTTACAGACCCACACAATAGATTTTACCACAAGAAATGAAGCTATATCGCGAAATCCAAGCTTATTCTATCCATCTTTATCTAGGCTCGAGACAGCTACAGCGTCTATAGCCCAATTTAAAGAAAAATACGCTACTCTGGAAACGGATGACACAGCATCGCGAGAGGTGCTACGTGCACGTATCAATTCGATACGTCTAGCGGGTAAAAACATGTGCTTCATCGATGTGACCCACGCCCAAAGCTCTATGCAACTAATTCTAAACTACAACCTGATGGTAAAATATAACCAAGATACCAGCTCTATCTCGTCGCTGACGAAGGACGCTTTTTTCCAGCATGTTCAGGGCCTGAAGCCTGGCGACCATATACAAGCGCATGGATTCCCCGGATTTTCCCAACGAGAACGCACACTGTCGCTGAAATGCACGCATTTGGTCAAAATCCTAGCCCCGGCATTACAGGCATTGCCTCCAAAACTGTCCGATCCCGTGAAACGCAACCAGAACCGCGTTTTGGACTATCAAGTAAACGGACACGCTTCGTTGATCACAAGGCACCGCGTTTTGACTTCAATTCGTCAATTTCTCAATTCCCGCTCGTTTGTGGAGGTCGAGACTCCGATCTTGTCGTCAAAATCTAATGGCGCTGCAGCCCGGGCATTTGTGACCCGGGCACAAAGCACCGGAAAGGATCTTGAGCTTCGAGTTGCACCGGAATTGTGGCTCAAACGGCTGATCGTTGGCGGACTGGATCGCGTTTACGAAATTGGCAGAGTATTCCGTAACGAGGGGGTTGATGCAACGCACAGTCCAGAGTTTACTACGTTGGAATTTTACCAATCATATGCATCCATGGAAGATTTGATTGATCTCAGCGAAAAACTCTATTTGCATGTTTTGAACAGCGTCCAGACGCCTGTGGCACAAGAGTTACTCGCTATGTTCGAGAAAAACAACGCCAAGTTCAATCGGGTTGAATTTCTGCCCACTTTACTTTCCGAGACTGGTGTGGACTTGCGGGAAGTCGATCTCTCGAACTCTTCTGCAATTCAAGCGGCTTTTGCCTCGAAGGGAATCAGCATCGAAGCGGACGGGAAGTCCCCGCAACAAATTCTCAACAATCTATGTGGCAGCTACATCGAGGCCAAATATTGCATGGGCAATATACCCACTTTAATATATCACCATCCAACAATCATGTCACCCTTGGCCAAGGGAAACCCGGACGACGACATGCTTACGAGCAAGCGGTTCGAGATATTTATACATGGCAAAGAATACATTAACGCATACGAGGAAGAGAACTCGCCGGCGTTGCAATTGCACAAATTCATCGCGCAGCAAGAAGCCTTTGACAATTATGGTGACGACGAGTCTCTGGCCGTGGATACCGGCTACGTCGAGGCAATGAAATGGGGCATGCCTCCGATTGGGGGCTTCGGCTTGGGCATCGACCGCTTGTGCATGCTTCTGACCGGAAATTCAAGAATAGAAAGAGTTTTAAGTTTTGGCACTGTAGATGACGTCGAAAGGCAATGAGCGATAGCTGTATACAAGCATTGTAAAAATATTCAATTCTGTAGCATTAATTCCAGCACATTTCGCAATGTCAGGTCTGATCCTTCAGACGCAACTCAGGAGCGTTGTCATTGGGTTTGTCCTAATTCTTATTTTGTTAGCTTCACTGTGGTGATTTAGAATATTACTTGTAAAGAAGTGTCGTTATTAGCCTTCCCTGTTCTTACTCTGAACTCAACACCATTTTGACCAGTTTGAAGGCATACACAGGCCATGAACGCCCCCCAAACTGCTAAAGAATTGGCCGCACTTACCGATGCTGGGATCAATGGCACCTCATTGAAATCAGAAGTGTCTTTACCGCCTACGGTTCTTAAATCAAAAGACTCATTGCACACTCAAACGTACTATTCTGAGGTTCCAGCAGCCATCAAAGAGTCTGGAAACCCTGTTATACTTGGTGTTGATGAAGCAGGACGTGGACCAGTGATAGGACCCATGGTTTATGGGATAAGTTACTGCACGAGAGAATACCAAGACGAAGTCCTGAAAAAACGTTACGCGTTTGATGATTCTAAAAAACTCACAGATTCTGTAAGGAGAGACCTGTTTCAACGCATGTATACTGGCGAGATCAATCAAGTGGGCTATGCAACGACGTGCATCACACCTTGCGATATTTCCAGCGGCATGCTACGATTCCCACCGGAGAAGAATTACAACCTAAATAGTCAGGCCCATGATGCGACAATGGCACTTATAAGAGGCGTTCTAGAACAAGAGGTTGCCATTGAGCATGTTTACGTGGACACAGTGGGCCCACCAGCGTCGTATCAACAAAAACTGGAGGCTAATTTCCCCAATATTAAGTTCACGGTCGCTAAGAAGGCGGACTCGCTTTTTTGCGTGGTCAGCGTGGCTAGTGTTGTTGCAAAAGTGACGCGAGACATATTGGTGGATCTGCTCAAGAGCTTTCCAGATGAAATCATAGGTTCGGGGTACCCTTCGGATGGAAAAACGAGCGCGTGGTTGAAATCGAATAGAACCGAGCTTCTGGGTTGGCCCTCCAACATGGTACGGTTTTCGTGGCAGACGGCGCAAACTTTACTGGACAAGAACCCGGATGCTGTGGCTATCGAATGGGAGGACGACTATATCGGGAAGGGCTCGCAATCGGTGTCTGCCATGTTTTCGGCCCCACCAAAGGCCGTGACACTCGACAATTGGTATGGAATTGAGTAGAATCGAAGCGTCGAGTAATCTATTTCGTTTAATGGGCAGCGAAGAGGTGTGCAGAAGTCTTTGGAACACGAGCACATGGTAATTGTGTGGAAAACCATTCGTGCTTAAGCCGTTTGAGCATACTCTAATTGTTCAGTGGTAGTATGAACACTCTAATCCCAAAATCCCCCTTAAAAAAACGGGATTACGAGCCTTTACAGCACCACACCACCTACCGCATCATCCACCGCCACATTCTACATCCATTTTTACGCTCTCTGCCCTATCCATTCTACGATTGTCCTCAAGACTCCTCCTTCGCAAATGTCGCTGCTTTCAAGGTTCGAACCGCCGTTTGTTTCGCAACCGCCCTCCAGCCTCGTATCACGCGACCCTCCCTTTCCAGCTTCTCATTGGTTGTCTTCACAATGATCTAAAATTTTTCAGTGTGCGCTACGAAGACTACTATAAAAGGAGAAAGAGCGATGGGGGCCCCGGAATTTAAATAAAGACAAAGGCCCTTGAAAAGGCATCTCGAAAACGGAAAAACGAGGATAAAAGTGTTTTCGAAGCGCTTAGGTGGAAAACTAGCAACATAGCCTTGAAGAGCAGTGCTTGATTGACATACAGTGAAATTTTGAGAGTCTTGGGTTATCAAAAAAACCTAATATCGTCAAATTAATAGTGGACGAGAAAAATTGCACCGTTTTTGAGTGTTTTTTGAAGAGTAAAACCGAAGTTTTCAAGCGTTTCGATAGTCTGTGGATAAAGTACAGACCTTTACGAACATTTTGATACCAATTACGCATTATTTTTGATATTTTATTTTCCTTTTTGGATCCCAGAATTCCCGTTTGTTGAATATTAAAATGTCTGCCTTTCTACGCACAATTCCTTCCATCAGATCGTCGATCCTGCGGTCCGCCAAACTGCAATTGAGAACATACGCCTCGTACCCACCACACACAGTGATTGGGATGCCTGCTTTGTCCCCTACAATGACTCAGGGTAGTTTGGCAGTGTGGTCGAAGAAAGTGGGCGACCAGCTGGAACCGGGTTGCGTTTTGGCCGAAATTGAGACCGACAAAGCCCAAATGGAGTTTGAATTCCAAGAAGACGGATTTTTGGCCAAAACTTTGGTGCCAGAGGGCGCCAAAGACTTGCCAGTGGGTAAGCCCATCGCCGTATACGTGGAAAACGAAGGCGATGTCGCTGCTTTCAAGGACTTCACCGCCGAGGACTCTGGTGCCGGTTCCGAGAAACCAGCCGCCACACCTAAGCAACAAGATAGCAGTGCCAAGAAGGACGAAGTGTCCGCACCCAAGTCTACTGCGCAAAAATCGACTTCTGCTACTACAACTGACAGAATCATCGCATCTCCATTGGCCAAGACCATCGCTCTAGACAAGGGCATTTCGCTCAAGTCCGTGACCGGTACTGGCCCTAACGGTAGAATCACCAAAGCCGACGTGGAAGAATACTTGAAGAAAGCGCCAGCTTCTTCCGGTGGTGCGCCAGCTGCTACCGGTGCCGCCGCTGCCTCGGGCCCTGCTTCCCAGTACGAAGACATTCCTATCACCACGATGAGAAAAATCATCGGTGACCGTCTACTAGAATCCACCTCTGGTACTCCAGCGTACATTGTGTCGTCACAAATATCCGTTTCTAAACTTTTGAAACTGAGACAGTCGCTAAACGCTTCGGGCAAGGACCAGTACAAATTGTCGGTCAACGACATGCTAATCAAGGCCATCACCGTAGCTGCGCAAAGAGTCCCAGACGCCAACGCATACTGGATGGCTGCAGAAGGTGTTATCCGTAAATTCAAGAACGTGGACGTTTCCGTGGCTGTTGCCACCCCACAGGGTTTGCTGACGCCAATTATCAAAAACGCGGATTCCAAGGGTCTGATTTCCATTTCGCAAGAGATCAAGGAGTTGGGCAAACGCGCCAAGATCAACAAGTTGAAGCCTGAGGAGTTCCAGGGCGGAACCATCTGCATCTCTAACCTCGGCATGAACAACGCCGTCTCCTTTTTCACTTCCATCATCAACCCTCCTCAATCTACCATCCTGGCCATCGGTACCGTGCAGAGAGTACCCGTCGAAGACGCTGGCGCCGAGTACGGTTTCTCTTTTGACGACAAGATGAACATCACCGGTACTTTTGACCATAGAACCATCGACGGTGCCAGAGCCGGCGACTTCATGAAGGAGCTAAAGAAGGTGGTTGAAAACCCACTTGAGATGTTGTTGTAAAGAAAACACTTCGATTCTTTTCTGCTGAAAGTTTAGTCCTAGCAATCCTCGTCATCCGTTCGAGTGCGAACGGCATTGCGTTCATGTAAAATACCTCGGGTCGGGTACAAAGAACAACTCTAATTTTTGCCGCCAGCTCTGTACTCGGTGCTTAGACTCGAATTAAAGACAAAGACACAAGTTGGTGTTCTTGAGCCATCGAGTAGGGCCTGTGTCTCTCTAACAGCTTCAGTATATCTCACTCATCCCAATTAAAATTCCATCTGCTATTTATTCATAGTATATTATTCTAACGCTGTAGAAGAGTATAATCGAGAGAAGGTCATGTGATTACCACGTGGTAGAAACAGATCTAAAATGTGAAAGTTTGAGTTTGCAAATACGGGTTACCCGTTTTACGTAATCGGGTAACCCATTAAAAGATGCTTAACGACGACGGATCATTTCAGGTATTCTCGCAGTACGTTGGGTTCGTTACCTTACTCCTACTTACTTAGATTCCAGTACCAAATGGCTCAGTTCGCATTGAGAAACACATTTATTCCAACTTATGATGGTGTGCTGGATGAGTTGGAATGAGGCATGAAGGCGTATAAAAAAGTGGATTAGTTCGGATGTAAATGTGGATATAGTTACCATAGAAAATGGAGAAAGAAGCGGAGCCAAATGAACTTGTTACGGCTGATTCGTCGATGATAGTGCCAAATGGCGCCATGGAAAGGCATGGAAACATGAGAAAGTCATTGAAAAGTGAGCCAAAAAGCGTTGTTTTTCGGTCGAACAGCCGCGTCTTTTGCGTGGACTCAAGTGTAAAAAACCTTAGGTTGGCCATCCTGGGTGGTTAGTCTGCGATCTTTCATCATATTCGCTCTACGTTTTGCGTGGGCTCCCATAATCTTCTCACTGCCCTTTGTCCTGCGTATTGTCTGAACAGTTGATTCTAGCTTCTTTGGCCATTGTAATCGACTCTGTCGCTGTCATCGCATCACGTTGGGCATATCACTCTGGACACCACTATAACGCTTGGTTTGAGAAGAGACAGGATTCGACACGATGCCGATTGCTGGTAGCAGCTACCAATCTTGGTGGAACTTGAAATTGATTTTCCATTGTCGAGCATGGGATGACACTCTCTTAAACCTGGATTCTGCCTTGCTTACATTGTATTTTTGGATGAAGAGCTTACAATGGCTTGATATAATTGTTAAATTGTACAGGATGCCAGATCTCATGGTCCAAGACTGCTATCCTTATTTTCCTGCTGTTCTCTGTTATGGCACCCTAAAGATCAAGAGCTGACTTTTTAACATTTAGCGGGATAATTAGCACAGGCTGGAAGAAGTATGTGTCGAATTTGCCGAAAAGACAAATGTCTTCATTCATCTTGTTCAATACGTTCTCGTGTTTTGCATCAAATTGTATCTCTCTGTCCAGAGTGATGTAAAGGAACGTCAATTAATGTTTTAGGTTCTAAGGCGGGCTTACGTCTATCAAAGGCAGATCCGAAGCAACATATATTTCACGACGTTGACGCTCTCGATTGTTGCTGGTGTCTCTTAGCCACTTCGACTTCTCATTGAATTCTTACGTGCCCGGGTTAATAATCATGCACTCAGTGCTTCTGCAACAATCAACATTGATAAAAGATATGTCAACAGGTGCTTTAATGAAAAGACGTTTTGGTTTATTGAAGCAGAAGAAACAGAAGAAGCCATGCGAGCCTGTTTCTTTCCTTCAGCAATGCCACATAGGTAAATAAAATTTTGGTCTGCCTCTAAGTAGCCTAACATGAAATTTCCTTGATCACCACATGTAATGTTTTGGCACCCTCGTTCTGTACATGTAATGTTGCTGCTCATGATTGGTTGCAGTATCTTAATGGCCTGCTAATGACACCAGAATTCATTTATCCAATTGGGAAAAACTATGCCTTATTATGCAGGTTTCGAAATTGATTCATCATCGTTGAAAGAAAGCTCCTTCGAGTTAATCCGATCGCAATGACCTTATGATGGCGAAAACCAAGGCTTTCAGCTCCCTTCAGCGCTTCAGTGGCACCACTTAGTGCTGCAAACGTCATGATTGTTGAGTGAGTGGTGCCGAATAGTCTAGGGTCCTAAATCCCAGACCCTGACTCTCAGACGGACTTTAAGTCTCGTTCTCGAGACCTTCATCGCACCTTGTAAGATCATTGACAACCGTTACTAGTGGCAACACCAGCCATGCGCAAAAAATAACGAGATTTTCAGATTCGCGCATGGTGTCGCGCACGATTTAAACCGTCAGGACTAATCTGTTACTTATGACAATCACGTTCGTATTCTGAGGTAAACTCATGGGCCGTGTGACTGTGAGATTCAGCCTTTTGATGTTCTCCAAATAGTCTTTATGGTGTGTCGTGGCTTATTTGCATCGGGGCTTGCTTGGACATACTGTAAAGACCGCAATTTTAGCAGAGCGAAGTGTTCAGTTGGGTATTGGGTATCGGTACATGAGCTTTGAGCTTTAAAGGCTTGATGATCTTATTGGAAATAGGTGCCGGGTCCCGTAGGAAGCGATCAGTGCTTTCTAATGGGTCCTAAACGGGTCGTCGTTTTTCACGCAATTGGTGTGTGTCACTGCTATGGGGATTGGAAATCACACTGGATCAGACTAATCAGACGTAAACATTCTGATCTACCTTTAATTAGCTACAATGGGGATGGCAAGCTTTTGCGATCTTTGTTTGAAAAAAAAACATCAATGCATAGTGTGGCCCTGCCCAGACTTATATAGCCTTGTCTGTAAGAATCTGATGGTGTTTGTCACATGCAGTATAAACCGCCGCTAGTAGCAGAAAGTGCTCAGCACCAAGCCCCATCGCTTTTCTTACTAGATCTCTGTCTTTAAACGGTGGGAGGTGTCGGACACGTACACAGTGATACATTACTGTCTTCTTGTAGATTCGCTGTAGCCATTTTCACGAACGACAAAGCACCCAATTGTTAAACTGACGTCAATCGAGGTTTCTCAATGCTTACGAAAAAAAAGGATTGTATGAGTGACTAGCTGGTTGGTTTTAAGAAACCTCGTGTTTTTGATCAAATTAAAAATATACTACCTGAAGCAGGGCTACTGATCATCATATACGGACAAGTCGTTTCAACGCTTACCCGTTTGGCTACCCGTTTGGCTATCCGTAATCCTCTAGGACTATTACGATCCGTTTCTAACCCAATAAATTGCCCATTACAACCCGTTCACAACCGTCTTTTCTACTGGTCACGCGACTTTAACGTGACCTTTAAATTGTTTAAAATCAATCTAAATAAAAGAATACTGGAAAAAAACCTATTGAAAAACGCTATTAGAAAGAATCTTGGCTCAGGAAACGATTGAACAAAGTTTCTTACCACAACTTTACAAGATCTTTCTCTCAGTAGACCGGTCATAACTCCACCCGAAACATCTACAGAGAAATTATGGCGTACCTTCCCTCTTTCATTTTGAGCGACGAGTCCAAAGAGCGCTTCAGCAAAGTGTTCAGCTTGTCGCAAACTGTGGCCCATTACGGCTGGTTGCCATTTGTGCTATATCTAGGATGGGCCCACACCGCTAACAGACCAAACTTGTTCAGCTTGTTGAGTCCCTTGCCAAGCGTTTAGAGAGGAAAAGAGAGGAAAAAGAGAGGGCAGTTCAAAAAGTGTATCGCCCCAAACGTTAATGTAAATGATGTGTTGCTTGTATATATGAGTAATGAATGTACTGAACCATTCTTTTGATGCCAGAATAAGCGATTCCGTGTGCTTCTGAACAGTTGTGTTTCCAGTGGCTTCAAAGTACCCTTTCTTTCTTGCCAGCGGGAGCTCAAGCTTTATAAGATGATGATGCACACACAACTTTGATATATCCCACTAATATCATAGAATCTGAACCAAAGTTGGAAAAATAACATCTACAAATGCAACATGGCTCGCCACTTCAGAGAGAAATCGTGGCTGGACTCACAGCGGGCACTGTGACCACAATCGCCACCCATCCGTTGGATCTGGTAAAATTGCGTCTTCAGCTTTTGGCTACCTCTAATTCGGCACTGGGCTACACAGATGTGGTGAAAAATATACTTAAAGAGTCCCAAATTCATAGCAGCGTGGTGAAAGAAGCGTATCGCGGTTTGGGTGTCAATCTCGTAGGTAACTCCGTGGCTTGGGGACTTTATTTCGGCCTCTACCGTTTTTCGAAGGATACCGTCTACAAAGTTTGGATAGGTGATCTAGATGCTCAAAAGAATTCGTCCTTTCAAAAGGACAGCCAAATGGGCCCGCTGCTGTATCTCACGTCGGCAGCCTTGAGCGGTGCTGCAACTGCCGTCCTTACTAACCCGATCTGGGTGGTCAAGACCAGAATCATGTCTACAAGCACGCATGCTCAAAAGCGCTACAAATCAACCCTAGATGGAATTTTCAAAATCTATCAAAGGGAAGGGCTGAGCGGGTTTTGGAGAGGCTTGGTGCCTTCAATATTCGGTGTAGCCCAGGGTGCTATTTATTTCGCAGCCTACGATTCCTTAAAACATCGGTATTTTGCAAGCCGGAAAATCAAAGAGGAACAGAAACTGGGGAACCTCGAAAATATCATGTTGACCTCTGTGAGTAAAATGGTATCGGTTTCGGCCGTATACCCACTACAATTGTTGAAATCCAATCTGCAAAGTTTTGAAGCTGTCCGTGATGAGGCGTCGTACAAGCTGTGGGCCCTAGTTGGTTCCATTTACACGAAGGATGGCGTAAAGGGCTTGTACAAAGGTTTAAGTGCTAATTTAGTGCGTGCCATACCGTCGACATGCATAACCTTCTGCATTTATGAGAACCTACGACATTTATTGTAGATATCTTGACAAACTTCATTGACACAGCTTTTCAAGATGATCAGGCGCTCATAGGCGCCTGCACAATTGAACTTCTATAATATTTTGAGTTGGGTTTACCGTCACTGGCGGCATGCATTTTCCACCGAGCTCTTTCAAGTTCGCTTTTACAAACTCATTCAGAACATCCTCCGAAATTGGGCATCCTCAATGAACTATCATCGCATATATACAGCACAGCATTCACACTTGTCTATGAAAATTCCAGGACTAATATTCGTAGCCACCAATTAGATGTACAACGCTCGTCACCAAATTCAACAAGTTGCAACTGTGTTACCACCACAAACCGCTAGCAATAAAGGTTTCCAATTTTATTAGTTTTAGTTATACAAAAAACTGTAGGACTGATATGATTTGTAGACTTGTTCTTTTACACAACAATTCATGAAATTTAGTAACCGAGAGTGGCCAATTTTTGAGCAACCTCAGACTCGGCGTTGGCAGCGTTGGCAGCAAGAACCTTCTTGTTGAAGGCCTTCTTCTTGGCGTAGTATTCGGCGGATCTGACCTTTCTCTTCTCTTCCAACTTGGAAACAACATCCTCGTATTTCCAGCCGACAGAAGAAGACAACTTACCTAGAGTGGTGAACTTTCTGCCTTGCTTCAATCTCAAGACTCTCAAAGCTTGTGGGACCACAACTCTCTTCTTCTTGTCGTATGGAGGTGGGACACCTTCGAAGACCTTCAAGCGTTCCATGGCAGCCTTACCACGGGCAGTCTTGTGAGAAACCATACCACGGATGGCCTTGTACAAGATTCTAGAAGGAGCTCTGAAGTGGAAAGGACCACGGGTCTTGTTGAAACGGGTGGCCTTTCTCAAGTAGTCGTGGTACTTCAACTTGTTTCTGAAGAACTCACCGGAGATGTTCAAAGCTTCGGCTCTGACAACAACGATCTTTTGGCCGTTCAAGAGTTGCTTGGCAACAGTTGAGGCCAAACGACCTAGCAAGTGGCCCTTACCTGTGGAAAACGGATGAAAGTTAGTAATTTTTTTTCTTCGCTAAATGTATGAGCAGTGGGAAAAGTGCTGACTGTCGGTGTGTCGACGCAGGTTGACGCCAATGTTGGTTCACACTCTCATCGGGGTCTCTAGATGTAGCTTTCTAATTATCCACATCAATTTACCTCCGGGTATATTTGTGATCATCGAATGCTTGTCGATAACGCATTAACACGGTTTTGGTCGCATTTTGATCCCGATTCGAGCATTCCCACTCTCTCTAATTCTCCTCGTCATTTAACGTACCATCAATAACAACAACTGGCTCGAAAGAAGACATCTCTATTGGTTGTGCTTAGTTGTTTCTGCACTGGAACCGAATAATTCAATGTTCAAATTTCAATTAGGTTTTTTCCATACCAACAAACCAATAGTTAGAGATTCGGTATGGAGAGACAGGCTATGCCCGTGAGGATTGGCACAGCCTAGCCTCCAGGCAGAGCGTGGCCTGGGGTCCAGACAGACTGCTAGGCGGGCGGTAGGTGGGGCGCACACCAGAGCTAGGCAGAGACACACCGATGGTACTGCGAAGCCCGGTACGCCAACGGACAGACCTCGGCAGAGAGACGCTAGGCAGAGAGTCCACGTTCGGCTAAGCTGGTGTGCTCTCTGCCAGTGGCATTGTTGTGCCACGATTCAAACCCACGCAAAAAAAGCGACGCAATTTTTATCCATCTTCATTTTTTGAAAAATTTGGTTTATATGTCACATGCTAAACATGTATGGGTGTTGAACAATGAAGACAGTCACAACCGAATTCATAAAGAGGATATCAAGTATCAACATCTATGACAGAATCAGCATAGAACTTCATGACATATGCGGAGACAGAATTGTTGTTTTGAAAAGACGGTGCTCCTGACTTGTGGCGTTTTTGAAGCGGCGGCTGCAGGCCTGGTTTAGTTTCGTGGGTTAATGGCGGTGCTTGTAAGGGTGGGAAAATGAGGATCGTGCGGGCTCCAAAATCGTCCAGGTTGCCCAGCATACGTAGTCGCAGCATCGTGTCCTTCAGAGACCGATGGGCATGCTGTTGGTCCTTCAAGGCTGTGTTTCTAAAAATCACATCGAAACCTCGCACTACAATGAGCGCTTGAGGTGCCGGTTCCACAGCTGTCGTGTGGTCACTTGTTGCCGAACGGTGGTGTGTGGAACGTGCAGCAAATATGGATCGCGAAATTTGGCCCACCGTGCTTGACAACTCGTCCATATCTAGACTTGTCAGGACGCGAACGTTTTCAAACAACGCAGCGTGCTCCTGGGGTGGCAGCAGCTCACAAAATTCTGCCACGGGAAACCGATCCATGGCATCCACGTAAAAAAGGGTCTTCTTACTTTCGTCTGCATCTTTTTGAGCTAGAAACTCCGCCATCAACCTTGAAATGCTGCGCTCATTCGAGCTGTAGCATACCGACAAAATGGAACCTGGAACTCGATCCAAATTACCGCCAATTGCCATCTTTAGCGTTTTAAACAAAACAGATGGAACCCAAAACCAGGGCGTTCCTTTCCTTCCCCCTCTGTCGTTCTCTTTCTCTCTGTCTTACTGCTCATCTCAGCGGTGTAATACCTGGAGTATAATATCTACAGTGAAATCTATAAGTGTCGCGTATATAATGACGCAACACCTTCAGTTCACGTGACTTATAGAAATAGAGAATAATTAAATGTCATGTTACCGTCTATTTCTATTTTTAACGCTCTTTTCTAACTTCTTCGATTTCATGCATGGAAGATCCCTGCAGGTGGAGAAAAGCGAAAAGAAATAAAGAGAAGAAATAGCCGCCGATCCTTCCCTCCGGGGCCCTAGGCCAGTCACGTTACTCGTGACAGATTAAAACAAAAAAGAACATCTCAATGACGAAAAGCGAGCTATTCGTCTCCCTTCATCTATGGTCGTCAACTACGCTGATTTTGGCGCCCTCTATGTCTAACATCAGATCTTTGACACCCTTGGACGCATCCTTGCCGTGTTTCTTTATGGGTGACGACACAAATTCTGAATCCTTTTCACCGTTTGAGTGTTTGTCTGGTTCCACAGAGCTGCCGTTGATGTGTAAAGTGGGCACCTGGTTTCGATCCTGTGTCATGCGGCCCATGTGAGGGCCCTGTTGCAAAGTACGTGAAGCGTCGCTGTTGCCAGCGTTACTTTGCGCTGCGGCCTCCTCCATCGCTCGAAAACCAGCCGGGGTGTTGTTGACTGAACTGAATTGCAGTAAGTTCCAAACGCCGGGTGAGCTTTGCGCGGTCTGGGGCAGCGTCTGTCGAGTTGAACCTCTGGTGTCGACGTTCAGTTGCGGTGCGTGTGTTCCCTCGGGCGAACGTGCCTGTTGCCCACTGCCACGCTCTGGTGTATACGCTTCCATGGCGGTTATGTGAAATGGTCTAGTGGGCGACCGCAGCAAAGAGTCTTGGGTCGGAGATAATCGCGACGCTGTGCTAGGTATGCTGCTGCCCATTTGCATATGGGACGTAGGTGGCCGCGTTGTGGGACGCGGCAGCGATGGGTACCCTGAAGATGACTGCCTCGCCGGGACATTCAATGGTGGGTTCATCTGAGGTGAAGGTGGTCTTCCCGTGGCTATGGGCGACAGAGAAGATGCAGGGGGTAAATTAGTTGGAGGATGCAACGAGTTGTATAAGTTCGCAGAGGTTGGCGAAGGGTTCTGGCCGTGATCCTGTGAAACATGATAAGTGCCTGAAATATCTGACCGTTGTGGCTGCCCTTGCGGATGACGTTGATGTTGATTTTGATCTTGATGCTGGTGTTGTGCCTGAACGTCTTTATAATTGTCGATATTTGCCTCCTGAGACCCCTGTCGGTGCAGATGTTCGAACTGGGCCTTTTCCGACGATTGTAACGAGCGTTGTTTTTGATTCTGTATATCTTCCTCGTCTTGCTCTCCACCGGGAGAATCTTGGTCAACGGCACCCGAGCTTTGCCGCGGTAGGGTATTGAATTTTGTCATATGCAGCTGTAATTGGCGGGCCACTGACGATCCTCTTCTTACCTTGGAGATTTTGCCTGATTGCCACTTATCCATGAAATCTTTTTGATAGTCCTTACTTATACGCCACTTCATTCCCTTTCCCGGCTCACTAGGCTTACGGGGCACCTTTTCGAACGCCTTGTTTAGTGAGAGATTGTGTCTGATGGAGTTTTGCCAACCAGTTTTCGCATAGCGATAATACGCAAAATTTGACGAAATGTACTTGTAAATGTCAGCCAGGGACAGCACTCCCTCAGGGTTTGAAAGAATGGCTTGCGTGATCATGGTAGCATACGAAAAAGGTGGTTTAACGTTCTTGTTTTCTTCGCGAGACAAATCCGAAGCGATATCATTCGTTCCGGCAAACCCGGACTCCATTACAGCACCGTAACCAGAACCCATTTGCGGGGACGCGTATGATCCACCCGCAGATGCAGCAGCATAAGGATTTTCGTAAGAATTGTACATGCGAAACGCCTTTACAGCATTTCGTGGTTGTGAAACACCTCGCAGTAAATCTTGCAGAAGAGGGTTTGTGGTTGTCGCCCCATACATTGCATTTAGCTTGGGAATGAGGTGGTCCAATGCCTGCGGATCAACGAATGGACCACGGTCTGGCAAAATGAACATCATTTGAGTGCCACCGATGTCTAGTACGGAGCCTGATTGCAATTGCACTGGATCGGCCTGCGGTCCGGCAGCGACACGTTTGAAATCCAGTTTGGCTCCGTTTCGACCCTGAACTTGCAATTCCCAAAACCCGCCATTGAGATTGTACTTTATTGTTGCGTGCTTACGGGAGACGACTTTGGCGGGTCCCAAATCGATGTCCACAGAATGGTCTTGAGGGTCTGTATTACGGCCAATGGTCAAGGCGAGGTGTTTGACGTAGAGAGTCCAATTGCGGCCTGCTATTTTAGCGTACGCTTGAACCTCCGTAGCCAAATTGCGTTCATTGGAATAGACGTTTGCGACCGTCGTGGGTTGTTCTGGGGTGGCCAGCACCGAAATAACTGCATCGATCAAGTCCTGGGAGGAGAGAAGCGGATATCATGTTAGTAACAAAAACGACGATTGGGTGCGGGAGTTGGAAAAAAAAACAAACCGGGGATAAAGGGTGTAAAAAGATGCATTGGACGAGCCATTCATGGCTTTGATAAGTTTGGAATTCAAAGAGAGCTCACTGGTTTCGATTGATCCGCGAAATCGGCGAACGTGCTTTTCCACAGATTGCTCATTTCCCCCTTTCATCCCATGATTCGAACAACACCAATGATAATTTTCTCAACATACTTGATTTTGCTGTGTGTTTCCCGTTTCTTGGCCCATGATGGATAATTCGTAAACGGATTGGATCCAGCGAGATTCTATTCCACGTTTCACCAAGAGTCTCCGTTGATTTCCCGGCCTTATACAAACCTGGGATAGCAGTTAGTTTATGCAACGTAACGCAACGCAACGCAAAAACGGAAAAAAAAAGGGCAGATACTTGGTTCGGGATTGAAAGCAATCGCTGTTCACTAATTCTTTTCAAATGGTATTGATTATATTCCGACCTAATTGAATTCTCTGGCTGTCCCAAACGTTCACCTATTCTCAAAGCTAGAATTTCACTTTTAAAAAGGAAGTAGAAACTAGCCGAAATTTAATAACAAAAAATGATAGAGAGGTAGTAATTGAGAATATCGAGACCTGTGTCCTGTGTACGTCGACGTTTTGGTTTGATCCACTTGACGTGACTTGTGCTTGTAGAATATAGCCGCCGAACTCTTTCCGTCGAACTGTAGCGGTAATACCACTATGCGTTTTGTTTTGTTGATGATTGTTGTTGACTTAGTTTAGAGTTTGTCAGTAAACATTTAATGACTGTTTGTTTTGTTTTTGTTTGTTGACAACATATACAGAGGAGGCATTTTCCACGAGGAGGAGGAAAAGAGAGCTTTAGCTGTGAGAGACTTTGACATTTAAAGCAGGAGTAACGAGAGAGCGAAGTAAGTAAGAGGACGGGTAGCGGTGGTGTGGGAGTTTTACGTGGCTCATAATATGAATATCAGGTCTTCTGGAAGGAAAGAGATGATTTAATGCGAATCTAGCCTGGTGAACGCCGGGGGCGCGGAACTGACGGTGATGCTGTAGGAGACAAGTGCAATAAGATTGACACCAAGAGAGTTTGGTGTCAGTGGCGATGAAGTAGAAAGGTAGCGTCTGCGAAACTCAACAACAAGAATATTATGGTGTCACGTGGTGAACAATAATGGAATTGTATAGCCCAGCCAATAGGTGAGGAAGACGGATCCATTGAGTTGAAAAGTGCTCGGCATTGGTAGAAGGAGTGGATGAAGAGAAGCTCGGATTCATTTTTCCGAAAAGGATACAGTGCTAAGTCGTGCACGGCATTGACTTAAGTGTCTGCGTCTGCGATGAGCTAAGTTGTGTGAGCCTCGCTAGTTTTTACCCTTCTGGAATAACCCGCGCCAAATAATTAGATGAAATTTAAATGAGATAAGTCACGTGTAAGAGAAAGCTGACATAAGCGAAAATGTGTACACATGGTCACTTTTCACGGAAAAGAAAAAGAAAAAGAAAGATAAAGGGTACGGCCCGGCTTAAAGGATCACCGGCTCGTAAGCCGCGCGAGTATTACGTGTCGCGTGACAATTTAATTTCGACGGTAGACAGACAGACACAGATGATAAGTAGATACAGCATACCGGATAGAATTATGTTCCTAACCGGGTCTGGGCTAGGCTCACCGGGGATAGTAAAATATACTCATTGATTTGTGCGATCTGTTACACCTGGTGATTCATGCATATACGTATGGGCTACGTATGGGGTTTACGTTGAATTGAGAGATTGGTCGATAGCTTCACAAGTAGAGCTAACCACTCTTCACGCATCAAGTCTCTTCAATTTCTCTTATTGGCCTACTCATGTGACACATCCGTAAACTATGGATTTGAGTTTTGCTCATTGGCGCTTGCAACGCAAGTATTCTCGGTATTTACGATTTCCAATCGCGGTTCTTCTTCCTCATTATCAAGTATCGACATCAGACCCCCCAATGTTTGCTTCGAACTCGCTTGCTCCTCTATCATGCTCTTCCGTAAGTGATGAACTTTCATTAGTCTTGTAGAAGTTAAAATTCTGAAACCTGTCTCTCAAAACCATTGACGTCCTCACATCCTTTCCGAGTGAGCGCTTACGTTTCTTCTGCATGACCTTGTCAGCCAAAGACAAGCACTTCTTGACATCGCATGTACTTATTTTGGTGTAGAATAAAGACATTGCAAGTTTGAAAAGTCTTGGATAGCGCAGCCGCCTGTCGAACCACCAAGTAATGGCGGCTTCTCTGGAAGTTGCAGCTAAAAGAGGCTCACCCAAGTAATTTATCCATTCTTCAGTTTGTACCATATTACCATCAGTTCTCTGCTCATTGCTGGAACTTAAATCTTTTATCGCCAGTTTTTGCTTATCAAAGTCAAGCACATTGTGATTCACGTCCTGAGTGGGCTTGACACCAGTGGCATCCTCTTTTGGAGGGCGGACAGACTCATATTCTTTGAAGTAATTTTTGATGAAAAGCTCACAAAGTCGGATTCTTTGGTTTGCCTCTGACGTATACATTATCCGGTGTAACTTCTCGGTCTTTAGTCTGGGATCGAGTAGAACAGACAAACAGTAAATGGGATCGGTCTGGACTTCGGAAAAGTACTCCAGATGTGACTCTTGTGCGTGTGCCATAGCCTCCAAAACGAGCTCTTTATCTTCCGGATGCAATGCTGATGAGCCGTTAAGATGTGAAAAATTGATTGCTGAAGACGATTCCGAGATTATGGCACCCTCTGCAGCTTGTGAAGAAGCACGGTAGTAGTGGTCTAACAGGTAATAGAAAGATACACCACTGGACAAGCAGTTGTAATCGTCCTGTTGCAATTGAAGCGCTATAGTGTTAAAAAGTCCACATGTCTCGACAAAATACTTCAGCAAATGAGTTGTCCTCGAGTCGAAGATGAGATACTTTTGCAGCTTGGCGGCGAATTTTGCGTCACCCATCTCTTCCAATTTTTTGCACCACATCGCGTATACGCTACGATTTGCCAAGAACTTCTGAATTTGGTGCCATTTTAGCATCCCTTTGGTTGGACAGTCTAGCGGGATGAATGGTATCTTCGAGTTTCTCAAACTGGTAGCTATGCGGGTGGAAGATCTCATTATTGTTGCCATCTTAACAATTTTAGCGTAAGCATCCGCAAAGATGCGGTTAGAATGCAGATGATCAAACAGTTTTTGAAATTGTAGGTTCAAAACGTGGCTTGCACACCTTATGTAACGCACCCGTCTGAACAGACGGTGTGCCGTTGGCTTGTATAGCTTCAGAGTATCGTCAAGCAAATGAGAATAGAAAGAGCCATTATTTTCGGCATTATCCATTGTCAAAGTAGCCACTTTGTCCAGCAGTTTATGCTTCTCCAACAAGGACGAGACTGAAGCATGCGTGTATTTGGCAGTATACCGATTGGTGCCGAGGCTCTGAACGTCTAGCAAGTGCGTGTTTTGAGCTTTACCACTCCTGTCAAAAAAAATTGAAGGATCTGTGGCTAGCCTCAAGGTGGTTTCATTGAAAATGTTGGGGACGAACGACACCATAATGGCTAGAAAAGATTCACCGTTGGACGCGGTCCAGACATCCAACAGGACGTTCACGAGATGTGTGTCTTTAAGATTCGACGCCAAACAATCTTCCATATAAGTCGCGTACAAGTCGAGTTTCTTGACAAGAGTCGATTTGGATTGAATGAAATTTGAACCTCTCGTGCTGTTTATGATTCCCCAAGTATCTAGCTCAACCCAGCTGAACGGTAGGAAGCCCTCCACGACAAGCATGACCGACTGGAAAGACTCGGGATTTTTCTTGTATTCGTCTTCTATTGCACGAGACACCCTAAGAGCGTTTGATCTCTTTCCAAAAGCTTCTAGAGTCCTCGATCTTTTTCCTCTGTTGTTCCTTTTCTTGTAGCCTTCTGGATGTGCATTGCGGACGTGTTTTGAGAGGTTTCCCCTTGACTCTCCTGCTGGGTATTGTTTTCCACAGTACAAACACTGGGCAAACTTTCTACCTTGGATTATCGGAAACTCAAAAAATCCGTGAAGATTAGAATTGGACAACCAGCCACTGGCTTTAGGTGACTTTGATAGTTTGTCTAGAGTTCCATGACGCGATTCAGTGTCAACGGACGAATTTCCCGGCTCGGTGGATGCTGAGCGGCTAATGCCTCGGATGTCATCCATGGACTGGATGACTATGGGTTGGCTTTCCATGCTCACTTTTGAATGCGTTTGGTAGGGGTGATCCCTGAGTGAACCACGCAATGCATTTTTTTGATACTTCAAGAAGTGTTAAAGCCTTAGCATGAAACGATTGACTGTGATGTGATTATCGAAAAGAACGAAAACAAGATAGTAATTGGACGAATATCCTCCTTGTCGTATACTATGCCAGATGGAAATGGGGTGCTTCTCACTCCTTACGAGATCCTGAGGGGCTACCCCTAGTACATAGTGATGGGAAGGAGCGTTTGTAAAAATTTCGTACCGAATGATATCTCTCAATAAGCATTTAGTGATTTTGCGGGTAACGCCACCACACATAGCTCTTTCTTGTACGGAAAGTTTGGCTAGATATATTCTATTAGTAGATCATAAAAACCGATGTGAGCTAGTCACGTGACTTCCCTTTTTTCAAAATCCAATATCGCATGGTACGGCAATCTCTTTCCCACGAGTCTCGCCTTGAATAGCAGTCCATAGCGAGCATATTCAGAGATGATGATAATAATAATAATAATAATAATAATAATGATGATGATAATGTAATCTCTACTTAGACCCCGGGGTTCCGAGCAGTAAGTAAGTAAGTAAGTAAAGCACAATGACATACTAAACACACCACACGCCACATCTAAGCTTAAAATACACTTCAAAAAGTGCTAAAGTTCACTTCTACAACCTAAAAATCTAAACACCACCAACCTCCCCCAACGTCCACAGCCTTGACTCAACTCATTAATCTTGAGTGATTATCGCGCACCATTTCAATCTCAAACGGGTCCTTGATCCCTCTATCTATCGCTTGTACTCCGACATCTCGCTTCCCCATATAAAAAAAAATCTCGCCACAATGCACTTCCGTTCTCTCTGCTGCACTTTATGCTTCCCGCTTGTCTCGATTCTTCTCGAACAAAATACTTATATCCATTCTTCTCCATATCCGTACTCCCTGACTGCTTAGCAAGAGCCGTTCTTCAACCTGTTTCTTCTCTTCTGTCTTTCTGTCTTTCTCTGTTTCCCTCTCACGCGAGTTTACCAGACCCTGCTTTCATGCATTCTAGAAAAATGCCTCAAGGTATAGCTGAAAAATGGTCTTGGCGAAAAATCGCGTCAAAAAACGCATCAAAAAACTCATTCATATACCGCTCTGTGATTGAATATATATAACCTGATAGGATAACGGGTTTTCCAGTTTTGAGAGACGTTTGTTTTTAGATGTAAGACGCATTCTAATGGTTGCGGTTTCGATATTAGTTGCAGTTTCCTTATTTTGTTCAGTAGCGATCTTCAAGTCTTTGTCTTTGTCTTTGCCGGTCATATAGGTCAAAGACAATCAATCAACTCAACATCAATTCACGATCTTCAACCAACTCAGAAAGCAGCAAGCAAGCAAGCAAGCAAGCCTGTAACGGGCCAAGTGGTTTATCTGGAATTGTGAAAAATATAGTCCAGGTGCCAACAAGAAAACAGCATAGCATGTTAGAGACAACGCAACACAAACGTCGGCGTGTGACTCGCGCATGCGACGAATGCCGCAAGAAAAAGGTCAAGTGTGATGGACAACAACCGTGTATACACTGCACAGTTTACTCATACGAGTGCACTTACAACCAGCCCAGCAAACGGGCGTCGTTGAGCCAGCAGCCGTCTTTTGGCACACCGTCCAATTCCAACGCAGACAATAGCGGCAGTAGCAATAGCAACAGCAGCGAAGCTGCTGCTGCTGCTGCTGGGGCTGCCGGTGGGGCTGCCGGTGGTGCAGGTGCAACTTCGCCATACGCCAGAACTTCACGTTCAAACTCGAACTTTGCTAGACCCTCACGAAACACACAGTTGCAGGCTCTAGCCAGACACAGGGCCCTGTTCAGCCAGCTTTTCCCACAAATGGGCCCAATAGAGACTTTGGACGTCAACGCTTTTGCCAAAGCGCTGCTGAAAAACAATGGTTTCGTCAGAGCAGTCCAGGAAGTCAGCAAAGAACGCAATTTCGGTACCCAGGACAGCCCTTACGACTTGGACTCTCCGGAAACCGTTTCCGGCAACGCAGGAATGGCGGGCACGGCTACTCCCGAGCTCAATTCTGATGCCATCGAAGGTGTCGATGGCTCCATACAATCGAACGAAGGACGAGAAATCAAAATCATACTGCCTCCGAAGTCTGTGGCTCTACACTTCATTCATATAACGTGGGAACAATGTTGCGTTCTGTTTCGGTTCTATCATCGTCCCAGTTTTATCGCAACTTTAGACAAACTTTACGAAACCGATCCGCACGAATATTCCCACGAGCAAATGCATTTCCTGCCCCTGTGTTATAGCGTAATGGCTGTGGGAGCCCTGTTCTCAAAATCTGCTCAAAAATCCTCGGCTGGTGGTACCTCTGAAAACAGCACCAGCTCGCCTAACCAGTTCATGCAAGACGAAGGCTACAAATACTTCATAGCCGCGCGCAATCTTATCGACATCACGAATGCTCGAGATCTTTACTCCATACAGGCGATTCTCATGCTTTTCATCTTCCTGCAATGCTCTGCAAGACTATCCACCTGTTACACCTACATCGGTGCGGCGATGCGCAACGCATTGCGTGAAGGTATGCATCGTAATCTGAATGCAGATACGCAAGATTACAATCCGATTGAGATCGAAATGCGGAAACGGCTATTTTATACCATTTACAAGATGGACGTCTATGTGAACACTATGCTGGGTCTACCAAGAAGTGTTTCTCAAAGAGACTTCGATCAAGCTTTGCCTGCAGAACTCGCCGACGAAAACATAACGGAGACTGGTCTGCATTTTGATCAACAGGGAGACGTGTTATCGTCTGCGGGAATTGCTAATCACCATACCAAGCTCATAATGATACTGGATAATATCGTTGCCGAACTTTATCCCGTAAAGAAAACGAACAACTTGATTTCGCATGATGTTGTAACACAACTAGAGATCAAGCTGCGGCAGTGGCTGGATAATCTGCCGCCTGAATTGACTCCCGGAATAAAGGATGTTCCAGCGAAATACGAGAGAGCAAATCAATTACTACACTTATCCTTCCTGCAGGTGCAGATTATCTTGTACCGCCCTTTCATTCATTATTTGTCTGTCATTCTCTCATCCAAAACCGTAGACCCACTTTCCATTCAAAGGGCCCGGAACTGTATATCAGTGGCTCGCACGGTGGTAAAACTCGCCAAAAAGATGATGGAGAAAAAGACCTTGACAGGGTCGTACTGGTTCAGCATATACACCATTTTCTTTTCAGTCGCTGGATTGATCTTCTATCTTCACGAAGTGTCCCCAACCGACGAAGACGGAGAGCAGGAGTACAACGAAATCAAAGCAGATGCTGAGATGGGCAAAGGCGTTTTGCTATATTTGAAAGATACCAGCATGGCTGCCGGGAGGACGTACAATCTGCTGCATATGCTCTTTGAAAAGTTCAATTCAAAAACTATAAAATGGAGTCATGTAAAGCAAGACCAATACACTGCTTCGCTTCCTCATGATGGACCGGTGGCAGAAACGAACGAACCCATAAATCTGGCGGACGGTCCAAATCCGTACAACCTGGAAACGAGTAATCTTGATTTACTGGCTTTCGAGAACCCGGCAGATAATACAATACAAAACAATTCAACTCTCTCAGGGGTTAATACCATGAATACGGTAAACACCTCCGGGATGCTCATGAACAGGGACTACGACTTGGTAGGCGACGTTATGGAAATGGATAACTTTTTTGACGTAGGCGGTAGCGTCGAGTCAGATGATAAGTCCTTGGTTCCGCAGGCATCAACCGGGTACTCCAAAAAAACCAACGACCCTCATGGAGACGTTACCGCATCGGACTCATATGTTCCTGGCGCCTTTGATCAGCTGGAGGTGCAATTATTTGGCCGGTACTTGCCGCCTTATATGTCCCAGTAACAGATGGCTTCTCATTTGGTTAATATTAAGGAACTTAAATAGGACTGATATAGCATAACTGAGCTTCATTTAGAATGGTGACACGGACGCATTTCACTTCGAATTGATATCGCCGCTTGCTGATCTATTTTGTAGCTCGTCCTGTAATGAAAGAAGCTGCTTTTCAATCATCAGATCATCTTCTAGATTTCTATCTTGCATTAACCTCTGAACTGGAGTTTCCTGGCTGAAGCTTGAGTTCTCTAGACCTGATCCAATTCTGGATTTACTATGGAAAGACTTTACGCTTCTGGACATAGGATTCTGAGGAGTCATTAGTGGAGTCGGGGCAGTAGACTTGCTTGATCTGGGAGAGGGAGTGGAGCGAAGTGAAAATGCTGCAGAAGAGCTTGAAAGTGGTGGGGTTAGCTTCCCGTCCGAAAGTCGACCTGGAAAATGTGGAAGGTGATAGTGATGCTTGATGGTTTTTGGCTTGACTTGCGAATTTTTTTGTTTAGACGTTTCTTTCACGGCTGACAGTGCAGGTTTTCCGTTCTGAGCACCTGCTGGGGACAGGGGAGGGTCTTTTGCCATCCCAATTTGAGAAGATGAATCTACAGATGGGCCGCGCTCATACTGGTAGCTCTTCGGTTCATCTTGAAATGTCTGAGCAAGTAATTGTTGCTGCTGATGTTGCTGCTTTTGCCACATCTTTTTGGTCCTATTTGGATTCCTCAGGATTCCTTCAAATCTGAAAAGATGCTCCTGATTGTCCGCACCTTTCAATTTCGAAGGTGATGTGGTGTCCAGGGCAGGGTGTGACGGGATTTGTGGTGTTCTGGAGACAGATTTTACTGGCTGAAATGCACCCACGGAATTCGGTCTCGTCGCACTCGCGCCCGCTCTTATGGCATGCATGTTATTGTTGTCGGTTAGAACATGGGGACCGCCGTGCATGTTGGTACCAAAAGAGTCCGCTAGGTTTGTCTTGAACGACACATTAGAAGGCGTTCTCGTCAAGCTATGGTTGAGAATCACAGAAACTTTTTTATCGTACAGTTGAGGTGCCGACTCGAGGTTGTGAGGACTATCAATACGGACTGTATCACCTGAATTGGTATGCGCGTGCTCAAACATTTTCGGCTCAAACCCTGTATCATGGCTCCCGACTTCCGTGGTGAAAAACGTATCGAGGTTATCAAGTTCTGCCCACATATGACTCAAAGACCCGTCCTTATCTTCTAAGACTGATGTCGTGTCGTTGGCCTCTACTGCTGCTGCTGCCGCATAACCGCCGTCAGCATGAAATTGGAGTACATCAACCATGTCATTAGGTTCTTGATACACAGCATCATCGGAAGAGCTATCCGAACACGTAGTGAAAACTGCATGTACATTGTGCCTCGTGGTGGCTGCTGTCATTGTTGGCATGGGCACCGACCATCCACTTTCCTCAGGAATGCCGAATAAAGTGGCTGTTCTGCTGTAAGAAATTTTAGCGTCCTTGTTACCCATACTTATCCGAAGAACGTCTTTGTCCATCTTGCTGCCGGAAACATTACGAACAGAATTCAAAACTTCTAGCGCTTGTGTCTCATGTTCAGTTAGAAGTAACCTTAAAAGTGGTGAAATGAGGTCGGCTCCTACTCCCGTGAATTCAGGCCGACTCAAGTCTATCAATGGAACTATAGTTTTCAATAACTGTAGGGTTTCCGTCTTCACCCAATCAATTTTATTAAAAAGTAGCCCCATCAAGAATACAAGTGCCTGTGCTGAGTATTCAGGGAAGTAAACGCGGGAGATAAAGCTCACAATCTGACTTAAGAAGTCGCTTTTTGATCTGAACTTATTCTTTGACAAAGAATCGACGAGACGAGCTAAGGAAGGTTGACCTTTGCCATCAGCAAGGGCAATAAGAGACTGTGCAGCCTTCTTGACACCTTCATCAAATTCACCTTCGTCCATCGCATGAAGAAAGCGAGGCAAGTTCGCAAGAAGCGCAAACAGTATTCTGGAATCGCTATTCGCGATGATCTTACTATCTTGGAAAAGATTCAAACGATCAAGAAAACCCAAAGAAACATCCCAAGAGTTCTGCGAGCGCAATCCCCCCATTATCGTTTGTTGCAGACCATCGAATTTACCCTCCCATGATGATGGGAAGGTCGCCACTAGGCACTGGACTGTGTCTGGCGAGTCCAGATCGATTTTCGACACAAATTTGGTTAAACTCGAGAGTACTTCAACAAATTCCTGCTCATGCACACTGCTCAAACAAGCCACAAGCGCCCAGAACATTTGCGGAAAATCTATTAGCTTAGCCGGGCTCAGTTCGGCAGTCACTGCATTCAGGGTCATTAGAATTTGCATTGCAAACCCTTGAATCTCATTGTTCTCGTCTGATATCGTGTTTGACAGCCTGTGAAGCATGTCTCGAAGCATCTGTTTATCAAGAAAGGTCAGCAATGATCTGAAAACCTGGAAGGAGCGGCATGCCACATGGCGAACGGAGCAGGTCGTAGCCCATGTTAGGGCAATGTTTTGCCAGTCTATCTGTATATTTTCGAAAGAGGAAAAGAGTTGGACAACGTTTCTCACCAATGAATCCATTGTCTTCGGGGAGCGCGCACCATTTCTGTCCTTGACAAGATTGTCGTATGCCCAGATTTTACTCCGATCTTTTATCAAAGCAACTGTCTCTTCCGCTTTCTCATGAGTCGGTACGAGACCAAAAATTAAGTCTGATAGTATCTTCGCGGCGCTCTCATGAATTATAGGAACATAATGGTCCAAGAGAGAAAAGCAAATATGAAGCAGCCGGGGAACTTTTGATTTGATGGAATCATTCGGTATTGTTAGCAGGTTGACCAAATATATCACCGAAAGCTGAGTCTTAGAGAAAACAACGTCTTTTCCCCGATATGCAAGGAGGTTCCAGAGGTTAGCCACAAAGGCATACTGCTCACCTGCCGGCATTTCAAGCTTCGTGTGCGAGGTTTCAGGAATCATGTGTTTGGGCTCGAGGTTGTTCATGAAAGAATCTATGAGGCCCATCCCACTGGGAACATTGGCCAAATAAAGAACCACATCTTTAGCCCTCTTGACAAATTGAGGATTCCGAGAAGAGATGGACGTTTGCATAATATAGTCCATTGCCACATGAATGTTTTGAAACCCATTTCCTTTGCCGAGAAAGATCCAAAGTTGCTCAATTTCCATCGGATGTCTGTTGTTATGTTCAACCGTAATGGCAAACAAATTGTTCAAAACCATGAATGTCCCAGCATCTTGTAAATTCTTCAGGACAAACTTGTGTACCCATGGAACGAGCAAAGTGAACATATCCTGTTTCAGTTCTGACTTGAGAAAATTGATGTTGCGGCACATTTTAGAGAAGATTTTGAGTCGAGTTTCCAAAGATGGTAATTCAGCGAAGATGGTTGAAATTTCCTTAGCTGTGGACTTGTAAACCGTCTTCGAATCGTTTGCCAACCGCTCTTTAAAAACTTTGGTATAAGAGGACTGATAGATTTTAGTCTCGACGGTGGACAAAATATCGATGGAGTAGGAACGAATTTCGTTGCTTTCATTATAAAGCCCACTCAGTCCAAGAAGCACGATGTCATCCTCTGGTAAAATAAATGAATCCATTTTGAGAAGCGAATCGCATACAGCGGTGTAATAAAGAGTAGCAACCCGCGTGTCCAGATTGTGGAGTGAATACTGCATCAAGGTTTCGTTGTGAAGCTGATAATTTTCCTGGTTATTCTCGAGCAACCCTTTCAAAGCAGAAGTACCTAGCATCCGAACTCTTTCGTCGCTAGCATTGAACAGTGAATCGATCCAGCAAACGAGACCAGAAATATCGAATGAAATGAATATGGGAGAGCCGGGGATATCATTCATTGTTTTCGTGATAGAATCGCAACACAAATTTACCATTACGTCTAAAGCCAAAAACTCTAGACGGGCTCTCTGAAATTCAATAGCTGTGGATAGTGCACCTCGATCTTTGGTGAAACCCGCTTGCCGCATTTTGTTATATCTGTCAGTGGCTATCGCGCTATATTGGCCAAAACCACACCATTCTTTGAAGTAGTTGAAGCAAGAAGCCCGAGCTTCAAAAGGAAAAAGTTCATCAACGAGGGGATGTCTCCTAACCCCCAAGTAGTAGTTTGTTAAAAGTGTTGCGAAATAACAACGTAATTGTTGATGTTCAAACGATTCTTGTATCTCCTTTATCTCCAAAAACTGTTTGGCATCCTTCAAGTACTTGGAGATTTTTGTCAATATCCATTCATCGTCAAGCACTGTGACATCCGTGAAAAACGAAGCTAGGACAGCTAAAATGTGAAAAATTTCGATCCTCATACCATTTGAAGAACTGTCCATTCGCCAAGACGTAAGAAATCTATCGACACTCTGTAGGTACGCCTTGAAAATATTCACATTCATCGAGCTTAATCCTGTTATTATTGCGTCCTTAACGAAAGCACTGTGGCATTTAAGGAGAGGCAAAACCATCTTGAAAATTGAAGTAGCTGATTTTATTTTCTGATGCTGAACGGTGAAGATTTGCTGAGATTTATTTCTGCCATGTTGGTGTTTAGAGGTAGGAATGTACAGCTTTTGATCATTAGTGGAGGTTAGCGAAGAACACGCAACAATCAAATACAGTTTCCACTGATTCACGATAGCTTGAGGAGAGATTTCTCGCGACGGCCCGTCGCCATTGTTCGCAATTGATAAAATAATTTCATGGAGCTGAACGAGGCGGATGCATACCAATGATCGACAGAGAGCCATCGTTACCGGAGATCGCTCGAACACTAAACCTAGAAGTCCGGGGAAGATGCGCATCCAGAGAGCAGCATCAACACCATAATCTGATTCAGCTAGCTTGATGAGAATTTCTCCCCGGTACCTCGAGGTCAATTTCGCGAGTCTTGCCTTTTCGGCCGCACTGAGAGATAGCTTTCTGCTATTAAGCAGACTAGTGTAGTTGCTTGTTTGTAATAAGTCTATTAGACGAGTACCGCTTTTTGCCACAAACTTGGACAAAGAACTGGCGTGAGATTTTTCCAATCCGTGTGTTTTTTCGTGCATGGCTTCATCGAACTCAGAAACAATGCGTAAAATTTGGATGGCTAAGCGTCTCACCAAAGGGTCATGAGAGCATAGAAAAAAGAGCCCGTTGCCTTCGACGTCTTCGATCACCGTCAAGGTATTCTTCCATTCATACTTTTCATTTTCCATTACCTCAGCCGAAGTACTGGCTGCGGTGGGTGCAGTGGTACCTCCTAAACCCATCTCTTTTGAAGGCTTCGTTTCCTCGGAAATTTTGAACTCGTACAACCAGCATTTCAACAACTCGATGTAATGAACAAGTAACTTGCGGTACTCCAGAGAAGAAAGATAAGCCATATTATAGCTTGACTGAGTCTTTTCATCAAAATCAAAGGAGTATTTCGCAAACCAAGTAATCAGTGTGTAAGGATTTCTTTTCAAGGCCAAGGATTTGAGCGCATTTTGGGAGCTCGTAGCAATGAGAGCATTTTTGTGAACAGCGTTCCTGGCTAAAATTTCGATGGATGATTTGAAAGGAATCGATCCAGAAACAGTTAAACAGCATGGGAGGGTTTCTATTATAGCTGCGAACAAAGCAGCATTCATTTCACGACTTGAAGTATTGGCGCTTTCATTAGTGAAGCCGAAATTAAAGGACGAGATACCCGCGAAGGGTGTACTCGATTGACGTTGGTGTTCGTTTTCTGGAGACCACACTTCTGACCCTATTGTTGAATCTAGAAGAAGGAAAAGCTTGTCGAAATACTTACAGGCTTCATCGTGATCGCTAGAAGTTGTGTTGGACATCTTTGCAGAAATTTTGTTCAAGTTGACCTCATTATACCTACAGTCATTTTCGGGAAATTCTGGGCGCTCAGTGGTTACAAGCAATCCTCTGTAGGTGTCAATTGCGAGAATTAGCTTTTCGTAGCTCAAATTCTCAAGGGTCGACCCGTTGAAAGACATCTTTATGAGCGGCGTTATGACATTTTCCATAATAAACGAAGAATGGAGAGACCCAATAGTCACAAGAGCATCCGTCAAAGGGTTGATCAAATCCATATCAGTGGTAATCCAATTATCCTTTTTCTTTGTGGTGAAGAATAGAGCAAAGAGCTTTCTTAGACGCCTCTCAGTATTGTTGAGAGTCTCGGTGCATCTGAAAAGGTATACCCAGGTCAAGCGAGACAAGCCTGTTGCAAATACCACGCGCTCCTCCAGACTTTTTGACTTGATTTTGGTTATGTTCTTTTCTAATAATGTCATCCACTTGTCACAGAAGAGCTCTTGAGGCGAGACACAGAGTACAGAAACCATTAACTTGAAGGAACTGGCCCAGAATTTTGTGTCATTTTGAAATTTTCTGCAATTTTCTAATATCAGACTCATTGCTTCGACCCATGTTGGGTGGTTGACTTCTGCCGTCAAAGAACCAGCTAGCGGCAAGAGAAGTTGGCTTATAACCTCAGCATAGGCCAATCGAATAGAGTAATTTTGACATGCAACGAAAAACTTGGCCAAGGATTTTATAAATTCGGCGCTCTCTTCGAAAACCTCCAGAGGGTAGTTCTTAAGTTTCAAATACCTCATGCCTAAAATTAGCAGATGCACAGGCGGTTCGAGCTCGCGTGGTAATGAAGGGGGAAGCTTTTCCAAATCGGCGATAAATCGGTCACTAACGGTGACAAACTTCGTCTCCGACATCCATCCCAAAAGCTCCGCGAAAGAATTCCAATTTGATGATTTTATGATGCTAGAAGAAATCGAAATAGGGTCAGTTGTCTTCAGCTGCGTAAAAACTATCTCCTCCAGTTTGTCATTTAAGTCGTCGTCTGAGGTGTCTGAACCCTGCTTGACGATTTCTATAAGAACACGACAAAGAATGTAAATGCTGATGAGTGATTTCCTGTCGGCTTGAAAAGCAGTTTCCTTAGCGGTAGTTATTTGATCTTCCATGACACGTAGTCTTGTTTCTGCGCCGCTATTGCTGCTCGAGTAAGATTTTGATGAGTTGTGTCTTCTATGTGATTTTTTGCTCCCTAAACTCGACGTTTTGGAATGCGTTTTGTGGACCACATTCCCATTTGGCCCTATTCTCGGTACTTCTTGCACGGAATTGTTGCGTCTGAGAACCTCATATTCTTGAACTAGCCTCTCCACATTTTCTGCAGCTACTGCTGCAACTTCAGATTTGGTCTTCCTCCAAAACATCATGGCATCTATTACCGGCTTGGGTTTTTTTTTGGCTATGAACCCTAGAGACTCTGTTATCTTGTCAAATGACTGATCTACACCCTCACCCAACAGCTCTACGATGGGGGGTTCGGAGTCCAGTGGGTACTGTAAGCAAAGATTCAGCTTATTTTCAGCATGTCGTACAAATTTCGTGAAGAGGATATGCAATGCGTACTCAGACGGGCTTTTCCAGTCTGTGGCCATGTTTTGACGCATGTTTTCGGCGAATTCATTGGCCACGGACTTCTTACTGGCTGCTATCCTTACTTTTTCAGGTTCAATAGTCGAGATTATTGTCACTGGTTCGCTCAGGTGTTCTCTTTTCTCGCTCGTAAGTGGCGTAGAAGATCTTATGATATTTGGCGAAGTTTCCAACGATGGAACTTCTTGATGCGAATGGTTGGCCGGGAATGGCTCAGACGGCTCTGGAGCTAGGCCTTCGGCCCCAACACTGCTGTTCACCGGCTCTTTTGTCTCGTCTATCGCTGGATCATCATTTACTTGTGGGAACTTGAAGTTGCTGTTCTCTTGATCGCCTGAGCTTGGTGGAAATGTGAAGCCTGTGTTCATTAGAGACCTGCAACGAGCGCTTGGAATGACTTCGATCTACGGACTGATATTCTGAAGCACTGCCAGTTATTCCTAATGACTTCAACCCCTTCGTCTTAGCTTGTTCGCCTATTGTTATGTGATGTGCGATTTTGGGTAGTAATTGTCTCCAGTTATTGATTTCAAATGAAAATCTAACCTCATCTCTAAAGCTCAGATCAGGCATATATACACGGCACAAGTCAAAAACGCCAAAGATGTTGAAGGCATGACAGATTTCAAAGGCAGATAGCTGGCGCGGCCAAATATTTCTTGTAGAAATGGCAACTGGCTCTTGTCTCGCGTCAAGACAGACCGTCTCAAGTCATTACCATTTTGCTGATAGTTCTCCATTTTGAATCAACACGCGAAGAACTTCAGAGTAAAGTGTTGACGTCTTGGTATAAGTAACCGTATGTTATTAAGGGTTAGTGTAGAATATGTTGGCATGGTTTTTGGAGAGCCCGTATTTCATCCTAACCCCCAGATTCTATATTCAAGCTCTACGAGTTTTATCATCTCCAAATGTGTTCAATGTTGACATAAACATAAAAAAACTAACCTCTGAGAGATGTTGCAAACAAATACAAAAAAGGTGGGCATAATCACTAGAGGTAAAGTAAGCTACTATGAGTTAAAGTAGCAGGAGAAAGCTACGTTAAGCTCACTGTAGACTATCAAGGTTGTCTCGAGCACGTTGATACCTGGATCAAAAAAGTCTCAAGCCACTAGACGTACGGTGGAGAATATCGATGTCATTCAAAATCCAACCAGCAATGCAGAAAATAGTCAAACTCCACAAAGGTCTGTTGAATTCGATAGGGCCAGGCTACCAGGAACTTTGACGTGTTGAAGAGGTGTTGAAAAGGTCACGTGGCCTCAAATTAGGATTTCGATATGTATATGTCCTATGGAAGCTGAGCTTGCATCCCAGCTCACTTTAAAAGCACTACGGTTAGACAGCTTCGATGATGAGTCAAGACTACTCAGCTCAACATCTACAAGCAGACGTAGTCTCTGTGATTGCAAATTATCCCAGTAATGAAGCAAAAGCAGCCGAAATTGCCTCGCACATAGCGCGCAGAATTAGCAACGGCGAACTGAGACTGTTAGAATTGGTGGTAGGATTGCGAGATTTCATAACATCTGAGGAACATCCAGAGAGGAAAGGTGCACTACACTGCCTTTCCATATGTTTGGGCTATCTTCCCAAGTCTTCCCTGTTGAAGAACGATGTTTCGGTTGTGTTGGATTTTTATCTAAGCAAGTTTGATGACACTTCCTGTCTAGATCAAGTTCTACTTGGGCTCAGCAACCTAGTGGGAATGAAGTGCTTTTATTCCGGTCAAGCTGGTAGCGTGCTTAAAGCGCTCAAAGAAGAGTACCAGCCCACAAAGCACCTTGCAGCGACAAGATACCTTGGTTTCCTGATAATGAACACGCTTCTGGATAAGTTCCAAAAAATCATGCTGGAAAATCATTCGCTCAACAGCCTCTTTATTGAGACTTTCCTTTCGATCGCAACGGGAGAGAAAGACCCTCGAAATCTGCTAATGTCATTCAATCTGAATTCAAAGGTAAACACAACTTTGAACGATATAGGCAGCTTTAAAGAAGACCTTTTCGATACTTTGTTTTGTTACTTTCCAATTACATTTAAGCCACCCAAGGACGACCCTTACAAGATCAGTAATAATGATTTGAAGGTGGCACTACGTAACGCGATTTCTGCCAGCCGCTATTTCGAAGAAGATGCTTACGGGAACCTGATTGATAAGATGACTGCTTCGTCCCCAAGTGTTAAAAACGACACATTGCTGACTTTAAGATCATGCATCAATAACTTTGGCGGTGAGGCGTGCTTTAGACATTGGCTTCCAACGTGGAATGCAATCAAATTCGAAGTGATGCACGGGTCCGACGCCGACGGCGCCGCAGCAGAGTCTGCTGCTGGTGAGTTTAACAACTACACTGACTCATTAGAGATTTTGAGAGCAATCGCTATACAGCTATCGAGTTACAAAGAGAGTGCCTTCGATACGTGCTATGCGTACATCTTGGATGAACTCAAGCCCAACTTTGAAAATGAAAGAGATCTCAGGCAAAGCTGCGCTATATTATCATCAATCGCAAAGGCAAATTCTGTTACTCTCGAGAAGGTTCTGGCCGACGTGCTAAAGCTGGTTTTCCGTGACGGGGGTGATATTGACGTGAACAAACAAAAAGTAATGATTCTCAACCTTTCCTTCTTTTTTGATGCCTACATTGAGGTTTATCGGGAAGTTGACCAGCCCTGCGATAAAAGTGGGGACGAAAAGATGATACAGTACAAAGATGAAATTTTGATGTTATTCGGGAGGAGTTTGAAGGGTAGCTCTAAGAACGAAGTTAGTCTAAGAACAATTTCCATTGTTCAGATGACAAAACTGCTCCAAATGCCTGGCTATTTGACCGAAGAGGAGATAGCTCTGATTGCTCAGTATTTTACTGAAACCATTTTCACTGATGATAATGACAACGTCTATTTTGCTTCTCTTGAGGGTTTGAAAGTGACGAGCGAAGTCTCAGAAAAAACAGTGATAGATATTGCACTGAGCCAAACCTTTGATCTTTTGCGAAACTGTATTTCGCACGCAAGCGCAATAGTTGACGGCGAATGTATTGATCTAGAAAGGATTTTGAAAGTTTTACTGGATTTCACGACTTCCAAACAGCATCTAATGACTGAGGCAATTGTTGGGGTGGCTGTCTCATTATCGCTAGCTTCGAATAAAGACGGTGATAGTGACATCTGTTTCAAGCTTCTTTCAGCCTTATACTCCCTCTTTGATTCTAATAAAACTATTATAACAGAGGTGATCGCTACCAGGCTCAAGACGGAGATCGAAGAAAAGCTATTTGCTGCAGCCTTCAGCAGGCTAATACATGAAGACGATCACAATTTGACGATGATATCATCAATACTCTTCTACATTAACATGTACGCTTCGAGATCGATACATCAAACTGAGCTGAACAGATATTTGCAGTTATTTGTTGAAAAATATCAGGTTTTGAATACGCGCACGCGCTCTGCAATAATTTTAACAAAGTTGTTGTCTGCTTTCGATAAGGAATGCAGCTTAGCCGCAGAAGATCTGGCATCTCGTTGCATCAAACTGCTTTCCAATGATAAAGCTGAATGCACTGATTTCGAGAAGCTATCTTACTTGGAATTGCTAGCTGTTTTATCGAACAAATGGTGCAGCGACGGCTTTCTACAAAATGTGTTCAACCAAAACGATAATAGTATGATTCATCTCGAGATAACAGCTTGGTGTACTAAAGGTTTGGTGATGAAAAATTCTGGCCTAGCGGTGGAGATTCTCAGCAGGTTTGTACAGCTGTTGTCAGATGAAGCGAATGGATCCAAAGTAGCCAACCTCTTTGAGCTATTTCCAACAGATATCCCAACCCTTGAAAGAATTAAAGGCGTGTCATGGACTAACAACGTTAGAGTACTGTACAAACAAAAGCTTTTCGGCGATGTGGCACCTCGTCTCGTTTCTGCTTTCAATGCTAGCAATGAGATGTCCGTAAAGGCTAACTATTTAATGGCTCTTTCGTGCATTTTGAGGAACACTTCGAACAAAATTACTCTTAGCTACATTCCAAAGCTTCTTGCGCTTTTATTGCAAGCTGTTAAGCTGGACAACAGCGATGTGGTATTCTCTGCTTTGAGCACAATCAAAGGTACAGTGGATCAGGCACCACAACTGGTAACAGAACATGTTCACAGCCTCATTCCGCTAATGCTTGATCTGGCCACCCCTGCCAAACGCAACACATACATGGTTAGACTGACAGCAATTGAGATCTTGCTGAGCTTCACAGAGCATATTCCGCTGAATTACTTGCTGCCCTTCAAGGACGACGTTCTCATAGGACTGGCGGTGGCCCTAGATGACAGGAAACGAAAGGTTCGCAAGGTGTGCATCGACGCAAGACAGGCGTATTTCGAGCTTGGACAAGTGCCATTCGATTAATAATATACAGGAATGAAGTAGATGTTTTCTATACGCCAACCAGAAGGTGAAGATCCGAAAAACGGACGACACAAAACGATGCTCACTCTACGTCAGAGTCTTCTTCGTCACTGAGTCCCACGGGCGCCAGACCTGGTGTCAATCCGGCGTAACGGTGATCAGAAGTGTGAGCCTTAGAAGATGGACCTTCTTTAAAATCTTTTCTGCCCTTCTTAGTCCGGCGGCTCTGCTTGCCGAGTCCGCTATTTTCAAGAATCGAGTCCTGCAAATCTTGCAGGTCGGCCTCGTCTTCCATGTCCCAGCTCTTAAGGTCTCGCACGTTTCTCCCGATGACTTTGTTGAGATATTTGCGTTCCTTGTTGGTGAGCGTTCCTTCTTCGTGATGTTTCTTCAGAATCTGCAGTTTGGCCCTTTGATCTAGTTGGTCTTCTAGCGCCAGTTTGGCCTTGATCTGTTTCCTGCGAGTTTGGTGCTCTTTCTTTTTGATACCGTGAGCGTCCCGATCTCGTACTCTGGCGGCCAGCTTCAGATCGCGACTGATCAACTGCGCCTTAGAGCCCTTGTTCGCTTTCTTACTGCGCATGTGTTTGCCAGAACGGTCGTCGTTGATCTTCGAGCATCCAGGCAGTAATTGCGACATAACGCTGTTCACGGCCGCTGTGGCCTGTTTTCGCGATGCTTCTGCGGTCATGAGTATTGTGGTTTTAATAATAGACACTTATTAGACTGCTCTAAACACGTTTCAACTTGCGGAGGCAGAGTGACACCAACGTTTTTGATTTTATTTCACGTCTCATCGCATCATTTCAATATTAACATTTATCTCATCGCTTTCTTTCTCTCAATTACTAGGAAGATTAACAGTTTTAGAACTTCCATCACTTTTTTTTTACATGCGTACAAAGTGACCAGATTTTTAAGTCACGCGACGATCTTTAAATCACGTGTAATATACTGAATCACGTTCTTCAAATTACGCGTAGAAAGTGATAACATGACAATTCAATTTACCCGCCCACAAAATCATCCGTTTATAATGATGACTAACAATTTTCAAATTTTACGAAATTTATCAAATCACCACCATCAATTTCGTAGGCTAAAGGACGAACCGGTAGGTAAATAGAAAACCAGTGTCCCCGATTGTTAAGATCTGAGCAGCGTCAGTGAAAAAACAGTCACATAACTTGGACACACACAAACGCGGAAACTTGTGCGGGAAAAAAAGGTTAATTTTTTGCGGTCTCGTGTCTAATTTCCGATTCCAATTTGTGAGGCATCCGCTAATAATAAGTTTGACTGAGACGTGGACATAATTACACCGTTGAACAACGCAGAAGTCGGGATCCTCAGTTCAACTTTTGAGACCAGACGTACAAGATTCCAGCAAAAGACTGGTTTGTGCGCCCCTTATTCTGGCTTTTTTTTGGTTGTTTTTGTTGCAATTGACATTATAGGTCCCCATTTCATCTCTAGCGGGAGGTGTAGACACAACAGAAGACACTTAATCGTATCTCGTTCCGATGAACGTAGCACAGGCCCCAATAACGGCTCCGCCGTCGAAACAGCAGCAACAGGACTCAGTCAAAACGGTGGAGATTCCAGAGCCTGAAACACTTGCACAACTGGAACAGCTTCTCAATCGGTACCGTGCCGTGTTCCAGGATGCAGACTCAAATCGAGTAGAAGTTGACGCGCTGGAACGTGTATTCAGCTCTATTTCGCAACAGCAAGATGAATTTGTTGCCAAACTACAAGAATTACGGCAAGCTATGGAGAAAGAGGCTTCATGCTACGACGATAGGGTATTTCAAAACCAGCTGGTAGCGCTTCAGCTGCTAAGCAAAGATATGGATCTTCCCGAAGGGCTTCTCGACGATGAAAAAGATCAAGGGGATCTTGCGCAGAAATCCGTTTCCGAGGATAAAACGATGTCAACGGCCCTTGAAGAGGTTCCAGAGCTTTCACCTTTAAAACTGTCGCTAAATTTCGATGAGAACGCTAAGAACTTTGGATTAGGCGACAAGTTCTTCAATTTCGAAATCAACAAGGGTAAGAAAAGCCTGGGTTCTCCAGAGATCGAGAACACGATCGTGTCACGTATTGCCCAAAGGATTTCAGAGCTAGAACGGATGCCCGCCAATTTGGGTACGTATGCACTTTCCGACAGTTTGCAGTTCACAGCGAAAGACGACGTGCCCTCCAGCGTAGACGACCTCAAATTAAAAGCGCTGGTGGAGCTAAGAGCACTGAAGCTTTTGACGAAGCAAAAGTCTTTGAGACAAAAACTGATCATCAATGTGACAAGCCAGGCCCACAACAACGTTCCTTCGCTTCGAGACTCTCCATATACCATGGCTGCTCAAAGGTCGGTACAAATACGGAATAAGGTCATCGTTCCCCAGACTGCGAGGTTAGCAGAAGAGTTAGAAAGACAGCAGTTATTGGAGAAACGTCGAAAAGAGCGGAACATTCACATGCACAAGGTAAACAAAATTCTGGCCCATGTTCATGAGCAGCAAACAACGCAGTCCACGCAGAGAGAACGTAGCGTCCAATTTGGTAAGCTATGCGCCACTCTGCATAATCAAACGGAAAAGGATGAACAGAAGCGTGTGGAGAGAACAGCCAAACAGCGTTTGCAGGCATTAAAGTCCAATGATGAAGAAGCGTATCTCAAGCTGCTGGATCAAACAAAAGATACAAGAATCACCCACTTGCTTAGACAAACCAACACATTTCTGGACTCTTTGGCTCAAGCAGTTAAGGTGCAGCAAAATGAGGCCAAACTCAAGCGCGGTGAGGATGTTGGTCCTTTGACAGATGAAGAAAGAGAGAAAATCGATTACTATGAAGTTGCTCACACTGTCAAGGAGCAAGTAGTGAAGCAGCCATCTCTTTTGGTAGGAGGAAACCTCAAAGAGTACCAATTAAAAGGTTTGGAATGGATGGTTTCGCTCTATAATAATCATCTGAATGGTATTCTGGCTGACGAAATGGGTCTGGGTAAAACAATTCAATCGATTTCGCTGATTGCGTACCTAAGAGAAATAAAGAACGAACCTGGTCCATTTTTGGTAATTGTACCCCTTTCGACTATAACCAACTGGACGTTGGAGTTTGAGAAGTGGGCACCAGCTCTTAAAACGATCGTCTATAAAGGAACGCCGAACCAACGGAAAAACTTGCAACATCAAATCAGATACGGTAACTTCGAAGTTCTACTCACGACTTATGAATACATCATCAAAGATCGCTCTCTTCTATCAAAACACGATTGGTCCCACATGATTATTGATGAAGGACACAGAATGAAAAACGCTCAATCGAAACTTTCATTCACTCTAACCAGATATTACAGAACCAGAAATAGGTTGATTCTGACCGGTACACCACTACAGAACAATTTGCCAGAACTTTGGGCTTTGCTCAACTTTGTTTTGCCAAAGATTTTCAATTCGGCCAAAACGTTCGATGAATGGTTTAACACCCCCTTTGCCAACACCGGTGGCCAAGAGAAGCTGGAATTGACTGAAGAAGAAATGCTTCTGATTATTAGGAGACTGCATAAAGTTTTGAGACCTTTCTTACTGCGTCGTCTGAAAAAAGAGGTGGAAAAAGATTTGCCTGACAAGGTTGAGAAAGTTATCAAGTGTAAGCTGTCTGGTCTACAACAGCAATTATATGAACAGATGTTGAAGCATAATGCGCTATTCATTGGAGCTGGCGCAGAGGGCGCTACTAAAGGAGGTATCAAAGGTCTGAACAACAAGATCATGCAGCTTCGAAAAATTTGTAACCATCCTTTTGTCTTTGATGAGGTGGAAGGCATCATAAATCCCACTAGAAACAACGGTCCTCTCCTTTATCGTGTTGCTGGTAAATTCGAATTGCTAGATCGTGTTCTACCGAAGTTTAAGGCTTCGGGCCATAGAGTTCTGATGTTCTTCCAGATGACCCAGGTTATGGACATCATGGAAGACTTTCTGCGAATGAGGGATTTGAAGTATTTGAGACTAGATGGTGCTACGAAAACTGATGAACGTACCAATATGCTCAAGGAATTCAACGCCAAAGATTCAGAATATTTTTGCTTTTTACTTTCGACGAGAGCTGGTGGTCTTGGTCTCAACTTACAAACAGCCGATACAGTCATCATTTTCGACACCGACTGGAATCCTCATCAGGATTTACAAGCTCAAGACAGAGCCCATAGAATTGGCCAGAAGAATGAAGTTCGTATCTTGAGACTGATAACTACCGACTCGGTGGAAGAGGTCATCTTGGAAAGAGCGATGCAAAAATTGGATATCGACGGTAAGGTCATTCAAGCTGGTAAGTTCGACAACAAGTCGACGGCCGAAGAACAAGAAGCCTTTTTAAGAAGACTGCTGGAGAACGAGACTGTAAAAGATGATAGCGAGGAAGCCGAGCTGGACGATGAGGAGTTGAACGAAATTTTGGCTCGCAGTGAAGAGGAACGAGTGCTGTTTGATAAAATGGATCAAGAGCGGGAGGCTACCGAACGGAAACTGGCAAAAGCACAGGGATTGGCGGTGCCCCCAAGCAGACTTATCCAGCCGGCCGAATTACCAGAGGTCTTCACCGAGGATATCAGCGAGCATCTAAATGTTGAACCTGCCGCAGTAGGAAGGGTGAGAGAACGTAAAAGGGTTTACTATGACGATGGGCTAACGGAAGAGCAATGGCTCCAAGCGGTAGATGACGACGCCGACTCGTTGGAAGCTGCTATAACGAGGAAACGACAGTCAAGAGAACGCCGGCAAATTAATAAGCATTGGAAAGAAGCTGACGCTGATGAAATAGGCAGCCTGGAGCCAACGCCAGGACTAGACATTGTCGATACAAATGAGAAACGGACCAGGCCCAAAAGGAGGGCGAACGAGACCGAGCCTTCAGCAGAGCAGGTTGGTGGGGAGCAAGATAACGCCGAGGAGCCTGCCAAGGCCGAGGAGCGTGGCGCTAAAAAGCAGAAACTAACTGTCAAACTTTCGCTTAAGAAAAAGAAGGGCCAGAATTCTGATGCCACACCGAACGGGTCCGCGGAAGCTCAGCCTAATGGAACGACAGACGAGAAAGAAACGAAGCCTGCCAACGCTTCTCGGTCCAAAAGCAAAGGCCCGAAAATGACTAAAAAGTCTATTGCTTGTCAGTTTACACCTCAAGTCGAGCAGCTATTCAAGGAAATGCGAGAGCAGCTAGATGAAAACGACGAACATTCTAGGGCGTCCATTTTCGAATCGCTTCCGTCCAAGAAACTTTATCCCGACTACTATGCTCTTATCAAGACCCCGCTGGCATTGGATACAATATTGAAGAAATGCAAGAAGGGTCAATACGAGTCACTTGTAGAAGTGCATCAAGATTTGATGACAATGTTCGACAATGCTCAATTTTACAATGAAGAGGGCTCTTGGGTCTACAACGATGCTGGAGAGCTTCGGACTTTCGTGAATGCATGGTTCGAAACCAACAAATAGCGCTGAAGTGTATCTTTATGTAAATATTAGCGTGTATCGTGGGTTCCAGCTACGGATTCTGAGTACTCAGCGGACATGATGCGAGTACTGCTTTCAGTTTTTAAGATTGGCATTTGATACGAGTTTTGTTTGGGTGAAAATTTTTATTTTCTGTCAAGATTTTTCAACTATATAAGAGCATAAAAGTTTGATAAATCTCTTCCACTTCTGTCTTACCTTTTTGACATTAAGACGGTAAGCCCAACGAACAATTGCAATGAAGTACATCCAGACCGACCAGATCCTAGACATTCCAGAAGGTGTTACTGTGAACATCAAGTCAAGAGTCATCAAGGTTACCGGCCCAAGAGGTGCGTTGACCAAGAACTTGAAGCACATTGACGTCACTTTCGCTAAGATCAGCGACAGACAGGTCAAAATCACCGTTCACAACGGTGACAGAAAGCACGTTGCTGCCTTGAGAACCGTCAAGTCTTTGGTTGCCAACATGGTCACTGGTGTCACCAAGGGTTTCAAGTACAAGATGAGATACGTATACGCCCATTTTCCTATCAACGTGAATGTCGTGGACAAGGACAATGAGAAATTCGTCGAAATCAGAAACTTTTTGGGTGACAAGCAAGTGAGATTGGTGCCAGTCAGAGAAGGCGTCAGCATTGACTTCTCTACCACTCAAAAGGACGAAATCGTGCTTTCCGGTAACTCTATCGAGAATGTCTCTCAAAATGCCGCCGACATCCAGCAAATCTGTCGTGTCAGAAACAAGGATATCCGTAAATTTTTGGATGGTATCTACGTTTCCGAGAAAGGCTTTGTCGAAGTTGATGCTTAAACCCAACGCGGGACACGAACTTTTTTTTAAGTAGCTGTACATTAGAGTGTTTATAGGCGGATATCCCCCGTCCACGGAGCCCTGGGCTCCAATCACAACGGGAGGAACGTTACTAGTGCTCATAAAATAAAGAGCCATCTGACGTTCCTCAAATTTTTGGTCACTTAGCTTGAATATTTTTGGGTCTCTTTTTAGCCCTGTAAAATCGTAGACTTTACCTATCGTGAAGTTATAGGCATCAATATTGCAGTGAAGGTGTGGTTGTTCAGTTGAACCTCCCCACTTTGCTCAACTAGACGGTATTCTGAAATTTCTTGGCACTCAAGGTAAGGTGTCATGTAATAAACGCAGCCTTTTTGAAAATCGAATATCAAACTTCCGCTGCTAGTGGTATACTCTGATCGACATCTTTCATACTGGGAGTCTTCGCATGCCATAGCCCTTTGCATCAATTTTTTCTGAAAGAGTGCACAGAGGTAAGTGTCCATCCTGACTAAGGTGATCTGTTTATGATCTGAATACGTCAGTTTTACAAAAGTGTCGGATACATTTGCACACACAGATGCATCACTATTATTTATTATACTTCTAATTTTGGTCCATTTTCTAGTCCGTTGGATACCAGCTGAGAAGCTACTGGCAAGCGTACTAAAGTCCGTGGAATAAATGGAAGTTGATTTCTTTCGAAAGCGCTTCCTCCAAATATTTGAATTCCATCACTGACAGAGAGGAATCGGAGCCAAACGGCTTCATATGAGTGTATCCCATAATCTGGCCGAAAGTTCCCACAATGAATGTCCTGCGTTTGTTTGCAGTTTCACCGCTGGTCAAATCGTGAGCACTCTTAACCGCTTTCCCTTCAAAATAGATTTTCGCGTGCGATCGAGTTCTCATGTCGTGCCTCTTTTCCGGAGAAATCACCTTGCCGTCGCTGCCTCTTGTCTCCCCAATCTGGTTGTCGTTGAGACTATAATCATAATTTGACCCAAGCATAAACGACACGAGTCTGAAATACTCGAAGCTGGTGATGAAATGACGCCATTGGTACATGGATCCATCAACGGCTTTTTTTTCACGGTCCAGCTCTTCCTGAACCTTATTGGGCTTTTTTTTAGAGACAAACTGCGGTTTTCCAAAGCAGTCATGGGGCAAAATCCGGGATATCACAGAGAACTGATAGTTTTCACCGTCATTGTTAATCTCCCCGTTGTATGGAGTTAAACTCAAGGAAATATCAGCCCCATTTTGCTCCCTATGATAGTTCCAAATTGTTCTGAATTGACCGGAGGGCTGAAAATGTGCTGCTTGTTCAGCAAGATACTGACGAACATGTGGGAAGAGTGTGCCAGTGAAATCGAGCACGGGCGTCACGCACTGATCGTCGATTTTTAGTTCCTTGGCAACACTCTTGCGAACAAGAAACCCGTTTGTGCCGCATGATTGGTAGGTGCTTTTAGACTGCAAATCGACAATTAGTTTTTGAAGCGACGCTCTTTTCGCGCTGACATTAAACTTGGAACTTCTGTGGCTGCGGGGCTTGGTGATTTTGGCTTTGGAAACTCTGCTGCTTGGCACAGATTTCAAAGGCTTAACGAATGTTCCCACAGGTGATGATATTGGGGTGATACGCAGTAGTTTTGTGTTCACCGTCACATTTGGCTTGTGAGCGCGAAGATTTGTGGTGATGTCTGGTGCTTGCAAAGATTGATCTTTTAGTATAGGATTCAAATTCGTGCCAAATTCGCGACCGTTGATCAAGTTAGATTCACATTGCAATTTGTTATAGCTTGGAGAGCTATCGAAAGAAGAGTCGTCGAATTCCCTCGACAACGGATCTTCTTCACTTATAGCACCAGTCCACAACGAAGTCTTCTCGGGTGTGCATTCTGCCAAAATATCGTCGATAGACCAATTATGAGAATCGGAGTTGCCTGACATGGGTGTGTCGAATTTTTTGAGCATGAACTCTTCACGCAAACCCGACTCCAAGAGGTACGGATCTCTTTTCGAGTTGTAAGAGCAGCAATCGGGTGTTTGACGATCGTCCAAACCTTCAAATAGCGTATTGTACGCCAAGATTCCCGGCGAATGATCTTCTAAGTCTTCGATGGTTACCAGTAACGGCTGTTGCGTCGTCTTATTCCAAGCGGTTTGCTGAACTTCTGCGGAAAGGAGCGACATGACTCGCTAGCGGGGCGTGTGGTGATGGTGGTGGTGGAGGAAAAAGAATAGCGCAAAGGAGAACTCCAGGGGAAGCACGGAGGCAAGGGACTGAAGCTGCCGGTGTTCGAACGTCTGTCTGAACGTGCGTCTGAAAGTGCGTCTGAGAGCACTTTTTGTGTTTTGTTGCCTAACGTCACAATGATGTCGCGGCAGTGTATGGGACGTCTGTGAGTGAGGGACCAAGGTACGGTGTGTTTTAAGGTTCAAAGCTAGCTTTTGGTTATCTCTGTTGGTGTTTTGGAGCTTGTGTCTTTTATTTCACGTTGTGGAGAAGAGTGAGAAGTGAGAGTAAGAATGCTACCAAGGGGCCGAGTGTTCTGGTGAGTTCATATACGCATTCCAGTTTCCGCTCGCGAGAACCGAGTTTCTCGAGCCGGGCTTTGTGTTATTTGAGCGAAATTTTTACACCTACGTGCGGCAGCCTTGGGAGGCCTCGTTATTTTTGTGTCGTCGGTGACACATTCAAGATTTCGCCCAAGTTTTTTTGGAAGGTGAAATCCAAGCTGGACATTAGAAAAGAGGAAAGTGGTGAGAATTTGGGAATGGGGGGTGGTTTATTTTGGGAGTGGGCGCGACTTGGGTGAGTGAGCAAGCTAACGGGGGACGAAGACGGTTACGGCCATAATTAGAATTCTGAATATGGGGTGGGTGGAGTCTTAACGGGCGTGTGGTGTTTGGGTGCCGAGTGCTTGCCATTCAAAGTGCATATTACAGGTATCTTAAGTGATGAACCCAACTCTCTCTTTATCTCGGGTTCCTTACTTACCTGACTATTGTGACACAATTAAGCTGTCGCTACAAAAACGTGGAAAACACGTGACGGTACCACCAGTACCAACACCCAGTCATCCAGGACCAACACCCAGTCACCCACCGACATCACGTTGTTTCTACGTGGTCATTTCCGATGTCGTCTCCGCTTTTTTTTTTCTTTTTGTGGCACAACCCATACACCCGAGCGGCACCAGCCTAGCAGCCTCCCCACCCCACCCCCTTTTTTGTCTTCCCTCGGTTCTTTATCGCCGTATCTCCGGCGGTCCTTTCCATTTTGCCTCCCCACAACATCGCCGCATACGGCTCCGAAGGGATCAAAGATTGACCCGGCTATCCATTTAAAATAAAGTCCCTCTACAAACTACCGCTGTTACTACTGGTAATACTACTTCTTCTACTACTACAACAACTACTACTACTACTTTGACTACTACTACGACTACCATTACTAGTACTACAACAACAACCACTACTACCATTACTACTAGTAACGTAAATAAGTGCTGTCTGTCCCCGTACTAAACACAATTCAATTTTCCCGCGCATTAAAAAAGGCGCCTCTGTACGCTTTTCAAGCTCCTCAAGTCAATTTGGTTTTGTGCCCTTAAAAAACAGCGGCGTAGTATAAAAAGAGCAGGAGTTTACCGGCAAACGCGGTTTCTGAACATATTTTGGAAGTAAAGGCCAAAAACTGGACTTGAACTACTAGATTGAACTGATCTTCCGAAAGGGTTGCAGAAATCAAAGTTGAAACAATCGAAACAGATTTGAAACAGATTTGAAACAGATTTGAAACAGATTGGAAACAAGTTGGAAACTTTTTTTGGAAACAATCTGGAAACAAATTGGAAGCAAACTGGAAACAAATTGGAAACCATTTTGGGAAACAAACTGGAAACAATTTTTTGGAATTACTGAACATTATTATTGGTTAACAAGACTTTACGGCAGAAAAAAGTTTGTCTATTGTACCTTGGAATTCGGGATTATACAACAATATCTCGGATACAGCTACCACATTCTGAACACACAGAGTGTAAGCAAGTAGTTCTGTGGAGAGGCCCAAGATTTGCAACAAAACGGTCTTCCTCAAGTCATCCTGTTTTGGAGTCGTCTAGCCCAACACAACACAACACATCACTAGCATAATGCTAAGAGGAATCAGCCGGTGTGCTAGACCGCACAGCGTGCTGCAGAGAGCCGCACAGCGCATGCATGCGAAGCCCGCGTTCCGCGGCCTGGCCAGCAACAATGGCAGCGGCAGCAGCAGCGACAACTTTCTCTCGACCACCAACGCGACCTACATCGACGAAATGTTCCAGGCGTGGAAGCAGGACCCCAGCTCCGTCCATGTGTCGTGGAACGCATACTTCAAGAACATGGGTAACCCGCAACAGCCAGCGTCGTCGGCGTTCATGGCTCCGCCCACCCTCGTGTCCCACCACACCGGGAGCCATATCCCCCACGATATGGCCATGGGTGTGGCCGGGACTCCTTCCAGCAGCGTAGACCAGGACGTTATGACCCATTTGAAGGTCCAACTGCTGTGTCGTGCGTATCAGGTGCGTGGCCACCAAAAGGCCCACATTGACCCCCTCCAGATCTCATTTGGCGACGACAAGTCTAAACCACTGCCTAAAGAACTCACCTTAGACCATTACGGATTCACCGAGCGCGATCTCGACCGCGAGATCTCGTTGGGTCCCGGTATTTTGCCCCGCTTCGCTCGCGAGGGCCGCAAAACCATGGCTCTACGTGATATCATCAACGCTTTGGAAAAATTGTACTGCTCCTCGTACGGTATCGAATATATCCATATCCCATCCAGAAACCAGTGTGATTGGCTCAGAGAACGTATCGAAATCCCTCAGCCTTTCCGCTACAGTATTGACGAAAAAAGACAAATTCTGGACCGTTTGACCTGGGCCACTTCTTTTGAAGCTTTCCTGTCTACAAAGTTCCCAAACGACAAGAGATTTGGTCTTGAAGGTTTGGAAGGTATCGTGCCAGGCATCAAGACCCTTATTGACAAGTCTGTCGAAAGGGGTGTCGAAGATGTGGTTCTCGGTATGGCGCACCGTGGTAGACTCAATGTGCTATCTAACGTGGTTCGTAAACCCAATGAGTCCATTTTCTCCGAGTTCCAGGGCTCTGCAGCCCCAGAAGAGTACGAAGGTTCTGGTGACGTGAAATACCATTTGGGTATGAATTACCAAAGACCTACCACATCGGGCAAATACGTTAACCTGTCATTAGTTGCCAATCCATCGCACTTGGAAGCTCAGGACCCCGTTGTGCTTGGTAGAACCAGAGCTATTCAATTTGCCAAAAACGATTTGGACAAGTATCAAAAGGCCATGGGTGTCTTGCTTCACGGTGATGCTGCTTTTGCTGCCCAGGGTGTTATTTATGAAACTATGGGATTCAGTCACTTACCTGAGTATTCTACAGGTGGTACCATTCACATTATCACCAACAATCAAATTGGTTTCACTACAGACCCAAGATTCGCCAGATCTACTCCTTACCCATCTGATATTGCCAAGGCCATCGACGCACCTATTTTCCATGTCAATGCCAACGACGTTGAAGCCTTGACTTTCATCTTCGATCTGGCCGCTGAGTGGAGAGCTACCTTCCATACGGATGCGATCATCGATGTTGTCGGCTGGAGAAAGCACGGTCATAATGAAACTGACCAGCCCTCTTTCACTCAGCCTCTCATGTATCAGAAGATTAGCAAACAGAAATCTGTTATCGATGTCTACACCGAGAAACTGATTTCGGAAGGTTCTTTCACCAAGCAAGATATTGATGAACACAAGAAATGGGTTTGGGGTCTATTCCAAGAAGCTTTCGATAAATCGAAGGAATACAAGCCAACTTCAAGAGAATGGTTGACCGCCGACTGGGCCAATTTCAAGTCTCCTAAGGAGCTTGCTTTGGAAATCTTGCCTCATGAACCAACTGCTTTGAAGGATTCCGAGCTCAAGAGTATCGGTAAGATTATCTCATCCTGGCCCGAAGACTTTGAAGTTCACAAAAACTTGAAAAGAATCTTGACCAACAGAGGCAAAACCGTCGAAAAGGGCGAGGGAATTGACTGGTCCACCGGTGAAGCTCTTGCTCTTGGTTCCTTGGCTTTGGAAGGTTACCATGTCAGAGTTTCCGGTGAAGATGTTGAGAGAGGTACTTTTTCGCAACGTCATGCGGTTTTACATGATCAAAACTCCGAAAGAACCTACACTCCATTGCAGCATCTAAGTGATAAACAGGCCAACTTCACAATTTGTAATTCGTCTCTGTCGGAGTACGGATGTATGGGTTTTGAATATGGTTACTCTTTGACATCTCCCGACTTCCTCGTGATGTGGGAAGCTCAATTCGGTGATTTTGCTAACACTGCGCAAGTCATCATTGACCAGTTCTTGGCTGGTGGTGAAGCTAAATGGAAGCAACGTTCTGGTCTTATTTTGTCGCTACCACACGGTTACGATGGCCAAGGACCAGAACATTCTTCGGGTAGATTGGAAAGATTCTTGCAAATGGCTAATGAAGACCCTAGATATTTCCCATCTGAGGAGAAATTGCAAAGACAGCACCAAGACTGCAACTACCAAGTAGTGTACCCAACTACTCCTGGTAATCTTTTCCATATCTTGAGAAGACAGCAACACCGTCAGTTCCGCAAGCCTCTAATATTGTTCTTCTCCAAGCAATTGCTGCGTCATCCTTTGGCAAGATCTAGCTTGTCGGAATTCACTGATGGCGGATTCCAATGGATAATCGAAGACGTTGAACACGGCAAGGCTATCGGTACAAAAGAGGAGACCAAGCGCTTAGTACTCTGTTCCGGCCAAGTTTACACTGCGCTTCACAAGAAGCGTGAGTTGTTGGAAGACAAGGAGACCGCCTTTTTGAAGATTGAGGAAATACATCCATTCCCATTTGCTCAATTACGCGATTCGCTCAACTCTTACCCCAACCTAGAAGACATTGTCTTCTGTCAGGAAGAGCCTTTGAACATGGGATCTTGGTCCTATGCTTCGCCAAGACTCGAGACTGTCTTGGGTGAGACCGACAACTACAAGGACAGAAAGGTGAGATACGCTGGCCGCAATCCAAGCGGACCTGTTGCTGCCGGCTCCAAGGGTTTGCACAATGCAGAAGAACAAGCGTTTTTGACCGAGGTCTTTGGACGTTAGAATAAGAAATTCAAAGCGATTTGCAAATTCGAATTTTCGGGAATCGTCGTCAAGAATTCTTCAATGTACACATACATATATATATATATTCCCCGGTAGAAGCTGAAGCTGCTCCACATACTTACAAATATTTATTTAATGATTGCAATCATCTCATGCGATAGGGTGTGAACACCTTTGTATCAAACACATCGTGTGTGTATGCAAGAAGCATTCGATCTGACAGACAAGACAAGACACACATCTGAATACGTTATAGAGGCACCGCCCATTTTCTTGTTTTTTTTTTTGGCTTGCAGCATAGAAAGAGACTGGAAACGGCTACAAGCAACCACTCTGAGATCCAAGAACGGTTGCAATTAAATGTGAATTCATGTATTTGCCAATGGACCATCTAAATCAATAAGATCGTGAACATTGTCTGGCCAAAATATTCCGATCTTCAATTTTTTGCCGATATGTTTAATTTGGCCAGATTCCCGTTTCATAATGCACTGATGTGGATGAAGGCACCTTGAAGACCCCATCTGAACTGGCGCCAGCCCTCCTTCGAGCCTGTTCAGTGTAATGTGTGTTTCCATGGCCATTCCGCCTCATACCTAGAGTGGCAATCACATTTCCTATTACGGCTACCCGTTTCCATTTGCCTGCAGAGTGCCAACAATGTATCCCAATTGGGAAACCCGCCATTGCGGTTTCTCGTTTCTTTTGTGCTGGCTTGTTTATTTTGCACCGTTGGCGCTGACGTAAGCACGCGTCGCCGTTTTGTTTGTGTTTACGTTTCATTTTCGATTTCCCGTCCGTCTGTTTCTGGCCAATTTAAACCAGATCTGAAAAATCTCACCTATAAAAGGAGATCATAGTTTGCAGCGCTCGCGGAGCCTTTTGGTTCAGGATGTTTCTTTCTTGACTGAAAGAAAAGACAAGGTACTCTAAATCTTAACCAACGGATATAACCCCAAGCACTCGATAAACTCGACACCCGCTCCTTTCCGGTCGAATTTGTCTTCTAACCCCCTCGCTTTCCCGCAGCTTTTTTCTTCCAACTAACTACATTCATTCCTTTGCTCGGGCGTTTCCACTCATTTTCGAATTCCAAATATAATCTCTTGAGAAACACTGCTAAGCTGTGTATCCTCCAGTTCTGATCTTTTCCAAATTCCAAAAGGTATGTTGTTGAAATTACGCGATTTTCGCTTGATAGTGTGGATGTGTGGGTGTTCCAAGGCAGAAATTACACACCCCATGATTTTCACGGGACCTCGAGACTTTTGATTTTTCGCGATCTGGTCACGTGGAAATCACACGTATGCCAAGAAATAATTGGTAAATTATCACACACACGCACACGCACACGCACACGCACTTTGTTTTTGCTCTCTTGGAAGCAGGCCCCCCAGCCACCCACCCCACCCCACGTCGAATCCTCCCAAAACATCAACGATCTGTGCCCTCCCCACCCCCTGTGTCTCTGCCTCTCTCATCTCACAGAACCCACCGTGCATACCCACCGTGTTTCCGTACCAAGTGCTTTCTGGGATTTTTCGCGGTCTCATCACGACTACCGTATTGGGATGTTGATGAAAAACCTCGAAAAGTCGTGGTTTTGAGCTAAAAACCACGGTCTAGTGAGCTTGCGTGGTAGACTTCTGATTGCGATGTGCCAAATCGCATTCGGAATGTGAGATTCGTGTGCTCAGGCCTGTGCGTGTGTGTTTGCCTATTTTTCTTGTTTTTTTTGGTTCCATGTGGGTGGTTCAAGACAGTTGTTATATGTTTCTTGACCTTTTGACAACAACTTTTCGAACTTGACCGGTATTCATTCACACACACACACACACACTACTCAGAAGAAATTTCCAACTCGGTATTCTTATACTAACGCTCTCTGCTTCTCAGTCAAGTTTCCAGATCCCGCTATTCTACAGCGCATTCACTCCTTTTGATTATTATTGGTAACTTCCTGCTGCTTCAGCTTTGAAAAACAATCGTTCACTTCTGATCACTCCCTATTCTATCATTTGCAAATGAAATTCTCGGCTGCTTTGATTCTCTCTGTGGCTAGCTCCACGCTTGTCCAAGCCATGCCCCATGTCCACAGGAGGGCAGAACAGGACGAAGCCTGCACCACCACTGCCCACGCTCACCGCGCCGGCAAACGTGCTGTGGCCGTCGAATACGTTTATGAAACTGTCACTGTCGATGGTAAGGGTGCTACTATGTCGGTGCCAACTTTCACCACTTTGAGCAACCCCTCCGCTGGATCGTCCGCACCTGTTGCGTCGTCTTCGTCTTCGTCGTCTTCGTCTTCGTCGTCGTCGTCTTCTGCGTCGGGAGCTTCCTCCAGCTCGAGCTCGGCTTACAGTGCCTCTTCGGTTACCCCCTCGAGCTCTGCTTCGTCTTCGACCTCTTCCTCGTCGACGTCGTCTTCGAGCTCTGCTGCACCAAGTTCGTCCTCGTCCGCGTCCTCGTCCGCATCTTCGTCGTCTTCGTCCTCCTCTTCCAGCCAGGCTTCAGCATCGGCCACTCACCCTGCATCTTCTGGCGGCATCAGCGGTGACCTATCTGCCTTCTCCAACCCATCCGAAGCCTTTCAGGACGGTACCATTGCTTGCAGCGACTTCCCATCTGGTCAAGGTGTTATTTCTCTCGACTGGTTGGACTTCGGTGGCTGGTCTGGTATTGAAAACTCGGACGGCTCCACTGGCGGTTCGTGCAAGGAAGGCTCTTACTGCTCTTACGCCTGTCAATCTGGTATGTCCAAGACTCAATGGCCTTCCAACCAACCTAGCAACGGTGTTTCTGTTGGTGGCTTGTTGTGTAAGAACGGTTTCCTATACCGTTCCAACACCGACGCCCAATACTTGTGCGAATGGGGAATGGACATGGCCGATGTGGTCTCTGAATTGAGCCAGGACGTTGCTATTTGCAGAACCGACTACCCAGGTACTGAAAACATGGTTATCCCAACCTATGTGAAGGCTGGCTCTTCTATGCCCATCACCGTTGTCGATGAGGACAACTACTACCAATGGAAGGGCATGAAGACTTCCGCTCAGTTCTACGTCAACAACGCTGGCGTTTCTTTGGAAGATGGTTGTGTCTGGGGTACTGATGGCTCCGGCGTCGGAAACTGGGCCCCATTGAACTTTGGCGGTGGTTACACCGACGGAATCGCTTATTTGGCCTTGATTCCAAACCCAAACAACCACAGTCCTATGAACTACAATGTCAAGATTGTTGCTGCCGATTCTAACAGCAACGTCATTGGCGAGTGTAAGTACGAAAACGGCAAGTTCAACGGTGGTTCCGACGGTTGCACTGTCTCTGTCACCAAGGGTAAGGCTAACTTCGTCTTGTACAACTGAATATGATGCGTACTTCCGTTCTTGTTTGCTTTACTTTTATTTTCTCATGACCTCATAGGACTAGGGCTTCGAACCAGGGTTATTTGCTTGATCTTGATGTTCCTGTCCTCTAGCTAGTGTGTAGCGTGTATTATTAAAGTACTTTATCGAACAGGTTGCATCCAAAGGGCTGTTGGAGCTTGTCCACACGATGGTAATGGGTTGCTTGTGCTAAATGCTATTGAAAAGGCAATGCGCGAACGAAGCCTTGTGAAAATGAACTTCTTCTCAGCAAACACAGATGTGATGAAATGTGAGTAATGCCTGATCAATTTGAAGGAGATTTCTCTTGGAAAGCTTCTGAAGTTGGAACTGTCAAAAAGACGTCACTGATTGTAATGAAGCGTGAAGTGTCTTCAAATTTGCTAAATCGAACTCTTTATAGTGAGTAAAAGGCTCGAACTTGACTTGACACGTAGTGTCAGTAAAAATTGTAAGTGTTCCTGTCGTGAAGATATTTGCAATGTGAAAGCAGCACGATTAATCTTCAAGTTTTGATACGCGGCAATTGTGCGGCAACTAAAGACAAATGATTAGTCCAAGTTTTTTTGAACTAAACCCATGTTATAAGATCCGCGGGCCCAGTATCGCTGTCGTGTTTTGCGTCAGAGTTTGGAAGATGCATTATCTGACATTGAATTGCTTAGGAAGGCCCTTTAGCTCAATTAAATAGACGTTGTCTTCCAGTTTGCTAGCGGGTTTGCTTGCTGCGATCGACGACAGTAAGGTTACGGTTTTAGCGCATTTTAAGCTGGACAAGTAGTGTACAATATCCGGAAGCAAAGCTTCAAGTAGTGAATGACTGGAGTTGTTCCAAATGTCCAAATGGCCGCTTTATGAATGTAGTGCGTCATTTGCCATCTCAAAGAGCGCTTACTGGTTGTCAAAGCTGAATTTCATATCTGAATCTCCTTCGCCATTTTGTGTAGCAACCCGATCTGCAACCCGATCTGCAACCCGATCTGCAACCCGCTTATAATATAACAAAAGACCCGAAAGTACCCGAAAACACCAACGCAACACGTAAACTTTTGGTTTTAAATAGACAAACAGCCTTGATATATGAGACTTATTCTTGTACAACACACAAGTGTCTCCAATGATCCCTACTAGCCCAACACAACAAAGGATATAAGAGACGTTACACCACGATATCGGCTTTGAATGAGATGTGCGTATGGGTAGTGTTGAAGCGGTTTAGACTATCAACTATAGCGAGTCTGCGCCGGTTTTTACGTGGCGAACAAGAATAAGCGCCGATACGATCCATAAAAACAAGCACCGTACCAAACGACTACCCGTTTGCAACCCGACTTTTTGGGAACCGCTAAACAGTAGTACTGTTACTGACAGTGGTAATTAGCGTTTTGTTGCAACTGATGGTACGATTCAAGTTGTACACAAATAAGACAGTACACTAGACTTGGGGGTAAATGGGGTCCTCTTTCAAACTCACACCGCGGTGGGCGTTCAAAAAATCTGCGTTTATTTCATTTAATTGACAAACTGGCTGACATTGTCCCAGCCAGGTTTTTTGCCAGCTGCTGCACTATAACTTCGGAACTTCATATCTGGGCAAAATGATATGCCCAGTAGAGCCAAAACAGCCTTAAAAAAAACACGATCCTAACGGATCTTCAATGCAAGAGTCCAATCAATTGTTTGACGAAGACCACATCATCGCTGCTCAACTGTTTTGACTGCGATCGAACCAACCATAAGCAAATCATACCCCAGGAAATCCAAACAGCGCTCACCAGTTTTCATTCGTGTTTCTTTCAATTGTGCTTCCTGCCGCCTCCTACGGCTGTCGAGACGCGTTGTTATACTACTAGTGTGCCAGGACCAGCGTTAGGCGATGACTTCGATGTCCGCAATCGGATTTATTTTTTTGCCAAGGAAAAATTGGCTTGAAAGACACCGCGGAGACAAAGCCGTAAAAAGCGAACCATTGTCGTCATTGATCGATGCGGCATGATAACGCCTATATAAAGATCCAGTGAGTCGAAAATTGGTCCAACTTCCCAGGATTGAAAACTCAAATCAACAAACAAGAAGAGTGCCAGACAGAAGTTACATCGATACTTTAGCAGTTCTTTTGCATATCTGTTCTGATAAGCACTCTTAAGCAGATCCCCCAGGACGCTTTTGAGTTCAAAGGCTTTCAAGCTGACAAAATGGTAGACGATGAGATATCTCAGCTTGCCACTGAAGACGCCCAGAAAGAGTTAGAAAAACCTATCACTAAAGGTAGTACACACAAATCATCACAGAGTGATGCAGTGCCTCACTCGCGGTTCGGGGTGCGTGAAAAATACATCATGGTGCTGATATGTGCTTCCAGCGGGATCTTTTCCACAATTGCGGCGTCAATATATTATCCTGCTCTGAATAACATTGAAAGTGAGTTCAAAATTACCACAGAGCTGGTGAACGTGTCAGTGGTTTTGTACTTTGTTTTCCAAGGTTTAGCTCCTACGCTTATGGGCGGTTTGGCTGATACTTTTGGACGCCGCCCAGTTGTGTTGTGGTCCATCACGCTGTACTTTGTGGCCTGTATTGGCTTGGCGTGTTGCAAGTCTTTTGGCGAAATTTTGTTCCTCCGGTGTTTGCAGAGTGCCGGCATTTCGCCTGTTATCGCTGTTAATAGTGGTATTATGGGTGACATCACCACTAGGGAACAAAGAGGGGGTTACGTAGGATTAACGGCGGGCTTTCAAATCATGGGCTCTGCGTTTGGCGCTCTCATAGGTGGTGGGCTCACATCCAGATGGGGCTGGCGTAGTATTTTCTGGTTTCTGGCAATCGGGTCAGGAACAAGCCTGATTTTTACTTCCTGTGTGCTACCGGAGACCAAGCGTAGCATCGTCGGTAACGGATCCATCAAGCCCCGCAATATGTGGTCGCTAGCGCCAATTTTAGCAGTTCCTGCATGGAAGAAAAAGCTGCATTTGGATAACCCCGACTACGAATCGCTGATTCCCTCCGAGAAGCTCGATCTATTGGCACCTCTCACACTATTTCGTCGTCCGGAACTTGCACTCTTGCTGCTGGTGGTTGGCTTGCAGTTTTCACTTTGGGTGACGCATTTGACGGCTATGGCGTCACTATTAGAAAAAGATTATCATTTATCCGTGGCTAAAGTTGGACTGTGCTATTTACCAAGCGGTATCTGCACTTTGATCAGCGTAGTTGGCGTGGGAAGAATTCTGAATTGGAACTACAAACGTCGGTATGCGAAACACACAGCATTTCTACAAAAAGAGCGGGTCAGGCTTCTGGCGGAGTACAATCAAAATGAGAAAAAAGTAGACAAGATTTTGGCCACGGACGTCGCATTTGCCTTCAACATCTTCCGTGCACGCCTCGAAATCATTTTTGTTCCAATGATGCTCAGTGGCGCTGGTTTCATGGTTTTTGGCTGGTGTCTGGGCGCCAAACAAAGTGTTGCCATTGTTCTAGTTTTCAGTGGATTCGCGTCGCTATTTTCCAATTGTGTTGTTGCATGTTCCACAACCCTGATTGTTGACCTGTATCCGCAGAAGTCGTCTACTGCCACTGGGTGCGTCAATTTTGCACGCTGTATAATGGCTGCTGTACTCGTGGCAGCGCTGAACAAGATGTTAAAAGCGATGACAGTAGGAGGCACCTTTACCTTTCTGGCATGTCTTACTATGTGCTCAACTTTTGCCCTTATCGTTCCGATCAAATATGGCATGCGGATGATGCATGAACGTAACCTGAAGGAACAGGAGGCCCGAAAGGGCTCTACTGTAGTGGACAAAGAGAGCCAGACAAATATCACTGACTTTGACGACGAGGTCGAGCAAGGTGGCGAAGAAAATGACTCGGAGAGTCACTACGATGAGGCGTACCATCCGCATCGCGAAGATGTCAGTACACCGGGTTCCCGCGAAGTTGAGTTGCTCAGACGTATATCAACAATACATTCGTCAACCTTTGCCACGTGATTCTTTAACAGGTCCTGGCGATCCCATACGCTAAACAGGGGTGCCCAATGCACGATGACGTAATAGTACAGTCACGTGAACTCTTGTAATAAAGAGGAAAAAAGAGAAAAGAAAAGAAAAGGGAGTGGTCTTTTATCATGTGCTACGGTAAAAAACTTCGGGTTAACTCGGAATCTTTCGGAAACGATCGGAAAAAAAATTCGACGTTTTCGAGGCACGTGATATATCGGAACGGCTCGCCGATTTGCTCCGAAGATGCATGATTCACCATCCCTCATGTCATGAGATGATGATAATATTGCACTCTGCTGTACGAAAACCGCTCGAGACTCATCTCCTCGAGAGCGTACCGGCCGGACAGTTATAAAGCGCAACTTTCGGCGTCTTTCCCAAGCATAAGAGCGGAGAGATTCCGAAACAATCCTGATTTCGTTTTATTTGTGCGGCAAGTGTCGTTGGAAACATAACTTCAGGACCGATCTACAAGAGCATTCGCTCTCACGTCAATTAAGCACATTTTAAGAATTGAGAATTTGAACTTGGCATAAAAATGGGGAAAATCGCACATCCGGTCTCCGATGAACCACAGGTACCGAGTGGTCCACAGCTGAAAGAATGGGAAAACGTAAGACAGCAACACGTTAAGCATGCTAGCGGCGATACTGGCCATAAACAAGACATGTACGACGGGAGTAACAAGTCATTGGATCAGGATGGATCCGAGAAAAATGATCAGGTCAACTACAATAATATGGACACTGTCTCTCGAATGGTCACCAGAGAGATGATGACCTCGACACCGGATTCGGCCAGTACGTATGCTGCCTCAATGAGCGATGAGCTCGTGCATGACGACAAGCCCAACGCTCCATATACGTTATTAAACGGCTGGCAGAAATGGGCAATGGTAGGCCTGCTTACGTGTGGAGGGTTTTGGTCTTCGTTAGGATCACCCATCTACTATCCAGCATTGAAGCAACTGGAAAAGCAATTCGACATCGACGAAGAACTTGTCAACGTCACAGTGGTAGTGTACCTTCTTTTCCAAGGTATTGCTCCGTCAATTTCTGGTGGTCTTGCAGATGTTTATGGCCGCCGGCCCATCATCCTGTTGGGGATGTTGATTTACGTTTGTGCATCCATAGGACTGGCTTGTTCGCATTCCTATGGCGTTATAGTGTTTTTGAGGTGTCTGCAAAGTACAGGAATCTCTCCGATCATTGCGATCAATTCTGGTGTCGCAGGCGACTTCACTTTGAAGCATGAAAGAGGCACTTTTGTCGGCGCTGTATCTGGGTTTACTTTATTGGGACAGGCTTTTGGGTCTTTGATCGGGGCTGCTTTAACTGCCGCGTATGATTGGAGAGCCATTTTCTGGTTTTTGGCTATTGGCTGTGGTACTTGTCTGATCATCAATTCTCTTCTGCTCCCAGAAACGAAAAGGACTATTGTGGGGAACATGTCTTTGACGCCCAAGAGCTTTATACATCGGGCGCCCATATTCCTTCTCAAACCTTTCAAGAAACAATTCAAGCTATCCCACCCTGATTATGAGACTCTGGATCTCAACAGGCCTAAATTAGACCTCATTTCAACGTTCAAGATTCTAGCACACCCCGAAATTCTGATGTCGTTGATGCCTGCAGGCCTACAATTCGCGTTATGGACGCTAACTCTCACTTCAATCTCATCTCAGTTAACAGCCGCTCCATACAATTACAAGCTTACCACAGTGGGTATCTGCTATCTGCCCAGTGGTATTGGTGGTTTGATCGGGTCCTTTGTGACCGGGAAAGCTATAGACATTTACTACAAGAGGGCGGTAAGATCATTCGAGGAACAGAAAGAGCAGGGACTCATACCTCCGGACGAAAAATTCAACACTCTCAGATCGCGACTATTCACTTCCATTCCCCAGAACTATATTTCGGTGGTTGCATTTACACTTTTCGGATGGAGTATGCAGAGGGGCTGGCACGTTGCCGTTCCCCTCATTACATCCGCGATAGGGTCTTTCTGTGCGATGAGCACACTTTCGTCATCGTCCACTTTGCTGGTTGATTTGTACCCAAACCGTTCGTCTACTGCCACCAGTAGTTACAACTTCGTGAGATGCTCTCTGAGTGCCATTTTCATGGCTTGCCTTGCCAAAATGAACAAAGCTTTGACCATTGGCGGAACATTTACGCTGATAAGCGGTTTCGTTTTAATTGGGAATATCATCACTTTGATTCCTATGAGATATGGAATGAAGTGGCGCGAGGAAAGAGCACTACGAGCGGAACGTAAAGCAATGACGAACGAATGAATACATTACAACACAACACAACACAACACAACACAACACAACACAATAGACTCGATATAAATTCGAACATAATATAATACACTTTATACTAGTATTGGACAGGAAGCAGTAGCAATGACCAGATGTCACTTTCTCAATGGTTTCAATGTTTAGGAAAAAAGTGGGAAGTGGTGATAGCCAACCAAGCGTTGATTAAAGCTGAGTTTGAAGATGCTGAATATCAAATTCAATCCTGAGGAGTTAATGTACAAAAAGGAGCAAGCGATTTATAACTGCAGGCAAAGTAAATGAAAGTGTGTTCCTAGATTTTCCAACATCGGGAGTTGAGAAACCAAGATTTGGGAACAGAAGGAGGAAAAAAAATTGTTATCGGGCTTACTGCGATGCACACTGGACGCCTTCGGCTCCACCTCTTTCCTCTTCGTCAGAATCGTAGTTGGCGCCTCTGCCGTAGGATTGGGAGCCGGAATGCTTGGATGGGTCGAAATCACTTAGGACGCACTCTTCCACTTCCGCGCTCTTGGGGAAGCTTGGGATGTTTCTTGGAGGCAAGATTTGCTCTAATTTCTTCAATGTTTCCTCGTCGGCGAAGTGGCTTGGTGGGAAATTTATCTTGAAAGTGATGATCAAGTTACCGTAACCACCGTATTTCTGAACAGGCATACCTTTGCCCTCGATGACTTTGACCATACCTGGCGAGATGACCTCACCTGGGACGATGCCGACTTTGAGCCATTCGCCAGAAACGTGCTCGACGGCAAACTCACCACCGGCCACAGCGGTCAGTAGATCGATTTCAGCCTGGTAGTGTAGGTTATCGCCCTTTCTTTCAAAGTGTTTGTGGGGTCTCTGGGTGATCTGGAACACAACGTCTCCGGGGATGATGTCTGGGGCCTGGTCGGCCTCGCCCTGGAAAACGATTTTTTGGCCGTCCTTCATGCCCGGCTCGATGTGCACTTCCAAGATCTTTCTTTCGTTCATAACCTTTTTGGCGTTACAGGTCTTACAGCGGTCCTTGGGGTCGATGATGGTACCGGTACCTTGACACGCGTCACACTCCACTTGGAATCTCTGGATCATAGGGCCCATCTGTCTGGTCACGAACTTCATACCTTGCCCGTTGCACGAAACACACTTCTTGACGGCGCCCTCTTTGCCTCCGCGTCCGTTACACGTCTTACACAAAACCTGTTTGTTAAGCGCGAGTTTTGCGGTTCTGCCCTTGTACAGTTCTTCCAAGGACGCTGCCATTTCGTGTCTGATGTCTTTGCCCTTTTGTGGTCCTCTTGGTCTGGACGCTCCACCGCCGCCACCGAAAAACTGCGAGAAGATGTCGTCTCCGAAGCCTCCGAAGCCCCCGAAGCCTCCAGCACCGGCTCCTCCGCCGCTCAGGCCTTCTTCTCCGACCTGGTCATAGATATTACGTTTTTCTGAGTCGCTGAGCACTTCGTAGGCCACTGTGAGCTCTTTGAACTTTTCTGCGGCTTCTGCACTTGGATTTTTGTCCGGGTGGTATTTCAACGCCTGTTTTCTGTAAGCTTTTTTGATCTGGGTGTCGTTAGCGTCCACAGCCACGCCCAAAAGGTCGTAGAACTTGGTTTCTCTGACCATTTTTTGTAGATTTCGAACTTTGGTGTAAAATGGATCTTATAAAGAATAAGAAATGGATGAAAAATGGATGAAAAATGGATGAAAAAAGGATGAAAAATGGATGAAAATGGAGAGAAAAACAACAAAACTTGGATCAAATTGTCGATTTTCTTGTCGAATTATAGCTTTTTCAAATGCTATTGTTGAGAGTTATCAAGCTTCTCTTCGCAGTAGTGATATGCTATAATGCTAATTTTTCACAATTATAGTCAACAATGACAGCTAATAGCTTCTATTAAACAATGCAAAGAGTTCAAATATGGAAAGAAAACACTGGAGAAAGACCGAGCTTTTATAGTTGAAAAAAAAGTGGTGCTTAGTTGGTTACAAATGCGTCCAAGGCGTTTGAATTTGAACTATTTGTTTTTATAGTTGTGAGGCTTTCTTTCTATCTCATCGCATCGTCTCTGACAAAAAGCTGGTTAATTTTTTTTTTTTTTTTTTTTTCCCTTCTAATTGTTCCATTTAGAAATTTCTCGAAAAGTTTTCTGGTGTCTGTAGAAACTTTCTTTTCGGGGAGAAGAGGGGAGTTCGTAGGAGGTGAGAGGAGTGAAGGATCGTGGAAGGTGAGGAGAGTCGTGGAGAGTGAGTGTCAGTTTTTTTTGGGATTCGTGAGAAGTGAGCGTCAGTGGTGTAGCTGTTCATCAGCCCAGGACTGTTCATGAGTTCATGACTACCATCCACTTGGAGTCCACTTCCGTTAGTCGTGATTTTCGGAAATCCAGTCCGACGTATAAAGTGACTTTGATATGATTTTCGGCTGTGAGTCCGGCAATTTATTGGGTTACATTTAATCATTGTTGACACTGATGAATGTAGTTTTTTGGAGTCATGGAAAAGGCTTGAATATTAACAAAGTGAGTGCAAGGTAGTATACACTTGGTATGTAGATCTCTTACTTATTTCGCGGACCTTAGTGAATCTTAGAAACAAGCACGCTACAACAGATAAATCACGAGTCACGTGATACTATCGTATACAGTTACGAGAATCCCGAAATTTACGACTCCTTTGTCGTATAAAGGTACTGGAATCGCGACTCCCAGGACTCGCAGGAATCGTGAACAGTGCTGAGCTATTCATAAGAGTGGGGACGGGGGGGAGGTTAACCATATGGTAGAGAGGAAATTGAGAGTGTATATCGCCATGTACGGACATGTACATTCCCCCCCCCTCCCCACCAAAAAAAACCCACACATCCAATCGAGACCCGCGGTTCATCATATGGTATTGCATTGAGGAAATGTACATAAAGACTTGACCATCGATTCTTGTTTTTTGGTGGTAAGAAAGAAACCCACATTTAGTACTCATTCCATATATATATTGGAGCTAGAGAGCAGAAGAGCGGATCGCTATATACGAGTACGGGTTTACACGCAATCGCTACGACACATCCAATTTTGGGACGTGTGGAAGAGCTCAAAATTCGCACCTCGCAAAACAACTGCTTTTTGAGATTTTGGTTCTTGGTCTTTTTAGGGCGGATCGTTATATACGGATATGTGTCCCCACATCCAAGAAAAATGCTTCACCTTCAGTAGTCCGGGTATTTGTAAAGACAATTCCAGCCGCTCAATTCAAGCTGCTAATCTTGGTTTGTTACGCTTATTCCTGAGGCTTAAACAAATAAAACACTCATTCTCTAGAGTGCTTGAAATGGTCATAAAAATTATTCACGTGATCAACGGCGAGAGAAGTCCTCTCCACTCGTAAGGGAAAAAATATGCCTTTTGAACGGCGGACGCTTTTTCGAGCAGTCAATCATTTAATTCGTAATCATGCTCTATCACTCGTGCACGAACCTTGGTGCCTACAGGACCAGGACTGGAGACGAATCACGGCTGGACGAGTCCATTCGTTTAAAATGCCTGATGTTTCGCGCTATTACGTATAAGATGATAAAAACTTAAAAGTATTCGGCACGAATCCGAACGAAGTGCTATCATATATGTTCGAATATGCCAATAGCTGAAGTGCATTCCCGTAGAGTGGACAAGTGAAGATACTGATCCGAGCTCTTCTTGCACATGACGTACAGATGCCAGTGACTACGAGCTCTAGCCCAAGGAAAGAGAGCGTTGCACATTCTTCGAGTTACATACATATTACATACAATCCTCGGCCATTGGCGGTTCTTGCTGCATATACAACTACGCCTGTTGACTCCAAGCGATGGCTACGTTCAAAGTGATTGATCTTGCCAATTAGCAAATCGCCGGATTCGCCAGATTCGTCCCCACTTATGCTCACGACCAAGCCCTTTGAGGGTTTCCCACAAGAACTAGCGCCCTCCTTTCTCTACCGTTTCGTCTTGGTCAAGTGTTCACTCTCACTAGATTTGGAAAGTGTATTTACGGGAAACTAGCTTCAAACCTGATTAATCGACACTTGACTCGCTGCCTTTTGTTAGGGCGCTAGCCGCTATAAAAAATCACCTCGTGCGTATGGAGTGACACACACCTAAAAAACTGCGCCGTACATAATTATTAACTCGTGAGTGAGTAGAATCTCGATCTTGATTACCTAATTGCCAGGAACTTACTCAAGCTACCCGGTCGCGCAATACGATAAAATAAACTCCAGATCAGTTCAACGACAATAAACTGTCACCTCCGGTGAAAACTAGGTATTGAGAATCTTGATCACCACAACTCTTGAGAAGATAGCGCACCTGTCTTTTCTATTAATCCCTTTATTAGGCTCTCAAAAACAAGCCTATGTAAATACTTCGTCATTGTTCTGCACCGCCCTCTTCTCTTTTATGCGATAAACTTTGTATATCAGTCTTCCACTGGCAGATCGCCTCCTACTATCGACCGCAACATTTCGCTACAACATTGAACTTAGCTTTCTTCCTCTTATTTCTGTTCTCTTCTTCAGCACACCGTCGACAACAATCCCAGGCTGTGAATTTTACATGTATGTTATTCTGCAAGACTACAACACTTTCTACAAAGTAAAAGTGAAAACGAAGGCATCGTTACAGAAAAAAAACCACCTTCTAGTCTCTCATCTATCTTCTGGAATTCCAACTTTCCAAGTGTATCATTAAGCTACTTTAATCAAAGCGTGTCATTGGGAAACCTCTTTATACACATTCAAGTCCTAACGTCAAAGATCAAGATAACCAAGATCAAGTAATTCATTGATCAAAAACATCTTATCCACAAGCAATAATAAAAGCTTTTTGAACAACTCTCAATTCTAGTAAGACTTCTGACCTCACCGTCACCTGATTGTGTACCAACTTTCCACCTCATCTCATCTCATCTTAGGCTTGAATCGCTCGTCCCGGCACTTCTTGTCTCTCAACATGCCAAGGCTCAAGCCTTCAACTTTCTGGAAGGCCTATGCCATCAACAAAGGACTGCCCTTTTTACTTCCAGAATGCAGAACCATCTCTGCCGCTAAGCAAGAGCTTAGATGGATCTCACAGGAGTGCTCTAACGAGCAGCAAATACTGCAATGCTGTAAGCTGCGACACAGCCATTATCCTCTACAATACATCTTGAAATCACAGCCATTCGGACCCCTGGATATACGATGCAAACGTGGAGTCTTGATTCCGCGGTGGGAAACAGAAGAATGGACAATGGATCTAGCACAAAGACTTCCTGTCGACCAAGAAATGCGTCTCGTGGACCTGTGTACCGGTTCCGGCTGTATTGCTCTTTTAATGAAGCATTTACGGCCTAAACTGACCGTCAATGCGTTCGATTGCTCACCTCTGGCAATACATTTGGCCCACCAAAACGCTCGAGAGCTAGGCATTGATGTTCAAATAGCGGTACAAAATATCCTTGATGACACAGCACCCAAGACTCTTCCTAATTTCGATCTCATCACCTGTAATCCACCATATATTCCACAATCGACATTCATCAAAGAGACCTCTACATCCGTGAAGCTTTTCGAGCCAAAACTAGCCCTCCTTGGCTCATTCGAGTTTTACGACAATCTGATCAAAACTTGGCTTTCCAAAACTGACGCATTTGTTTACGAGGTGGGCGGGCTATCGCAGTGCATCTACGTTCATGATAAAATCGCACAAGATTCGGAGCTGTCTAAACTGTGGCGAGTGGGATTCAAGTTTGATTCCAACAAACAGAGTAGAGTAGTTTACGGGTACAAGCAAATCAGCACTAGAGTGGACTGGAAAGAAGTGTTTAAAGGGTTTGGCAAACTTGGACACTAAGGTGCGTGCAGCAACTATTTACAATTATTCTATCTTTTGTTTTTTAGTCTCTGTGGTCACCGAGTCGCCCACGGGAACTGGCATTAATGATTTTACCTCGGACGGATCCACCGGTAATACTCTGTGACACCACATAAGATAGCCTCCTCCGCCTCTCATAGTCATGGCAGGATGAAGCCGACCTCTGATGGTTTGGAACGGCCTACAGCGCGTTTCCATTACGCTGGGAGCGAGGTATCGTAGATCGTCATACAACACATGCGAAAGTTCCAACAGCGTCTCTCTAAATTGACTGTAGCAGACAATGGGTCTAGAGCCGTGGACTCTCTCGCCAAGTTTCGGTATGAATGATGGGAGATGTAATGTGGAAGCAACGACCAAGCCATCGTATTGAAGCTTAGTCGCCCAGTCTATGATGTTGAGCTGACCGTTGTACCATTTTAGACGGCGATAATATGCGCCCTTTTTGTTGCTCTTCATGGCCTTTAGTTCATCATCGGAAAGCGGTGTTAACGCTTCTTTGACATCTTCCAACTTGGGAGGCTCGAAATAATCAAGAATTGATATAGTCTTGACATGTTCTTGAATGAACTCCTCGGTGTAATTTGAGAACTTCAGCAGGTCGAGATTGGCATGTTCGTTTTCATGCACCACAAGTATTTTTCCCCCAGCAGTACTGTCATTGTTCCCACCAAACATGCGTTCGAGCAAAGCGTATACCAATAAACCACCAGTTTCGTCCACACATAGATAGGTTCCCGAGGATCTTATATTGGCCAAGTTTAAAATCATACCCAAACTTTCCTCGGACATATCCATAGCACGAACAACATCACCCTTATCCAGCAAGTACTGCAGAAGACCGGAACTGCTTAGATACTCAACAGTGAAGCGCTTGGCAAACTTTTGCTTCTTCCGCTTCAAATATTTCTCCTGCGAGTACACCGTTTTCTGATGGAAACTGCCGTGTGCCCCAATAATTTTGTTGATGATGTCTTCTCCAGAAGCACTTTGTAGCTTCAATTGCTCGATTTCCTCGCTGGAGAGTTTCTGGATGCTGCTGCCAATGTTGATCAGATTTTTATTGGATTCACTGTTGCCGATGAGTTGAAGTTCCGGCTGTGGAGTGAATTCCTCATCTGAACCAGAGCCATTTGTAGCTCGGCTGGCCAGTAGCCTGTTATCTATGACTTTGAGGTCACCAACTGGTATTTTGAATTTTTCTTTGGTGCTCTTAGAGCCATCAGCGCTCTTAACCTTGGATACATTTTCATCGTCAGCGATATTGTCGTATCGAATCTCAAAAGTTGTCCCAAATGGGTACCCAATGATATCATTTGTTCTGAAAGCCCCAAATTTCCCTAATGAGATGTCACTGTCCGCTTTCAACTCGCAGATTTTCAGATTATCAGAAGGTAGCTTTACCAAAACATGGGTATTTAAGGAAATTCGTGTGACGGGGTCCATTTGCCGCAAAAGCTCTGTTAGTGAACGATCTTGGTATGACCAAATAAGTGCGTTGGATAAATCCTACGGACGTGAGCTGAAAGATTAAGTTGGGGAGCGATGACTTGGCGGGATGATGGTCAAAGCCAAACCTTGAGTGGATGAATGAACTCATTGAAAATTCGAGAGATGAGGTCACCTTTGACGAGTGTCATTTATCGCATCAAAAGTTTCGATAAAAGCGTAGATTTTCCAAAGTGCTGTGCAAATGATCCCAACAGTCGGTGAAAATTGTTCGGGAGCTCTTGCAAATATTTGTGAAATATTTTGGGAATTAAGCCTTTACTGGTGCCCGCAGCCTCTCATGGGTTTATCGGCATTCTTTAATTTTGTCAAATTACGCCCATAAAAGTTCTGTTTTAGAACCTATATGAACTCTAAATATACGCCTGTTTTGAGCCCTTGAGAAAGCGCTGTCAAATCAAAAACCCATGCCCTACCAAAAATCTGTTTCGACATCAAGTGTTCCTAGTGCACTGCTGACATCCGAATCTTATCACTATATACGGTTATGTCACTTGAACCTATATCACGAAATCGTCGAAACCGTCGCATGTATTTGAAAGCTATGAACATCTCAAAATGGCAAGGCAGCATCCGTTATGATTGTTTGCGACTAATGCGCAAAACTGGTCAATAATTCACACATTTACACACACATTTACTCGCTTTTCATGAAATTGAACAAAAAACTGGCGCTGAAAAAAAGTGCCTAACAAGAATAGGAATTTCTGCTTCAACTCAATTCAAGATTTTGGTATTTTAGAGTATCTTTCTCAATACCTGAGTAATATCTGTCATTCGCAACATTTCCCGTCTATGCTATTTTCGTGTCGCTGAGGTTATCCAATATTGACTTTTACACTATGTATACTTTTATAGTGGAAAATTTTCAATTAAAGCTCATCTCATCGCATCTCATCGCAGCTACATAAAACTTTTGACAGAGCTAAAACATCAAGAAAGTCGCAGTTTAGCGCCGCCTTTTTACGCCAATAAGTTTAAAGATGGGTAGCAGACAGCATAAAAATAAGCAGGCTCCTCCACCCAGTTTGGACGAGTTCCAAGCAAGAAAATCCAAGAAGTCTGACAAAACGCATACGAAGGGCAAGAAAAAGCCTGAAGTCCATGACAAGAAGTCGAAACACAAATCTAAGCGTAGAACTGATGTTGAAGATGATGACCGCAAGAGCAAAAGAGTCAAATCCGAGATAAAATCAACCAAGACGCCCGAGGTCGAGCAGGATAATGAGGCAGAAGTTGTCGAAACAAACGATAAAGAGAAGTCAGACGAGCCCAAGTATCATAGTAAAGATGTGGACGAGGAAGAGCTTCCTGAAGTTGATCTAGAAGCTCTTTCAAAATCCAAAAAATCACTTTTCGACGATGACGAAGACGAACAAAACAGTGAGGACGGAATCGACGAAGACCTTCAGGATGAATTTGACCTGGAGCAGGAATTCGAAGGCGAAGATGACGCTGAAGAGAAGGAACGTCCCTTCTTTTCTGATGAAGAGGACGGAGACATGGAAGAACTGAATGCGGCCAACATGGAAGCGCTATCAGCGAAGCTAGACGAAGAACAGGCCTTGGAAGACGAAGAGGCCGAAGCAGAGCTTGTCGAATCGGGTCAGGCACAACCAAGGGCTGAAATTTTGCCTACTCCGGAAGAAGAAGAAGCATTGGCCGGTCAACCTACCGACTTAACCGCCGTGCGGACACGTATGCTCGAAATCGTGAAAGTTCTCGAGGACTTCAAAAATCTTGCAGCTGAAGGACGTTCCAGAAGCGAATACGTGGATCGTTTGATCAAAGATCTGTGTGAGTATTTTGGATACACTCCGTTCCTTGCAGAGAAACTTTTCAACCTCTTTTCGCCCACAGAGGCCCTTGAGTTTTTCGAAGCCAACGAAATCGCCAGACCCATCACCATCAGGACTAACAGTTTAAAAACCAGAAGAAGAGATCTGGCACAAACCCTGGTAAACCGTGGTGTCAACCTGCAACCCATAGGATCCTGGACAAAAGTGGGGCTTCAAATTTTTGATTCCCAAGTTCCAATCGGTGCTACACCCGAGTACTTGGCCGGTCATTATATTCTCCAAGCGGCCTCTTCGTTTCTACCCGTCATTGCTCTCGACCCACACGAGAATGAAAGAATTCTAGATATGGCTGCTGCACCTGGAGGGAAAACGACCTACATTTCAGCAATGATGAAAAACACAGGATGTGTATTTGCAAACGATGCCAATAAGGCAAGAACTAAATCGTTGATTGCCAATATTCACCGTCTTGGTTGCACCAATACAATCGTTTGCAATTATGACGCACGCGAGTTTCCCAAGGTTATTGGAGGTTTTGATAGAATTTTGTTGGATGCACCATGTTCCGGTACAGGAGTTATTGGAAAGGATCAATCGGTCAAAGTCAACCGTTCTGAGAAAGACTTCATGCAAATTCCACATCTGCAGAAACAGCTACTACTTTCTGCAATCGATTCGGTCGATGCCAACTCAAAAACTGGTGGTATAATTGTTTACTCCACCTGTTCTGTTGCAATTGAAGAGAACGAAGCTGTCGTTGATTACGCCCTTAGAAAAAGACCAAATGTCAAGCTAGTTGATGCTGGGTTGGCAATCGGTAAGGAAGCATTTGTTAGCTACAGAGGAAAGAAATTTCATCCTAGCGTCAAGCTGGCCAGAAGATATTATCCCCATGTATACAACGTCGACGGGTTCTTCGTAGCGAAGTTCAAAAAGGTCAGTTCTTCCAAATACGACGATAATCAAGCAGATGCAAAAGAAAAGGAGAGAGCTGCAAGGTTGGAAGCTGCTGAAGAGGGTCTTATCCACGACGATTTTGCCGATTTTGGTAACGAGGAAGATGAAAAGTATATTCAAAAGTCCAGGAAAATCGGTCTTCTTAAAAAGGGTATCGACCCTAAGGCCAAGACCAAGAACAGCAATGTTAAAAAGTAATCCTTAAATCTGCATCAACTTTTTTAGCACCCAGTGTGAATGTACAAATAGAAACCATCAATGTTATAGTGACACTAGAATTACACCATTGAATGCAATGATCTGATTGCGCTCTTTCGCACCCGATCAAAGATACTTAGTATTACCTAGTTTATGCTCTTTTATGTAGTCTGCGCCGTATTCTTCGTATTCCTTTCTCGTTACGAAAGTATTCTTGTAGGTGTCTGACTGCGCTAGCTTTGCCATCCCTCTCCAGGCATCAACTGACGGATCTTGGGCTAGTCTGACCTTCAAACTGGTACCAAGTGGAAGAAAACCCGTGAATTCCCGAACGACTCTTTCTCTCGTTCCGGGAACTTTGACGTTGCCTCCTGTCAAAAAAATGTTCATAGCTAGCTGCCGACTAACTTCGCTCAATGATCGTCTGCTCGAACCAAACTTGTTCAGGAGTATCGTTTCCCCAATCTCTGTTATCCCAGCCTGGTCTAGGCCTCCCATCGATGGTTGGTAAATAACCTCAGGAACCCTCATTCGTTCTACATTGAGGTGCATCTGGTGCTGCTCGTTCATATTTTCACTGTTGTGTGGCCTTGGTCCTCTTAGAAACAAGTGCAAAGTGGAATTGCGCCAATCATATTGTGCATCAAGGGTATCTTCTTCAGTGAAATTGGGATCGTGCTCTAAAAGAAGCCTTTCCAATTCAATTATGACGTTGTATTCCTCTTCGATGGATTGGTCGAGCGCTTCGGCACTTGAAGTGATATCATTGTATACCAGCCAGTCCTCGTCATTCGCTCCGAAAGTGTCATTGGGATCATTGTCAACTGTAGCGGGTTGGCGCGACCGCTTGGTACCACCGCGGGAATTTTCTTCAGCAAGTGTTGCTATATTTTTCATTCGTTTTTGTGCAGCATGAGACTTTCTGTCTTTCATATCTGATTTGATCTTTAACTTGTCTTTCCTTGACTTGAGCAGAGCACTCAATTTGCTTCGTTTATCTTTAACCCAGCCAGGAAGATCATCTTTTCTCCAGCTTTCATCCTTTTGCCTGGCCTCTTCTTCTTCTAACTCTTTCTTTATTCTTTCTTCTTTTGCTTTAATCCTGGCGTCCAGATTGGCTTTCATCAATCTCTGTTTTCTCTTTTCACGAATCTGCTCCTCGTTGAGCTGCTCATCGGGAATTTCCACAAGGTCAAATTTATCCGTTCCGTTCTCATTTTCTTCGTTATCATTCTCGATTACCTGGGCTTTCTTCAACGTCTTTTCCAGACCATTCACGTATTTTCGAAAGTTTTGCTCGTCATCAAAGCCAGCGCTTTGCAAACTTGACAAAACAGCCTTTTTGGGCTGGTCCTTCATCTGCTCTCTGAGCTGAGTATAATATTCATATTCTTCTTCTTTTTGAGCCAGTTTTTCAACACGTCTTTGACGCGCCTGTTCTTGAAGTCTCTTACCGGTTTCTCTTCTTTTCTCCGCCTGAAGACGAAGTTCTTCCTCACTCTTTTCGGGTTGGACTAGTTCAGAAAAAGGAGCTTCAACAACGATATTTTTGGTCTCAAGCTCCTCCATTGTAAGAATTGTTTGGATGTCCGCTTGGTAATCTTCTGAAACGTAGCAGTAGTCTCGGTAGAGTGCTTCGAATTGGGAGGTGGAAGGCTTGATAGGGAAGTATGGATATTTCATTGCGAGCATATTTGACAGATAGTCGGCCGCCTGACGGCCTCCCCAGTTTATTCGCTTGGCTTCACCGAGTATACCTTCACCTTCAACAACCGGTATTACATGCGTATCCTCGTTACCGCTACTAATAACCAATCCTGAAGCTGATGGATCGTTATTTGCGTAAAATGAGAAAAGACTGTCTATCCCAAAGGTGACTTGGGAAGACCCAAAGCACTCGAATAGCAGCTGGTAAAAATTCTGTCTCTGTGAGTGTAATGTGGCGAGTTTTTCTGTCATCAAGATAGGGTTCGGAACTCCATCTTGTCCATTCACTCCCAGATGATGAAAGGTGTATTCCAGGATCTCTTCTGTGTAGTCCCAGTTCGACACAATTGCACCGTCAAATGGGCTTCTAGCTTGCAACCGTACACTCAAATCCAGATTAGTGTCGTTCCCAATAAACGTTAGGTTTTTGTTTCGTCTCCGGTCTCTCCATCTTGCAATGCGATTGTCGAAAATGTGACTTGGGTTCTTTTGGTCCACAAACCCAGCCCTTACTTGACTGGATCCAAAATCGATGGCAATTGGGGTCTCAGGTTTATACTTGGCTGGATCATCGAAAGGTTCAGCCTCTAGCGAAAGATCCGGTTCTCTCAGTGGATATGCTGCTAATGGGGCCAAACTTTGGTCTCGAGACATTGATCGCAGAACTTGGTTGTAATACCAAGCGCTTGATACTTCAACTGGGGTTTGTAGCTTGTTTCAACTACCTGTAGATCTTTAAAGTTGGAATGTTTGAAAATTTATTCAAGATACTCTTCTTTCTGTTCTATTAAATAAAATACAGGCCGGTTCTTACTTACCATCATCACAACGAAAAAGTATTTAAGCAGTTTTAAGTTTCAAGTTAAGGATTAGCAATTAATCGAGATCTCAAGACGATGGCTTGGTGTATATATTTGTGTATTCAAACGTACAATTACGTATCTGGTAGGAGCGGACGGGCACTTAACACTATGCTTGATCAAGAGGATTCGGAGACTCGGATTTCGAGGCTGTCGTCTGCTCTCAAAGTAGGATTGAGAAAAACCTCTTCTTCCTGCTTGGCCTCGAAAGGGGCTTTCATCTTGACTGGACAAATTTTGCGATTAACGAGTGCTTGCGAGTAGTGTTGTTGAGCTTTGGCACTACGCTTGGACAATTTTCCACAATACTCTTCGTACTGTTCTTTGGATAAAGCAGCCAAAGCGTAATTTGGATGGACGAATACGGCCATCGAACCCTTTTGGCCAAAACCAAAGGATGTCAAAGTCGCCGCCTTGATTGTGCCAATTTCCAAGTTTTCTGACGGATATACCAAATGTTGGTGCTTGGCAAATTCCTTGTCAATATTATCAGCGTTTCGATTTCCGGGAACTATTCCTTCCTGCATTGATTGAAGAACACCGTTAGCCATCCATGCACCAGCAGCGCCCTTCGGATGGCCCGTCAAGTGCTTTTGAAAGACCGCGAGAACGGGATTCCCCTCCGTCCTTCCCAAATGAGTCATCATGGTGTTCAACACCTGAGACTCGTTCTTTTCGTTGGCTTTTGTCGATGTACCATGGCAGGACGCAACGGCAACATCATCGATCGTCAATCCGTAAGTTGCGAGAGAACCTGTTATAGGAGAGATGCTAGCATCGTTGTGCCAAAACGTGTTACCCCAATGACTGCGGGCTTCCTGTTGTTGAGACTCGACAAGTCGGTCGACAAACTCAGTGTCTATACCCTCCGCCTTTTCGCATTCGCCCCACAGCTCGATTTCGCTCAGACGCTGGTTCAATTGGCGTCGCCTATACTCCGGACTTAGCCTGTGACTGTTGTTCTTCGCCCTGGCGCTGCTATTTTGACGAGCGCATGTTAGGATTCCTTGGCCAGGCGCGGGAAGCGATTTGCTGATTTTGTCTGATGCTGTGCACGCCATCGCAACTATGCCATATATGGGTACCCCCATCTCAATGGCAACGTCTGCAGACATGAGAATCTGCACTCCGGCACCCTGAGACTCCATGAAACCGCTTCTGGTCGACGTTGCAGGCCTGCACATTTCGTCCGGAGTCCTTCCATGTTCCATCTCCCGCGTCGAGTTCGATGTTGCCCCCATATTGCTAAATTCTTGAGCGATATGTTCTTCAAAATCATCGCACCCGCCAGCAACGCAAATCTTGGCCTTTTTAGATAGAATGGTTTCCACTGCACTATCCAGAGATTCAACCGCGGTGGCACAGGCCCCAACAGGTGTTTTGATCGGTCCTGATGATGACAACAAGAGCATATTTATCCAAGCTGCTGTAACATTTGCGAAAGTCTCAGGTAGAACATCAGACTTTACATCATCATCCTTGTAACGTTCTTTTTGCACTTCGCGGTGTGATTTCATACCACCAATTCCTGAACCGACACAGTTACCAACCTCGGAGACATGAACATACTTGAAGAGTTCATAGGGGTCCCGAATGCCCGATGCAATGAAAGCTTCTGCTGTAGCTACCAGTGCGTAGAGCGTAATGGGGTCCACCTGTGAAATGATGTCGTCGGGGATACCAAGCAAAGTTGGATCCCAGCCAGTCGGAATCTGACCAGCAACAAATCGGTCAGAGTTTATTGTCTTTGGTATCATGAGGCAGCATCCTTTGAGAAATTTGACCAAACATTCACTTTCTTCATCTACAGGGTATATTTCCACTTTCTCACCGTGGTGCAACCTGTATTGTTCTGCTTGTTCAGCAGACATCCGGACTGGACTCAAATCATGCGTTAAGATAATTTCGTGCAACACTTCTTTCTTCCGCATATCGAAGTCGTGAGAAAGCTCTTGGTCCACGAATCGTATACCGCAATGTTCTCTAATGTGGTTCTCGTACCTCTCTTTTATTTCAAACTCTTTGATTTTCTCTCCTGTTTTACAATCAATCCAGGCTCTGCCGCCTGCGACATCACAGTACTTTATCAATCCCATAATAGTCGACAATTCAATGCATCCCTCTAAAGACAAAGTATGGTCTTTTTCCATCTCCCAACGTGTTCTTTGACTACCCCAAGGCCCAAGTTCTCCAAAGCCAGTAACTACTACCACACTAGACAAGTCGAGAAGGCCGTTCAAACTGTCACCTTTGAAATCTTCCTTAAGTTTCTGGTATCGCGTGATCCTGGGGAAAGATAGGTGACCAGCTCCTCTAGGTTGCGCTTCTATGAAAGGCTTTGCGATACGGCCTGTAAGTGCAGAGTCAGATAGATGCTGCTTTTCTAGTTCCTTCTTCACTTGCTCCTTTTCTTCATGATCTGTCCTGAGTTTGTCCACAATTAAACTCAAATTTGGAAGTGCCTGCAAACCTCCATTCAAGTCAGCTATCAGCGGGGTGTCTTGACAGTTGAAAATGACATCATATGTCAGAAGTCCCAGGATGTTAAATGCCATTTCGTTGTTAGCGAATGTACGGATTCCTGATTCCTCCAATCCACGCGAAATGTAATCACCATCACCATCGTGAGTCCACCCATAGACACAACCGCAAATACTCAATTCCGCAGACCAGTCTTCATCGTACCACTTTTGGAGCACGACCGCCATAAACGTATCTGAAAAGTTATATTTTTCGTTTATGTTTGCGTTGGTTGGTGAGAGTGGTAGTAACACATGCGTCGGTCTTGTGTCTATTCCAATCAACCTTTTCTCTCTCACAATACTACCGAGGAAACGCAAAAAGTTAATACTGGATGATCTATGGCCCAATTCTGCAGCAGAAGTATAATCCAATATTGACTCGAAGGTCGTTCTTACATGCAACGGCAAGAAAAAGTCAATATCGCCTATTTTGGAGAACAGATGGGTTGAAAATTCGGAAACGTCCCTCTTAGAGCTCATGTTCAAAGGCAGGATAATCAACTCAGACCCAGTAGCGCCGTGATTCTGGTAGCACTTTTGGAATTTCACACACGTCTCGCGGTCGAAGTGCTGGGTGGCTACTACTATCTTTGAGCCAGCTTGTAAAAGTGCACGTATGACTTCCACAGTCAATTTGTCCTCGGCACCTGTCGTGAAAACTAAAGTTGTTTTGTTGTGAAAGGAAACCCCATTGATAGCTATTCTTTGCAGGTTATTGAGGTAGGTTTGTGTTAGCTGCTTGTCATAATTCCATTCTCCCGAGACATGGGACCTCTTTTTGAGATGAACAAATGGGACTATACCAGTAGGTATTTTTACTTCAGGCACAACCTGCCTTTCTTGCCTATCCTCTGATGACGTAAAGTGATCGTCCTCTTCGTCCGATGACATTACTTCAATATCATCAACAACAACGTTGTGAAACTCGTCTTTGGTTGTAATCAAACTTTTGTTTACGGACCTCACTGCTTCATTCACAATACCTCTAAAGAAAGAAGCGACATAGTCCGAGTTTCTGAGAAATATCAACAACTGCTCGTAAACGGTGTCAAACTGAGAGCGTATATTTGTTGTCGCATTATTCGAGTCCAAGGAATATCGAATAATCTTGGAATAGACCTGAAAAAGCTCCTTCTCAATCTTGTAGTAGCTATCCATATCGCCGTTTAATCTTGATGAAAGGAAAGACTGCTCAGTTTTCTGTGAGGCGGCTGCCAAAGACATCTCTTTGATATACTGTGTCGCATTTTGAGGATGACATAGGAGCTTACATTCAGCTGCTTCGAAATTTTTCACATAAAATAGTGGAGGGCTCGAAATCTCTTGTAAGCTGTAATTCACAACCTTTTCGAACATTTCTCTTACTGCCGAGTTGTAGCAGTTTTTTTTTAGTGTGAATTGAATGATTCTTATGACACTAATATCAGCTCTGTTCGCTATGTTTTGCACAACCGAAGGACTCAGAATTTGTCCAATTTTCTGAGGTTCCCTATGAAGAGCATAAAGTACCTTGATAATGGATTGTCGTGCCCAATTCCATGTTGAGTCAAAAGTTCTTACTTTTAGAGGAGAAAACGATCGCAGCAATGATTTATCAATCAGGTCAACTCCAAATTCGTTCTCAATTGCAGTCACTTTTTTCTCCATTTTGGCTACTTGAGCCCTCAATTTTTCCACCTCGGACTTTTCATTGGATTCCTTCAGATGTTGGCTCAAAACTTGGTTCTGATGACTATGTAGCTCCGTCAAATCATGTTGAAAAGCCGAATAGCTTTCAATGCTTATAACTTTCGGCTTCTCCTCGTCCAATTCGGCAGCCAAAGCTTCCTGCCCTGAAGTATTCAAAGCCGACATCTTGAGAGGGGTTTTGTATAGTTTGGCGTATTCTGTGACACCGTCATCAATAAAGCGCTTCGTTTCCTCTTCACTTGTGAATCTCTCTTCTACATTTTTCGAGGCGAGAAGGACAAGAATTCCTGATGCAGTTTGAATGTCCCAATTTTCCTTCAGATAGCGCCGAACACTGCCCGAGCTGCACAAAGCACCCGTGAATTTTCGAGAAATAAAGTTGCTTAGGATATCGGCAATCAGTGGGCCAGTGTCGTCTGGTTGTCTATCAGAAAAGACTGCATCCTCTGATAGAGAGCTGACTGGTATTTCTTCAATTTTATGAATGTCTCGTAAAGTTGGAAACTGCCTGTATATGTCTGCAAGCAACTCATTCTGCAGCGTTGATTTTCCGTTACAGATTTCTTTGATCGACTTGTCCAAGGGTAGGGAGTGTATGTCAAAAGCGCTCAGCTTTCGAGATATGATAAACCTCAAGGCAAATTCGGAAGTCAGGCGCACTGCATCTATAACTTCAGAATTAGTGTGCGGTAATTTTTTCAACTCACGAGCAAACAGATCAGATTGCTGTGGTGCATTGCCTACAGCGGCGCTCACGCTTGGTTTTTGTATGGACTTCGTGTTCGAATCTACAGGGGACTCGGTTTTGATAGGTGGGTTATAGTGATACGATATCTCTTCCATATCGCCAGCAATGGAGAGTATCTGCCGACGAGTCGATATTGTGGTGGCACACTCATAACTTGAAGCTTGGCTGAGAGTTCTTTTTGCGATATTAGTGAGAATTGGTTGAGGACCAACCTCAATCAGCCTTTCAGTTTGGAACTGATTTAGCAAGACGTTTTGGGTTTCAATCCATCTAACCGGCCACGCAAATTGGTAGGCTAGTAGCTCCGTCAATAAAATGTGGCATAAGTAGTTTTCGTTTTCAGGCGTCATTTCGATAAGTGCCGAGTGGACCTGAGTAAAAGCCTTCTGCAAAGGAAGGTGGGCATCCCAGAAGCCAGAAGGCGCGGTCTAATAAATACATGGGCGGGATTGGTGAACAGCATGCGAGTAGTCAGAAGTATGTATTATCATTCAGCAGTGAGCAGCTAAACGAATGTTCAGTTACTTCCATGCTTCCCAACAAATACAAGTTTCGCGAAGAAAGTGAGCTGCAACTGTGTTGTTTGTTATCCCAACAAGCATGGAGGTAATTGAGAAACCTACCATTTTCGATGATCAATCCTCGACCAAAATGCTCCAAACTATACGAGTGTGTTGGTGTCGTTTAAACTGCTTGTTGGGTCTGCGCGCTTCGGGAGCCACGAAAAATAGATCTACAAACGCAGAACAATGCATCTTCTGTGATGCAATGGATGGAGGAGGGCTGCGATTGTTCAGCGCTAAGCTGACCAGGTTTCGTTGTTGACGCCCGGATTTCAAAATCAAAACATCAGAGTCGACGAAAAAGAATACCATGGAAATCGTAAGTCATTCCTCGGCAAATATGTTCTGTTGCAGGGTGAGACCAGGTACTGGTGGGGCTATTGAGGCTTGGCACGGAGAGAGTTGTTGGGCGTCCAGTTAGGATAGGTTGGATTAGGGAGGCTAGAACGAAGTTGAAGGCCATATTGAAGTAACGCGGGATCCAATCCCGCAGCGTCAGAGATCTGTTGGTAGCCAGCTACAGTTCAATGCTTGTAACATGGCTTTTCTGGGTTTTGGCGAAAAATTGGGGGTGTGAGCTCTGAGATCGTATACCCCACAATTGACATGCTGGCACAGTGAAGAAACTGACACACAGCCACACACATACATATATATATGTCTGGTTCTTTCAAGTGGTGTTCTTGGATGTTTCAATCACCAAAAATTAGCACGGGCTTCTTAGCAAGTTGGTGTACATAAATGGTAGCTCCGGCATCACTGTTGAAGCAACATCAATCTTTGTCCCCCACAGGGCGATCAAGGAGAATAACTGTCTGAAGAATCAAATCAGACGTGCATATCGAACTCTTGTAAAAAACTCACTTAGCTCTACACGCATAGTACAGGACATTACAACGGCATGCTCTGGCTCAAAACAGCATTTCACCAGTTGGGCATCAAACCAAACATGAAATCATCTATCAGGAATCAGGTATAGCAGAAAGGAGCTGATCGGGCCAAATGTGAATGGTTCAGCAGAGCTCTGGAACCGTTGTTTGTTCAGATCATCTTAACTTTTATAGTTGAGAAACTGGAAATTACTGATAAATAATTGAAATAATTCATTTCATACAAGTTGTAAAACATATAGGTTTGTTGACGTGTTTGAATATCTACATAGAAGATCAGAGTAGCAGGACCGCTGACAATTCACAATCCAGCTAGTTGTTTTGAAAGTGCAGTTGAAGAACTTCACCTGTTTTTCATAGGGATCTCGAATTTATCAATTCCATAGTTCTAAGGTTGACAGTTTAATTTTGAACTGTTGCAGCTGTAGCACATCAAAGTATTCAAAAGGCTGAAGAAAGGCCAAAGAAAGACAAAGATGCCGATTTGTGGTGGTTCAGGCAGCTCTAAGAAGCCAATTGAGCGTAAAATTGTGATTCTAGGAGATGGTGCCTGTGGTAAAACGTCTTTATTGAATGTATTTACTCGGGGATACTTCCCAAAAGTTTACGAACCTACTGTGTTCGAAAACTATATACACGATATTTTCGTGGACAGTCAGCACATAACATTGAGTCTGTGGGATACCGCGGGTCAGGAGGAATTTGATCGGTTGCGATCATTGTCGTATTCTGATACGCACACAATCATGTTGTGTTTCTCGGTAGACTCGCGGGACTCATTGGACAATGTGCAGCATAAATGGGTTGGTGAAATCGCAGACCATTGTGAAGGTGTCAAACTAGTTCTGGTGGCTCTAAAATGCGATCTAAGAAGCAATGCGGACGAATATGCTTTAGACTCTGCTATCACTCCCGGAAATATTCAGCAGCAACAGCAGCAATCTTCGAACGCACGGGAAAATGGCAGACTTATTTCGTATGACGAGGGTTTGGCAATGGCCAAGAAGATTGGCGCTCTTAGGTACCTAGAGTGTAGCGCCAAAATGAATCGTGGGGTCAACGAAGCTTTTACTGAGGCAGCAAGATGTGCTTTGACAGCGCACCCAAAAGGTGCTCGTGAGGGCAACCAGGAAGAGAGCAAAAGCGGCAGCAAATGCACAATTATGTGAGCTGCGCAAAAAGGAGATCGGGCAACGCCCCATCATCCTAGTTGGCATCTAGAAAAGTGTATCAATATGCTAATACTGTAAGAAAAATGAGATTACTGGCGATGTAGGTTTAACCATATAAAGAGTTTGCTGGAAGAATGCTGGCATGCTATTTGAGTTGGAGACTGCCTTTTGGGGCCTCTCTCGTTGGTCTGATTTGTTAATGCTTATACTGGAGAGAAATGAGGATATGGGGTACCCTGACCTCATCTCTTGCAGTTGTTCAATCGTCGTCAAGTAACTTTTCAAGATACATTGATGGCGCATTGGGCCTTTGTAAGGGAACTTCGCGTGCTTGGGAAGTTACCGGAGATAGAGAATTCCTCTTATTAGATGACGATGCGACGCTGGTGCTCAAATTTGATTTTTGTCTGGTCTGCTGCCCTTTCTTGCGCTCTGGGGACGCAGCTCTCTCAGGACGATTCAGCTCGGGGCTTGGCTCGGATACTAAAGACGACGATGAAGCGGCTGGGTTCGGAATCATCATATTTCTCCTTTGCTGGTTTACCACCTCCACCGTGGGTGAGATGAATAGCGATCTGCGATTTGGTACTGCTGCGGAGCCCTGGAGCGTAGAGTATGGCTCCTGTGGTAGCTCGCTCATTTCGTCCCGGTTTGTGGAGACCTGTGACACTTTACTGCTATTGTTTTGCGAGTCGAGTAGTCTGACCATATTGTGGTTTGAGCGCAATGGAGGCGTCAATCGGTCTGAGAAAAACTGGCTTTTTTCCGAGTCATACGCATCTCTGCCTGAGCCTCCATTAACATGTGCGTTGAACTCATTATCAATTGAAATATAGCGCTGTTTTTTAGCGTTTGAGTGCGAAATGTAAGCCGAAACAACATACGTAGTCACGATTGCTGCCAAAATGAACCCAACGATTGATCCGACCGCGATGAAAACAGTTCCTGATGGTCTTGACGACCCCAAAATGTGTGGATTTCCTGCTATGGAAGGAGGAGTAATAGTTGGAACCGCAAAAGTAGCTTTGGAATTTGATGATCCGCTAGTTGCACTAGCTGTAGGGTCTTGTTTCAAGGAAGGAAGACCCCGCTTCAAGACACCCGTTGCCACCATTTTCCCCCAGTTTCCCACTCGGTTGTATAAATAGGACGTTCTCTTCACTGAGAGTGATCTTTAAGCCTTTTCACGGTTGTGTAACAGTTCAGATCAAGTTTACATTCCATGAATCAAAATCATGCAGTGAAATTTATATACTGTAAATAATAACATTGAAATATTTATAACTTACTGTATATAAACGCTCAGACTCAAGTAACTGATCCAACCAAACTAAACAAACAAAACGAACAGCTATTGTGTCGCCTCAACTGACTGTAAGATAACCAAAGAATTGGCAGATCAAGACAAGATTGTGCTTGTGTCCTACAAATTGTATAGCTTTTTTAGACGTTTAAAATGGTGTATATACCGCCTCTGAACTTTGCCCCTGTGGTGAGCACGGAAGTATCACTGTACCGATCAGGATATCCCATGCCATTGAATTATCCGTTCATTGCAGACCAGCTACAGCTGAAGACAGTAATCTACGTCGGTGACAAAGAGATTTCAGAAGACTATCGGGAGTTTCTGGCCTCGCAGAATATTGTGTACGAATACGTTCATGTTGAGTCCTGTCGCGATGCAAACATCAAAGAACAGATGGACCAGGTTTTGCGTAAAGTGCTCGATAAACACAACTACCCGATACTGATACACTCGAACAAGGGCAAGCACCGAGTCGGTGTCGTGGTGGGAATCATACGAAAAGTGCTACAGGGATGGTCCACAACGGGCGTGTATCAGGAATATGACATATTCAGCGGTGGACTGAAAGGCGGTGTGGACCTTGAGTTTGTCACGATGTTCGAGACGGACCTGACAGTGCGTAGAAACACGATGCCGGACTTTGTAGTCGTACAAGACCACGGCACGCTGAAAAAAAGCGGTTCCTGATGAGGACCAGGACCTACTAAGAATGATAGACGAGCTGTACTAGATGCTCGGGGCAGTTCAATCGCGTCCAAAGACTTGGGACGCAATTACCGGGCTATGACGCATTAGTCAAAAATGACCAGAGAATCTCAACTCAAGTGGCATTGAATTGTGGACTCTCGCAGTAGAAAACAACAGTGGTCAAACATCTACGATTATGAATGGAACATTGCAACGAAAACGGGATAGATCCCACGCAATCGTTTCGCAAACGCATAGACTCGAGTCCAACTGATTATCGATGTTCGTCCAAAGCGACAGTGACTCATGAACATCGAACTTCACCAGAGATTATAATAATGCTCACTACTCCCACTTCAAAATACCATTACTGCTACCCAGTTAGCGGCCACTGAACGCTACGAAGAAAACTCTCTCAAATCTAGCTTTTCCAGCCACTCCAAGTTAGCACTTGAGCACCTCAATTCGCCGACACATAATGACTTTCGACCTCTCCAAAATCGTGAGACCAAAAATTTACAATCTGGAACCTTATCGTTGTGCAAGAGACGATTTTAAAGAAGGAATCCTGCTAGACGCCAATGAAAATCCCCATGGGCCTACTCTCAAGAACGCAAGAGACTATAAGGATCTCAATAGATATCCTGACCCTCACCAGCTAGAGTTCAAGACTGGAATTGCAAATTTGAGAAACACTCAGTCAAGCTTCAAAAATGAAAATTTGGACCCGCTAACCTCAGAGAACGTTTGTTTGGGCGTGGGGTCCGACGAAAGCATCGATGCATTGATACGCGCATGCTGTGTTCCAGGCAAAGATAAGATTCTAGTGATGCCCCCCACTTACGGCATGTACTCTGTTTGTTCCGATATCAATGACGTGGATTTGGTAAAGGTGCCGCTAGTAGTGGAGGATAACTCATTTCAAATGAACTTGCCACTGGTACTAGAAACACTAAAAAACGATCAGACAATCAAACTAGTTTTCATCACATCACCAGGAAATCCCACGGGGGCATTGGTGGACCCTAAAAGTATCGAAGAACTCGCAACCAAATGGCAATCCGGTATTGTGGTTGTTGACGAAGCTTACATCGACTTCGCTGTCACAGGAGGATCTGCTGCCCCGTTGGTCAACAAGTACCCCAACGTTGCCGTCCTTCAGACACTGTCCAAGTCTTTTGGCTTGGCAGGAGTCAGACTTGGCTTGACCTTCACTTCGAAGCCATTGTCGAGGGTGTTGAATGCTATGAAGGCGCCATACAACATCTCTTCTTTGGCATCTGAGATCGCTCTACGCGCAATGGAACCGGAATCTATTGAGATCATGAAAAATACTGTTCATGAAGTTATTGAGCAAAGAGGCCGCGTATTAGGAGAACTTACATCTTTGAAGCAGGTTTCAAATTCTCAGGTTGGTGGTCTCGATGCAAATTTCATAATGGTTCAGATTTTAGACTCGGAAGGTAAACCTTGTAATAAGCTGGCTAAAGCTCTTTACAATAAGCTTGCTACTGACTCTAAAGTGGTGACAAGATTTAGAGGTACAGAATACGGATGTGCTGGTTGCCTAAGAATTACTATTGGTACCAAAGAAGAGAACGACCATTTAATTGAGGAATTTACAAAAACTCTCGAAAGCTTACAAAATTAGATACATATACGTGATTTCAACTCCACTCTCTGCACTTTGTGAATTAGGTTAAATTTGAGTTTTTCCGCTTGAAGAATTCGCCTAGCTGCCTTTTTGTATCAAACTTTAATTTCATTTCGGTGATTGGGACGGTTTGAGATGCCCGTTCTGCATCCGAGAGCTTCGAAAAATCATTGTCCTTCAATTTTAATTCCGCCACTTCTTTTCGCAGTAATTGGATAGCCTCTAGTAGATCACCTCTTTTTTTACTTTCCGTAACAATTTTTGTAATCATGGGGGCCTTCGTTATGTCGTCTTTGGAAAAGTGGGACTTCAAAAGTCTTAAGGTGTCTTCAATACTCTGGACACGTTTTTGAGCAGACAGAATCTGGGTCCTCAGCTTGTGTTGCATTTGCGTCTGATTCAACGTTAACCCCCTCTCATCAGAACTGCTCTCGGTATAAAGTTCGTGCAATTGAATGAATTGGCGTCTAGCGAAAAAACGGTATTTTTCTAACTGCTCAAGATCTTTTTCTCGCATTCCCTGCGTGCCGGACGATAGAGCAGTGGCTTTCCCGCCAGTTGATTGAGCTTCGGCTAGTAAGCTATCCACGATGGAATTGAGTTCTTCAACCTCCGCCAAGCGCCATGTGTAAGTTTGATATAACGTCTTCCGCGTTCTCGCGAAGGGTTTTGAGCTTTGATCGCTCATGAGAAGTCCGATGTTTCTCAAATTTGTTTCCAGGACATCAATTTCCGCAGAAACTACGCTGAAAGTGACTTCAATTCTATTCAGCGTAGCATTTGTATGTTTGGATTTGACGGGTGCTAATTTAGCACCTGTGTAGAAAGGGCTTGAAGGCTTGGGTTTGTACTGCTGTGCCTGATAAGCTTCATCATCTTCGAAGCTTTGAACGTCGATATCCTTCAGTTCGATTGAATCGGTTGCTACTGCAGCATCCTCTACGTGAATTTGTGTTTGTGTTCCATTGCTAGATGTTTCGACTTCTTGCGTCTGGCTGGTCTCATCAATACTCCATACATGTGGCTCAACCGCTGAGTCTCTTGTTACTGACTTACCAATCTTTTCTTCTCCAGTTTTGATCTGATCGAGTTCTTCTTTCAGATCCTCTAATTCATCAAACGATTCGTTTTCCGTGCTTGCGCTTGAGTTTTTAGCTGTTTTTTCGCTACCTGCAACATTTACAGGAGAATCTTCATCTGAAGTAGCGCTTGAGTATTCTTTGTCGCTTTTCTGCGCGACGATTTCTTCCACTTTTTCCTCACTAGCCCCGATTTTACGATCTGTGTCACTGCTAATCTCACTGTTGTCGTCGACTTGGTTTGACACTTGTAAAACATTTGATTCACTGCCTTCATTTGGACTCTGGTTTTCTTCATCATCCTCAACTTGCCCCTCTTGAGAAGTCCCTGCGGTTTCGGTCTCGTTTATTGTTTTATTTCTTAAATCGGGATCTCTGGTTACAGTTTCACTCGAAGCCGTAGAAGCGAGAGTCTTTGTGCCATCGCCAATTGACGAGATATCTCCAAGATTTTCACTGGTTTGCAAGCCACTCGCCTTTTCTTCTTCTTCGTTTCCTTCTTCCTTTTTCTCACTTGTCCAAGAATTACTATGATCGCCTGAGCTGGCTTGTTGCTTCCCTATGCTAGCGAATGAAAACGCGGGAGCAGCACCTTTACCAAAAGTTTCTGTGTATTTGGAAAATGCCGAGCTAGCTGTTCCAGGATGGTCCGACTGCCTCGTGTCTTCAACACTTGAAGGCTCGTGAATAATCTCAGAGTTGTTAGCAGCTGCTCTTTTTATTCTCTCCGTTAAAGTACTGAAATCAGATGCAGCTTCGCCAGTAGAGGGCTTAGATTCTTTGCCGTCCTTTTCAGTAATACCGCCTGTCATATCGTCCGCGGATGAGTTTGAGCGGGAGTCTTCAGACGCGCTATTTTCACTTTCGTTAGAAACACTGGCGCCAGAACTGGAGGACCCACTAATTTCTTCAGTGAAGCTCTTGCTGTCTTCATGATGTACCGCACTATCAAATTTATCTGATTTGCCGGATCCTGCTCCAGTGTCATCATCTTTTGAATCCGCCCTGCCCCCCGATGCTGTAGAGTTCAGACTAGCGAACGGACTAGGACCTGGAGCCTTATTGTCAAAAGAATTCTTCAGCTGGGAGAAGGGCGACTGTGTCGAGCCGGAAGGAAGCTTCTGGGTCCCGAATGCAAATGGACTTCGGGTTACATCCGACGCAGCGTCTGGATTAGAAGGGAAAGGAGGAGTGCCAAAAGGGGAAGAACTCTTGGTCAAATTTGTGAACGGAGACCCTGATGCTGCAAATGAGGCAAATCCTGTTCCAGAGCCTGATTCTTGACTCAGGTTAGCGCTTCCGTTTTTGTCTAAAGCACTCTTGAATGGCGAAGAAGAATTCGATGGCGCTGAGAAAAAAGGAGTTTTGAAGGCACCACTCTCTATCGGTTTTTCGCTTCCAATTTTGGTGCCGAAATTGGGACGCCCGAAAGTAGACATTCCGAAAGCTGGCGTGCCAGCGGTAGAGTTTGGGATACTGCTTTGATCCTTCGCGGCAATCGAGGCGTCCTCGCCTGAATTTTTAACTTTCAAAGAAAAAGGGGACTGACCGAAAGCTGAGTTGTTACTTTCGCCAAATGGAAATGCTATGTTACCGAATGCAGAAGATGAGCTATCCTTGCTATTAGTACCGAAATTGAATGCCGAATTAGTTGAATTAGTTTGTCCAAATGCGGCAGGTTTTACACCGAAAGGCGGTTGACTCGATGAGCTTTGCCCAAACGTGCTGGTCGCGGGGGTGAAAGTAGAACGATTATCAGGTTGGCCAGAAAACACAGTTTTATCGTCTTCCCCCTTGTTGAGGTTTTCGGAAGCAGACATTGTCGTTTCGTCAGCGCTTGATGACAAGTTAATACTTTGATCTTCAAAATCATCAGAGGAAATACGCGGCTCAAAATTAGTAACTGACTCTAAGCTTTTGTCGCTTAGCTTTGCCGAAAATTGTTGACTCTTTATTCCTGAGCTGTGAAACAATGCAAAGATGGATAAGCGTCCTTCATTATTCAGCACCAATACTAATGGCAGTTTTGTTGCAAATTCAACACCTTGACAAGGCTCGGGAATCTGCTCAGAAGAAGTGAGGTCAACAGCAAGCCCTATAGGGTTTGTGTCGTTGTCAGTTTCCTGATTCATGGGTAAAACCGCGCGGTCGCTATCTTGATTGGGCTGCAACACTTCATCCTTATCCAAAATTGTGATTTCCGGCGATGTGGCAGATGCGACGATGTATAGTTGAGGGATTGTTTCCATTAGATCATCGAGGACGCACTTGTAGTAAGTTGGCTTTCTGAGCACGCTTCCAAAGGCAGGTGCTATATCGAAACTTTCACGAAAAGACACTTCATCGTTTTCATTTTTGCTGACCACGTAAACCTTTTGATCGTATTCTGCGTCTTCGTCGGACTCATTAACTGCATTGCCCAAAACTACGACAAATTGATTTTGCGAGAGACTCAATACGGAAAGCGGCTGAAGACTCTCATTCAATTCATCCCGGATCTCATTTGGCAGCTCAATAGCCTTTTTAGATGTAATTTCACCCTTTTCATATACCTCGAGGCTACCGTCAAGTGTGAAGAGTGCCCAATTGGCTCTCCCTACATCGAAGTCGCAAACGTTTTCCGCTGCGAGTGTAGCATTCCCAGTCTCGGTAACTGCAAAAAGTCTTCCACTGTTGTAGAGAACGAGAAACGACTCGTTGGGGCCGCTCAGACGTTGGACTTTCGCGACCTGTGACATGGCATCGGACTCTGCATTTTTGATGGTGACCTGAGTAATTTCCTTCTTCGCAAGATCAAACCTATGGAAAACGCCTGATCTTGTGATCCAGATTACTGTTGTTTCCGCTGTGCCGTTAAAACCAACATAAACAACGTTCTCAGCCGTTTCCTCCAAAATGAACCTTAACGTTTTCTTTTCGTCTGTTTCCTGTAAAACTTGTTCTCTCAGGTTTTGCAGCTCTCCCACTACCACCTTTCCACCTCCTGCAGCAGCGTAAAGCCCTTTTTGATTAGAAACGGACAACCCATGAAGCTTCGAAAAGGGAACGTTTTCGTTGAACCCAGGCAAAAGCTCTATTTGTCCTAAAGGTTTGAACCCAAAATCCTCGGAAATGGTCGTCGGCAGTTCTTCTTCGACTTTCGACATAGCTCAAAAAGCTCAATGGGAGGCGAGTAAGTAGCTCAAATGCACAGAGCACAGGGCTTGGTTTATGTATCAACATGTCAAGTAGGATTTAAGAGATGATGATGATGAATTTATGTTCAATTAAAACCTTGGTCGCCGCTTACGAAAAAAGCTCATCGCGTCCGATCATGGTCAAGACAGAAACTTAGGCCATTGAAGCTCTGCCTGAATCGCTTATTCCAATGTCTTGCGTTTAGCACTGACGCTATATTTTGGCTATTTTGGCTATTTCCAATCGCTTCTTTCCATCTTAGTTCCAGTAAATGGCTGTATTCCTACTATAGGGATAACTTGACTGGAATATTTTCTTTATACATGAAGCCAGCGACGAGGCCTGTCACTGATGGAAGCATTGCTCATACAGGGGACTTGTTATTTAGTAGACATTAAAAACTGCAGACCAGCATGTTGGCCTAGCGTGGATATTTCAAACAATCTCTACGTTATTCAAGCAGAGAAGGACAAGGACCAGCCAAGCTTGTGAACGGGTTCAGACAACTTTAGAGCGTCGAAAGAAGCACCAACACCGAGGTCGACACCAGGTCTCAATGCCTGCTTGTAGGCCAAAGCAACAATACCGGAGTCGGCAACCTTGGCCTTGACCTGAGAGGTAGGGTCAAGGGCGTACTTGGAAGCGAATTCGATGTTGACGTTGGAGCCGGCTTGTGGGTTTAGGACGGCCTTGGCACCGACTTCCAGCAAGGGGCTGACCTTCTGGAAGAACGAGGCGGTGGTTAGCTGGGCGTTGTTGATGGACAAAGCAACAGAGTAGGCACCGGCAGAGTAGCCTAGAGCGACGGCGTAGCGGGAGACAGCTGCGGCAGCAATGTCGTAGCCCACTTCGGCACCACCGACGAAGCCCTCGTGGGCCAATGTGAGGTCACCGACGAAAGATGGGCCCTTGAGCAAGTCAAAAGCACCTCTGGCAGTGAAAAATGGCTGCACGAAGCTGAGGTTTAGTTTGGCGGCCTTGGAAGCGTTGGGCACGAACGAGGTGACCAGTTCGGATTTCAAGCCTGGGGTTAGCTCAGCAAGCTCGATCTTGGTGTCCAAAGCGTTGGTGGAAGACCAGCCCTGGGTCAAAGTCAAGCCGGTTGGCTTGTCAGAGACCTTGGCTTCCACGTTAGCGGCGATTGAGCCGTCCTTTGGGGAGCTCTTACCCTTGACGTTGAAGGCCACGCCGTTAGGAGCGGTGGTCTTGACTTCCACAGCAGCTGGAGTGCCGTGGTAGAAGTCACGGTTCAAAAGACCGTTGATGTCTTTGGAAATGTCGTTAAAGAAAGGTGGGGCCATTTTTCGATTAGGGGGGAACGGAAGAAGCTTAGATTGTATGAGAAGAAAAGTCAGGTAAAAACAAGCGAAGCGAAGCTCGTTTCAATTGTTTCAATTGTACTCAAACAGTAGGTAAAATCACCAAAACTTTGTTCAAAAACGTTACAAGATGGTAATGACTCTCGTCTATTTCTTAATTTTCGCCAATATCTCGATCCTTTTATAGTTTCGTGACCCAGGATAAATAAACATCACGCTAATTTTTTTTCCTAATCCCGTGGGCAAAAATTCATTGGAAAGACACACTATAGGAAGAAAAGGTTGAATTTGAGAGATGAGCGTGTGAGCCAATAAAAACGGCGAGAATTGTGCGGAGAAGAAGGCGAAAGAACCGGTGCTGGGAGATCGGGATGTCTTTGAGATGGGAAAGGGTTTATGAGGGTGTTTTTAACGGGTGCTGAAGAAGCAGTTAAAGAGAGCGTTTATGGGATGGCAAAGGAAATAAGGAAGAAGAGAACGGTAAAGTGGCACGTGACTTTAAATTGTGGCTCCTTTTTAATGGATACACTCGGTTTTTCAAGATGGGATTTCTTGCGAGTTTTTGTATAGTCTGTGGAGCTGTGGTGGGAGAGGTGATGTCGAACAGGCGCTCGAATCTTGTGAGAGCTGGTATTTCAAAGAAGAAGCGAATCTGTATGGCTCTGTCATTTTGTAAAATCAACAACACATATCTATACGAACGTGCTTATACTCGCTACAGGAGCTAGAATTTGTGTGCCATTATGGACTGTCCCCGATTTCGTACAAAATGTGTTAGTGTACGTACACAAAAATGAAAAAATTATGGACGAGACCGGAGTCGAACCGATGACCTCTCCCATGCTAAGGGAGCGCGCTACCAACTACGCCACACGCCCATGTTGATGGAAGCCGAAGATTATGCTTCAGACAATATCAGTGGTCAAAATCATGCTTCAAACAATGAATTCCAATGTCTTGTGAGGAAGGATGAGAAGAAGAATGCCCAGTAGGCAATACGACTATGTTCTTCAGATTCTTGGGGCTAGTGTGATTGACTTCTGTCGCTGGCATATGGTCACGTGGCAGGTCATTTTATGGACACATCAAGTCTGACATAAAGCTTCAGGAAGTCCCATAAGGCTCTATGTTAGGCTTTTAAGTGTGAGATTGCTGACCAGGGATGGATACATACAAATATGCATTATTACCTGTAACTCCGCAAACTCAATTCGTATATCTATGTCCGAGCATTTACCATTATTTCTTTCCAAAATCTATGTTTTTGAATCATTTTTTAACTTTTAGAAATAAAAAACTAACGTGTCGCAAGCTATTAAAACAAAGAAGAAAAGCTATAAAGTACGCAACAGATGAGAAAAAACCATAAACAAACCACAATAAGTGACTAGACACTCTTCAATGTAATGATAGTATCCTCTCTTTTTTCCTCTTTGTCTCAGTTCCTGATGGAAAATCTACCAATTTTCGAGGTCACGTGACCATCTCGTTTTTCCAGACACGAAATGAAAAAACGCGTCACCAACCTAATGTCTCTACTAGCCCATCCCATCCAACCCACGGCTCCACACCGATCTTCCTGACCATCAATGACCAACACTACTAGGCTTTTCCACGGTCTCAACTTTGTGATTGTCACAAACAACAAGGAGGACTTTTCGGTGGATGCCATTGCAGCCCGTTTGAAGACCAATGGTGCCAATAAGTGTGTTGTGTACAACACCAAAGCGGAGTCATCGGATTGGCACGATTTGAACCAGGCTAAACAAGAAATGTGTCGCCGATTCGATCATGACGTGCACGCTATTATCTCAATCACCTCCAAGTTCTGGTTCTATCGCGTGGCAGCTTTTGATTTCTTGATCCCAGTGGTGACTCCAGACTGGGTCCAGGCCTGTGTGTCCACCAAAAGAATCACTAGAGCCAGTGGATTTTCCCCGGATCCCGCTTACGTTCTTAAGAACTGCCAGATATACATCTCACGCCATTCCTTCAATTCCAGTGAATATGAACTGTACTCTGCTCTTCTGCGATCTGTGGGTGCGCTCTGCATAGACTATTTGTCCAGTAAAGCCAGTCACATACTCACTAAAGATGCTCAGGATCCAGCTATTGCAGCTGTGGCTAATATTGAGGGCCTTAACATCAAATATGTATTACCAACCTGGGCGGTCCAAATATTCATGACGGGAAAATACATCAATGAGGAAGGCCATATTTTAGACCCCAAAAGTCGCCCAGCTGATGTACAAACACAACTGTCCAACTCATGGAAACGTATGGAAACTGTTGGGTTTCAGCCAACTGTCAGGTTCTTACAAAATCATAAAATTTTCCTGTCGCTAGATCTAACTCTGCCGTCGCAGTCTTATAATTTCTTGATCGACCTGATCCAAGCTGCTGGTGGAGATGTTGTTCGCCACATACAAGCTAAGGACATACGATACAGCTCTGGAGATTGTTTTGTGGGTCAGTCATGGAATTCAGAAGAGTGTCATGAAGCCAGTAGGGAGAATTTATACATTGGTAATATCTTATGGATATTGCAAATGTGGTCATTGGGCAGCTTCGTCAATCCCAGTGAGAAGCTGCTACTTTCTCCGCTGCGACCACGGGTTTTCAAAAAGGATGAGCTCATTCTTGGCTACACCACTTACCTAGGACAACAACGAAATTATATCCAGAAACTAGTCGACGCACTTGGCGGTGTCAGTACCACAGAATTTACGAAGAAAAATACGCACCTGTTGACGTGCTTTCCTTTCGGACAGAAGTACGAGGCTGCAATAAGATGGAAGGATTCATGCAAAATTGTTAATCACCTCTGGCTCGAGGATTGTTACCGATACCAAAAACAAATGTCAGTTGATGATACTAAATACACAGAGCTCCCGGTTCATGGCGGCCTTTCGGCGCGCTTAGGGCAGATGCCTTTGTCAACTCCAACGCATGATACATTTGATGACGACCCAGCAGATACCATTATACCCCAAGAGCTGATTACCGACGGTTCATTTAAGGAGCCCTTCTCACCAGAAGAATATCACAATACCGCCTTGGAGATGGATGCTCCGGTCGACACAGAGGACCATGCTATAAGCGTCATCAATGCCAAAGATACAACTGATCTTTCGAATGGAACGCACCGAGAGCGCACACCGGAAACAGATCACTCCGAGATATTCCAAATACAGCATGACTCTGATGTCATATCAGAGCTCCCAGCATCGAAACCGGTCGACGCTATCGTCACGATAGCACAAAGTGATGTTGAGGCGAGGAGAGGCCACAGCGAGCAAGAAAGAACATCAACGCCTGAAGTGGATCTGGAGATTGAAGGTCCGAATTCACCGGTTGGAGAGCAGTCACCACTATTAGCTGGGTCTGTCGATGCCACGCAATCGCGACAAGGCGTAAGTTCTTCGTTAGCATCAGAAATGCAGTCACAGCTACCCTCCAGCACCAATTCCCGCCGAGCGAAGGAAAAGGCTGTGATGAAGCTCCACACAGATATGGAAGCCCTGAACGAGTTTCAGCAAAACCTGAAAAGAAAAAAAAGCGGGTCTCTTCTGCCCGAAGAACTGCAAAGACTCAAGCAATTGAAGGTAATGGAGGACAGAGTGCGACATTTATTAGAGAATGCAGACACCCCAGAAAAGCCCAAAGGAAGAGGCAAGCGGCCCTACGATATTGTGGCAGTTTGCACAGGTTGTCACGAGGCGATTGATGACTTGGACTTGGAGCTACTGAAAATGCTTGGTATCACAATCGCCAATACCATAACCCCTCAATGCAATACGATCATTGCCCCAAAGAAGCTCAGAACACCCAAGTTCTTGACAAGTTTGAGTTTTCACCCGCTGAAGTACGCGCTTCTTCCCGAGTTTTTAACATCGGTCATAACACTTGCTCGGGATGGCACCAGCGGGCATAAACTTCCCGAAACCGATCACTATGTTATTCCCGACCTAGGCAAAGAGATTTTAGAAAGGACGCATTTGCAAACAAAGGTATTCCAAAGGGCCGGGATCGTTTCCATCAATGTCACTGATGATGTGCCAGGAGGCCAAGACGTACTCTCATCAATTTTGATGGCACACGGCGTGCAGGATGTACACGTCTTACCCAAAAAATTCGCAGCAGAGGATATTCATGCGAACATCAACAAGAAGAAGAGTCCCACGCATATTTTAGTTGCACAAAAGGCAACGCAAGCCAAAAGATTTAGCAAGCTTTGCGCGGAACTTCAAGGTGAGAAACAAGTTATGGTTGTCGAATGGAACTGGTGCGTTGATAGTATCTTCAAACTTGACGCCGATTTTGGCTCGTCCAAATATGTTGTTTGCAGAAGCTAAACGCTTTTGAGTAGAGGCATTATTGATCTTCTTCATAACCATTTTGCATAGGTACATTTGAGTAATTCCAGGTGAGAAATGTTACGTAATTGATAAACTTTATACATTGAGTCCGGTCCACTCCTTCACCAAATGTGCAGCTTTGTCAAAAGTTCCCGAAACTGCCTTGGCTGTATTTTCTGTGAAAGTAACAGTCTTCTGTAGGCTGTTTTGACACTTAGTATAAAGGCTTAGTTGATGTGCAGCAACGGAGGGGAAAGCCTGTTTCTCGAGGTCGAACAGCAAGCTGAAAGTGTTGGAGGCGGTCGTGGGGAGGACGTACGAGTAGCATAGTGTCCCAAGCACTAAAGGTGCTGTCAACCTTGCCAACACGTTTTTGTTTCTTGTGAGCACCGAACCAGACATTGCTGCTACCAAAGTATACGTCAGGCCAGGAAGCAATTCTTCTCTTGGGTCGGAATGCAGGTTTGCAACGGTAGTCGTGAGTCGTTTTTCATGGTGGTAATATTTACTGGATTTTTCATCTATCGTAGCACCCACTTTGCTTACGGTGCTGGCCAAACTTGTCCGCCACAGATTGAACCAACTCGTCAGATAAACTGGAGATCTTACCGAAATGCCATCCAGCAACTGGTTATCGCCAATTATTTCTGTTGCACGCTCGCTGAAAGAGCCTTTCCCATCGTGCGATGGTGCTGCTTCTTTAGCATCAGAGGAAAGTACAGAGCCTGTTTCGGGTGGAACAACAGACTCACCTACAAAATCGATAGGCCTGTAAAACTTGGGAGCCATTTGAATCGGATTCAGTGCAGAAGTGGTACGGACGAGAAGCGTGCGAGTGACGGACTCTTGATGTCATGATTTCAAATAAGTTCAAGTTTCTACTGGTCTAATTTGACCAATGAATATCCAATCTATAACACGTGAGAATCATATGATATAGAAAATCCAATTTTATTTCCTCACATGATAAAAACCCACACACCAAAACATGTGACTTGCTGCTTACATAAGTGAAATAAAACCCAGACATTTTCATTATTACATGTGACTTGAGAGTAGACGAGCTTTTACAGGAATAAAGGACTATGCTTTACTACTTTATTCATATTCAGGTGAACAACCAGTCTGTAATCTCAAGAAGCATTACGAAATATATGCGATTCATTGCCCTGTCATTCAGTCGTTAAGTAAAGAATCTACGTACGTAGTGAATACGGTCGTGAGCTGTAGCAACCTCACATTATAGAGGACATCATTATGGTGTTAGCTTCCTCTACAAGTTTTCTGTATTGCTCGTCATTGGCGTATCTGTTGCGACCCCGGATGTGCCAAGCTGCGATCGGAATATCGCCAACACCAGCTAGTGCACCCAAATCTTCGCTAGACCTCAGTAGGTTTATTGCAGCTTCCGATGCGCTAACGGCCGGGTGCTCTACGCTCGATGTCCTTTCCTCCAATAGCTTGACCTTGGAGCCGAGTGCATTGATTTCGTTGAGCTCCTGCTTCCTTATATGAGGAAGATAGTAGGATCTCAAGTACATGGTGGGAACGGCCGCCCCGCAAATGATCCCGTAGAACAGCATTCTCATCCGGGGCATCAGTGCCAACCGGTGTGCTTCTTGGTATATTTTTGAATCTAATTTCATTTCTGAGATTGTAGTAAATGATTATTCTTTCGACAGTGGAGACAGACGATAGACTGTAAGAGTATCTTCGTTGGCAACGTTGTTCCGCACCAACACATCATGATTTATACCAAACTTCTCATGGGGTATTCACCTCCCTGCCACTTCACTACGTGACAGTCAGATTTGGAGTATTAGTATGAAAGCAACCTTCTTGGGAAAATCTTTAGGGAGCTAGTGGCTTCCATTAAACTTTTGCGATTCAGTGAGCCTTGATACTGGGATGCAAGGGTACCACTCGTACCCCTGTCCGTGTCAAATGCAAATGCAGCTTAACAATGGGGAAGGTCATGTGACAAGGAATCAACAGGCACTTTTTTAATTTGATCGTGAAAGGCAACTTAAACTCCGAACGAGATATGAGTTCCTCTTAACAACCACCAGAAAAACAAACAACAACATGTCACGGACAGCAGATTCAATTCTGGTGGAAACGGTAAAAACTCCCACAAATTCTACTTCCCGAAACCAATTTTTCGAAAGAAATCCGAGACCTTTCCGCCCTTTTTCTTATTTTCCGTGACGGGGACGGTATCGACACTCTTGGCACGCCTGCCACTGGGCCGCTTCTTTCCTAAAGATGACTTGCCATTGCCATTACTGTGGGTTGAAATAGTCGACTTCGTTTTTTTCGCGCTGCCACCATCCTTCTCATCATAATCTATCAAAGATTTGACCTTGTACATGCCACTACCGTCGTTGGAAGCAAATTGTATCCTGGAACTACGCCGGCTAGACTTTGAGCTTGCAAAAGAAGTTTGCTTGGATAAGTCGCCCTCCCGACGAGTTGGGACAGGTCTCAAGTAGCCGACGGTTTCAAATTCTATCGTTTTGCGCTTCGTCTCGGGATCCACGGGAAAATAAGAGTCTACACTGGAAGTATCAGCGTCTTTCTGGGATAAAGTGGTGCCGCTTGCGGGACCGTACGGATTGGAAAAAGTCCGGGATAAAATTTTGTCCATATTTTTCATGAGTTGGTCATCTGTCATCCCTGGCTGAAACAGTATATTTTTTCTAGCTGCCCCCGTCTTCTCACCCAACAACGCCGGGTCGATAAACTCATACGGAATCACATAAGTTGGGACCCAGAAATGCCGCATCAAAAAGTTCGGTAGCTTTACGTGTCCATTTTTGAATTTAATGTGCAGATTGGTGCTCACAGTGCTGACGACCTTGAAATCAGGCCGATATAAAGCGATTGCGGACGTCAGAGCATAAGTGGTAGAATTATCCTTGATCAGCTCTACAGTAACCTTCATCATTTTTCCTTCAAGTCGGCTAAGGTAGTATTGCAGGAGGTCACGACATTTTTCGCGTGCCAAAACATCTATCTCCATTCCGATCAATTCGACCTCGGATGAACTTGGTCTTCTACTAGCCACAGGACTCTTGGATTTGTGACTGTCAAAGTCGTATCCATCAAGGAATGTGGTTTGAGAGGTAGTTTTTGGCTTTTCTATATCCTCAAATTGGGGCACCCTTGTGACGATTACCAAATGGTCGCCATCTTGAGCAAGGTTTTTCACATACCAATCGACTGCAGACCAAGTGTGCCGTCTACCGGATATAGCACATAGTATAGTTCTGAGAGACTCCTTACCCTCTGTTCGCCTATTGTCTTTGACGAAAGTCAAGAAATCACGATGCATCTTAGTCACCGTTAAGGCCTTGTGATTCACACAGGGTCTGGAAGGATATATTGTATGTGGCCACTGGTTACCGGGACCTATGGGCTTGGAGTGGTCAGGCTCAATGTAAAGTTGTTCCTGTTGACTGAAATCAAATTGTTTTATATCATAATTGGTTCTCGAAGCCGCCTCGTATTTCTTTTCAAGGTCTGCAAGTTCCGCATCGCTCATACCAGCGAAGCTTTTTCTTGACGATTTGGAAGTATTTCCACGACTCTTGTAATCATCACGCATAATCTTATCCTCTAGTTCGTTTAAATTCGCAAATGCGGACGTTGTGTAACCGTGAGAACAACCAGAATTTTCTTGCGTGTTTTTGTCGGTCACAGTGTTTATTTGATGTTCCTGTTTAGGGTCCAACTCGGTCAGATCGAAATCTTTGATGTCTTCATGCGTGGGAAACTCCCGCTTACGCAAAATAGAACGCGCGGTCGCTACAGGAAGCGCTCTCTCCCCTGGCGTACTAGAGCCACTATTGGTGGACGGTACCTCGGATGTTGGGGATCGCAGCCCTGATGAAAGGCCTCCCTTCGCGTTAAGCGCGTACGAACTGGAACCTCGAGATGAGCTCTTAAAGCTGCTGGAAAGATCCAAGTTCGACAAACTCTGACGGCCCGCACGATCGAGGGATGTAATGTCTGGGACCTGTAGAAACGGATTCTTGAATGTTACATCCGGACTACCTCTATTGTGAATTGGGAATGGGTGGGTTTCTTCGAAGAAAGAGGGAGCCAGGTCATCGAACGAAACGTGATTCACGTAATCATTGAACGCCCTAGCCATCGTGTTTTCGTACTGCAGCTAGCTTTGACCTGGATTTTTTGGCCACGTTTGCTTGGGCTTTTCTATAACTAAGAATCACTCTAAATGTCTTGCTTATACGGGATCAATCGGAAAATTGCAAGATTCTTAGTGACACACTTTGAAGACCGTTTTCCGAGTGGTTTTTTAACCTTATTTTTTTTTTCTCAAAATCCTGGAAGTCCTCGCCCCTATTGCAAGCTGTGATATTTCAAATCTTCTTTTAGACTAACGAGTCCAATTTTCTTAATTGGCAGCGACAGCTCAACTTAAACCTCTGTACTTTTCGTTTTTTGAGCCCCCTTTCTCGAGCCTGAGCCAACAAATTTAAAGGGCCTGAATTTTCTAGTGTGCAAAGAGAACTCCAGCCTATTTCTCGCTTTTATCGACCTTGACAAGCGTATGCCTCAATTTCTGCTTGGATGCTAGCCAGACAAGTTTTCGAGCGCGCTTCTTCTCCCACTGATATGTATCCCACTCTGGCATACCATTCTAATCCCTCACATATATATATATATATATATACGTCTAATTACATACATATTTTCAATATAGTGGCCATTCAGGGTCCACGTCGCCGTGCACGAGTTTCCACACCCCAAAAAAAACCAGGTCACAAGCACTACCAAATTGTTGTCGTGGTGATTCAAAAACAGGGTAAAAACCCAAAGAGAGGTGGCAAAAATCAAATAGTAGCTTTTAGCGGGAAAAGAAGTCTCTTATGGTGTTTTTAACTGCCATTTTCGAGTCCAGATGAGCTTTTTAACCCCATATCGACTTCAAATATGAGTTTTTTGTTGTTTTGTGTTTTTACGTAGTAAAAAAAGTGGTGTTTAAAGGAAAGAGTTCTTTTCAGCGGCTAAAAAAATATTTATATGTATATTGTAATAGTACATGTATACAAGACAAAAACAAGTTCAAACGAAAGTAGACGCTAAAGCGTTAGATAGAACAGAGTGAATTAGTGCCAAAACCTCTGGGAAACTTTGCAAATATCTTTGAGAGAGGAAGCCCTGCAGCGTTGATTCTACTGCCATGGATGGATCTATCGTGTGTATAAGCGAGTTTATAAGTAAATACAAGATCCAAGAAGAAGTGTATGCTCGTTTTTTGCCCTGTGAACGAGATGTATATGTCGCGTCGCAGGAGGTGTTCGAGCGTTTTCGCGACTCAAGGAAAAGACGAGCATTTGATGATTTAGAAAACCATCCAATGGGCAAGAAGTCAAATCTAGAAGGATGCGCTTTGAGTACGCAAATCGAACATCTGAGTGCAACCCTTGATACTCAAGTTTCGTCATTGTCGGTTTCCAAATTTTTTGACAAATCGGTCCCAGACACTTCCTTCGAAATTCTGGAATCGTCGTTCTTGCTTTGTTCCGATGAAATGGCTGCTCAAGACATCAGCGATGTGCAGATTATACAAAGCAGCGAGTTTCAGCCTCTAGACTCAGAGTTTAGTAGTCCGCCTCGCAAATGAGAGAATCGAGAGGGCTGCAAGACTCTGTGAAAGAGACTTACTTTATCTCGGTGCGCGTTCAAGTGCAAATGCATAAATATATACATATATGTTACATAGTCTTCCAAAGTCAATTAATCTTCCTCATCTTCAAAATTCAGCAACTTTTTCTTCAACTCCATCAAATTATCGTTAAGAGAATCTCTTTCTTGCTTTATAATGAACAGCTCTGCCTTCAAGTCTTTGATTTTTAAGCGGTACGGAGCGTCACGCATGTCGTTCCTCGTTTCCGAGCCCGGCGCGCCCCCTCCGACGCTCAAGATAGAGTCGTCATTAGACGTGAGACTTATGTCACGACGATCCGTGGACTTATACTTGAGTTCTTCCAGCTCGTCGGTTAGCTGCTTGTTTTCCTGCTTGAACTTGTTGAGTTCGGCCTGAGACAACTCCAGTGCCCTGCTCGCATAGTTTACCGAATTCACACTACTCTCATAGTTGTGTTCAAGGTTCCTGACGGTGGTCGCGAGTTCGTCATTCTTATCTTGGAGGTCTTTACACGATTGTGAGAGTTCTCTCTTTGACTTTTCGATCTCCTCTTTTTCAACAGTCAATTTCTCCAGATTCGACTTAAGATCGTTGATGAGTTTTTGATGGTGGTCGGAAATTAAAGTGCCCCTCTCTCCTTGATCTCCTTTCTTCGTCAGTGCCAGAAAATCAGTCAGCTGCACGTTGTATTGTTCAACAGTCGAATGTAAGCTCTTTGCTTGCTCTCGATCTTGTGCTTTCAACGCTTCATGGCTCTTAAGCAGTTGCTCATATTTCAAAGCCAATTCGTCATGTTTTTCTTTGAAAGTCTGTTCTTCATCGAATGTGCTCAGCTTGTTACTTTGGTCTTGTATGATATCGTGCAAACGGGCCACATCCAAAAACTTCTTGGATAGAAGATCCTCTACTTCAATCACTCTATCCTCATGAGCTTTTTTATCAACCACTGCGATGTCGTAATCTGTTTGCAATCTAACAAGACGTGTTCCGACATTATCGCTCTCCTTGAGTTTTCCATTCTCGATCTCCAGCTCTCTTATCCGTTCACTCGCGGATTGCGCACTTTTTTGAGCTTCCGACCTCAATTCCCCGAGCTCTAGTTTTAGAGCATTAATCATGTCCTTCGTCACATTGGTAACTGGTCCCTGAGACCCTTTTCCGCTTGGCGAATAAGTGTTGTTTTTATAATTAGAATCTGAGACGGTGCTTTTGAAGTCCTCGCTTTTTGGGGTCAAGTCTTCTGGAATAATACGATTAGGCAGATTCTCAAGCGTTTCATTTTCAGGTATTATGCTTTCTCTAATGACAGGCCGAGAGGGGGAATTTCCAATCAGCGCAACACCATACTCTTCACTCGTGTCGTTGCTCAATTGACTGTCATGCCCCCTTGAAGTATTGAGATCTGAGTCGTTACCAGAGCTCAACGACACCACTCGTGGAGGAGGACTCTGAGCACCATTCCACTGGCTTGTTTTCAGTTGTGGAATCGGGGAAGTAGGCTTCTTGATTTCCTGTGCAGCGTGCAAACCTCTGGATTCCTGCTGACTGTCTTCTGGAATTGGGGGTGCCATATCTCTTACGTTACTTGGCGAAGTGTGATTTTCCGCATTAACGAAAGCACCTTGCTCGGTTTTGGGCGTTTGATATCTCTCGCTGAAAGGAGTGAGAATATTTTGTTGTTGATTGGGTGCTGTACGATTGTTGGCTGAGGGAGATGTCGGCTCTCGAGCTTTTCGAGAAGCGTCCTGAAAATTTGAGTCAAAAATACCGGGAATGTTTTCTTTGAGCCGAGTCAGGTCCAAAGAATAAAGAATTGTTCCGCAGTTCATGTCTACCTCAGAAGTGTGGAGATCTTTGGGGTCAGGTCTAGCATAATCGAACTTGTCTCCGCCCATAATCAAGAGCTTATGATTAGGTAGTAACGTCAAAGAGTGGCCCGAGCGCCCCTGAGGAATTGCCATTTTATATGTCGGCAACTTGAACCACTTTAAAGAAATCAGATTCAGGAAGTACACGTCGTTGGAGTAGGCGTCCTGTTCGTCTTTACCTCCAACTACGCACATGAGGTCGCCATAAAGTATAGCAGCGTGTTCTTGCACTGGAGGAGGCTTTTCTCCAGTTGTCTGAACGACTCTCCAGTCATTGATTTGCGGGTCAAACAGGAAAAGATCGTTTCTAAGACCCTGAGGCGTATCACCACCGAAAACCCAAAGTTTGAAGTCATATGAAATCATTGTGTGATTCGTCAATGGCGGTGGAATGAAAGTGTTGGGTTTGATAAATTGCCAATGCGAATCTGGACGCCGAAATGATGACAGGTCAAAAACGGCCAAGTCGTTGAAGTAGGTGTCATCGAATTGACCGCCAAAGACGTATAGTTTTGTCTTTAGCTGAGAAGTAGCAATGACGCTTATTTTGTGCCCGTATCTGCCAAGTGGTCTTGGACCTACAGGTTTGGGAATCGTCCATTTGTAGGAGTTGACATTGAAAAGGTAAATGTCGTCATCCATGAGTCCTTCGCTGTTTACCTTGTGAGTGTCACCTCCAAAGGTGACAAAGGCGTTACCACAAAGGGTTGAAGCATGCCCTACACGAGGAGGGGGTGTAGAGTCAGTTATTTCTATGGTTCTAGAAGAGAATTTTGTGCCTTCTTCGAGAGCAGAGAGTATCCAGGTGTCTCCATAAACTGATTGATCGTGAAGACCACCAATGACGAAAATCTGGTTTTGTTCGGATGTATATGCCGATGCGACATGGCGGTAGCGAGGAAAAGGAGAGTTGGGTAGCTTTATTCTCAGCCAGGGCGTGTATTCAGCCTGTTGCAGCGCCGAAGCACTAGATACATTTCTTTGTTGGGCGGGAACAGGAGTAGGAAAGATTCGCATGGCGCCGGGCTCCGGAACATTTGAGACGGGCCGTTTGCCACTTTGCACAAACCGCTTTGGATTGTGTGGTGGGATTGTTGGCTGCTTAGCCGAAGCGACTGGCGAAGTTGATGTACTTGTTACAGGTTCCTGTTTGGCCTTGTCTTTGGTGCTTTTTTTCACGAATTTGAAAGGCGCCATGATGGGGCTCTTGGACACTAGGGCTAGCGTAGTTAAAGTCACCCGACAGCTGGTAATCCGGCAAACAAGGCCCTCTTTTCAGTAGTTGATGGTGTTGTTGTGGTAAAACGGGTTTACAATGCTATTATTGATCTGAAAGACTTGTAAAATGATAATTACAAGTCACGTGATCAGATGAAGTCTCGAGTGCGTGAAGTCCACGAGAGAGCATAGTAATGAGTTCACACACAACTTCGAACTGATTCGGCTTCGGTGCGCTCTCTATCAGGTCTAAGCATCAGTTTCAATGTCTTGCTATGCTTTGTTGAATTGATAAATTCACCATTCCGTCAAAATGTTACTGACAATTCCGATCATTTATCTATAATTTTTCAAGAAAGTACTTGAGTCGTAACGGAAGGAAAAAATACTATCAGCTGAGGGAGGAAGGTTTGCCAGTAATAATCTCTTTCTGTTCTCTGTTGTTTTTTTTTTTTTTTCAATTACTGGTTCAAGTGCTTTGAAGACAGGCTAAAAACGTGAATGGTGCAATAACTTGGAATAAATGCTGACAAAATAGCCACTAAAACCGGCACTTTATTGTGACCAAAGTGGCGTGGTTTTTATGGCTTGCTGACGTTCAAGTTTTGTAGCTTTTCGCTAACGTGTTGAATGTGTCATCTGGTGCAATCATGTCGAACGAATAAGGCATCTGGCTAGATCCATTCAAGCTTTCTGTCTATCGTCTGACAACTTCAATGCGTTCTGTTGTTTGAAGCTCAGGGTCTTTTCCCGTCTTACATAACTTCAGATTTTGCGGCCCGGAATGGGATCGTGGGTTAGCGAGAACACGAAATCGCGATAATAGTAGCAATGAACAAATAACCTTTTTGACACAATTGTGAAAACTTGTGTGAGGCCTTCAAGCCATTATGCCGTTCATAGTCATTTCTTATTTGCTGGGCCGAGCTTTGCAGTGTAACACTTTATCATGGGCTTATTTCCCCTCGTGCGCGACTCAGATCAAACTTCAAAACTGTGAGTGCTAGCTTAGTCGTCTTTCCTCAGAGCAGTATGAAATGTCATTTTGTACTGCTCTGTCCTGTGTCGCCCAGCCTGTCTGTAATCACCAACCTGCATGTAGAGCTGTAATCAAGCAATGACTGTGCCCTCAGTCAACACTTCTTTCAATGCAAGAACTTTTGGAATATCAAAGAATCGGTATCTTTCTCTTCAAGTGCCAGACTCTGTTAATGAAGTTGAAGAGCTAAAAAGGCAACTGGAAGTGATGTCCCAAACCATCATCTGATCCATTCTCAAAGGCCAGCCAGCCAAATGCAACTACAAAAAGTTCTTGAGTTAATCGTTTAATTCAATAGTGAGAGTTTCAAGTCCACAGACCATAGTCATTCTTTGATGAGCGTAGTATTGGTCCTCTTTAAATATTGAACGCTACTGACACGGTAGAAAGCTACAAAAAAAAAACCAAAAGATTCCTAGCTTCCAGTCATTTACTGAACAATCCCAATCCCATTCTCTTGGACAAAATCAAACTCCTCTTCAAGAACCTCTCTTCAAGCTGGTTCTTTCTGTTCGTTATATGTATATATTATATTCTTATATATAGATAATTAAGATGAATATATCGATTTATCTGAACCTACCTTCATTGTACCATCGTAATCGCCAACTTGACGCTGATTATGAGCAGTCTTGACAGCTTTATCGAGGACAATGACAAGAGGGCATTGATAGATACCAGCTCGAAACTCAAGAGCGACGACGTGAAGGTTTCTGCAGCGAGCAAGGACTCTCCAAGAGGGCAAACAATAACCACACCGAATAGCACGAAGAGCATGAGAGTGCACCCTCAGATAAGCCCGGCAAGCCCTAGCAATCAGGAACATCCATTGAGAGACGTGTCTCCTCGTCTAGCGGGCAAGACAAAGCTTCCTCGCTCCAACACAGTAAAACGTCTCTCATTGATCCAGCCAGTCGTTTCTCCCCTTTCCACACCACAAGAAAACAGACAGACAGCTCGTTTGAACACAAGAAGACGGTCTCAAAGTACCATTTCGGATCATTCCCGTAGCAGCAGCGGGACTTCAGAACTTCATCCACAAACTGAAGTGGGCGCTGTCAGCGTCAATTCGTTACTGCAGTTGCTGGCCAGCAAAGAACTTGAGCTTTTGGAAACCAAGCGCAAAATAGAGGAACTCAGACGTGGATTGGGTCACGAAGAAGCACAGCTACAGCTCCAGGCCCAACAACTTCAAGACCTGAAAAATCAGGTCGGTAGAACCGTATACGCCGGGGTCGATGATCACAAAAACATGAGAAACAGCAGAAAAGCCCCAAATACTTCGAATCCTCCGCAACAAGCATCAGTCCACCCATCAGTAGCCGAAGACTCGTCACATTCCATGGCTAATAAGGAGTCTATGTGGTCAAAGCCACTAACGTTTTTCAATCAATTCGATCAACTGATTCAACATGAACTAGAGAAGAAACTGCATTGGGATGAAGTTCCCTCACCGACGCAAACGCCAGTTCGAGAAGCAGAGTCTGGAGTCAAACCTTCTGAGGATGTGCTTGGAAACGTGTCCTCGTCACTTTGGAGTTTCGTCAGCGATGTAAAAACAGGTTTAATGGGCATTAACGAAGAACCCACATCACAAGATTCCCAACAGCGTCCCGGAGACGCCAGTCCGCTCGTGTTTGTGGAAAAGGAAACGGAACTTGAAGATCTGCATGATAAGAAAAGCGAATGATGTATTATTATTATTATTATTATTAGCACAGAACCGGTATAAGCAGTTATAAATTTACAGGGTTGGATGAGGTTTATTCTTTTCAAAAGTTTCGTAGAAATCGTAAGCGGGGAAAATGGAAACTGCTTCACACACCCAAGGTGGCATCAGAGACAGGGAAATACTCATTCCCCACAAGCTCTCCCGTACTGGGCGAAAAAAGATGGGTGTACTTCTGGTTGTTCCTGTCGTCAGTCTTTAAAGTGACCACACCATCGCTTATATTGCGTATGAGTCCCATAAACTTAGAGTTTTGGAACTTAGATTCTAGTTGGGGTGGAGTCTCCGTTCCTGGGGAAAATCGGTTGTTTATTTCAGAAGCAGCCTGTTGAAACTTGAGTTGCTCATGCGAAAGAGAAGCAGATTCGGTGAAAGAAGCGGGTTCTTCGCCTAGCTCGCTTTCAAGCTTGTCGAACTCTTGAGCAAACATGTTTTTTTCCAGGGTTGTTATATCGCTCTGAGTAGAGGCACCAGAAGTTGATGCATAAAATGCTTGCTCTTGCGCGAGTGTGGGCCGATACACGGGTATGGGCTGTTGCAGGGCAAATGGGGTATTTGCCGATGCAAGAGGCTGATAATGCTGTGGTTGTTGCTGTGGTTGTGGTGGTTGTTGGGAAGTTTCGTATTGCTTGTACAGCTGCTGGTACTCGTTTGTGAAGCTCAGAGGGTCGTGAAGTTGCATGCGTGAAAATTGGTCTGCCCAGGACTGAGTGTCTTGACCGATGTGCTGAGCTTGTGGCGGTGGTATTCCTTGGATTACATGGGAGCCACTAGGAGGTTCTAGGAAGCGATTAGGACGGCCGTTGCTATCAAAACCGGCCTTTTCCTGTGGTCTTGACCGCGAAGCATTTGAATGAAAGTTTGGATTCTGAGTGAAAGCTTTAGTGGCAGCGGGAAACTGATCTGTTTTTGACACCAGCCGAGCCAGTGCGGATGGTTGGCAAGCAGACATTATGTTGAGTGCTCTAACAGACTAAGAAAGTGTACGTTGTTTAATGTCTTTCAACACTTGTAAAGTGTCTTATTTTTATTATCTTTGATGGTGCTGAAATTTTCGATGCTTGGCGAAACAGAAAGGAATAGAAACGCCAACTGTTAGAGCCCACAAAGGAAACAAAGAAGATTAGTTAATTTTTAGCTGTTCAAATAATCTTTTTGATCGAAGTAAGAGACAGACTTTTGGTATTTCGAAGTCAAAATCTAGTTTCAAAGTCAATACAACGTATTTCAAATTTTGAAGTAGAGAAGTGGGTTGGTGTTAAAACGTCAAGTTTCTTCCCCGCTCTTTTTATAAGCCCGGAATATGGAATGATTGAAAAATTATCATTACAGCTCATCGCATCACGTGACTCTCGGTGGTAACGGAGAGTCACGTTAAAAGGTTCTCGGACGAAATGTTAAAGGATCATTGATAGATTGGGTGATTATAGACTGATAATAAGGTTTGATCTGTGGTGATTAATGGGTGCTGAACCACTTCCCAATTCAGATACTCGTCGTATGAATTTAGTCAATAACAATCCTGCTTGGTTTTCGATGTCAAATCTATTTTCGTTCTGAATGCGTTAGTGAGAAATCGAGATCAAATACAGATAAAGCTTTATGTGTATGTATGAGGGCTGCTCTAAATGATAGGGTGTGCTTTCGAAAAGATGTGCTTTCGAAAAGATGTGTGTGTGTGAGTCAGTTTCAGATCACTTTGTCCATATTGTGTCGCTGGTGCTTAACTCCGAAAATTTATTTTTTGGTCTAATGGAAGAGAGATGGTGTGGTTTCGAGACGGGATTGCTGGGGGTGTTATTATTAATATCTAATGTTTAATGATGAGTGATGGTTTGTTCGTTGTTGAAGTTGTGGTTAGATGCATTGCATGATACTTTTAACCGCACGGCTCTTGTTTTCGAGCTTGACGGCATTCGCAGTGTGTTAAATTTCACTGACTGTGGGGTGTGGGAAAGGAAACTAGAAAAAGGATCACGTGATTGATTTGAATAAAACGATATAGAGTGACGAGAGAGAGAGAGAGAGAGTTGGTAGTAGAGGATACAGGGTCCTGGGTATAGATGATTTCTCATGTATTTTTCATTTTCCAACCTTTTTCAAGACTGTTGAGACATGGCAGCAACTCCGTAGGCTGTGATTATCTAAAACATTTCATTGTCGCTCGATTCAATTAAAAAAATTCAGCCTCACTGAAATCAATAGACGACGAATATCACCCTTTTTCAATCACACTATCATGTTAATCAACAAGCTGTCACTTTCTCTTTCCAGCCCAGCTCTGCGCTTTGTAAATATCAGTTTTCACTCATTTGCGTCAGAATGGTACAAAGTGATCTCTCTTTCTTTCTCTGTCCCCTGGTTTAAGGGTCCCTAGGTCATCGTTACCAGACAATGGTAATGGTCATTTGACGCCGTAAGATAAAAAGCCGAGCGTAACACCTTCCGTGAAACTTTAGGTGAAACTTTTAGTGAAACTAGCAACTCATCGATGACCTTTCTCTCCAAAGCAAGTATAAATATCGAGCTTTTCTGTTCATTTACGTCCAAGTTTTTCAAACTGCCACTTCAGAACTTATCAAGATGATTATACTTGAAGAAAAGTCCATGTCCCAACCAGTTTCGAAAAATACCAAAGAAGAGAACGCCATGGCAAGTCTTTTGGATCTACCCATTGAGGTCGCGAAAATGATACTGGAACAACTGGCTTCAAACCCAAAGACTTCGGTAATGGACTACTACAACTGGCTTAAAGTCATTGGTGGATCAAGTGCGCTTATTAGTGGACTTCTTCGTGAAAAAGTTCATGTAGTCAATTTGGGTAAATCAACATCTGATTTTGTTCAGATGATAAGTGGCTCCAAAGTATTTGGCGACCCAAAAGACGTTATCCCAAGACATGTCAATCACGTTGTCATAGCCGCTGATGAAGAATTTCTCGATGGACAAACAACTCCAGATATGCCACAGCCGTACGGCACTATGAAAGTCTATCTGGCCTACCATTATACCGGTAACCGAATCAATCTCAAAGAAGTACACTCGAAATATGTCGACAAGTTTCCGTTCGGATGTCTGCGACCAAACCATATAATAGCCATCGCCAAAGATTCATTGGAACTATACATTGAAAAAGACGATGGTAACATGTTTGACCCTGATTTCTATCCAGGGGCACTGCCAGTTTTCATGAATATCACCTTTTTTAATGCCAGACACTTTTTCATTCACCACAGATGCCTCTCGGATTTCGCACAAATGAGACAAGGAAATTTTAGATGGAGTAGACTTGACAAGCATGGCGTTGTTTTCGAAAGGCTGGGAAAAATCTACCGCGAGAATGACGAATTATATCCAGTCGAGAAGAAAACGAAGACAGAACAATACACTTCCAATGGTTACCAGCGTGAAAGGCAGGTCGAGGTGATTGATCGAGGGGGATACGAGGAAGTGAGCAGTGAGCTTGCACTTCTCATGGGAAAATCATACATGAATGCTTATTTCTGCATATCCATGAGCTGTCCCCAACTCGAAGCTGTTTCTTTTTTTAAAGAAAAAGCTGACGAAACTGACCCTCATCTCAACACAATTGACCTCTACAGATTTTTGAAAAGCTCCTCGGATGTAACTTTACAAAAATTTCTCAATCTTCACTCGCTTCGAAACTGGCATCTGCCGTCAATCAGAGCCTTCAGTGGTCACAATCTTCTTTGGTATAGGGAGAACGAAAGCAGAGCCACGAAATATGCTGATGCTAAAAGTCTAATCCCCATGATCAGAGATCGAGTGCGAAGAGAAAGCCCCGATGGTCTCCCCCACGTAAATGCCCAGATACTTCCCGAAGGAGTTATAAACACAAAGGTGACAAATTGGGTGCCTTTAGATGTGGATTTTGTCAGCAACATGAAGAAGAACACTTCGCCATTGATATGTTTGCGACAGCCTTGTTTGAAGTCTTTGGAACTCGGATTACTGGTTTCAAAGCCCGAGGGGAGCCTCACGGTGGAGGGACTCTATCTACCACAGCTCGGTAAGCTCGGGTTATCTTTTGATACAGACTTAGTTCACAAATCGGTTCGAAACCCAATGTTCAACATCACATTTTCGGAATGGAATGATTTGAGAGGGTGTAGAATTTTCAATTGTGAATTGGATCAAGCCTACGAAGGTCACATAAACTTGCTCGTATCTAACTTGAGGAGCGCACTTCCAAGTCTGGATTCCAAAAAGGGATTCAAGGGCTTGCAGAAGCAGGAATCAATATCTTTTGCAAACAAGGATTTTGTGCTTGATGGATTAGAAAAAATTGAAATGTCAATTAACGATTAAAACCTTTTTTCACGCTGGCCCTGTCAAGCTTCTAGATTTCGTCGCCGCTATTTCAATCCGATGGTTTGATCTCTTTTCCCATAGAGCTACCGCATTGGTTAAATATAAGTTGAGGACTATATTCAATCGTTCCTCGAAAGTTTGTCAACTGTTATGCTCAGGATGTAATCTAAGACAGAAATCTGCAGCGGAGTTTACCTCTTCATTTTCTGTCCAAGCTGGCCGTTTGAAGATGTCTTATAGTTCACATCTCGAAAATTGATGTTTTATGAAGCTTATTATGCTACAAGAGATTTTTATATTCAATCAGGTCTATTTCGCAAGGGCTAGGTGTCGCTGAAAAGAATTACTATAATACCACTATACATGCACACAGATGGTGCGTTTTCCTGTAGAGTACACTTATTTGAAGTGAGTGTGTCTTTTATTTTTATTCTATTAAAGGGTATATATACTTGAATTTCCCTTGCGTTATGGGTTTTCTCACAATTCCACTGTGTACATCACGAATGGTTCATATTCTGTATCAACAATTGAGGCGTATTCGTGCAATGAACTGTCCTGCTTCTTTATCTTGCCTGCCTTATCCTTAGAAAAAGCGTTGCCACCTAAATAGCCAAATTCCTTGATAAGTTCGTTTTTACAACTTTCGAGGCTCTTGGGTGGAATAGCGATCAAACGAGTGTTGAAGTGAGGAGGCAAACCATACCGCAAGACACTCTCCACGTAAATCCGAAGAGCTTTAATGTGAAACCAATTCATGAACACATCTGAGTAGGCAGTTTTAGCCAAACGCACCAATTGAACACGCAAAGAGTGCTCCAGATGAGCTGCTGATTCGTGCTCTTTGGTCAACTGGTTTATAAGGTCCTCAGAGTAGTCGAAATCGCGAGGTACAAATTTCCTTTCGCGACAAGCACTGACAAACTCGTTCACCGACTTCTTGAAAAGATGAACGTTGAAAAGAGTGTACTCGTTGTCCTGCTTGAGAGCGTTTGCTGAGCAAGGAACGACGTTCTTAGCCATGGTCTCGTAGCTTTTCTCAAACTCGCTTTTCAAGCTTTTGGGAACTGCAACAAGAACAGTGGTGAGGTGGTCAGACCCCAAGACAAAGTCTTCAGGCTTCACGATGTCGTGCAAGGATCTGACCGATAAATCACCGGTTTTTTTGCGTTCTGCTGCGGCCAAGTTGGTTTTGGCATTGTTGTAATTGGTCGCAGTGGCTCTCACGTCTGCATCCAATTGAAATGACTCGTCAGCAATGTCGCTTATGAGCTCTTTAATAGATTTATCAAGTCTAAATTTGCGGGTCTGCCAATGAAAATTCTCCAGGTATTCCATTACAGGCACGTTACCAACAGGAAGAGTCTTATAGGCGTTTGTCTGCGCTTCGTTCAGGTTACCGAGCACTTCGACGATCTTTGCCACCGAGGTACCAATCTGAGAGTCGATTTTGGCCAATTCCTCCGATTGCAATACCAGAGTGTCGAGAGAGCCGATTTTGAATTCAGGAATCTTAAACTCCGAAACAAACGGTCTTCCGCCACATAGCTCTTCATGTAGCCACTTTTCAACGTTTGTACCTGGCGCAGAGCTTGGCTGGGCACTCAAAGGTAAGGATATGAGCACAAACTGGTTTGCAGTGTGCAATGTCGTTGCCATTTTGATATTTTTCTTGAACTCAAGATAAAACCACCAAAAAGATACTAAAAAATGAGCTTTGAAGACCAGGAAAAACCTCTTCAAATAAACAACAGTTCTATAGTAACAGTAGCGATCAATCACAAGAGCTTGAATGCTCTAACAAGATATCTTATACTTGTTCTCTCTAACTTAAACTACGGTTTAAACTACCCCTATGAGTTTTTCCGTAATTATATAAAAACAAATCGGTCACTGTATACGAAACCTCGCTTAGGACTCATCTTTTAAGATACGACAGGTGAGGTCGATCGTAGTCAAACTGGTGATCTCTTCCCTTCTATATCTTTGACTTTTAACTCACTCATAAGACAACTTCTGATAACGAATTAAAACTATTCTCATGATAATGTCATTTTCTTGATGTTTTGTCTAGATTTTTTTGAAAGTTCTTTTCCAGCGCTGCCACCAGTGTAGCCACGAAGTAATTAATCAAATTCATCATTATGGATGTCTGCCGGAGCAGTACACCGTTGGCAATCTGGAACACTTGGGTATGTTTCCTGATTGTAGTTTTTGAAACCACGCTAAATAATTAAGTAGTGTAAGCTATCTAAGAAATGCCGTCTATCCTAGGTTTAGTGCTTATTTCAACACCTTACCGTCAACAATCTCTTTTTCTTGACCGTCAACGACAACAGGCTTGTCCCAAGCCCACATGTTGTTGATGAACTCCTTGTCCTGGTCCTTGGAAGCGTCTAGCTTGGTGTAGGAGTAGGATTCCCAGTCTGGAGCGACGTCAAAGGCAGGGGCAAAGTCCTGGCCTCTTAGCATGACAGCACCGGTGATACCGTTGTTGTTGTTCTCACCGTAAACCACGAGACAGCCGAACATGTACTTGACGGAGCCACTTAGTCTGTTGAAGAAACCACCAACTTGGTTGTTGGACATGAAGGTCAAAGTCAACTCGTCGTTGTACTTGAAGTCGACCTTCCATAGAGAGTACTCCTCTGGGTTGTAGTGTTCCCAGAACCAAGGCAAAGCGACGGGTCTGGTGTCTTCGTTGGAGTACTTACGCTTCCAGTCGTCCAGACTGAAAGTGGACTTGCCAAGGGCTTCTAGAGGGTGCTTTGGCTTCTTTGGCTCAGCAGGGGGCTCCTCGGCCTTTGGCTTTTCAGCGGCCTTTGGCTTTTCGGCAGCCTTTGGCTTGTCAGCCTTCTTGGACTCCTTCTTTGGTGGCTGGTAGACCACGGATTTTTTCAAGAACTTGGAGGTGTCGAACACACCCTTTAGAATTGGGTGGTTCGAGACAGTCTTGTACCATCTGGCCACGGCTGGGAACTTGGCTCTGAAGTCGTCACCAACAACGAGGATGGAGATGAAGCTGTAGAAGCTGGCTAGAAGCAAGTCGGCAACAGTGACTTCCTCGGTGGCCAAGTAGGTGTATTCCTGGAGTCTCTTGTTGATTAGAGTGAGGGAGTTCTCGGCGTACTGCTTCTTCTCGTCAGAGATCTTCTTGTTGTACGAGGTCTCACCCAACTGCATGTAAGCGTAAGTTGCAAATGGCATGATCAACTCGGTGTTGATGAAGGAGAGGCTTCTCATAACCTGAGCCTTCTCCTCTAGGTTGGCACCGGCCAAAACGGCAGCAATCTTCTCATCGCCCTTCAATTCGATGACTAGTTGTCAAATTTTTTTGTTAGTATTCGAACCAAGCGAAAAATAATAAGCGTAATAGTAGTAATTCTCAAGCATCTTCTTCCAAAGTAAGACTCAGAGTAGAAATTCTCGACACAAGGAGCGTTAGCTTTAATGTTGCCCCATTCAGACAGGGATAACTGTATAATAAAAAAAGGTTTCTCATCATGCAAACGGTGTGGAAGAAGATCTAAAGAGACCTTTACTGTTCAACGCCCCAATCTCAAAACAGAAAAAAAAATCCAGAAAAAAGCTGGGAATACTCACAACATACAGTAGTAGACGATGGCCATGACCTCAGTTAGCTGGAACCCTTCTGGGCCCTTGAATCCTGGGATCAAACCCAATGGGAATTCCTTCTTGTAAGTTTCAACATTTTCGCTGACGTCGACAACGTTGATGTCCAAATCCAAGTATTTGGCCAAAGATTTGGTCAACAAACCTCTGCCGGTTGGCTTGATGTATAGAGTACCCTGAGACATCTTGATCAAGTTGAAAATTCTCTACAAACTCTCAACATCCAGAGAAAGGTTTTGGCAGAAGAACTCATCGCTGAAAAACTTTCCACCTTTATAATGGTGAAAAAAAATTGGAAAACTTGACGAAAACAGCAGGTAGACGAAAAAAAGGCTTGAAGAAAATTTTTGACCACGAGCAGTGAGTGAAAACCTACAATTTTGATTCTGCTAGGGCTTACCCGGTGTGTGGTACTCGTGGATCCTGGCGATGAGCTTAGGGTGTGAGCTTTCGGGTATCGATGAGAGGGATAGAAACACGACGGATTGTCGACTGCTCGCATTGGAATAAAGTCAATGGATTTTGAAGGATTGCGGGCTATTGTACCTAATCGTAGAAATGTAATTGGAACCGTATTATGATTCTATTTGCTCGATATGCATTATTTGAATTATTCAAAAATTTACGAAATCGTGTAAAAGACGAGTTAGATGAGCGGTCATATTCCAGTGGTTTCGAGTTAAAGGCAATTGCGGATCAGCCGGGTGTTCTGGCTCTTTTGATTCCTGCTTCATCTGTCTTGGTTTCTTGTTCTTGTCACTTCTGTTCTTGCTGACACGACCGGTCTTCGTTATAAATGAAAAATTTTAGGCGATGAGATGCGATGAGATGAGCTAGAACCCACAATCGTTCAAGAGCTCCAGTTGTGGAAGAAGGCCCTTTTCAATTCGAAAACAGTGTGGTAGTCAATCAACTGGCTTAAAACACCTCATATACTATGAGTAACTCTCTTGAAGAACGTCTGCGCATAAACTCCAGTGCCTTTGATGGCCTGCTGTCGCTAATACCGGCAAAGTACTACTATGACGATAAGACACAGGACCAGTGGAAACAGAAGAAAAAGAGTAAGGAGCAATCGAAGCTAGATAAACGCAGCAAACTAGATCCTGAGCTGCAAAACGAAGATTCAGCTTCAGCGCTAGATATCAAAGCTCAAAGAGAGATGAACGGGAAACCTGTCGTGCTTCCAGGCACCAAAGCGATTCCACAGACGAGCGACAGTGAGGAAGAAGTGGAGGAAGAGGAAGACCAAGCCGAAAGCAAATCAGAAGAAGAAGAAGAAGAAGAAGAAGAAGTGGTAAAACCACAGGTTTCCAACGTGAAAAAGTCCAACGTCACAACTAGTCAAGATGACACTAGCCCCAAGGTTTCAGAAGGCTCAAAAGTCGCATCAGAAGACGAAGATGCGATAGACGTGGTCTTCGACGATCAGGGCAACGAAGTGGGCGTCCAGAAAGACGTGTCTGTGAAACACGACGGTGACGCCCCAAAAGACGCTTCAAAACCCGACAGAAAACAAAACCTGGCTAAACTTCGTGCCAAACTGCAGGAGAAAATCCAATCGCTAAAGGAGAAACGTAAAGCTCCTGGATCCCTAGTAACAGGCGCCCCTAGCTCCCGAGAAGCCATTCTGGAGCAGCGCAAATGCAAACAAGAACAGAAACGGAAACGAGCCGAGCTGGACAAGGCCAAGCAGGACGAATCAAGCGAGAACGAGTCTTCAGACAGTGAGGACGATGAAGAAGATCAGATCAACTTGCAATCGAAAAAAAGAAAGACCAGCAACGGCGAGGATCTAACTGCAGATCTCATGTTCCAGAATATTGAATTCGACGACGGCGATAGAGCGACCTCTGATCTGCAGCGTCTGCGGAAAGCTGGTAACAAGAAGGGACCCGCAAAGAACGATATCAAGGCTCATCTGCATGCCTCGGAACAGAGACGTGCTAAACTAGAGGCTAAGGACGAGCTCGACCAGATAAAACAAAAGGAAAAAGAGAAATGGCAGCGTGCCATGCTACAAGCTGAAGGTGAAAAAATGAAAAACGACGAGAAACTGTTACGCAAAGCCCTGAAGCGAAAGGAAGCCAAGAAACGCAAATCTGCAGTCGAATGGCGCGAACGGAAGGAAACCGTTGCCACTGCTATTTCAGACAAACAAAAGAGACGCGAGGAAAACTTGCAGATACGGAAGGACAACAAGGGAAAGAAGAGATCTCACCAGGAGAAGATGAAGCGTGGAATAAAGGGCATAAGGCCCAAGCGGGCGGGTTTTGAAGGACGTCTCAAAAGCCAGAAGAAGCGTTAGACTCAATCGCACGATTGGGAGCTTTTATTAAAGAGCTACGTTTAATAGTATACTTGGAGTCACGATTTGATGTTTTTACCGATGCGACAGATTATTGGCATAAAAGTGAACGCATTTCGAGACCAGCCTGAAGAATCTAGCTTAAGGCGTAGGACGAAACATAAGCACACAACATAGAGCACGCAGTATCCTCATATAGAAGACTCATAGCTTCTAAACTCATTCAGCTCGGTTACTTCCGATGACATCGAAAAGATCACATGACGTGTGAGGTGCTCATCGCTTACGTAACGCTCGCTCATTTTAAATGAAAATACCATGAAAACCATCTACCGCTGTTATAGCTTTGTCGATGAGCTTATACTAACGTCGATCGCGAACATATCCACCTACAATCTGGTAGATGTGTTACTGATGAATCTTTCAACGCAGCTGAGGAGTAGTCTTAGATCCCCTGCTTTCGTTCGCTTCTACAGGAAGCGAATAAAGCCATCTACAAGTCATATACCACAGGTCAAAACCCATCAAAATGATCTGTTTAGGCCACAAGAACTAAAGATGCAAGCTGAGTCACCGGAGAAGGTAGAGAAGGAACTCAAGAGACTTGGTTTCAAAACTTTGGAGGAAACCAGATCTTCAGAGGAGTTGTTCCTGGACTACGTAAACTCATCATCATCATCTTCGTTTCCATTAAAAAAATCGCAGTCAAAGCTTGACGAGTTGGGAAAGAAAGCTGCAAATTCAATTGCTTGCCAAGATGTTAATGTGAACCGAATGGAGCTACTGTTCGATTTCATCTTAGAAGAGTCCGAACGTGAGATCGAACGACTGGAGAAAATAGGACCAATGCAAATGCAAAGGCTGCAAGAGAAACATCGCACAAACCAGCACGAGTTTGAAGGTGATAGAAGCAACCCACGCTCCGAAAAAGAACTGGAAAAGGCAGTTTTCCAGGATCTGGAAAGTGCCTCGAGATCAGAAAGCTCAACGTCTTTTATACCGGGTACTGAACGCATGTACAGGGTATTGTCAGATATCAACATGAGGAGATTGGCTTCAGCAGGTGTAATAAGCACTGACCAAATGGTTCGTGCATTTGAAGCAGCAAAAACGATACCCCTTCGCAACATTAGACTAAGAGGAATTTTGCTTGCGGGTCATTTGATTTACTCTCTTGAAAAAGTACGAATGGATCCTGTCAACGAATCATTTTACATCGAGGCCCTTGTATACTACGGGTTTTACAAAAAAGCATTAGAACTTTTCAATTCAAATCGTCAAAAGGTAAACCAGCGTTGGTGGTACGAAATGGGCATGATGATATGTTTGCGAGCTAACCACCTAGTACAGTTTGATAAACTGTTGAATCACACATTGAGCACATTTGATTCGAAATATGTTGCCCCAAGAATCTTACGAGCTGCCGTTCGCAAGAAACTGTACATTCGAGATTTCGCCGGCTCTGAAAAGTTAACGGGTATGTTTATAGACATCGCAAAAGCTAACGGATGGAGAAGCTCAAATATGGAGAAAAAGCGCATTGACCAGAACGTTTTCTTTGCAAATGAAGAGCAGGCAGATCTTTTTCTGAATAAGAAAGAATTGCCAACTGAATTAGACTATGTGGCGCTAATTCAGTATCATCTGTTTAGAAAACGCAAAGAAAGCGGGCTCCAACTACTGATTCAACTAGCTATGCTACCAAAAATGGACATCGAACTACTAACGAGTGTAATTTTGAGGCTGAAATTTCACTTGCTGGAGAATTTTGATGTCCTAAAAGGAGATCTCGAACCACTTCTCACCAACGGGACATCCATCGCTCTGTCCCACCTACAGGAGGCGTTTGATAGAGCTCAGCAAGCTAGTGGAATTGCCAGGCTACCACCGCAGTATAAGCACATTCTGTTCGACAGTACTGTACTAATCGCATCTTATCCATCTTTGGTAAAAAATGCCGAAGACTTCACAAATCAGCTATTGAATAGAGAAAGTACTTCGGAGCAAACAAGTTCCAGACGAGAATACTCACTGAAAATTCACAATGTTCTGAAAACACTTTTGAAGGATGATAAAGAAAGTTCTGCCTGGGATCTTTTAGAAAGAGTAGAAAAGTCTTTCCCAAGTGAGAAAGAAGCCAGTACTGACAACTCTGCAGCGAATGCCCATCATTATGCTGTTTTCATTGACTTCTACAGCGCAAAAGCGCACAAGACCAAAACAGGGAAGGACATTGATCGATATGAAAAGAAGATTGAGGAAATGGTGGCAAGAATTGATGAAAAAGGTATTCAATACAATTCAATGCTTCTATCCTCACTGCTGCAGCACTACAGAAAGTCAGGAAATCTTGATAATTGCTTCAACATCATAAATGCGATTTTGAATTACAGAGCCAGTCCTGATACTGAAGACCAGTTTAGGCATCTTCTCTCTTTTTTCAAGAGGCGGGAGATTACAAAATCGCTGTACCTAGAAATTTGGAGATGTTTCTCTTTGTACTATTCCTACTTCGAAAACGGTCTTGGTGTCACAGAGATTCGATCCAACCATGGCGCATGGAAACGCAATGTCTTGAGGGAAAGATCTAAAATCAATGTTCATCCTATTTGTGATCTCAGGTTTCTCTTCAAGTCGATGGTGCAGACTGATAACATTTTACCAGATGCATTTTTCTACCAGCTCATTATCAAGGCTTTTACTCGCGTACGCGACTGGTCATTTCTACCTGCTCTTTTAAAGCATATGAGTGAAGTTAGCGGTATTGAGCCGGACAAAAAATCCATAAGATTTTTGAACGGTGGCCTTCGTTTGGAGTATATCGCTCTTGAGCGCGAAAAGTTGATTGCAGATGGGAGAACAGATCAAAACAGTCTCAGCTCTCTAGTAAACACTGCTCGCAGGACTGTCGAAAATAAGATTAAGGCTGGGACGATCTTGAAAGAATCCGATGAGAAAGATGCAAATCAGATCATCGGCAATATTTTGGACTTTTTAGAACATCATCGTGACCACGAACTAGCACAAGTTAATGTTGCACTGGAAGAGCTGGATCTCATGTAACAGCAATGCACAAAAACTACTATTTACGAATTTTTCTTGTTGATAGATATGTTATGAACTCATCTCATTTTTTACCTAGCTTTAGCCACTTTGGTGTTTGCCCAGAGCGCAACCCTAAACCTGTCTTCTTTTCGTAAGTTTTTGGTAAAGGACTACTTAAGGTTTGCTTTACATTGTCATCTGTATCACGAAGACTTGCAAGTGTCTTTGCCTTTTCGATTAGATCAGATCTGAGTTTCAGGTCTTTGTTACCGCTTTCTAGCACCAGAAGAGTTTTTGAACCAAAGTGCAAATCCTCCGTTAATTTTGAGTCGTTATTTGGAATTTCTTGATGCGGATGGGAGTGGAATAATGCAAATGGGGCGGTTCTGTCGTCCAGACACCGTGTCACAGCCTCATAAACTAAACGGATTGTGTCATCCGGCTTGAAATTGATGTCTACACAGGTGCGGTCGGGAAGGCGTACTCGAACATTGCAATTGTCTATCTTTTTGATCGGGTTTTCTTTCTCTCGCAGCCTTTTCGTCAACAATGGTTGGTCGCTTCCGGTGGTTTTGGATAGCATTTTTTGGTACTTTTTGAAGTGGTTGACCGTTACCTCGAGTTCCTCATCTTCTTGATTATCATAGGAGGCTAAAGATACATTTGGATCGGGAATATAAGCAGCTATCGATTGATCATTGCCTGTCGTTGGAGGTGAATGTGCTACGGTATCTTCAACGTGTTCTTTCTTTTCCATGGGAGGCGGCGTTATCGTTTCGAGATGGTCAGACTGTTTCTTGGGTTTTTCAATTATCGAGGCAAAAGATAGCCTTATTGCGACGTTTTCCAGGATTCCAAGTTCAGAAAACGTAGACTGACCTATCTGATTGCGATCATAGACCTTGGAGAAACATTGCAGTTTCATGTCGCCCGATATCAATGGCCATGATTTGCGTTCGAATATCTCTTGGATAGCGTCTAAAATTTTGGTCGACGATGGACCTGTCCAAACTTCTGCACCATGTCCCAGCACGGTAAACTTAAGCTTTAGGTTTTGGTCCAATTCCCTCAAATTATTCAGCTCTTTCAGCTCCAGAGTCGCTCCAGTGGCAAGATTCAAAAGTCTTAATGGGATGGTAAGTGGCAAGTGCTTCCCGTTATGGTAAAGGGCCCACGACCTGTTTTCGGTACTGAGCTTAAAATGCTCCAAACTTCTGGGTAGAACATCGTTCAAATTTTTGCCCGGTTCAACTTTTTCCCTATAACTCGAGAAGTTGTACGCTATCTGAACAACTGACATCTAAGATGGTCTTCGAGCTGTGATCTTGAAGTGATCGAGGATTCATTGTTGAATGGTTAGTTTTATGTAATTTCCAATTGATGCTGATCACTTGGGACTAGAGAAACGACTGGAGGAAAGGGTGAAGGTCGAGAGTCGCGCCAGCGACTCTCGTCGAAGTATTTTCGAAAGTATGCATCAAAGGTGATGAAGGCGAATATAGAAGTATGAGATTAACGATTCAAATTTTCGTGGCTATTACGTTGTTCTTAGGTGGAAAAATGGTCGTTTTAGTGGAAACTGGTTTTTCGCTGAATATCATGAATTGTAGGTGAAGCTTACTTGTTTTTGAGAGGCTAACGCGGCAGAAATAACAAGATTTTTGGTATGTAGAACTCAAAAGAGTTTCAAACCTAAGGTAGTCGTTCCATTTTACAGGAGGAGGTGGAACTAAAATATACGTAGGTTTGAATATCCAGGCGATATATGATTTAGCGAGATTCTCATCTTGGCCGGGTAAGTCAATCTGTTTGGGATCCGTTTCGCGTTTCATGAAGTGTCTGGCAACGATCCGTTTGCAACCCATTTGGCCCTATATCACCATACGGTTGTGACACCAAAAAAACCAGTATCGTACGAAGTGATATTCCAATTACGATCCGTTTTTAAAGTCTCGTACGGAAGCACATACCCGAAAGCTCGGTTCTACGACGGACAGATAGAATGGTATCCAAGCCGGAATTTCCCGAATATAACTGATGATGAGCCTCTCGAGTACAAATTAAACCCGTTTTCAAACCCAATTTCGGTGCGAGACTTTACTCGGGTTTCTTATCGTCTACAAAACTATTCTAGCCAAACGCATCTTCTAAGACCAGATCACATCACCGCGCCATCCACCCCGCTCTCTAATTGTTTCTCTACTTAATAATTGAATCCGACATATATATTCATAATTTATGAATTAGTATATATTTAGGCTTTGATTAATGTAAGGAACATGTAGCAGGTGGCGACTAAGTTCAAGCAACAACGTCCAAGAAAGCCTCTTCACTTGCTTTACACCCCCCGATATCTTGAACTTTAACTCAAAGATGTCTCAAGAATCACAGAAAAATGACAGCGACTTGCGACCCTTTTCCAAGGATGAATTGAAAGAGTTGCAAGAACTGTACGGATGGAAAGAGTCCTTCAAGACGTGGCGTAAGGGCTCAGATGGCAGGAATAATGAAAAAAAACTTCTGTCGTTCCTAGACTTCTTTCCAGACGGTGACGCTACTCGCAAATGCTCGATATTGGATGTGGACATTGGTAACAAAGATCATATTCACGAATTTCAAATCCAAAATACCCAAAAGACCAATCGGGACTACGGCAAAGATATGGTGATAATGCATGGCTACGGAGCAGCCTTGGGGCTGTTTGTGCGAAATTTCGACGGTCTTAGTCGAGTTCCAGGCCTCACATTGCACGCTATCGATATGCTAGGATATGGCTTGTCGTCGCGTCCCAAATTTCCAGGCACTGGATTTAGATCGAGCTACTTCAAAAGAGGCGATATCAGTGTAAAAGAGGTGCGTGAAGCTGAGGACTTTTTCGTAGACTCCTTGGAACGCTGGAGACAGAAAAAACAACTTGAGCGGTTTGTGCTCGTAAGTCACTCGTTAGGAGGATATCTAGGCTGTTGTTACGCCCTGAAGTACCCGGAGCGCGTTGAGAAATTGGTTCTGGTGAGCCCCGTTGGCGTTGAAACTTCGATTTTCGACCTCACTCGTAATCACACCGACCAGCACGTTCACGCCTCGGAACTCGGGCCTGACGTTGCGAAGGAAGTAACAGCAGACAAAGCCAATATATCCACAGACCGCCCGGTAAAGACGTCGAGCTCGTTTCACGTGCCTGACGAAGCGGGCAACGTGGAACACGTACCTAACTTGCCACGAGTATTTTCGTTTATGTGGTCGTGCAATATCTCACCGTTTGGGATTCTTCGCAGTCTTGGTCCCATGGGCGCATTGATGTCCTCTAAATGGTCTTTCAGACGGTTCACACACATGCAAGACCCCCAGGAGCTATTTACGTTCCATGATTACTTTTACAGCGTTTTCAGTGGCGCGGGCAGCGGCGAATACGCATTGACGCGAATCCTAGCCCCCGGTGTGCTTGCAAGATTGCCTCTGCTAAGCAGGGTGCCTGCCAACATAAAATGCGATTCTTTTTGGATGTATGGCAGCAACGACTGGATGAGCAAAGAAGCGGGCCAAGTGATGGTACGCAAGATAAATGAAACCACACCGGGAGTTAAAGCCGACTACTCTGTGGTTTCCGATGCAGGTCATCACTTGTACCTTGACAACCCTGCCGAGTTCAACCGCAAAGTACTCAACTTTCTTAAACTAGAGTCTTGAAAAGTAGTAAAATCAACACAACCGTATAGAAACTCGTATGAATATTCAAGCTGTCTAGACATTGAAGTTTTTGGGAGAATGCTGGATGTACCTGTCCTTTAGTCTGTCGTGTCAACCATGACGATACCGTGATAAGCACGCGCTGATAGTCACATGATCTCTTTTGTCTTTCCGTAATTTCTCATTTGTTTCCAGTTTGTTTCCAGAATGGATGTTTCCAGTTTGGTTTCTGCGCAGGAAGCTTTTTTGGAAAAAACCGGTAAAATGCTTCCATGCAGTTATTATATCTCCATAAGCACTTAATTTAAGGAACCTCATCTCATCAACTATTCCCTTCAACAAACACATTAAAAGAACAACCCCGAATAAGACTTCAAAGCTCGAATACGATTGGAATGCTCGAGAATCCGACTGTAAGACTGCGAAATTCGGTCATTTCGGGCAAACTTCCCATAGTTAAGCGTCTTTTGAGCCGGTTTCCGGATCTTTTGACAGATGTTGATCCCAGAAACGGATGGTCGCTGTTGCACTACGCTTCGTACCATGGAAGATACCTGGTATGTGTGCATCTGTTACAGCTGGGCCATGGCAAAAATGAGATTTTGAAAACTTTCAAGAACAACACATGCGTGCATTTGGCGCTTTTGGAAGGACATGAACAAACCGCACATTTGCTGCTGCAACATTTCCCGTATTGTTTGAATATGAAGGGCTCGCATGGTCTCACACCGGTGCAAATGACGTGTTTGCGGGATCATCATAGATGCTTGAGTCTGCTTTTGGGCCTGGGCGCAGATCTGAGTCTCCGAGACGACGACAATTACACAGCATTAGACGCATGTCTGAAATATGGCAGCGTGAACTGCATGCGGATTCTGATATTGGAAGGCGAGCTGGACGAAACAGAAGTTGAGAAGAAACCTGGAGCATGGGCCCCAGAAGACCTGTGTTTGACTTTCCAGCTGGTAGACACTTACCACAAGGTATTGCGAGATAAAAGAACTCACAGTGGGCTGCCGAAAAGGCCAAGCTACCAATCCATGGTGTCCCCGCTGACGATCCCGAAGCCGGTCTTTGAGAACAGCGGGTCGCCTTTGATGACCACGTCGCCCGCAGCGCAGTCTCTTGCGTCACAGCTTCCGCCACTGCCAGCAATCTCCACAAGCCGCAGAACGTCTGTGGGGAGCCATCACAACATAAGGTCTCCCAGGACACCGGTATCGCATACGTTCCACACCGGTTCGCCCACCCGCCGTCGTCTTTCGTACCTCAGCCACGTCAACACTGCGTCATCGACGTCTTTGTCATTGTCGAGAAGGGAGCCAAGTCCCAACGTCAATGGGGCAATACGTGGGAAGCCAGAGGATAGCGGGTTTGAGTGGCACAACAAATACAGCACGTCCAGCGTAAGCATGGAGAGCAACCGAAACGACTTGAATCGCGAATGCTCGTCTTCTGCAAATGATTTAGAAACGCCAGAGGATTCACGCGGGTCCAGCAATTCTACAATGCTCAAGAACGAAAGGACACCGACGGGCAAAGAAAGCCAGCTATCGGTTCTCAATGTGCCGGTTTCCAAGATAAGAAGATGACAGAGTGGGAGAGAGAGAGAGAGAGAGAGAGAGAGAGCTTTTGCCAAAACGAAGGCTGGAGATTTGCTATATATCGAAATAGATGGAGTAATGTAGTTTACAATTGGGATTAAAGGATGCACAGCAAAACGGACATTGGAGCGATTGGTCGCGTATGGACGCCGTTTTACTACGATACTGGTTGAAACTCATGGTGTTTCTACAAACGCCGCAAAGGACCACATGGCTGGAGGGATCTTGTGAGATGTTGTATTTCTGGACCGGATGGGATTCCAGGGCGTCGTGGCAGGAATGACAGGCATAGTAGTGTTGGCAACATTTAAGTTTAAAGCAGACAACGTCTAGTTGAGAATTCCAATGGACGCATCGAGACTGATTATCGATGAGCAAGCCCTTTGGGTCTGACATTTGTGAGTGGGTGAGTGAGTGGAGTGGGTGAGTAAGTGGAGTGAGCGTATATGCACCTTATTGCTTAGCTCAGCCAATGCATCGCATCTCACCGGGAAATGGATATTTCATTAAAATGTGTGTGGTATATATATCTTTTTCATTATATAAATATGGGAGGGGAATATAAGAGATCATTGATTGAAGACTCAAGAGTTGGTCTTACAACCACCATTCAAGCCTGGTTGACAAAATTCAAACCCTTTTCAATGTTCTTCTTCAAAGTTTCCTTACATTTGGCCAACAGCTCGTCTTCCTCAGAAGAAGTCTCACCGATGGAGTATACCTTTTCAACACCGTGAGGACCCAGTTTCACAGGAGAAGCGAAAAACTCGATACCCTCGCTCTTGTACAGAGGAGAATCCACAAAAGCTGGCTCGATGATGTCGTTTTCGCCGTCCAAGCCTTGCAACACGGAGTTGGCAAATCTAGCACCGGCCTGAGCCATGGACAAGGTGGCAGAACCAGCTCCGTTCTTGGCCTTGACCACTTCGTCACCGCCAAACTGGATTCTGTTGATCAGCGCTTCACGCGTAGCTGTATCTAGGTTTTTGTGTTTGGTTTGCGATAGCAATGGGATAATAGTGATGCCGGAATGGCCGCCGATAACGGTGACCTTTTCCTGAGTGGGGTTAGTGTGGGCGACTTCGGAGATAAAACGCGAAGAACGGATCACGTCCAGGGTGGTCACACCAAACAGTTTTTTGGGGTTGTAAACCCCCTTGTTTTTCAAAACTTGTGACACAATTGGCACTGTGGAGTTAACAGGGTTGGAGATCACTAGGATAGCGGCATCTGGAGCGTTTTCAGCACACGCGGCTGCCAAATCGCGTACAATGGAGGCATTGATGGAGAACAAGTCGTCACGCGTCATACCTGGTTTACGGGGAACTCCGGCTGGGATCAAAACCACCTGGGTACCTTTCAAAGCGTCTTTGAGACCATTGTTTTCAGGCTGAAAGCCCTTGACCACAGAATTGGTAGGAATGTGAGACAAATCGGCGGCAACACCGGGAGCGCCTTTCAAGTCGTACAGTCTGAGGTCGGTGACCTTTTGGTTTAGTTTCAATAGCAACGATAGTGGTTGACCAATACCACCGCCAGCGCCCAAGACGGTGACTTTGTATGGGTTGAAACGGGTAGTGGAGAAGCTACGTTTGGCGGCTGAAAGCATTGGGGGAGGGTTAATGGAGTAGTTGGTTTTCGAAGCGAAAAAACTTGAACGGTGTGTTTAGGGTCAATTTTGAGATCCTTTTATATATATATATATATATATATATCTGTAAGTGTGTGTGTATGTGTGTGTACATCCTATCCTACACTGAGAAAGAAAAAATAATCGAGCGCCGGGAGATCATGGTCACTGTATACGAGGCGATTTTTGGCACTTAAAAAACCGCAGCGTGACCTTTGTAAGGACAAATCCGGGAAGAGCGGTGCCGAGACCGGAGGCGGGGGGAAGAAGAGGGCGGCGGGAGAAAAACCCAGACACCACGAGATGTGGGGGGGAAGACCCCAATGGGGACGAATCACGAATCCAGTGCGCGAATCCAGTCGTTAAAAATGCTTGATGATGAGACGCCAGTCATGTTCAACAGGTCGATCCGGACACCTATGAGTGCATCCCAACTGGGTCGTAACTATGTACGGATCGGATCCCTGATTTGATCACTCATTCATTGTTTTGAATTCTACAGTGGATCTCAAGCGATGTATAAAGTTGCGGATAGAATGCGCTAATACCTCGAAAAAATGGAAGAACAAGAAGTGTACATTTCGAATTTGCTACAAATTTCAAAGCTAATGGTAATTGATCATTTAGATTGTTATTGTTTTGATCTCTACTGTTTTGCGTGTTTTTGACATAAAAATATGGATCCCAGAGTGGATCCTAAATTGTGAAAATCAGGTACTTTTCGGATACCTAGATCTTAACTAAATGATCCCGATTTTATTCCAAAAGTCACTTACCCGGACATCAATTGGGATCCACAATACATGTCTGTGAGACGCTCTAAAGAGTCCGGTACAAAGCCGAATGAAGTGCTGGGTGACTGGGTGGCTGGAATTCGAGTGAGGTACTTGGATATGACAAGTGAATTTACTGATCTGAGCTCTTCTTGCACATGACGTACAGATGTTAAAAGACAAGTCTAGGGAAGAAAAGAGTACCGAATACAAGCTTTAGCCCAAGGACAAGGGAGTATTGCATTCTTTTCGAGTAAAATGCATGTGCATACCAAATGATTCTATCTCTTGGCCATTGGCGGTACCTGTTGCAATGTTAGCATGTTGACCTCAAGCGATGACTACGTTTACAGTGATTAGAGTACTTGTAAACGACTTTGGGTTTATAATGTGAAACGACTTGTGGATCGTTTTTTTCTTTTTTTTGTCCACAAGTTGAAACGCAAGGTACATTTTTCGAGTACCTTGGGAAATATTTCCACAAGTTGATTTCGAGCTGATTTCGTTCCCAGTGACTTGTGGATTAAAGAATTGTTATTGAAGTAACAACAATAGCGCGTATCAGGTCGATCAGAAGATGATCACCAGTGGGTCTGACCATTGAGAAACAAGTTCAAGAGGGCAATGGAAGCAGCTTCTTGTACAAGTGACAACCAGTCAACGGGTCAACATCATTCTGACGCTTCATCAAGTGACTCGCTCGCTGATGAGGGCTTACAAGCCAACCCAGCAACAACTGGTGCTGGCCTTGATGAGTACAGAACATCAGCCACCGCTGAATACGTCGCGAGCTCAAAGAATCATGCCGCAATGGAACAATCGGAGCTTTATCTTGAGTACTTTCATTCATCAATCATAAGGGAGGATTTAGCTACTATAAAGAATCCTCGCCTTTCACTGGATAAAATGGCAAATGCTATCAGAGAATTGATAAGAGTGAAAGGCTACAGATCATCAGATCATGGGAAAGAGTTTAAGTTCAGGTGGACTGACAACTCGACGTACTACCTGGTCAAGTATTGCAACGAAATCGGTCCATTTTACGGCTTCGAACGTCTGAAATCACCTAGAGTTGAGAAGCTAGAACGAAGCAGCTTCATATCTCTTAAATGGAGTTGTATTTTGTATGATCTTCTGTTGTCATTACAATTCGAAAACAATATCATACCAACAGAGGGTCAAATTAAACAGAGGTGCAGATATCTAACAGACATGGCACATCCCAAATTATTTGCTGTCACTACAGGAGATGAGAGAAATCCTTTCTCGATTACTGGAGTTGACAAAATAGATGACGTTTTGGAACAGCTCTGTAGGCTGAAAAATGATTCGGAACTGAGTAAAGCAGAATACCATAAACGTGTTACCGACCAACGACATAATAAGAGGTCTGTGGGCCAGATGCTATGCTCAAATAGTATTCCGAGTGTCATTGAGAGCCTTGTCCCTTTAGACTCTGATGAGCAGTCTTCCATAGATGACGTGAACCAACCTAATACTATCACGGTCGAAAAGAGGAACAGATCAGGCAAGTCGCTGAACTCAAGAGATGTCGCGTCATTTGCCCATTATTTCTCTGAACTCTCAGCACCAACGAGAGAACTGCAAGATTCTGCGCTACGAACTATTGAAGCAACACTTTCGGAAGAAAGGAAACGCGAAGCAAAAGCTCAACAGCAGATTATAGAATTTCAACAACAACAAATGGAATACAGCGCTCAAAAAGAAAAGCGTGAACAATTCGATCATGAAGCCAAAAAGATTAAGACTGTAATGGAAATGACGCTCATGGCCCAAAGCCTAGAAAAGGGGAATTCTTCATCGACTAATGCTGTAAAGAAGATGCTTCAAGACTTTTTAGCACACTATGCGTGAACTAATTATCACAAATGTTAGAGTGTCAGTGTTAGCTAAATTTTGTCCGCATGGCTGATTTACAAAGTTTTCATTGCAAAGCTGGCTCAAGCAAGGTTTTCCAGTTGATCAAAGCTTAAGTGCTCATACTGTCTAGAGTAGTAAGTGCCCTCTCCTTGATTATCGATAATAAAATTGTCAAAATATTTTGGAAATTTGAGCCTACTCGTGAATTCCTCGAAGGATGGTGGGTCAATACCAAAGTACTTGGATCCTTGCGATCCTTCTAGACAATGTTTGAGGTTTGTCAGAAAGACAGCGATGGTAAAGTACGCACCGCAAAATCTCACTCTACCTACTTTCAGTTTTCCCAGGGCATTGAAAATCTGGAAGTCGTTCTTTACCGCACCAAAAAACCACTCTATCGAAACACGAGATTTCGCCAGGGTTTTGTTGTAGTTTTTTTCGGCAGCTGTCAGATTCTGTCCTTTAAACCCCACCGTGAGCACGTCAGAACTCCGATACGCAGGATCCCCGTATATTCTGTATTGAACGCTACTGATCTTTAGAGCTGGCTTCAATCTTCCGTATAAGCCGCTATTTGCTAAAAGAAAGGAGTCGTGCTGACTACCAGCGAAGGGTCCTGCTAAATCTATGCAAATACCATCAGGCGTTGTCACCGCTTGATACTTCAAGATATGAGTTTTTTATGCCCGCTATACGCTGAATTTTGCAATTCAGAACTTCCATGCGGCCTCGCAATCTTGACGTGCGTGCCATCGATAAAGCCCACAATTCTGCTGTTAGGGACTGATTTGTTGGATCTCAGAAGGCTTTGGTCGATGAGCGATAAGCGGCTCGCAAGCCACGGCGCATTTGCAACTGACAGAGATGGGCTTACAATGTGGAACAAGTAGCATGTCATAAATGTGATAATCTTGGATATTGTAGTGGGTTCTCTGCCGCAAATGCTGGTCAGTACTGTGTAAGTACAGCCACTTCTCATTCTAACGATGAAGATGAAGAAACATTCGAAAGCGTCAAGTGAGTAAGAGCCAATGTTAGAAGGTATCTTCAGTGCCTTGACTATGCGATCGAGATCGAACTTACTAAATCCGGTCAACTTGCGGAAGTCAGCGTCCGTATAAGTAAGTCGAAACCTCCCACCGCTATGATATCTTGCTATTATACCGGAAATTTTTGCCCCGAGCTCTGGTCCTTCTTATAGATTCAAAATTGATTTCATCTACAAGCAGCTTCTCGAGGTATTTTTCCAATGCTTTGTGCTCTCCATTGGAGAAAACTCCCCTATCCTCTAAGTTCTCGAGAGCCATTTGCGGTGCGCGCCGTGTGGTTGCGTTCGTTAGTTGACGAATATAAGCATTGCCATATTGGTACCTCAGAAAATACTGGCCTGAATCATAGTTTCGTAGGAACTCTTGGCGCCCGTCAATCTTTGAATGCCGGGCCAGATACTGCAAGTATCCCGTTAAGCTGTGAACACCGCAGATCTCTCGATGTAACTTAACGAGTAACTCTACCTTAGGGCTCGTCATGTTGAGTAGTTATCAAGAGCAGACGAAATTCGAGTAGGCTCGAGACTAGGCTTGCTATGGGTTACATTTGATTTTTCTAGCGCTTCATGTATACTGCAGTCGCGTAAATAAAAGCCTTTTCACGCCAAATGCCATTTTTTACGCGTTTTTTCCACACTCAATACTCAATGTAAACCCCAACCTGTTTACAAGGGACACCGACCACCTTGGGTTTTTAACCTTCCACAAGTCGTTTCACATGATGAACCCAAAGTCGTTTACAAGTACTCTATTGATTGTCGTATAAGACGACAGGACTCGCGATTTCCCTGGATTCGTGGTAGAAAAGGCCAAATTCGTCCCAGTCCTGGATGCATTCGTGCTAGATGGATATTTTGAACGTGTTTGCAACTGATCGCTGCCGCTCTCACTTATTCAGTTATGCTTGCAGTCGTCTGTTCAGTTGTGCTTTTAGTCTTTCGTTCCTTTGTGCTTTTAGTCCTTCGTCTATTCACAACTGATCGCTGACGCTCTCAATTGCTCAGTTGTGCTTGCAGTCATCTGTTGCAGTCCTTCGTTCTTTTAACAACGCACACTTAAGACATATACCGTTGCACACAAACCTTACAAATCGATAGTTCTAGTCGTTTTTTAACAAAAGGTACATCAATAACTCTTGTCTTGAGCAATACTTAAATGCTGCAAATAGCGACACCTTACTTTGCAATCGTACCAAGAATCTTTTTTCAACTGTCGTCTACTTGACACGAACCAAGTGCATGATTATAGAATTCAAGATTTGATAAGATGGAGTATCTGAAGACACTAGACTCAATTAGTCAACCTTCATTTGGCACCAAATAAGAGCACGAGTCTGGGTATTGTAATATGCTCGACATAGCTCGACATAACTCAAGCCCGGACCCCATAGCGCAAATGTCCTAGATTTTCACAAAAAGCTTCATTCCCTTGTTAAACCAACAACTTTTCAGGCATTAAGGTTCCAGTGTATGTGTGAACCTTTACCGATTTTGGGTAACCCTCTTTCCAAAGGTTATCTGTCGCGCTTTGAAAGCACAATCTTAAGTCGGGTCTTCATCCTCAGGCGACAGCTTTTCTGCTGACTTTTCGTTTCTAAGGAATTCCTCCTCTTCGAGTCATAAACGGCCACCTAGACATCTTTCTGCTTTCAATGATTACTGTCCAAAGACATCAAATAGTGGATTATTGGCAAAAGTCAAAGTCAGGTCTGAAGTTGCATTGCCCGTCCTTGACGTTTCGGTGTAAATTGGCCCGAACACGTCGACTTCATCGATAGCTGAAATAAAAGAACTCGTTTCGAGCATAGCAGAAGTACACAGGACGCGCCCGGACTTCTAGTTTCCTATCTTGGTATCTAAGTCAAGTGCTTTATCCTCTGACTGACCTTGATTAGCAGCATGTTAAAGTTCGATGTGTTCTCAAAAAACCTCGTCAGTTTTCATCTCATACATTTTAACCCAAGGGCTTCTCTGTCCCCTACAGTGTTGTGAAAAATCTTAGATTTGACACGATTCACTGAAAAACCTGATTTGGCTCCAATTTGAAGCCCCGTTGTGACGATGTGATTGCTGAGATTAATCAATACGTATACAAACACGATGCCACATGAGGGAAAGACGAACCAGGTCACCGGTCCTGACGTAGATTCTTACTTTGTAAACTCAAACCTCAAAAACGCGTTAATTTGATAATGTCTCCTCATCAAACAGTTTTTCATGGTTATGAGGAGTCTAAGATATTCATTCTCATCAATTGGTGATGAATGGCTTCATTGGTGTACCGCTCTTTATCCTCTCTATTGACCATTTTCCTACCATCACAGCAGTCTGATGGTATCGCGAAAAACGCGTAATAACTCCGAAATTAACGCGTTTCCCATGTTTTATGAAGATGCACGTGATACATGAGGTTACACAACCGAAGAGTGGTCACATGGTGTTCAGAACGTGACAGCAATATATTCTCTTATTCTTTTACCATGATACTTGAATACTTGTACCGCAAGCTCTCAATTTTTGAAGACAAATATTATACAGTCCAGCGCTCTGTACCTATAGCTTTGGAAGCCAGACTTACAAACATTTTCTTGCGACTAAAAAGTGCAATTCTCCTGCCATAAAGCCATGATCACGTGCCGCTAGCTTTCTTATACGTTAAAAGTGCTCTCTCAAGCTAGTCACGTGGATATCACGTTACTTTCGGGATAAGCCATGAACTTTGTTTGCAGCCCCACCGGGATAACCAACCTGTTCTTCCTCTGTAGATAGCTTCCACGAATTCCATGCGCTCATGGCGCTTGCTCTCTTTGCTGAGGCTGTGTCCCTTTTCTATTTAGCTGTCAGCTCAATGTCTATATCGCATCATCTTGGTACTTAATCATGTCATATAAACCGTACTATACTTCAAATTTCCACCACTGATTTTCCAGAGGTCTTCCTTGCTTCCAGTTCACTTGTAGCCTGCTTGTACTCGCTTAAAGGATACGTCTTGTAGATCGGGATCTTCAACGAGCCCGATTCTAGCCCGCTCACAAACTCTTTGTAGTAGTAATCCCGTTCCTCTTGTGCGCCCAAGTATCCGAACAAGGAAGGTCTCAACAATTTCAGGTTCTTGGGAGTTAGTCGAGACAGAGCAAATGGCTCGACGGGCCCCGAAGCGTTCCCGTAGCTCACAAATGTCCCTTTGCGTCTCAACGCGTTCAGTGTAATGTCAAAAGTGTCCTTACCGACCGAGTCGTAAGCAACACTCACGCCTTCGCCATTTGTGATGTCTAACACACGTTTCAAAACGTCCTCTTTGGAACTGTTGATCAAAAACTCGGCTCCGTATTCTTGAGCCGTTTTCAGCTTTTCATCCGTGGATGCCACGGCTATGACACGAGCACCGGCTTTCTTCAAGGTTTGGTTGAACGCTATGCCGGCGCTGCCAGCAGCGGCGTACAGAAGCGCAAAATCGCCCTTCTGTATACTATAGCATTCTTTCGTGAAAGTCATCGCCGTGAGGACGGACACCAACGATGCAGCGTACACTTTAAGCTCTTCATCTTTCGCTGTATCCGGCAATTTCAATACTTGACTTGTACCAGCAACTTTGGTGTACTGCGCAAGTGAACCTCTACCCAAATACGCTACTTTGTCGTTGACTTTGAGTCCGCTCACATTTTTGCCCACTGCTGCCACGATGCCCGATGCTTCTGATCCAAGCACGTATGGCTTTTCAGTTGAATAAATTCCTTTACGGAAGTACGATTCGATAAAGTTCACCCCAGCAAACCTGTTTTTGATCAGAACATCGTTATCACCAACTTCTGGGACTGGGAAGTCCTCATATTTGAGCACATCTAGTCCTCCATTTTCTGTGAAAAACCAAGCTTTTTGAACCTTGGGAATTGTTGCACTGACGGCGTTGGTAGACATGTTTTTGATGAAGTTTTTCGTTGAGCGTATAGCGGCCATTTGACAAAAGCTTGATTTCTACAACTTTACCTGTTTTATCAGAACAGAGGGGTTTATATATACAATTTTCCAAGAAGCTGCTGATCAGTTGCTTATTGGGAGTATTACTAAGAGCTGAAAGCTGAGCTAACACCAGAATTGGTATATGAAAAATTGATCAGATGTGGCTGTTATTAAAAGACACAGGAATATAGAACAAACAGAAACACGTAGAATAAGTACAGTAAGACGGGTTTCTTCACCAAGAATTAAACTATCGCCAAGAAATTGGACAGTTGAGAGAAGATCTCGGCCATTGGCAATTTATCGCGAAGGAAGAGTAATTTGATGCACCTCTTGGTCTCAAGAATTAGGTCAACAATACTTTTTGTCTTGTCAATGCAGTTCAGGTTCTGGGAAAGACACAATCTCCCTTTCTAAAGAAAAGTGTTCTGGGAGATTATCACCAGTCACGTGATGAAAACTGGGTCTACAATCAATCACCTTAGTAGTGTCAACTCTTGCGTGGTAAGTTCGTTATACTGGGTTCCCTTCTGATCTCCTGAAACGTCAAATATAATTGCAATTGGTTGAGACACGCGAGTTGTAATTTGCCTTTCGTTAATTCAGCAAAGTTCATGTCGCTCAATCGTTGCACATCGTTCACCTATTAGCTATGATTTATACTCTCCCATCAATCAAGCTTGCAGTTAGTGAGGGTTCGGATCGGCTTGTATGCAATGCTTTCTGTGTGCGCCAGCTACACGGACACATAATGCGAAACAAGCCCGTGTTTCGAGAAAGCTTGTTGTTTTGACTCAACTAACTAGAACCTATAATAAATCAACAAGCCAGAAGAAAGGTCTTTAAGCTTGAGGACTCATATGAAACTTTCGAGAGAGATAGCGCTCAGGATTTGAATTGAGATATTTACGATTGCTGTCTGACAAGACTTTGGCCAATTCTGTAGTCTTGGTATGCAGGGAAAGAAAAGGTTGACTGGCGGACTCGGACTTTTCCCAGTAGATCTCATCACCCATATTGCGTTACGAGACGACACCGTATGTAGTGATTTGTACCTGCAAAATGGCGGCAAAAGGAACAACAGCCTCTGCACGGCTTATGGCGAGTTTGAATAGTATCGAGAGGGTGACTTTAACCAGTCACCAGGGAAGTTATAGCTTCTGACACCGATTCTGTGTGTTGAGACATCCAAGGGAACCAGTGTTTCCGCGTGGCCGTCGATAATGATTTTAGTAGGAAAGTCAGCCATGTTCTCGCTGCAAATCTAGAATACAGACAAGATTCGATACCACGGCACAATAATTGACACCACCTCTCTTTTTGTGAGAAACAACGTATATCGCAACATTGCCAGATAGTTTTCGAATCATTTTATCATATAGTCACGTGACCAAAATCATCTTCCCCAAGCTTTCGTCAACAAAGAAAGCCCTAATTTTGAACTTCAATAACAATTTCGAAACTCTCGTTTTTTTCCACATTCTTACCTTCCCTCTCTCCATGCATTTCGTATTTTCAAAAGCCATATGTTTCTATCTCTTTTAACGCTTATGCATCGAAGCTTTAGGATCTTCTATTACTTAGAATCACCTCAAACGAGAAAACTCCGTTAAGAGTGACCATAACGTATTTGAAGTCACGTGATCGGTCCCTTCAAAGCCCTCATATGCAAGTCGTGCATATCATATTAAAAGGCTTGGTACCGTTAAGAATACCGATAAACCTTCCTGTTTACCAACCACTTTCCCAACTGTAACCACTTATCACAAACTGTTATAGGCGTCTTCTCTCTCTCACTTTAACGCAATTCGCAATGGGAAACTCTCCGAGCAAGCCCATCAATCGCAACAACAATGATCCTAATATCCCACCATCACTGCGCTTTTCAAGACATCGACAAATGATCATATCGTCTGTTTTTAGCGTACACCGACGTTATTTATGTTTCTCGACAGCGCATTCTTATGAGCGGTTCAAAAACTCGGGCAAAAAGTATGGTATTCCGCAAAATCTGCAAGATGAGGGTCTCGGAGTGCCGCTATTTGAATTTGAAGACCCCAGTACATTGACGAGGCTGGTTAATTCCTCAGATGGCCGTTTTCAAATTTCGAAATTTGTGTTTCAATCGAGCTCCCTACCTCCGCCGCATCCCGAGAGTACGGTGGTTTGTCAAAACCAAACGCATGTCATCTACAAAATGCCCTTTTGCATAGTCACCAGAATATTCAGCGGTAGCCGATCCGGTTTCGAATTCACATTTTACACTTCTGATGGAAACCTCGTGGTGCAGACCTTAAAACACCATCTAACAATCGAATTGGACGCTCGTCTGGGCGATTGGAATGTCGGCTGGCGCCGCACCCGCTTAGAGGACTACGACCTTTTGGTGCTGCCTCCACAAGCAAGGTCCCTGCTTGATCCGCCAGAAGTGAGTGCTTCCAAACCTGGCGGTAGTCAAAGCCGTCAAATGTATGAGCGAAATGCGCTAGTATGGGCCAAATATATTGATGCAGGAGAATCATTCCTGCCTGCATTGTCCCACAAGTTGGCTGTGCTTGACATCGGTGAAGTTGATTTTGAAACAGATGCCACTGCGTACGGACTCGCAAGTATTCCCTGGTTTTCCCAGGTAATCGCATGTATAGCATTGGTTCAATGCCAACGCATTCAAGAAAGAAGACGCCAAAACAAGAAGCGCAGAAGAAGAAGGATGAATAGATAGGCGGCATGAATATGAACTTATTTAGCATGGGCACAGCAAGTCGCGGGTGGTGAGTATCGCCAAAATTTGGACTATTAATTATTCATCAAAAGCTAGCGTAGCATGCTTCTAAGCTCAAAGCCATATATTTCGGGACTGTAGGAGAGATGGAATAAAAACCATTGATCATTGAGCTGCGGACGGGCCGATCAGCCATGGTTTTCTTTCACCAATCTCAACGTGGTTCTCAACGTGGTTCTCAACGTGGTTCTATTGGCTATTTTCGCCCTGTTCTCTAATGGTGTGCTCTTTACAAGTGTAATCCAATCATCGTCTCATTTCCACTGGTTATAAGGTCACACACATAAAGCCTTATGCATTACTGAAGAGAAATGATTTTGAATTTCGAAGCAAAATTGTCTTGTCGAGTGTGACGACTGATCCTTCCTAATGGGTTGTTTTAAATAATGTTTAATTCTGTGATGAAGTCTGTTTTCCTCGCTTAGCGGCTTGATTTGTCGAGGCGAAGAGACACTTATTCCCACCCAAAGTTCAACATAGAATGCAAACGCAGATTAGCCTACGAACGTCTTGATAAAACGCGATAATCAGGTCCAGCAATGAAGAGGCAATTACCATTCCCATCATTCCAGCTAGGACTTTGTTTTATCATTTGCGGACGTTGAACATTTTATGGACGTCTCTGTATAATCATTACAAATCGAGCTTCGCCATTTACAATAAGAAATACATCAAATGCTTTCGAAAGATATGCTTGATTTCTGATGGTCTCAGTGCGAATTCTTATTTCAATCAAACATATCGTCTAATGAGCTACCCACATATAAGCTTAACTGGCTTCGGGTAGCTGGAATCAATTTGCATCGCACTTGAACATCACGACCGGACTCTTGACTAATTCTATCGTAAGCTTGGAACCGATGACATCCACCAAATGCGAAATAGTAAGTTTTGCCCTGATCACGAACACATAAAACGTCAATTGGTGGTAGTTGAGAATCCATCGCTGCAGCTTCCTCCTTTGTGCAAGTTTTGCTGGCCTCGGGCAGTCCCTTGAGAGTCGAGACCATGGCATCGATCTTCTGATGATCCAAGACAGGAGCTATAGGACGACGAATTTCAGATAATGGAATTGTGCTGATCTTAAGTAAACCGCCAGTTTGAATAGACATGGTGAATATGATGACTTTCGACTTCGTTAGCCAAAAACTGCAGAAATCAATTCTTGATGTTACGCTCAGGTCAAGATGTGAATATGTGTGCAGTGGGACCGGGCTACGATGCCTACCGCCTTATATATCTCGATGGAAATGTATGACAGATTCGGGTGTCAAATCATTTGCTTAGTGATACACTGCAGTTCTGGACCTCATAACGAATAACATCTCACGATACCTACCTTTAGCTCATAGTATCCCACTATTCTTTAGATTCTGTTGGATGATCAAGTCCGCTACCGCCGTGAGCACGAATCGCATGCTATGTGGATCTGTTGCACACGTTCGGTGTACGTAAATGGGACGTTGAGACTTGTTCATGCTTAAAAAGATGTTCTCAAAGTACTTCATTCCAGCGTCGGCGTCGTTCACACGGCCTTGGTAATGAGGAAAGAACTGCCGAATGGGCGACCTGGTGAGCTTTTGTTGAAACAGGTCTGTCTTGTTTAAAAACAAGATGAAAGGTGTATTGGCAAACCATCGCGAATTTAGTAAAGTATCGAACAGCATGATGGACTCGTGCATGCGGTTTACACGCTCGTCTTCAAACAGCATCTGGTCGTATTCACTCACTGCCAAAACGAACAGTACAGCTGTGATTCCTTGGAAACAGTGGATCCACTTACGACGTTCAGAACGCTGGCCACCTGCATCTAGGACTTTGAAACTGGAACCACCAATACTAAAAGTGGTTTCTGTGATTCCTGTAGTCTTGATACGGCCTTTCAAGATGTCCTCGTCGGAACAAATGTAGCCCGGAGTAGCAAACTGGTGGATGTGCTCGAAATAGTACTCTGCAGAGCTTTCGAGCTGGAATTCATTGGATCGTGCAAAACACTGGCGAATTCCTCGGTCTTGTCTCCATAGCGTCTGGATGGCGTTGGCGACCTGTGTGGCGCTGGTGGCTGGTCTTACGCCTGTGTGTGCGGCAGTATTAGTTTCGCCCTCACTCAGCCCCTGTGATAGCTCTTGCAAGTTGAGACTCAAATCTTGTGGATTTGCACCTTCGTCTCCTCCAAACACATTTAGGGCTTCGTTGTGATCCAGACCCTGTGCTTGACCAGTACTTTGTCCCCGTCTTTTCTGCTCACTGGTCTCTGAGTATTTGAGAACGTAGTCGTTCAAGAACCCAGAACCGCCTGCCAAACTTGCGTCGATCAATTCCAGTGGTTTAGCCTTCAAAACCAATCGCTTCTGTTCGAAGAGATGTCTATTAGCCTGTGGATCGTCACAATCCAACGGAATTCCCAAACGTCTGGCCTGGACTATCAGAATCTTCATTGATTGGATCGCATCTGCCCAGATCACTTGTGTATACTGGATTCTTTCCTGATTGGTGAATCCGCCTTGATGAAGCAGTCTTAGTTGTTTCAAGACAGTAGACTTTCCCGATTCACCAGCTCCCAGCAGTAACAGCTTGATTTCCTTATTGTCCCTCTGTTTCTGTATTTGTAGTGATCGTTCAATTGCTTCACTGGCCTTCTTGCCCTGTAGAAACAGGTCCTTTTCATCGTCTGGTCCCAGAACGCTTGCTCCGCAACCCATGCTACACTTGGTGCTATATACCCTATGGTTTGGCTATGTAGTTCTACGTACTTCTACTTGCTCCAGGAGGAAATGTGTTCTAGCTCTACATGTAGTTTCTCAAACTGCTGTTGTGTATTGTAGTCGGCATCGGTTCTCGACCATTCTCCTTCATTGACGCCAAGATCCCTTGTCCGGACCTCACCAACTTTTTGAGGTGCTGGGGGTCCAAGTATTGGAAGCTTGTATGACGACTGCTACTAAAGGTATGGTAGTGGAAAAGTTGAAGAGTTCGGTCTGGGGAGGGAAGGGAAATGTAGATGGAGGGTGGTTGTCCAAATATTGACGGGAGTGTTTCAGAATTGTTTTGGTTGCACGGAGTTTCGACTAGTATAGGGTTTGATTTTTAGCGACTACAGCAAGTGTGAAATAAGAGTATTTTACTGACATCGAAGAAATAACAACAAAAAATGAGACAGAACAGGGTTCTAGGGTGTTGAATAGTTATTGGAGAATTTGTTTGTGTGTGTGTGAGAATAATGAGAATACAACAGTGTGTTTGGGATAGGCGATTTTCGTGGTGTTTCTCAAAATGAGAGGAATTTTTGGTTTTTCAGATGAATTTGAAATCTGCAACCAAAGTTTAGCTCCAGAGAATGTGGATTATTTGGAAACAGGGCATCCAAAGTAGCTTTAAAGTCTTACAGCATCTTTGGTATGTGTCGGACTTGCTTGGATGTTCGAACATGGCACTCACGAAGCAGGATGTCGGTATAGTACAAAGTGATAAGTGACAATTGAACTAACGCTCTAAGGTAGTCAAGAGCCAGAGCCAGATTACTCTATATACGCTTGCACTTGTCTTCGGAAGCATAATTCAAGCAACGTGAAATAGTGTACGTTAAAATACACTCGCTGATCTACTTGACCGTTTTTTCTCTATTGCACAAAATAACCATACGCCTGGGATAATAGGCCCAATTTGTTCTAGACAAGAATATCATAAGAGTATTTGGCGGACAGCAGAAATTGTAAAAGCTCTGACTTGCTTGTTTTTCATTCTGGATTGGGACCTCAGTGATATGGGAAACTTATTCATATAGCCTTATGAGTGTGTCACTGATTCGAGCCTTTTCTACGTAGCGTCCAACGTAATTATCAAAAAATGTGCCAGAAATGAAATACAAAAGGCTCCAAAGATGTCATCTTCGTTACTCGTAAATGTGCAAAATAATGGAGGTTGACAACTCTTGAAAAGATGGCACTTGTGAAACTGTGCCAGTGTCCTGGTTAAATCATCGGTTACCTGTGTCACGTGACCTTTTAGTTTTTACTGCAAAACTTCAGATATTCTTCAAATCTTATGTTATTTCAAAGATGGCATGGTGTAAAACCCGTCTCTTCTGTGCCGTTAAATCCACATTCAAGCTCTAAGTTCAATCTCTTTGGCAAAACTTCTAATACCCCATCACTAGCCATGATAATCGCTTTTGACGAGCAGTAGTCAAGTCTAGTATAAGGTCAAATTACTCTAAGTCAAGATCAACTCAGCTTTGGGTCAAAGCATCGAATCGCGAATCGATCGCAGATTCACAAGATAAGAAGCCAGTGGTCTTACTCTTCTGTCCGTTGACACTTCCCAAGTTTACAGCGGGACTCAAGCTTCTAAAGCCTTTTGTTTCAACCTTTAACAGTTGTCATTTGATCTGACACCTCCACATCATGTCATCGAAGGGTGAATGTCCGGTGGATGACTCTGCTAAAGAGGAATGGATGAAAAAAATGGCTCACGAAAAGTCTTCCAGCTCATCCAGCGAGCTTCAAAAGTGTCCCCAACATACATCAAAGAGTCCCAACGCCTCAAGCACGTCTGCTGCTGCATCCACAGACGCTTGTCCGGTAAGTCCCGAAGCTCGTCATGTTTGGCTCCAGAAATCAGGCTCAAATGCCAACAAATCCGAAGCAGTTGAATGCTCATCTAATGAGATTCCAGCAGTCCCCAAATATACAACCGACGTTGAGCTCCCAGTCGAACGTGAAGTATCCAGCATCCCAAGAACGGGTACCGATCAAAACTGGGTTTACCCATCTCAAAAGCAGTTTTTTGAAGCCATGTTGCGTAAGAACTGGGACCCCAACGCAGAGGATATGAAAAGCGTCATACCAATCCACAACTCCGTCAATGAGCGTGTATGGAACTACATCAACCTGTGGGAGAAAAATCAAGGCAGCGAAACTTGTGGTGGCCTGCAACTCACCAGCTTCAAAGGCGACGCTAAAAAACTGACACCAAGAGCATGGTTTCGAAGCACCATCATGGGTCAGACCAAGCCGTTTGATCGCCATGACTGGACCGTTAACCGGTGCGGCAAACAGGTTGACTACGTGATCGATTTTTATGGCGGTGAAACTCCAAATAACGGACCCTCGATTTTTTTGGACGTCAGACCAAAGCTCAATAGCTATGAGGGTTTCAGATTGCGGGGCAGAAAGTTTCTTGGTCTTGATTGAGCTTAGCAAAGGGAAAATTCCCCCAAAATAAATCTGGTATCTTCACAGCATCAGACCCACGGTCAATCAACGGGCAACTTTAGCCCTCTGTCGATTTAATTGTTTTCTCGTTGTCTCGTCAAGCTTGCCAGCCAGCACCCAACGACATATTCCTTTCTTCGACATTCAAATTGTGGCAACTTGTCTTTGTTTCTTGTCTATTTAACACATCCTGTATATACAACTTATCAATATCACTAGTGGATTCATCAAGAATCACCATGATCGATTTCAGGTATGGAAAATGTGGAAACGAACCCGTTGCAATGAATCGATAGGGGTTATCTACTATAAACACGATCTGAAGCGATGTAGGATCCAACATCTAAAGTTTACCGGCGCTGCCGAAAGCGTTGCCTAGTTTTTGCATGTTCTCACCGACTTTCACATTGGTTTCGAAGTATTTAGCAACGCATCTATCGATGCAGGAAGACTCATTCTTGTTCAAGTCACCTTCACTGTAGGAGGCTTGTATGCACTTCTTATGGCAGTTGTCGACTAGCTTGTTGAACATGTCAGTAACCAAGTCTAGTTCTGCTTCAGCAGCCGAAACTTTTTGTTGCGAGCTGAGTTGTGGTTGTCCGCCGCCAAGTCCTAAAAACGACATGATCTATAGTATTGATTAATGAGTATTGTAAACTTCGAAACACTAATACGAAACAGTTCAGTGAAGTCTCCTTTAATTGTCTGAATTGTTGTAGTTTTTGTCGAATTCAGTATTATCAGCAACTTTTTCAATATTCTTATTTTCAACTACTAGCGACAGTTTAGCTATGAAATTACAAGAGATGAGAAGCGTCTTGAACAATGGAAAACCCAACAGCGAAGAATGGATATTCTGCTTCATTGAGATTATGTACTTATCATTTATGAAAACTACTGGGATGGTTTAAACAATGTCTTTTTTTCAATCGAAACAGTGGGTTTTCAGGAAGTCTTAATATCATTTTGTCTCTATATTACCTTCAAAGATAAGTAGACCGAAACAATGCACCGATTGCAGCTCAAGACTAACAATAACCGATTTTTTCAATAACATCAAAGGTAACGCCTCTTTTAAATGCTGCCATATAATCATGCGACAGACTAGCCAATCTTCAACTCTTACATACGAATTGCACGCTCCGGTAATTTAACGAATAGTATACATAATGCGATGCGGAACGTGTAGTGAGGGGAAAAAAAATTACTACAGGTTTTGTTGACCAAGATACTCTCCGTTCTGGTCTAGTTTGGTGACTTTTGTTTGATTCATGTTTTTCGTTTTGGTGCTTTCTTTGGTTAGGGTGTAGTTTTTCAACTTTACTTGGAAATTGGCTGACAATGATGGACTTTGAAAACTTATGGAATCTTTGATGGAGCTAAATTCGTAGCCACTTTCCATTCATTTTTTTTTTAAGGCTCAATGTCGGGGCTGTTCATTTCCGTAGCACGCCTCTGGGGGGCCTGATTTCACAGCAGCTCGTTTCCTTCATGTGTTTTCCAGCTACTTTTTTCACTCAATTCTCTGTTGCTGCCATTCGTAGCGTGTTTTTCGTTGTCTCTTTTGCTTTCTTCTTCGTCTTCGTCTTCATCGTCGTCGTCGTCGTCGTCATCTCCTCCGTCGACGCCACTGTCGTCGGAATCGGTTTCGTCCGGTAGGTTGGTATCGCCTTCTTCTTCATCGTCATCATCTTCCTCATCTTCTGCCAGGCCTTGGTCAACGTCAGTGCGAACCTCGGCTAGCTTTCTCGTCAAAATATCCACAATGTCGTGCCAGTCGCGCATTCCACCCATACCGATGTCACCACACACTAGAACTTTTTCCACGGGCTTCAGTATGGTTATGTGAGGCGATTCTTCCTGTAGCATCATTAGATGCTTTTTAGTTACAGGGTGGGTGTACATGAATGTGTTCATAGCTGGAGCCACCAAAACAGGGGTGCAAGGTGTCCAACACCGAAGTAAAGATGTCAGCAAATTGTCGCAAATACCGTACGCTAATTTCGCCAGGGTATTCGCAGATAAGGGAGCAAGCAAACAGATGTCTGCCCATCTTCGAAGCTCGGTGTGAAGCATAGGATCTCCCATTCTTTTGAAGCCGCACCATTCGTCCTCGTCCCGCCATATTTTCACATCTGTCGAAATTTTCAATCCGCGCAAGAAATGCTCGGCTGGTTTTGTCACCACAAGCTGGATTGAAACCTTGTCTGGTCCGTAGTTTTTGTACAGTTTGTCGATGATTACAGGGACTTTGATGGTGGCGACGGATCCTGTGGCGCCTATCAAAATATGAATTTTGTTATCATCGTGTTTTTGGAAAAACTCAGTAAAAGGCAGCTTTGGTCCCATTTGGGCATCGATGAGTGCTTTGTTGCTGGGAAGCTGTTGCTTGCGGGCAGGATTGGCGTTATTAGAGGATAGCTGGGACTTTGGCATATTTTGATTCGCAAAATCCATGCTAATGTATTCTCCTGGCATGTGTGCAGAGTTTTGACGGGAAGGAGCTGCACTAGAATCAATATGATAGTTGCTTGCAATTGAGTTCTGGCGAGATTCTGACCCCGCTGGACCGGTGCTGCTCGCTCCACCTTGCGTTGTGAGCGCCACCGACGACGGCCGTGCTGATATAGATCCTCTGTGCGATATTTTGTCAGACCTGTTTCCCATTGTGAACGATACAGCGGTGGTTAGCGCACTTGCTGGACTTTTGAAATCATCGCTGTTACCTCCGATTTCCCAACTTTCCGATGCACGCCCATTTTCCTTGTTATTCTCATTTCCAGACGTCACAATTTGCAGCTTGTGTGGGTTCACATAAGTCTTCTCATCCATCGGCCGGTACTTTGGCCACTTTGACGTGTTTTCCAGGTTTCCCTTGTAAGCAGTGATTTCGCGGGTAGAACTATCGTTCTTCGCTAAAATCGACACCGGAGCACGTTCACCGGCGTCTCTGGCAAATCCAGGCATTTCAAATGGTACTCAAACCGTAAAACTATCGACAAGTTCGAGCTGAATTCCACTTGTTGTATTTCGATGATGGGATTTGTCAAGTACTGATTGATTTGAGACTTTTTTTCAGCACGCTATATATAATATACACGATTGAATTCAAGAAATTGTAAGAAAGCAGCGGCGTCACTAAATCTAAAAGATGAATACAGACAGACTGCGATAAGTTAGGAGGCAAGTAATGATATGTCCATGTAGTATGATTTTTGGCGTATTTAATGGTGTTTTTGGCAGCTTATTTCGATATCTTACCAGCATCTTACATGCGGTATTACGAAATTCGAAAATAATTGAGGTGATTAGATTTAACATGGACGATGAGGGCGCAGGAAAGGCTTTATGATTTCTCTCTTCGTATTAATAGGATTGGCACCATTTTCCACGACTTTTTATGCTTCCATCTGTATTATTCACGTATTTGTTTCTTCTTTTCCTGAACAAGCTACTAATATCATCAGCTTTAACTGTCATCTATTTCTTTTGATCCGCAAAGTAGCCGGTCGATGCATTTCTTCGACCATGGTACTTCTGTCACTTAGCGGGCCACTAAGCAACTGAATTCTGTCTGGATTTGCCAGATCTTTGTGGATGTTGTCCGCACTCGATGGAGCAGTAAGATCAAATGGCATCAAATCCATTTCGTGCAAGCATCTTTCAATATTCTCCTCTGAGCCAAGATACCGGTCTGTCAGCGTGAGCTGGTCGCGTTCCCGGCTGCGATGTAATCGCAAACGGAAACTTCGAAGCAAATCAAACCGTTTTCTGCAGGTAGATGGCAGTGTGACAGCAGGCCTAGGATCGCCATTCGATAGCGTAGCACCTGAGTCAGAATCCAGGTAAATTCTGCTGAACATTTCCAAACCACTCTTATCATCTTCACTACCGCGTGTACATGGAATTGGGGACTCGTTCGTCACAATGCCAGTGTGCTCATTTTGGAAACTGTCAAACTCTGCTGGATCGAGCAGTCTGTCGAAAGACGGTTCCGTGCGCTCATCGGTTTCGCTCCAGCTACAAGTGAAATCTCTTTCGCGTTTGTTGAGCCATCTACGGAACCGATGGTGTCGCGTCACTGGAGGGGATGATTTTTGAGGTTCTATAGACTTGACCCAAACATTCTTTAAGGTAGATCGGAGTGATCTCGCCGATTTGGGAGGATCTTTGAAGTCTACTAGCTCCTGTGACTCCCGTGTTTCGTCCAATGTTTCTCGAGAAAAACTGTATTTGCCCAAATATACAGTACCTGGCCTAGCAGGCATAGTTCCAAGCGATCTCACGCTTGTCATGCTATCTCTAGGTTTTATGAGAGTCTTCCCAAGATACAAGTGAGCTGAGTTCAACCCAGCATCTAAAAATTGACGCTGGCGGTTTTTTTGTGAGTGACGCACTGACAGTAGATAGGTGTGTTGTGGGAGGAAAAACAGTCACAGTGCTAGAATTTCGAGAAGTGTGGTCTGAAAAGACCGCATCACGGTTCAGTGCAATGGACATACAACTGGTTTATCACGCTGATAGACTTGGCCATGATACATCTTGATGCCGACACAACAGTACGAAGTGATCAGGCTTCCATCATCACAGTAGGGAATGGTTTAACGTGCTTAAAGACCATTGAAAGGATGTGGCAGTGTCTAGGCCGTGTGATTGTCAACCAAGGCTGGGAAAATGATTTTGCTATAAGTATACTGGTCTGTTCGTTTTATCTTTAAGTTTGCCTTCATTAACACTGACGGGGCAAATAACATCAAAAACTGAGCTTAATAAAGTTTCCTCTCTCAATAATCTGCTAGGGATAGAGGCATAGCTGATATCAAAATCTCACTTTCGAAAACCAACGGTAGTTAAACTATTATATTTGGGTCTTGATTTTGTTTTGGGTGTTCATAATTTCATGGCTTTTGTAAGGATGCTAACGAACGACCCACGATTAAGCAAAATCTATGAAAATCTGACTTTTAGGCACGATAACCTACGGAATTTCCAGCAGTTTCAAAAGTTTGTCAGAAGTTTGCATCTCTCAATGTTACGGTCTTGCAAGATGCATTATACGCGACAGGTCGAAATGGCCAAGCGAACATTAACCTTATTCAGGCGGCAAAAGACCATAACAAAAACCAATTACCAAAGTGAGAATTTTGTTCAACGATTAGTGCAAGACTTCTTTGTCTTTTTATACTTCATTGGATGACTTCTTCTCGAAGAAGTGTCTTTGCATATTGTTCGAAAATTAAGTACTGCCTCATCGCTAACGCTCATAGACTTTGACAAGTCAAAATCAATCGATATTCTATGAAGGCCAAGCATGTTCTCAATGCAGTGCTAGATGGTGTCGATTATTTTTGCCGAAAAAGCGACAGCAAGACGCTTAAGCAGCTGGCAATCTCAATCGGATCTCAGGTCGGTACCACGAAGACCTCTATAAGACACAACATATTGAATCAGTGTGAACTCTTACAACAGCTGGCTGATGTAAGGAAGAGTCGAGGAAGTTTGGACATCACTGCTATTGACATCGGTTTGGAGAATTTTGCTTACACCAGGCTGTCGTGGAACGCAGGTAAAGAATTGCCCGAATTGAAAGAATGGAACAAGATTCGACTATCCAGCCTTGATGAAAGTTCGGATATCGTGAAAACACCGTTCACACCAAAATTTCTGACCGGAATAGGTTTGAACCTTACTGATATCCTTACTAAAAGGGCACCGGATTTTTTTGCCATAGAAAGGCAACGCACCAGGACTCTGGGCTCAGCTGCTGTGCCCGACCCTATAATTAAGGCAAACGCTCTCGAACATGTCCTTTTCATGAGTTTGAAATCCAAGAATTTCTATACCGGAGGTCTCGACTATCTGGTAGAATCTTCGGATCCAAGACGTATGACCGACTACTGGTGTCAACTGATACCAGTAGACGACTTGATGAAGTCCAAAAATGGTCTAAAGTCCATGGAAGGAACCTCCAAATCAAAAAGCTCGACATTTACAAAGATAATCAAGATTGCTCTCGTGAGATCAATGATAGAGCAACAATCTCCAGAAAAGTTTACGGTTTCTGCACCGCTACAGAAGCGGCTTGAGAATTACAAACCACAGAAGAAATACGATTTGTTCGAGGCATTGCAGCTCGGACCCATGGCTGGAACTCCCAAACAGGACGATCTGGCAGATTGTATGCTTCACGGATTGGCCTGGCTAGAGTGGCTCAAAACCTACGAGGACTTGGCGTCCGTCATAGCTGTTTCTGGAGAGGACCCAGCAGGATTGAAGGCATTCAAAGAGTTCAACAAATCGACGCTGCAGAGACGTACAAAGTATGCCAAGAATTGCATAATTGAACTTTGAGGATGTTCAACTCATAATGCGGCTGTGTTTTAATTTTGGTTATACGCATTTGAGATTTATGGACATGAAAATGGAAGTTCTACGAGGTGCGAGAACGGGTGTTCTATCAAATTTTGTTCAAAAATTCCTCGAACGAAATATCGCCGTTTGCCAACTCAATAGTCTTCCGTGACGTTTTTTCGGGGTTTTGCAACACAACTAACACGAATTGGGCCACATCTTCCCTCTCAATAGCATAGAAGTCCTTCTTCTTCGTTTGAATTTGGTCTGGAGCAGTCAATTTACCTTTAGCAGGTCCGTCGCCCAGCGAGCCTGGCTGCAAAATTGTGTATTCCAGATCAGAGGAACGAAGCACAATGTCTGCAGTGCGTTTGGCTATGTAATATAGCTTCAAAGCCGTATTCCACCAAAATTCACGGTTTTCTGCATTGATGGCAGAAACCATGATCAAACGAGGTATATTATATTTCTTGCAAGCCTCCATGACTTTCAATGATCCGTCCAAATCCACTGTGAGAATCCGGTCCACGCCTTTGCCACCGGCACCAGCAGTCCATACCACGGCACCACACCCTTCGAATGCTTTCCCGATTTGGTCCACCGAGCTGTCTTCGATGCTTGTCAAGCTAGCCTCAATTGAAAGATCTTTTTTGAAGTAATCTCTCTGTTCTTCGCTTCGAACAATGGCCAGAGGGCTAAAGTCATCGCTGGCTTTGAGGATTTTACATATGTGTCGACCAACACGGCCATTAGCACCAACTATAGCTACTTTCATATTCGAATTTGCTCGAGCTTTAATAGTGTCGTGTATAACCTAAGAGGGGTTCGACATATATGTCAATGGTATTTATAGTCGGATACCGGTGATTTTAAGGGTTCTGATAAATCCTGATTGAAGGTCTCGTGCTTTCCACGTGTTAAAGTATTTCGGGGCTTTGCCGTAGTACACGACTATCAGATGATCAAGTGACAGACATTTGAACTGGAGAGATGTAGAAAGAGGTTTAGGTATAGGAGCACCAGTTGGGTGTTTTGTTTATGTTTTTTTTCAAATGCCAATTGAAGGTGCTATGGAATGAGCGTGCATTAATCACATACAGAATCCACCTCGAGTACAGTATATACTCGAGGGCTATAAAACACATTCATGGAAAAAGAATGAGGTGGGCTTCAGTGATGATAGTGGAGTTAATATAAGTAAGATTTCGCGGCTGCTTCGGATTCAATGCTATAGTGATGGATCATTGACCGAGTCACGTGTTTTTAGACTTGTACTCACCCATGTACTCATCTAATTAACAGTGAGCTACAGGCTTCTATCGTACAAAAGCACAATAGTTCTAATATTCAAAAAGTCAGGTTGGTAGTCCAAATAGACCAGGAAACTTTATTTCAGGGTGAGTTCCACCTGGAAAGCGGAAACCATGAATACAATTTCACAGTAACCCAAAGAGCAGATCTCGATAAACAATAGTTTATTTATCATCTTGCACGATATGTCACAATCTTTCGTATGCCGGTACAGGACACGTTACATACTCTGAACCATGTGACTCGGAATTATAACAGTAGTCCTGGTATAATAGAACTCATAGAATGAAAGGTTCATGAATATCGGACGACACACTCAAAATTGGTTTCATACACCGTCAAATTCTCCTCTTAAGCTCAGAAACGCTGTTCAATGAATCTTCGCCTTGAATTGACACGGTTCCTTAACCTTTGTTTCGCGCTTGCCTCCGCGTTCATGTTTTGGAAGGGTCTCTCAATCGTAACAGACTCACATTCGCCCATCGTTGTGGTGCTGTCGGGCTCGATGGAGCCAGCTTTTCAAAGAGGTGACATCCTTTTTCTGTGGAACAGAAACACACTCAACAAGGTTGGAGACGTGGTTGTGTACGAGGTCAATGGCAAAGACATTCCCATCGTGCACAGGGTGATGCGGGAGCATATAGACGAAAAAACAGGCAAACAGCTATTACTCACGAAGGGTGACAACAATGCTGGAAACGATATTCCATTGTATGCAAAGCGCAAAGTGTACTTACAAAAGGACCGTGACATTGTGGGAACGGTAAAGGGCTACATTCCGCAGCTAGGTTACGTGACGATATGGATCTCCGAAAATAAGTATGCAAAGGCTGGCCTTATGGGGCTCATTGCCCTAAGTGCTTTGTTGAGCAATGAGTAGAAGAAACCCGGAGAACACCAGAAAACCTCGGCTCTTGCAGCCGTGCTTTTTTCGCCTGATGTTGTTTTCGATACTGATTAGTCTTCTCCTAGTAATCCATTTCTACCGGCGTCATCTGGCGCTTTCGCAGCAGCTTCGACACTGGGCCGGAACCGGTGGTTCCGCTTGAATGCTGCTGTACTATTTTGGTCGGTTCAAAAGCCTCGAACAAACGCTTTCTGGTTTCATCGTCGTCGCCCAGATCTCTATACTCTTCATGATCTGCGAGTTGCCCGCGTGCCTCATCGAAAGTCTTTGGTTTTGCTCCTGCGCTCGAAAATACGCGTTGTAGAAGAAGATTGAAATAGTTTTTACGTTGCTCCGACAACCTGTGCTCCATTTCCAACTGGCGCGCTAGTTTCTGGTCGCGTTCGGCCAAAAGTTTAGAAATCAATATCACCAGGTCTTTCTTGTCTATTTCCAATAGTTGTGACTGGCTGCTTAGCAGCTCCGTAAGTTTCGAAGTGTTGACTTCAGGATCTGCATCCCACTCGTAACTGTTGTCAATCAGTATTTGGTTTGCGATACTTTGTTGAGCCTTCATGATTAGGGCCTTTTCTTCGACCTGATCTAGAAACAGGTCAAGTGCTGACGATCCGCTACGGCCCAACAATGATTTGAATCTGAGGTCCGACTTAATCGAAGGATATATGTCTTCCCATTTAGTTGTACATCGTATCTCTTTGTTGTGATCAGCCAACAACTGGCGAAACCGATCTCTGGCTTTTCGATCAGATGTATAATTCACAGCTTTGGCCTGCTCCACGTCTTCTGTGAGTTTTTTCGAAAACATGTCCACCAAGTTCACGTATTGTTGTAGCACGTCATATCTCGACAAAGTTTGAAAATGCTTATTGGAAGTGAACCGAGTGCTATTTTCAAAAAGGTGACTGTTGGAGAGCTCAGGCCATGAAATTAAATGCTCTTTGTCCGGGATAATTCCACTCAGGTAGTCCTTCAATTCCACTATTGCCTGTTGTTTTGTCTTTTCAACGTTCCCAAAATGCTGCGTGCGAAGATCGTCGACAAATTCTTGGAAAACCGCACGCTTTGTGCGCTCACTTACCACCGAATGTTTGTAGATAGGCTCCTTAGCAAATAAACGCTTTGCAGTAGACCACCTTGTGTAGTACTTGATTTGAGAATGCTGTTCCAACATGGAGCAAAATGCATCCTTGAATTTGTTCACCGCGGAGTGCTCTTTAAGAAGTTGATCTTCGGTTCTATTGGCGAGATATTGTTCGAACATTTTCCTTTTCCACAAAGGATCATCGTCGACACACCAATAGCGTGGATCGGAGCTGCCAAGTTCCGAAATTATTCTATTGAAAGACCATGTCGAGTCAATCTGATGGTCTGCAAGCATTTGCAGAAAGATGCGTTCAGCGTCAGCCCTGGGCTGGTTGTTGCTCTCTACAAGCTTGGATTTGAGATGATAGGATTCTAAGCTTTTTAGGTCCTTACTTTCGGGACTGATATGGGTACTAGCTTCCGCTACTGGCGTTTCTGTCACCTTGTCCTCAGTGATTTCTGAGTTCACTAAAGATGGGGCTTCTTCTGCTGTATCTGAAAATGTTGGTACCTCCCAGCTTGACTTCCCCGTTTCCTCGTTATAATAATAAGTTTGGCCCTCTTCTGTTTCCGCAGCTTTCCAACCGTGTTTATGTAGTTGCAGTTCAAATTCGGTGAAAAGTTCGATGGGCTTTTCCCAGGTCGTTTCACCAGTTTCTGTGTGGTAGTAGTACACACGACCCTTAGGGTCTTGTGCCTCACTCCAATTTCGGCTCATGTTTAGCGTCTCTTGACTTTGTGCTCGGTGAGTAGAGTATTCGATGCCCTGCAGTTAGTTAGCCATGTAATATTACCAAGTTAAGTAGTTAAAACTTAGCGTTAGACGATTACGTTGCCTTGCACTTTTTGGCGATCTAACGATACAAGAAGGACAGTTCAGGATAGAAACAAGGGCACCGTTTTAGCTGAACTAAGACCTTCTTTTTTGGTGATGTCTTCCGCCTTGACCATGCAGATATCATTTTTCAATTATTGGGACAGCGTCTGATGACAATAATGAGTATTGGAATATCAAAACTGAAGAAAGTCGAAATAGAAGTAAAGAGACACTGGCATAATTGGACAACATAAACCACGTAGAGTTTGATTTCATAAGGAGCCAGAACAATTCTTGTTAAAACATTCAAAGCGGTTCGGAACTAAACATAGAGATCGACCATATCACTATGTACGGGAGTCCAAATCTCAATTTAAGATTATAGTTCTCGGGTAGTCAAAAGAGATTGATCAATACACGCATGGAAACGAACATAAAGAACGTCCAGTTTTAGTAGTTCCGTGTCCTCTATCTGTCCAATAACACGTTAATGTCGCAATCTCTTCGCCCTTATCTAACTGCAGTTCGTCATTCGCTGCAAGCTGCTCTAAATTTGACCAATTTTTCATCACAGGTGGTGGAAAGACACAACAGACCCGAAGTAGAAGTTCCTAACACAAGTGCGGAACTGTTATTGCAACCGATGCACGTTTCGCGTAACGAGCACGAGCAAGTATTGATAGAGCCCAGTGTCAATTCGGTCAGGGTCAGCATCAAAGTCAAACAGGCAGATGAAATCGAACAAATTTTGGTCCATAAGTTTACGCGGTTCCTGGAACAGCGTGCAGAGTCATTCTACGTGCTGAGACGGGTTCCAATTGAGGGATTTAGCATCTCTTTTCTGATCACAAACAAACACACCGAAAGTATGAACACAGAAAAACTGGTGGATTTTATAATCGAGTTTATGGAGGAGGTCGACAAGGAGATCAGCGAAATGAAGCTGTTTTTGAACGCAAGAGCCCGTTTTGTTGCAGAGGCTTACTTGGGGGAGTTTGTTTATTGAATTGCGGCTTGACGAAAACCCCAGAAAAAAAATGAAAGATTGTAAGGGGTGTGAAATTCCTGCAATTTGAGTGGTATAAAAAGGATCACAGCAATATTATGCACTGTTTACATTGTATTGCTCGCTGCTCAATTGTCAGCAAAGCTTTCGATATAGTGAGAATAAAGCTTTTCTAATAATTCAAGAACAAACAATGAGAAAACTTCTTCAACAGATAAAACAAATTCAAATTTACTGGGAGCAGACACAGCGCGGCCCTCGCCAATTGGCAGCTCAACTAAATTCCGTTGCCTCGAAATACGTATCTTTCCATTTTAAATATGGCTGTCATCGGAATGTTACCCGGAGGCGCCTTTTTATATTAGCCCGCCTATAGTCAAAAAACAGTCCAAAATAAAATAGCATATAGTCCATCTCATCTCATCGCATCGCTCACCCCGAAGTTGCGACTAGAAAGAGATACAGAGAGCATACCAGCTGTCTTGGCAGCACTTCGTCTGTTCACCAAACAACTTGAGGCAATCAATCGAAGACCTGAGGTTCTGGGTGTCCGTGTGTCTTTATTTTTCAGTTTATTTTCTCCAGGATGTCTAATCAGCAGACAGATGAGGCCTGGAATCCAAACTCTTATGACCAGGGCTCAGCAAATGTAAACCATTCCATGTTGAATTTGAATGATGACTACGCTAATATACTAAGTAATTTGGCCCATGGTACTCCACCTGCTTTGAAAGAAGGCTCCGAAACAACTGGCCAGAAGTCGCAGAAAACGTCGGCATCTCCCGGGGCATCAAATGCTCGCTCAAACATCAGTAACGAGAAACAGCCCAATCTGGATTTGTTACTCCAACACTATCAGGAGCTATTCAGTCGTTCTGGTCATAGTAACAGCAGTGCGAATAACAAAACTAGCGGCGACACATCGAACGGAACGGAACAGGGTCCAGCTCAAGATTCCCTAAATGCCAACCAGCCATCAAACAACAATTCTAACACACTCGCAAATCTTGAACAGACTTCTGTAATAGCAGAAAAACCGTGTGATCATTGTCGTCGAAGACAAATCAAATGCGTCATAGTTCCGGATTTGACTAATTGCGTGCAATGCGAAACCAAAGGCATAAAATGCGGCTACTCTAACTCGCCCGCTTCACATCAAGGGCCTGAAATGTCCCGGGATATCTCCAAGCGTAACCGTGTGGACGAAAATGTAAACGTTCACGAGCTTTTGAAGCGCACTAAACCCAACAACAACATTGACCCAGTCTCTGAAAATTATACAGATATACTTCTCAGTCTTGACCACACAGCGCACGAGAAACAAAAGCGGAACTCTGATAAATCCAGTATTTCTGGTGTGGGTAATCTTTCGAGCCCCTACATGATGTTCGATTCTCCTGGGCATATCGAAGCAGCTAAGAGTTCAGCAAACAGTGTTCTGACTGGTAACTCACCTTCAAATTTGTCTGTTGGGACTAATTTTAATGGTGGGCAGCAGAAGCTTCCTCACGTACCGCCGCCCATCCAATACCCACGCTCCTCATTCTACGTTGGACCGACATCCGTCTTTGACATAAATCTGGTAAACCAGGTCAAACTAGATAAGATTGACCAGGTACAACTGTCCAAAACTCTAGCACTACGAAAGGTTGCCCCAGACGTGCAGTTTCTACTCCGAGATGACCTCAATCAATCCCTTTACATGAAACAAGAACAAGAGGTAGACATGGTAGAGAAGCTCGTTCATCCCCATGGTAAAATACTCGTTGACATTTTTTTCAAACTAATACATCCTCAATTCCCAATTTTGCATGAACGAGTTTTCCTAGAGAAATATTCAAGGTCGTATCGCGAGCTAACGGCGCCACTGCTGGCAGCTTTGTATTCCTTATCGCTGCAGTGGTGGGATTTCCATCCTCAGCTTGTCGGATTTGCAAAACCAGATGTAACTGATCAGCTCAATAAAATTGCGCTAAGGACATTTTTCGATGTGATTGAGAGGCCAAAACTAAGCATCATACAGACCGGTCTCTTGATCTTACAATGTCGCAGCGAAAGCTCTAGTAACTGGGCAATATGTTCAGAAGTTGTGGCACTGGCCGAAGATCTAGGGCTTGGTGTAGACTGTCAAGATTGGAGACTTCCTCGGTGGGAAAGAGGTCTAAGAAGACGGCTGGCTTGGGCGGTGTGGCTGGAAGATAAATGGACGTCCATGATGGAAGCCAGACACTCGCATTTGATTTTGGGCAGAAATTGGCTGGTTAAAATGCTCACCGATGAAGACTTCCCAGCGACCTCGCCAGTGATCAGCGGCTCTATGGGCGCTTCACAGTTCAATGGACAAACACCAAGAGATGTCACAAGTCCAGTAATTGATAAGTCAATGCTCGACCTTTCTCCTACTGAAGAGGACTTCAAAAACAGCAAATTAATGTTTCAATACATGATTTCTCTGAGCATTATTTTGGGCGAGGTGCTGGACACATTTTACACATTGGGGGCACTCCAAACCGTGACAAAGATCGAGCAAGTGCTTAAACTTGCGAAGCCTTTGCAGTTAAAGATGCGCGAATGGTACCACTCATTGCCACCACAGCTTTCCATGAACAACTTAAAGGAAAGAAGATTTAATAGCAATGCCTCCTTGACGCTTTCGTATTTCGCTGTCGAGCTCACCTTGCATAGAAAAATCATAACTACCTTGAACAGTGATACTTCTCCAGAGCTCGTTAAGGTATGTCGATTAGCAGCAAAAACAAGACTAGTTGCGGCAATCGAATTCATAAGAGACCTCAAATTCGAGCATGTCAACTCTTTCTGGTACACCTGCTCCACGGGAAACCTCACTTTGATTGGAACATTTTCTGCACTACTGTTCGTTACCGCACCTTCGAAACAAGAAGCAACGATTTTCAGAGATTGCCTTAGAAACTATGTTTGGATTTTAAGGATGAACTCTAGAAGCTTTGATAAGGCGAGACATGGATTGGAAAGAATCCACATGTTGCTGGCTCAAATTCCGGGTCTACTCACTGATGACAGCGCTCGTCAGCAACAACGAGCCAGCGCAATCCCACCACCTACGTTGTCACCGATGGCCCACCAGCAAGCAACACAGCCGCCATACGTTTCTTCGGGCTCGTCTACGCAGAGGCAGTTCAGTCCGCAATCAGTGGCTAATCAATTCAAAGGTTTGCCTTCTGATATCATGCATCAGTTGGCCAATATTCAGGGAAACATGCCGATAACAAATGGATCAAACGATATTCAGGCAGGTAATGCGCCAGTGAATGAAAGAAGGGATGGAGCAGGTGTTCTGAACAATTCAAATCGTACATCACCGGCTGAGTCATCGCCTGGAGAAAAGGATTCCTCGAAGATTGGCGCCAACATTACAAGCGAAAGCGGTGGATCGCCAGTCGATACAGAACATATTAAGGAAGAAGTGGATCGACCCTCAGATAGAACACCAAAGATGGCGTCAAAATCCAAAGTGTTGACACCTCAAAGCAGTACAGGCATAAACGGGAAAAGTGTTCAGGGTATTTCATCTAATAACGACAACAATCAATCCAATGGCGGGCTTGAACATCAGGAAGGAAGCTTGCAAGCATCTCCTACTTCGACAGAGGGGGTACGAGGTAAAGAAAGGAGTCCTGAAAGTGGAGTCTCATCAAATGATTCGTTTTTGGGCGAGAAAAAAGATGACCAGCCAACACCAGGAAGCCAGCATGAAGCGGGACCAGAAAAGTCTGCGTTGAATGAATCGAGTAGTGCTTAAAGGCACGGGCTTTTACATATTTGCATTTATAATGGTACGATAGTCACATTTCCATACAGGCACGTCTATAGTGAATATTGACATTGGACCAATCAAGGTTTTGCTAGCTCAGAACAGTACGTGAATGTCTACACAACCCTCCTTACCTAAAGAAACTTGGAAACTTTGTGATCTTCTGCGGACGTGCTGTACTCTCCTGGAGTTTCCACAATGATGTGGGAATCCGTCGAAGGTTTGTACTTGAGCCGTTCCTTTTCGTTAAGAGCTTCTCGGGTTAAAAATTCAGCATCAGTTTGGATCCGAGAATCTTCCAATTGGGAATTTTCAGTGTGTGCCGAGTTCTCTGACGAATGCTCTTCCTTTGCCCTCATCTGAGGCTTGAGCCCCGAATCGTCATCAATGTCTTTCATTATGTCTCTAAAAAGATCTCGCAGAGATGCTTCATCTTGGTCTGGGTTTTTTTGACCATTGAGCCTGCTAATCATATCCTGACGATTGAGGTCGCCTGCAACTTCATTGTGTTCTCGTACTTTAGCGGCCTCTTCCTCGAGAAGAACATATTTCGACCTCTCAAAGCGTTGAAATAGTTTGTTTACCAGTGCTAGTTCTTGTTCAACATCGACCAACTCGTCTTTTTGAACCTTGGAAATGAGGTCTCGGAGTATTCCTAGTTTCAACGAATACCTCCTCTCCAATTCTGCGTTTTTTTTCTGCTGTTCCATCACACTAGTCAGCATAGAGCCAAAAAGTATTACAACCAATGCTGGCTTCAACATGGATTTGTCAAATCTCGAACTCTTCCTTCCTGAAACTGCATTTTCTCCAGCGTTCCGTGTACTATACGCACGGTTTGTCAGGCGGCTGTAAAACCGAGAACTGCCCCTCTTTACTAATGAAGCCCACATATCTAGACCCTTACAGAGTTATTTTCTAAACTTGACCGCTACTTGTCCAAAAAAGACGCTCAAAAGTCCTGTGGATTAATAAACACGGACTGCTTGTTGTTGTTAGTTTGTTGATGGTGTTAATGTAGAGTCTCGAACCTGCACCGTTTACTGCTAACCTGTCAGTATCGTCACCATATTCTACCAGCATCTCTGATCTCATCTCTGATTTCATCTCTAGCCAATTTCTTGAAATTCAATTTCGTCTCCGATGACATTTGGAAATTTTTCGACGTGTATGAAAAATCGTCTGTATAGAGATCTCATCATAAGCTCATCGCAGCTCATCGCGACAGCTCAAACAGCGTAAGCCGGGCTATACAACCAGTTTCAATCGAAACACAAAGCATTGAGGCTGTTTGTGGCCATGAGAGATTCTAATCACGGCTGGAATGGTGCCGAAAACCGCCAAAAAAACCAAGGTTTCAAGCCTAAAAACGATCAAAGCTCGACTTTTGACGATGGACTTTTCGATAAGTTGCAAGAAGTGCTGAACACGATTGATCTCGTCAATGACACGGCATCCAATGACTACAAGCCCGTAATTTCGTTTTTTAATAGTCGATTTCCGCCCCAACTGACGCAATCATGGTCGTACCATGCGCAAGTCAATAACCATGCAAAATTCACAAATTGTACATCTAAGCTAGCAAAGGCCCTGAGAGTGCTGGGATCTGATGCTAGTACATTGGAATATGGATCTTCTTTGATCCGGTCAATTCTGCATGAGAATGTCAAAGTCCTTTATCGTGGACTTAATAATATGAAACCGGCAACCACGAACTCGGTTCTGCGTCTAATGCGGCAAATCGTGGCTTTCAATCACGGCCAATATGTGGACGATTTTCTAACATACTTTGATTTGGCTTTGCCCAGTCTCGTGCGCATTCTAACACCCATCAGGGCGGAATTGGCAGATCCCGAAAATTGCAAGACCAATCCCGATATGTCAATGCGCTACAATTTTCTAACTTTCTGGCTCACTTTGATAGAAAATGCCAACCCAATATTGCGAAAAGCGGTATTAACAGAGAATTCACGAATCATGAGCACTTGGTTCAAGCATATGACGAAAGTGGACTCTATAAAGCTTATGAAGCATTGCGTCAGTACGTTAATGGAAAAGGTGCTGCGAGAAAAGTCCATGAGAAGGGTCACGAAGTGCAAAACTCTAAACGAGTTTTTTATCAGCAAGCTTCACTTTTTCTACCGCTCTACCGATGTTGAGCTAGTAAAAGCTGTCGACGAGTTTTTCGAGCTCTATTCCACGGTTGATGAATGCAGTGTCGCATTTTCCGACGACAAGGTATGGTTTTCTGAGCCCGTGTATGCCAAGGCAGGCCCACAATCTCAGAGCAGTGGAGCAATGGTCATGGTTAACAACAAGAAATTCTACCTTTACAATAAACTCCTCTTTACGATGCTGACATTTTTCAAACCTTGGGAAGATGAAACGCAACTGAACAGAGTCATACAAGTTTTGCATTCAGTGCCGGAACTTGTCGCACCTTACTGCACCTTTCTAAATACACTGGGCAGTCACGAGCCTAAAATGACATCCTACTGGTTTGGAATGACTCTTCTTCTTGGTCGCATTATCAACTTACCCATTCCTCAAAAAATTTTAGACGTGCAGACCGATGAGCAGCCCGTGAGCAGTATAGTTATGGAGTCCATTGCACCATCCTCATTAACGAGAGCTTCATTGACCAAGGCTTTACTGTACGATGTGCCTCTAATCAAACAAATGGCTTGTCAGCTACTCATTTTTTCTTTCAAAAAGCTTGAGCAAGTTTTCAAGCTTTACGACGACAAAGGATGGACGTCTGCAAAGACAGATTTGGTAGGACGTCTGAAATTAACACTTCCAGAGCTACCAACCATCTCGGCAACACTGGAGTTTGTCAGTCGTAATAACAGTGAGAACAAAATTTTAGCTGCATCAGTATCGCTTGTATTGAACCATTACAGCAAGCTTTTCCCTCTGGGATTTGCACTATCGTTGCCACATGATAACATTTACTCAAAAGTTTTCGCTGCCAAATCTTTTTCAGCATTGGATCTTGTCATAATCGACAATTTTCTACAGTTTCAAGAGCTCAACAATTCGCAAACTAAATGGTATAATCCTAATGTTGATGAAAATTCGACATTCACTACTTTACTCAAGTTGGCGTCATCCACAAATACCACCTCATCCCTAATCAAAAAAATAACGTCGCTACTCGACACTTTATTGAAATTCACCCCAGTTTTCAATGAAAATCTGATAGCTTCTCCCACCCTCGCACTCATTAACTGTCTTCAGATTGTTGTGAGGAGCGATTTTGCGGATAAGGAAATACAGCAAGAGAAAGTGTGGAAGCTTTTGGACGAGACGGTGTCTAGAACTGTGAAAACTCCTTACAAATACGTGGACAACTCAGCTACTTATGGCTACTGTTCACCGTTCCTAGTTGCTTTGGTAGAGCAATATCATTACACAGACACGGCGAGTGCACATGATGCTGTACTCAAATGGCTGCTAATCTTTGCTAGGAGCGCAGTGTTCATCGGAGAGCCGTTAGATGGCGTAAAGCACTTAATGAGATCTGTTCGTACAATACCTGAAGCACTGATAACAACGTTTCTCACTTTAGAACAAGACGAGGAAACTTTAAATTCTTTGCGACAGCCAGAGAACTTGGTGGTGGGTGATTTGGAATTCTCTTTTTTTCAACTAGTCACACTGACACCAGAGTTGGAACTAGACGCTCTAGTAAGGTATCCCGTTAATGATCTTGACGTGGCTGGACTTTTCAACCGGCTTCTCTCAGTCTTGAGTCAAGACGAAGCCATAACATCCTTCGAAAAGTTCTCATTCATTGTTGACAATTTACTTTCTAAGCTGATGAGCTATGCTCTTTCGCAAACGAGTTTCAAGTCCAAGCTTGTTGAGGAACGATTTTTCGTCAAATGCATGGTTAGCAAAACAATAGACACCAGCAATTCTACAGCATGTGAGAAATACGCATACGTCTCGAACAGCATAATAAGCATCTACTCTCAACTTGGAGAGACTATGACGTCCTTCCGCAACTACGTTCACGATCTCTGGATAACATGTGCCGAACCATGGAGAACGAACGAAAAACTCAGCTCTGTACTCAAGAATGGACTGTCTTTCTTGACCTCTGACCAACTCCATGAAATTCTACAGTCGCTGCTTGCACACAGTCAGAGACTTTTGCCGGTTGTTGTTGAGGAGCTTTATTGTCGAAAAATCCAGATAACTAATAAGCAATTCATGAGCTTGCTTATGCAACATGATTCTGCCCTTGCTCCTTTTTTGCGTGGCTTTATCAAATTTGAACTGGTCAAAGCACCGCAGTATGATGAGATTGTTCCCGCTGCCTTACAGTTTGCATGCTACAAGCAGGTAATCGAGGAAATACTGAAAATCAGAGAAGGCGCTGCTGCTTTGTTACAGTTTGTTAACATGATAAAAGACGAAGGATTGATGGTAATGACAGCTGCAGCCTTGAGCTCTGCGGGAAGCGAAATCGAACCCTCGTTCTTGGACAATGCCTTATCGATTGCCTTTGAAAACTTGAGAACGTGGAAGGATTCGGACCTCGACGCAGCGATCAAACTGTTTGATAACAACCACGACAGACTTTCAGATACTCGCAGACGTGAGATTGTTGACATCATTACCACGAGAGCTGACAGTAGATTTACTCCACAAGTACCAAATTTCATTGCTCATCAAGCTGTAGAAAACGAGAAAGGCGTACGGTCATGGATACAGCTTTCTCTGATATTTATCACCAAGAACATTGTGGAAAGAGCAAAGCCGACGGAACGTTTCTCTGAATTTGTAAAGAGCTTTCTCAACCTGCATGATAGGAAAAATCTTTGGAGCCAAGGATTCACAGCAAGCCTCAACTCTCAAGTAGAAGCTATTGTCAGTGGTGGCTGGGTGACGTATTCCGATATCATGGAGTATCTTAATAAGATCATTCTGGGAGCAGCGAAAGCACAACTAAGCGGCAGCAAAATGCTGCAGCTGCTATTAAACAACGACAAGATGTGTTTCAACAATGGCGCACACGATTCTCGTCTCAAATTCCTGACGGCCAGTTCCATTTTCATTCTTTTTAACGCCGATTCAGCCGGTTGCTCTAATCCAATAGTTCAGGAGAAGCTACTGCAATTCTACGGGGGCACAATAAGCCCTTCTGACAGGATGATTCTGAACATACTGGAACAGATCGAATCCAAAACTCTTTCTTCGTGGACTAATCGCATTTTTGCTTGGGATTATCAGGATGTGCCTGAAAACTTTGAAGAAAACACGGCTAATAACAATCTCATTGTGAAGGAGCAGGAGGGATTTATTGTGACGATAAGAAAGAATCTGGTCAACTTTAGTGTTGACAACTTTGCTTTGACATTGCCACGACTACCTTCTATGGCGCGCGAGGGCCCATCTCACATGTGGGCCGAATTTGTAACCCTTCGAGAACAAACAGATGCTGAATACACAGAACTGCAATACAAAGTGTATGACCCCATGTTTTTGTTGCTTGCGATTGTGAGCAATGAGGAACTATTCAGATCCAAAGATTCTTCTTTGCAAGACCAACCTGACACATCTGTTTTCGACATGAAAAAAGTCGTCGACTCTGGCTTACTAGAGTTCATTGTGATGTGTTTGGCTACCGACACTGAGGTTGGTGAACTAGCTTTATTGTTGGTTTATAAAATGCTTGACTCTCTGGAAGTGGGCAATTTTAGAGACAAGCATGCTTACAAGCTTTTCCTGACGAAGATAGCCTTTACATTCTACTCGGATAAGAATAAGAGCGAACCTGAGGCGCAAAAGGCTCCGCCCCTGATCTGGTATATGGCGGCACGTTTATCGACCGTCTTGGGCCAGCCTTCTTCCTTTCTTTATGAAAAAGCGAATCGTTGGGTGCTTGCGTCTCCTTCTGTCAATTCTTGGCAACTTCCACTATATGAAACCGCTGTGCTGGCAAAAAGAGATGATGACGCTGATCAATATTACAGATATTTGCATTGGTTCCTCGAAAGCATCCAGCAGGGCCTGAAAACGGATCAAGATCTTAACCTTCTTAGGTCTCGAGGCCTTCTTGAATGGATAATGAACTTGTTGAACTCGCCATATATTACTTTAAGAGTGCGAAGCTTGATAAGCTTGATAATCTACAAGATTCAGAGATTAGAGGCAGGTGGCCCATCACTTTTAACTCGACATGCGAGCGCATCATTCTTGGAAAACCTGCAAATTCACACGCAACGAAAGCTTCTGACATCAAACGCGGAACGTTTTTCTCGCGCAAAGAATAAGCTTCACTTGATGCAAAATCTAGTTTTGCACCAATGTCAAATCAACTATTCCGAGTTGGGCGCTGGTTTGGCCGTTGTCGCGAATTCCAGAAAGCGGCTTGTGGAATGGATGGAGGGAGATTCGGATAACTTTTTGAAACGCATCCACCCTTCTGACTAGAGACACGAGAACCGACTTTGAGGGTGGCTCGTCACTGCTATCTAGTTAAATCGCATACATAGCACGACCAAGTTTTGTCGAATGCATATAATCGCATTAATGTGGCTACCTTCCCATTGTTTAGCAGTCAGAAGCGCCATTTATGTACTTTCATGAACACCGTTAGTTCATGTCTAATTTCTAGAGTCCCAGTTGGCCCAGTGGACATTGTGCAGAGTGATAGTAAGCGTTGTGGGCCTTACTGGAGGTTTAAGAGCCACGGTTAGAACCATATAAGTTGTTGAAAATGTTGTCTTCATCAATTGGCGCAGTGGAGTTAGCTCCACTTCCCAGCCACATGGCCCGATTGGAAATCTCTGTCCATAACTCACTTTCGAATGCTTCAATATTTTCCAGGCCATCCAGAAATTTTTGAATATCGCTGGTAGTCTCTAATGACATCGGTTCGAAAGAACTAGAATTGTTCTCAACGATGTCTGTGCCAGCATCTCTCGAAACTTGATTAGGCTTACTTGTTGGCTGTTTCGAAGAGAGAGGATAGCGAGCCCTGGACGTCTCGGTCACAGGAATGGATATGATGTTTGCCTCCTTGTAAGTTTGGTTTTCGTAATGCGCATCAGGCTTCAGGTCGTCGTAATGTTTTTTTATCAGTTCCTTCATTGTACCTCGAAAATCCAGATTGCACATAAGCTTTAGTATTTGAGCTCGTCGCAGGCCAGCTGGATTATTGCCCAAGTTGCGCATTTTGGTAAATATTAAAAGGGCATGGTCAAGGTGTTCAGCAGTTTGCTCGAATATACCAAACGCCGCATTGAAAAGCAAAAGTGTGCACGCCGAGGTGAACAGATATTCGCGATCCATATAGCCAAATAAAGCGACCATGTTTTGATTCATTAAGTACCACAAGCATTTTATAGTGCTGATTGACGCTTGAAGGGAGCAGTTCAACAATGATGAAATGGTCTTCGAGTAGCTGGGTAGATTGATATAATTAGCACTGATATGCCAATTTTTCAGTGTCAAGGAAACAAAATGGAAAAGCAAAGGCCGTATTGCTAGATTCATCCCTTGGAAGTATTCAGTGAATATGTTTGTATGCAGCCTAGGGATTTTGAAGTCTTTCTGGGCGAAATCTACTTGGAGAAAATGAGAAAGTTCTTTTCGCCAATCCAAAAGTTGAATGACGATCTCTTTTAAGGTGGGAAGTATGTTTGAAGTTGGTAGTCTTTGATAAAGCTTGTTCAAGATTTTAGAGTTGATCTGCGTAATCTTGACGCAATTCGTGATGTATTCTGCCTCTGGAAAAATGTAGTGTTCGCAATTTCGTGGTGGATTCGTCATGTTGAAATCCCCTGGTAGCTCAGTGGTGATACTTTCATCATCAAAACTTAGTGGGAGGCCTGCCTTACTACTAAGCATTCTTTCATACATGTAAACAGTCCACCACAGACGACGACGATGTTCAAGTTCGAAACGACTTAAAGTGTCCCTTTGAGCATCAACATGCCATCCCATAATGAGGCAAGCGCGCAAGGCTTGCCCGAAATAAAAGTAGGAAGACACCGTACAATCAGCAACCTGCAGATAGAAGGCGTAAAGTAGCATTACCTCCAATCCACCTTGTTTGGTGACGTTCTCGATACGGCCACTGGTGAAGAGACAGCTGAATATCTTCGAAGCCTGCTCAAAGAACCCAGATCCCGGTAATCTGGTGCTGTCTTTGGAACTGGTCTTGGTGCCGTTTGTGTTGTTGGAAATGCCCAAGTACATTTCTCCCGTGGCGAAAATCAAAAGAATCTTACAAAACCAAATGGTCTGTAATGTGTTATCGTTTGAGCTAGAAGATTCCTCGTAGATGCTTTTGACCTCTTCTTTTACTATTCCCTCGTTAAAAAAATAAAAACAGCCGTCATTGTAGGTAATAAAGGTATCAATGAGCAACACTGAATATGAATACGATGGAAGCGTGAAGTGTACGCTAACGTCTTCGTCACCGTCATTCTTTGATAGAACAATTTTGTATGCATTGCCTTCTTCTTGCAAAACTTCATCGATCTGTTCAGTGGGCAAACTGGCATCTATCGAAGTGTTATCTTGAAGAGAACTGAAATCTTGATCCCCGAACCTTTTGGTCAGACTTTTTGGGATCAACGACTGAATTTCGAGCCCAAAAAGAGTCATAGACGAAGAACCCACAAAATACTGTTGGCCAGTTCTAGAGGCCACGAGTCTGCCACGTCTTTCTGCAAAATTGGGCACAATTTCTTCGTCATCCAAGTTATCATCCACGGAATTTTCTTGAAATTTCACGTCTGGAGCTGCATTCCCATTGTTTGAGGCCACAGTTTCGTTCTTGGAGGAGACTTTTTGGTTCACCTTTGCTTGCAAATTGACATTTTCACGCTTGAGGTCGGCCAAATCTGTTTGTAGTTTTTGCAAGTATTTCATCGAGACCACCAGTTTTTTGTTTGGCTCAAGGTATTCACATTCTACTTTGGCAGAGACACACTTGGAACATGGCTGGCCACCGGGACATTTGACGTGGCGTCTTCTGCATCGAACGCAGGCAAAACCGGGACGTTTTTGACGTTTTCGGGTATTATCTATGCTCGCATCTTCGACGTCCGAGTACGGGAGGTTTTGAAGACCTTCCACGTCAGATACCACAGAAGCGTCGTTGTGCTCATTTGGTGGCATGCCACTGCAATGTGGAGGGAAGACCAGGGTACAAAAGGAGTGTGTGTGGTGTGGCTAGATGAACAGTAAGATGGAGAGTGCCAAAGAAGATGATGTTTGATTCACGATGACTTTTGGTTAGATACGATGATTATGGACAGCTCTTCGTATCATGTGATATTCTCATCAAAAAGTCATAAATGGCTTGTGTGGGCCGTGTTAACAACGACTTTTGATGTTGATGATGATTGCATTGACTTGTGCTCCAGTCTGTGGGCTCGCAGAACTCCTTGTGTGTCTTCAAGCGTTTTCTTTGTTTTCACGTCTTTAAAGCACAGGTTCATGTCAAAAACATAAAATGGAATGGAAACTTGAAACTCATGTTTTTTATAGACCTGCGGAGACAAAGTGGTTTAATCGAGTTGTCATTATGCTTTCAGTTTTGATCAATGACCCGTTGCATATATCGTTGAGTTTCAAATGCATTTGCTCAGTTTTAAACTTAGGTCGTGACTGTATTTCTTGATATATATTTATTTAACTTACCACTCTTTCATCAAACGGTTGTTTGGCCGAGCGGTCTAAGGCGCCTGATTCAAGAAGTACGCTTCTTAACACTGTTAAACAGTGGAATCCTCAGGTATCGTAAGATGCAAGAGTTCGAATCTCTTAGCAACCATTAATTTTTTTTGAAATAGTTAGGCAATCGACTGCATGTTTGGGTAGAAAACTAACTAGATGTCACACGTAGACTGTGAGCTTGGTGTCTGTCATGAAAGAAACAAAATGCACATATGTGGTTGATGGGAGTTTACAACAAGCTCCTAACGATTGCATTGCATACACTTGGACTCCAATTTTGTGAGTTCATGCTCGTTTGCAAAACTTGTGAGGAAGAATAGAGGAAGAATAGAGTCACCAGATGTGAAGCTCTATTTTCTTTCGTTTTTATTGAAGTTCAGCAGCTTGCGTCGAATTCCACGATTGCATAATGAATTATTATTGATCGTTCTGGAGTTGAAATGGTCACCTACTTAAGTGACGCTTACTTACGGAGTCTTCAGAAACCCGATGCCAACAAACTCAGTCACGTGACCATATATCTCTTTACAAATAAGTCAGTCACCAGGCACAGTGATCAAATATGACCTATTACGCACAGAATTTGTTAACCCTTGACCTACACATACCTCTAACAAGTCCAGATCTTCTCTCCCATATCCTGACGTTGACACCCTTCTACTTTCTCCAGAACTCTTTCCTATTGGCTGAACTCTTCCAAGTAGCTTTGAACGAGGAGAACTATTAAGGTCAAAAAAGTTTTCAATTTCAATGCTCGAAATCTATCCATAGCAGGAGGCCTTCGAACAGATAGGGTAAACACGTATCGGTTTGGAGACCAGTCCTTAACAGATTCGAATCATTCAACCACCTCAAGCTAGTCTTACGTGGCGTGATACAAACCAACGGCGTTTGAAGCTTTCCAAAACTCCCATTTTTGCCTTGTTTCTTTGAATTTCAAAGACTAGCCATCAAACACTTATAGCTCACATTACAACATGTCTATTGCCAAATCTGCCGCTACCAAATTGGACTGGGCTACCGTTATCTCGTCTCTCAAACTAACGGGAAAGACCGCCACACAATTGACCTCATTCAAGAAGAGAAACGATGAGGCCCGCAGAAAGCTATTGGATCTACAAGCACAACCAAAGACTGTGGATTTCGAACACTATCGTTCTGTTCTAAAAAACTCTGAGGTCATCGACAAGATTGAGTCTTTCTACAAATCTTACAAGCCTGTCACAGTTGACATCAAGAAGCAGGTGTCGACCATTGAGGCTTTTGAATCCCAGGCCTTGGACAACGCTAAGGAAACTGAAAAATTCGTTGCCCAGGAACTAAAGGATTTGAACGACACTTTGAAGAACATCGAGTCTGCCAGACCTTTCGATGAATTGACCGTTGAAGAACTGGCCAAGAGCAGACCAGACATTGACGCCAAGGTCGAGGAAATGGTCAAGAAGGGTAGATGGGAAGTGCCAGGTTACAAGGAGAAGTTTGGCGATTTGACTGTTATGTAAAAGTGGCCATGCGATGCTACAACCTTTTGTAAGTCATGTAGGAACGAACAATTATACATTCCGTGCGAATTTTGTTATGATGCACTCTTGTCGGTGCAAAATACCTATAAGTTTGCTTATGATGGTCGTTACCATTGATGAACTCAAACCTTAAAAAGGCATCGCTAGTAACTACATACCAAGATGAACAAAGTCTTGGGACAAAGCTTTCTTGAAAGTATCACCTACGAGCAGTCCCAGGATGTTGAAATCACCACTCGGCTTTTGCAGTCGCTGCCAATGTCTCAGTTGGTTGCCAAAGGGTTGGCCATCGACCATTTGGCATTGCAAAACGTTCGCACTGGGCTAGCTGGAAAGCTTTACATGGAAATTGGACCTGACCCAGCGTTCACTCAGGAACTGATACGCGGAGAAGTAAGAAACGGAGACCTTGTGTTGGTGAAAGCATCCAACAGTAAAAAGAATGAGAATTCATGCGAAGGCGTGGTAACCAGAGGTTCTGATAGAATGATCACCATTGCGATCGACGAGGCTCAGGAGAATAACGCCCTGAGCTTGTACAATGCCTCTAGACTTTGCTTGTTGAAAACCACCAACACCATTACATACAAGCGCATGCAGTCAACCATGCGGAAACTGTGCGAAATCGAAGGAACGCCAAATAATGAGATTGTACAGTATCTCTTGAATGAAACGAGCTTCATTCCACAGAGAAGCCAACTGAATACCGAGTTCTTTGATGACAGACTCAATGCCTCCCAAAAGGACGCAATCGACTTTTCGTTGCAAAACAAGCTAAGCATTATTCATGGACCTCCTGGAACAGGTAAAACTCACACTCTGGTCGAACTTATCCGCCAATTGTGTGAGAAAGGCCATAGAATTTTAGTCTGTGGCCCTTCAAACATTTCCGTTGACACAATTTTGGAGCGTCTCGCTAAAGTGATGCCGGGGCAAAGTCTTCTTAGAATTGGACACCCAGCTCGTCTTTTGGAAAAGAACCTGGCCCATTCACTAGAAGTTCTTTCTAAAAGTGGTGATGCTGGTACTATCGTCAGAGATATCTCGAAAGAAATCGATGACACCATTGCGAAAGTCAAAAAGCTAAAATCTTACAAGGACCGAAAGGCTAGCTGGAGTGAGGTCAAAATCTTACGCAAGGAGCTGAAGGCCCGTGAGCAAAAAGTGGTGACAGACCTCATTCTAAATGCAAGAGTGGTCGTTTCTACCCTTCACGGTTCTAGCGCAAGAGAATTGGTCAATTGCTACTCGCACACAGATCATCTATTCGACGCATTGATCATCGATGAAGTATCACAGAGCTTAGAACCGCAGTGTTGGATTCCACTGATATCTCATTACAAATCGAACATGCAAAAACTGGTACTGGCTGGAGATAACAAGCAACTGCCTCCAACGATCAAGACCGAAAATAATGATACAGTCAAACAAGCGCTAACTACAACACTTTTTGACAGATTGGTGAAAGTGTATGGTGACTCTTTTAGAAACCTTCTGGATACACAATATCGGATGAATACCATGATCATGGATTTCTCATCTCAAGAAATGTATGGTGGGAAATTGAAAGCAGCAGAGGCAGTCGCGAATTGGACGCTCGCTGATTTACCGGCCGCTGATTTTAACGAAAATACCGAAGCTCCTTTAATTTGGTATGATACGCAGGCTGGCGATTGTCCTGAAAGAGATGAGGACGTCAACGACGCTGGTGCAATATCGTCAAAACTCAACGAGAACGAGGCTTACTTGGCGCTACACCAGGTTTCGAACTTAGTCTCTAGTAACATCTCACAAGAATCAATAGGTATCATTGCCCCTTATAATGCCCAAGTTTCACTGCTGAAAAAACTCGTACATGCCAAATACCCGCTTGTCGAAGTCTCCACCGTCGATGGATTTCAAGGTAGAGAGAAAGACGTCATTATTTTATCATTGGTGAGAAGCAACGACAATTTTGAAGTCGGCTTCTTGGCCGACGAGAGACGTCTCAACGTGGCAATGACGCGGCCAAAAAGACAATTATGCGTCATTGGGAACATGGAGACTTTAGAACGAAGCAAGGTAAAATTTCTTGAAAGGTGGGTGAGGTGGTCCGAGGATAACAGTGAGATAAGGTACCCAGACCTCAGCGAAGTGTTGTGCCTGTCGTAGTGGCTACAAATTTGTATTATTCTATATCGGTTTATCAAAAACATATAGATCAACACTTTCATCGGCAGTGACGAACATGCTGTATTTTGGATTGAATGCAATGGTCCTGGGGCAAGAATCGGGAGCTGCGGTGATAGATGCGCACGGTTTAAGAGTTTTGCCGCTGACGGATTCGGAATGGTTGTAAATTGCGATTTTACCTGCGTAGTCGGTGCTTAATGTAAAAGAGCCATCCGGCGTGAAGCATGCGGAACCTGCGTCCATGAATTCTCGCAGAGGAAAAGGTCTTGTTCCGGATAATTCGAAGAGTTGCGAGCCATCGAACGCGTCCAGGATAATTTGTTTGCCAGCAGACGATGCCAGAAGAATATATTTGCCGTCGTTGGAGAATTCGAGCTTGTTCCACTGATGAAATTTTGGATTAACTTTGATAACGAGAAAAGGGCCATTTTTAAGTTCTCTAAGGTTATACAGACCAATTTCATAGTTTTCTGGGTTCCCTAACGCGAAAACCAGTCCGCTGGGGTCGTAAGCAATGCAGTTTGGTACCAGGCTCGGTACGATAGCCTGCGCTTTGGATGTACGTAAGTCCCACAGCCGTACCGATTCGTCGTACGAAGCAGAAAGAAACGTATCGTTGAGCGGGCTCATTTGCAGATCGCTCACAAGTGCTCCGTGTCCCGTAAAATACCGCAGGTACTGATTTGTTTCCAAGTTCAAATGTCTGATATCAAAGCTCTTCATGGTGGATGAGTAGACACATTCGTTTTGAGAATGGGTAAATTTTGCAGAGTGGCAACCATATTTCTTCGACGCTACCGTGTTCAGGAACCTGCAGTTCATTGCGTCGTAAAGATGCATGTTGTCGTTGGCAGATGCTGTCAAAAGGTACCGACCATGATCGTCGAAATTCAATGACGTTACAGGCGCCAGGTCGTTGTCACCCGGTTTGAAAGTCTTGACAGCACGAAAACTGGCCAAGTTGTCCTTGCTGATATCTAGAGACATGTCTTGGGCTCTTGAGGACACTTCTGAGTTTGTTGACTACTTATATTTTAGATATTTAGTTGATGTGGAAGTAGAATTTCAATATTTTTCAGATTACTATAACTCTTACTATAGAGAAAGAGCGATGAGATGAGGACAACATAGAAATTAGTAAAGGAGGGGCGTTTTATCTGAGACTATGGTCAGAATATTTGCAATCAGCTGAACCGTAGCTTCCTAATGAATGTCGAATGGTTCTTATTGGGCCACTTGAGATTATGAAATGTGTCTAAAAGATGTTGCAAACAAGATCCGCTGAAATAATTGTACAATATAGAGTGAATACAGCTGTGGACAATTGAAGAAGAGAATGGATCAGTTTATATGGCTCTCAAAGATCTGAACGAGAGCTTTAGTCGAGAAACTGTCAAATACGCCGTCACCAAAACGGTATTTTCCGTGAATAGTGATGTTGTTTAAAGTGTTCAATTAGAAAACTCCACAATTGTTTCAGCATATCATTGTGCTTAGCCCAAGGTCCCAGCCTCTCAAATCAGAATAGTGATGTGCCTCTGACAGAAGCCTTGATTTTCCCCCGACTATTAACAATAAGAAAGTCCGAGTTTACGTCTAGTCACGTGATCTTGTGGAAATTTAGAAATTATGATCAATTTCATGAATTAGCATCTTGATGCGATGCGATGCGATGCATTTTATCGCATCGCCAATCAGTGAAAAGCTACTACCTTTAACTGATTCCCTTTTCTCTCTTCCGTCATGACAACAGTACGTTGATTTCGTTTTTTCTCTTATCTTTTCTCTTCATTGGCATACCAAGCTCAAGCTAACTCTCCCGGGAGCATCCCCTTTGCAGGGACCCCGCATCTCATCTTAGATAAAACAAATAGCACATCTGGGCTTCGATCTGGCGCTGATTTCTATGATACTAGCGGGCTTGCGTCGAAATACGGGACTCGTACTGGCATATGAACAATCAGATCTGAAAAATTACTTCAGACGATATTTAGACTGGGGCGATGCTCTGTACAGTAGATTAGTTCAAGTTGCAGAACGCAGCAAGTATTTCAGGAAAGAAACACCCCTGGACGGGTTTCTGGATGGTGTTTTCAAACGAGTCGAGGAAATTGGCCGGGGTCCAGCCAGGTCGGTTCATCAGCATCAGGCCGATTATCAACAGAATCGCTAAATAGTGATTTTCCAGGCAAAACTACTAAGCTAAAGGCCTAACCCAGGAATAAGAAACAAGCAGGTTTTTACTAAGATTCGTAAGCCTAGCAAGAGTTGCTCAGGCCTTAACTGAGTCTTGGCTGTCTCAATCTTCTCTAGTTTAGTCTACTTGGTCGCGTTCTATACTATTCGTCTATATTAAAGTTAACTTTCCACTAGTTCATCATCATTTTAACAACTTGAACCGACAAAAACTGTGTTGTTGATATAACAGTTGGAAAGTGCAACCTGAATTACGATTCCAGCTCCAGATGGACTTCCTATTACTCAGCTCTTTGGGTCTGGCGATGGACGCCACTGCTCATACTAAGCAATCTCGTCCTTTGAAAGACCTTCCGGTATTCAAAACCTTGGACGAACCAAGTCCTCGAAAGATTGATCCTCGATCATGGAAACCGCGGTTGAGTGCCGAACGAAAAAGCCGCATTGCAGAGCGAAAACAGCTAAATCCGCCACCTTTGGCTGCATATTCAGCGGTCTCTGAACTGCCATTTTACTCTAGGGCAGGTCCATACAGGTCGCATTTCAACGAATTCGAAATGCAGCTGGAGTTGCACGAAAGACAGCTTGAGAGAATAAGGTCGATCGGATGGGATTCTATAAGGCCGATTGGTATAGATTTCACTCTGAAAGAGCAACAAGAGCTTGCAGAACTTGAGACTAAGCATGTTGAAGAAGAACAACAGACCCATTCAGGAACGCATCTTCAAGGACAGGTCAGAATGGACCCTTTCAGTGAAAATGCTGGGCCACCAACGCCTAGACTGCAACCTCCAGTAGCAAATCTGCCACTCTCACCTCCTCCTCCAGAGATGGATATCGATTTGGATCAAGACGTGCAGGAAGATGAGACGTCTTACGACTACGGAGATGAATTTGCAAGGATTGACGGAGAAGAAGACCAAGGCTCTGAAAATGAACTTTCAGGTGTTGTACATCTTAATGCAGAGCGTCCAGAGCGTCCTGAAAGAACAGTGCAGCAGTTCATTGAGACCTCGCATATCGAAAACCTAAACCACCCTTACGACGTTGAGACTACTTATAATGGATATGATTTTGGCGATTCAGAGTCCAACAATGAATTGCAGCAAAATATGCAGCACGCGCCCTCCTTGCTACCGCCGATGCTTAATCAAGGTATCAATATGACCCCTTCAATGTCGGGAGCAACGCCCCTTCGGAACCCGACCACCTCACTTCGACGCTCAGAGCGAAGAGTTACATTCGACCCCAGTGACTGCGAATAAGATTGTCTTTGGCATTGGTAACTTGTATAATTACTTACTTAGCTAACTCCGACCCAACCATGTTTGGTAAAACCTTCTGAGAAAATCCCAGCCTATCTACCTTTGCATCCCGCAGGTAAATTGCCGGCACCATCCATTTTCCACAACTGCACCTGGAACCTTTCCAATTGTATGCGCCGACCTTAGATGTGCAATTGGGACAACTGAACTTACCCTCTAACTCCTGCTTCCCTTGTAGCTCTTCCTTCATCCAGTTCAGCGGCTCAACGAAGTAGTGAGAGCACATATCCTGGGACTGTTGGATACCGACGATTCTTCTCCCGCCTGCCGTTCTTCGGATGAAGTGCCCTTCTGTGGATTCTTTGCTTGGAGGTTCGTGCTTAATAAAAGAAGTTGACAATGCAAGGCGCTGTCTACACTTCTTGCACCGAATTGCATAGACCTTGGCCAACTCCTCTGGTGTCATTTCCTGCAGTCTCTTTTGATCGTCATTTTTGAATGTGTCTTCTTGAGCTAAAATGGTCTCTCCGGTGACATCTTCTTTTACAGAATTGGCCAACTTCCAAACTTTGTAGCTTTGGTGATCATTATCGACAAGACAGGATCCCATCTCCTCGTATGTTTTAAGCTGCTCCATGAAATTATCATTTGGTTGAGCGCCCGGGTGCTTGCGTTGTACTGCATATAGAGCTGACTTCAGATTCAATCCATAACGGTACATCAAGTATGCAACAACGATGGTTACAGATCTCGAAACTCCCGCATGGCAATGTACAAACACACCATTCTGTTGCGGTTTCTTCTTAAAACTCACTTTTCTGGGATTGTATTCTGGCTCATGCGGGAAAAGACATTGGTCGATGAAGACATTCGTTTCGTTGAAATACTGTAGAATATCGGTGGTCTCGTCATCATTAATGGGAATGTTCTTTATGGTATAGTTTTTCCTTATGAGGTACTCGGGGAGAACCTCGAACTTCATCACCGACAAGATGTGTGAAATGTTGTAATCAACCTTCAACGGTACATGGTCGATAATGGGCTGAACTGGTCCGACGTAAATGTTTCCCAGAATTCGATCAACACCACTCATTACTCTTTGGAGATCTACTACGGTTAGGTTGGCTTTCCTGTTTCCGTTCTTTTTCTGCTGTAGTTGATGCGATGAGCTAGAGATTTGATGAGCTTGGAAAAATTTGGTAGTACCAAAAAGAACAATGAACAAAAACCGTCAACGAAAGACGATAAAGAAAAACATCTCTTAGCTTCACGAGATTCGATTTGGTTTCTGATTCAAGACTCTTTTAGCCTTTCAGGGAACGGATTTTAAACTCCCAAAAACTCTTGCGTATAGGATCAAAAGTATCGGATAAAGCCTGATATGCACATCTAGCCTTACTGTAGGTTTCTTGATCTTGAGAGTAAACGTAGGCCAGCGTTTCTAGAGCATACGAAGATTGGATTTGCGGTGGTTGTTGTGGAGACTCGAAAACGTCGGCAACAAAACTTTGGGCGAAGGCTATTATCTCAGGATCGAACGTATTGTCGAAAAACTCGGAGTAGAGTCCGCGAAGGTAATTCCAAGAGCTAACGTTCTGGGGAGCAAGTTCAATTTTCGCCTTTGTGTAATGCACTTCAGTTGTGATAAGCTCCACTGGTGGCCGAGTGGACTTGAACTGGGATTTAAGAACAAACATACGGTGGCACCAAGCGCTGTTGTTGTACACGTCGCGGGATATTAACTCAGACGCAAATGGCAGCTCATGCTCATATTCTTGGAAGAAGTTCACGCACCAGCGACGGTAAGACCAAACATGGTAGTTCTTAGTGTCGTCATCGATCATCGACTGTAAAATGGGCAATTCTCGAAGGAAACCCGGGCTTGGATGCATCCCCAACAGAGCCTGGCGGTAAGACCAGATCTGGTAGTTTTTAGGGTTATTTAAGGTAAATTCGTCGAGCCAATCGAGCTCCGCGTTGAGTTTGGCTCCATCAGGACCAAAAAGCTGTTTCACGATCTGGAAACGGTAGTTCCACATCGTGTAGAACGCCGGCACTAGCTCTATTGTCTCCCCGGTCGCGTGCAGCGCTCTTTCTGAGACTTCCTGTTTTTTTAAAAGAGCTCTGGCAATGCCCATCACCTCACGGTATTCGTCGTCATACAGGATTTGGCAAAGTCCATCACTTTGGTCATTGGAGATGGGAAGAGGCTCCACATCGTCGTAGTTGAACCCACCGGTATTGAAAAGACTGTCAGTCATGTCGTAATTAGGCCAGTAGTGTGAACAGCCGGTCTCCTATGGCAGATGTTGTAACTCAAGATTGGTGATACAGAGATCGGTGGAAAGAAATACAGAAAAAAGACCCAGGTATGCAAAAGATTCTTGTCTGGATAATGACAAGTGAAATTGCAGGTCAATTGAGTGTTCTTATGGTCTTATAGTTCACTGATCGATGATGTGTTGTCTACATCTTTGGGCTCAACTGGGCTATATATGAGACTCTCTATAAAGACTATTTTATCACGTGTTAAGGACCACACACCTCAAAAGTTGAGGATTTAGAGCGAAGAGAGGCCTTGGGGGGACCGTTATGCACTTGCGAAATCTGGTCGAGTTTGTTTGAAAGTTAGAGACAGTTGTGTGCCATTTTGGAGTCAAGAGAATGGAATTTGGGCTGTTGTCTTTGATTAAGCTAGAAAAGTGGTGGATTTTGAATTTTGAGGTGATACGATTTAGCCTGAGTCCATGTTCGAGCCAGTTCCCCGTATGAGCTCTTGCTTGGTCTATCACCAACGTTCCTGTTTGAGAAAGAGCAAGCAAGAGCCCAGAAAAATGGGCAATCTGGAAAACATGTATGTAAGATGGGCAATCTGAAAAAATGTATGTGAAAAAGAAAAATTACAATTTACAAGGGCGTCCATTCTCGATTTCCGGGGTTTGAGTGTCGAGAGGGACATGCGGTCGTCTAAATTCGATTCTGGTGATTTTTGTCATTCACGAGAAGCTGTTTCGCTGATAGGTTAGTTTTATTACTTTGAGACGTTCTGTCGTCACTGTAATATGAATAATTAATAGAGGTAAACGCTCCATGAATAAAAAAGAGCCGTTGAAAAGCGACAAAAGGTCATCAAAGCACTTCTATCGGGGGGTTGGTTAAACTCGCCGATTGCTAGACATTTCAAAGACCGCCCGCCAGCTACTTGGTAAAAGCTTCTCACAAATCTTGGCATCACCCGTGTAGAGTGATGTGACACTTTTATACTTTCCCACATACACACACACCCACAAAAACGACTGACCTATTATTCAGGACCCGCGTCTCTGACCGAGTATCGAAGAATGTGCGTTTTACAATATATTTTCAAAACCGTCATCCCCGATCTTCATCGATCTGGTTTCATCCACAACAACTTGGGCCGTTCCAGTTCCCAAACTAAAACCTCACGTTTGTGGGGCTCGAGAATGCATCCAGCCTTGCCCTATAGTCGATGGGAGTCACTCACACCGCATACAGTTTCAATAATACAGCGAGAACATCTCAACTGGAGAAACGACTCGAGGTTCACGTAGACTTTCCCACGGGAAAAAAAATAAATTAGATGAGACAGACAATGATGTCGCACTACGATCGATGGCTAAGGCCGATGAATAATGAACATATATTGTCTTGTCTTGTCTTGTCTTGTCTTGTCTTTGTCCAACGTGTGGCTGCGGTCTTTAATCCCGTAAGGAGATGTCTGTCAACCCGCAAGGCGTTTTGTTTCTATTCCTAATTCCATCTCATCTCTCTCTCCTCTTTCCAAGCGAGCCAGACGCGATCCTTAATTCTTATCTGCAACCTCACTACCACGAGCCAGTCCATCTTGCTAGCTTTCAACGGGACACGTCGTTGCTGCATAAGCACCGATCGATCCTGTCAGAAAAAGTAAGACCTTTGACAACCTTACGCAGAACTAAACAACCTCTAACAACCATGCGATAAACAACCTCCGACAAACGTGGGGGCTAAACTTGAATAAAAACCTCTACCAACGCTTATCGCAGCCAGAGATTTCCGAATTACATGAACACGTCTACGTCTACGTCTACATTTCGCTTTGGGTAGTCAGTAGTGGTGTTGCAACAACAACAACAACAAGAACAACAAGAACAGAATTTCCACCAGCAAAATGAAATGAACCTCAAAACACCCGCAAAAAAGCAGCAAAATCCGAATTTTCGCCACAATCAACCCGAATCCGACAAGCGTCAACAGAACGACCGCTTCTGATAGCTCAATCGGAGCTGTACAAGATGTCTAGCTGTTTCAAGAATCTTGTTTTTTTCACTACTCCGCTGGTCTCTGTAGAGACAGTTATATTTTTCAGTATAATATTGGCTCTCACCGGCATAATCGCAGGAAGTTTGGCACATATAGGACATTCTTCATCTAGATAACACAACCAAAGTGACTACTATCACAGATTTGCATCCACGGTGCATCAAGGCTCCCTGGAAAGATCGAACCAAACCGACACATACTTTTGAAGCTGTTTTTTGGGATTGAGAGTTGCGGGCTCTTCTAGGGCACGTGACACAACTTTTCTCAAATATGTGCTTCTTCTTTCTCTGCAAGAACGTCAAAGAGAAGGATCATAAGCAAGCGCATATAAGATTGTAGTTCCAGGTCCTCAAAAACCTACGATCCGATACGCCACGGTAGATACGATAAAAAAACTAATACCCCTACCCTTGTGTGTGTAAACTCACATATCTTAACGCTCCGGCCCATATATTGACGGATATTTCTTGATGGCCATGCCCTCGTACCCTACGATTTGCTTGGAATTTATAACACCACCTCATCACCACTAAATCCAACATTGTTTCCCAACTGTTCAGAAGAACACACGCAAACAGGGACTACAGCGACTAACAGCGACTATAGCGAGAATCGAGACCAACGAGAGAAACTTTCTCTTTAACGCTACAGCGCGGATCATTTGTCGTGATACCGTCTTTTTCCCTGCTTTTCAACGCTTTCTTAAACTGTGCGAGCACAAGAAAGCGCACTCGGAGCTCAACAAAGCCGGTCATTTTTGGGCATTTTTAGGCCGTTAAATTTCTCCTTTCTTTCACCTCTGGCTGTGAAAGATACTGGAGACAATGCAGCAAGACACAGAGATGATGGGAACGGAACTGCTGGAAGACTTTCTGCTGACTGGACCAGGCAGCGAAAATGTGGAATACGAGCTCGAAAACGACCCTGGAAAGCATCCAGACGATGACTTGTTCACCTCGTTCATCAACACGGATTTGCTACAGCAGCCACCGTCCAACTATACCACTCTCAACTCTCAAAACCAGCCCATTTCGTCGTCATCTTCATCAGTGCCCGCCCTAGCCACTTCAGATCTACTGGGTGGCTTCTCTGGGACCGAAGGACACAGAAATAACGAGAAATCGACTAGTCCTTTGGATCCCCTGACAGCAATAGACCCCCTGGAAGCAAGGGATCGCCACCACGCTCTTTACGACACCAATTTATCCGATACCGCATCGGAACAGCATCCAAGAAGCTACAGCAGAGGCTGTGAGCGTCTAGTGGACCATACCTTGCAATTTGGCAGATCCAAATCCATCCAAACGGCTTACCTCAACCCCAGCGACTTTTTGAACATCCCAGAAGATTCCTTGCCCTACAAGCTTTCCGTGTCTGGTATGCCTTCTACTTCCCGTGTGGAGACTCAGATCAAATTAGAGCTAGCAATCTCCCCACCACCTCGCGAGTATGTCGTGCACTTGCCCACCGACTGTATCACCAAGCAAAAATGGTACCTTGAAGACGACATTAGCAGCTATCCTCAGGAAATACAAAATGAGATGCTTTATCTCGAGAGTTTTTTGGTGTGCGCATCGAATGGGAAGCCCACCTACGTTTGCAGCCGCTGCGTGAAACGTGAGCAGCGCAGAGCGTCCAGACGAAAGTCTGGCTTATGCGACAATATGCTTTGGTGTAACAACGAAAACAGGCGTGCGGTGGTATTCAATAGCAGACAAGTCTTTTCTATCAAAGATCAAAATTGCAATAGCCGCTTCAAAATGTTTGACCTCTCTGCGAGAATTGTCTGTTATTGTCGGCATCATAAGGAGCCAGAGGGCTTCAAAATCTTATTTCTGGTTAGAAATGCTCGTCAAGAGGTTCTCGCCAAGAGTGTCACAGGCCCAATCATGATCATGGACAAAAAATCCAACAAGGATTCGTCTGACACTGTTTCTAAGCATGGGTCTGCAATTGACTTGACCAATATAACCGATGGCTCGCGAAGTGAACGCAGTGAAGTGCCACACGTCACGTCAACAAGTGATTTGAGTGGTCTGGAAAACTACAAACCGGGGGACGATTTGATTCATTTAGGCGCTAAGGGCGAAAATATGCTATCTCCTACTTCTATGGGAGGCGACAGCTCCGAAACACACACTACGGACCACAACGCCGTTGAATTTCCCAGATTTAGAAGCACACCAGGGTTTTCAGCCTCCAGGAATGACATGGCGACAAGCAACAAACGGAAGAGAACTTCTGGCGAAATGGCGCCCTCGAATTTCTATAATCAAGATTACGTGAGGCCTTTGCCGGTTTCAAATTTTGCCAAGCCACCATCGACATCGTCGTCTACTCATTCAATACCCCAAGTTTTGCAGGATGCCAATCCTTCCAGCTCCCTAATGACGGCAACAAATAGCATGCTTCGTGAAATATCCGACATTGCAGGCCATTCTCCAGTAATTCGCCCTTTCATTCAGCGTGTCATTCCAGCACAAGGCCCAGTAAAGGGCGGCATAGAAATCACTTTGCTTGGTAGCAATTTCAAGCCTGGTATGATCGTCAAATTTGGTGAGAACAAGGCGCTTTCAACCCAGTGTTGGTCCGAATCAACGCTGGTGACCTATCTTCCACCTTCTTCCAAATCAGGGGAAGTTCTAGTAACCGTGTTTGAGAAGGAGGAAAATGATGCAGATCTACTGGGAACAATGTCCAGTAGTAAAGCTATTTTCACGTATGTGGACGATACTGACAGACAGCTGATCGAATTAGCATTACAAATTGTTGGTTTGAAGATGAATGGGAAGTTGGAGGATGCACGTAACATTGCTAAACGGATAGTTGGCCACGACAGTGGTTCAGCCAACAATTCGCCCCGTAACGGCGGAAATAATGCACCTCAAAATCAATACAACACGCAACCAACTCAGCTTCTATACTCAGACGAAAGTCTTCTGCTGAGGGTTATCAAATTACTAAATTCAAGCTCCAACCTGTCCATGTGTGACGAGGAAGGTCAGACCATGTTGCACCTTGCATGCTTGAAGGGTTATCATCAGTTAGCTTCAACACTTGTAAGGAAAGGTGCAAGGGTGGATGCGAGAGACTCTTTTGGTTTCTCTCCTCTCCATTTTGCATGTTTGAACGGGGATGCTAAGATTATCAGACTGCTGGTGCAATGCAAAGCAAACATTCAGGTCGAGGCCATGAACGGGTCGACTCCACGGGATTTGTTCATTGCTAACCATGATACTGATGACGAGAGATACGAGGATTACTTGAACGAAGTGCTGGATGTTCTGGATGTCGACAGCAGTGAAGAGCACTCGACAAGCATGGGAAGAAAGCTTTCCGACAGTAGTTTCCAATCTTCTGTCTTCGACGCAGGTTCGCTAGCGTCTCTGAACGACAATCTACAGGTCCATATTTCGAAGATGACCGAGGACACACTTTCTGACGACGACAGGGATATTGAGGATTACGAAGAGGATGGCGACGACGGTCTTCTGGGCGATGACGAAGAATCCATTGCAACTGGGAATGCCAGTTGCACACCCCGCGAACCCTCACCGGCGTCTATAGACAGCGAATCCAGGCAACTAAGCGAACAACGGCTTTTGGATCAACCTCACAGCGGCCAGGTCAGCACAACCAGTGTCAACCACACCAATTCGACGGAAAATTCCATTTGGAATCGCATGCTGAGCGCACTAAATGATGAGCTACCAAAATACGAGGATCTTTTCCCCAGCCCTGGCAAGGAGAAACACATTGGGGTTTTGCAGAACAGCACGCCCGAACCAGAGGAGCATCTCTTGGGCTTGTCATCCAGCGCAGTTGAAGATTCGCAGGCATCATCGGAGGACGAGGAAGATGCGTTGCAAGCACGTCTCAATCGGTTTTTCCAGCAAAGACAGAATTTCCAGAACGATAAGATGCTCTTATTCTTCTGGTTACCTCTCACCATCATTCTACTGTCTTCATTCTTGATTTACGAGTTTGGCCATGACGGAAACACCGTGCATCACTGGTCAGAGGCCTTGTCCGAATATTTACGCGAAGGGCTCGTAAAAGTCATGTTGGGGAACCAACGCGTCAAAGGGGTTTTTAAAGGTTCACTAAACAGCCTTCAATCAGGAATAATAGAGGGTGCCAGCTAGGTATATATATGTAGATATATGGATTTATATATGTATGTGTAGTTCACGATTTATGCATTACCATTAGAATTGAGTTTCAAAGGTATAAAGTGGTCATCAGCAAGTAGTTGTACTATTCACCATCAAGTTCTTGATTTCAAGTGCCCTTCTATTTACTTCAAAATATCGTCTTCAAGTCGACATCGAATTTCGTTGTCTTTTGGTGACACTTGATTTCAGTAAAATTTTTGAATAATTATGGATGTGAAATAGATGAGATGAGATGAGCTCGATGAGATGCCTTTTTACAACAAAATCAAACAGGAAACAGTGTAAAAGGGCACTTTCAACATGGTTTCTAATCAGTTCAGAATTGTTGTGGGTTCATACGAACATAACATTTTATGTCTGTCGGTAAACTTGTCCTCTGAGACACCTTTTTTCACACCAATATTCCACTTTCAAGCGCATGCGCTGAGTGTGAAATGTGCGGATATTTCGAATCGCTACTTAGTCTCTGGGTCCAACGACGAGCATATTCGTATTTACGACTTGCAGAAGCGTAAAGAACTGGGAAATTTGATGAGCCACCAAGGCTCGATAACTGCGCTGAAATTTTCCAGAGGAGCTCAGCCAGCTACAAACGGCAGTGAGACTCAAAAGACCGGCCATGCAAACAGCAGGTGGCTGCTGTCTGCATCCGAGGACAACAATTTAGCAGTGTGGAGGGTCAAAGACTGGGAAAATTTTGGAACTTTGAAGGGACACACAGCGCGGATCAACGATTTCGACATTCATCCTTCCAGTAAGATCGCCATCAGTGTGAGCGAGGATCACTCGATCAGGCTATGGAATCTCATGACACTCAAGAAAGCCGGAGTTCTGAAGCTAAAAAAATACAATCAAAACGGACAGTTTGTTAGATGGTGTGGCGAGAACGGCGAGTTTTTCGCAGTGGCTCTGCTCAACAAGGTCTTGATTTACAAGACTTCCACCGCGAAAGTGTACCGCGAAATAGATACCGGAAGGTCCTCGATCATGCATATGGAAGTCGAAACTATCGGCGGTCAAGAATACATAGTGGTTGGCCAAGGAAACGGTTCCATCGCCATGTATGCGACGAAGGAATTGTACGGCGAAGAGGAAAAGCCAAGTGAGGAAGAAAATACCACACCAGCTCCAGAATGCTGTTTGCAAGGACACAGCATTCGTATCAAAGACTTCAAGTTCTACTCAAATGAGTTTGGCCATTACTTGGTTTCGATTAGCTCTGACGGGAAAATTGTCGTCTGGGATATGGCAAGTAAGGAACAAGTTGCTGTGTATGACTGCGGTGAAAGGTTGAACTGTCTTGCGTTGTGTGACGAAACAATCGAGAAATACGAAACTATAAAGAAAAGAGATGCAGATGAAGTTGATCTGGGTGAACAGAGTGAGCCAGAAGAGGACTCGGAAAATCTGAAGCAAATAATGTTGGGAACTAAATCCGTCAAAAAGAGAAGAAAGAACAATAAATCTGGGTCTAAGTCTAAAAAAGTTGAAGTGCAACTAGAATAAACAATCTTTGTTGTCGAAATAGCATATAGTAAGGTACATTACGCACAAATCCTTATATCACAAGTAGTTGCATCTATAAAAGCTTTCTCTAGGGAAGAAGACAGGACGTTAGTGATTGAAGTTAAGCCGACTTGCCAGCAGTCTCATTGGGTTAGCTCAGATCTTCGATCTTCTATCGAGACGAGCGCAGTGTCTGTCGTAAAGAGCTTTGGCTCTAGCCCACACCGGCGCCTGATGTCTATTTGACAGCTGCTCTAATGAAGGAAGTAGGTCATGAGCGAAAAATTCGGACGACTCCCTAGGCAGAAGAGATGGCAAGTGATCGATCGACACTACCGAAAGTTTGGGGCCCTCAGAGGTTGGCACTAGTACCGTCGGTTTGCTGAATACTGTGGCAATCGTGTACACTGGGACAGGGTTGTGCACATTGGTGGTGTCCGCAGAAACATCAACAATGGTTCTCAGCCTTCTGTTGCAGTCGTTCAGTAGCGTGGAGTTGATGAAAGGTGCGATTGGCTTGGATAGATAAATGCAGTTGATGAAGATATCAGCTTGGGCAATTTCTTTGAAGGGACCTCCGCGCGCAGTTTCCTTCATATCCCACTTGATTATATTCCGAGAAGGAATGCCTGCTTTTTGTAGCATATCGACCGCACCGGAACCACATCTCCCTAGAGCACCAATAATTAAGACGGTTGGTTTCTTGGCACCCTTTTTGTAGGCGGATTTCAAGTCTGCCGTGACGTCTTTCACGAGTTCATTTTCGTTAGGGAACGGAGTGACACCTGGCAGATCCTCAGAATCGGAATGCGATTGTTTGAAAGCCCAGTCTTTCAAACCAAGGGCTGCACCGGCGAAACCGGCGTAAAATCCAAAAGCGGCCACTCTTCTTCCCTGGTCATTTTCCAAAAATTCAAGATCATAAAGAGTTCCATGACCTCTTTTGAAACGGCCCAAAACGTCTTTCCAGCCTGCCTGGTTCTTGTAACAGTGCGCAAATTGGATATGTTCATGTATTAGAGGGAAAGTGTCTTCTTCGGGCATCTCTTTCAAGCCAATGATAATACGATCTTTGGGAGCGTTAATCCACGAACCCTTAGGAACGATCTGAGCGCCAGCTTTTTTGTATTCTTCGATATTGAAAGTCGATTGATCACTTTCTTCTACGTATATTTTGAAACCCTTGGACAGAAGTTTCTCAACAGTAGTTGGCGTCAAAGCCGCACGGGCTTCTTGATCTTTAGTCTCAGCTCTAAGGTGAAGGGTGACAGGAGCCATGTTTATAATTTTGGACTGATAATTTTCAGTAGCGAGGTAGTTGGATTCCCAATTGCTGATCTATCAACTGTTTTTCAAAGCGGATTATAACCTTGAAAGCCTTCTGTTCTTATACCAAGCACTGAATGCCATTTTGACGACAATATTATAGGTTTCTAGAGTCATCAAGGTAATGCTTTTTTCCGCGTAGTCAAGCCCAAAAGAAACCGTAATCGCGAAGGAATTCTCTTCGAGATTTTTCCGCCGGAATAATATGCAAAATTGCGAGCATGTGACCGACTTTAGCTCTTTTACCCTTAGGATGGCACGATAATTCCAGAATAACAATGTTGATGCGCGAAGGTTCATGACGCGGTGGGACAAGCTTGACTATCATTTTGTGAGTCATCAAATGTGCCAAGGTCTTGTTCAGAGTGCGAGGATATTTCAAGAGCTTTTGTGGCAGTTTTTTTAAGTCTTCTGGGTACATTTTGATGTGCAAAAAGAACGAGGTTGCAAAGGACCGAGGATTCTGCTAAGTGAACTCGCTTTGTGATCTGCATGCTGTGGACGGCGTGAATAGTATCAAGCTAATGTATCTTGAGGATTTAAATTGACAGCATGCAAGTACTTTCCAGAGGAGAAATGCAGATCCGTGGTGAAATTGCTGGCGTTGGAAAAACAAATAGGAAAAAGTGGACAACTTAGCATCATGAACTCAGACTTCTTCTAGTTAATCACACGTAGTATCACGTTTATACCAGGTGCTTGAAAGTCTTTCAAGAAGTGCTGCGGCACACACTTTTAGAACACACGTCGGATCGAGAAGTTTCGTGACAACATAAAACATTGTGGAAAAAGAGAGCAAAGAAAGGTTCACTAAACCTGTCAAAAACGGCCTATTCGTCGGCTATACCTTTTTCAAATCATAAGCAATCAGTTGTGGGTTTGTCAGATCGGCGGCTAAAATGTCTCGCGTCTTGAGGATGGGTTTATGGTGCTGGTGAAGTGGTTAATTTCTTATGAGATGGCATTATGTGGTAATCTTAGGAAATCTCTGTAAATCTCATAAAAGTGACACGAAAAATAACAAGTGATCAAACTATGTGGTCATCTGACCTTTTGCTTATGTAATCAAGAATTTTGCGTCATGTGAGTTTAGCGTGACGAGTTTTTTTAATTAACTTTTCATCACTATACACGCACTCGCTTTGTGATTTGATGCATAACGCCTATAAGCTAGGTTAACCTAATCTCCTTCGATCACAGCGCTCAAACACTTCATCCTTTTACCTGTCTTTCTCTTCTCCACTCGTCTGTCAATCGGTGCTCTTTACCTCATTGCAATGTCTCGTGGTGAAACGCCATCACAGCACAACTCTACGCTTGCAATTTCACCTCTAGTTGGGAACCGAAATCTTCAAGTACAGCATCAGTCTCATCAAAGAAACGACCCAGGTTTGCCCAATCCGGCCACTTTGGGAAATCAGGGAAGCTCATTCAACCAGGGAAATACAGGAAACCAGCGAAGTCGGCATTCCAGTCACACTCATCGGACTCAAACACCTCATCATTCGGGCACCTACAGTCCATTGGTTCAAAAGATACAAAATAATGGATCGCTTGCATCCCTGGCCACACCAGCACCAGCACAAAATCACGGTGGATCAACAGCGGGACTGTTGGCATCGATGACGAAAAGCGGACTTTTTGGGCCGGCAATGCCGTCCACGCTAAGAAAAGTGAGTGCGACACTTGACCCTGGCAGAACTCGTGGCGTTGCTCCAGAGGAAAAAATGAACATGGACGATCTGCTTGATTCCAATCAAATCGTGGACTCGATCGACGTAGCACAGCTACCTGCAGCCGAAAAACTACGACTTTGGCGTCACGATTCACTAATGCAGCACCAATACCGCACCGCCGAATATATTGGTGACAAAGTCTATGCCATGACTGGTGACCCAAACGACGGATTCTGGCTGGCCCAGGTATACTACAATAGTGGTTCGTACGTTCGCGCTGTGGAGTTGCTAACCAGGAACAATCTTGACGCTTCTAGCGTCATGTGTAGGTATCTCACAGCACTGTGTCTTGTGCAGCTTAAAAAATACGAAGAGGCTCTCGATATCGTGGGAGAGACTAATCCGTTTCAGGACCCACTGGGTAACCGTGTCAAAAACCAGGATGGAGGCATCAAGCTCGAATCTTCAATGTGTTTTTTGCGAGGCAAAATATTCGCATCACTCAATAACTTCGAGAGGGCTAAAGAATGTCTGAAAGAAGCTTTGCAAGTCGACGTCAAAAATTTTGAGGCCTTTGATGAGCTCATTTCCAAGAACTTGCTAACGCCAAACGAAGAATGGACGTTTGTAGCTTCCTTGGATTTCTCAGAGCTTGGAGATAATGACGAGCTGATCAGATCGTTGTACATCTCGAGGCTTTCAAAACATCTCAATCAAGATCAGGTCCGCAAGGCTCAGGACTTTTTAATCGACGAGTATAAGCTCGAAAACAATACCGACATAATTCACAGTCACGTCGATATGCTGTTCACTCAATGCAAATTCTCGCAATGCCTCAAACTTTGTGAAGAAGCTCTTGAGCACAACGAATATTCATTCACCATTCTACCTACCTACATCTCGTGTCTCTACGAACTGGGAGGTAAAAACAAACTCTTTCTAATATCACACAAACTGGCAGAGAACTTTCCAAAGCACCCAATTACCTGGTTCGGAGTTGGTGCATATTACATGTGTACTAATAAGATCTCCGAGGCAAGGAAGTATTTTTCGAAAGCATCGATATTAGACCCAACTTTCAGCCAAGCATGGATCGGCTTTGCACATACCTACGCTGTTGAGGGAGAGCACGAGCAGGCCATCTCAGCATACTCAACGGCATCTAGGTTTTTCCCGGGTACACATCTACCAAACCTCTTTTTGGGAATGCAGTATTTACTAATGGGTACACTCCCGCTTGCAGAAGAATATTTCATTTTGGCTTATGATGTTTGCCCCTATGACCCTCTTCTTTTGAATGAAATGGGCGTTCTATACTTCAAGAAGAACGACTTCGTGAAGGCCAAAAAGTATCTGAAGAAAGCATGGGAAGCTATAAAGGCGTTAGACTCAGAATCGAAGTCGTGGGTGTCAATTCACACCAACCTGGCTCATTCCTACCGTAAGCTAGGCGAAAACGACAGAGCGGTCAAGTGCTTTAAACTGGTCTTGGAGACCGCAGGTAAAGATACTGACACTCTATGCGCTTTAGGATATGTCTATCTTCGCATGAATCGAATAGGAAAGGCCATTGATTCCTTGCATGGCTCCCTGGCACTGTGTCCGTCCAACCAAACTGCACAAGAACTTTTGAAACAAGCTTTGGAAGTGAATTTGTCAACTGCGCTTGATGACAATCATCCACTTATGGTCAGTTCTCAAATTCGAGAACGAGGCTCTGGTCTTGAAAATCGGAAAAGAGTCGCCCACAAAATAGACGCTCAAACCATGGCCAAACGCCTCAAACATGGCCAAGATTCATCTGATGATGAAGATTACGATGGTGACTCGATGGAACTTGAGTGAGTTTGATGCAGTAACGGAAATAAACAATCTCCACAGAAGACGTTCAATATAATGCTTTTTTAAATTGAAAAAGGCCATAATTTTGGGCCTAGTGCTCAATCACTACCACGTTTCCTTGTCTTGCTTTGTCTCGAACGTTTTTTAGGCATTCGACTCTCCTCGGACGGCGGATGTGGATCCTCGCTCTTTGGTGTTTTGGGTTTCATTTTCTTTCCATCGTCTTTTGACGAATCGGTGTGACTTTTCGATTGATCTTGGTTCTTTCCCTGAGTGCTTGGCACACCATTCTCATGCTCTTGAGATTCTGACTTGGCTTTTTTCTTGGCTTGTTTCTTGGATCTTTCCTTGGCCGACTTGGTGTTTACCTTGGATGCCTTGGATTTTTCCTTGATCGACCTGCTGTCAGTTTCTGGCTGTACTTTCTCTCTTTTTCCGCCCGCATTTTTCTGATTAAAATCGAGCTCTGAGGCCAAATTAGAGTCTTTCGCAGGGTTGGCTTTGCTATCCTGAGTCTTAGAGCCCTTTTTTCCTTTGGCCTTAGTGCTCTTCTTCACAATATTCTTGGGCTGAGATTCCAATGATAATTCGCTTAAAGAAAAGTTGAAAAGAAACGAATCGTCCTTTGCAATTGACTCATAAGTCAGACGGTCTTGATCTTCTGCAGATGGTGTATCTTTTCCCTTCTTTTTGTTCTTCTTCTTGGTAGTTGTGCCTTTTCTCTGGTACTCAGATTCTTGGTGCACGGAATCGTCCTTTAATTGGACTTGAAACCGTTCATCTTTGACTATGAGGCCGATGAGTTCTTCTATCGGATCATCTATGAGCTCGTACTCCGCAGATTTATTCTGGTTCTTCTTCCACTTTGACCTCTTCTTTCGACCACTCTTGGTTCTCATTGATTCGCTTCCATTCACCGAAAACAAGCCATCTTGGGCCAACCACTTGCGCTGCACATTATCTAATTCCTCGATACTGCCCTGTAAGTCATCTTCTAATAGAAAATCTACCAAGAGCCAGTCGTCCATCGCTGGTTACAGGCTCTAAAATGAGACCAGTGCTCAAGTTTGACTAGAAGTATGCCTAACCACGTTTAAATGAGCTAGAACAACATCATCAAAAGTTAAACATAAAAAGACGATAAAAAACACAGGAAAGCGGGATATTCAATACTGGTATGTACAAAAAGTCGCATTCATTCAAGTCCACGCATGAGTAACCTCTTACAGCGAACTTGTTTTCTCGAGCTTTTGTTCGCGAAGAACGTCTATATATGGATATCATTCTGTGTATAATGTGCATTAATTGCCGATCTTGTCACGAACAGCAGCATTAACTTGTTCGTAAACTTGGTCGACACTGTGGTCACAGCTGACGCTGACCACTTTGTTTTGTTTTTCAAAATGCTCCACTACAGGCATACTTGTATCGATGAAAGTAGCGAACCGTTTTTTGATGGACTCGACGTTGTCATCGCTTCTGCCGCTGGTCTTTCCACGTTCAAGCAGACGCTGGAGCATGACCTTTTCGGGACAATCGAAGAAAAGCGTAAACTTGCTGGGCACAATCTGTTCTTCGAAGGTAATCGCTTGGTCCATTTTTCTGGGAAATCCGTCTACGAGGAACTTTTTGCTGCCTTTGTCAAAGTTTTCCTGAATGGCCTGTTTGAGAAGCGCCACGGTGACTTCTTGTGGCACAATCAAGCCCTCCTTGATGTAATGTTTGATCAACTCGCCGTACTTGGAGCCCTCACGTTTTTGTTCAGCACGTAGCAGATCGCCTGCTGAAAGGTGCACAAAATGATGATCACGAACCAGATTCGCACACTGAGTGCCCTTACCAGCACCTGGGCCACCCAAAACGAAAATTACAGACACATCCTTTTCCGAAAACGCAGGAGAACCGGTCTTGGGTTTTTCGTCATTGCCTGGCTTTTCGGCGACTTTGCCCTTCTCAACAAACTCTACAGGCCCATTTTTCTGGTAAGATATCGATGCAATGGTGGAACCCACGGCTAAGGCTCCCAAAAGTGCCAAAATCTTGCCCCGGTTACCGCTTGGTTTCGAGCCCGTTTCTGAGCCAGTTTTCGAGGAATAAAAACGACCAGCGGAACGCAGCCCCACAGATGCAAATCTCTGCACAGGCAGAGTGCGTACGGCTTGTTTGGAGGCAGCACTGATCATTGAGCGATGGTAACGATGGACAGTTTCCGGAGAACATAGGATGCAGTGAGATGAAGAGATCATTATTACCTGTTGATATCATGAACTTTCGACGTACTCGAGTCCACGAGTAAAAGCAGACGACACAACGCTAACGTGCAAGAAAGAGATATTCAAAAACTGGCAGCGCTACTGTTACAAGCGGCTCTTATTTACCCATTCAATTACGATTTTTCCCGTATGCGATACTTCCAGGTCGTTATAGATATACAATTTAAGCTATTAGAAGGTGATGGGGCCGCGACAATCTAAGATTGTTAGTTTATATGGGAAAGATATGCTCTGGACCGATATCAACAGTGAACCAACAATTAGCTTTACAGGTTCAGTTCTTGATTTTAACTCTTTTTATAACTGGTATTCGTTGATCGTCGCTGATCGTGACAGCTGCACTAGAGAATTAGAGGTTTATGGTATAATATATCTAAATATATTATGTATGTAGCCTGAAAGATTTAAAATCCAGCGAGCATATCCCGAGCTTCACAACTTTTAAAGTGTAACAGCAAGGTTCTTAAACTGCAAACTCCTTTCGAATTTCGAACTGTAAAGCACAATTGAAACTGTGATGACAAGTATATTTGACACACGGATCAAAACTTCGATTGTAGTGAACAATATAGCGGATCCTCAATTTCAGTAGCCCTTGTATAGTCAAAAGCATAGTCACATATCGAAATAAAAAAAGGTTTCTTTTAGAAATTATAGTGAGCCGCAAGACCACCGAAATGCACAGACATTTTCATCAGCGCCCCATATTTCATTAATCCGATAAAAGACCTTTACGCAACATCGAAAAATCTGGACCAACTGAAATCTGGATCAACTGAAATCTGCCAGTAGCGCATCGTTATAGCGCAGATATTTCCCATTTATTCCTGTGGGTATACCTTTCAGTGCGAGATTGGCATAGACTGATGCTGGGACATTGGGGTTCAAAAGATCGCCTGTTTTGTGCAGATCTGTGAATCTTTTCAACGATTCGGGCGTCATGTTCGCGGGCCCGAGAGTGTCACGAATATCACTTTGCATTTGAGTGTCCACAACACCAGGAGCCACCGCAACTGCCCTTACGTTGGATTCTTCTGACGCTATCGACATGGCAAAATGGTTAAGGGCTGCTTTGGATGCACCGTAGGCGTCCCATGCGTACTGTAAACCTATGTTAGTACCGGCTTTGTGAAACCTGATGAATTTTCGTGACGAATTTCACATACGTAGGGTTTGACGCTAGCACCAGAACTAACGAATATTATGTCGCCTTGGGTAGAGCTTCTGAGCTTCGGTAATAGCTGCGTTACAAGAGAGACCACACTGAAAAAGTTCACATCGAAAAGCTGTTTCCATTGGCTGACGTTTGCATCCGCCACGCTCTGAACAGGTGACAGGACACCCGCATTAGCTATCACAACATCAATAGTGGGTGCCTTGCGAATAAAAAACTCGCGGAGTGCCGTTTCGTCTGTAACGTCAGCACAGACGTATTCGAACCTTGGACCGAATCGTGTCTGCATCTCCTTCAGCTCGTCCAGAGACCGGGCGATGCCAATCACTTTGACATTTTCATCTGCTTTAAACAGATTTTCAACAATGGCTTTTCCAATGCCCTTCGAAGCTCCGGTCACAACCACTGTCTTGGACATTTCGCTCAAGTATCTCGAAGTTTCTATGGGACACGATGGCACGAATGTGAACGCATTCATATACGCAAGTACAGGAGATGAGGTCGATGTACCTTATAATTATACCTTTTGAACCCTCGAGTCCTTACTGCTGGTAGTCGCGAGTACCGTCAGTAAGGCAAGTCAAACTCGGGCAACACCGAACAGGAGCGCTTCTTTGGCTAAACAACACGGGTAGCCGGTCTACTTGACGACTTTCGGCGTTTTTCTGCTTTATAACATGGAGACTACGGAAGAAGCCTTCTGTTGTCTGTTACGGCGGAATAATTGAAAGCGCATTGATGGTAGCTCCTAAGAATTTGACTCATGTTCCTCTCTAGACATCGCCTACAATAGTTGAAGATAGCGCGCTCATTTGGGGCGAAATCAGTGGATTCCTGTCTATTATTTCTGCTCAAATCAAGTCCAAATCTCATATTTCTCTGGAATCAAAAGACACCAGAGATAACGCTGAGAGCAGATTGGACTGTATGGCTCAAGCACTGAGGAAAATAAAGACTCCTTTGATAAATTTCAACGATGTCATGGTGTCGCACCACAAATATCTTTGTCGAAATCATGTTTTGAATGCCAGATTATGTGTCTATCAATACCATATAATAAAATCATACGAACAGACGAACAGAAACTTTCGCCTGAAAAGATTCCTTGGTCGAATCCTTTTTACACCTGCCTGATAACTTACTGGCATGACACACTTCCCATAAATACTCTCGAACGCTGTTATACTCGCTGTTACACTCCCTGCAGGCCTGTCATCAACGATTTTTACTGACGTTTCTCAGTAATTTACATATATTTTGTCAAGCATTTCTTACTGCAATTCTCCTGTTACCTAACAACACCCAAAAAAATTCGAGATGAACGCACGCTGATTTACTGAAAAGACTAAAAAAGCCTATTAGGGCCATTCTAGAAAGTTGTAGATCGAGTTTTCGACGTCTGAAACAGAAACTTCAAACTAGCTTGACATGTATCACCATGTACGTCGTGGTCTCGCTGGGCCAAGGCCGTTAATCTACTATACTTTAAATTATCACTTGATATACAAACTGTAATCGGGTACACATTAGCTAGCAAACACACACTAAAACTATCCATCCAACAAAGCACAAATAGCGCTTTCGAGAGCGTTAGCGATGGATAAAACCAACGCAGAGTGGGCGAAGGACATTCCGTGCAAAAACATTACGATCTACGGGTTTTGCAAGTACGAAAATGACGGGTGCATCTTCAATCATGGGAATGAGTCCAGCAGCAGCAACAGTGCAAGCAATCGACCGGCGCTGAACAGCAGTCTTAGCAGTAAGTTCAATGCTAAAACTGCTCCGTCTTTCACACCTTCCAAGGCTCTGAACGCGAAAAACAGCTCGTCAACTGCCATCAAAGCTGAAAAAGTAGCCAAAGCACTGCAATCGGTAGCGGACCAACAACCAGCTGTTTCGTCACCTCTGGCCACTCAGTCTGCGCCGATTTCGTCCTCATTCAACCCGTACGCGGCCAATTTCACACCAGTGGGTTCTGCTGGCACAGCTGATACGTCCTCCTCACCACCGTCAGCACCTTCGGCTGGACACACAGGTTTCAATCCTTATTCCGCATCAGGTGGACTTCTAACGCCAGCTGACGAACTCAATCCCATGCACTCTTCGGTTGGCTTCACATCAGGTTCCCCTGGGCCCTTCACACAGGAATCATCCAATAGGCACACAAACTTTCCCTCCATATATCCTCCCAGTCATTCTATTCTGCAATACCATCTGTATGCTCCCGATCCAGCGTTGCATCTCAAACTACCGTTAAAGGCGAACGAAAGGTCGCCTGAAATGCTTTTCATCCCGAACGACATCCGTGAAGAGATGCTGAAAAAAAACCAAGCTTCTCTTCAAGTTTTTCCCTCTGGTGGAAATTTGCCGGAGATTGTCGGCGACTATTTTGGCCTGGTACCCTTAGAGTTTCATAATAGAGTTACCAACAAAGACAGATATCAAGGGCATCAGAATTCTCTCTACAAAGTGTTTTCGAATTTTGATGGCAAAATTTACATCATGCGCCGAATCCATGACGTCAAGATTACTGAGACCGCACAAATTTCGCAACCTTTTCAAAGATGGAAAAACCTTGTGAATCCTAGCGTGGTTGAAGTACGCGATGTTTTCATAACGCGCGCCTTTAATGATGCATCGCTGTGCGTTGTGCACGACTATTTCCCACAATCTAACTCGCTTTATGAAACGCATTTCATAAGCTATAATCCGGTGCCAATAGCTCAGGAGTTGTTGTGGTCATACCTGGTTCAACTTTGCAGTGCATTACAGGCTGCGCATTCGTCAAATCTCGCCTTTAATAACATCTGTCTTGACAAAGTAATAGTTACAGGCAATCCGGGGCGTATCAAAATTGGAGACTCGTGTGTACACGATGTCTTGCATTTCCAGGAAGATGTCGACGTCACACAGCAACAGCAAAAGGATTTCGCAGATATTGGATTAATGCTGCGAGATCTGAGTGCCAAGATAGTTGGATCCGGTCAGGATGTGAACAATGTTGAGACCCTGGCTATAGATGAAGATTTTCGCTTGGTGTTGCAATATCTGCTCGATTCAAATAACGCGGAACCAAAATCGCTGGCAAAATTGCTTCCTATGTTTGCGCACAAAATACTTTCAGTAACAAGTGCTCTCCAGACTTATGCGGAGTACTCTGAATCGATATTGGCGCGTGAGCTCGAAAATGCACGTCTCTTCAGACTTATGTGCAAGCTAAATTTCATTTTTGGTCGCACAGAATCTCGCATCGACATCAACTGGTCAGAAGCCGGAGAAAGATTCCCGATAGTTCTGTTTTATGATTACGTTTTCCATCAAACAAATGAGTCAGGGAAACCTGTTATGGATCTCACTCATGTTCTTCGGTGCCTCAATAGGCTAGATGCTGGGACCAGTGAGAGGATCATGCTTGTGACCCCAGACGAGATGAATTGCATTATAATCAGTTACAAGGAGCTCAAAGATCTAATAGACTCGACATTTCGAGCAATGTCTCAATGATAAGTTCCTTAACAACAAGTAGGTTTGAGATGGTCGACCGTGTGCACGTGATGTGGAGCAGATTTCAATTGTGTTTAAGCTATCTTGTTTAAAAGAAGTAGACGAAATTCCTAGATCAACGAAGACGATGAATTACGAGGCCTTTCATGTATAGGTCAGGCATATGACTTGAGTGCTCCGGTCCCACTCTCGTTCTGTAGAGTGTGCTTATTTGACTCAGGCATATTGGATAATAGCTTAGCTCAAAAAAGGGCTTTCTTATGATCCTTACATCTGATATTCCTTTAACTATTTTCGCTGGCGTTCTGCTCGAGCTTTGATAAACTTCTCGCTAGCCTTTTGCATGGCTGTAAATCCCCTGCGCTTGAAAGTTGAGCACTTTGGTTTCCTGACTTCTCAGATAAATTTCACCTCCAAAAATAACCAGTGGAGTAGGCATCATTTGCAGAAGTGTACATTGCATCAAGAGAGAAAATAAAGTGGGGGGAAATATGCTTTAACTGAGTTTCGCTGATCACAGGTTAGGTGGGCTTAGCTTGGAAAGCAGAGCTCGTGCATGGCAACGAAAAGGTTGTATATCTGCAATTGAATATCACGAACAACGCCGTTGATGACATCTTTCATCATATGATCTCCCTCTCAACAAAAGCGAAGACGCGGTTCCGTTCAAACGATATCGCACTCGTGGTTCTGAACTTCCCCGCCATTTTAGACCTTTTGACTCCGCTGGCTGAATTTGGAACCCTGTCAGACCCTACGCTTAATCTATGCAAAGAATGCACCCTCTGGTTTTTCTGCGCAGAAGAATGAAAATTTGGCGCTAAAGGTATGACGAATAGTGCTCTGCTCAAAACGATGAGCCGTGCAGGCTCCGCTTAAAGCGGAGCGAACCATCAGCTGGTTCCTACCGCTCAGTAGCATACTGGGTGGATGGTCTGTTTTTGCTGCACCCCCGGAAAAACCTTCCCCGCCTAAATTACTGATTTTTCAGCCTTTGTCGGAAGATCGTCGTTTTCGAGTCTGCGCCTTCTCTTACGTAATCCAGTGTCTCTGCGGAACCTTCTGGGTAGAACATCTCAGGGTCCTCGACGAATTTTTCCGAAGCGCCTCGAGGAGGAAAAAAGGCCAAAAAAAAGAAAAAGAAGATAATCCGGGAAACCGGGAAGCCGGGGTACACAGATACAAGGCGAAACCTGGAAAACTAGCCGCAGTAAAAAGTTTCGAGCGCTAAAGGAAAGTTTCGAGGTGAAAAGCTGAAGTTTCGCCCTCCCAAAAATTGTATAAAAGGAGGCGCTTGCGATGCTTAATTCTGAACTCAGGCTCTTTGGTTTTTGTTCTCATTGCATTCAACAAACAAATCAAACAACAAGAATCAAACAATAATTCTTACCAGTTTCTAGTTGGAGCAAAAAAATTAGAGATGTCTTCAACTGTTACACCTTCAAACAATATGTCTGGAAGTTCAGCAAACTTGGCTGCTCCCAGCAACATCGCGGTGTTCGACTCACAGTCTATGACACCAACAAATAAATTAAGCGACGACGGCTTCGAGCTGAAAGCGCATCCTGAACAACCCCGCGAAATCCCCCAAAAACCGCTCTCTGAATATGTCCTCGTCATGTGCCTGTGTCTGATGGTTGCATTTGGTGGGTTCGTATTTGGATGGGACACTGGTACGATTTCCGGTTTTGTCAACATGACAGATTTCAAGCGCCGTTTTGGTGAACTTGACGCCGCAACAGGTGATTATGTATTGTCCAGCGTCAGAACCGGTCTTATCGTTGGTATTTTCAACGTTGGTTGCGCCGTCGGTGGTCTAACGCTAGGTCGTCTTGGTGATATTCAAGGTCGCCGCTTGGGATTGATGAGTGTCATTGCCGTGTATGTCGTTGGGATTGTGATTCAAATCGCCTCGGTCGACAAATGGTACCAGTACTTTGTCGGCAGAATCGTGTCCGGTCTTGGAGTTGGCGGTATCGCGGTCTTGTCGCCCACCCTTATTTCAGAAACTGCACCAAAACATTTGAGAGGAACTTGTGTTGCTTTCTATCAATTAATGATCACTCTGGGTATTTTCATGGGTTACTGCACCAACTACGGAACCAAAACCTACTCGGACTCCGTGCAATGGAGAGTTCCTCTTGGTCTGTGCTTCATGTGGGCTATTTTCATGGTTGCCGGAATGGTATTTGTTCCAGAGTCTCCACGCTTTTTGATTGAAAAGGGAAAATTGGAAGAAGCCAAACGCTCGCTTGCCAAGTCTAACAAGTTGAGCACGGAAGATGCTGGTATCATTGCCGAAGTGGACCTTATCAATGCAAGCGTTGAAGCTGAAAGGCTGGCCGGCAATGCTACCTGGGGCGAACTGTTCTCACCCAAGGGAAAAATCCTGCAGCGTGTGATTATGGGCGCCGTCATTCAGTCTTTGCAGCAGCTTACCGGTAACAATTACTTTTTCTACTACGGAACCACGATTTTCCAGGCTGTCGGACTAGAGGACTCTTTCCAAACATCGATCATCCTGGGTGTAGTGAACTTCATGTCCACATTTGTCGGTCTGTACACGGTCGAAAAATACGGTCGTCGCAAGTGTCTGTTGTGGGGATCAGCCGCGATGGCGGTATGCTTTGTGATTTTTGCCTCGGTCGGTGTGACAAGACTGTGGCCCGATGGGAGAGACGCGCCTTCGTCCAAATCCGCCGGTAACGCTATGATTTTCTTCACCTGTCTGTTTATCTTTTTCTTTGCCACGACCTGGGCTCCAATTGCGTATGTCATTGTAGCGGAGACCTACCCGCTACGTGTGAAAAACCGGGCGATGGCCATTGCCGTGGGGTCGAACTGGGTGTGGGGGTTTATCATTGGTTTCTGCACGCCTTTCATCACGTCTGCGATCAATTTCTACTACGGCTACGTTTTCATGGGCTGTTTGGTGTTTTCGTTTTTCTACGTTTTCTTTTTCGTGTGTGAGACCAAGGGCTTGACGCTTGAGGAGGTTAACGACATGTACCAGGAGGGCGTGCTGCCATGGAAGTCTGCGGAGTGGATTCCACCTTTGAGAAGAGGCGAGTTTGCAAGCACCGCGGAGTCGGTGGACTCCAAGGCGTGAAGAAGAGAAGAGAGGAGGAAAACTCGAAGAGCAGTTTACGACGGTATGTAGTAAGAATTATGTATTTTAAAGAACAACAAGAAACCAAAATCATGATGGATGTTACAGAGAGGTTGAGTGTTTTTACTTGAAAATTAGGGTGCAAAGTTCTTGAAGAGTATTGTTGATGATTGTTGAAGACTTGATTCTTGAGCTACAATTGTACCCTGTACCTTAGGCCTTTCTCAAAGTTAATCTTTGTAAACAAAACATATAAAAAGCTTACGTAACACTACCATGGCCGGTCACGTGAGATCCTTTGTAAAAAGCTTACGTAAAGTTACCAGGACGTAAATGGAAAAGAAGAAAGAAAGAATAAGCTTCAGGTCACGTGAGATCGGTGTTTTTTCATCAACGAAAAATTCCGAAGTGGTAGCATCACGATGAGGTCGACAACGCACGTAATTACGCTTCCGCCTACGCTTATAGCTACTAGATAACGAGTCACTGTCACAATTACGATCACAGCTTTTTCACTTTACTAACGTTACTGTGAATGAGAGTCCCACGCCGGGTTTTCTAACGGCCAATTGCAGCAGTGCAGGACACGGCGGAAGATCGAGCTTGGCACCGTGCTTCAGCTCTTCAAACCGTAACTGTTGCCGTGTTGATGTTTTATTCGTAAACAATTTTGTTTTCCCACGAGAGAAGGTTACCAGCACAACCACGACCACCTCACAACGCACGCGCATTCGAGCTTGCAGTAAGAAGAGAGAAATAAGAGCTCTCTCCTTTACGTAAGCCAAGAAGAAATAGAAAGAAAAAAAAACGACCCGAGGGGAGTGTCACGTGATGCAAGAGAACCTATATACCTATAAACTGAAAACGTCAGTGCTTGAGTGTGAGTGTGTTTATACGCGCGTTTCTGAAAGTGTAAGTGTGAGTGTTCTTGTTTTTGTACGTGTACGTGTGCTTGTGTGAGTATGCTTTTACGTGCGTTTATGTGCTCTTTTTTACGTGCTCTCTTTTTACGCCCTCTTTCTTTCTTCCTGCTGTCCGAACCAACGGGGCTTGACCGTCGATTACATAGTAGGCACACAAACACACTTCACACTAACGTAGCGCTTCATGGCTGTGTGTATGTGCCAGTAGTAACCCTCCCGATATCCGCCCTCGTCCGCCCTGGCCATTTCTTAGCGGACGCTTATGTAATCCCAATTCAGCCTCGATCAATCCTTCTGTGCAGAATCACCAGGCAATCCTGCATGCTTAGTAAGCAGCCGTTCATGGAAGCACCTCGACCGTTATTTTGCTCGGTCTTCGGTCGCATGGCCCAAAAGGGTAAAGGTGCCTAAAAAAAGAGGACGGAAGGAAACAAAAAGCAATTTTCTGTTCAGAAAGAGAGTCGTGCCTACAAAGCGCACAGAAAGGACGCAAAGAAAGAGAAAAGAAAATTTATTAAAACCAAAACCAAAACCTTCTTTGGGTTTTTTCTTTTGCCCCCATCCATCCACCACAGCCGTCTCTTAACCAACGGCTGTGTGGTCCCGTCTATGCGCAACGGCTCGACAGTCTAGACAATGGATGCAACATGCATAGACGGGCTGTCTTGCGCGCCGCGCCCGCGACGCGGCGCGCCTGCAGCACCGACCGCTATTTTTTTGTTCCATGCATATAGGCAAGCATGGTCGATTTCGTATTTTGGTCCGCGCTAGCATTTGTCCGGAGGCCTCACGTGAGACGCTAAAAACGCACCTTAGTGTGTGTGCCTTCGAACGGTATATTTGTAATGTTCTTTACAGATCGGGCTTACTGTACCGTGACTGATACCTGTTCTTTGCATAACGCATTTCTCGAACCTAATACTGTACAGCACAAACACAAAATGCACGGACACAAAACCGATACACTGTGATCCAAACCTGTCTTTTGGACGGGCGGCTCAGCACCGAAACTAGCAGGCAGTTACGGTGCAGGATGTGATGCAAGATCCGGTCTCGGAACCACAAAGGCGGTACAGCGAGAAAAAAACCATCAGAAAAACCATCCGAAAAAACTAGAAACTAGCGTAACTGGACGGTGTAGCAGCGATAGGAAGGAACACAGCAGAGTATATCGTGTATGTTTGTGTGTGTGTATTGGTAATGGTATTGGTAATGGTATTGTATAAGTATATAAGCTGGAGCGGTGTGGAATGGTAGCATTCCTGGTTTGATGTTGGATTCCTTTTTGTGTAACCATCGAAAAACCCACTAAAACAGCTCTCCCGTGATGATCTGGCATCCTTTACTGCTTGCAATCGGCTTTTTGCTGACTGCAACCAGCGCCAAAGACCTGGGAAATGTGTTCACCTCGCTTTCGCTCGAGGGTCCCGAAGCTGACAACTACTCCCCGGACAAACTTTGGAATGCGTACCTGGATTTCGCCCTGACTCCGGCAATGAACGTGCAGCAAGGCGACACCTTCACTTTGGACGCCCCCAACGTGCTCAAGTTCTACCCCGGCCGCACCATCGGCGACAACGGCTACGTTCCAATCTATGACGGCTCCGGCGCCACGATCGCCAACTGTTTGATCCAAAACGGGTTCCACACGGCCTCCAAATCGTCTCTGAAATGTACCGTGGGTCAATCTAACATCTACAAGGCCTCTGGATCTGTCAAACTCGGTTTCGTGTTCAACTACGGTGGCTCCGGCGATGCAGCCGCCGTGAGTGCCGCCAACACCTTCAAGAACCCGGGCGCCAACACCGTGACCTGGAACGGCCTCCAAGCTACCGCCGACTTCGGCTTGCCCGTCGGCATGGTCCCTGTGTCGTCTCGTTCCTACCGTGGCTACGACTCCTTATACCCTGCGCCCGCCAACTTCCAACAAATGTTCTTCCTGGGCACCACATGCAGCAATGTTTACAGTGAAACCATCACCATCACATTGTCAGGATCGCCAGGCAACAATGGACAGCTTGCCTCTTGCGAGAGCGTCGAGGTCATGATGGCTTCCTCATTCAGCAGCTTCAACATGCCTCAAAACGCCAAGCAAATCCCATCAAGCGACCTACAGCTGCAATGTTCCGGCAACACTGTAAGAGTGACAGTCTCGAACATTCCCGCTAACAACTACGTTTTTGTTACTGCCATGCAGCTGATGGATCGTTCGATCTCGAATGTTGCCTATTACAACACCTACCAAGAAACCAAATACTGCAGTTCCAGACCTACGTTCAACACTATCAACAAATCCTATAATTTCGTCAAAGGTTCAGCAGAAGGTTTCGGTAATCCTGAAGAACTAAAATGGCACACAACAACCGAGGGATGGTCCGGATCTTACACCACCAGTCGTACTGCCACTTCTGCCGTTACCGGGACCGACGGTGCACTAACACCAGAACCAGTGCTGGTCATTGAAACTCCCACTGTTGCTACCCAATCGACCACTTTCACTCCATGGTCAGGGTCCGTTACTTCTACGTACTCGACCTCTCTAAAGACGTGGACAGGTTCCAACGGAATTGGTACTACTGAAACCATCTACTTTGTCGAGACACCAACAGTGGGCATAAAGAAAACCACCACCACTGGGTACTCCGGCTCGATCACTTCGACCTACTCCACTCAAACCAGAACTTTTACCGGCTCTGATGGCATCCCTACCACCGAAACCCTATATTTGGTAGAGACACCAGTTGTCGGAATTCAGTCCACAACCACTACAGGATGGAGCAGCAGATTCACATCTACTTACTCTACTGGCTTGACCACCTTTACTGGCTCCGATGGTATCCCAACCACTGAGACCATCTACTACGTGGAAACCCCAGTCGTCGGAATTGAGTCCACAACCACTACAGGCTGGACTGGATCTGTCACCTCTACCTACTCTACCGAATTGACCACTTTCACTGGCTCTGACGGTATTCCAACCACCGAAACTATCTACTACGTTGAGACCCCAGTCGTTGGAATTGAGTCCACAACCACCACAGGCTGGACCGGATCCGTCACTTCCACTTTTTCTACCGAGTTGACCACCTTTACTGGATCTGACGGTATTCCAACCACTGAGACCATCTACTACGTCGAAACACCCGTCGTCGGAATTGAGTCCACAACCACTACAGGCTGGACTGGATCTGTTACTTCTACCTACTCTACCGAGTTGACCACTTTCACTGGCTCTGACGGTATTCCAACCACTGAGACCATCTACTTCGTTGAGACCCCAGTCGTCGGAATTGAGTCCACAACCACTACAGGCTGGACCGGATCTGTCACCTCTACCTTCTCTACTGAAATGACCACCTTCACTGGCTCTGACGGTATCCCAACCACTGAGACTATCTACTACGTGGAGACACCAGTTGTTGGCTTGAACTCTACAGTCACAACCGGATGGACCGGATCTGTTACTTCCACCTTCTCTACTGAAATGACCACGTTCACCGGCTCTGACGGTATCCCAACCACTGAGACCATCTACTACGTGGAAACCCCAGTCGTCGGAATTGAGTCTACAACCACTACAGGCTGGACTGGATCTGTCACCTCTACCCACTCTACCGAGTTGACCACTTTCACTGGATCTGACGGCATTCCAACCACCGAAACTATCTACTACGTGGAGACCCCTGTTGTTGGCGTGAACTCAACCACCACTACAGGTTGGGTTGGTCGTATCACTTCAACCTACTCTACCGAGTTGACCACTTTCACTGGATCGGATGGTATTCCAACCACCGAAACTATCTATTACGTGGAGACCCCAATTGTTGGAGAGAACTTGACCGTGACAACCGGATGGACTGGATCTATAACCTCAACCTACTCTACCGAGTTGACCACCTTTACTGGCTCTGACGGTATTCCAACCACCGAGACCATCTACTACGTGGAAACGCCAGTTGTTGGCTTGAACTCTACAGTCACAACCGGATGGACTGGATCTATGACCTCAACCTACTCTACGGAAATGACCACGTTCACTGGATCTGACGGTATTCCAACCACTGAGACTATCTACTATGTGGAAACCCCAGTCGTTGGCTTAAACTCCACAGTGACCACCGGATGGACTGGAACCGCTACCAGCACCTTTTCTACAGACTTGACCACCTTCACTGGATCTGATGGTATTCCAACAACTGAGACTATCTACTACGTGGAGACCCCAGTTGTTGGCGTAAACTCCACAGTGACCACCGGATGGACTGGAACCGCTACCAGTACCTTTTCTACAGACTTGACCACCTTCACAGGTTCTGACGGTATTCCAACCACTGAGACGATCTACTACGTGGAGACCCCAGTCGTTGGCTTAAACTCCACAGTGACCACCGGATGGACTGGAACCGCTACCAGCACCTTTTCTACAGACTTGACCACCTTCACTGGATCTGATGGTATTCCAACAACTGAGACTATCTACTACGTGGAGACTCCAGTTGTTGGCTTGAACTCCACAGTGACTACTGGGTGGACCGGATCTATGACCTCAACCTACTCTACCGAGTTGACCACCTTTACTGGCTCCGATGGTATCCCAACCACTGAGACCATCTACTACGTGGAAACCCCAGTCGTCGGAATTGAGTCCACAACCACTACAGGCTGGACTGGATCTGTTACTTCTACCTACTCTACCGAGTTGACCACTTTCACTGGCTCTGATGGAATCCCAACCACCGAAACTATCTACTACGTTGAGACCCCAGTTGTTGGCTTGAACTCTACAGTCACAACCGGATGGACCGGATCTGTTACTTCCACCTTCTCTACTGAAATGACCACCTTCACTGGCTCTGACGGTATCCCAACCACTGAGACTATCTACTACGTGGAAACCCCGGTCGTTGGAATTGAGTCCACAACCACCACAGGCTGGACTGGATCTGTTACTTCCACCTTCTCTACTGAAATGACCACCTTTACTGGATCTGACGGTATTCCAACCACCGAAACTATTTACTACGTGGAGACCCCTGTTGTTGGCGTGAACTCAACCACCACTACAGGTTGGGTTGGTCGCATCACTTCAACCTACTCTACCGAGTTGACCACCTTTACTGGCTCCGATGGTATTCCAACCACGGAGACCATTTACTACGTCGAGACTCCAATTGTTGGAGAGAACTTGACCGTGACAACCGGATGGACTGGATCTATAACCTCAACCTACTCTACCGAGTTGACCACCTTTACTGGCTCTGACGGTAATCCAACCACCGAAACTATCTACTACGTCGAAACACCCGTCGTTGGAATTGAGTCCACAACCACTACAGGCTGGACTGGATCTGTTACTTCTACCTACTCTACCGAGCTGACCACTTTCACTGGCTCTGATGGAATCCCAACCACCGAAACTATCTACTACGTTGAGACCCCAGTTGTTGGCTTGAACTCTACAGTCACAACCGGATGGACCGGATCTGTTACTTCCACCTTCTCTACTGAAATGACCACTTTCACTGGCTCTGATGGAATCCCAACCACCGAAACTATCTACTACGTTGAGACCCCAGTTGTTGGCTTGAACTCTACAGTCACAACCGGATGGACCGGATCTGTTACTTCCACCTTCTCTACTGAAATGACCACCTTCACTGGCTCTGACGGTATTCCAACCACCGAAACTATCTACTACGTCGAGACCCCAGTGGTTGGCGTGAACTCAACCACCACTAAAGGTTGGGTTGGACGCATCACTTCAACTTACTCTACCGAGTTGACCACCTTTACTGGCTCCGATGGTATTCCAACCACTGAGACCATTTACTACGTCGAGACCCCAATTGTTGGCTTGAACTCCACAGTCACAACCGGATGGACTGGATCTATGACCTCAACCTACTCTACGGAAATGACCACGTTCACTGGATCTGACGGTATTCCAACCACTGAGACTATCTACTATGTGGAAACCCCAGTCGTTGGCTTAAACTCCACAGTGACCACCGGATGGACTGGAACCGCTACCAGCACCTACTCTACCGAATTGACTACCTTCACTGGATCTGATGGAATCCCAACCACTGAGACTATCTACTACGTGGAGACCCCAGTCGTTGGTTTAAACTCTACAGTCACAACCGGGTGGACTGGAACCGCTACCAGCACCTACTCTACCGAATTGACTACCTTCACTGGATCTGATGGAATCCCAACCACTGAGACTATCTACTACGTGGAGACCCCAATTGTTGGCTTGAACTCCACAGTCACAACCGGATGGACTGGAACCGCTACCAGCACCTTTTCTACAGACTTGACCACCTTCACTGGCTCCGACGGTATTCCAACCACTGAGACTATCTACTACGTGGAGACACCAGTTGTTGGCGTAAACTCCACAGTGACCACTGGGTGGACCGGATCTGTTACTTCAACCTTCTCAACTGAAATGACCACGTTCACCGGCTCTGACGGTATCCCAACCACTGAGACTATCTACTACGTGGAAACGCCAGTTGTTGGCTTGAACTCCACAGTCACCACCGGATGGACTGGTTCTATGACCTCGACCTACTCTACGGAAATGACTACCTTCACTGGATCTGACGGCATTCCAACCACCGAAACTATTTACTATGTCGAGACCCCAGTGGTTGGCGTGAACTCAACCACCACTAAAGGTTGGGTTGGACGCATCACTTCAACTTACTCTACCGAGTTGACCACTTTCACTGGATCGGATGGTATTCCAACCACCGAAACTATCTATTACGTGGAGACACCAGTTGTTGGCGTAAACTCCACTGTGACCACTGGGTGGACCGGATCTGTTACTTCAACCTTCTCTACTGAAATGACCACGTTCACCGGCTCTGACGGTATCCCAACCACTGAGACCATCTACTACGTGGAAACGCCAGTTGTTGGCTTGAACTCTACAGTTACAACCGGATGGACTGGATCTATGACCTCAACGTACTCTACCGAGTTGACCACCTTCACTGGCTCCGATGGTGTTCCAACCACTGAGACCATTTACTACGTCGAGACCCCAGTTGTTGGCTTGAACTCCACGGTTACGACCGGATGGACTGGGACCGCTACCAGTACCTTCTCCACAGACTTGACAACCTTCACTGGATCTGATGGTGTCCCAACAACCGAAACCATCTACTACGTGGAGACCCCAGTTGTTGGCTTGAACTCTACAGTCACCACCGGATGGACTGGATCTATGACCTCAACCTTCTCAACTGAAATGACCATCTTCACTGGCTCTGACGGTATTCCAACCACTGAGACTATCTACTACGTTGAGACCCCAGTCGTCAGCGGCGCCACTACTGTCTTCACCGGATGGACTGGATCTGTCACTTCCACCTACTTTACTGATATGACCACCTTCACTGGATCTGATGGTATTCCAACAACTGAGACTATCTACTACGTCGAGACCCCAGTTGTTGGCGTAAACTCCACAGTGACTACTGGGTGGACGGGATCTGTCACTTCAACCTTCTCTACTGAAATGACCACGTTCACTGGCTCCGACGGTATCCCAACCACTGAGACTATCTACTACGTTGAGACCCCAGTCGTCAGCGGCGCCACTACTGTCTTCACCGGATGGACTGGATCTGTCACTTCCACCTACTCTACTGATATGACCACTTTCACTGGATCTGATGGTATTCCAACAACTGAGACTATCTACTACGTTGAGACCCCAGTCGTCAGCGGTGCTACTACTGTCTTTACCGGATGGACTGGAACCGTTACCAGTACCTTCTCCACGGACTTGACCACTTTCACTGGATCTGATGGTATTCCAACAACTGAGACCATCTACTACGTCGAAACACCCACTTCCAGTATGCAATCCACTGAGGGCATGTCAACTGCTACTTTAGTCACGACCATGTGCACTTCGTGGACCGGTCGTTACACGAGCACATTCTCCACCGACACCGCTTTGTTCACTGGTTCTGATGGTATTTTGACGACCGAAACGCTATACCATGTCGAGACACCAAACCTGCCATATTTCGGAAACTCTTCCGTTGTTGCGCCCACCAGGTCATCCGTTAGCAGATCTTCATCTGTCTCTTCAATTTTGAGTGGATCCACATCATCTGCTCTCTCATCATCATTCTCCAGCTCTCAAGTTAGGTCTACGAGCTCTCAAATCTCTAGTACGGTCTCGTCTGGTGCTATCCCACCACCATCCGTTTCTGCTACACCATCCTCCAGCATCAACTCCTTTGAAAAGTCACAATCGTCAGTCTCTGTTCCATTCTCCTCCAACACTGGCGTTCAGTCCGAAACTACACAGGTCTCCAGCACGTCTGCATCTGATACGACAGCGTCTAGTGTACAAGAATCGACAACTGCAACTAGCAAAACCTTGTTGACTCCAAGTTCCTCTTTCTCTAGTCAGCAGACACCATCCCAGCCATCACAACAATCAACTGTGATCCATACCTCCGTGTCGTCAGCTTTCTCTAGCACATCTTCTTCTCAGCCAAGCGCTTCATCCACAACCGTGGTTCAAACCGCGACCACCGGAAAAAGCACTGAAGTACCAAGCTCGAGTGACATAACAACAGCTTCCTCTAAGCCTGGTGTTTCATCTACAACTGTGGTTCAAACCGCCACCACCGGAACAAGCACTGAAGCACTAACTTCGAATGACACACCAACATCGTCCTATCCTGAGTCATCTTCTTCGTCGACCAGAAACTCTGAAAGCACGGTCATTCCTACCTCAAGTTCCTCCGAAAGTGCGAATTTGGTACAAAGCACTAGCCACGTTGTCCAGGAGACTACACAAACATCGACTTCTTCACACAGCTCTGGCAGTTCGACGTCGTCGACGAGCACCACTGACTCTAAGTCAGCTACGCCATTGTCATCCTCAGCATCATCGTCTGAGTCTGTTACGAGAGCTACAACATCATTGCAAGGTGGTAGTGATGTCAAATCTTTGCCATCTGCCTCGATGTCCACAAACTCACCAAGTAATAACGGCCATCAAGAGCCACCACAAACTACAGAGTTAGCACCTCAGCCATCGCCATATAAATCCTCTTCCGGATTTAGCGATGCTACGAAGGCCACCTCAACACTATCTGGTACCGGCAGTGGTGATCACGCATCTAGTCCAGCTTCACCTTACGCCAACCCAGAAACGACGCCAACTGGAACTGCGGCTTACGAAAGCACCACTGAGACTATAAGCAAGTTCCAGACAACAACTGCTTCCATATCCAGTAGCACACCTGTGAGGTCTTCAGTAACAACAGCGGCCCAATCTTCAACTCAAAGTATTTCTACCTACGAAGGAGGTGCTAGCAAGCTGAAATTTGGTCTCCTTCTCGCTCTACCTTTAGCCTTGATCTAAAAAGATACCCTATGAGAGCGATTACGGTAAAAGTCATCATATAAAAGCCCTAACAAGATTTAGGCATAGTGTAACATATATAAACAATAAGTGTATCATTACTATTCATCAAAGACCAGCAACGCACGCAGATGCTCGAACGTCTCTAGTTCCTCATTATTTAAAAGACACGGATAAAAGATGACGCTGCGGTAAGCAAAGCATTCTTACCGCATAGTAACCTTACCGCATACTTAGCCAAGAACTGACGAAAGAGAGACCTCAATTTCTACATATGATTCTCATCGCTAATAGAAGTGTAAGTCGAAAACAGTAGCGCTATATCTAGAAGAAGTTCCATGAGAAGAATCATCATCAGAAATTCCTCAGTTAGCCATTGAGATTGAGAATATCGAGACCACGAATAAATGCTCTAGTTTTCTATCTTATTTTCATAAACAATGACAGTGACAGGCAATGAATGGCCTTAAATATTATTCACAATAAAGCAAGTACTTGTTACCATGTCAAACTTAGAATGACGAGAACCGTTATTTGCAACGCAGATCATCTGTGGAGTAGGAAATGAGTGACTGTAGCTGGATTCCCGAGACTTTTTCTTCTACGCTGAGAGAATATCTTAAACATCTTATAAGAACAGAATCCGTAATGCTACACACCGAAATGTGACATCGTAGAAAAGTCAATGAAATGCTTGAAATACTCGATTGCGACACTCTCGTTCTGCCCCGAGTTGGTTTCAATATTTTTTATGTACTCTGAATGGGTGATTTTGACAAGATAATGATCAGACGTTATGGCTGTCTTCCATCAAGATAATGGTAATGACATCAAATATACTCAAACTATAAGAATTGATAAAGATGAGAGATCTTCTGAGATTCCCGCGAAAAGCCTCAGTTTTTGTCTAAATACAACGCGTTTCTAAATAATTAGCCTTTCAAAATCCCAATGGAAACAGGAGTAGCTGCGGTTGGATCTGACTACCACTTCCTTTAGTTCCGTGGTCTACATTGAAGAGTGTGAGTCGTCACTGAAATTTTCAAAAAAACCTTCTGGTGAATGAAGAGAGGTAGCAATTTCGACTGGAGTCGTGCGGACTAGAATCTCTTGCCTCATTTTCCTGCCCATTTTTCAGTTGTCGAAGCATCCACCGCTTTTTACCTTGTTGCCCCACAAGTCAGCCAAAAAATAGAGGTAGCTGTCAACGTTTCTAACGGCGTATGTGGAGTTAGACCTTGCCAATGCCAAAGTCTCATCAAGATCCTCGGTGAACTCCGAAATGAACTCGTTTTGGCTAATCGATGGAACGTGGAAATAACGGTGCAGCATATCGATACCGTAATACTTTTGCGGTCCATACTGCGTAAGGTTACCTTTGGTGCACATATCGCTTAGCGGCACACGAGCCTGATAAAAATAGTCACAAATCACTGTCTCGTAGGGATGGTTCTCACGATGATGTCCGGCATAATAGTTTTCATTCTTTTTGCAAAGCCCATCGGCATCGTCGCAACGAAGAAGCAAAGACGTTTTTGACACATTGGCGACTCCTTCTATAACACCCAAGACCTCATAAAGCTTTCCATCCCCGAACCAACGTTTGTAGATTTCAGAATCTACAAAGCTGTCGTTGGAAGAAAGCACACTCATTGCGTAACTAGTGGCATCCATTGTGTCAGCGAAAGCTTTTGTGAGGAAATCCGCTTTGGTGCTGTTGCAGGTCGAGTGGATTCTTGGGAACTCTGACTGAGCCCAACGGCCAGTTGCTACTGTCGAGTAAGTTTTGGGTCCATTCTTATGAGAAGCAGCATCTCTTTGGCCTAGAACAGCTAAAACCAGTGCAGCTACCAGTGTGCCGATGCAAATAGTGGCGGTCCCGAAGAACAAGCCGCCGCGCCTCAAAATTCTACCTTTTTCGTTCATGATCCACTATCGTGTCTTTATGTTCTGGCTGCTCTTTCATTTTAGGTTATCTTACTACTCTACCGTCTTATATACCATCCTTGTGCTGTACAGATCTTGAAAGGGTTTAAATTACTGAGAAGGCACCTTCAGGGTCCTGAACCTTCACTGCTTCATTCTAGTTCGCATGCGCTCGACAAGCACTGGTCTCCACTAGCGGACTGCAGCGACAGTTTAGGTGTTCGATGATACTCTTTCTAGAAAGATGCAGGGTCCATAGAAGATTTAGTGAAAAAAAGGTGTTGAAATTCACCTGCGGCTCTCGCGGCTTGTTGGACCTTGCAGGTAATGAGAGTCCCAGGTTGAAGAGATAGTGTACTCTCTGCTTATTCTTTAACAGTGTTTAACAAAATTTTGAGTTCATTTTCAGAAGATGGGTGATTGAGCTGGATGTGCTCGTGAAGAAATGACGCTTTAGAGCCGAATGGATACCACACTGCTAGCGGTAGCCATAGTAGAACTTAGCAGGGCGATATGATAGAGTTGCAGGGGGAGGTGAATTAATGTCCATTGGGTCTCATTACACCTACGACGGGTGGTTTCGTTGAAAAATTGTCATCACGTTTTCCTAGTTTGAATAAGACCATAATGTTACAAGGAATGTATTGGTGTGAATGAAGACTGGAATGCTTGATTCTTATTATAGTTGCTGGCCCATGCTGCTTACTGGCATCCCAATGTTATGTGCGTCTTGATTTCGGGGCCTTACATAACGATGGAAAAGTCACGTGACTTTTTAGAAAAAACTTGTTTCTCACCAGCTTTTACCACGGATACGGTCTGAGCTGTCCAGTTGCGTTAAGATTCTGTTCACAGGCGGGAAGACAGCATGGGATCACATTTTCTTTATTGCAACCTGCTGCTCGAAGGGAAGATACAAGATAAAACAAACATCTTGAAATCTCACCTTCAGGACTATTTGAGCAGCCAGAAAATCATACGCTGGTGAATAGAATATAGAATCGTCTCTAGGCGGCAGTTGCAACTCTCAGGTAGACGTAAGCAGTTCAAGAATGTTGTCTATACTTTCCGTCATTCGTGCAGTGTGATATACATTTTCTCATAAATAGTTCAAACTCAATGCCACTATGCATACCGGTGTTTTTCTACACTATAACGCCATGATTTCAGTAAATACAGCGCTTCTCTATTCCTTTACATTTCTGCAGGAGTCTTTTCGAAAGCAGGGCTGGGAATGAAATATCACAAATCCAGTGCACCGAATCCACTCGTTCAAAATGCTTGATGATTCAAATCATTTAGTATAAGATGATAATAGACGCTCAAATAATCCGGCACGAATCCGAATGAAGTGCTGGGTGACTGGGTGGCTGGAATTCGAGTGAAGTGCTTCGATACGACAAGTGAAGATACTGATCTGAGCTCTTCTTGCACATGACGTACAGATGTTAGAAGACAAGTTCAGTGACTACGAGCTCTAGCCTTAGAAAAGAGAGCGTTGCACCTTCTTCGAGTTACATACATACTCAATACAATCCTCGGCCATCGGCGGTTCCTGTTGCAATCTTAGCCTGTTGACCTCAAGCGATGACTACGTTTACAATGATTGATTATATCGTTCATGAGCGAGTCCAACCTCGTATATGACGACGTGACTCACGAAACCCTGGACTCGCCGGATTCGTTCCCAGTCTTGATCGAGAGTTACAACAATCATCGCGTACGACGAAATGATAAGGTATTCTGACCCGCATATACTCGAACTTCGATTAGAGCACGACAGTTTGCGAGTCTGAAAGACATCTACATTTGCTTGTTCTTGATAAGTCCCCTCTACGAAACAGGAATATTCATGCTATTTTCATTTGTTGGCGACACTTGAACCTGTAATTGGAAATCTTTTTGCCATTCGATATTTTATTTCAGACCCTTTCAGTAGCTTAAAACCCTGTTTATGCGCATATTCAAAGAGTCACAACTTTGCATACCTTGAAGAACTCTCTCGAAAGTCTTCTTTTCATGGCATCAACCAAGATCTGTTTCATTTACCACAGCAGCTGGCAGGATGCGGGTAAAATTAAGAATTTGTGGTTGTGATGATTCAATCTGTAATCCTTAATCAAAAACAACCAGGCTTCGGGACGTGCGGGACGCATTGTACTGAAAATTGTTCTTTCTTATAGATATGATTTTTCCATGATAGCGGTCCATGACGGGCGTCAGTTTTAGCCAAGTTAATTGATTTCCGATCACTACCAAAGCTAAGCAACAGAAAATGATAAAGAACAGGATCTGACTTCAGGCCCTAAGAATACCTACCAGAGTACATAACAGTCTATTTAAAGTCTTTTGATCCTTCTTTCGCTACCCCCACACTCACAAGAAACTTTTGAACACTCCCACTTCCCCTTCACATTGTGTATATCAACTCCATCCTCACAGTTGTAAGCTTGATCTACGCTACAAACCTTTGAATGGGCCAGAAAACAGTCATTCAAAGGACATCCACCACTGTATTCGGGATCCTCTGTCGTACCTAATACATCGTTATTCTCGAATCCGTCTTGCAAGAGTTTTCACATGTCCGATGCCCAGACATCAAAAACACCATACAAAAATTGTCAAATGGAAAAAAGTCATTACTGATTTCGGCATAGCAACAAGATACTGCGATTAATCCCAACTTGGCCAACCACCCACACAATTCGATACAAATCTATATTACTTCCTCAGGCACATGTCATGATCCTGACGTCCGTACTTAATTGGAAGAAGAAGTTCAACCAAAACGGAAAATTCAAAACGATTATCGTGAGTTAGGGTCCGTAAACCAACTGTTTACCTTCGAGCTTCCATTGGGAAACCCGGTCTTGTTGGAACAAACCTCCGAATCAGCTTTCAACTTACGAAAATCTCGAATTGTATCCCGTTACTACACACACATGTTTAATTGTATTCGCTAGTAATTAAGTCCCACGTTATCGAGGTGCACATTCTTGAATCGTCCGTGGTATAGTCTAATCAAGCCAAGCTGTGAGAATTGTGAGTAGTTTCTCAATTACCTTAATGCCGATGCTATTGGCAACACCATTGGCAGACGACCGGCTTTCGAGATATTCTATGCGAAACATATTTTAGAGTACATGCTCGAACTTTAGGGTAAAGGACTCAGAGTTTAATTACTTGGAAAATTGAATAATTTACACGAATATACGCGCTCATGATGCTGTTCTTGTAAGAATGTAGATATTGGAGGCGCCCTCTTAGATACGTATATACATATATAAAGACTAGTAGATCAACCAAAGTCTTTGGGTTCACGGTGTTGTGTTTTTGAATTCAGCACACACAGCACCCGTCTAACAGCATGAACTCCGTGCCACTTGTACTCTTGGCAGCTGCCTTGGCAAACGCTGCACCAACGACTCTGGAAAAACAACAAAGTTCGGTGTCGTTTGCAGATGTTTCGAAAATTGGCACTCAGGAACATCTTTTCCCCTACTTGGCAGGTTCGGCTCCCCACTTTTCATACCCGCTGAGCTACGGTGTGTCAAAGGAAGTTCCCGAACAGTGTGTCCTTCAACAAGTGCAATTGTTCGCCAGACACGGCGAAAGATACCCAACCAACAACACCGGTGCGGCTTTGACCAAACTGTACAACAAGCTAGGCAACTACTCGTCAGACTTTTCAGGAGCTCTTAAGTTTCTGGACGAAGACTACGAGTTTTTCTTGCCAGACCCACACAATTTCGAGGAATTGACTACCTGGGACAATATTCTGGACCCCATAAACCCATACGCCGGCGAATGGGATGCCCAGAAGCATGGCCGTGAGTTCCTCTCGCAGTACGGAGAGCTTTTGGAAAACAAGACCTCGTTCCCCATCTTTACTTCCAACTCCAAAAGAGTTCACAATACCGCTAAATTCTTCGGCGACGCTTTGGGCGACAAGTACAACATCAGTTACCAGGTTATCGATGAAGATCCATCCATGGGAGCCAACTCATTGACCACAATTGATTCGTGCTCCACCTACAACAAAACCGCCAAAAAAGACGTGTACTCCAAGTTCACCACTCAATACCTCTCCGATATTGCCAGCAGATTGAATTCTGAGAACAAGGGTTTGAATTTGTCCAAATCCGATGCCAACAGCTTATTCTCCTGGTGTGCTTACGAAATTAACGTCAAGGGCTACAGTAACATGTGCGATGTGTTCACCGAAGAAGAATTGACCTACTTCGCCTACAATGATGACATGACGAGTTACTACTACCACGGTCCTGGTAATCCGCTGGGTGTCACCGTCGGGGGTGTCAACTTCAACGCTTCAGTCGAGCTTTTGAAGCAGCACGAAGAATTGGACAACAAGGTGTGGTTGAGTTTCACCCACGATACCAACATCGTTAACATCCTAGGCGCTATCGGTATCTTCGACCCTGGTCATCCAATGCCTGCAGAGTATATTGCCGTCAAAGACCACATCTACCACAAATCTTGGATGGTTCCTCAGGGTGCTAGAGTCTACACTCAGTTGTACCAATGTTCCAACGAAACCTACGTTAGATATGTGGTGAACGACGTTGTGATCCCAATTGAGAAATGCTCTTCTGGTCCAGGTTTGTCTTGTGAAATGAGCAAGTTTATTGACTACGCTGAGTCCAGATTGAACGGCACTGACTACGTTTCTTCTTGTAAGATCAACACCACTAGCAACCAAACCTCGTTGACCTTCTACTGGGACTACGAACAGAAGCAATACAATGCTCCTTTGGGCTTGTTTTAGTCACACATTTTCTCAGACTTTGAATAAGTCTGCTAACTTCGTTATACCACCCTTTCCTTTCAAGTTCGTTGAATGACAGCATATGTCAATAGATATCAAATATATCGAATACCAAGAAAAGCCCTAGTGTGCAAGTCCCACTAGTGCTCATTGTTTTATATCGCACGCACAGAGCGCGTCTTTTAAATTCGAAGAGGCAAACATTAGCATCGCACAAATAATGTGGGTGCCTTAGTGTCTTTCTCACCCGAATTGTTCCAAGATAAAAACCCATTGCGTCTAATTGTGTCTTCTAAAGAGCACAGTAAACCTTCTAACAATTAGTCCCAATCTTGAGCTTCTGAACTTGTACAATGATAAGTCGAATATCAGCATAGAGAGGAGAGAAACATGTCTTGTCTAGATATTGGTAAGGTAGAGACCAACTAACGATCTTTAGATAGGTTCACTAGATATCTGATGTAGGAAGCCGAGCCTTGAAGTATTAGTGACAGTTTAATGAAAACGTAATATTACTAGCGCGACGAAGTCATTCAGTGGCTGGCACTGCACAGGAGCTGCTCAATTGAATGTACATGCTCATTTCAATACCACCCAATTCATACCTAACTCCGCGTTCGTCAAGCAATTGACAGGCTACATTGAAGAGCACAGACTCAATTGGCGTCAAAAGGATGTTGCGACACCAATGGGAAAACAAATCTGGTGAAATCGCAACGTAGACGAATGCGAGTCATCGTGCGTAAAGGCTGCCTCATGAAGGTCCTGAAATTGCAGTCATTCGCCCAATTCTTTGAAAGGTCTACAAGCTTAACCAAATCACACGGACCGGTACATTTACAAAGAACCTTAAATGACATGGCTGAAACTAGAGAGCTTGAAAAGACGGCAAAAGCCAAAAGCCAATGTCGCGACAATAACATCTTTTTACTTGTTAGCCCTTCCGCTTATTACAAAGATGTACGAAGAGATCCAGCTGTGACGAGCTTTGCGATGGGCTCAACTCTACCTAGGGTGGATTGAGACATAGCGTCAAATCGATTGTCACTTGTGAGCCAATTTGCTATTTTACACTAACATGGTATCCGCTCATAAGCTTATTCTGCAAATTACAGAGTTCGAAGTTTGCCACGGAACTCATCAATGCTTGTGTAGCCCTTGCGAGCCATCAGTTCTCTAAGCTCTTTCTCCAATCTTTCAAAAACCGAGATGCCCTCTTCATACAGTGCTGTCCCGACCTGCAGCATCGTAGCACCGCAAAGCAGGTGCTCGAAGGCATCTTGACCTGTTGCGATTCCACCGGTCCCTATGACCTTGATGGTAGGGTTTAGACGTGTGTAGAAGGCGCGTACGTTGGCCAAAGCAGTAGGCTTTATGTAGTCACCACCAATACCACCAAATCCGTCTTTTGGTTTGATTACCACACTCTCAGAGTCCGCGTTTATGTAAAGACCGTTGCCAATGCTATTCACGCAATTAACATAGGCCAGCGGAAACTTGTTCAGGATTTTGGCCATGATATCGAAATGAGCAAAGTCAAAGTAAGGTGGGAGCTTGACTCCAAGAGGCTTCTTGAAGAACTCGAACACCTGTGTCAAGATGTCCTCTGTCATTTGAAAATCGTAGCCAACTTGTGGTTTACCGGGAACATTAGGACATGACAGGTTGAGTTCTGTGACGCCCTGATAACCGCTGCTTTGGATAGCTTTTAGAAGTTTAAGGTTTTCTTCCGGGCTCATGCCTGCAACAGAGAAAAATGGTGACTTTCCATCTGGGTCATTTTTTTGAAATTTCACGACATAGTCCAGATAATAGTCAAAGCCTTTATTCGGCAGTCCCATCGAGTTGATACTTCCTAAGGATGTGGCGTAATAGCGGGGCTCTGGATTACCTGCTCTTTCCAGAGAAGTTGCGCTTTTCGTGATAAAGGCGCCTGCCTTTGAGCTTTTCAGTTCATTCAGCTCGTCTACAGTCAAGCAGTGCACGCCCGAAGCGTTCATAAATGGGTTTTCATACTTTTGACCCAAGAATTCCGTTTTCAAAGAGGCCGTCATTATGCAGTAAGGAGTAGCTTATTTGAAGAAATCATTTCAAGAAGTGATCTACAATACATATCGAATCTTGAGCAAAGCTGTTGTTATATGTCAGTCAAGATTCTTTTTACCTTGCTATTTTTTCAACATCGGATGACGTTCATGGCTTGATCATACTACTTCGTTTAAAATCGTATGATTTATCGACAGCATTCCATCATGTGATAGCAGCGCTAATAACGTCATTCAACCTGATGATCACTGGTAATCGTTAGTTTCGTCTCCCGCAGGGTTCGAATCCTGCGTTTATAGCTCATATCACTACTCTTCTGAGGTCTTTTACAGGCTCTGGCAAGAAGTTTGGCTCAGCTTTTATTACGTCAAATTAATATTTTATTCGATCAATGTGAACACTGAATAATGATACCGGGACCTCATCGCTTGGGAACTTGTATGGTGAAATGATCGTTGGTGCCACTGTGCTACTTGATCTGCTCAGCCTTTGATAGATGAAAAGGTGATCCTTTCGTTTTTACAGACTCTTACTTACTAAAATACTTTTTCAAAGTAGTCAACAATTTATTCATGGACACCATAGCTTAGTGCTTATGCAATGACATTGAAGCAAGATCCATATTGCCCATCGGAAAAGCACGTTTTTTCGCAACACTATGCTGATTATAACGGTGTGGGTTATGTCTCAATTGATGCGTTGCCTGTAGTTCCAACGTTGTACATATACGCTCTTCTTCTTCCTCTTCTTCTGTACTTCCTGGCATGAATTGCAAATATTCGGGGGTTGGCATTCTGGTTTTATACCAGAATCATCCTATCTAACCCCCGTTTTCGAAAGTCAGTTCTTAAAATAACCTCGAATTAATGGTCTTTCTTTCGGTCTGATCAAATAGCCTCTTTTCGGCGGCCCAAGTAGCAATGCAGTAGGTTCACATTTATAGCAACTCACAGACTCGGTGTCGCTGTTTAAGGTTCTTGATAATGACCTCGGCGATGGTCATTACCTTCGAAAATCAACCACTTTCTCGTCTCTTTCGCTGATTTTTCTCAAAACCTTGCATGGATTGCCTACTGCGACCACTCCCTCTGGAATGTCTTTGACCACAACACTACCTGCAGCAATTACTGAGTTTTTTCCAATGGTGACACCCGGCAAAATGGTGACACTACCTCCAATCCACACATTATCCTCTATGGTAATGGGCAATGCAAATTCTAAACCGTCTATACGCCGCTGTGGGTCCAGAGGGTGGCCGGCGGTGTAGAGACCCACATTGGGACCAAACAGGACGTTGTTGCCAATGCGAACATCCACAACGTCTAGAATTGTAAGGTTGTGGTTGCTGTACACGTTGTCCCCGATATGAATATTAGTCCCATAATCACAATAAAACGGCTGTTCGATCAGAAAATTATCGCCGCAGCTACCGAAAAAACCTCTTATGAGATTTTCTCTGAGATCTTCCTCGTCGGGATGAAGTTTATTGTATTCAAATAACGTCGATTTCGCTTTCTTTCTGCCCTGAACATAAACTTCTTCGTTGGGATTATATAGCTTCCCCGCAATAATACTTTCCATTGGGTCCATGAAGGCGGCGGTCGAATATCAGAGTTGATTTGCAACTTTCGAAACTTATCAAAGCTTTTATGATTTCACAGTTACTGATATGAATATAAGTTAGATTTTTGAAGATCTCTCTCCTTTTCAACAAACCTTAGATGTATACACCATTATTATAAGACTACATCAGGGCATATTTCACAAGGGAAGAAGGAAAAGACAAAGATAGCATTCATTGGTTCCAAGATTTTTCTAGCGTTTGAGATAAGGTGATTTGAAATTTGATGTTTGTAACTTTTCAGTAGGGAATTGCAGTAGAAACCTGATACGTCTTAAAAAGAGTCCTCCAAGCTGGCTAGCGTCGATAGCTTTTCCGCAACCGGCAGATAATGAATCAAATACCTCACAAAACGATTCCAAACTTGGTAGCAAGTTCGCCATTTATGGGAAAAGAGGCCCCAAGGTACAATGTATGGAAGAGTACAAAGAGCTACTATATCTTGAGTGCAAGAACATATGTAATCGATGCATATAAGTGCAAGAAGCTCTAGAAATTGGGAACGATAAGGAGCCTTATATTCATCTCGGTTATTTCAAAGGTGAGAGGACACATCGGTTGATATTTCTTTACCCTTTTCGTGGGAATCTGTAGTGTCCAAAAGCATAGAAGAGCGATAAGTGAAAGAACTACTCTCTGTAGATTATCTCTCTGTATCCGAAGAGCACACAGTGATAAACGGAAAGTTAACTGAAAGTAGAATGACTGCGAGGAGAAACAAATGTCAGTGAGGAAGACAGTGACAGGTTGAGTGACAGGTTAGTATAAGTATGGGCGGGGCATTTGAATGATAGTTTTACAAGGTAAGTGTCAAAGGTAAAGCGGAGTAAGGTTGATAATTACAGTGTCAAACTAGCTCGAGTAGTGTTGGATCGTCAATAAAGTGAATCAAGAAAATACCGAAAGAGAAGAGGGTATGGCATTCAATTGAGCAATGGAGACAGAGCAGAGAAAGAGCCGGCAAAAACTCCTGGAAAAACTTCGTTTCGCAAAGTATGGAGATTTAGAGAGTTGAGAAGGTTTTTTTTTTTTGAATGATGCCGTTGTAGTTGAAGGCGAAACGTTCACGGAGCCTAACAACTAGAATTTAACTTGACCTTATGGTTCACGGTTTCGGTTACCATCGAAAAATTGTCATATAGGATCATTGATGCTCTCTTGGGTTTGAAAATCAAGGGCCAGCCGAAAAGACAAACATCTGCCATTTCGAATTGTGAGAACACGAGTTTCCGACGCTTTCCATCACAAGCAGGACTTTGCTGCTCTGATTACCTTTGATTAACTTTGGTTATCCTTCTTTTTTTAGCATGAAAACGAGCGCTGGGTTAGCAAGTCGCTCGATTGACCGCCTGTTGCATCAAATCCCTATCCACCCGCTGATGTGCTTACCTGTGGCATCCATGTCGTGTAACGATTGTTTCAATGTAGAACGGAATTTACGAGACTGTTTCCACCCTTACGATGATGGCTCGAATAATCCATAATTCATTGGTCGAATATAGGCGACAGCCTAAAAGACTGTTCGAAGTCAATCACTAATTTTAGCGGCTCAAATGTCTCTCTTCCATCAATTCGGTCGATCGAAATGAGATTAACAGACCACACAGCTCTCGAGCGTGTCGGCATACCTCAAGGTAAAAAACACAGCGGAAATGGGTTGATCGTGGGTGGCTAAGTAACAAACTATGTTTGGGGATTTGATGATTTTTTCGAGCTGTCGATAGAATGACCAGAAGAGATATGAGAGAAGGAGTTTATCAACGAGGGCATCTTGTTTTTGTCGCTGCGCTGATAGTGACTCAATTCGTCTCAAGTCGTTATTTCACAGAGACTTTCGATTTCGATGCCAAAAAAGACCAGATATTTTCAGACGTGGCAAGCAACATAAAAAGAATGGTTTCTCTTCTACAAAGATCCAAACTTTGAGGATGAGCTTCCGCCCTCTGTCATGTATCGTCTAGAGACTGACTTTTATCGTCAGCGTACTAATCCAACTTGGTCGGTCAGATGATCTCCAGACGATTTTTCATCAGACAAAAACTGAGCTTAATTGATGATGATATCAACGTTCGAATCCTATAAAAGAGATCCTGTAAGTGACGACAACATTCAGGCCGCGTGAGATCTTACTACCAAGGTAGAAATTCGGCAGTCGCTCAGTACTGCTATCATCTCGAGATAACCGCCACTGCTTTTGGGTGTACTATCTGCTGATATGACATTATTCGCACTAAACGAAGTGTAAATGAAGTGTAAACGAGATTAGTTTGACATTCTGGCTCGAGCACCGAATGAGTCACAAGACAACTCTCTGTCTTAAGCCTGCCACTTTATGTAACGCCACACCTACGGTTTCCAGAGCATGGGTTACAATCCTGAAGTTGTATATATGCTGCCTTTTTTCTTTAGAAGGTAATGGCAGAATGATCAGTTAATAGCTTACTCGGCAGCGCAAAGCAAATGACTGAAATTGTGTTTGGTCAACCTCTTCCTAGCAATCTAGACTATGCTGTCTCATTCGGGATTCCCACATGGGAGTCTGCTGTAGGATACGTGGAGAAAGATCCTTATTTTGTTAAAAAAATGGTGACTGGGTATCCTAGGTATTTCCCTCAACCTGCCGTACAAAAGCTGTGCGATCATTTTCTGGAGAAATATGGTCACGGTGTTGAGACCTGTCGACCTTTTCCCTCCTTGTCGAGCGCTTCAAAATGCTTAGAATTTGTGAAGTCTGCACATGGCTCCAAGAGTAAAGCTTACCTGAAGGCTGAAACTTACGATTTGAAAGATGTGTCAAACGATGATAGCTCGTTTTTAACCATCACGATAGCGGCTGTTTTTGCTTCTGAGGATGAAATTGAAACTGTTAAGGAATATTGGAAATTGACAGGTGAATGCGTTTCGAGTCGACTGGCAGCTTTTGTCAACCAATGCATAGAAGACGCGGATTGCGAATCCACCCAACTCTCTATAAAGAAAGCAGGCATTGCTCGCTTGAAAGAAGACGGGGAATGGGCGAAAGCTGAGGTGAAGAAGAGAGTTGCGGAAAATCACACTTCACCTTTGGGTGCAAAGAGTTCTGAAGAAAAGATGCCCATCAACCCCTCTACATATGTCTTCTTGGTGTCAAGCGGTATGTCTTCAATTTTCAATGCTCGCAGAATGCTCACATTTTGGGAACGCAATAAAGGCTCTCAGCCTCAGTGCGACACAGCAGCTGTTTTCGGCTTCCCTTTCAAAGACACTAAAGTGATAATGGAGGAGTTTGGAAAATGCCAATTTTTCGGGTTTGGGGACTCTAGAGATTTGACAGAGTTGAAAGCATACTTGGGAGACAAAAAAAATCGTATTCTAGCCGTTTTTTTGGAAACCCCATCGAATCCGATGTTGAATGTTCCAGATCTGAAAGAACTAAGACGTCTGGCTGATGAAAATGGCTTCTCTATTATTGTAGACGACACCATTGGGGGCTTGAACACATATGTTCTACCTTATGCTGATATCGTGTGCACCTCACTAACCAAACTGTTCAGTGGTTCGAGTAATGTAATGGGGGGCTCAATACTGCTAAACCCACAGTCTCAGCTGTATACTTTTGCTCGTGATTATTTCAAAAGCAGCGAGTTTGAAGAACTTCTTTGGCTCCAAGACGCAATTGTGCTTGAAAATAACTCAAGAGATTTTGCAGAGAGGACAGTGGGAACGAACGAAAACACGAAGGAACTAATAGAAAAGGTGCTCTTACCACAAGAGGGAAAGTTGTTTAAAAAAATTTACTATCCATCGCTAAGTTCCGACGAGACTCTGAGAAACTATGATGCTATACGCAGCCCCGAGGGTGGTTATGGAAGCATGTTGTCTCTAACCTTCAACAACGAAAAGGATGCCCGGATGTTCTACAATAAGTTGAAAATTTTCAAAGGGCCCTCCAATGGCACAAACTTTACCCTGGCATGTCCCTATGTTCATTTGGCACATCACAATGAACTTGAAGGAGTGTCAAAATTTGGAGCCGATCCTAATTTGGTGAGAGTAAGTGTTGGACTTGAGGATGTTAAGTGGCTGAAAGAAACCTTCGCTGACGCGATTGCAGTGACGAAAGGATCGAGCGTTTGAACTTAGAGCCGAGTTACCTTTACTCGCCAAGAAGCTTCTTATCGTTGTGACAGAAAGGCTAAAGGAAGAGGAATCTTCATACCCAAAAACGGTCTTCGATGTTAATTCCTTCTGGGCGTTTAAGACGGAAGGCCATGCAAAACTCTTCGGTAGAAAGGTTATCGGTGCAGCATACGAAGAAGAGACACGAGATGCCCTACTTGTCCTTCTATCTCTGCCTACATACCATCGTGCCAACAACGAAAAACAAGAGAGCATCTGAATGTGCGGCGACCCGATCCTCGAAGAATTATTAGTTATATAGGGCTTGAGGCTACGAGACAAGCATTAGTGTGATATATATGAGAATTGATAGAGTGTGTCCTCTAAGAGACTGAAGAAAGATGAGATTCGTTCAAAGATGACTTTGGAATTGTGGATGGGATAATCATGACTGAAGATGATCGGAAAGTGGTCGTTGCTCATCATTGACCTAGCATTGGATTTTGCATCATAAATTGCATCATCCGCGCTCGCCACATAACAGAGAAATGGGAGAAACTTGCAGATTTGCTTTTTTCGACGCATAAAAGATACTAAAAGTTGGCTAACAACTGTGAAGCTAAATGCTTTCGGTTTTTTGTTTCATTCTAGCTTGTAAAAAAGGGAAGCAGTCAGGGAAAGGCTTTCACAAGAGATAATACGTGCCTCTTTCAGTTCATTATTTGGTCAACGGGTTACGGTCTTAGATGTCCTACTGCCTTTCTATGCGCTTCCGTATGGTGTTGAGAAAAGGTATTCCCATATTGCCTTGGTTGTGTTAAAAAACGATTCAAGTATGTGGAAGCGGAAGTCATTGAGTGCTCATTCCCAGGAAAAGTAAGCCTTGGGGCTCTGGGAAGACCAGGAAGCTGTTTGGTTCCTGAACTATGTTCCTATCATTAAATTTCCCGAGCCCAAAGTCTTTTCTATATCCAACCAAGTGCGACACTAAGCGAGAAGAGCTAAAAAGCTTATTGCAAACGCCCTACAAGGTTCTTCACGCTTCACATTATTCAAAGCGGCACCGTCGTCGATAGTCATCAAGGCTCTTCAAGATTCATTCGAAGCGTTTTTCATCTATAAGTTGGAATGCTAAAATCTATGTGATTTCGGTCGATAAATCAATGGTCTTCTTGTGAAATGGCAGTTTGCGACATGAATTGTGTCTCCTAGCTATTGCAAGTGTTTCCTGTGAAAGTTTTCAATGAAAATTGAAAAATAAGTGTTGTTTTCATGATGACGCATCTGTGAGCTTAGAGATGGTGGGGATTACCAACGACATGTATGTTTTATGTAGAATTGAATTGCTTGCTGTGTCTTTTTCAACTGGCGGATGACATTTTGGACATCATGGAACAATACGACGCCCGAGCACCAAAATTACGAGAAATTGAAGAAAAACGGCAAAAAAGATAGGCAAACGCGTGGAATGGGCAACTCAAACCGCTTGCGTTATTCAATGTCTAACGTATTTAGTTCATTGTATGTTTAGCACTGTGTGTTCGGGAGTTCCTGGCTATTCTTGCAAGCGTCACAATGCACATCATCAGAATTGTAGATAGTGATTAGAGAGCTTATGTCCGAATGCTCGTAGGAAATTGAATTTGAACCCTGCATATAAGGAACGAAAACACATACAAGCACGGAATGCTGATCCAGAAAGATGGAAACGCTAAGAGCGCTTTCTTTGATGCTGGAATACGACCATAAGTCCGGGAAATATGGCATTCTAAATTGCTGGCTTTAGGATGAGTTTTCCAGAACTGAGTGTGAACAGAGGAAGTGGGATGCCGGAACGAAGAGGGAGCGAGAGGGTGGGAGTGATTAGTGTGTATTTCAAACAGAATAAACGTTACGAGACGGAACAAGGAACGAGCGTCAAACATGGAAGCCCGTCGCATCTCGTTACCCTGAAAGAAAATCGCAGCTTAAAATTTCAACACTTAAAATAGCTCAAAACGCTCGGGTGGTGAGACGTTTTAACTTGAGACGCTTTAAAAATTGCTCCGGAGATCTTGTAAGGAAATCGAAAACATCTATTGGCCATTTCAGCTCAAGACCGCCATCCACCTAACTAACACCGGGCTCGAGCCTACTTCGTTCGTGGGAAAGGACTAGAAAGTTTTTGGCGCGTGAGGGCTTACCAGCTCGTAAACGCAGGTCTGCGACCACCTGTTGAGGGTTACAATAACCGGGCTGGTTACGAAGTAGTATATATTCAGCCAAAAGTGGGTGCAATTACGGCCAATGGTCGTTCCGGACCAAATGCCAAAGAAAGTATGCAATTTCCCGCTTCCTACTTAAACAGAGTGATGATGCAGTTGCGGAGTTTTTTCAATTAATGCCAAGACTTTTTCTCGTGCCTTCTAGAAGTCACGTGGATAATCTTGTTTAAAGTCATCAGGTATGAAAGAACAAGGAAGTCTTGGAACCAGAATAAAAAGATTCTTGGGAAACCCTGGGTGTAGGCCAGACGTTAACCACAGAGCACCGATATGTTCAGGTGGCGAGTTTTCGGACTCGGCGCCGGATGATGCCAAAGACGAACACGATGAAGAGGTCAGAACCGTGAGTGCTGAGAGTAACGACAGCAGTTTTGACAATGTGGAGGTTGGTCTTAGCAACGGAAAAATATGGACAATGCTCAATTACACCGGATTGAAAAAGGCTTCTTCGGATCACATTTTAGATCGTCTGGTCGAATTTGCAGGGTGGCAAATAGTGTTTTTCCTAATGTGGATCATTCTGATCATTTGGATTATCGTGGGTATCATTTACAAGGCACCCGATAACTGGCAGATTGTGATACAAGACGGTCAATCGATTCAATCTTACTTCTGGGACACTCTTTTGATGCGACAACAACTAAACAGCAGCCACGAGCATGTCTGGATCTGCGCGAACATCAGGTCACGTTTGAGGACCATAAGAGAGTTCTGTACCATGGAGAAACCAAAAGAGTCCGGGACGGCAAAAACGAAACTGAGACTGACTGGTGTTTCCGGACAGCTACCAGTTGAGAGCTGGTATGACAGAGTATGTTCCAAAGTGTGTGAGCTAATAGGGTCACTACCTGTTATGATTTTTTTCTGGCTTGGCATTTTCACTTGGATCGGTTGCGGAGCTTTACCAACATGCACGGGCAATAGTCCACCTTATTCTGCGAGCAACCCAAAGACGGCAAAGTTCAGTGACGAATGGCAGCTTTACGTCAACACATCGACCGCCGTCATCATCCTGATCTGCTGCGTATTTTTACAAAATATCAGAGCGAGGCATGAGAGGTTTATTGCGAAGTTTATCTTGACAATCTCGGCTATGGACCAGAGAATTGAGAAGCACCTGAGGACCTACTTCCACGATTTTGAAACTGAAAATCCTAACATATGCATTCCTACTCACAAACGCAACACCCTCACCAAATGGATTGACTGGTACGCTGATGTGATTGGAACTGGTATCGGTGTATGCATTGCAATCGGCGTAATTGCGGTTTGGATAGCTATTGGCAAACCCATGTCTTGGAATGGGAACTGGTGGCTCATAATTGGGACTTACACAGGGCTGGTTGGATTTTTGGACGGATTCGTGTTGAGACAAGTGTATTTCAAGATTGTCCACCATGAAGAGGACAATTACGAAAAGGTCGCAGAGGAGGATTACGCACTCTTTCAGACTTTGGGTCTCGAGTTGTCTGATGATTGCATTGCCCACTGTGATTCTTTTGCTCCTCTCAAGTCTTTGTCCTATCGCATATCTTCAAAAATCAACTCTATTTGCTCGTCCGACTGGAGTGTGCTAGCGTCCGTTGTCATGATAATCGCATTGATCGTGATCGCTTCTGGCCTTCGCTGGAGCGAAACGGGACAGTTGATCTGTAACACACCCACCATGATTATTGAAGCATTCTTCCTCATTGTCTTGCTCCAGGCTCATGGTTGGGCCGACAAGAAGCGCAGGCTACAAGTGACCGCACTACACGCTCGTAGAGTTGCTCTTTTATCTTATGTCGAGGACGTCTACCGGCTTGCTCACTAAACTCTATACCAGCGGTAAAACTTTATAACAGCGTTTTTAATCGAACAGGAATGATTAGCCCTTCATGCGTAAAACCTTTGTATGTAATGCATCATGGTCAGGTCCTAGCAACAGTGATCGCTTGGCTCCAAAAAAGCTTCCCAGTAAGGAATAAAAGTTAAGATGTTTGATAGAAAGTAGGACATAATGAGAGAACGGCTGCTCGAAAATGGGTATTAGTACCGCATGTACATGCGGCCAAATCTTTGCCATTAGAGAGGGGGGTTGCAAGTGCTTTTAGCTTTTTTTCGCTCGTACTGGTCTGAGACTAGTACTTAATTTCTCTATTTACCTGTTACAAGGCCATTCTACTCATCTGGTGTTCTAATTTACCGCACTCGGGCTAAAACTGTTGATATATAAAGAGTGAAAGTGCTATTCGTTGCACGTACAGTATCTGTACATTAGACTATTAGTTCCTACCACACAGTTCCTAAACTTACTTTACCATCGAAAGGGTTGAAAAACTACATGTGAAGATGCTCCTTTGGGTTATTTGACCTGCCGCACTCGAAGACTCGACAGGGGCATAAAAAAAGGTGCTGATTTGTTGTAAAACTCACCAATTTGTAGCCATTATACGAAGTGGAACCTTCCTTGTTAAAATATCCCAGTTCTTATATGTTGCGAATTGCAGATGATCTTATCAAGTGTCCAGAGAACTAACTCCCGCATAAACTCAAGAAAGTTTCCGTAGCCATTCTATAATATCTTTTTGCCAGAAAAACCTCCTTTTGAGTAACAGAAAAACATCTGAATCATTACTTCAAAATCAATTCGCAAAATACCTGTCTCTCTCATTGCTAGCATTACGTGCAGCACTTTCGAGGTTGTTCTTAAGATTTCCTCTGTCAGGTTAAAGGCCTCCGTTATATCAGTAATTTCATCTCCGGATCTTGATACACCATTTCATGGGAATCCTTTTCTAAGTCGAGCCATTAGCGCACGAACCCAATTCAAATACTTCTCCACCAACTACTAACAGAGGCTCACCCATCAGCCTCCGTTAAGCCAGTTCATGGAGTACTCTTGTAATCCTTTCAGACTTTATCAGAGCTAACTCAAGGTCTCTATATGCCACTTTCACACGCTTAGATATTGAAACCTCGTCTGAAATCAAGCGTTTCTCACCCCCACGTTCTTCTCCCCATGATTGCTTACATTGGCGTCCCACCTACTCGCCATCCCTGAATTTTCGTTTATGATCTGGGTATTTGTCTTTTTCAAGCCAGATTTTTCTTCCTGGTTGAGACGACTCTGTCGCACTGGCTTAGCTCACTTGTAAGACAAAGCTCCTACACCTTAACCACATATCAAAACATAGATGCACTTCAACAGGATCTATATCTAGCGTCCATACCTGCAGAACTTTTACCTCATTCTGTAAAATCTGATATGGTCATTACTGCTCCGAGAACGATGATGCGATGATTAGAGCTCAGAAAAGGGTTTAAAGTATTAAATCAATCAAGCAACTCGTTTGATGTATGGATTCCTCGAGCGAATTTTTGATCCAAAATAGTAGAATACGAAGGGTATTGGGATCATTGCAAGGGCAATAAATGCAACAGTTGAAGCACCCCACTGAACTCCTAGATTCTGAAATAGAGCGTGTCCAAAGAGTGGGAAAACTCCGCCTAATATTGATCTCAAAAATGTATTGGCAGCGATAGCAGAAGCTGCATACTTCGTGAATGAATCTACCAAATAATTGAGGCAGCCTTGAAAAATAACAAAAAACCCAACGGACATGACTGAAATACCAATGCACGGTGCGATCCAATGGATTCGGGCTTCTGAAGTCCACGCGAATATGAACATTCCAGCAGGCATCAACCATCCAAACATCATCATAGGTGGAAACCGCTCTTCTGGAATTGAGACACCATTATGTTTTGCAAGCAATTTTTTATATCTTAAGCCTCCCCAAACGTTGACAGCACCGCCGATCAAAACTCCAATCAGCATGCTGAGAGTGGGAACATTGCTTACAGTACCTTTCCAACCTCTTGTCAATTCGAAGGACAACGGTAACGACGTTACGATCAGATATAAAATACCGAACACGTAGCTAGCAAACAAAGCGAGAGCAAAGACAATTGGAGTGGCAAGCATTGCGAACGGCCTTACAAGGTGAACACTCATGTATTCCTTGAAGTCCAGATTCCATTCTTCGTGTTTAGCATGGTATGCCCAATTGCCAGATTCCATTCGAATTTGTTTAGCTTTTCTTGCCAGTAGAACTCCTGCGTACGATTCAGAAACCGTCAAAGCAGCTACTATTAGGATAACACCTTGTGCTATGCAGATAAACCACAGTGGCCACCGCCATTCATCTGAGCCAACTTGGTATGTTAACAAAGCAGATATGACCGGCCCTACCGTTACACCACACACAACGAACATCGCATAAAATACTAAAGCAACCGCCCTTATACTTATCGGCCAGATATCTGCAAGAACTCCACCAGACGATACAACCGGACTCCCACCAAAGAAGCCAGCAAAAAACCTCGTGACGAGAAGGCTTGGATAGTCCTCGCACCTAGCAGAACCCAAAGTGAATGCCATTGATACAAATAGTGGTACAAAAACACCTGTTTTCCTCCCGTACATCTCCGAGAGAGGTGCGAAGAACATTGGTCCAAAAGCAACGCCCACCACATACAAAGTTGTGCATAATAGAGCCTTTTCTACGCTCACATGAAAGTACTCCGCCAAGTGTGAAACTGAAGGTGCGGTAGTAGTAGAGTTGAATTGAGCTGCCAAGGTAGCTATACCATAGATCATGGTGTGGTACACTTTTTTCTTTAAGTTCCAGTTGAGAGGTTTTTGAGGATCATCGTCTTCAAAATCAACCAAGAACCTACTTTGTGCTTCTGGATCAGAATCTGTTCCTGGGCCTATGCTCTCGCTCTTGGCAGGTTCATTTTCCACGTCCCTATCAGGAGTAATGAAGCTACCACTTACAGACCTACTTGAGGCTTGCGGTAGTCTCCAGGAGGCTTCTCCATTAGTTTCGTCACGTTGCATACTCGAGAAGATCTGCCAAGACTAATTAAAGACATTTAGCCATTCTTTCTGCATTTCTTGGCGAAAAAATGAGGCCTCTTTTAAGTGAACAAAGCGATTCTATTTCATTTGTCATATTATCACCGTGTTCCGCCGCGATTAGCCGTTATTCTCACACGTGATGGTCGGAATAACGGATATAAAGGAGATAATTAGTTGAAAACGATCAGAGAGAATCGGAGAGAATCGGAGAGTACCGGAGAATATCGGAGTTAGTAGAGAAAGAAGGTTACTCTTCTTACATTGGACTGCACTTAAAAAACCGTTTATGCAAGTGGAAGCGTGCGCTTATGGATAGTGTAATTGATTATAATTCCAAAAGATGCCAAGAACGAGGGTCATACGGCTTTTGATTAGCCTCCCCGGCAATCGCAGAGGCTAGAGAGGACAGGTCTGTAGAAGGATATGAGAATAACGACAGATTGGTGCTTTTAGACGAACGATTGTCAAAAAGCAGGTCAACGGCGAGAGTTCAGTGAAAAGTAGTCTAACTTCAGCATAAATACGATTGTTCAAGTCACTATTTGAGGTAATTTTATCTCCGTAAAAATTGGTCTTGTTAAACGCAGATCTTGTCGAAATTCCATGTTTGTTGCTGCTCTTTTGGTTTGATTATAGAATGCGTTATCTTTTTCATGCGCTTAAAATAAGCAATGAACAGCGCTCGCTATCATTATCATTTATCCATTGCAAAAGCTCTAACGGAACTTTTACATGTTGAAAATAGAAACGTTTCGTGTTCATTGCATATATTTGACCTTAAGTGTTCTTATTGTTGCCAGCTCACACACGCTGGCTAATTATTCAAAGTCGTTAAGTTCTTCCTTACGATAGTTGACAGGTCTTGAACTTTATGCCGAAGAGCACGCCCGACATAAGTTTATCTCATCGGGGCTGAAAACGCATCCCTACACAGGTTTGACCACATAAAGTGTATCTCTTTTTGGCAATCCTCTTGGATAGACCTGCGTCAACTTAACTTAGAGATGACAATGTTCAAGTGACGACAGCTGCGTCAAATTCCTTAGAGAAAAAAATAAAACCTTAATGCGTTTGTTGAGTTTTCGGCACGTTTTGGAATGTCAGCGCAAGACCTGGGCAGTCATGTAGAGTTTCGGACGCTGTGATCTTCCCTTCGAGATGAAGTATTGGAAAAGCCATCATCAGTGTGACAAATTGCTACTTGATTTTTTACTAGGTCTCAAACCACGTCCGCGCAAGTGGAATCTGTAAAATTCAACTTCTCGATCTAGCGTCAGGTTCATGACAGAGTCATTTAATGCACGTTAAAATACATCGTAAGAATAGATAAACACACAGTTTTTAACGTTCTTTACGTAGTAAAGAATGAATTCGTTGTATTTACTACTTTGTCAGCTTGACAATTGTTACTGAGTTTACAATTTAATATGATAACCGTGAGATTAAAGTTCTTTGACAAAATGATGACATTTAGCCTCGCGGCGCAACGCACAACAATCACACCGCAGCACATATATGCACCAAAGCAGCTAACATTAACGTTCACAACACGAATCCATTAAACACCTGCTATTTACCTCCTGGTATTTACCTCAGGAGCTCACTTTAACAACATGCCGCCGACTATGCATTAAAATAACGCCTGCCGTAGAAAACACCACAAAAGTGTTATCAACGTTTGCAACCTGAGACTAAAGCTCTCTCTTTACATTGAACCCAGTTCTTCACCTTCCGTCCATTTTTGTGCTACATTTCCGAAGAGCTAAAAGCCATTACATCAAGCGTTACATCATGAACTCTCCAACAGACAGAGCCCGAGCTATGTACGATTTCACAACCAAGATTTGAGTGCCACTTAAGTGAGCAGATAATCAAGCCGGGGCCACAAATTAGGAACCCTTCTGTCATTAATTTCGAAACTTATGTGTCACGCCAAACTTCTCAGTTTAGCATTATTTTCTCGAGGTTTGGAACCTATCCGGATCGTGAGATAAACAGGATCACCATCTCGAGAAAAGTATCAGTAGCAAGTGCAATAAACAATTCATTCATAGGCGTGTCAGAGAAGACATGTCGGGTATTTAAGTGGTTGTTTGGCCAGCGTTTTATATGAAGTACTTCTGGAAATCGTGAACAGTTTTCCTTGCTACTCTAGGTTGTCTTTACTTCAAATCCAGCCAACCTTTGTATATTCATGTCTTCTTATTCCATGAAATTGTTGTATGACTGTCACGTCAATGCCTCTCTGTCTATATGAAGTTTACGCGTCATACTAATAAACTTACGTCGCTACTTTTCGCGAGTCCGTTAAAATCAAAATGTGTCGAAAATTGGCTCATCTCTGAATACTCTTTGACGAACAATTTTATAAATTTAGCGAATCCAATTACAGTACTACGTCAGTAGGCTTGAGAGCTGGAGATTGTCTTCATGAGTATACCTCAACGAACCGACGTCGGAGTTCCATGCCCACGGAACTTGGTATTTTTACCGTTCTATTGGTTTGACAACTGAAATCTGGGAGACGGATTTAAGGCTGCACTACGAGAGTTTCGATATTGACCAAACAATATGTCGATGTGTTCTTTGGTTTTGGTAAAAGCTATTTTTGGGTAAAATTGTTTTCGCCACAAGAAAATGATTCGCGTTTTGCGTGATATGTTGAGCCAGGCGAGCCATGCAAGCCAGCAGGCAAGTCGTTTTGTTGTTCAGTCAAAATGAGAAGTTTCGGCTACTGGAGGTTCCGTGTAACTCGTTTGCTTCCCAATGTAAACATTCTAGCATTTTCGCACATAGTGGACCGTACCTTCAGGGTTGGCGGCACCTTCGGGGCGTGGTCTGTCGTCTCGAGGGGTCGATCGTAGAAGCTTGTAAATGATCGTAAATGATCGTGACTTTCATTGTCAGGAGGACATGATTTTCGGTAAATCCAACGGAACATAGATCTACATGATGGTTGGTAATGACTCAGCCAGCTTTTTCTGTTATAGCTGTGCTGGGTGATTGATGATGCTTCGCGTCAACTGCATTGGACCCCCTGTTGTCTAAAGTTCCAATTTGATGTTGTGAAGATCAACTAGCAGACAAAGATTGTGCATGTGTTGAGTATACTGCCCCTTCTGCATTGAGCTAGATGATCGGCTCCCAGTAATAGTGTGTTTTGATTCTGGACTTTCCGCCCTGGGCCTTCCAGTAGCTCTTTGCAGGAACCGAGGAACGATGCCGCGTTCACGCTTCCCTGCATATCATTTCTTCATTGGACATATGCAACGATGATGTTTTCTTTCCACGAGTGTCAACGGAACTTTCGTGCATTACCGTAACACCGAATGCCTCTGCCAAGAGAACGTCGCGTATCCTAAAATTCGTGAAATAGAGCTTTATTTTCCATGCATCACTCCTAGTGATAGCCAAATCACCAGATTTACACTGCTGCCTTGGCGCATGGTTCTGTAATAGATGTGCTATCCCGTACTTTCAGAGATCTCCGAACTGCCTTTCGCCGGATGAAGCACCTGCATTGAATTAACTTCCGTGCATGACCGAAACAACAAACGCTTCTGCAAAGAGAACGCCGCGTGTTTTGAAATTCGTGAAATCGAGCTTTAAATCCCTTACATCACTCCGAGTAATAGCCGAATCACCAGATCTACCCTGCTGCCTTTCCGATTGGCCTGTAATAGATGTGCTATCACCTACTTTCAAAGATCTTCGAACTGATTTTTGCCGGATTTAGCACCTGCCCTAAACTGTCCATGGCGTTTTGACTTCCCCGAGTCCTATCGAGCGGCGATACAGACTTCTTCACTCAGAAGTCTCAAGGTACGCGCAGCCCTTCTCGTACTCTGATAACATAGTCAAAAAGAAAAGGTGGCATTACTTTTTGAGAAGAGTCAATTCAACATTGTAGTAGGCACCTGAGTGGTGCGCACAGGAAGTAAGGAGCACCAAAGTTTACCCGAAGGTGTAAGCCAGAGTACGGCTGTTCTGCTGATGGAAGTTTTCGGCAGCTGCAGGATGAGGGCAGGTGCTCGGCTGGTCAGATGAAAATACCGAAGTTCCTTCCAAGCCAGTTCCATTTTTGGAAAGATCTTCTTGACGAGAAAAAAAAAACAAACGAGATAACAACTTCCTGTACACAACTCCTTAGCTGCTTGATGCAAGCTCGAAGATGCAAATAGACTTTTTGATTATGCGTCAGATGGGCAAGGCTGCCCACGCCTATTTTAGGGAAATGCAGCTCCTTTTTGGTCGACGCATCGTATTCCAAATATTACGGTTTTTCGAGCTTCTACCTTAGATCGTTTTCGAGTATCACCATTTTAGAAAATTTCAGACGTCCGAAGTCCTTCGAATTTCAACGGAAATGGAATTTGGTCAAGAGGGTTCTGAACCATGCGCTACTTTATGTGAGCGTATGTGTATATGAGCTTACCAAATCGTGCCTGCAAGGTCTCGGCGTCTTGCAAATCCCGAGATGGCTTTCGCAGTACATGGTGATTTGCATACCGCTATGTCTTCAGGAGATTTTCAGTCAAAGATGCGAGCGCTGGACGCATTCGTATTTGGCAAATAGACTCTCGAGCTTGGCAAGGCCTACTACCGAACGGAAACCTTCCTCAGAAACTATAAATGGCCGTATGTATTGGAGATATGGGTTCTCGAGTACTGGGCCATTTCCTCTATTCCCCCACCACAGAACATTGCAGCAGACACTATGAGGAAGCAGATTCCTAAATCGTCTCTGCTGACTTTTTTACTTCAAGTTCTGGTCTTTTTGCGAGTAGCAACCGCTGAGGGCCAACATGTTTGCTTACCCTCAGCTGATAGCACCCAGGGTTTCAGAGCCAGAGTTTACACCTATCCCTTGAATGATAGAACCGCGGCTAACGATAAACGGTATCTCATGTACGAGTATCAAACCAAGGCAAAACAACTCTACGAATGGTACGGCGTAACGGACCAAAATTTTAACATGGGAAAAGTCGGCGGAGTTCAGTACGGAGAACTTTATGGCCATACCATAACTATTACCAATTTTACTCTCGAGCTGGTCGGATATTACAAAGCTCCTCAAACAGGTAAATACACCTTAGGACTGACCAATACTGACGATGGCGCGATGCTGATGTTTGACAATGACGGGGCTTTTAAGTGCTGTCAATCTGAACAAAACAGTCAAAACACCTCCGATATCGCCTTGTATCAGTTTTATACACAGGGTGCCGTTAAACAAAGCTACAACTTAGTTGAAGGTCAGTACTATCCAATAAGAATTACCTACGCTAATGCTTTACAACTCGCAAAGCTCCAGTTATCTGCGACTCTTCCTGATGGAACTGTTAAGACGACTTTTGAAGAGGTATATTACTTTGCAGACAATTCAGATGTATCGAGCGATTGTAGCGCTGTGTTGACAACCCAGCAGTATACAGGCACTACAGTGTCAACTTCTACAAGCCCGGGCCCCACAACTACGGTTTACGTTTACTATCCTTACTCTTCAATTGTCAGCACCTACACAGGCTCTACCGACAGTACCTCATATTTGACAAACTCCCAAGGATCAACCACTGCGAAAGAGATCTTTGTTACATCTCAGGCGACGCCAACAACAACTGTCCCCTGGACCGGGAGCTCTAGTTCCACCAGCTTTGTCACGAACAGTGCCTCCAAAACTACGGGGGCCATTGTTTATGCGCCTATCTCAACCGTCACAACGGCCTGGACTGGAAAAACCACCCGCACTTCTTATGCTACGAACAACGCTGGAAAAACGTCCGAGGTCTTCGTCCTGACACCACTGCCTTCTACGAAGTCAAGCACGATCCCATGGACTGGGACATACAATATATACACCAGGCGCACCGACTCCGATGGATACACCACCGAAGTTGATCTTTTGACTCCCGTTTCGAGGACCACTATTTCGTGGACGGGATCCACGACAAGTACCTCTGTGATAACAGACTCGAGTGGAAACCCAAGTATCGTTGAGGTGTTTACGCCTATGAGGCTAAGTACGTCTTACCTTCAGGGATCTGGTAGTTTGACAAGTACTTTTTCGACAGCCGTAACGGCCTTTACCGGATCTGATGGTGCTACCACTACAGAAACGATTTATTATGTCGAGACGCCAGCCGCAGTCACCACCGCTTACACGGCTGGCAACGTTTCGGATGCGACCACCTACTCCACTGGTGCTACCACGTTCACTGGATCTGACGGCGAACCTACTACTGCAACAGTCTACTTTGTCGAAACCCCAGCCGTTGTCACAACGGAATACACTGCTGGTAGTGTAACCGCTGCGACCACCTACTCTACTGGTGCAACCACATTCACTGGCTCCGATGGTGAGCCTATTACTGCAACCGTCTACTATGTCGAGACACCAGCTGCAGTCACCACCGCTTACACGGCTGGCAACGTTTCGGATGCGACCACCTTCTCCACTGGTGCCACTACATTCACCGGATCTGACGGCAAGCCTACTACTCAAACCGTGTACTATGTCGAGACACCAGCTGCAGTAACCACCGCTTACACTGCTGGCAATGTTTCAGCTGCAACCACCTTCTCCACTGGTGCTACCACGTTCACTGGATCCGATGGCAAGCCAACAACTCAGACTATCTACTACGTCGAGACACCAGCCGCAGTAACCACCGCTTACAGCGCTGGCAGTGTTTCAGCTGCGACCACCTACTCTACTGGTGCCACTACATTCACTGGATCTGACGGCAAGCCTACTACTCAAACCGTGTACTATGTCGAGACACCAGCTGCAGTCACCACAGCTTACACTGCTGGCAATGTTTCAGCTGCGACCACCTTCTCCACTGGTGCCACCACGTTCACTGGCTCCGATGGCAAGCCAACAACCCAGACTGTATACTTTGTTGAAACACCAGCTGCAGTCACCACCGCTTACAGCGCTGGCAGTGTATCGGTAGCAACCACGTATTCTACTGGTGCAACCACATTCACTGGATCTGATGGCAAGCCAACTACTCAGACTGTCTACTACGTCGAGACTCCATCTAGTGGCTCTGACGTGTATACACCATGGACCGGTAGCTTCACTTCTACCTACTCCACTGCTTTGAGCACCTACACTGGATCCGATGGCAAGCCAACAACCCAAACCGTGTACTACGTTGAGACTCCATCAAGTGGCTCTGACGTGTACACACCATGGACCGGTAGCTTCACTTCGACCTACTCCACTGCGTTGAGCACCTACACTGGATCCGATGGCAAGCCTACTACTCAGACTGTCTACTACGTCGAGACTCCATCAAGTGGCTCTGACGTGTACACACCATGGACTGCCAGCTTCACTTCGACCTACTCCACTGCTTTGAGCACCTACACTGGATCCGATGGCAAGCCTACTACTCAGACTGTCTACTACGTCGAGACTCCATCAAGTGGCTCTGATGTTTACACTCCATGGACTGGCAGCTTCACATCCACGTACTCCACTGCCTTGAGCACCTACACTGGATCTGACGGCAAGCCAACAACCCAAACCGTCTACTACGTAGAGACACCGGCTTTGGAGTCCTCTGTGTTCACAAGATGGACTGGTCACTTCACCAGCACATACTCGACCAGTTTTGCGACTTTTACCGACTCAGATGGTCTTGCTCATACTCAAACGGTATACTACATCGAAACTCCGGTAGCTGCGTTTTACGGCAACTCATCTAGTTACACCGGCTCAACGCGCTCTCCAGGAAGCACAATAAAACCAGTCACATCATCTGGTTTGCCGGCAATTACAAAATCCAGCGCCACCACTAGCCACACATTGTCACCTTCTTTCGTTCCCTCATTATCCAGTTCCCAACCAGGTTCGGTTATGAGCAGTCAAACTGGATCTGCCCCCAACTCTTTGAATCCCGGCTCTGGTTCAGGTTCTTCATCGAGTTCCTCAACTCGTAGTATTTCATTGTCAGAATCCAGTGCTAAAGTTGTCCCAACTCCCGGCTCAAACTCTGGTTCTGGTTCTAACCCTGGTTCCAACCCTGGCTCTGGATCTAACCCTGGTTCCAACTCTGGTTCCAGCTCTGGATCTGGCTCCAACTCTGGTTCCAGCTCTGGATCTGGCTCCAACTCTGGTTCCAGCTCTGGATCTGGCTCCAACTCTGGTTCCAGCTCTGGATCTGGCTCCAACTCTGGTTCCAGCTCTGGATCTGGCTCGAACTCTGGTCCAGCTCTGGATCTGGCTCCAACTCTGGTTCCAGCTCTGGATCCTGGCTCCAACTCTGGTTCCAGCTCTGATCTGGCTCCACTCTGGTCCACTCTGGTTCCAACCCTGGTTCAACCTGGTTCTAACCCTGGTTCTAACTCTGGATCTAGCTCTGGATCTGGCTCAAGCTCCAACTCCGGCTCCAACTCTGGTTCCAACCCTGGCTCCAACTCTGGATCTAGCTCTGGATCTGGATCTAGCTCTGGATCTGGCTCAAGCTCCAACTCCGGCTCCAACTCTGGTTCCAACCCTGGCTCCAACTCCGGCTCCAACTCTGGTTCCAACCCTGGTTCCAACCCTGGCTCCAACCCTGGTTCTAGCTCCAACTCTGGTTCTGGCTCTAGCTCTGGCTCTGGCTCTGGCTCTGGCTCTACTTCCAAGCTACCACAAGCAACAACGATTGTTCCCGAAACTAAAGCTTCTAATTCCGCGGTCAGTACTTCTTCTACCAGAGCTGGCTCCACAGACTCGCCAAACGTTTCGATCTATGACGGCGCGGCCAGCAGGATTGGCTTCAGCCTCTTGTTCGTTCTACCTTTAGCCCTCATTTAAGGGCACAGATACCATATTCAAAGATACCCGGTGTCTTCAGCAGGCTCGCATCTGTTGAGCGAAGCACCAATACAGACTACACATATAAATATGTCCTAGGCAGATAGACTAATCAATGATGATACAAGTTTTCTATTTAAAAGGTGACGAGAATGCATTCAAGAAGTTCTTGACCGCACTACGTTGTTTGAACTTCGAACAGTAGTCTACTTACCGGCATCAATTCTTTCAAGTCTGTAGCATTTGCTTCACACATTTGCGTCGCTACCTTAAGTTTAGTTCTTATTTTCTCAGCGTCGCATTGATCTAGCCTCAACCATGAACTTAGAGGCTGGTATAGGAATAGCGGCTAACCGAAGTAATCAAGATTGTCAATTTTCACTAAAGGACTCAGACCTCCAGAACTTGATTCACGCATTTAACAACAGAATGTCATATATAAAGGAAAGTTTAGGAACGTATTTGTATAGCTGAACAAACAGCAGCCCAGTAATGGAAAACAATGGAGCAGTCACCGAGTGCTCAGGGTTGTGTAAACGTAACGAGGTGCTTTTGACAAAAGTATTTATTTTTATCGTCTCTGTTTTGTCCTAGGACACCAAAAATCCTGTGGCACAGCGCTCGATATCGCTGGATATCTACACGTAGTATGAGCTAAGCAAAAACTAAGTTTTATCTACGCAGAGGAGTGAGACCGTGGCCTCAAGACTAAACGCAGTTCAGCCTTCCTGTATTCATTTATTGGGAGCGGTAGACAACATATGGAGGAGACACGCCGTGGTCAATGGATAAATAAATAGCAAATCATCCAAAAGGTATTCAGGCCTTCAATCTCAGCAAAACTTTTTTCATCCACAAGCGTTGCCCTTTAACCTTAAACTTTCCAACCACCACGACGTTCGGCCCTTCCCATGGCCATTGTGTTTTCCGACGTCGAACTCCAGTCCGTAAGACCATAGGCCTTTTACCCATTGATTCATTATTGGCAGCTTGGCAAACCATCGCTAAGATAAAGGCAACAGCACTGTATCTGCCCAGAAGATCCTTTTCCAATTAAGCTTGACATCTTCGATTATATTACATTTTGCGTAAGCAGCAGTAGAGAACATCTCAGATTGTTTGTCGTTTTTTAAACGGTCGATTGGTGCCTGCTAGTGCCTGCTAATTCCCATTATAAAAGCCTGTTGTTGTTTTAACCTCATGGCCTTGACATTCGAGCTTTTCGACTGCTTCATCATTTAAATGTCCAATGAGTGACTGACACTCCGGATGGGTGAACACAATTAGCACTTTCATGCCTTCAAAAGGGATCCATACACTTTGGTCGCAATGATAATCGGTGGCTGTTCACCGAGCTGTGGAAGCTACTAAATCATGACAGACTGTGCTCAAGTAGTCTCAATGATTTAGCTCCAAACAGTTAGGTCAGCAAAGTCAAGCGACCGTCCGCCATTGCAGATTTCGGAGTTTTCAGTAGATGCTCGAGCGAAATTTAAAAGCTTCTATGGACTAGGTAAGATTCCGAAGAAGATTTTACTCTCCAAAGACGATCAAAGCGGGATGGCAGTCTAGTTCGAAAAATAGAGATGTGTTACCGTGGAGTAGTTAATGCGATAAACACATGAGTGGCCATTACCAGCTGGTAGATTTGAACCGGCGCGTGTTATGCGATGAAGTTCACGCTAGCCATGTCGAATTAGCTTGAGATTTACACTGCTATCAATCGGCCAAACCAATTGATAATGTTGATAAGCCAATTCCAAAACCTCCCAGCAGTATGGTAATGATAATGACACTTCTCCAAATAGCATGCGTCTCGTGAAAAAAATAGTGCGTTACGTTCCCCACGTCATTTGGCTCTGGCTCATCAAATTGTGCTGCAACCCTAACCGGCTGGCTCTACCGCTTCTGCTTCTGGCTTTTCAACGGTCCTGCTGGTGTATCTGGCACAGGCTCTGCGACCACCACCACTGCTAAAAGCCTATTCACCACTGTCATCGCTACATGTCCGACGTGTGAAGTGAAGGCTGTTACCATTGGTGAATGTATCTCTATGTAAGCGAAGACAGTGTTTTGACCGCTTGCACCACCTACTGCCCACTATCTGCCGAGACCGGTGCTCAAAGCGCCTCTTAAGTCACTATCTACACAAACACTGTGGTTATCCCAAAGATCAAGTCTGGCGCTCACACTGCACACGCTGAAAACAAGTCTGCTACCACAACCAAAACTGCTTCGCCTAGCGAATTCAAGGGTAGTGCTTTTTTCTACCGTTCTTGTAATGGTAGCCGTTATGTTCTGAGCATCCACTTCTATACTCAACTTGTTTACCGAGTCTACAAAAGCACCTTTCGGTCTTCTCTTCAAAGTCTTTGTTACATCCGGCATGATATTGAATGGATGTCGGACACTTGTCTTTGACCCAGAAGTCTGTGCCGATCCTCTGAGTATGACCAGCTTTTATCTCACCTTTCATGTGGGTTTACACTTTTTGGAGCAGCCAGACTTCGGGCGCTATACCCCAGCTTTCCGAAATGGACCATAACTACATTATCCAAGAAAAGTTGATTACAATTACACCTTTTACTTGAACGGGCATCTTTCAGTGTCATTTGAGTTTTGAAAACACTTTATCTGCGCAAAGTAGATCCACCCTTAATGTCTCTTTTGGATCGCCCACTTGGCGTCTGGCACTTTGTTTACGATCTCTTTCTGACAATAGTTTCTAGCAGACCCGCTTACCACAATTAGCGACCCTGTTGAAGGCACTCGCATTTAAATCAGAACCCGATTAAGCGACGCAAGAGCGATTTTTTTCTCATCTCTAGCTTTTGCTTCTCCCTTTCTTCTGAACTGAAGCTTTGCTTGCTACCCATTGTATAACCAGGCAAACAAAAGCAGAGCAAGGCGTTCAAAGCTGCAAACGAGATAGAAACGATAATGAGCAACCTCTGAATTTTCGAATATGAAGTCAGAATTTCACCACGGACCTCTGAACCCATGGGATATTTCTTCAAAAAGCTGAGCGGCGATTTGTAAACCGCTAACCCAACTTTTGGGCCCAACCGCTTGATCAGCTCCTTTGCCAGACGTTGAGTCCAAATGGCGCCAGCAATTGAAGACCCCACAGCGTTGCCTATTTGGTACACCGACATGAGCAGCCCAGTGGCAACGGCCATCTCTTCGTGGCTTGTTGAGGCATGTACTAAAGTCCACATGGGAAAGCGGATCATACCGCCGGCTATGCCTATCAGAACTTCGGCACCAATAAGTCCAGAAATACCGTCATATGCCACTCTGTACTTGTAGAGAATACCCATCCCAAGAACGCCGAGAAGAGAGCCTACGACGATAAATGGTTTAGGATGTGGATAAAAATGTAGCATGATACCAACGACCAAGTTTGTACACGATTGCAGAAAGTTGTACAATTGTCCAATTCGTTGGGAACTCAACTTGGACTCTCCGAAAGCCACCATGAGAACCGTTATTAGATACTCTAGTTCAATCTGCAACGCCATACGCCAAATAAACTCGATCGAAAGTGCCACATAAATCGTCGCATCTCCGAGATAAAGCCTTGGAACAAAAGGTTTCTTGGCTAACCAAAATTCCCACACAAAAAAAAAGATCCCACAGCAGCCCCCAACAACGATCATTGCAATAACATAACCCTCTTTCCACTTTGTGGATGCACCACCCGCCAAGGTGAGTGGCAGCAACACAAGAACCAGGAAAGCAGTGAACAGAATAATACCTACAAGATTCACCTCTTCCACAAGATTCCATAAAGCTCGACTCCAGCTCTGGCCCTGCTCCCTGAACTTGAACTGCGGAAGCCTTCCCTGACGCCAAGTCAAATACTGCGCATACGCATATGGTAGAATTAGCAGCAACGTGGAGAAGGGCACGATGATGCAGAAAATTCCATACCCCCACCGCCACTGGTAGGGTACCTTGGCTCCAGCGAGCGAATCGACAATGTTCCCACTTACCCATGTATTGATGATCACCGGAATCAAGAAAATGTTCATGGCAAAAGTGCGGTCCCTAAGCTCGGAGATATCTGCTGTCAGCGCTGTTGCCAATAGTCTGAACCCAGAGTAACCAAATTGCTGCACCACTATACCAGCAAACAAACCACCGAAGCTTGGAGTTGCTGCACTTGCAATGTCTCCCACAGTGTAAAGAACAAGCGCAAAAATCCAGCATTCAATCCGCCCAAATCGATCAGACAAACGTGCGTAAGGAACTGCGACGGCCGCCGCGACAATTGATTTGACTGTGTTGATCGACCCGATCTGCGAATGCTTCCCGAAAGCATTGGCGGCGTAAGTCTGAATTGACTGCGAGATTTGACCTCCCAATCCTGTGCAGTAGCCCTGCAAGAATAGCGCTATAAGCAGCAATATCTTCAAAGTCTGGAAACGAACACCGAATGCTGAGAATGTGCCAGTGTGTGACAGTGTGGCATTGACAGTCTCCATTCGACGCACACCATTTCCTAACGGCTGTTCGTCGGTCTGGCTGAGACTACTGCTGTTGTCATGGTCTTCAACTTGTTCTTCCTTCTTCAGATCTAACATTTTCTCCGGGTCTGAAATGCAATTCTTGGCACATACATAGTTGGCAACTTGTGCTAATTCTGGTGGCTTGCGGACTTCTTTTGTATGTCAACAAATGACAGATCGGACCCTTTGGATCTGATCAGAAGACACTTTTGCTGGGGTGCAAAAGTTTCCAGGGTGCAAATATTTCCAGGGTGCAATAAAGGCCCTTGCAGCATTGTCCGGTTGGTTGAACCGTTCTACTTGAAGTAGAAATCTAGGAACGAGCACTCTAGCAATGGTTCACATGATCGCTTCTTTAGTGCTCATCATTGGCTAGCATTTTATGCTTTAAGCTGTATTTTTCATGATCGAGACTCTTAATTGTTACTCCGTTGTAAAACTAGAGTTAGACATGGGGTCCAACGGTGATGGCCATTAGAGCTGAATTTGAAGAGGATGGTTTTTTAATAACTTTCTTGCTTGGAGGGTAAAGGTTATGACTATTCGTCATAGAAGCAGAGGGTTTCGTCGCCTTCTTGGAACAAAAAATCCGATTTCGCTAATTTGATGTGAAGTTTCATGGATAACTGGCTATGGCTGGACATTCCGTTATTGAAATGTGGTAGAGGGCTTGAATGGTTTTCACATGTTGCGTACGCGGAAGCGTGAACTCTTCGAGGCAATGTCGATCAAAAGATTAAAGCATAACGGAAACCTTGAAGATAGAGCTCAGCTTTTAAAGGAACTACTTAGATGCCATTCATTTTTTTCACTTTCTATTGAAGATCTTCTTTTTCACTGCCAAAACCAACAACGTACGGAGACAACGAGTCCGTAAATGATAATCAGTAAGAATCTTTAGCTACGTAATCGTGTATCTGTCACGAATTTGGCAGAGTAAAAGCTGGTCGCTGAGTGCTTCTATCACAGATTTATTTGGTGCTTGACAGACGCTATGTTGTATTCTTTGTCGTCGTCTCATTTTCTTAGTCAACTTAGTCCGTTTTCTAAGCTCTTAACTGGAATGCAGCTAATATTAAAATCTGTAAGCCATCCTGTGACGACTCAGGAATAAATCCATGGTAATTCGAGCCTTCTTCATTTCTTACGAGTCACACTCAGCTCATCGGCCTGCTAAAGTCCCTCGCGTCTGCATCAACCAACATAATGACTTCCGGAAGGCTCAGTTGGCAAACTATTCATTTCCACTGATTCGCATCGTCAGTTAGCGTTACACTCACTACAATCAAAATAGTAAGGGACTTTTTCCACGTCAGCAAAAACAGGTCAGCAGCAAGCTTTTTGCAAAGGTCATTTGAAATTGTATTAGAGGTAGTGGTTTATCCCAGATGATACTGAGCTTTGAGCGTTGCTCGCTTTCAAGTAATCTCTCATCTATTTGCAAACTCCAGAAATATGACGCTTTCGAAGGAAGCACTCATAGCTGTCACTATCTACCACGATGACTTCTCCAAGGACGGTTCCAGCCTTATAACTATTCGAGGATTTCAAGACTAAAGGTTTGAAGAGGAATTTGTTTCTGAGACTGAACCTTTACTCTCTGCTTCCCGGTCTTGTCAAGGGCGATGACGAGAAAACGTTTAAGAACAAATTTTCTGACTTCAACAAGTTTCTAGAAGCTGTAGAAAAGCCTGATAAAGTCGAAGCTGACGATTACCCTATATTCTTTGCTTCTACTGGCCACGGAATCTTGTTTGACTACCCAATAGCCTCTGATTTACGACGCTTGGCTGCAAATCTTCCAGAACAGCGGTGTTTAAGACGTTGTGTGTCATGGTCCACTCATTTTCGAGAATCCAGTCTAGTTAGACACCAAATACAACATCATCGACAACAAGTCCACACTGATTTTACAGATTTTAGTGAGGTGGCATTAGATGCCGAGTCAGTGATCATGGAAAAGAAGCTCAAAAATATTGGAATGAGCGCCAAGTTGAACGGTGCCAAGCATTTGGGTTCAATTGGCCCTTTTGAGGATGGAACTTCATCACAGACGGTAGTGTCGTCACCGGTGTGAAACCAGCGCCTGTTCATTCCACTGCCATTGGATCTATCAACGAATTGAACGGTAGTGTGGGTTCCATTTTAGAACTTTATGGCAAAGGAACAAAAACCAATAAATTGACTGCATTGTCCCACTAACGCCTTGAGCTTTGGGAAACGCTACTCCATGTATTATGATTTTGAGCTTAGGTGCTCAGATGTTTTACCTCAGGACATAAAGCGGTATGAGTTTAAAATGGGTGCTCACAAGATCAATCACAAGCTCTTTCAGCAACTTAGCTAAAGAGGTCTACACCGACTTGATGCAAAGTTTAAGAGGCGTTAGCAAGATGTTTCGCATTGGCTTAAAATTTAGACATTTTACTCGGATCTATGACGTCACATCCCTCATATAATCTTATCGACGCTCCACTACTCCCAGACCATACTTTCTGGACTGGCAATTCATCGCTCACCTTGACGATAAGTGAACTTCTCATTTGCAAGCGTTTTGTGAATACAAGACATCAATTCCCATCTTTGTAGCAGAACAATAATATGCTACATGCTGTTTTTTAGTTCTTACTTCTCGAGTTTAATCCGTGGACAAGTCTTAGACTATAAGTTCAAGAGATAGAATATCTGGGATCAACTCTGTTAGCCGATGAAGCCAAAAATTGCTACACCGGATTTCGATGAGACCAGATAGGTCCATATTATCCACCATCAATAAAAAAATGCTTCACATCGCTAACACCAGCTGCAAAGATGCCATACGGTAATTCATCCCCCCATTCAAAGTAGGGTTTAATTTCGAGGTTGGTGTATAAGGACAGATTTCACCTTCAAGTCATCTGTAAAATAGATTTTATCATGAATACTAACTCTGTAACAAAGGAAGGAGTATGCTGTTCCTAGTTCTCGAAAGTCGGAGAGCATTTGGCCAGGAGCTGTACAAAACTTTCATAGAGGTGTAGAATTTGCCAAATGTCACTCACCATCGCTGGCAATGAGTTGGTCATTAAGGCCAACCCACAAATGAAGGTCGTAATACATCTAATTCGGTTAAATACTTTGAGTTCCTAAGATTGGGTTATAACAACAGCAAACAGAAACGAAGGTTCCCGGTCGAACTACCATTATACCTCATTATTTTGCATTATCGACCTTTGATGGCCAAGATTGATAAACCACTCATAAACAATTACCTTGACCCAGACATAAACAGGCCCATATATGCGATCTCAGCAGAGCTGCATTCGAGACTCACTAACTAACCCTAAGGCAAACTACAACTTGAAACCGTCGTGAAACTTATACCCTGCATAGATACAATTGTCACCCAACTCTTCCTCAATCCGTAAAATTTGATTGTACTTTGCCAACCTTTCTGACCTAGTTGGTGCCCCCGACTTGATCTCACCAGTCCTGAGACCAACAACGAGGTCTGCAATAAATGTGTCTTCGGTTTCACCGGACCTATGAGAAACGAGTACGCCCCAGCCTGCTTCTAGCGCTAGTTTCGAGGCCATGAGTGTTTCTGAAACTGTACCAATTTGGTTTGTCTTTAACAGCAACGTATCGGCGGACTGTTCCTTGATTGCTTTTGCAATTCTGACCGGGTTTGTACATACCAAATCATCTGCCACCACAGGCACACCCACATTTGATGCGTAGAATTTATTCCAAGACCCCCAGTCATCTTCTGCAAAAGGATCCTCCAAAAACACAAGAGGATACTTTCTGACCAATTCGTGGTACTTCTTTGTCAATTGTTCGGTCGTAAGCCAGTCATCTGGATTTGATTTCGCATTCTTGAAATCTAAGTCATATTTTCCATCCTTGAAGAGCTGCGAAGAAGCAGCATCCATGGCAATGTTAACCTTGCCCTCGTAGCCAGCTGTTTTGATCGATTCGACAATCAAATCCAAAGCTTCCTCAGCGGTTCGCAGGTCAGGTGCAACACCTCCTTCGTCACCGACGTTTCCAGCAGAAGATCCATACTTCTTCTTAGCAAGAGCTTTCAACGTGTAATAAACTTCAGAATTCCACTGAACGGCTTGGGCAAAGGACGTAGCCGACGTTGCACCAATCATGAACTCTTGGAAAGGTAAACTGCCACCAGCATGCTCACCACCATTGAGAACATTCATGAATGGAACTGGCAGCACATATTTATCCTTCTTCGTGCCGGACAGATCGGCAATGTGCTCGTAAAGTGGCACATTTTTTCGGCAGCGCCAGCGCGAGCAACTGCCATAGATACACCCAAGATTGCATTAGCACCAAGCTTGCCCTTATTATCAGTACCGTCCAGTTTTTTCAGTAGATCGTCCACTGCCTTCTGATCTGTCACCTTCAAACCTGACTTCACTAAGTTTGGTCCAAGAATACTGTTAACATTGGAAACAGCCTTGAGGACACCTTTTCCCAACCATTTAGACTTGTCATTGTCTCTTAGCTCCACCGCTTCGTGAACACCAGTAGATGCACCCGAGGGAACGATCGCTCTAAACAGCCCCTTACCTGTGGTGACCTCAACCTCCACCGTAGGAGTACCACGCGAATCGTAAACGTATCTAGAATGAACCTTGGAGACCGACATTGATTTTCAAGGTTTCTCAAAATTGTCTTGCGATGTGCGAGAATCTACAAAATAACTTTGAGTTGTTGGTAGACATGCCAAACATAGTCCCTTTATATAGAAACATTAAATGCCAAGCTTTTCCCTAAGCCTGTCAACAAGAATGACGTGTAGGGGACATTTGTAAGGTTAACCGCATTTAGAAGCTTGGCATTATGCACCTGCGGGCTTGGCATTGTCGTGCACCCAATATTGACGCATAAATATATGTACAATCTCCTAAGAAAGAAAAGAAGGGCCTATAAGAAGATAAAATAATAGAAATACCTGCAAACAGTACCGCGAAAATAGACTCAAAAGTTTAAACTATTGAAACTGACGTGAAATTCAAATTATCGACTGAGCAGGTGCACAGGAGGTTGTCATTTCTGTCAACAAATTTATCGAGTCTAAATAACTGTTTACTCGGAAAAAGTTAGCTTTTCAACATTAAAGGCTGTGTAGGCACTCAACCGCGATGTGAATGCAGGAACTACTGTTTTTGCTTTTATGGGTGCAAAGGGAATACATAGAACCATAGTAATGCTAAACAAGCAGATTTGTTGGTTTCAGACTTTTGTCGCGAGGGCTATTACTGTCCTTTCAAGAGCATTCACAACAGCGACAGCTATATGGGTTAATTATTATGGTCCAGCAATTTCTGGTGCAGTCGGTATGGCAAGAGTTACTGATGGTAAAGACAAAGTGGCTGTTTGCGCTATATCAGACGCAGTTTTAGGTGCTGTAGCCTTTGCAGGAAGCACTATAGCTGCATACCAAAGTGGCAGCAGGCTGTGTTGTTTTCAGTGATTTTGGAAAGGCTCCAGAGCGTGATGGTAAACGTGTAGAAAGTGTTCATCCAGCACTCCGCGCATTGTTTAATGATCTTGAGCATGATCATTATGAAAATGTGATTTCAACGTCAAGACTAGGCGCGAATCATTCAGGAGCAATCGGTTACATGTTCATTAACAAGAGCGAAAACTGACACCACACTGTTATAACTTATTTTGCCAGACACGAAGACCCAATTGGGACGCTAGCCAACTTTAATGGAATTGACCAAGTACTGTTCGACCGCGCTCGGATACTTCAAGGTTCTGCGCTAATAAAAGGGGATGATACAGACTATTGGGCATCATATACTGATCAGAAGACCAACACGGGCTACGTTCAGGATGTATTTAATTGAGACCTTCATGGTACATCAGCTCCTCAGCACTCAATTGGGGACCTATATGAAATGGTCACCCACAAAAAACCTTGTACTAACAGCAATTAGTGGCTAACGTAGCAAGATGTGTTTCTCACATGGGTTCTTGGACAATTAGGGCAAAGAAGACGCCTTAGTAGGGGAAGTTTTCCACGAAGATTATTGCAATCTCAACGGCGAATGTGATAAAGAATGGAAACGGCTTACAAGTTATTAATTCTGTACAGCGTTCATGTTCACATTCATTTAGAGGACTTTCGCAGATCCATCTACCGGTATTTATTCAAAGCGTTCCTGGGATGTTGGATCCAAAGAACAAGTTCGAAAATGTCACGCGTTTAATTCAATGTGACAGTGCTTAGAGACCTTGTAACACCTCTGGGTCAAGGAAAAAAACCCTTCCAAGACCACGTGACTGGCTGGACGTGGCGACCTGGCTGTAACACATCGACAATTCGCGTCTAGTAATATACATCAAGGAACGCGTGAGGTCGCGTCAAATTGAACCCTCGCTCAGTAAAGCATTGAAGCGCCAAATCATTTAGAGCCATGAATAGCATCGCAGCTCCGAGACTACCTTTGGTTTTTTATACAGTGCACAAGGTTGCTGGTTACTTACTCATTGAACTAAACTTGTATCTCAGCCTGGTGCCATACCCGAACTATGGAATTGGTGGTACAGATTCGACAGCTGTGTTATAGTGCAGGCTATTTGAAGTTCTTGCTCAGGCATGGGCTGCTCGAAAGCTCTTCAGAATTTCTGCAGAATTTCACGTCAGGCCAATACCCGGTCCGACATTAATATGGGCATTTGAATTTTCGTAATGCAATAGGTAGCAGTGCCAGATCGACATCGCAACATGAGATGGAAGCTCTCGAAAATGCCGGAATGCTTTGCTTCAGCAAAACGATGGAATAGGGAGCTGGATCTACTTCAATTGCAGATCCGAAAGCTTGCAATTGCGGGGCTCAAAATAGCAAGAGTCCGAGGTAGGAATTTCCGGCATAATGGTGATTATGAAAGAGGAGGAAACTTCATGTTGAAGCAAACAGACGTTGATTTTCGTAAGTTAACAGGTTTTCATAGAGTCGGTTGTCCCAAATCGCGAAAGCCTTGAAGATACAAAATAACGTCGCCAACTTCGCGTTGACACCCGATGAGTCCTTTTTCATTCTCCTTGTTCGCCTTCGCAATGGCTGCACTTATAGCGTTCTTTCGGGGCTCTGCAATAGAGAGGCATCGACAATTTCCAAGGTGGTTTCTTTCCTCACCTGTTATCTGTATCATATCGTAAAACCAAAATTAGCCGTCACTAGCGCTACTTGGCTACCGGATCGCTTGGCAGACATTGACAGAGCACTTGTAGAGGCCAACAAATCAAACTAAAGGCCCAAAGGTTGTCGCCTTCATCGATGGTACTCATGTGAGAGTTGCTCGGCCTTACAATAACGCTCAGCAAGGATATGGACTTGCCCAAAACGCTGTTTACAGTGGTCACAAAATAACCCATAATTCGAAATATCAAGCAATAACCACTCCCGATGGAATTTGCTTTGATCTTGCGGGCCCTTCGGCAGGAAGTTAGCATGATTCATTCATGTTCATGTACAGTGGCTTGTATGATAAACTCAAATCTGGTTTAAGAGCTGACGATGAGCAATACAAGGTGTATGGAGAACCTGCATACAGAAGCTCTGACGTCCTGGTAGTTGGGTACAAGGGCCAAATGCTGACCATAGACCAGAAAAAGCAGAACAAGATTATGTCAATATCTCGGGTTTCCGTTAAGTGGTTTTCTGGTGCTGTAAAAAATAACTTCCGTATCTTCAACAGTAGTGGTGTTTTAAAGGTAGGAGGTGTGAGGGGATGTGGGGCTTATTTTCCTATAGCGACATTTTTGACAAACATCAAGCACTGTTTGGAGGGATCACAGGCCTCCAAGCACTTCCAAGTTATTCCCCAACATTGGAAGAATAAATGGATGGAAATAACCCCCCAAATTCTTTGACGATGTTTTAATTGATCCGGCTGGAAGCGGGAGCATCTATTCAATGCAACAGAGAAACATAGATTTTGATCATTTAAATGACCTCAGGACAATGCATACTGGTTTTGCAGCTTAATAGAACGTGTATGATCTCAATTTTTATGACGTGGTTTCATTAAAAGAGATAACACGCCACTGGTCGCCTATCAGTTTTGCTAGTTCTGGGCTAGTATTTTCAAGCTTTTCATGGTATTGCAAATAAGTGGTCATCAGTGAAGTTACACGAAGGTTCTTGACTTTTTCCTTTTCAAGTGCAATCTTTTCTCTCTCCAATGCAATCTTTTCCTTCTCTAATTCCATCTCCAGTGCAATCTTTTCTCTCTCCAGTGCAATCTTTTCCTTCTCTAGTGCCATCTCAACTTGCTTAGCCTGGTTCATACTATTTAACACTGTTTCAAAGTGGCCTAACAATGTTATATGGTCTTGCTGCAACTCTGAGTGGATGCTAGAATTTGAATTCTCCACGTCTGAAAGCAAGGCTGAAGCAGCTCCGTTCACCCTGCGTCTCTTGGAAATAGTCCGCATGTTTGGGGCGTTGACATCATCGGTAGCCGAGAAAGAACGTTCTAGATCTGTTGCTTGCCTATCTTGCATCACTTGAGGGAGGGAATTATTACATAAGGCCTTCCCTATGTCTCGTTTGTAAGACTGACGCTGGGCATCGAGCTTTTGAATCTCTGTTCGACGTGTATCAGCAGCATTTTTGAGCTTTGCAAGATCCTCTATCAGCTCGTCTGTCTTGTCATCACCGGTTATGGTGCAGGGATTCTTCTCATCTCCAGTAGTGCCGGCTATGATTTTATTGTTGGCGCTATCCACCAAATATTTGACCCTGGTCTTCAGTTGCAGTTCCGTTGGAACTATGTTGCCTTTGAACTTGATCGACATCAACAGATTATACAAAACACAGGACCATTTGAGAGAGATGAGGGAGCTAGTCTCTAGTTTGAACGACGGCTCTGGCTTTATGTTTTCAAACCCCAAAAAAGGACCAATCTCGCAACAGTTCTTCGCTAAATAATACGTTGAAGTATTATCCCACCTGAACCTAAATTCTTTTCCGTCGTCTGAGGTTTTGTAGTGATTTCTTTTAATCTCTTCCTCCATGGCTTTGACAATTTGAGAATTAGCACTTTTGGGACACCGCAAGCTCGACAACTCTCCAGGAATTATACGAGAATGGTAATTTTGCTCATACAGTTGACTCTGCTCTCTACTATTGTGAGTCGCTATATTCGATGACTGCTTTGAGATCGACGAGTTTTCCACCGGTGAAGTACCAGCGCCCTCGACTTGTATCATCCGAGAGCTCGAAGCAATTGTCCTATCGGCGGGTAGGGCATTCGATTGTTCGTTGTTTTCGGTGCCCTCCATGGTTCCTCTGTATCAGTTTTACTAAGGTACCGCGAATGGTGCCGGAGGGTGTCATCAACAATTATCTGAACTTACGCGTTTCTCACGTTTATTTAATTACATTACAACGTACAAAAGTTCATGGAAGCGATTACTTTACCCGCAGAAGCGTTTCACTTCAGGATTAAAAGCTTGAGCTAGGGCCAAAAACTACCTCAAGAATCGCCACAAGATTAGTTTTTTTTCGCGCGTGACTTTTGCAAAAGAAATACTTGACCCAGAGGTGTTACAAGGCCTCTATTGCAGCACATCAAACGGTCAGATAGACAATGGGCGCAAGACGATGATCAGGCCTTCGAAAGCTTGAAGCATCAAATGTCGAACTTCGACCAATTTAGATATAGCATTGATATAAGAGTTGACTGGCGTTGTGTAGTTAAGTGGAAAGTTGACAGACAGTAAAATGTTCGATCTTGAATGTGCTTCAGTCGCATGCATTTGAAATGAGATGTAAAAACCTGGTAGTGTTGATTGAGAGTACGCAACTGGGCCATAATATGCCATTGTTAGAAAAAATGACCACGTATGTAGATCTTGACAGTTTTTAGGCATTTCGGCAGAATTTCTCATTGAGAAGATGGCCAGCTACAGTACCGGACTCATCAATGCTTCGTCGCTGCTACCCAAAATGGGTTTACCACCAACGAATTAAGATAAAATAGGTTATGTAGCCCGAGTAGTTCGTTGACTCGAAAAACGCCAGCAAAAGCAACGGAGTACCTGCACCTGCATGGAAGTCTGAGCATCGAAGATGAATTTCTGTCCTGAAAAAGCTGGTTTGTGTTGATTGGCGACCAAACCCGTTGCTGTGTGTAGATCCTGTCAACACGAGAAGTATCGTGCCATGATTTTGATCAACTGAAGGCCAACGATTCATCCAGTCGTTTTGTGCAGAATAGGGCCAAAGCCACTAAGCCGTAACTGTCAATCTGCACCCCACTTAGCCTGCTACAGTACCATACCCAATATACCAGGTACCCTAAACTTCTTTGACAAGAAATGTGGACTGTAAACCCTAGGTGACAATCAAATAGGCCTGCTTTAAACAAGTGTTACATATCCAGTTGATAGGACTCTGATGATTACACACTCCAATTGTTTATTATTTGTTGAGATTGCTGACTCTATTGAGATTTGACATCTTGAAGCAGAGCTCATTTTTTGGTATGAATGTCACTGCTTGAATAGAGACAATTTTTACCATCTGGACCAGAGCCCACCTGCTTAGGCTCCTCACTGTTGTTGGTGGTTCCCTTGTATGTGACGCAGACATTTTTCACAGAGCTGACATTGATGTTGCTAAACTTGGCCGTGTCGCCGTAATTAGAGTTGATACCCACTAAGGTTTTGCCGCTAGTGGCAGATATGTTTTTCAGAATGACGTTTCGCTTGTACATGCTTTTGCAGTTGCCACAAGATCTGTACAGCTTGCCGAAGTTGTCAACCGAGAAGTCAGAAATGGAGATTGTGCCCGCTCCGTTGTGCTGAATAACCTTGTCCTCAGCTCCAAAAGCACCACCACCATTAATATAAGTGGTCTGTGAAGCATCTTGAACCTTGACCGTAAAAGCATCCTCACAAACATCCGACCACCAGACGTTATTCAGAGTGCAACCCCCTCTGCAGTGGATACCTTCGATTTGATTTGGACCAATGATTACGTTCGAAATTGTGCCGCCGGACTCAATGATGAACACAGCATCAGAATCACCACCTTCGGCCTGCCCAGTGCACGAAACACCGCGATCATATGTCTTCATTCCCCCGTCAAAGGACTCTCCCGCGGCGATGGTGCGTACTGCCTTTAGAACAGAGGACCCACGGGAGTTAGGGAGTGACCTTTTTCCCAAAGATGCATCTGGAGAGGAAGTTGTGATAGCCGATGCCACCAAAGGTGCCAAAAATGCACAGGATGCCAGAATTTTCATGATATAACGATTGCTTGCTGCTTAGGTTTTGAGCTGGCCAAGAGATCAAATGTATGATATTAAGCAACTTTCAGATTTGAGGTAGTACTTATAATCGACATCTTGGTTGGACCTGAGATTTTGTTGTGCGTCGTGAATCCACGTTCAAAGAATGTTTGGAGAATGTGATGCTAATTTGGGTAGGTATATTTTACCGCTTCCGCGAAGGCTGTTCTGGATGCACACCACGCTGGAGATCAAGATTTTTAGTATGGAAGATGAGTTCAGGAACTTTCGATCAGTGGGGGCTGTGTTTGGCGGTGCTTGTTCGACACCCAGAATGAACTGTTCGAGGGGAAAGGCTTTTAAGAGTTCTCCGAATAATAACTTAGCCTAAACGAAAGAAAGCTCGGTAAAGTCTAGCGCGCATTCGCTCATGAATCTCTGATAGTGGCTTTCTATGCTCGAAAGAAGGAAGTTCGGGACACAAGCAAAACACCGTGAACAACAAATAGCTTGAAATCAGGTGTTTGAACCAGCAATTAATTTCCGCATAGTATGAAATACTGATTTGGCGTTTCCCCGGAATATTCCGACAAGAACAGTGCTCTCTTTTGGTTTGGGTGTCTCAAACTTAAAAAAAGCCGGCAAAATTGTAGAGACTAGCATTGGTGGTTACCGGGAACATATCGATCAAAAAGAATTATTCGCTTGCACATTATCGATGCTTTATTTGGGCACAGTTCTAGAAGGTGAACAAACGGCAGCTATTGAAAGGTTCATTCGCTGGGTATTTTCGAGTAGTCATCAGCTTTGGCACCATAAATTAGTGCCTCTACACTCAAGATTATTTTGTAGCTTGAAAATGTGTTACCTGAAAGCGCTTCCTTATTGAACCTTCCCCTGAGATGGCTTTTATTTTGAAAAGAATTCAACTGCGTAATCCTCCAACGGTATTGCTGGTGGCGATAGTCTGATTATTCTCGAGCAACTCATTCAGACCGCTAGGTTATTCCTCTTTGTTATGTTCGACAGTCAGTACGCCCCGAGCTCGTGGCTCAAGGAAAGTAACGCAAAACTTCTTGAAGTGCATCGTGCTGGCCAGGTAATCTTCGAGAAAAATCGCTGAATGAGCAGTTAAACCGTGGTTTCTCTGTTCCAAAAAACACCTATCAGAAGTGCAAAGATTGAAGTGTGGCTTGGAAAACAAAACGGATCACTCACGCACCCGCCTTCGCTTGCCATCTGAACTCTTATATGTGAGTTAAATGCGTTTCAGTTATTTTGGCTCCTGGGCGCTGGCTAGTAGTCAGTTGAAGAATTACAACAGCTCTCTCAATAAAATCCACAAATTTAGGTAAATCGCATTTTTCGTCAATTTCATTCCTCTCTAAAGGGCAATCAACCTTTCATTTGCACGCTGGAACAGTATTTGCTTGTCAACTGAGTTGTTGTCCTTTTCAATGGAGGAATCTTGAGCCTGATAACCTGCACTCTCCGGAGCTAGTCGTTATGATCTCCGGAAAATTGCTGATATCTCCATTTTCTCTTACGAACATAGCTTTTATTGTCCAAAGATACAAGACAGGCGGGAACGGCAGCAGGTGCGTGCGAGATGTAAAGCTCGAGCACGTAGCCGAGAGTTCTGCTCGTGAAACTGAAGCCGAGAGTTCTGCTCGTGAAACTGAAGCCGTCCATAATCAGTAGACAGTCGCTCTCTGTGAGCATGCGCAAGGGTGTCTGCAAAAGCGCGTCTACATCTGGACTGTCTGATAGGGCTGTAAGAAGGAGGATTCTGTAACTATTTGGTTGGTTTTATATTTAGAGCTCCCTAGTAATTACTGTTTAAAGGTTTTCGATTAGTTAAGGAGTATCTTGATGCGGCGTCGACATTTTATAAAAACTGTCTATGACGCCACTACCTTCGGTTGATATGTTAAAATGATGGCTCCAAGGCGGAGATAATGCACCATCGTCATAGCTTAGGCGGTTTCCCATCCGCGCCGTTTTACTCGGCAAAGTTAGTAGGTACGATTGAATAGGTACATACGCATATAAATATACATATATAATAATTTCATCACTGCACTGCCATGATGATCCTCTGGCGGCTGTTTAAAAGTAAAAATCTATCAAGCATCTTATCATGTCATTTTCTTCCCTTCCGGCAACTCTGACCCCGGCTCTCGGTGGTCGCGAGGCGGTTGCAGACGCCCTCTACCGTTTTGCGGTTGGTCTCGACACCAATGATAAGGCGCTCTTTGAATCTGCCTTCGTTACCGACGCTGTTTTTGTTCTCGATGGTACCGTCATGGATGGATTAGATGCTATCAATACTAATTGTTTCGGTAGCATCTCAAAGTTGGACACTACCCACTTCTTGACAAATCAACGAATCAATATCTCCGACGAAAACTCAAAAGCCGAACTTACCTGTTCTGCTCTCGCTCAACACTATCGTGGCGGCGAAAGCAAAAAGGTGGACGCTACTTCGCTACTTGTTGGTTCTTCATACCGCGCGCATCTTGTCAAAACCACAGAAGATGGTTTGTGGAAAATGAAGCGTTTGGAACTCAAGATAGTCTGGAGCCAAGGCGATTGGGGAGTTTTCAGTAACTGAGCTGCTTAGAGTGGGATTGTTCTATTATGGAGAGTTGGAAGAGGCTCAGAAAGAAAACCTGGATGCAAGTGTTAATTTATAGCGACTTCATTATATAAAACCATTCTTTAACGACTTTTAGAGTCAGCCGTTTATTGGGCGTAGCTTTCGAAAGAGGACGGAATTTGTTGCCTTTGAACAAGTGCAAAAAGTGAATTGATCCATCGCTAGACAGCACCAAACCAGATTTTGAGTTGGATTTCATCAGAACACTAGCGGTAGATAAGTTTTGAAAATATATTTTTTTCAATTCGCCCGCCCATTCTAAAATGCGTTCCGCCGCTCAGATCCGAGGATTGCACAAACATTCGCTCAACTCCGCTTTACATGACCAATTGTATAACAACTCCGAACATCGCGTGAGAGTAATAAAACGACGCGAGGCAACTGCTATAAATTGGATACTTATGCCTCGTTAGAAGGAATACAACGCTACGCAGAGAAAATTCGAAAGAAGCGTGGCGTCTCTAAAAATCTAGGTTTAGCCTGGCACCATGATTCATCTTCATCTCATAGGTCACCTCTCGTCGAATTTCTTCATTATTCGGGGTGTTCAGGTTGAGGATCAAATTCTACCAGGCACAAGCTTGCATCTCTAACCTCACAGTGGAGCTTGATTAGCCTGTACTATAGTGTCGCCATTGATTTCACTGTGTAGGAAATGTTGACCTGGTCAGCTGCGCAGATCAACGGTGCTACGTTACAAAAATATTGCGTCAACGTCAATGCTTCAGGTGTCGTTTTCGTCCTCTATCACCTTAAAATTGATGACAGATCTGCTACACTTTTTCAGCACGGTATAGTCCTCGTTGGTCCTCATATAGAAGAAAATATTGTGCTTGCAACTGTGGTTAAGTTCTCAAACCATCTTCTAAGGTTTGTGAAAGGTGTTATCTTAGTGGCACAAGCCCCACGAACTCCACTTGTACTACAACCTGGATTGAGTGCGTAGCAACATAGAACCTATGATTTTGAATAATTTATCAAATCAACCGAGCAAAACAGTATCTACAAACAAGAAAATCTGACGGACGACGATCTATTGATAATTGCCAAGGGTAGTCTTAGTGGTAGCAAATTGGGTACTAAGAAATGAAATACTTCTTGAATTCAGAAAAACAAAGGCAATGCCTTGGTCGAGCTATCTTTTCAACTGGGTGTAAAGAGTATAAAATCTGTTGTGCTTGCTGGATATTTTATCTGGTTGAACAAAGGGATCAAGCGAAGCGCGAAGTTGTGTAGACGTTTTCTGCGAGGCTTTTTTCTGTTATACTCACCATGGTACAAGATGTGAAACACCCAATTCCCTTCGAGAGCCCACGGGTGGTCTATCATGCTTTCGAAGAATTGCTGGCTGAACAAAGGGCTTTCTTTCAGGCATCAATGCTTTGCAGATTTTCCGGATTGTGCAAGCAATAGAAATCCAGGAAAAAGCTCCCATGGTGCATCCAAAACGCGCTATAAAGCTGATTGCTCTGGTAGCGCGTTAGGCATCTTAGCTTGCCCTCGAGTACAGGAAAGTCCTTCGAAGAAGACGTTTCTTTGTTGCGGTTTAATTTATTTTTGAAGCTAGCGCGTCTCTTGCAAAAATTTGGGACAAGATAAGTTCAAAGACTTTTTAAGAGACAATAGGCGTCTTGCCTGCTCAAGAGGAGCTAGAGTTTAGCTTGGATTTTGCAATTGGCTTGCTTTCCACAAATGCGGACTTTGTTCTCTTCTACTCAATAGTGATTGTCGTGTGCAACTATGACCTGACCTATCACTACCTGTAATAGAGTTCCAATTTTTTGAGGTTGTCGGTCAATTGCTTGATCTCTGTTGCGGTGACCGGGCTTATTTTGAGGGCTCACCTCGCCCGACATTTGTAGTAAAGTGAGCAGTTCTCTATAAAACTTAAGTCCCAATTTTATGTCGTAATTCACATCTCGCGAAGGATCTTTATTTTTCGCATCTTGTTTCTACATTCACCTACAGTCATTCCAACGAACATTGTACAAATGGACCTTGGTGCCTTGAGGATGTACTCGGCCTAACCTACCACGTTGCAATTCAGAACGCTGTTATCATATCTACCCATTGTTTCCTTAGACCAATCCTGCGTTCGAACCTCATTAGGGCCGCGATAACGCCGCGGACATTTGTTCCGTTTGGTTTGATAATAAATATCTTGTCACATGACCTATATCATGTGTTATATTATAGATAAGATTATGCATACGGCATGCGTCATGTACATAGTACATAATCTCTGGCATATTCAAAGAAGGGTACGTAATGAATGATAACTCGTTGGGGCAGGGCAAACCCTACTAAGGTAACATGGGTAGAATCCTGATTATAAATGACCTAGGCGAGAAGACTTTGCTGAAAGCTGTAGAGATCTCATGAATTGCATTATAAATTCACTTCATGTTGTAAACACGATGGTTATCATTGGCCTTAGTTGGGTGCGACAGCACCCAACGCCGAATTTATCATAATAACACATTAATGCCATAAGGAATTACTGCGGCAATTCCAGCTTGAGCAATGAATCGTGGAAGTACTGCGTCAAGGCATTAACTACGCTATGGAAGAACTACGCTGATTTGTGGAAAAACAAGGTCATGCGTCTATATTATATGGGGTAAATTGAATTTTGAGGTGCAAGCAACTTCGTTAGAACGACCAAGATAACTTTTTATTTTTGAGTATACTGCTGACATTCAGTTTCAGGTTCTCAGCTGATTACGATACCATGTACGTTTCTACGGTTTCCTCGAAAAACTATAAATAAAGGCCCGTCTTGCTCACTTGTCAAAGTCACTCATATGTCATATGATCACTTTGTCCTCTTCTTCCATGATAACCGTTAAGCTCTCAGAGAGGTATGCCTTTGTGGATGGACACCTTGTTCATACTGATGAAGACGGACACCAACGGCTAGAAGTACCGGGTCGCAATGTCAAAAGAATGACAAAAGAGGAGCGCTCCCTTTACATGAAGCACCAACAAGACATGCGCGATCTATCGCATTATATGGACAGTGAATATGATCTATTCAGCTGTGGTTCCGCGAGCCTTTAAGATCTTCTACGCAGCTGACGGTGGAAAGAAACTGATACAAAAGTCACGCAACGCCCTCTACTCCATATTCTCGTTCGTCTCAACGGCTTCAAAATTGATGATCTTCGTCCAATCATGGACACTCCTGATCGGATTCGCCGAAAACTGGATGCGTTCAAACAATTTGTGGTCTACTCTACGCTATACAATAGTCCTGACAAAAATGTGCAGTACTTTACGGAGGATCTTCCTTCGGAATGGGCTTGGATCAAAAGTGTTTACCGCCAGCTTGCAGCAGAGCACGAGTCAAAGCTGCCCTTCAGAATCTCGTATCAGCCCCCGGATGGCGTGATTGTTTCGGGAAAATCTTTCTCCCGTGGGTACATTCGGAGTCTTTACTCTGGAGAGATCGTCAAGGATATCACCGAGTTTTTTTTCAAATTCCCACAGTAAAAGAAGCTGCATTTGAAGTGTTGGATGATCCACGTGAACATTTTGGAGAAGACTTGTCGGAGCACAAAGCTGGCGTTTCAACAGCTGGTCAGTCGCTCCGCAAAATCAAGAATCAACCCCAAAGAGCTGAAGCCCGCGGGCTCTTTCGCCCCGGATTTGATCAAGTCGCTGGATGAGTGTACAGTGCTTCTTCTGTGGATGATATTCTTCGCGTGTGGCGCTGGTGTTAAAGTTTGCGGGCAATGAAAGAAAATGTTTTTGTCGTACAACAAGACCAGGTGTATTCAACTACTGACGACGTTACTCTAAAGGTCCGAGGTCACAGGACTATCATAAAGATGCTTTCGAAACAGGCATCCAATTACGTATGGTACTCCGACCTATCCAGCAAGGGACTACGACAAGATCACCCAGGATATATTTGACGACGCCAAATATGATGAGGAAGATATCCTAGCTGTATTTCGAGTAAGAAAGTGAGCATGTCAAACAGAGAGGTATCTGAACAGGTGTTGCGAACGTTTTTGTGCGTGGATATTAGTAAAGGCTGTTTGATCAAGGACTGGGACTTTGTCTCATTCCTCAAGAGGCATCCTGTCGCAGTGCCTAAGATAATGCGATTGGGGCTGCGCGAGCTCCGGCCTATTGCGGGAGTATGTTCAAGCGGAAGATGCATTGAAAAGCGCGCCGTTTGACACGGCAAAAGAATTGCTAGCCGCCCACTCTGTTTCCACGGCGCTCAGCAGTATTGAGCCCGTCATCAACGTGGAGCTGTCACTTGCCGTGTCGCAAAAGTGGAATGAATGGTTGGGCTACGATAGTAAGGTCACGAGGAAGGAGGAAGTGCCACGTGAGGAGGTTTATTCCGTGTTCAGACCCCCCCTGGCAAGTAACGGAGATGTGCTTGATGTTGCGGAATCTAGCGGTTCAGCTGCGCAGGGATCAGGTGATGCGCATCCGATATTCAGATCATCCCGATTCAAGCGCCTACCGGGTTTGGTAAGACACTAATGTACGAGATTCCGATGCTTGCAGTAAGAAAGCACCAAGTGGTATCATTTGTGTTTGTTCCATACCATGCACTTCTCGGAGACGCGACCAGACGACTACGAAAGGACGGACTTCGGGTGGGATTGGTCAAGAAACTGCTTTCAGAAAAACCTTGTGGGGACGTTCGATGATCTTGGCAAGGCAGATTTGATGGAGATTTTTTCGAAATGGAAGCAGCTTATAGTGGGAACAGAGCTGGGCATTCTTGTGATTGACGAGTGTCTGTATGAGGAGGTGGAGTTTCCAAGAGCATCTTCTCACTTTTGGAAAGTGGTTCTCATGACAGCAACCGCCGGCACAACAGGAATGAAAAAGGTGCTGAAGTTTTTGCACCTTGATGAGGATACTCGGGTGTGGGACTTTGTGAAAAGCTCTCCGCTGACCCATAGTCGATCGTACGGTTCGAACATGTGGAGGAGAAGGACCTGTACAACGTGGCGCTTGAGAAGATCCACAGAGCATGTGACCAAGACCCCGGGGCAAAGGTTGTGATTGTGATGAATGAGAAGGCAGCGGTGGTGGAGTTTGCGGGGCTGCTTAAAGTTCCCAACATCTGGGTACATGGTGAAGGGGAGCGCGTATTCAGCGGTTCAAGGAGGAAGATTTTCGCGTATTGGTGGGGACCAAAATGGTGTGCGAAGGTATCGACATACCAGCGATACGATTGGTTTTGATGGTCGGGTACGTTCCGAGTGTGCCGACCTACATCCAGATGGCTGGGCGGTTGCGGAGCAGCGGGGTGTGCATCACACTGTGGAATAAGGCGTGTCTTTATCAGGAGTCGATAAGTGTGTTTGAGTCGGGGAGAATGATAAGCGAGTTTTATGGGTTGGCGGAGGAAAGTACACAGGAAATGGCTCATGACACTGGTCATATTAGTTTGCAGATTCCTACCCAAGAAAGCACTATGAACACATCTTCTCTCCCAACATCTCCGATTTTCACACAGGAAACCTCCTTTGAGGCTAGTCAAAGCACCTCTCAGCTTAACCCCCCTCCCGCTGCTCTGCGTATCCCAATTCATAAGGGTTCTCACCATGCGACCACACACCTCCTGCTCTCTCCAAGAGACGCTCAAGTCTCACTTCAATGGCGTTCCCGACTTGTTCGCATACCTGCAGATCCCATGTTCACAGGTCTATACTCTCTACAACATGGACCACCGGTATTTCAACTTTCCCTTGGCGCAAGACGCAGGAGAGTTTGTATGCAAGTACTGTCTGATGAAGACAGACACGTGCTTGTGCTGGGACAAGACGACGTCGATCGCACGGCTGGGTCAGGATGCTCTTTGGATTGCGCGAATGGTGTGCAGCGATCAGGAGTACCAGGCATGGGAGCGAAGGTGTAGAGCAAAGGGAATAGGCGATGTGCTGGTACATTTGCTCAAAGGAGGACCATTACCTAGATAAGGGACGGGCGGAAGTAAGGAAATCTGGCTGTTAAGTATGGGATCCGTAAGTCGGTACACCAACTATCTTTTGGGCTTAAGTATGCGTTTTTAGAACTGGCTAAATTATTTGGGAGAACGGGCGCTGCAGACCTAGTTGGGCGGCTAATCAGTTTTCGTTAGTTTTTGGAGAATTTCCTTACTTTGATGTTAGTTTTGGAGCTAGTTTTGGGGGGTTTCGTTACTTGACTAATTTTGACTATTAGTTTTGGAGCTAGTTGTCGCTAGTTGTCGCTAGTTGTCGCTAGTTGTCGCTAGTTGTCGCTAGTTGTCGCTGGTTTTCGTTAGTTTGGCGATCGTTGTCGCTAGTTTTGGAGCTGGTTTTCTATAGTTTTTGCTAGTCTCGTGAATAGTGAGCTCATGGTTTATAGTCATGTTCTACGGGTCAATACGGATACCTAGAAGTGCATCTCGGGTCGTAACTATATACGGATTGGATCACTCATTTAATATTTTAAATTCTGCAGTGAAATTAAACATGGTATAACGCTATGGAGAGAGGGGAGGGCAAATACTTCAAGAGATAAAAAGTGTACATTTCAGATTCAAAGCTAATGGTATTTATTCTTTAGATAGCTACTCTTTAAGTCCTCACCGTTTTGCGAGTTTGATCCTAAATTGTGAAATAGGTGTCGTTAGTTTTGGGTTAGTGTTTGCTAGTTTTCGTTAGTTTTGGGCTAGTGCTTGCTAGTTTTCGTTAGCTCGGCGATCGGCAGGCGCCTTTGGACTCGCTGACCATGTTGTT